CGGCACTACCGTTCTCTAAAAGCTGACTCCTGCTAGGAGTATACATTTCCGTTCATCCAGCGTCCACAGGAATCCTACTAATTGACCATGACAGGCCGCATTCTCCCACGCACCATGCAGGAACTCCAGCACGCCTTCGACGTCGAAGTGCCCCCCTGCAGCGACGGCTGGGTATCCATCAACCTGTACACCGTGATCCTGCGTCTTGTCGCTCGCGTAGCCTCAAGCGTGGTCTTCAGCGACGAGACCTGCCGCAACGAAACATGGATCAACACCATGATCAGCTACTCCGACAACCTGGGTCCCACCATCGTGTTTCTGCGCCCAACGCCCGACTTCCTGCGTCCCCTGGTCTCTCGCCTCATCCCCAGCGTCAACCGTCTCAAGCAACAGCTCCGCTGGGTGCAAGAGGAGCTGATCGTGCCCGCCGTCACGGCCCGTCGCGCAGCACAGGCTGCCAACCCGGACGGCCCGAAGCCCGACGATTTCCTCCAGTGGATGATGGACGTCGCAGCGAACGACATCGACCGTGACCCTCGCAACATCGCCCAGTCGCTGCTCATCGTCACCGCCGTCGGCATGATGCACACCAGCACCATGCTGATCACCCATGCGCTGTACGATATTCTCTCCCACCCAGAATGCTTCGACCCCCTCCGCCAGGAAATCAAGGACACCCTCCCGCAGGGCTGGATCAACGCGACTGTGGCGGCATTTGCAGCGCAGGAGAAGCTCGATAGCGTCTTGAGAGAGAGTCTGCGTCTCAATCCCCCTGCTGAAGGTATGTCTTCTTTCTCCTCCTCTCTGCCCATGCCCCCATGGCTCCATACTAACAGAGGAAAGTCTCGACGCAACGCATCGCAAAGGAGAAGTTCACCTTCAGCGATGGCTTCGCTATCCCCGATGACGTGCAGATCTGTTTCCCTTCTGGCCCTGTCGCTCGCGATCCGGCCTTCCTTCCGGACGCCCATGTCTACGATGCCTTCCGTTGGTGCCGTGATCCTGAGGCCAGCAACAAGAAACTAGTCAGCATCAGCACGACCAACTTCCACTTCGGGTATGGGCGTCTTGCTTGTCCTGGCCGCTTCTTCTCTGCGAACACCATGAAGGCGGTGCTCAGTCGCTTCATTGCGGAGTATGACATGCGCTTCGAGAGTGAGCATCAGGCAAGACCGGCGAACCTCCGCTTTGGGGAGCAGATCATGCCGTCTATGTGGACCAAGGTTTTGATTCGTAAGAGAGAAGTGAAGGTCTGACTGTGACTTTGTTACTTGTAGAGGTTTAGGTGTTTGGATTGATAGTTAGTTAGTTGGTTGGTTGGTTTGCATTGACCTACTCAACATAATGCTGTATTGCAATGAAACACGTTAGAAAATAGCTACTGCATTAGGCGGACTAGCCACACCCCCAGGGACCTACGCAATCCATTAGTACACCACAAAACCACACACCGGCACAAAAGACACATACCTTAAGCGGCACACTCGACAGGAAGAACGTACTCCTCCCCTTCTCCCGGCAATACGCCGCCGCCTTCTCAAGATCAAAGTACTCCCCAATGGGCATGCCCCATCCCGCCAGACACCACTGGTGCAGCGTAAAATCGACCGGAGCCCCCGGGTGCAAAATAGGGGCGGGCTCAAACGCTGGTGCATCACTCGCGATAGCCGCGAACTGGTTCTCCCACAGCCAGCGCAGCGTGGTCTCACCGTTTTCGACGCCCGCAAAGGCCGGCTCGGGGCGCCGCGCAATCGCTTCCTCCTCGGCTGGGGAGAGCTTGTTGTATTCGGCGGTGAAGCCCGTGCGTACAAAGAGGATGTCGCCGGGGCGTGTCTGTACCCCTGTCTCTGCTAGGAGCTGCTTGATTGTTGAGAGCGGGATAGAGCTTGTTTCGAAGGGGGTGAGAGGGACGGAGTGGGCGGCGGCCCAGGCGGCATAGTCGAGGAGGATTCCGCGGCCGACGATGCCGCCGTTGTTCACCCATGCTATATATTGTTAGTTGATATTGTCTGCGGCATATGGGTGGGGGGAGTCGGGAGTGTACAGTCGATTCCGATGACGGGAGAGATCTGGAGATCCTCCAAAGTGTGGCCGTTGAAGTAGCACTTGTGCTTTTGGTTTCCTATTTCCCGTCAGTGCCAATGGAGCACATCTGCAGGATGGATGCTACCGTAATGTCTGAACCCATCCCACTGCGTGCTGGTCTGGGTGTTGAAGGTGAGAATGTCGTCGTTGACGATCCGCGGAGCCTTGTTCACCAGCTGGTGCTGGAACGGGTTACGACCGAAGCTCGGGTACTTTATTCTATCTAATGGGAGGTCCAGGGAGAATCGAACACCGTCACGAATCTCTTCAGACGCAGCTTGTCGTACCGTTTCCGGCGTGAGGAGGTTGAGCATGCCCAGTTCGTTGTTGGGACCGAAGAGACCCCAGGCGTTGCCCGGAGGTCCCTTGGGGTCAAGGGTTAGGCTGTCGAAGGATGGCGTTTGTGTCTCCGTCATGTTTACTATTGTTGGAGATATTTGTGAATGCGACAAAGGCGGAAGAGGGGAGTATATGAAGCGGGGAGAATCCCGGATATTTATCCTTCTCCGCATTTCGGCATGGAAATGCGGGGGAACAAGCATCAACCGCACTGACTGTCACTGCTGGGCATTGCCGGTGAGAGTAATGGTACAGCTATATACACCTGAGACAACACCTATACCTGATGCAATCATCAATCCCAATCCAGGACAACCAGACCTTCAAGACGTCTCCAACTCCGAAGAAAACACGCGAACAACCGGCATATTTAACTCGTTTCCGCCACAGCAGCTCCACGACCTCGGCCTCTAGCTCGAGATCCTCTTTCGGATCCGCGACTGTTACCTCGGCCGCCTCGTCCCCCGCGTCGGTCCAGAGTCTTTGGAGGCGGCACCTGGGAATAGTTTTGTGGCCGAAAGTTCGGGTTATGCTGCATGACGCCTACATCAGGGTTGGGGTCTACCGCAACATAGCCGCCTCGAGTGCGACCCATGCCTCCACGCCCTCCGCGGCCTCGGCCCCCGCGAGATGATCCATGCATCTGCTGATCCCCGCCATTGGGATGGGGCCGGAATGGCAGGGTAGTCTGCGCGCCAACCCCGTTGGAGGCTCCGCGTCCACCACGGCCTCTGGGACCACCACCGCGACCGTTAGCCTGTACACCAGAGACAGCGCCACGATACGAGTGAGAAAGCGGCGGAGGGGTCGGAGCATCTTTCAGCTGTCCCGCTCCACCAGGTCCAAGAGGTTCACCGTACCCTGCCACCGTCCAAGGGGAAGGCTGTGTTTGCTGCTGGTGACTAGTAGCCGCCCGAGTACTGGCAAGGAGCTGTCGATATGAAACATTGAGGACAGAAGATGCCAAAACAGTCTGTCCCCGGAATGGAGAGCAACGGTCACCCAAGGTAGTGCCACTCATGAACGAAGCGTCGAAGACAACATCCAGTAGAACGGCACGGGAAGTCCGGGTAAGGCCAACCACTGTTCCTCGAGTCGCAATAGGGACCTTTCCAGAATCTTGGGCATAGACCACGCGGTCACCAAGCTTGAAGGTTTGGTTGCCCAGCCTCTGCTCAACGTCCGCTGGGCGAAGGAGAGCACCGCGGGGAACACCCCGGATCTTCTTGGGCTGCATCGGGGGCATGTTCTGGATAAGCTGGTCGGCGTCCTGCTCAATCAGCTTGACAACATCCGAATCCAGCTGCTCGGCTTCAAGAGGAACCCTCTCGAAGTTTTTCGCCTCGATCGATTTGAGCCAATCCCGAATCTCCTTCATCTTCACCATGGCAATGTCTTCGGGGTAGAAGTCAGTCGGCGTGTACCGGTCTTTTTGAGGGTTACGTTGGATGCCCGCAATAAAGTCCGGGAATCGGATCATGTATTGCTGGAGTAAGTCGACAGCCTTGCTGCTGAACTCCCAACCCGACTCGCCCCGGCGCGAATAACCAAGGACCTTTTGCTTCTTGGCCTCGAACTTTAGGTTGAGACCCAGGTTCACGCGCGATCCCTCGATATCCACGGAGAAAGAGGAAGTAATTTTGGCCAGCACCAGGGGGTTCAGACGTAGGCTGCGAGCGATAGCGTAAGAGGGCATGTACGGACTCAACTTCTCGGCATTTCGGGCACGCTCCTTGCCAAATTCAGGCTCACGGCCTTTCACCGCCGCAATCAATCCGTTTACTTTACCATCATCATGCCCGGTAATGTGCACAGGGCGTCCATAGTTGAAGTCTCCAAGGAAAAACGCGCGAGAACCTTCGGGGAATTCTTTCTCAATGGGAAGAGCATCGCGCTCGATGAAACGTTCATCAGGGTTGATCACTTCGTCGACAACCATTTGGAGTGCATAGTCAGTTTCCTGTCCTGGGATATCCGCGAATTCTTTCACGGAGGCACCCTCATCAGTCTTAAGCAACCCTTTGAGAGGTTGGACGTGTACCATCGACTCGACCGAGCCGATAATCATGCCAAGTCGCCTGCTATAGATTCCTTCAATCTTGTCCGCCTTCTTCTTCCACTGGTCGATTTGAGCCTCCGTATGAGGAATGGAAGCGATATGCTGTTGTCCTTCGGGTTTGATGTAGTCAAACAGTTCATCAGACACTCGAACAACAAGCGCTTCTTGAAGGAACGGGTACCCAACATAGACTCTTTGCCCCAGCTTCGCTTTGGCAAGTTCAACACTCGACCTGCTTCCAGGCTCGAGGATCGTAACCACCATGCTTTCATTGCGACTTTCCTGCTGGAACACGCATACACCATGGAAACCCAATTGACCGACATGAGGTAGAGTTTTCAAGCTTGGAAATCCTGCCAGTGCGGATGCACCAAGCTGCACACCATCTACCAGGCCAATGTAAGGCTCCAAGCCATCCATTGTCGGCAAGTCAAAGATATTCTCGATGCAATGGCAGTTAGGGATATCAGGGAAGACGCCGGGAAGAGACGATGGGTAGACATATTGCACCTCAGGCGAGTAGGTGAACTTGAGGGATGCACCGAATCCATTCCGTGCCTTCTCATCCGGCGTCAGCAGGTGTTCTCTCGTCTTGAGAGCGTCCAGCAGACGCTTTTCATCAATGAATGGAATCTTGACAACAGCTTCCCACTCCATCTTCTTCCCATTCATGTCCAGTTCGAAATCACGAGGGTAAAAGTCAATGATGGGCGATTCCGGCGAAGTCATAAGGTCCCGATAGGCAGGGGGCACGATCTTCTTGCTTCGATCGGGCAACACACCCATCAGCTGCTCGTAAGGCCGGAATGGTTGGCCCAGGCGGAAATTCATATCGGCCTTCAGACCCTTCTTTACATCTGTAAAAAACGGTAAGCTGTGGGAGCGAGTATCACTGTGAGCAGAACTTACCAGAGATCATGGGCGCATAGTGATAACCAAAAAACCATGGCCAGGAGGCAATGCCCCGATAATAATAGAACAGCACCCACTGAAGGCCTTGCACGTAGTTCTCCGTGAGTTTCCTCATTTCTTCGGCATTCTCCAAACCCCAGTCGAATTTGCTAGTATAGTACTTATCTTTCCATTCCTGGAATTTTTCTTCGTATTTCTTCTCCGCGGCCTTTTGGGCTTCCTCGGCAGACACCTCTTGGACCTTGGCGTTGTCATACTTCCGAATCACGCGCTGAACAGCCATAGAGGCCTCTTCATCTTCTTCCTCATCGCTATCATCGCCCGGGATTTCCGGGAACTGAAGTCGGATAAAACGTTCACCGTGCTCGTCAGAGACAGTTGTCCACGGCAACCGAAGATCATCAGCAAGCTGTTCCACGAACTTGCGATCACGAGCAGGCAAACTGGATGGGAAGTCCAATGGCTTAGTGTCGGCTGCTTTTCCGGGTCTGTTAAGAACGTATTTCTTGACATCCTTGAACAGATCTTTCTGAGCCGGCGTCACCGTGAGACCCTTCGGCTTCTCTTGAAGCTCCATTGTCTCGGTTCCGTTTTTCTTGGCCTTGATCCAACGAGCATCCGAGTATTCAGCCTCGAAGAAGCGGAACTCCACATCACTGAGTCCATCAAGCAGGACACCCAATCGCTCAAGGTTGATGACACCCTGCTCGTTGATGTATCCGCCCATTTTTGGTAAGATCTCCTTGTAGATCTTAAACATCAGAGCCAACGCGCCTTCGTTGATATGTAAGTTCGGCAAGTTCGGTAGGAAATCGTTTCCGACAAAGAAAGCCATCAGGATAAAGTCGTCAATCACTCTCTCCATATCGAAAGGAAACTTCAAGGCGCCTTCCTGTTCCAACTCCTGAAACTCCAACTCCAAGTATTCTCGGACCATTGACAGATGCAACAGATAGAAATTTTGGTGCTCAAGCTCCTTGGGCTTCTTCTGTACTTGTCGACCGAAGGTCACCTCCTCACGGAGGAGGCAGAAGTGGGGGTCATGACTGAGCAGGCCCAACATGATGAGATCAGCATCCAGACCATACAGACAGTGGCGCACGTTGGGATCATAACCCGGCTGAGCTTTCGCATGTCGGATGTATTCCATGATCTTGTGTTCGCCCTCTCCAGGGACTTCATGGCCTGAGAGCACAATCTCAACGCCTTGCCAATCCTTGTCCTCTGAAATCTTTTTGCTGATGAAATACTTCAGCTGTTCGGTCAATTTCGCCATGAATTCGGTACCGGGGGTAATGCAGTTGCTGTCGAACGCATCCTCCTTCGGCATCTCAACGCCCTGGGCGATAGCCTTCTCCTTCGCAACCTCTGCATCGAGAGCGGTTCGGAATCGTCGCGCACGCTGCTGGTTCATCTTGGCACGGGGTGCGACACCGTCCACGGCCATGAAGAAAAGTTTCTTCGGTTTGATCTTGCCATACAGATGCTCGATATAGTTGAAAATGGCAATGAACATTTTATCCTCGGTCATGCGGAAGGTTGGCGAATCGCTGTCCTTATGCGTGCAGTTATGAATGATACCGTTCATATCGAGGTAGAGATTATCGAACTCCGGGATGCGGTTCTCCGCAATCAGCATGGAGATGGCGGGATACCGCTCGCTCAGCCAGCGGAAGAACTTGGGAACACCCATGGTGAATCACGTAGGGACTGTACTGGTGATTAAAGTAAGAAACGAAATATTTCGTGAGAAATTTTCGTGTCGTCGCGGTCGTCAAGACAGGAGTAATACAGTCGAGCAGGCGGCAATGGCAAGCAAAGCAGTCGTTGAACAACGATAGAAAATGACAACCAAGCTTGATGAGAAAATGGCTCAGAAAAGGAGAGTCATAAACATAAAAGATATAGGAGAGAAGGCGACGCAAGCGCCTGCGAGGGAAGGTAGAGGGAAAATGTAGGTGGAAGCTGTAGAGTAGGAAGAGATGGAGAAATGACGATGACTCTGGATGAAGTTGGATGAATCGAGGAACAGCTTGGGGCCATGACTAAGATCTTCACCGCCTGCCTCTTGGGGGTATTCACGATGGTTGCCCCATTCGGACTAGCGCCCCCAATTAACGCGCTCGAGAAAGTCGCGCGCGAAATGCGAAGCTCCTCCGTTCATTGTCATTCTCAGTCTCGCCTCAGATACCCTTTCATATCCATTATTCGCCCTCCTCAATTACCTTTCTCCCCTTCAACATGGCTGAGCCTTACGAAGACGGTATGGTTTCATTCACTCCTCCTTATGCAGTGACCTTCTAACCCGCCTTCACCTTAGGTTTCATCGAGGAGCAGGAAGAGCAGGAGGAAGAACGCACAGAGGAAAAGATCATTAACGAAGGTAATATAACACCATTCGTCTCGTGTTTGTAGCTCCCTCGAAGAAGACGAGGCTGACCGCCAGCCAGAGTACAAAACGTGGAAGAAGAATGCGCCTTTTCTTTATGACATGATCCTCAGCACGGCGCTGGAATGGCCGACTCTCACAACACAATGGCTACCTGATAAGCAGGAGTGAGTCCTTGTCGCTATTTGCAATGCTCGAAAACTCCAAGATGGGGAATCTGACTTGACGCAGAGTGCCTGATAAGCCCTATTCGACTCACCGTCTCTTGATCGGTACACACACCTCCAGCGATGCGCAAAACTACCTGCAGATCGCCCACGTCCAGCTCCCGAATCCTACTGCCCCGAATCCGGATGATTATGATGAGGAGAGAGGAGAGATCGGCGGCTATGGCGGCAGCTCCAAGAAGGCCCCGATGGAGATCAAATTCAATATCGTTCAGAAGATTGACCACAAAGGCGAGGTCAACAAGGCCCGGTACCAGCCTCAAAACCCCAATGTGATTGCCACGATGTGTACGGATGGCCGTGTTATGATCTGGGATCGTTCAAAACACCCTAGTCTGCCCACTGGCACCGTGAATCCGCAAATGGAGCTTCTTGGTCACACAAAGGAAGGTTTCGGTCTTAGCTGGAGCCCTCACTCCCAGGGTCATCTCGTCACAGGTAGTGAGGATAAGACTGTGCGCCTTTGGTACGCGCTCCTATGAAATACTCTTATGTCCACGCACTGACCGCTTATTCAGGGATTTGACGACTTATACCAAGGGCAACAAGGCCCTGAAGCCAGCTCGGACTTACACGCATCACTCCTCCATTGTAAACGATGTTCAGTATCACCCTCTTCACTCTTCGCTCATCGGAACTGTCTCCGATGACATCACGCTCCAGATTCTCGACATTCGCCAGGCGGAGACCACCCGCGCCGCAGCATCTGCCGAAGGTCAACACCGGGATGCCATCAACGCCATTGCTTTCAATCCTGCTGCGGAAACAGTCTTGGCAACTGGATCAGCCGACAAGTCGATTGGTCTTTGGGATCTGCGAAACTTGAAGACCAAGCTTCATGCTTTGGAGTGCCACAGTGATTCGGTCACGTCGCTCTCTTGGCATCCGTTTGAAGAAGCGGTGTTGGCCAGCGCCAGCTATGACCGTAAGATCATGTTTTGGGATCTCAGCCGGGCTGGCGAAGAACAGACCCCTGAGGACGCACAGGATGGACCACCAGAGCTGTACGTGCCTATTCCGTATTTCCTGAGCATTGAGGATGGTCTCGGCTAACTGACTTCTAGTCTCTTCATGCATGGTGGCCACACCAACCGTATCTCTGATTTCAGCTGGAACTTGAACGACCCATGGGTTCTGTGCTCTGCTGCGGAAGATAACCTGTTGCAAGTGTGGAAGGTTGCGGATGCGATTGTTGGAAAGGACTTGGACGACGTGCCGACGGAAGAGCTTGAGCCATAAATCTGGAGACGTATTTTCGCCACACACGGCTCTATGCCTGCCCGTTTCTTGTATTAATCTGCTCCTAGATTAGTCTCCTATGAAGAAATCATGAAATTCTACCGGCGTTCTTTAGCTTATCGTTCCCACAATGTGGGTTCTCGATTCCGTTCGGCATAAAGCGCACGTGCTTGAATGGGCAACTATGAATCTATTGCGGTTTCGCCCAGCATGCTACAATCGTACTCGCGGACCATGCAGCCAGGTCTACCCGGCATTGAGGCTGAGCATTACGACCCTACCGCTGTTGGCCTCGTCTAAATCTGGATCGTCGTGAAGCATAACGGATTAGACCAGGGTCCTGAAGGGCCAGGCCGCTTTGGGGGCATCTTCCCACTGACTAGTTGATGCATGGGTCCGGACACCTCCGATGGAAGATCGCGATACCTAGAGGCTAGCCAATGCACTAGATCCGAGAAGGCATATGCCAAGTATCTAGGTACAGAAGCTTGGCCCACACTCTGAATGTAAGTCTGGAATCTCTCCGGGTCTAAAGTCTGACTGACAATACTAGTGGGCCTAGGATGATGGGCGGAGTATGGCATGGCGTCGCTACAGTTAATGTCTCTAGGCGTCTACTTTTCCATCTGGCCCCCTCCAGCTTTCTCTCCCTCTATCCCTCCGGTCCAGCAGAATCCGTCTGGTCAAGAGTTATGACATCCAGCCGGCACTTTAGTGGCACCACTCACCCACTGCCGACAATGGCCGTCGAGGCCACTCCCGCAGGCGTCGCAAGAGAAACAAGCCCGGCAACCAAGATATTGAGATCACCGATCCCTCGCTGCCGCAGAACTGGACAAGGACACGGAAATGGCTCATTCTGACCGTCCTGTCCTTGATGTCCCTGATGTTGTACGTACCTGTGTCCTGGTAACTGGAAGAGGAAGCGATATTGATGTCAAGCTCCCAGGAACATGTCGCTGGTCATCTGCTCTCCAGCCAGCTCTGCAACTGCCAAAGAGTTTAACAATTACAACGGCTTTCTGTCGGTGTGCTTCATTACCGTGCCCAACCTCGGGGAGATCATCGCTCCTCTCTGTATTGGCACCTTCAACCCTCCATATCAATCTTCTCTCTTTTTCTCCCACCCTCCATTTGCCTAAATACAACTGGTGGATAGACTCAAAGGTTTTGATTCACTCAATGCAATATTGTCAACCAGTCTGGAAATATTCGTGCGCGGCCTGTCTCAACCCACTAACCAAGTTCTGCGAAGAAAACGGAAGCTTGCATGCAAGGAAACCCGTTGAAATGAAGGAAATCACGCGATGTAGGATCAAGCAGTGCGCGGATTCTTCGTTGAGCTTTGAAACCCATCGGCCGAGCCGTTCTTGCTTTGGGGACACGCTCTTACCGGATATCAGGTCGAGGTCTTCTTGAAGATCAATATGCAAAGCCAGAATATCTTTCCATTCCAGTGGTACAAGACATGCTGCGATGACTAGGTATATACAGCACAACATAGTGATGTCACGCTGCTTGGCTATCAGATTGTCACTGACGCTGAAGGGCGCCATTCGATGTGGGAGTTTCAGTTGTAATATCCCGTTGGGGGGTGGTACACCCTGCATTCCACCCCTCCACTGTATATGTTCTGGTCTTATGTCACCATGAAAGAAGACTTCAGCAATCCGACCATTGTGAATGAAGTCCAAAGCTTCTGCGATGCCAACCATCTGGCATATTGACCACCTTTTTACTCCTTCGTTGTGACGGTTGGCGTAAAGTAGGATCCAAAGATCCTTTAGACTGCCATGCGGAGGAGGAAGAGGCCATATCTCGAAGACATCATCGCCAAGCTGAAACGTAGCAAGACTTGCGTAGATGTACCGGTAAAAGGCGAGATTATCCACTGGCCGCACATAAGTATAGCTCGTTTTTCGGGCCTTCTTCACGACGACGGCACAAAGGTCACCATTTTCATTCACATAATTGAGAGTGTCTTGGCAAGGATGGTTGGCTCTGGGGATAACAGCTGTTTGATAAGAGACACCAGCGATCTCGAGTGCCACCACGCGGGTAACCACGATAGGAACGACTTCTTTGCCGCCATGTATATGTATGCCTTGAGTGATGATTGGCGCAGATAATTCCCTGTACACGTCAAAGAACTTGGCAGCATCAAATCTCTTGACCAAATCACTGAGAGGTGAGACTCTTTGCGAAAGAACACGAACAAGATTGTCTGCGTTTGGTCCATACGGACTGTCGTCACGCATCTTAAGCGACAATAGCAGGGGTATAAATTCCGTCATTTGGCTATACACCAAGGTCGCGAACCACCGTCTTCCGTGACCGTAGATCCATCGGGCTTCGTTGTGCTTATTTCCAGATTCTCGAAGAACCTTCTCTAGCACTTGAAAAGAGACGAGTGTGTCCACAGTACTGAATGGAATAAGAAAGCCGTTTAGAACTTTGAGTCTAGACTGCTGAAGATTGTACTGCAACCAGGGAGCCAAGCGAAGCTACAGCACTGTTAAGATGCTTTTATTCACTCCACATGAGCCAACTCACATCCAGATTGTCCCGAGCAAGAAATCGATGCCATAGTTTCTCCATAGCCTTATTTCTGATTAGGCGTACGGAGATGTGATAATGGTAGTACTCCCGTACATAATTCATGAAGTGGAAGGCCTCCAGTGAGCGATACCAGGTAGAAAAGGCTACCTCCGTCAACATTTTTCCAACGTCATGAGTGATCTGCTTTTTAGATCGAATTAGGGAGCTGGCAATACGCCTCGTACTTCCCGAAGACTCCCTCAGTGCTGAATTAATGACAGCGGATGCTGTTTCTGATGCCGGAATGTTTGGTGCGACAATACGCGAGACCTGATTATCGAAGACCCCATAATTCAGGTAGGTTAATATGATCGCTCCCATTTTCTCGTCTGCTTCTTGTGTACTCGTTGGCCCAATCTCCTGGGATTTTGTGAAAAAGTGCTTAATGCTATGGTGAGCAAAACGCACTGTAAGCTCTTCCTCGTCAATGATGATCAAGCTCCCGCAGCATCCCAGCGTCGCACGGATGTTGTTAATCAAGCGCGCCGGTTTCCAGTCTGTATCGCCTGGAATAACGCTGAGGACTTCTCGGAACTCATATATTGTCAGTGGACGCCGAGCCGCCATGATCATTTGCACAATCTGACGCAGATATTTCGAGTTCCCCGACGTCGAATTTTTGAGTACTCGACTGAAGACCTCTGAGAGACTATGCGGTAGATCGTGCAGTACGCGGAGGATCGCCTCGTCTGTTTGCTCGGTACAAACACAGTCGATAAGCAGTGCTACCCATAGAAACCTAGGGTTTGAATTAGCCAGCGTTGTCTTACGTCCAATTTGTGCGGTACAGATTGACCAACATTCCTTGCGCCCCTTTCAGTAGGGCCTCCTGGATAGATAACACGACCGTAGGGTCTCCAATGGTCAACTCATCAGACTGAAGCCGTCCTTGAAGCTCTGCATCGATGTATGCTTCAATGTCTGGGTTGATTTCCGGGGCTTTCAAGGTCTGTATTTGGGCAAATTCTTTCGACAACTTTTCAACGGGACTCCGTGCTTCCTCCCTATACGAGATGCAAATGAGCGTGCTTAGAACTCGTTGAAGGTTTTGAAGTAACTCGATGATAGTCTCAATCTCGCTCTGAGGACATTCATCAAGTCCGTCGACCAGGATGTAGTACTTTTCGTTGTGGGAAAGAAGTGTCTGCAAGATTTCCAACATCTTATCACAGTCAAGCGTTACCTGGCTTGCATAGTCCTGCTGTAACCGTGCAAGTTCGACGGTCTGCTGGCAAAGCAACTGCCGAGTAAGTGACCCGAACATTGCCCTTGCCGTCAACGACTCAGTGATATCATAACGACAGAAAAAGTACACCAGATTACCCTTTCCGCAGGTTGATACCAGGTCATCGACCATGCTTGCCATGAGCGTTGTCTTGCCCGACCCCAATTTGCCGGTGCACAACAGGGTGCCGGATACGCTTTGCTGTTTCCATTGCTGATACTCCGGAGCAGTGGTAAACCATGTGGCAACGCCTCTCTTACGAGCCTGCTTCCAGGGAGTTTGGTAATCGCGTGTGGAACATGCGTCAAGCAATCGGAGTTTGGCCTCAAGCTGGTAATGGCGTCCACTCGAATCCTTGAACTTGGCAACCATCTTGCGGAATGCAGAGTTCTGCTTACTTTCATCCACATTCAGTTGGCTGTTCAACCAGGTAACTTCTTCTCGGATCATGGTTGCCCATTTATGCATGTCTGTCTGGAACTGGTGGAGAGTCGAGTCAAATACGGCCGATGAAATACGAGAGATTGTATTCTTGTTGAGAAACTTGACAGCGTGCTGACATATGCAGACCACAACTATGAAGTATTCGCAAAGGGCGTCCTGCAGTGTTCGAGAGCGGGGATAGAGCAACGCCATGTCCTGGTACCTAGGTGCATTTCGGCCGGCTTCCATAAACAGTAGAGACAGGGTTTCCAGGTAGGTGGTTCCCCGTGATAGCATCTACATCCATCAGTTCTTTCTTATATTGACTCTGCCATGTCTGTGAGGTACTTACAGTCAAGGTCAAGCGTACCACTGCCCACACACCACATGCTGCTAAATTCTGAGAGCCACCTATCACGATGTCCCCCAGCGACGCATACTGCTGCACAGCCTGGAGAACGTTCATAAAGCGCGGCCCATAACATCGTCGCGTCTGCCCGCTGACACGCCGGTCGATCTCACTGGTCAGTTTCGCAACGTCCCAGGACTCGGGGGGCTCAGTGCTAAGGGATAGAGTCCATTTCTGAAACTTGGTCTTTTCTTCCTGGGGTATACTGGCTTGAAACTCGGACACGGCCTGGGAGAGGCGGATCTCGGGCTTGAGCTTGGAGGCGCGGGCAACCACGTCGGCCATGGGCTCACGGGACTGTCGAAGAAAAAAAAAAAAGCGAAAGAGAAAAGAAAAGAAAGGAGAGAGAGAGAGAGAGAAAGAGGGGCTCGAGGTGTCTTCCGAGGTCAACGACTAGGTCAAGAGATACGGACAAGGGAAACACTGCAGATTGGTGACTCGGTAAGTGGGTGTATAGGGGGGAGGGGGACCAATATATTTTTGATCAATGTCGAAGCAGCGAAGGGAAGGCTCTCTGCACAGCCTCGTCTTGCCACGTCTATCCTTGTTCGTTATTTGCTACCTATTGGACGCCGCGATGTGAAGTGGCTGTTTCAGCCTTGTTTGGTCTGTAGAGCCCCAGTGTGCTCTGGTGTAGGATCATGCTTGGGAAGTCATCCATGAACAAGACAGATCTATCTCCATCCCAAAAACCATCAAGTCCAATGCAAAGAAGGCACATAACTTGCCACAACCGTCTCCCACCTCTCCGAGCCCATCAACAAGATATTTGGCACCTCCCTTTCCACATACTACAGACCGTCAGTAACGCACCGTCAGCTCTTCTCAGGGCAGAAAGACTTACATCACGATACTTCCCCTCCATGCTCATCCGTAGAAAGCACTTCAGGGGCATAGTGTCTTTCAAACAAAACTCGTACAGCCCATTATCCGGGAGCCCCCTCAAACCCCCCTCCAACACATCACGCACAATGCTCCATCCATGGTGTCTTTGGAGGTCCAATGCGTTCAACAAGAATCCGACATGATTCTGCAGCAGGGAGTGATGCACTTTCCCCCACACGTCATTCATATTCTCTGTCATCACCGCCCAGCCAGGGAACATGCCGTCAAAGCTAACGCCCTGGTCGCGGAGGGTCGGCGTGTGCAAGCGGATGCCGCCAAAGTCGCGCACGGCAAATCCCTTGATTTCTCCCGTATCGTGGCAGACCCGTGCGAGGATATTTTGGCCGTGGGCTTCGAGACCGATGCCGTGGTGGACAAGGGGTGGGAGGAGGAGATTAAGCAGACAACCAACGTACCTGTGGATATTTGTCAGATTAAGATTCAGTTGATCCGTGTGTTAGGGGCACTTACTCTCGAAACCATTCCTGTTTTTCGGATATGGTTCGCAGGTTAAACAGGATCTCCGCATAGGGCTGGGATGTGCCGGGCGGCGACTGGGTCAGTGCGGCTGCTAGGACGAGAACCTCGTTGTTGGCCCTGGCCCGCTCCTCTAGATCGTCTCGCAAGATACAGGAGAGATGCTTTGCGTCGTCGAAGTCCGTCTGACTACCTGTCACGGAGGCTACTTCTTTGAATGTCCACAGTTCAGACGGGAGGAACCCGTCCAATATCTCGGTCACAATGGGCCCGCCTTGTGCGGACCATGGTGTAATGGTTCGGAGGGCCGAGGTGATCTGACAGGCTAGGGAAAGCTTCAGATGGAATGGGAACTTCAGCTCTGGTCGAAGGGTTAGCGTTCGGAGAGAAGCTTGGGCGTCCGCACAATCAGCCACAGATAGGAGCATGATAGCTCTTGGGAAGCGCTGCATGATGGAGGGGAGTTGCTGTGTGAGACAGGGCACAATAGTCCAGCCTTCTGGGGCCTCAGGAACTTCGAATGTTTGGAGAAGTGGTTGTAGCAGATGGTTAAATGGACCAGCGACAGACAGGTCGCTATGGGCAAGAGATAGAAATGTTATCCCCGGTGTCAGCATTGCCGGTATATCTTCTGGCTTGACGGGCTGTAGCGGTGGCTTCGCGTCGCAGGTACGATGAAACTGTCCCATCCGTCAGACATGCACACAGGTTCCATCCAAGGTACATACCGGATGAGTCGGATGCCCGTATGTCATGGACCTTTCCCAAGCAATCGACGGATCCTGCAAGCTCAGCAGTCGGTAGCCTGCAGCCATCCTCATCCATATCTCTTTCCTCCGTCAGTACATAAACCTTACTAACTTTGGAGATATCGGACCTTGATTTTCCCCAGAAGATTGCAAATTGCGCGATATCTCTTCGAGCACGGGCTGGCTGGCCAGATCCTTGAACCATGGGCTTATGAGCGAGAAAATCTCCCCTGGATCCACAGTCTTCCTTTCCACCGCCATGCAGTTTACAATAATGGGAGAGCATAGCATGCCCGGTTGTATCATCGGTAACACCTCACCATTGCGATCTTCGATCAACGCTTCAGGCATGGTATGTACCACAATACTGTCATCCGCGCATGCGCTGTCCTTCTTTCGCAAGTATAGACGTCGATTAGTCGCTTCTTTGGCTCCCTCGACGAACCCATCAACCAGACCCTCGTTAATCAGACAGGCCAGTAAGCGTTTCGTTGTTTCGAAACGGGCGGCCTCGCGTGTGGTGGTAGTTGTCATATTTGAAGGTCCTGAATTTTGTCAATGTTTTTGGGCAATAGCCTCTGCAGGGTTCTTTATAGTTATAGTCTGCACGATGACAAAAACACCGTTTGTACGGAGAATAGATGTTATGTCATTGGCACGAGATAACTACTATATATCATATTGATCTGTCCAAACAGTCAAGCGGCAGTGAGATTTCTTCCGGGGTTACCTATGGTCATTGTAGGCTGCCAACCAGAAGCCAGAGAATAGCATTGTGCGTATTGGCGATTGACTGCATATTACCTGCAGAAGGACATGCAGTGATTTCGCTGGCAGCCTTTGATTCACTAGGCGGACTTGAGCACAATGCAAATTGTCTCTCCGCTAATGATCTGCATATGGAGGAGACGGTGTGACTGGTCTACGCCAGGGACTGCGAGGAGATCCACCTCGCCCGTTCACTCCAATCATTCCCAAGTGTCTGACTTGTGGTGGAATTAGGCCACTAATTCGTCCACGGGAAAGAAGAGCATCTCCTCGGGGCAAGATCCATGCAGAATGACATGTCATATGCAGTTTATACTTCGGACGTGCGGCATCAAGGCGTGCGGAGTGAACAAGTCGTCGGCCTTGCACAGGGTATGTGTTGTTGCGGCCCCTAAGGCATTGTCTCCCTATTCTCCCATTTTCGTCGATGAAAACAGATAACATGGGAGACTGGGTTGAGAAGATCTCGTATGTTCCCGATCGAGCCAAATATGAAGCTCAACAAGCGATATTCAAGGATAGAGCCGCGGAAGCGTCCCTTCCTGAGGGATTCCCCGCTCGATTGTCCTCGGAAATGGTCTGGGACAGCGACAGTATCTCCCTTGATGAGCGTTGTTTCGTGAACGATGAGAGATGTGTCCTGCATTTGAGCAAAGAGCAGCTGGGTGAGATTCATGACGCCCTACAGACTTTCAAATGTAAGCGCCATTGAAAGTTCTCATGCCTGCAACTGAAATTCAATCACAGCTCTCAACAAGCCTCTCGGATCACTTGATCCAACCACCTTCCCCCTTCCATCTCTCCACCCTATCCTTCGGGATATATCAAACAACATCCATCGGGGAACAGGGTTCTCACTGGTGCGCGGCATCCCGGTAGATCAGTATTCTCGCGAGGACAACGTAATCATCTACGTTGGTCTCTCATCGCACATAGGCTGTATCCGTGGCCGCCAGGATCACCAAAACAACAGCGTCCCAGCGGATGTCATGATTGCGCACATCATGGACTTTAGTTCCTCTGCGGACTCACGTTCCGTAACGCTCCCGGCGTACACCGATGGCGAGGTGATCTTCCACACCGACACCGGGGACATCGTCTCACTGTTTGTGTTGGAAGAGCCCGCACATGGCGGGGAGAGTCTGCTTGCCAGCGGCTGGCGAGTGTATAACGAGCTGGCGAAAACGAGACCGGACTTGGTTGAGGCGCTAGCGAGCGACTGGCCTATTCCCAGGTTGGTTCCCGGTGCATTGTGCAGAAATATATGTAGAGCTCACGCAGAAGCCAACCTAGTTCCAAGAAGGAGGGTCTCATCATACGCCGGCCGCTGATTTTCCCTCTGAACCCATCCGCTACAGCACCAGATGGAATCCTAATCCATTTCTCCCGGCGGTCGTTTTCAGGTTTCGGAGCGTGGTCACATTCGAATGCGCTGTCCGTCAAGCAAGCCGAAGCTCTGGACGCGCTCCATTTCCTGGCCGAACGCTTCCACGTAGCCATGGAGCTTCGCAAGGGCGATATGCAGTTCCTCAATAATCTGAGCATTTTACATGCGCGGAGGAGCTATCCGGACATTCCTGGGCAGCGGTGAGTCCTTCTTTATGGCATGGATTGCGGCAGCTGATGTTGCATAGACGACATCTCCTCCGGTTGTGGTTGCGCGATCCCCAAAATGCTTGGGAAATACCAGATGCGCTGCGTCATAAATGGGATAGTTTATATGCGGAAGAGGCTTCCCATGGAGTGCAGGTGTTTCCATTAGCACCTTCGATGAGATCAGCAGGAAAGGCAAACAGCACCTAGTGAGGCGTCAGGTTTGTCTGGTTTCTCGGCTGCGTTTGTGTGCGGGTATCAATTAATCGGGTCAGATGTTGCTCTATGGTCCGAAAATTGGTGGTGTAGGTCCATGCACGCGAAAATAAAAATAAATCAAAATCAAAAAAGAAATGCTTCCGATGCGGGGAATCGAACCCCGAGCTGCTGTGTGAGAGACAGCGATGTTAGCCATTACACCACATCGGACTCTTGATGAGATGACCAAAAAATTGCTCTATGAAACAGGCTAAGTGTTCGAGCATATGCCATCGAAAGGCAGAGACGTCATCGTTGAAACTACCACACTGTTAAAGACTTCGATTCTTCTGGTGATTATACCTAATCATGTTCATACCGTGATAAGTAGAGCGTCCGGTAGTTCACCCGGCTTCGGTTTCAGAAGACATGTTGACAAGGGTGTGAAATATATATTTGTGCCGAAGGACGGTGTACTGACCTTGCACATCATCGAACATTTTATCCACATATGGAGAAAAGGTCGCGTGCCAGTCCCAAGTATGCGGTAGGGCACATGGCACATGTAACTGGTCTGCTAAGGCCCACAGGCATCACACACCAAATGGGGACGCTGCCATCATCTGGCCCCGGCCTATGCTTGCTGGAGTCCAGGACGTATTCAGCCAGACTTGATCCATGCCGAAGTACCACAAATCAAAGCCTGCGAAAGCCAAAAGCAGTATTTGCTGTCTGTGTCCATTTGAGGGCAGTCGTTGACCATATGGCCCGGACTGAAGCCGACTCCACATATGTGGTATTTGTTAGGCAGATGACGCCGACACCGAGGGCCAAAGCACAAGAAGAGCATTTCGCACCAACAGAACATACGAATGGCCATGGCTCAAGGAGTTACTGAAGGCTTTGCGGGACGAGTCTCCTACGCGCGTGTCAGAGTGCCACGGCCGACCTAAGCAAGTAGAATTCCTCGAATACACTAGGTATTGCTCGTACCTAGTAATACTTGGGACTCAAATCATATCACCATATTGAGTACACAGCAGCATTTAGCTAGTCATTCATCACATATCTCAATTACCATATGTTGCGTTGCATAGGTAAGTACTAGAGCGGGCATGACTCGAAGTCCTTCCTAAGCAAAAGAAGTTGTTCTCGCACTAAACTTTACACACCCACAGATATCCTCGCAAGCATGGGGTTTAGGGCCAAGTATAAAGGGCTCATAGAGACATCTATCCAATTATCGCTGTAGGTGCTTGACCATAGAGGTGCAGACGGTTCATGTCAACACAAATCTAGCTTTGGCTCATGAAGCCATATTTGAAGCGGTCCTTCAACAAGAACATCCGATGTGGTGTAATGGCTAACATCGCTGTCTCTCACACAGCAGCTCGGGGTTCGATTCCCCGCATCGGAAGCATTTCTTTTTGATTTTTTGCTCCCTATATATCATCACTCTTTTCGAGCGAGGTAACAAGAGTGGTATTGAAATGCCAGCCAAGTCCTACAACACCCATTCTATCTAATGTACCGAGAACTTAGATCGTCTATGATAAAGACATCAATTGCCATGCCATATGACGCAAAAGAACAACGCCCAACTCCATATTTGCAAACTCAAGGGGTAATCATAATAGCACCAGATCGAACCACATCCGCCTTCAACCACATGACACAGGCCATAGTCCACAGAAGTCAAACCGGGCAAATCACGATCCGCAGTCCACCCACCAAACACCTACGTAGACCGCTTAATACCCTCGTGAACCTCGTCCAAAAGCGTCGTCAGCTCCTTCGCGCCATCACTCGCCTTCCCTTCGACCTCGAGCCCCTTCTCAAGCAACTTCTGCGCCTCGTCCCAGCGTCCCATCTCCGCCAAACACTTACCCGCACGCCACCATGCCTTGACGTTGCCCAGGGGCTTGCTCTCGACGGCGCACTTCGCGTCCAGCATACCCTCCGGCCAGGCCTGCTGGGCCATGTACGCCTGCGCGCGGTTGGAGTACAGGCCGGCCAGCTCGTCGCGGGTGAGGGTGACGGGCTCCCAGCCGGGGCGGCCGAAGGCCATGTCGATGGCGTAGGTGTACAGGCGCACGGCCTCGGCGTAGTTGTTCTTGCGGAAGGCGGTGTTTGCGGACTCGCGCAGCTTGGTGATCTGCGCGCTGCGCTTGGGGTTGATAGGGAGCGGGGGCGGCGGAATGTTGGGGGGGTCGAGGCTGATGAGGGCGCGGTGGAGCTGGTTCAGTTCTTGGAGCTCGGCGCTGATGGCGGCGGTTTGCGTGCTGGATAGCGAGGAGGACGAGGGGTCGAGCGAGATGGCTTTGCTAGTCGGGTCCAGAAGGAGCGGGTATTGGTTGAAGAGGTCGACGCTGCTGGCCATTTTGAGTGACCTTGCTCGTGGCTTTTGTTTGGAGACTGGGTGTTGTTGTGGTGTTGAGCGCCGCTTTGGTCTGGAGAGGGTTAGTGGGACTCGGACAGAAGGATTTGGGGAACTCACGATTTATTTTTTCTCTGGAAACGGTCGTAAACAATGGATTTATCTGGAGTTACACAATGAGGTAGGTAGTGAAGGCTGAAGGACGGAGTATGCGATGCGGAGGAAGCCCAGACCGCAAGCTGTCCTAAAGTCGGGAAGGCGGTGGCAGAACAAGTATCTGTTTAAGACATGTGTATCCCTTGCATCAAATCACAACTCTACCGATTTGAATATCCAGATTCAATGAACAAAAGCACTCGCTATTTTCATACTAACAGTATCACAATACAATCCGCATAGTCTAGGTGATATCGAAACTACCAAATCAACAACTGATGATCCATCCATGGAGTATCTCAAAATAAGCGCAAAGAGAAATGTCGTCAAAATCATCAAGCAAAGCACGTCCCGTAGGACCGAACGAGGATAGCGTACAGTCGTTGCCCCAATAAAGTAACCATCACATGCAAGTCCGAGTATCACGGTATTCAACAAGCAAAACACAGAAGACAGGACTGGATGCGCCGCAACACCGCTCCATGGTTTTCAAAGCCACACGTCCAGCGAGCAAGCCCGATCGTCGCATCAGCGTCCGTAGCCGCCGCCCGTCGATCCCCACTCTGACGGCGGCGCGTAGTGCTGTCCATGGGCGCCGCCGTAGCTCGTCGTTGACCCGTTATAGCTGGTGTTGTAGTCGTGCATCATGCCGCCGTTATTGGAAGCGGTGGGATCATAGGAGCCCTGGAGCGCAGTGCGGCTGTTGGGGTTACCCATGTCATCCACCTCGCTCTGGTGCAAAAGGGCGTAGTCCTCGTCACGGTCGTGGGCGGCAGAGCTCATTCCAGCGCGTCCAGACCGGAAATCGTCTTCTTCCTCATCGAAGTCGTGGGCAGGATTCGAAGAGAAGGCGGCTTTGCTCTGAGCGGCAAAAGTCGGGTCGGAGCCAACGTCGGGCAGAGTACCGGTCCGACGGAAGTGCATCACGTTGCGAATGGACATGAAGGAAGTCAACACAAAGAGCAGGCTGCGCGAAAAGAATTCATGTTAGTGTGGGTCGCATCTCTGCCAGGATAGACTCGAGGGACATACAAGATGACGACTCCAATGATCACGGTGGCCGTACTGATGTTGCACTTGGAGGCACTACCGTACTTCCAGGCGTCACACCCACTCTTATTGCTATCGCTGTCTTTGTTATCCTTATTGTCATTGTCGTTGTCGGACTTTCCTTCGGCCTTCCCTTGGGCCACATAGCTAGCGACACAGACCCAGGCGGTGAACCAAAGCAGAGCGTACAGACAGTCCACTGTCGCGAAGGCGTAGACGTTGCCGAAACGACGGGCGCGAGGCCATATAGGTACAGCGACAAGGTAGATCAGACCGGGGATACTGAACCAGCACTACACGCAAATGAAGATTAGAAAACCACTCTGTCTCTTGCCGCCGTAAGCTGTGAACTCACCAAGGCCCAATACCAGGCGGATCGCCCGTCAATGCCGCCGCCTTTCGTGAAGACGGCGATGGTCAGAGCCCAAGCCAAAAAGATAATAAAGGCCTGGACTCCATGGATTATATTCTTTGTCCGCCCGGGATTGAATGAAGGTCGTGAGAGCTTCATGACGGGAGATTTCTGGTAGGATGGAGGGGAAGAGAAAGCTATCGGATGAAAAGCGCTTCCTAAGAGGAAGCGAGGGAGGATCAAGCGCCTAAATCACAAGCCTAGCGCGCGCTGTGATGTATGAGGTGACAGGAATGATATAGGAAGATCGTGAAGGAGGATCGTGTGCAGCGTCGGATGAAGTGGAATGCGATTGTTTATGGGACGGCTGAGGAGGAGCAGCGGCGAGGTGAACGGGGCAACCGGTCGATGCCGCGCGGACACTAAGGCCAAATGGGGCGGAGAGGAAGTATGGCCGGCCTGCACCTGATGAAGCCGAAGAGGCCGATCGATGCGACCTGATGTCGATGACAAGGGGATTGACGATCGAATACGCAGGGAATAAGTAGAGAAGAAAGGAGAGAAGAATGGATTGCAGGCCAATATACCTAATAACCAGAATTCCTCTTTGGACGATCATCATTCCTAACAGGAAATTACCAGCGTGTAATCTATTTATGCCACATGGACCTGATTTTTACCAGCATAGACGGGATTAATGTCATATTCTGTAACATTCCGGTATCGCATAATACACAGCCCTAATCGAGGTCTTCATTGACTGCAAGTACATACAACACAATCCATTTGTTAAACCCCAGGCCAAAACAAACAATATCATAGAGACTACGGTAAGTTTTGAGAAATGAACGGAAGAGCCATGGGTGATATTACATTATTACCACCATACAAATCCGCCTCGAGGCTGTGCACAGGCAGTGTGGTTTCCTCCGCCAAGCACAGCCTGCATGATGATTCTATAAAAATCCCCATGTCATAGGCAACACAATTTGGCCCAACTGTGTCCATTAGGCTCCAAAACAACTGAGTGCCCAGGTAGATCACTATTCCAGGGACCTCAACATACCTACTAGGTAGTATTCCAGAATGTACCGTACGAGGGAAATTTGCAGAGGTACGTCTGATTAAGTACCAACTGCCCCACCGCCACTATCTTAGTGTTCTATGAATATGAATCCATACGTCAGCTTGTAGAAAGCTTTCCCCTATCAACGTTTGCCAGCCCTTTAAGAGCAAATTTATCGACAGCATGCTGTTCTCTCCTTAAGGTAGTAAGAAGCAATAGAGCCATTCCCATATAGCCCAAGTCTATATCTACTTAGACCTCCTAACTTCCCCCAGAATGCGCTCCGCATCTTCCCAGGGCTGATGGACATGAGTATGCCACCACCAAGGGAGCGGATCGAAACTCGAAAACCGCCAGTCCTTCCAGAAGAACAGCAGATCGCTTAAGCCATCATTAATCTTATCCACCTTCTGCAAGGTCGGATACAACGCAGGGAGAATCCGCCGAACTCCGCTATCCTTGACTGTCTGGTACAGGCTATATTTTCGTGGTGGGATCGCGGATTCAATTAACACCGGTTGCGTGTGGCTGTCACCGCAAAGACTGGCTGCACCATTGACCTGCGGAGCAAGCACAGCCAGATACCCACGGACTAATGTGTGCATTGGGGTAGTGTGGAGAAGACGCTCTGTTGCACTCGCACCGAGTGTGCATCCCGCGATGTGTATCACGTACCGCACGTGGTTCGCGTCGAATTCTTCGTCCACCATGAGTTGCACATTCAAATGTCCTGTCATCTGGGTGCCTGCCTTGGAGGAAAAACGTGCCATAAGTTTGTGGATTGCAGTGGCAAGCCCCTCATCCAGACGAGAGCGGCATGCTGAACGGCTCCCCACGGAGAAGACACGGAGGGCTTGAACTTGCCCACCGACCACCAACAGCTCGGCAGAGAACTCTCCCAGCCGACTCTGCTGCTGCATCACCCATGGCCGATCCTTCGAGATCTGGATCTCACTGACCTCAGAATACGTCAGACTGACCGTCCGCTTCGGCAGGATAACCGCATGCCCGTCGCTCATGGCCGCACTCGGTCGGCGCATGCGGTAGACCTTCGTCGGCGACCGGTGTAGAATCTTGTGTATTGTATCGCGCGACTGGACGTGGTGATTTTCCACGACCGGAAGGTTCTTCTCCTGTAGATACTGGGTAAACGAATCGTGCCTCGCGAACTGGCTCACCAGGGGTGTCCCAAGCGTGATACAGACGCAGCTGGTCCGACTCTCGATTGCCTCCTTGGCCATTGCATCGTCCATGGCGGTTGCGGAGGCCGAGCACGGAATCCAGATGTCGATTTTCTCCCGCTGGACGACGTCCAGCAAGCGGGAGGCGTAGAGCCCGCGCGGGATGTGGTAGAACGCTGACAGGGCTGTGGATAGGCTGACTCCCGAGAGGACGAGCCCGCGCTCAGATATAGATACGCCCGCACCTACGACGCGATGGCCCTGAGCATACCATGCCCGAGCGACGGCCAGCCCATGTGGGGTGTCCACGCCCGTGATCAGGACGGTTTTCGGGTAGAAGTGGACGTCTTGGAGGGCCGTTTGACGCGGGCGGAGCGAGCTGGGATAGGACAAACGGACCGAGACATGCTTCCAGATGTACAGTGCGATGAGGATCGCATTGTTCAACGGAAGAAGAATGATGGAGAGCGTGATACGCAGGAGCCGCGATATCATCAGGCCGGGCAGATGGGATGGAAGGACGAACAGCGCTTTGTGGTTAGAGAGGGAGCCGACGGCTCGTCGCACTGTCGACACGGACATTGACCGCAGTCATGTAGCTGTTCGGAGGCACGATCTGATCCTGGACGGATGGTTGACCCCTCCGCGTCGGAATGCCAGCTGCAAGGTGGACGGCCCACCACGTCAGCCCTGCATGAATCCACTAGCGGATTATTCCGGTGGCCGGGGGGGGGGGGGGGGGGGGAGGATTCTGTGTGATAGAGTTTGAGATGCTAAAGGAAACTCAAGGAAGACCGCACCGTAGGATTCTGGCGAGTTGTGTTTATTGTTCCATTCCTCGGACGAACCATGGTGGATCACGATCGTGTCTTAGGGCTGATCGCCATTCCGCAGGATGATCACCAGTACAGAAACCATAGAGCGTTTGGACGATCTTCCCAGTCACATAGAGGGGACTGTCACGTTTCGGGGGATATGATATATATTAATTTCAAGATATGCATTTATCAATAAATTAAGTACATAGGCTGGATATTCATTAGGCCACAACAATGACCAGATGGATATATATTGTTTGCCATGTTATATGCCCAAGGCTGCCCTAAATATATACTAGTATCAATCCCGTCCAGCCTCTCCTCTGGGGAAAGATCTTTCCCTGAAATACATTGCAAGAGCTTAATGGCTTACATCTAATATCGTGGTAAATCTGTGCTTGAAGTCCATCAGAAGGAGTAGCTGTTTCAAGACGCCGGTCTTGGATGCGAATGGATCCCACTTGATTGACGCCACAACCAGCACCTATACCAACATCTGTTAATACCTCTTGCTGTTCCTGTGCTGATGTGACAGCCTTCCCCGCCATTATCGCATCGATGAAAGCTATACCTACTAACTTGAACACCAGATGGTCAAATTCTATAGCAAGGACTTACGCGCAGGGCACTTATTGAGCACCCAGAATGAACCAACTACACAAGCTCAGACTCAACAACAATGGCAAGTACAAACTCATCCGAGATGAAGGGCTTTGAGACAACCACGCCATCGATGGAGAACCTCTGTCGTCTATGTCGTCGGATGCTTTCGCCCAGACTCCCAGACTCTCGAAAGCGCTTCATGCAGCCAATTTAGTCACCACCGGTGAGCGCAGCTCTCAAAATGCGCAGGGTGAGGCCGTTCTTTCTGTGGTCGGCTGGCGAGCCATTTTGCAGACGACTCGGACATGCTGTCTTACTACAGCGTAACCACCCACTGGCAAGAAGGTGGCTTTGCGCGCCATCTCCGGATCAATGCTCCCAAAGACAGTCCATACGTCCAGGGAGGGACCTCTCGTGCAGTCGGGCATTCGCTACAACACACCACTGGATCGGCTTGACGCTTTTACTTTGCAATTCCATCAGATAAGATCTCATAACGAGACCACAGGCCCACAAGCGCATTTGGATCACAGGGGATCAAGCTTTGGTTTCCTTGGGGATACGGCCACCTCTTGCACTTGTTTTTGGGCCGGGAGCCTTGGGGTCTGGGGTGGGGAGGCGGGGCGCAGGCGCTACTCATCCAGGCACTTGACGATGCAACTTATCGGACAGTGGGCTGCGTGATTGGACTTGAGGATATTCCTTCTCTACTTAGTGATGCGCAACGGTGCTGTCTCATCTTGGTTCGACTGCAGTTAGCTCCTTGCTTTGAACAATAAGGTATTATACACCGAGGTTGCGGGATACCGCACCCTTATTCCCGAACTATCGGCTTACGGAGTAATATTGGGAGATAACTGCCGAGGGACACAATGAGAGCCAGTCGTGCATCCTGACAGTATCGATGGTAGCATCATCGGAGAGGAAACATATCAGACTCTCGGTAGACTTGTCGGAGATATGAGTCCACCCTAGACCAAAAGGGCAATCAGCACCGATTGTCGCGATGACCAATCTGCAGAGGTACCTATGACGTGAGTAAGTGTCCGGATGTTCACAATCCGTGAAAGTTCGGCGTTAAGTGCTCTGCACCGGAACTAATATGAATACGAAGTGCCGCTCGCTGTCAGTACTTAAACCCCGCATCGCCCGTACAGACTGTCCTCCCACTATCGACGTCTACTTCACGATCGAGTACTAACACCACATCAGTCATGCCGACCAACATTGACCCCAATACCGGGCTGTCCGTGAGTAAATGAGACACGTCCTTTCAATCATCAGACTAACCGATACAACAGCGCGAAGAAGGCCGTGAGCTCAAGCTCCTGCACTGGATCTACGAGCACCCGGAGCGAGATGCCGCCGAAGGTAATCCGCAAAAGGTGCTGGATTTGATCGAAGAATTCGGAAAAACCTACCACTTGGTGATTGTTGGCCACGAAAAAGGCCAACACATCACCGACCTGATCGCCGAACGCAAGCCGCAAGTCATGATTGAACTTGGCTGCTACGTGGGCTACTCGGCCATCTTGTTTGGCGACGCGGTGCGCCGCGCCGGCGGAAAACGCTTCTACAGTCTGGAGAAGAACCCGGAGTTCGCAGCCATCGCCAACATGCTGATCGAGCTGGCTGGACTGCGGGACTTTGTGCACATCCTGGTGGGTCGCAGCGACGAGTCGCTGCACAAATTGTACACGAGCGGCAAGGTGACGCAGGTGGAGCTCCTGTTCATCGACCACTACAAGCCCGCGTATACGGCCGACCTGATGCTGTGCGAGCAGCTGGGCATGATTGTGCCGAAGGTGTCGGTGGTCGTGGCGGACAATGTCCTGTACCCCGGCAACCCGCCGTACTTGGAGTATGTGCGGAGCTCGGTGGAGAAGAAGCGGGAGGCCGCAAAGGCTGGGCCGGTGCGCAGTTACAACAAGGATGGCATTCCTCAGCGTACGGTGAACAGCTACCACACGCCGGAGGAGTCCCGGCCGTTGTTTGAATTGACCGGCAACCCGAACTTGCAATATGAGAGCCGGATGATCCAGCCGGAGGGACATCGGGTAAGCAACGTGCGAGTGATTGAGTGATCGGGTATGCTGACACAATATAGGACGCTATTGAAGTGACCCGATGTGTGGGGATCGCCGAGTAGAGATTTTTTTTTTTCGAATGATTACCAAGCAGATGTCATTATAACTATACGGAGTTACCTCTTAGGAGGCTGTATACGGTGCGTCACCATCGGCAACGGGACCCTGTCGCCCGCAGTGCCCGCAGTCGGCTCGGCTTTTGCCATTCATATTATTCATGCCCCGCCCGACCCAGCGGATTCCGTCGCGAGGACCTTCCCCCGCACCCCTCGTCTGCTAGCATCTTCTTCTCGTACACCTATATAAATAGAGGTAGACCCTTGGACCAATTGATTCAGATACTCAGACATCTCTCCCTTCGTATACCTCTTCTCTACTCTCGTGCAATATGGCCTCTAAGACCTGGAATGTTGGCGTGGTTGGCTACGGCTTCAGTGCCAAAACCTTCCACCTGCCCTTCCTCCCTGAAGTCCCGCAGCTGAAGCTCTACGCCATTGTCCAGCGCACCCCGAAGCCCGAAGACGATGCCGAGAAGGACTACCCCGGCGTCAAGTCTTACCGTGCCGCCGAAGACATGATCCAGGATTCCGGCGTCGATGTCGTCATTATCACCACCGCCCCCGACTCCCACTACGCCCTGTGCAAGTTGGCGCTGGAGAATGGAAAACACGGTATGTGCATACATTCAGCGAGCGCTCATTTGGCAAGTACTTTATACTAACTTGCGTATACTAGTTGTCTGCGAGAAGCCCTTCACCCCCACCTCCCAGGAAGCCGATGAGCTGGTTGCGCTCGCCGACAAGCAGAAGAAGCTGCTGGCCGTCTACCAAAGTAAGTCACATGCGCCATAACCATATACATGGACAGCGGAGCTAACGCACGCAGACCGCCGCTGGGACGCCGACTTCGTCACCCTCTCCAAGCTGGTCAAGAACGGCTCGCTGGGCCGCGTCGTCGAATACGAAACCCACTTTGACCGCCACCGCCCGCAGGAGCCCGCTCCCGATGCCTCCAAGTGGAAGAACAAGGTAATCCCCGGCGGCAGCGCCATCTACGATCTAGGTACCCACCTGTTGGACCAGGCCGTGCACCTCCTCGGCAAGCCGGACCGCGTGACCGGATTCGTGGGCTCGCAGCGCGCCGTGAACACCTCCGGCTTTGAGGACTCCTTCACTGTGCTCCTGCACTACAAGAGTGGTCTTCTTGTGACCGCCAAGGCTGGTGTCGTCAGCCCCGAAGAGGAGCAGCTGCGCTTCTGGGTGCGTGGAGAGAACGGTAGCTACAAGAAGTTCCATCTCGACTGCCAGGAGGACCAGCTTAAGAGTGGAATGAAGCCCTCGGATAATGGGTATGGCCGGGAGCCGAGTGAGCGCTATGGTATGTTTTTGCGATTATTTCTCGGGGTGTTGCGAGTTATGAGCTGACGGTGCCAGGTTTCCTCACGACTATTCAGAACGGCAAGCCGGTCAAGGAGGTCTACCCTACGGTGGAGCCTCCCACCTACACGGAGTACTACCGCAAGCTTGCGCGGGCTCTTGCGGGCGAGGGAGACCTCCCCGCAAGCGGTGCGGAGGCGCGCGATGTGATCAGGCTGATTGAGCTGGCGAAAGAGAGCTCCCGCCTGGGCCAAACGATGCAGGTTTAGACGTGGTCTGCGGTAGCTGGATGTGTAAATGATATCATGATGTTTCTTTATATTGCCTAGAATCAATTTACGGGGAATAATTCTTACGTATATACTAGACCAGTTCATCGGCTACCATGTACTGAAGTACTTGCTATTGAAGTCAGCTGATTCTCCAGAGCAGGGCTGCATTACATGGCTCGCTGAGAAAGACTTTGATATTACTGAGATAGTCCCAAACCCGCCTCTGTCTGTTGATGTCAACTTTCCCTGGATCTGTGCATCTACAACTGTAGCTTTCATTGGTTTATAGAGCGAGCCTGGAGAATGCAAGGTACTTAGGTAATGCATCTCGCTGCAGAATCTCATCGATACCTGTGCATAGTCAGGTGAAGTCAGACGGCGGATCCCCGGATTGATCGGCATGGAAGGATGGATGATGTAACCGCTGATGCTCCCGGAAAGGGGATAGTGCGCGGCGGTGGTTGACTAAGAAGAGCGCAAAACACCGCCGGACCCAGCAACTAACCGGATCAGGGTTTCTCTTACTTAACGCAAAACAAGGTGAATGGAAGACCCAAGAAAACTGCACCATTGCTCGTGGTCATGTCGCCTTTTCTCGCTGTTCTCTCGGCCTTGCTTCTCCTCACGAAGACATGCTGTCTGCAGCTCTCCGCGGAGATGTCGTCTTCTTGAGGGAGAAGAAAAAGCCGGCAAAATGTATCCGTTTCGCCCTGAATGAAGTTTTCCCGATGCAGAACTATTAAAGAACCCCCGGGGCCCTCCTGGCATTCGCAATGATGCAATGGACAGAATAAAGACTCCCTCATAGAGCACGGATCTCCTCCTTGTGTCTCTCGTTTATAGGCAGTTTGCCATTCATCATCATCATACATACCTCATTTCTTCCATTCGCTCTCTCGTTCCGCGCAACAGGCTCGCTTTTCTGCCACAATTTGTGCACTTACCCTCGGTAGGTGCATACTGAGCGTGCCATAGCGCGGATCCCTAGAACTATAGAAGACGGGATGAACTGACCTGATAGAACCAGAGCCCTCCCAGCCGAGTGAAGTCATTCGATGCCGTCGTCGTCATTCATATTCCCATAGCTGTAGAAGCCAGAGTCTTCACCTCTTCGGCGGGAGGACCGGTCCTCGGTGCTCGATGGAATCTCAACGCCTGCCGAAACACCATGAGCGGGAATCTCGTCTCACCAAGTTCCGAGATCCTGCTTGGTGGCATGTAGACATCGACACTTTTCTCAACCCCTATCTTCCGGCACCGCCATGGCGATATCTCCCCCGTCCCATCTCCCATTTTATGGGATATCGAGGGGACCGTCATCCCCAGGCAATGGGCAATCTGCTGATAGCTCTCTGGTCTCTGATCGGGGCGTTCTGCGGTGTGATCGTGGTGGCCGAGGTGTGCATGCATGTACCCTCCTTCCAGAGCCATCATGCCCCGATCATCGTGGGTAGTTTTGTAAGTACCAAGCGGTGACCCTCGAATCGATGACTTCCGTGCTAACCTAGACCAGGGCGCAGCCGCCGTGCTGGAATTCTGCGCCATAGAATCGCCCTTTGCGCAGCCGCGCAACGCCGTCCTGAGCCAGCTGTTTGCCAGCGTGATCGGCGTGGGCATCGGGAAGCTCTTCGCCTTGAACCCGCACGCCCACTCGATGTCCCAATTCGGGGGAGCCCTTTCGTGCGGCCTGACCACCGCCGTGATGGTGCTGACTAACACCGTGCACCCACCGGCTGGGGCCACGGCGCTCCTGGCGGTCACCGAATTGTATGAGGTGGGCTGGTACCTCGTCCCAATCATGTTGCTGGGATGCGTGCTCATGCAGGCGGTGGCCCTGGTGATCAATAACATCCACCGACGGTTCCCGGTGTACTGGTGGACGCCGGTGCCGCTGTCCCACCCGCAAGCCGAGGACCTGGAGAAGGCGGCTGGCGGCAAGGGAGATCAGGAAAAAGAAGGGAGCTGTGTGCCCGCTTCGTCGGAAGATGATGGATACTCGAGGACGTCGGTGCGGATTATCATTGAGGAAGGGAAGGTCATCATGCCGGATAACGTGTGGATCACGGCAGACGAGATGGAGTGTTTGGAGCGGATTAGCGAACGCATTTAGTACACAAGCATCTCCATCATGATAATGACTGTACATACCTACCTACCAAGGTACTTATCTGGATGTCTCAGCACTCTGGTGTATCTACGCAATGCGTACCTGATTGATGCCTGCAAAGACAGGCAGAAACCCGTGATGTTGATGCCCAATCGGGCTAGGGTGCGCCACGTCCCGCGCGGTGACGTCTGTGGACCAATCAGCGGCCCTATGAATCAGCCCCACGGAAGGAATTTTTTACAAACATCGAAACTTCTTTCTCTCTTCTCTCCGACTCTTTCTCTTCGAACATTCCCATCTCTCGATCTCATCCGCCTTCGAGATCCTCTTTCTATCATCCTAAGGAGTGTCCTGGTTGACCCCCTTGTCATTTGGTGGCTTTGTTTTGACGGCTTCTCGTCTGATTACCATCCGACTCTCGTTCTATCGATAAGGGCTTGTCCATACGGAATCTTGCCTCCCCACCCACCAAGTCTCGTTCTCTTGGTCGCCCCTCTCGCCCACCCCGCTATTATTGATCCACTCCCTCTGTCGAAGTCTCTTTTTTTCCTTTTCATCTCATCTCGCCTTTACGCCGGGCTTCCCACCTCTTCCACGCCCCCTCTCCCCTCACCTCCCCCTTATCTCTCGATCTTACACCCTCTCGAACCGACAACATGGTGTCTGCTTCCAAGGCTGCCCGTTTGGCAAAGCGTGCCGCTGATGGCGACACCAAGAAGAAGCTTGGTAAGGGCAAGAAGGACGCCGTTGCCAACGGCGGTGATGAGTCCCCCCAGGTCGACGCCGACGGAAACCCTCTGCCTGTCGAGGACCAGCCCGCCACTACCGATGAGAAGATGAAGGAGGTTGAGAAGCTTACGACGCAGATGGACAAGCACGGTCTCTCAGACCGTGTCACCACCGGTGTGCTCTCCTCCATGGAGGCCTCCCGCGACGTCAAGATCACCTCCGCCTCCCTGGTGTTCCACGGTAAGGTCTTGATCACCGACTCTACCCTCGAACTGAACTTCGGCCGCCGTTACGGTCTCCTCGGTGAGAACGGTTGCGGAAAGTCCACCCTCCTCAAGTCCATCGCCTCCCGCGAGTTCCCCATCCCGGAGCACATCGATATCTACCTTCTGAACGAGGGTGCTCCCCCCAGTGACCTCGGTGCTCTGGAGTGGGTTGTCACCGAGGCCCAGAAGCAACTGGACCGCATGGAGAAGGAGGCTGAGGATATCCTGGAGCGTGATGGCCCGGATAGCCCCATTCTCGAGGATCTGTACGACGTAAGTATTGATATCAAAGCTTGGAATGCATTGAACGACGTGCTGACTTAACCCAGCGTATGGACAAGATGGATCCCTCCACTTTCCACACTCGTGCCTCCCTGATCCTGACGGGTCTCGGTTTCAACAAGACGACCATTCACAAGAAGACGAAGGACATGTCCGGTGGTTGGCGTATGCGTGTCGCCCTGGGCAAAGCTCTGTTCGTCAAGCCGTCCCTGCTGCTGCTGGATGACCCCACCGCTCACTTGGATCTGGAAGCTTGCGTGTGGTTGGAAGAATACCTGAAGAAGTGGGAGCGTACTCTTGTCCTGGTCTCCCACTCTATGGACTTCCTGAATGGTGTCTGCACCAACATGATCGACATGCGTATGAAGCAGCTCATGTACTATGGTGGTAACTACGACTCCTACCACAAGACCCGCTCCGAACAGGAGACGAACCAGATGAAGGCGTACAACAAGCAGCAAGAAGAAATTGCCCACATCAAGAAGTTCATCGCCTCCGCCGGTACCTACGCCAACTTGGTCCGTCAGGCCAAGTCTCGTCAGAAGATCCTCGACAAGATGGAAGCCGATGGTTTCATCCAGCCCGTCATCCCCGACCGGGTTTTCAGCTTCCGCTTTGCCGACGTCGAGAAGCTGCCTCCCCCCGTCCTGTCCTTCGACGATGTCTCGTTCTCCTATTCCGGAAAGTGGGAGGATACCCTCTACGAACATCTCGACCTTGGTGTTGACATGGACTCCCGTACTGCCCTGGTCGGCCCTAACGGTGTCGGCAAGTCTACTCTGCTGCGCCTGATGACTGGCAAGCTCCAGCCCATTGGCGGTCGTGTTAGCCGTCACACTCACTTGAAGCTCGGCATGTACAGTCAGCACTCCGCCGAGCAGCTCGACCTGACCAAGTCGGCTCTCGAGTTCGTCCGTGATAAGTTCCCGGAGAAGAGCCAGGACTACCAGTACTGGCGTCAGCAGCTGGGCCGCTATGGTCTCAGCGGTGAGTCTCAGACCGCCCTGATGGGCACTCTGTCTGAGGGTCAGAAGAGTCGTATCGTCTTCGCCCTCCTGGCCATCGAGGGCCCCAACATGATCCTTCTGGACGAGCCCACCAACGGTCTCGATATCCCCACCATCGACAGTTTGGCTGATGCCATCAACGCCTTCAGCGGCGGTGTTGTGGTCGTGTCCCACGATTTCCGTCTCCTTGACAAGATCGCCAAGGACATTCTGGTGTGCGAGCACAAGACCATCCACCGGTGGGACGGCACCATCGGCGACTACAAGAACCATCTCAGGAAGAAGATGGTTTCCGAGGGTGCTGTCTAAGTTTGTCCTATGGCTGGCTTCTTTGTTTATTCTTGTTATGATTGGATGTTTAGAGACGACAACGATGAACCTGCGGAAAAGTTGTAGGAGGGGACAATGGGGAAGGGAAAAGTTTCTGACAGGAGTGATGAACCATCCTGCTTGAGATATAGGCCCAGCGGGGCGCCCTTATTTTTCAATTTTCCTATTCTTTTTCATACCTGGAGATATCTGGTCTTTATTCTTTTGGGTGCTTTGTTTTTAGATGGATTGTTTCATACCTCCCTCATCATCCCCTACTAGACTTGAGCGTTTGAGGGGTGAATTCATTTGGTGTCATTCATACTGCTGTTATAGATATAGCTGGATGAATCCAGTGATTGATACGCTAGTAAGGAACATTAGATTGGTCGTAAATATATCTACCCAATGCGACGACGCTTTTATCCCAACCTCTATGCAATAGATTCATTTCGCCAGACCCCAAAGACCGGACTATTGATCTCCCTGTGTCTCCTTTGTCCGCTGCGTCACCAATTCCCCGCCAAATATATCCTTACTCTCCTTCTGCTGCTCTAGCTTCCGCTTCTTCGCCAACCGCTCCATCTCGCTCTCCGACGTGCCCGCCTCGCCGCCCGACCCTGCCGCCGCAGCCGCCGCCGCAGCGGCAGCAGCAGCGGGGATACGCTTCTGACCGGCGAGATTGACCTTCTCCGGATTCTGACAGTGGTACAATTTCTTCCCGATGCGCCGAATATTCTTTTTCTGCTCTGGGTCGGAGGCCCAATCCGTCGACGTATACGACTGCAAGAGCCGCACGCAGTTCTCGAGGGTGACGAGGAGCTTGGAGCGCAGTTCCACGAACGGGGGCGGGATGGCCTCGCCGGGGGCGCCACCGATCTTCGTCTCGAGATAGAATTCAGCCAGTGGGCGGTCGGCGATCAGGAAGGCGGCGAGCCAGATCTGCGCGGGCGTGTAGAGGAAGTACGCGTCGGTCATCTGGGCGGCGGACTTGAGGGTTTCGCGGGTGGCGTGGTGGGCGCGGGCGATGCGGTCGGAGACGGACTGAGTGGGAGCGGGCGATGGAGCGGGGAGGGCGAGGAGGCGCTGGCGCAGCGAGTCTGGCGTGTGGTGGGAGAGATGCGGCGCGGGCTGGGCGAGGCCCTGGGCGGTGGCGGAGAGCTCCATGATGCCGCCTTCGAGGCCGCGGAAGGGATGGCGGACGTCGAAGGCCCAGCGGAGGCTCTGCATGACGAGGAACTCGGGGGCGATGATGTCGTCCTCTGTGGCGTCGCCGGGGATGGCGGCGGCGAAGTCGCGGAGCGAGATGTAGCAGTTGTCCGTTTTTGTGGCGAGGAAGAGCGCGCACGGCATGATGGTTTTGGGGTGGTAGGTCATCGGGCTGTTGGTGAGGTAGAAGCGGCGGAGGTATTGGATTGCGGTGGCCTGGGTTGGTTATTTGTTAGTTGGGTGTCTTGCAGGAGTAGGTGGAGAGGGAGGATATACGCGGACAATGGTCGGGAGAGGCGGTTTATACGCCTCTCCCAGTTGGATGATTTGCTCGCAGTAGTAGCGGACGAGGAGGAGCTCTTCCTCTGTGGTCAGACATTCGATCTCCGGGGGGTGCGGCTGGTCTTCGGAGGGAGTCCCTGCCGCCGAGGGCGTCGCCGACTGACGGGCCTCGCGGGCTCGACGCAGCGCTGCGCGGACTCTCTCGCTCGCATTGGCGTTTGTCTTTGCGCGGAGCGAGGCCAGCGAGGTCTCGGTGAAGGACCAGAGGCGGAATTGGGAGGAGGCGCGGTAGAAGTCGTCTTCGATCATGTTGATGGAGAGATTTGGATGAGGAATGTGTGGCAAGAGGACAAAATAAAGAGTCGGACCCGGCGTACGAGACGTTTTATCGAGTCATGGTGTGGATGGGACTGGGGAGAAATTGGAGGATGAAGACGAAGAGACAAGAGGTAAAGGTGAGGTTGATCCACGTGCTTATCGATAAGCGTTATCGATAGGGTTCCGGAGGCATGGATGTACATACCAGCTAAGGTACACAAGTTTGACAGAGTGGAATATTCAATTCTTATGCTAAACCGCTAGCTTCACGATCAGATCGCTGGATATATGAAATAAACAAACACAAAATGAGAAACATCCCGAACAACAGAGAACTGATTTCGCCAGGCACCATGCTGTGACATACTCAACTGCCAGCTGCGCGCAATAATCAACCTACTAATCCATGGCTCATGGCTCTCCTAGTAGATGAGCTGTGATATCACCTAGAGCGGCATCATCAAGAGCATAGTCTTCTCCGTCCATCCGGTCGATCCCGTAAAATCGCAACGCCGCAACAACGCGATCCACATCAAAGCCCATGCTGCAGAACCGGTCCACCAGGTCCTTATTGTACCCATCATATCTAGACCGACGTGAGCGACTCCAACCTAGCTCCAGAAGCACTGTGATGATATACGTACTTGGACAGATCCTCAGCCGCCTGCGCCTCCTTCGCTAGAAGCTCCTGTCGACGAAGCGATTCGTCGGTAGCTCCTCCGCTACCCTCCGCGGCTTGTTTCCTCGGGGCCCCCGCATACTTGGCGGCCCATTCCTGCGCCACACGCTCGAATTCCTTCGGTTTTGTGAGCATCATGTTGGCGACTTCAGCATCCTGGGGGTCTTTCGGTTCGGGCGTCGTCAGCAGCGACTGCAGCGAGAGAAGCGCCGACTTGATGGTCAGAACCGGCGACCACGCTGTCGATAGGGTGTCCAGGCAGATGGCACCCGTTTGACTGCTGATGTTGGGGTGCCAGACTTTGGTAATGAACTTCATCACCGGCGGACGGAACGGATACTCTGCCGGGATCCGAACATCGACCTCGTACGTACCGCCCTCGTATGGTGTTCCCGGGGGCCCTGGGAAAGACCCCCGAAGATGAGTGATGTCGTCGTCATTTCCCACCGGTACGGCGATGATCTGGGAATGGGTATCCGCATGTATGTCGGCGAGTTCCTTGGCGATGCGACGAGATTGGTTGGATGCCATGGAGTTGGCGAGTGGTAAAAAATCGAGTCGCGGTAAGAATAATTTGAGCTATTTTGGGAATACACCCGAGGAAGAGGCACGCAGGTCGAGATGAACCGGCTTAGGTCGAGCTGCTGGTAAGCTTCGTTAGCTAGCGCTTGGGCGAGAGAGGTTGACAAGCTGTGTACAGAGGATAATTTTAGAAAACCAGTGACTGAAGGATACGGGTAAAATGCACAGGAAAATTGCTTATATCGTTAGGGATGAGAAACCGGAAACTTACTCCGTACAGTTGGCGGAGCGGAAGTCGAGGTAAGATGAGGGGAGCAACGCCGCGGGGAACTGAAGCAGGCGGGCAGACAAATTATGGAGGTGACGGGCAGCGGAGAGGAAGCACAAAGGTATTTCGGCAGAGGCCAGTTTAAGGGGAAAGATGAAAGGTAAAAAACACCTCTAGTGAGGGAGGATCAGAAAAGAAATGAAGTTATTCCCATCGAGTTCTGCAGATGTGATCACCATCACGATCCGAGTTCAGGCATCAAGGCATCAAGGCACCGTGATGTCAAGTCACGTGAAACGCACTGGCTGACAAAGCGCCGATGGCAACTGCAGCTCTCCAGCTCACCATCATCATCGTCACCTCCATCCTCCCAGCTCACTGTCCTCAATCACCCTCCATCTCCTCCATCACCTGGTGGATTCACGTTGTTAAATACTTGTTGTTCCCTCAGACCCAACGATCTTCCTGCTGTAATTGAGTGACTTTATCCCCTGCGGTGAAGCTCAGGACTATGGTATGTGCCAAACACCGCTTCAGCTTCTTTGTTATTTCCATCCACTAACACGTTCCTGCAACAGGGTAACCAGCAGTCCAACATCCCCCCCGGTGGCGATGGAAGAGATGAGAAGGACAAGAAGGTACGTACGACGTTTCGTTGCGTTGTCTAATCCATCCCCTTCTTGAGCTCCCATCCGCTAACACAGCTTCGTTTTCAGAAGGATAAGCCCAGATATGAGCCTCCTCCCCCGCCGACGACCCGTGTTGGTCGCAAGAAGCGCAAGGCTGCCGGCCCAAGCACCGCTTCCAAACTTCCCGATATCTTCCCAACGTCACGTTGTAAATTACGATATTTACGAATGCAACGCGTGCACGACCACCTGCTGTTAGAGGAAGAATACGTTGAGAACATGGAGCGTCTACGGAAGGCCAAAGCGCAGGCAACACAGGATGCAAACCGCGGGGAGTTCGATATCATGGACCGCAACGCTGACGAAAGAGGCCGAGTCGATGACATGAGAGGTACCCCGATGGGTGTTGGAAACCTGGAGGAGCTTATCGACGACGACCATGCGATCGTCTCGAGTGCCACTGGTCCCGAATACTATGTGTCTATCATGTCGTTCGTGGACAAGGATCTTCTCGAGCCCGGTGCCAGCATTCTCCTGCATCACAAGTCGGTGTCCGTGGTTGGTGTATTGACCGAGGAGTCGGACCCACTCGTGTCGGTCATGAAGCTCGACAAAGCCCCCACTGAGTCGTATGCGGACATTGGTGGTTTGGAGACACAGATCCAGGAAGTTCGGGAGTCTGTCGAACTTCCCCTGCTTCACCCCGAGTTGTACGAGGAGATGGGTATCAAGCCACCCAAAGGTGTTATCCTTTACGGCGCTCCCGGTACCGGAAAGACCCTGCTCGCCAAGGCAGTTGCCAACCAAACCAGCGCTACTTTCCTTCGTATCGTTGGAAGTGAACTGATTCAGAAATACCTTGGTGACGGTCCTCGCTTGGTGCGACAGATCTTCCAGGTCGCCGCGGAACACGCACCTTCCATCGTTTTTATCGATGAGATTGATGCCATCGGTACGAAACGTTATGACTCCACTTCGGGTGGTGAGCGTGAGATTCAGCGAACCATGCTTGAACTGTTGAACCAGCTCGATGGTTTCGATGACCGTGGTGACGTTAAGGTTATCATGGCCACGAACAAGATCGAAACTCTGGATCCGGCTTTGATCCGTCCCGGACGTATCGATCGTAAGATCCTCTTCGAGAACCCTGATCGTGAGTTCCCTCCCCATGAGATAGCTGTGAACAAACTTGCTGACCCTACGCAGAAAACACCAAGAAGAAGATCTTCACCCTGCACACCTCGAAGATGTCCCTTGGAGACGATGTTGACCTGGATGAGTTCATCAACCAGAAGGATGACCTGTCTGGAGCCGATATTCGGGCGATTTGCACAGAAGCCGGTCTGATGGCACTGAGAGAGCGTCGGATGCGCGTGCAGATGGAGGACTTCCGTGCAGCTCGCGAGCGGATCATGAAGACGAAGCAGGACGGAGGCCCTGTGGAGGGACTGTACTTGTAAGCAGCGAATGGTAGTGTACCACTTAATTTCAGCTTGGATGCGGTATCTACTTCTACTCTAGAACTAGAGGGATATGAATGCAAGTGAATCTTGACTCATTGCGAGGACTAAAGGGCCGTGGCTTGAGTAGGTAGATATATTGAATAAACGTTTGACCAAGCCCATATCTAGCCAAGGAATAGCGGGTAAAGGGGCATCCTACTGCTGTCCCTCTGTCTCCGGTGGAGCCCTTTTTACATACAGGTCTCGTAGCTGCTGGCAAGCACCCCAGATCCGTCGTCTATTCCCCAAACCCATGAACATCGGGTCCATGCCAAGTTCCGGATTGGTCTTCTTGTCGAGCCACAGATAGAATGCTTTGAAATTCAGGTCAGACGGATGGTCCTGTAGTATGTCCGATAACTCCCAAAACCAGTCCATTGCGCGGCTCATGCGTTGCTTCCAGTATCCATTAGACTGAGTCGCGCGACACACTGTCGCCGACGCCTTGCGGAACTCAAGGAGCGAGCACGCTGGGAGCATATCGAGCATGTTAAACAACACCTCGACGGGTAGATTGCCGAATGGATCGGCTACCACATGGCGCTGGTCAATGCTGACATTGGAGATTGGCAGTTTGAAAGTGTCGTGCTGGAGTTTATCCCGTAGGAACTGTTGGATCCCCTCATCGAGGGATGTCGGACATGATATGCAGTACTGCTTCGCGGTCACTTGACGCTCCCCCATTGAGACAACTCTGTGAAGCTCACCTCTTCGCCTGGTTCACAGAGCCAGTACTGGTCAGGACCTTTGATATCACCGTAGTCCAGGTCGAGTCTCGGGTCTGGATTCGCGTTAGTAGTTCGACTTCCGAAGATCCCGGCGGGAGTGCTTACGTCCAGGATTGATGTCCATCATCACTTTATACAGGACCTTCTTGTCAATGTTGTCAAACTCCATATCGTTGAATATAGAGTACAGAAGGAGCTTGAAGCAGCACAGATGGAAGGGGAAAACGCAGTTCACGGTGGTGTAGCTAGAAATTCGGGTCAGACGCTCGGTGCGCAACAACAGACAGGCTGTCTTACCAGAAATACGTATCCAGCGATCCTTCGCCATCAACGTCTCTTCTAATAGTGACGCTATTCTACCAGATGATGAGCTGTCTTCCAGCGGAATCACGAGTCGACTACATACCAGGTTATTCACGCTACTTGCCGGACCTTCAAGATACCCTCTACCGCAGGTTAACGAGCGTCTCGTGATTTCGAAGAATTCGTGTGGCATACTCTCCCGTAAAATCGCCCACACGGAGCCAATATATGTTATGCAGCCACTCCCTGCTTTCGGGGCTGACGAGGCGGGGATCATATCTCGTTAGGTCGTCTGGGTCATAGGGATCCTCGTCTGACTCGTAGTCGCTGGACCAGTCACTGTCAAAATTGATGGGCACGCGTTGATTAGTTGCTTTCTCCCGCCGTTTGGCTTCCACGTATGTCTGGCGTCGTTTGAGGGCTTGGGGAGATGAGGAGCCAATTGCCCAGATTCCCGCGGGCCCGCTGCAGATTGCGCAGTAGAATTGGGTGGTCATATTGCTCAGGATAGGGGACCTGGTACAGGTATGTGCTCTATTGTCGAGGTTTTGGAAGAGATGAAAGTGATTTGCAATAACACGAGGCTGAACGGCATGGGAGGTATGGGGACCAAACTAAGTACAACGTAGAGGTATGCCGGGATGTCGAACCATCCGACAGATATACCAAAGACCAAAATTCATAACCAGCTCTGGACTGAGCCAGCAGAGCTACTTACCGATTGAATAACCATGTTTTTCCTGTTTCCCGTCTAGGATGACCATCTATATGTGCTGCCTGAGGCATCAAACTTACTTGCAAACCAACCAAACAGCATAAACCAGGCAAACAACGTCGCATCGCGTCGCCGTTCTTCCACTCCAGGCCTGGACTCAAGTCTCTCGCCACAACACCTTGCATCAAAATGGACGGTTTCGACGAGGAGGCCTTTAAAAAGTTCTTCCCGACGAGCTTTGGCAAACAACAGAAGGGCACCGACGTGGGCGCTCAGATTGATCGCACCAAGCGCAAGCATGTCACTGCCAAGCCTGATGGCGATGATGAAGCCGAGAAGGCAGGTCTGAGTAGTGAAAACGCTGACGCCCAAATCGCTGCCGACGAGCATAAAGAGCACGATCGCGACGACAGCGATGAGGATTCTGACGACTCCGACTCCGATTCGGATGATGAAGACGAGTTCCCCGTCTCCCATGAGCTCATGCTCAAAACTCATGAACGCGCCGTGACGACAATCACAGTCGATCCCGCAGGATCGCGACTCATTACAGGCTCTACAGATTGCACCATAAAACTACATGACTTTGCTTCGATGACGCCGTCGACCGTACGCGCCTTCAAGTCCGTCGATCCTTCTGCCAAAAAACAGTCCGCGGCGCAGGATGCGCATGCTGTGCACTATGCCGGATTCAACCCCCTTTCGCCGGGCTATGTTCTCGTGGTTTCCGCTACGCCGCAGCCTCGGATTCTGGATCGCGACGGAGAGACGGTGACGGAGTTCGTCAAGGGAGACATGTACCTGAGGGACCTGAACAACACGAAAGGTCATATATCGGAGACGACGAGTGGTGCGTGGTGTCCGACCGACGAGAACCTCTGCGTAACTGCGGGAACCGATAGCACGGTGCGCATCTGGGATGCGAACATGGGCCGGTCGCAGAAGGAAGTCATCATGTACAAATCGAGAGTCGCCGGTTCCGCTGGTCGGAGCAAGATGACCGCCGTCGCTTGGGCCTCTCCTAAGCAAGGCGGCCCCAATGTCCTTGTCGCCGCTGCGCTTGATGGCAGTCTGATGATGTGGAGCGGTAACGGGCCGTTCCATCGGCCAAGCGGTGAGATTCGAGATGCTCATGAGCGGGATACGTGGACCAGCGGGCTGGATATCAGCTCGGACGGGAGATTGGTGGTTACCAAGGGCGGAGACGATACGATTAAGCTTTGGGATACCAGGAAATTCAAGCAGCCGATCACGACTGTCGCGCATCCCTCGAGTTCCTTCCGGTATCCCTCCTCGAACATCGTTTTCTCGCCTACATCCGCCAATGTCCTCACGGGGTCGGAGACTGGGCATCTGCATATCTTGAACCCGGCCACGCTGAAGCCTGAGTTAGTCACCCCAGTCACCCCCGGATCGGCTCTTATCACGGTACAATGGCACGAAAAGCTCAACCAGATTCTTACCGGGTCTGCTAATGCCGAGACCCATGTCTTGTATAATCCCAACATGTCGACGAAGGGGGCGGCCTTGGTTATGTCCAAGGCCCCGAAGCGTCGCCACATCGACGATGATCCAAACCTCACGATGGATCTCTCCCAGGGCATTTCCGGCGATAACGTGGTGGTCGGATCGAATGGCGTTCCTCATTACAGCTCAGCAACCTGGTCCGCTCGGCATCCGACCATCGGACTTACAGCCTCGGGTCGTCCCAAGGACCCGCGACGACCTCATCTACCGGCACAGACACCATTTGCCAAGTCGAATCCGGATGAGAAACATATCCGGGAGAACATCCCGTTGAGTTCCATGCGGGACGAGGATCCTCGAGAAGCTCTCCTCAAGTACGCGGAGAAGGCCCAAAAGGATCCTTTGTTCACCAAGGCATGGAAAGAGACCCAGCCCACGCCGATCTACCGCGAGCTGAGTGACGATGAAGAGGAGCCCGAGAAGAAACGAGCGAGGCGATGATGCGGGTTTTGAACTGGATGTGACCTGGGTCTCGGAAAAGCACCCGACAATTCTTGTACATAGATAGGACCGTTTAGCAATGAGTGAAGCGATCGACAACCTCCTCGCGTCCTTAGGAAAATTAGCGCCCAAGCCGGCGTGGTTTGAATAGCATCAGGTGGATGAGAACTGCTCGATGACGTTGAGGGGGGCGGGGGCGGACCAGATCCAGTGCGCGCTGATCGCCAACCCAATAATTCAATAGTCGCGAACTGCGCTAGACTTGCACCTTAACTACAACATGCTACTGCTGCGCTTGGACTATCGCGCTCCTCCTCCTTCATCCTCGCACGTGCGCCCATAAGGATCCTTTTAGCTCGTCCACTGACCTCCGTTTCTTTCCCCGCTGATTTCCTTCCGTCGACTCCGCGTCTGCCTGGGTAACCTTGTTAGCCTCACCATCCCCTCGACCGACTCCTTCCATTCTCTCTCACCGCCGAGTCTCGAAGAATATATTCTCTCCTGTGGATAGGGGAGATTTTGTCGCGCATCAGATCACAGAATGCAGTGTTGGACAACAGCATGAACCTACGTTGTCTCGGCTGGACGGAAAACTCTCACAAAGGACCACCTCACTTGGGGTGGCATTAGAGCCGCGTCAAAAGCTTTGTCGCGCCTATTATCCTGCGAAACACAACTTCTCTATTTAATAAAAGCTCGAGTGTGATATCGGCGCCCACATCCACTCCACCGGAGGCAGCGGACGTTTCGGAAAGGCTCTGGTGCTGGTCGACCCTTTCCCCTATTTCGCCCCGTTCCTCCTCCATTTCGTACATACATATCCCGGATGGATTTTACCCAGGAAGAAAGCCTCGCAGCTGGTCTGCTCACAGCGTTGTTCTCCGCCAGCCCTTCGCCGACTCTCTCACAACATGTCCTCGCCTCATCGCCGCAGCCGACTCCTACGCCGACGTCAGCTCCCGGAAATAACGGTGACGGTGGAGGAGGGTCTATGAAGGAGTGGTCTTCGTTGATCGGAATTGTCACCGCATTGGCTGGAAATGTGCTGATCTCCTTGGCCCTCAATATCCAGCGGTACGCCCACATCCGGATCGCCAGGGAGCTGGAACAGGATAAGTTGCAGCAAGAATTGGACTGGAAACGCGCCAATCCAGACCAGGCGACCACCGGGCCTTACGGGGCGGTCTCTGGACCTTACGGCGATGATGCACAGCGCGACAGGAGTCACGACCGAAAATCCGCTCGCTATCGGGATGAATCACCCTACCATGACCAGCCGCATGTGGACACCGGAGACGAGGAGCATGCGGACGATCACTCCGACTCGCACGACCGAATGCGGGACTCCTTCCTGTCCGATCAGACGGCGCGTCCGGGCGATAGTCTGCGCCGCAAGTCTTACCTTCGCTCGCCGTACTGGTGGGTCGGTATTGTTCTCATGTGTCTTGGGGAGACGGGGAACTTCTTGGCCTATGGATTTGCTCCCGCATCTATTGTGTCGCCGCTCGGGGTAGTTGCGTTGATCTCGAACTGTGTGATCGCCCCTTTCATGTTGAAGGAGAAGTTTCGGACTCGGGATTTCTGGGGCGTGCTCATTGCGATTGCAGGGGCCGTCGTGGTAGTCCTCAGTGCCAAATCGTCCGAGGAGAAAATTGGACCCCATGACATCTGGGTGATGATCACCCGCTGGGAGTTCGAGCTGTACCTGGGACTTACGGCGGCGCTGATTGTCGGCCTGATGTGGGCTAGTAGCAAGTATGGTCCACGGACTATCTTGATAGATGTTGGATTGGTCGCATTGTTTGGTATGTGCCCTGCGACAGGTTATAAGTTTGTCTTCCAGTTTGCTAATCAAGTTTTAGGCGGTTACACTGCTTTATCCACAAAAGGCGTCTCGTCTCTATTGTCATTTACATTGTGGCATGTCATCACGTTTCCTGTCACTTACCTCCTGGTATTTGTCCTTGTTTTTAGCGCCCTCATGCAGATCCGCTACATCAACCGCGCCTTGCAGCGGTTCGATTCGACCCAAGTCATCCCGACACAGTTTGTCCTGTTCACTCTATCCGTCATCATCGGCAGTGCCGTGCTGTACCGAGACTTCCAATCTTTCACACCCGTGCGGGCCGTCAAATTCGTCGGTGGCTGCCTGCTCACGTTCCTGGGTGTGTATTTCATCACCAGTGGGAGGGTCCAAAGCGACGACGAGTCTGCTTTCTCAGTCGATGATGAAGAGGAGGCCATTGGTCTTCTGGGGAGATCTCGATACCCTGACAGGGTTGACATGTCACCCCCGGCCCCAGTTATAAGAGCCCAGAAGTCCAGACAGAAGTCTCCAGGCCCCCGTGACGATGAGTTGCGCTCCCCTGCAGGGTCTCTACTCAGCCATGGTATCGAAGACATCGACGAGGGGGATCGTACGCCCAAGGGTGTCCTTTCCGCCGCACCCTCTTCGCCTATCAGCTCCTTGAGTGCCGAGTCTGAACCATCCTCTGCCGGACCTTCTTCACCTCCACTCCCATCGAACTCTTTGTTGAGAAACCCCTGGGCCGAGCCACATGCAGACTCCGTGCCAACGCCCAAGTCTGAACCCCAAATACGCCCCGCCACCCCTCCGCCACAACCAGCCAGCCCAACGATGCTTCTCCGGTTTCCAGCCGCGCCAGGCTCTGAAGACCACCACCACCACCCGCAAGCTCTAACTCCCGGCGGCGCCGAGAACGCGCAGTCCAACTCCCGACACAACACAGTGCCACAGACGCCTCCGTCGCGTAGACTGCGCAACTCGATCTCTTCCCGCTTCTCTCCCGGCCCTCTGCTACCGACCATCTCGGCCGGTTTCAGCGCCGTCGTCGCCGAGTCCCTGCGCCGTGGAGAAACCAGCCCCCTCAAGGAACGGAAGCATGCAAAGCGAGCCTCCAGAGGCAAACGGCTCAGCACAACCTTTATCGATGGCTTCCTCCGCCAACGGGACGGCGAACCACGCGAATCCGGCTACGAAACTGACGGTGGCGCCGATGAGACACGACTCGGTCTCCCCGCCGCTCGGCTTCGCTCAACCGGCGACCTTCCCATAGATCCGGTGGCTGCGGATCGCTCCGCGCCTGCCGTCGATACGACGGGTGAGACTCAGCATTCCCATGTGGATGATCTCTCTTCTCTAAACCGCCTGCGGAGTCTAAGCGACTCGTGGAGCGGGGGCGTGGCCTGGCTTGGGGCTGCACTTCGCAAGTCGGGCAGTGAGAACCAGGCTGCCACGCATGAGACTGCTGTTGAATCGCGCGGTAGTGAAGCGGGTGATGGGGATGCGCGGGTGTGAGTGTTTTTCCAATTCGTCTAAGTATTTCGTCTATATGCGGTGGACACTTCTTCCGTGGGCTTTTGCACCGAACATATTAGGGTTATTGTGTGTTTTTAGGACATGTAGCATAGCATAGCATACTTATATAGCTTTTAATAATTACTAGAGTTGTGTATATACTTGAATTCATCAGTAGAATTTGCAAAAAAAGACAGTCATAACCAGGCATGTATGGTGAGAAAGGAAGAGGGAGCAAAAAGTAATGACAAAGCTGGGATTCGAACCCAGGTATCTTTCGAAACACGGACACGAGGCAAACCCGAAGATTCGCACAAACCTGAACCGTGCGCCATAACCACTCGGCCACTTTGCCACGTGGTATTCTAGGATTGAAAATTTTGACAACATAAGCAGAATGAGGATAGCTGTCAAGCCAACTCAAGTATTCGCGTCAAACCCCCAGGCTTTCAGGCGCAATCCGGATTTCTTATATCATAAGAGGATCCAGACTCGTCCAGGTATTGATCGGATAAGGAGATAATGGATTAAGCGCGAAATACCAGTCAAGATCCAAGTCTCTCTGTAGCAGACATGATTAGACATGAAGGATAGTCTGCAAGATCCAAAACTGCGTAACTCACAAAATCGCCGCCTGCGGCATCTTCCAAAGTAGCTGGCTGTATATTATTTCTAGGATCGTTCGTCGGATAAGACACATCTGACGTCAGAACTGTTCCTGAATCCGCGCTCCGTGTTGAAAAGGTCGTATGTCCCTGTTATACGGTAGTGGTTATCGCATATTCAGACCTATCGGGCATACAAAAACTTACTACTGGAGATGTTCCATGACCCGATCTCTCTGTCTGAGTCGTAGGACTATTGGGTCCTTCCTCCATTAATAGTTCCCGGCAGCGACGAGATGCCAATGGGCAAGCGTCGTCTATCGTCAAGACTGGCTCGCCTGATGACCCGTCCAGACTATGCGAGCCCTCTTCTGTGGCTAATGTCTGGCTTTTGATTGCGGTGAAGAGCATTGTCAAGATACTGAAAACTTTGGTTGCTCGCTTTTCTGACCGGACTTTGCACTCGAAGTGCTTAATCGCGTTCTCCACACTCTGGAAGAGTGCCAGGCGCTGGTAGAACACGCTTTGGTCCATATATCCTGAAATAGTACCAGGAAATGGATCAACCACTCGGTCCTTAGCCTGCAGACGGAGCTCAAAACAGATAGTGATGGCAGCGTGGAATATATCATCTCGGAACATCCCCCCTTTGAGCTGTAAGATGTGGGGGCAGATGTTGGCTTCATTGACCAACTGGTCAGAAGGAAGACTCCCCGGCGAATACTCCAACTGAGCGAGTAACGCTAAGCTGCTCTGCACGCAGACTCGTCGGGAAAAGACATAAGGCTCACCCAACGTCTCTGCAAGCTTCAGGAAGAATGGCCTATGGAGAGCTAGCAGGCATCGGTAGTGGAGAAAGAGAAAGAATGATCTGCGAAATTCTGGGCAGCTGTCGACAGCTTCAGCAGTGGTTTCAGGCCTGCTTGTATCTCGTAGTTCAGGCGGGGCATGCGCAAGCTCCTTTGAGAAACGTTCACTAAGCTTCATAATCTCATCATAGTTGACACTCAATCGCACACGGTTGATGGTCTTCGAGATCATCATCCTGGTCTGTAATGTCTGCGCGAGTGCAATCTGAAAAGAAGTTCTGGTCAAAGTAGTTGGTGGCTTGGAAAGAGGTAGGCGAGGTGAGTCAACAGAAAAGTCCTCATCATCGATGTTCGATGGAAAGGGGCAATCGAATTCGTCCCAGGATATTGCCAAGGGTAATCCACCATATATTGAAGCTTGGAGTTCCAGCTCTATGATGGTCAGCCAGAGTCTTTTCCGAAGTTCGGCCCAATAGGGAGAGAGATGGGCGAAGTTGGCCGGGTCTCGATGAAGGCCCATCAGCATGGCTTCTCGAATGAGGGACCCTGAGCCCATGCCGGCTAGATCGCCTTCCCACGCGGTGGCTTGCTGTGCGAGCAGCAGCAAGCACTTAATTTGGATCACGTCCACACTTAGCTGAGCATGACTCGTCATGAGTGCTAACCAGGTGGCAACGGCTTCAATCCAGTTGTGACACATCTGCATTAATGACCGCTGGCTTAACCCCGCTGACTGTAGCTGTTTTCCCGAAGCGAAGCAGCCAGAGCAAGCCATCAACGTAAGGAGCTTTGCAAGAAAAAGCTCATTTGCACAAGAGGTATCGGTCTGCGATTCTCTTTGATCCCAGAAGGCATTCCATTCCCCAACAAAGGAGGGAACGTGTAGTATTCGAAGCGTATTCTCGAAGGTTGAGAAGTAGAGCTGCATTAGATATTCAGCCAGTCTACGGTCGGGTAGTAACTCTTTCAACTTTAGAGAGTGTTGTTGGTCACACCACCACCGTCTATCAGGTCCTCGTAGATCATGTTTCAGTCGCTTTAGCGTCAAGTATTCACCGAATTCTGAATTAGTGGGGCTTGGTTTGTTGCGATAGTAATCATGCAGATGAGCATTGAGATCCGGAAACTCCAGTTCACTCTGTCAGCTAGGAACTGTGGAGTGAAAGGAGCCGAGCCTTACCATACCGAGGGTCGTCGCCCAATGAGTCCGTCCAAAGAATCTGGTTCTCTGTTGCTTCCCTCGAAACGACAACGGAGCCAGGGATTGAGAGAAACTATCAGCTGACAGGGAGGGAGTCTGTTGTTTTCCCTGTCCTTGATAGCCGTGAGAAGATATAGGGGGCGTCGCAGTATGGCGTGACTCCACTGCCCCGAACGGCGATGACAGAACGGGGTTATCCCTCACGGGGCCATGGCCCTCAACGGCACTGCGCCTGGTTGTTGCATTGTATGAAGGATTGATTGGCATAGGAGCACCGGTCGTGGGTGAAGGATGGGCAGTATCTGGATTCTGCGTATTCCTTACGGGGCGCGACCTTATCGGGGCTGTGGACGTTGTTTCTGGTCGAGATGAAGAAGGAGTTGTTGGAGGCCGAGGATATGTGCAAGCATCTTGGGCGTTTGATCTTACACACTGACCACAGGGCTTCTGACGGTCGCACCCAACTTTTCGTCTGCGACACAGGGTACATGAATAGACTGATCTCTGACTTCGAGAGGAGGTGTTTCTCTGAGGGTTCACCCTCATGATACTTCGTTTTGCTGCGTTTAACTGACTCGGCTGCGAGGGACCCATGATGTAGGGCCGATGAGGACTAGGTCTGTTAAACAGATGAGACTATAGAAAAATAGTTAGGAGTGCAGTTTTATGCAGTGGACAATGCAGGTTTGATTGCAGATGATGATGAGAATGAAGAACAGAGGATGTTGAGAATGATACATCGGAGGAGAACATTTCAAATGGGGAAGGCAATATCTCCGACCCGGGACCTTACTCTATCGAGTAATGCCAAGTCTCCCGGAGAACCCGCTTTCCTAAAGGGGTAAACACCATCCACAGAGCATGTACAAATCACCCTGTGAGCTGTCAGTCATGTCTTACACTGTTTGCTGGCTCTACATGTCTCATATGTTCTGTCCGGGGTTCCAACTAATCCGGTCTGTGTGAGATACTACAGGACGGAGCAGCTAGTCAATAAATTTTAGTCTACTATCTCCTGGCTTGCTGTTTTCTGCCACACTAGCATAGGGGCTTCTCACAGGGAGACACGTCTATCAAAAGGCATTGACTCCTAGTATACCGCAGTATGTCTGGAACAAGAGCCCCAAGACAAATTCTCCGGGGACAGACAAGCTGACGGTTTCTGAAACAATATGGAATTTCATGTCTGGAGAGAACGACGCGGAGGAGTTGCGTTGGGAGCATTAAACAGCACATGAAACAAAGAGCGCGACATGATAAACCGCATCACAATCTGACCTCAGCTAGAATCCGAACCAAAGACGCTATCCGAGGCGATGATGGCAATAGCCACAATCCGATAAGGTCAGCGCATGTAGCAGACCTTGACATTTCCCACAAAACCTACCAGAGCCATATCGACACCGGGAGTGATGACAATATCAAGGGCAGGTCGATGGCCCCTCCGTGAACCGGCAGTCAGCGCCAATTTATCGTTGTGATGGACACTTTCGCACACTTCCGCAACCCTTCTATCACCATCGATCACATCGACGTTCCGCAAAACGCGTCCATGCCGTTCTATCAGGAGCGTGAGCTCCTTTTCAGACACCGACTTCGCATCCTTTACAGCCGCATTATTCAGCGTGATGCTAAAGTTTCCAAAGGCGGGCGCAAATCATGGAGCGCCGGTGGCCAGGGTAACTCCGCGCTCATCCCCAGGCAGAGTGATATCCCATGTGCTTCTGATCTTTCTGTGTAGCTCAAAGAGAGGCAGCACGGAGGCATCTCGAAATTCTCGACAAGAGCCGCCATTGTATTTCCATCCGCTCGCGGTCAAGACCGTCTGCCCATCTTGGTCTTTGATTTTGTACGCGGCCACCGATTGGGCGTCGCCATAGGGACTGGGGACGAGGGTGGTTTTCGAGCTGGTGATGTAGTCTTGTCGCAAGGCGACGGGCCGTTCTGGAGACTTCAGAGGTTTGCGCGGTTTTGTGGAGACTTGGTGTTGCATTCGTGCTTGAGAGTAAGCCCTAGACATCTTGTTGGTTTATCCTGAGATTTATTGGCAATTGTAGAGATTTTTGTTGGATAGGGACACAAGTAGGTCCTTTCAGCTTATTATATACTGACAATAAATAGTACGACTTCCTGCAGCACTGCTAAAAGAAGGGCCAAAGGTCTTGTGGTTTGCTTTCTTTCTATGACGCCCGAGCCCGACGGCAAAATTCCGAACACCTAGAATCTAAGCGCAGTGAATGGCCGGTAAAATGACCCCTATGAGGATCTAGTAGATCCAAATCCTTGGAGTTGTGAGAAATGGCGCATATAATGGTCCAGATCATGCTAGACACTAGTCGCTCACCAGTCTACTTATGGGTGGCGTGCTGCTTGCTGCTGCGCGATTTTCTCACAACAGAAACTTGCCCCCATCTTGGATCTGTTCGCAGCACGACAAGTCCGTACATACGTTCCCACAGAGAAGCTGACAGCGTTCTGTCGTGCCCTGGCCGTCTGCGCCCTCTTCCAATCCCTGGCTCACTACCCGTGTGACGGAGGTGTCTTTCTTATCCCCCGTCCTGGATTCGGGCTGAAGCGTCACAGAATGAATACCATAGGCATGGAAACACTCGTTGACCGTTTTTGCGAGCTTGTGGAACTCGAGGTCGTCGTCATTTTCCAGAACGAGATGGGCCGAGGCAAGTGACTTCTTCTGATTCAAGCGCCATATATGAAGCTCATGCACGGCGCGAATGCCTGGTATCTAGGTTGTCGTTAGATCGACGCCCAAGAGGAAGATATGTGACCGGAATATAATCACCTGTTCCAAATCATGCTTCACGTCTTCGTGTTCGACGCCGTCTGGGGCGCTCTGGAGCAGAATAAGACCGCTCCTCTTGACTGCACGATTGTCAGATATCTGCCATTGAAATGTATATTGGTCTTCCGATGACTCACTTAGAGGAAGAGACGAAAAGAGAATCATAATCGCAATTGCCATACTCACGGCAGGGTCGGCATAATACCTCCCACCGTAATCGGCGAGCCAAATGACGAGACCCGCGATAATGACGCCAAGGTTGTTTGCACAGTCACCCATGATATGGATGAAGACACCCATCAAGGCGAGGTCGAAATTCCCTTTCTTGGGCTTGGTGGCGGAAGCGTTGAGATAGTGTTTATGGTGGGCGTGCTAATCTCGTAAGCATTAAAGTCATTTTGTAGAACTCGAGGTATTGAGGAATATGGCCAACCTTTCCATCTGATAAAACGCTAGAATTGGTGTTCGTTACATGTCCGCTTTCTTGATCATATTCTGGGTGCTCATGGGCGTGATCGTGTCCGTGACTATGTCCATGGCCATCTCCATGATCATGCTCTGTAATGCCCACCAATCAGTAAACCCTGACTATGTACGAGAGACAATTCGACCGACCGTGCAAGAACATAACGCTGATGAGGTTAAGACCAAAGCCGACACAGCCGATGATCATGACAAGCTTTGGTTGTTCGATCTCTGCAGAGTCGACCCGTCAGTACTTGCTAGCTTGGTTATTGTGATAAGGAGGGCATGACCTACTCTCCAACTTGATAAAGCGTTCAATAGACTGTAAGAAGACACTAATGCCCAGACCAAAGAGCAGGACACCATTGAAGAAGGCACCAACTAGTTGTGATCGTTGCCATCCGAATGTCAGGGCTTGAGGGGGAGAGCTTTTTTGCTCGACCTGGCGGGGGTTAGTGTTGAAGAAAAAGTAGGATTTGAGTCACATTGCACGCTTACAATAGCGGCAACAAGCGCAACAACGAATCCGACGATATCGCTCAGCTGGAATTTGCTAGTTAGTTTCCACGTTTATCCCAAATGACTCTTGAGCCACTGCCCACTGAGGGACCGTACATAATGGAAAGCATCTGCTACCAAAGCAAGAGAGCCAGTGTAGAATCCAACTGTGATGGGGTCAGCATATAGTTCTTCGGTTCAGGAAGCGAAGAGCATACCAGCTATCTCCGCTATGAAGAAGGACGTTGAAATCCCGATTACAGCGCTCAAACGCTGGATCCGGGAGATTTTGAAATTCATTGCTGGGTGTGGGACAGTGTGACAGTGTGAAAATGGTGAGCTCAACAGCTGGGTGTTTCTTATAGAAAAACACTGATCTGTTTAGGGTTGTCCGGTCTGAGCCACCGATCAGCACGGAGTGTGTATTACCCAATGAGGAAGTCCGACCGGCCGACATCTGCGAGTTTTCCGCAAAGGGAAGGACATATATCCGCAGCACATGCCAGCTCCGAAGGGATCGCCCATGATGTGGCCTTGAGAAGAGTCTGGCCAATTCCACACACGTGGCTATACAGTTGAGCTTTGTCAGTGGTTAACGATGAATGTAATTTTATTTAGTGATTGTAACAATTTTTGGCCTCGGGCGAAGCACTACTCTATTACACTCAAGGGATCCTGTTCAATCCAACCTTCCTTTCTTCATATGAAATCTCTCAATGGCAGGCCTTTCCATATTTCCGCAGACGTAGATAATTGTAAGGCAATGGAGCCATATATCCTGCTGTCATGGACACTGCCGCCGCCATCCAGAATTGCGGGTCGCCAACATCTACCACACCTCCGGTCAGATGATAGTCGACCAGATTCTCCGCCGCCTCCATCGCCAGCATGGACACCATGCTCATTCCCATGGCCGTGCGGGCCGCCATCGACCACGACAGCTGGTCGACACCTCGCCGGAGAAGAATCGTTTCGACCAGAATTGATGTCGTGATTCCGGAGGCCACTGCTCGCTCGTTAGACTCTATCGCGCATATAGGGGAATGGAAAAGGACTGACTCGATGCACCCATGATAAGTCCCATGCCCAGATCTGGATGGTAAGTCTGCAATACCCATAATGCAGAGAAATCGCCAATCGTACACCCAACGAGACAGCGGAATGTATTGATTCCGGCTCGTTTCCACGTAGACCTGCAAGTCCAGAACCCGGAGTCCCAAACTGAGCGAGAAGGGGGAAGGGCTGCAGGAGTAGCAGCCCTTTCATGGGACTTTCGACAGTTCGTATCCGGGTTAGACTGGCTTGGTTGTGTAGGAGGAAAGCTTGCAAAGAATCGACCGTGAGGCGCTAGACGACGCGGAAGACCGAGCTGCGACGCACGGAGAGCCTGACTGGCTCGGATCATCGTGGAAAAATTGGTGAATGAAGGTGAGATATGGCGAGCATCACTAGCATTTCAGCTTCTATTTGACTGTCCGCATGCCGCCACAGATGGTTGGTGGTTCACGCAAAAAAGGCGCACGGAGGAAGAGTGACGTTCTTATCTCCGAGGTGACTCCACTAGATCCGGCAGGGCACAAATGCCTCCTGGAAGTATAGAATTCCAATTAATTCCTCGCTTCACTCAGACCAACAGACATCATACACCCATCGATACAATATATGGCACCCGGCCTTCCTCGATAATAATTTCATATCTCATTTCGAATCACCCTATCCCGATACAAAACCACCATGTCAGAGCATCAATACAAGTTCAATGTTCAAATGGGCTGCTCCGGCTGTTCCAACACCATTATGGAAGTGCTGGAGGGACAAAGTGGTCAGTCCATCGAGTTTTTTCCTAATCTGCCGCAAAGCTTGAAAAGTACTGAGTCCATTTACTCACAGGTCTGAAATCGCTGAATATCAGCCTCAAAGACCAGTCTATCTTGGTCGTCGCTGACCCGTCGCTTTCACATACCACCGTCCTAATGGGAATCAGACAGAAAGGAAAAGCTGTGAGAAGTATGGAAGTTTGACGGCGTTGCGCAGTCCGTCTAAGGAATACATTTGGATTGTTCGTGATGTTAAGTAATCGCAACTATAGCTTCTTGACTAGCATCCAAGGGAGTATGATTCTTTAAATTATGTATATAACTGTAGAAGAACGTACATATATACCGCAGAGTCCAATGAACCGAGGGGCTCAGCGGTCAGAAATAGACATTACATGACAACGGTCTTGATCATATCTAAACCAGAGCAATGACACCAACCACCGCTCCCGCAACAGCAATGAGAGAACCCCCCAGAGCACTGCTGCCATTTGTATCTGTCGTAGTTTCTTGGGCGCCACCATCAATTGTGCTAGACGCATCCCCAGACTTCTGAGCGCTCGTGGAACGGCTAGGAGGCTCGGTAGTCGCCGGCGCGGCAGTCCTTTCGGCGCTTGGTTGCGTAGACGAAGCCACAGATGCTGTGGTGGATGAAGCAGGGCCATTATCAGTTCCCTTGACGGAGGCTGCGTCGGTGGTATGTCCCGCGGAGGTCACTGTAGCGCTGGTCGTGGCCAGAGAAGCCGAGGGAGTCCAGCAAGAGAGCGTCGATTTGGTGGAAACATATACTTCCGTGCCCTTGTATGCAGGGCATCCGGGGACATCTGTTTTGACCGGTCCTCGGCCACCTCCACAGTCGAGCAAATCGCACACTTCGCCATTGGAAGGATCGAACCAATGGACTATGCGGTCATCGCAGGCAGTGAAGCTGCGGTGCAAACAGTCGGCCCAGACTGTGTTTGCCAGGAGCATCAGTGGGATGGTAGAAGAGAGTGTGGGCTTTAGCATGATGATGCAGAGGATATTCACAGAGAATTTGTTAAAGAAAGTGATATAGTAGTTGAATAGGTAAGGCGACTGTAGAATAACAGGCTTGTGTGTCTGAATGAAATAAGGAGAAGGGATTATATATGTCACTTCGTGAGCCAGCCATGGTCGTTAACCGACTCTGCCAAGTTATAAGGTGGTATTCTTTGCCATCGCCTACTGGTAGCTAGCGATTTCTATCCCGGAATGGGAATGGAGGTGGCGTACAAGTGCAAATTTCCCTTTCTTCCATAGATGACAGTGAAAAAGGGGTTCAACAGCATGTCATGTCTCCAAAGATTGGCGTGAGAACTGCTAATAATCTACACTTCTCATCTTGACTTGAAGGTATCAATTGAAATGTGATTGAGTATGAATCGCGGCTGGGTTGTGGGGGAGAATGGTGGCAAAATGCGTCTGTGAAAACCTCATTTCGGTTAGGAAAGGAACGTGAGACATTGCGGGGACTAATTCAGGGACTAGAGGGACACTTGACACTGCAGAGTGGAGGGCCGGCTATACAAGTATAATTAGATAGATCCAGGCATAGAGATTGTTAGCCTTAAAGTACTCAGGAGCACTTTATGGCTGTTAACATTCTCTTGCATTCTTCATCTTGGCATAGACTATGCTATGCGAAGTATAAAAATCGTGTAACAGTAGAACGAGATGCTTTTATAGTCTCAAGAATCATGGAAATCGATTCATATCCGAGGTACTACCGTGCCTAGTCAGTGTTTTTCTGCGGATCCTGCCTGGTTTCCTAATTCGGATGCCGCCGCTTTATGAGGGCTGCACGTGAGTGCTCTGTAAGTACTTTGAACCACCCATCATGGCCTTCACCACTAAGCCCTTCCTCTTCCTTTCACTTCTCTCTCCCAATCAATTCAAGCCCTCCATCAATAACTGCTCGGATCTAAGATTTCCCTGGAGATGGCAAACGACAGAGAACGGCTTCAACCTACGCAACCGGAGTTAGACAATACAACAGACAAGGCCCGCCTGTACTGGCAATCCCTTGCTGATGAAGCCATTGCCCGCTACAATCCTGGAACCATTCCTCAGGACATCTGGCCACAGGATATTCTTTGCCGAGTGTCCGCGATGCCTGATTCACAACTTGACACCTACAAAGTCACACTCAGCCCCTCCTCAGCTGCTAAGGCTATCTTCCCGGCCGCGTCCTCAACACTGCGCTCGTCCGACAACGCCTCTTGCGACATTGCTAACACGGTAAAATCTACCAAGGGGGCTGTGTTGTTGGGTGTCCAAATGCCAGTCCCGAGTATTTGGTCCGGAACAAGCTTCCACAAGGCCTCAGCCGAGGGTGACAGTGTCACGCCCAAATATGTTGGGGTTTTGTGTCTTGCATGGTCTTATGTCTTATCCGCTCGTCTGCTGGAGATGCAACGACATAAGCGTGCTAGGCTTGTGTACATGGATTCGGCTGCAAGCCTATATGATCCGCATGGCATTCGTTGTCCCCATTCGGTACACTATGTCAATATTGGCAATGTTGATGCATGTGCTGCACGATGATGGATGGCTATATTTGCTCCCCGGCAGGGTTGGGAAGCTATAATCGCTGAGAACGAGGGTGAAGTGTATTATGCACCCTGGGCCCTTTCGCTGGAAAACGAACCACGCGCGAGCATAGTGTGGGGAGACAACGAACACCCACGTCCGAAGGTTACTACGCACTCCCCGCCCTCGTCATGGGCCGCCCTTACATATCTGTCCGAGTTTTGTTCGTAGTATCGTATATACGATCAGTTCTATGCGGCACTTGCAGTAGCATCAACTCTACCGACTCACAACCACTAGCAAAGACCGGCTACACTACCGCTGCCCGTTGGTCACCCAAACCAACGAAAACTTACCCAGCCCGAGCGAAAGATTCTGGATACGGTTGTTATCTACGAGAATCTCCCATATTATCTGTCCGTAAGATGCAATTATAGTGTCGTGATCTCCAGCCTCTGCGGGTCATTTTGGGAACCTGACATCCTATGCAACCTTGTTAGTCCATGGATCCACCCCGTCCTGGATGAATTACGCATACGGGCTGAGTTAGTCAACGATCAAGGACGCTGCTTTGAAGTGATTGCTCTAATGTGCGGTATTCGTCGACCGCGCCTTTCAGCCCTCTGGGTCGGTGCTGCAACCAGCGGCTTCTTGCCAAAGGTGTTGGACCTGGTTAGGAGCGGTACACCACATATTGACCCTAATGGCTATCATTGGACAGCGTATCCGCAGACTTTTATGGACCTCCCCGGCTCGGGTTCATATTTCCATCCTACTTCGTCTGGCCAGAGCGTGATTCGGAGAGCCGATCTGTGGCGTCTACTGTATCTTCCTATATTGGAAAATGATGGCCTGTAGTATGGAAGTCCTCCGTTCTCCTTTGGGAACCTGTTGTCAACAGCAAAGAAGGGAACTGTGTACTCCGTGTCAAGTCACACCAATAGTTTCAGGCATCACCTTTCCTACGAATACTGGACTCGGAGCCTGATAGGCGGTATAAAAGCTCATGACGTTGGATTTGCATGTGCTTGGCCTGAAAACTGCCCTCGTCTTATTGAATTGCCTTTTAAGGCAAGAAACAGAGGCGCGCATCCAACAACGCCGCTGTCTAAAGACCAGGTGGCGTCGCGAGAAGCATCAATAGCAATATTCGAATGGGTTTTAGCAAATGGCGAAGGCAGACCTTCCTCAGAACCTATTTATGATGATGACTGGATAGCGCAGTGTATATTCGACGACGAGGACTTGGGGACGGAAGGAAACGCTGATGCTGCCGAACTCTCCAGTATAAAGACGATTTCCAGCCACTCAAGCGATAGTAACGTCGGACATGCTGACGTGGGAAGTCGAATAGACGATTGGATCGAACAGGTGCCCTAGCTAAATATTACAGCGTTTCTCCTCACCCGACAATCAGGCGCTTTACACTGTCTGCTTTCGTGCTCGTTAGTAGTGTGTCCACACTGAGAACAGAAGCCTGCCCGGAGCTGGTTGTCAATAATATCTGACTGACTGAGAGCATGCGCCGCACTAATATCTAACAACCTAGGTGTCATGGACGACACGCTGTTTGAAAGCGCAAAGCGGCACTGGACGACTGAAGTGTATATAGTGGAGGTTATTTTACTCTTTCATGAACGTGTTGCGTATGAAGCGAAGACTATACCTAGGTACTCAACACCACCATATGTCTTTGGTCCTGACAATCCTGGATTCCACCGCGGTGATACTAATCCACAAATCTTTTCAAGAACAGGCATACTACCTGGGAATTCTTTCGTTGTGCTGTAACTTCACCTGGGACTATGTCTACGGCTTTGTTTACCCGGCAGAAACATCGACGGTAGTTTCTGCATGGCAGGTTTGCGCGTTGGTTAACTTGGCAGTCACGAGTACTGCGATATGGTTCGCACCCTGTGAATGACGCAACTCCCCACTCATGAGGTAAAGCTCACGTTTGGTCTTCATGATGACCACATTGGGTGCTCTTACGGGACATGTGGCTCTGGCCCAGGAGTTAGGACCTGCGGCCACCTACCCTTGGAGTGGTATGGTTTGTGCGAATATAGTCAGTAATGGCGTACTTGCCCAGCTTCTTACGAGACATAGCACCAGAGGAGCATCCTATATGCCATGGTAGGTGAATTTGAGCTCCTAAGGGATGTCCTGTCTGATTCAGTCTGTTGATTAAGAGGACAATATGTATGTATAGAACCACACGGTTCTTCGGCAACATATTCGCCTACGGTGTTGCATTCGGACGATAGTAGTCGTGGCTAGACCGATTTTCCTTTGTTTCGGGCTCTTCATGGTGTGGGGAATTGCACTGTCGCTGGTTGTGGATATTGTATATCTAGTTTGTTTTTGATATATAAGACGATTTGAGCGGGGCACTGCGAAAGGGAGAAAGCATCATATAAAAGTTCATTGATCGTTTCTTGCCATAAACATGTTGCAAATACCACGCAGAACCATTAAAACGGAGCCACCTAGGTGTTAGCCCAATTCCTGTCGAGTATGCTCGTTGAGTTGGGGCTTGGAAAGTCCCGTGACATGGGATACGACAACCATCACCCTCTCCCTTTTCGGCTCGTCATCTCTTCTCCTTGTTTCACCCACTCATCAAGATTCGCAGCTAACATGCATAAGCTCCCGCCCTTGTTCTGCACGCTATCTGTCATGAGGCCCGTGATACGTGGAAAATGTCTTAGTCTGCCATCGTCGAAACTATTTGACCAGGGTCTTGAACCCCCTCATTTCCCGCAGTCTCGAATTTAACCGGCGTGTTATCCGCAGAAGTCCATAGTGCCTGGGGCAATCGGATCGCCTGTCCCCCAGGCTTACTATATCAATGCCTCCGGAGAATGCTTCTGGTCCACTTAGTGTGTTGTTAGTTGCTCCGTTCGGCTTTGAATGCCCTCCATTCGTCCTTGTCCTCGTGTCGCTAGCGATGTATTCGATCCGGACTCATTTCCGACGTGTCTTGACTGCCAATCTAAACCTGCCTTGGCTGAATTTCGCGTCAAACTTACGATTGTCATGAGGTCGCTCTTTTCTCCTCTTTCCCCGAAAACCTAGAAATGCCTAGACGCATTCCTCCACTTCGTCAGGGAGGAGATAAAACTGGGGTCACGCCTCGTAACTAGCGGTCTTGCCCCGACTTTCTTGTGTCCATTGCAACTGTTGCAACAACGGTTGACTGGTACTCGATTGCCGTACTCAGCAACAATGGTGGCTGGCTTCTCAACCAAGGGGCTCTTGCTCCTGGGGCTCCTGTCCGGCTTCACGGCCGGTGATGCCTCGAAACCAATCTACAAGGACCCCAGTGCTTCAATTGATGATCGAGTTTCCGACTTGCTGGGTCGGATGACAATCGAGGACAAGATGGCCCAATTGATGCAGGGTACGCTTAATACACCTTAGGACGTTCTTAAGAGCGCCCTGGGCTGACCGATTTTCATAGGCGACATTGCGAATTGGATGAATTCCACCACTGGTGCGTTCAACTACACGGGGCTGGTCGAGAACATGAAGATGAAGGCGGGAAGCTTTTACGGTAGGCGTCACCGGTGAAGTCGTCGATAGAATGCTCATCATTTTGTAGTTGGGTACCCCGTCTCTTGGGACTGGATTGCTACCAATGTCAAGAGAGCCCAGGACTATCTGATGGAGAACACGACACTCGGAATCCCCGCACTGGTCCAGACCGAGGGTGAGTTCAAATACCATGTATCTCTGCGATTAAGTCGCCTCACGCGCGATTTGCTCCGCAGGAATCCACGGCTTCCTCCTTGGCAATGCAACCATCTATAACTCCCCCATTGCTTATGGATGCTCGTTCAACAGGGAGGTACGCTTCCCAGCATTCCTCACTGCATTAGACATATGCTAAGTATATAATTACAGCTGGTCGAAAAGATGGCGAGTTTCATCGGCCAGGAAGCTCGTGCACTGGGCGTCAATCAGGTCTTTGCCCCGGTTGTTGATCTTGCTCGTGAGTTGCGATTTGGTCGAGTATGCACACAACCTTCAGAACTTCAAGCAGGCTACTGACGGCCCTTCCCAGGTCGAGGAGATGTTCTCGGAAGACCCATATCTTGCCGGCGAGATGGGTTATCATTACACAAAGGGACTGCAGAGCACGAATGTGTCCGCGACCGTCAAACATTTCATCGGATTCGGTGAGCCCGAACAGGGCATTAACACTGCGCCGGTGCAGGGAGGCGAGCGGTACCTCCGCTCAACGTATGTAGTCTACCCCTGCTACGAAGACCTTGACTAATAGTAGTAGCTACGTGCCCCCTTTCAAACGGACCATCATGGACGGCGGAGCCTGGAGTATCATGAGCGCCTACCATTCGTATGTTCTTTTCCCTGGATTACGCGAAGCGTCTCTCACCAAAGATAGATACGACGGCATTCCCGCTGTTAGCGACTATCATACCCTTACCGAGATTCTGCGAGAGGAATGGGGCTATGAATACTATGTCATCAGCGACGCAGGCGCCACAGACAGATTGTGCGGCGCGTTCAAGCTCTGCCGCAGCTCCCCCATCGACATGGACTCTGTCACTCTCCAGGCTCTTCCTGCGGGCAACGACGTTGAAATGGGCGGTGGTTCCTTGTACGCTCACCCTCGACTTCCAACTACTACCGGAACTGACAATCCGACAGCAACTTCCAGAAGATCCCAGAGCTGGTCAAGTCCGGAAAGCTCGATATTGAGACGGTTGACACTGCCGTCGCGAGATTGCTCCGCGCCAAATTCGCCATGGGTCTCTTCGAGAACCCCTACCCGGCTGCCCCGAAGGATGAATGGGCGGACCTCATTCACAGCCCGGAAGCCGTGAAGGTTGCCCGCGAGCTCGACCGTGAGTCCATCGTTCTCCTCGAGAACCATGACAACGTCCTTCCCCTCAAGAAGAAGGGTGACATCGCTGTCATCGGCCCGATGGCCCATGGTTTCATGAACGTACGTGACCAGCGCGCATCCTCGTGACATATCCGTAGCACTGACAACCCCAGTACGGCGACTACGTCGTCTACAAGAGCCAGTACCGCGGCGTCACCCCTCTGGACGGCATCAAAGCGGCCGTCGGCAAAAAGGCACGCGTGCACTACGCGCAGGGCTGCGAGCGCTGGAGCAACGACCAATCCGGCTTCGACGAGGCGATCGCCGCCGCAAAGAAATCCGACGTCGCCATCGTCGTCGTGGGCACGTGGTCTCGCGACCAACAGGAACTCTGGCAGGGCCTGAACGCCACGTATGTTTCCCACCTTCCCATGATCCTCCCAGACTAACCATCCTGCCACAGAACCGGCGAGCACGTTGACGTCAACGACCTCTCGCTAGTCGGCGCGCAGGCGCCCCTCATCAAAGCCATCGTTGACACGGGCGTGCCGACCATCGTGGTACTCTCCAGCGGCAAGCCCGTCACCGAACCGTGGCTGTCGAACGCGACCTCCGCGCTGCTGCAGCAGTTCTACCCGTCGGAGGAGGGCGGCAACGCGCTGGCGGACGTGCTCTTCGGCGACTACAACCCGTCCGGCAAGCTGTCCGTCAGCTTCCCGCGCTACGTCGGCGACCTGCCCATCCACTACGACTACCTGAACTCGGCGCGGTCGATCGGCGACTCGGGCTACGAGACCGCCGACGGCCAGCTCGTCTTCGGCCACCAGTACGTGCTCGGCTCGCCCACGCCGTGGTACCCCTTCGGCTACGGGAAGAGCTACTCCGCCTTCAAGTACGGCGCGGTCACCCTGGACAAGACGACCGTGTCTGCGGACGACACGGTCACCGTCAGCGTGGACGTGACGAATACGGACCGCAAGCGCGACGGCGCAGAGGTCGTGCAGGTGTATGTCGCGGATGAGTTTGCCACCGTCGTCGTGCCGAACCGCGCGCTGAAGGGATTCGAGAAGGTGGTTATCCCCGCTGGCAAGACGAAGACCGTCAAGATCCAGCTCGATGTGAAGGAGCTCGGGGTGTGGAATACGGCGATGAAGTATGTTGTCGAGCCCGGTGCGTTCAACGTGCTGGTTGGTAGCAGCTCCGAGGATATTCGTGGAAACGCCACGTTCTACGTGCAGTGATGCTGCTACGTCTGTAGGGGGCATGTGGAAGATGGGGGTTTGTTGGTTCCTTTCAATCCTTTGTATTGATCAGCTTTTGGTAATCATTATGAATCATTCGCACTTCCGAGACTCGTAAAGACATAATTATGAACCGATAGAAAGGAAATAAACATGGTCATAAGCTAACTATCAGGAGTGTCGGTCCGCTGTTCGGCCTCATTTTCAGGGCTCGGACTGTCCTGCGTCTCGACCTCTGCTTTCTGCCCCGCACTGGGCCCAGCCTGCGGACGAGGGCTTTCGATAGAAGCAGGCGCCGGCGAAGTGTCGGCTCTGTTCTGTCTGTCCGCGCTGGACATTGCTTCAGCGCGTCTCGTCTTGGCCCCTTCTTTAAGCTTCTCCCATCGCTCTCTGTACCGCCCGACAACGTTCCGCAACTTCTCGTTCTCACGGCCGACCTTCTCCAGCTCTTTCTCGCTGCGTTTGATCAGCTCCTCGAGTTCTTTGACCCGCTGGTCATGCTCCGACACAGCTGGCGCAGAGAGAGCCGAGACAGGCGACGGCACCGCGGATGATGACTGCGGGTGTTGTTCTGGGGAGGGAATGTTCTGGTGATGCATGGCCTTCAGAGACTGTTGCAGCGCCATAGAGGAAGACTGTGCATTAACCTCCCACATGTGCAGGCGCTTGGACAAGGTGTCGGACAGGTGTCTCAGGGCCTGGTTTTCCATTTGCAGTTCCTCCATGGTCTTTGGGTTCTGTAAGCTGGTAAGCTTCTCAGATCCGCGACCAAACTTCCCTTTGCCGCGAGAGAGGTTCTGGTACACCTCTGGTGATGCAGGAGTTTCGCGAGCGTCCACAAAATCATCATCGTCATCCACATCAAGACTGTTTCGCCGTGCGTCCTTGTCCTTCCGCGCGAGGATTCCCGCGTACGATACTGTGCCGCCGGTCGTCGGAACCACGTAGAACGACTCGGCAGTGTTTCCTGTGCCTCCACCTGTTGAATCTCGGATTGCCTGTAGAGCAGCCTTGGAGAAAATTTTGCTTATGTCAGGGTCTGTGGAAGAGACCTGACGATCGGAAGTCGCATGGTGACGGTCGACTCTTGTGTCGGCTGGCGATTTACGACTCGACTCGGCTTGACTGGCCCCATCCAACCCCAGAGGAAGACCTGCGAACGCCAACGGAGCAGATATTTTTGAAATGAGCCCTTCGAAGGTGGAGTAAAATTTCTGAAATCCCTCGTCCGTCAAAGACTGTTTGTCTCGGGGGCGTAACGACTCGACCGGAGGCGGCACATATTCCTGTGACGTAATCTCTGTAGGGCTGATTGATGGCGGAGACCAAGGTTGCCTGGGGGCAGATGGACGGCTAGATCGCTCCTTCGTACCATGCGCTTGTGTCCCACGTAGTCTCTCGCTTGTCCTGATCTTTGTTGGGCCGTCGACCATCTTCGCGCCGGCTTGCTGGGCGGAGACGGTGGGGGAAGCTGGCGAAGCACGACGAGGTTGAGCTGGAATGCCCCGTGCGGAGGCCAAGTTGCTAGCGATCGACGACGTTTCCCGCGTCGGCAGTCGAGCATGCGCTGCTAATTTGGGCGGTTGTTGCTGGGTGTCTACAGCCTGGGACAACGCTTTCGCGGTGTCTGGGTCAGTCGATCCCACGGAGGGAGCGGAGGGCGGATGTTCATGTTGGAAACGGAGGATCTGGGCGAGCTGTTTATGATGTTGTTCGAGGAGCTGCAGAGTTCGCAAGGCCTGAGAAACATGTATAGCCCATTAATTCTCCATTTTCGCAAAGAACAGACCGAATGCGCTGCAAATACGTACTTCGCGATCGGAGCTACTTTGGGCAGCGGCGGCGAATTCGCCGGCCGCCAGGTCGTGCTCCTCGCTGGCGGCGACAGGATTCGCTTTGCGGGTTTCAAGAACTGCGTTTCGAGCGTGTGAATGGGCCTGAATCAAGACTGATTGTGAGGATGTGTATGACATAAAGGATGGGAGACAGTGATTGGGCTGAGGGCATACCAAGGTGAGGGGAGCTGTCTCCATGGCGGTCAGGCGCAACCGTCACTCTCTGGACGGCTTGTTCAGTGCTGAATCCTGCCTGGAACGGATATATGTCATGCCACTAAGGATTTATTGTGAGAGATGTTGGGAATGTGGCCGATGGTACCTGGAAGGGATGAGTGTCGAGAAAGTGGAGGAAATGTGCGGAGCGGGAATCGATAAGCAAAGAGTGACGCCACGCCGAGTCACGAGATATGTATGCATGGAGTATATCCGACTACACAATGACATGGCTTGGACGCATACAAAGTCCTTGTCCTTCTTTGATAGATTGCAAAGAAAAACCAACTAAAGAGATATATCTTATTTTCAAGCTACAGATGACACTTTTCACAGCCCTATATCGTTTGGATTGTTCACTGCCTGTCGAACAGATCAGACACAGCTGAGCGTTTCTCTCTAGATCTACCAAGGAAGATGGCCACGCATTTTCCCATTCCCACCTAGGTTACCATAGCGTCACCCTAAAACTCCATGCCAGCATGCAGGTCCCGACGGCGTGCTCCCTGGGACGAGCTGGAGTTGGTGATGAGGTTGGCGGCCTTTCCGATCATAGTCGTCACGCTGATGATATCCTCCAGACTCACAACTTTCGACTTCCTCTTCCAGCCAAGCTCAACGGGGAATCGCTCGTTACCTATGTAGCCAGCGATATCAGTAACAACCATGACAGAGTAAAGTTGCAGGTTACTTACGGAAGAAATATTCTACCAATGCCCTGCTCACGCGGCCGGTCTGCAGATCACCAAACGCAACAATAGGGGCAGCCACTTCTCCCAGGCTGAATTGTTCCATGCTTTCGGTGAATGTGTACGTAGGATTGAACGCCTTCGAAGAGACCTGGCGGGCCAGCTTCCCGTTGGCCAACATGTCTGGGTCGAGGGTAGAACCGGTCCAGTACTTTATGGTCTCTTGGAAGATGGTTTCATTGAAGACGTGGTTGTTTCCGAAGTATGCATCGGTGCGACTGCAGGCGTCGTAAGTAAGTACAGCGGGACTTTGTGCATTGCACCCACCTCAAGCTTGCATCATGCTCGAGGACATTATGACGGTTGAGCTGGTCACTGCAAAGGCATTGTCAGTCTGCCACATGGACGAAGACGATGAAGACGATGAAGACAGAATGTCCTTACAGCGTAAAGAAGGTGGCATTGGGCACGGGGTTGGCCACGATAGCCATATCAAACATCAGGCTGGCAAGCGAGGAATTGAAGTTCAATGCGGCACCCAAGCCATCAATCACCACATCCCTGGTGATATTTCTACCGTCGTGAGGGAAAAATCCATGGTTGGCCAGGGTATTTAACATGGGGCAAGGACCACGATCTAAGGAAGCCTCAGTTTGCGTGAACGGAAGTCAAGGCATATTGGCTATCATACAGTCATCCGGCCCAGCAGGTCTCCAGTGAGAGAGGGATGCTGGTCCAAAGTGAGGGCTTGCCGTGACCATAGAGGCGGCCAGAGAGGTGACAACAAATGTGGTAGCCTTCATGGTGGTCGATTCCTATTCCAATGAAGGTATGGAGGGCTGACGTTTAGTGTACACTATACATCGATGTGCTTCCTGGGCACACTGGAGTTTTTATAATGGAGCATCTTCCTCCTTGCTCATTGTTACCTAGGCATATCCTCGTGTTCGTACAACTTGCCCATCGACGCCCCTGAGAATACAATACAGACCTTTGAAATGAACGTCGTAAAGGACCCTCCTAACTTTCCCGTGGTGATTGGTGGAGTTCCATAGATCAGCGATGGCCTGACGGCTCGTATTCTCTTTGCATTCCTATTCCGGTAATCCGACTATTGCTCGGTAATTCATTAAGTTGGGGCATACTATATTCTGTAGTCTATCCAGACTGAGCGCCACCTTTATATGAATCGTTCAAGCCTGTCCTGGTGCCAGCTGAATGATATCATTGATAACGCATACCGTTTTGAGATATGATCGGAAAACGGTCCCGAGAGTGCATCACGTCATAGGAACATGGGACGGGTTCAAAACCTGCAAGACCAACAGAAACAATGGGAATCATGTCGGTCAGCATATCTCTTGTCCTTATCTTGTGTCCACGTATCACAGATGTCCTCGAAAAACATAGCAGCCAAAGAACTTGGGATCAATCTCGAATCAGGAGATGAAGCGGAATACTTCAAGTGGTTCCTTGCCTGTTTACTGTTCGGGAAGCCCGTCCAACAGAGCGTGGCCAAACGTGCCATCTTGAATCTCATTGATGAAGATATCACTTCACCTGATGCAATTCAACGGGCTGGCTGGGACAGGTTGGTGGAGATTCTGGACGAAGGCCATTATGTCCGGTACGATTTCTCCACTGCGACAAAGCTGCTTGACGTGTCATCTGCTATCAAGGAGACACATGGAACATTCGGTAATTTACTGAGCGAATGTTCTAATGCCTCGGAATTGTCGGCTTCGCTTCAGAAATTTAAGGGTGTTGGTCCAAAGACAGCAGAGATCTTTTTGCGTGAGATGGAGCCGCGACTGTACCCAAAGTGAGACCTTTCTTTTCCGGGATGTTGTGTACACGATATTCATCCATGATCGGCAATTGATGATATATATTCTGAATTGTACGAAAGTACCTAATATTCCAAGACGTCTTCTGGAGACGAAGTATACCTACCCCGTACATAAAGGCTAGGACGTTTGATGGACAAAGGCTTTTTATAGATGCTGTGGGGGTGCTGTGGGTCCCTTCTATTCTGGGGCGGATTCCTCAGGCATCCGTGACAGGGCTGAGTCAGCCACACCCCCTGTGCTGAATCAGCTGGCTCCATTACCCGAAACGGCAGACGCTTTACCCGAACAGGAGACTTGGTAACTGCAACTCAACTGCGACTCCGTACGACATACCTGCATTACTCTCCGTGCTTCTCTCCTTGTCTTCTATCGCCCCTCATTCCTCCTCATTCTTCAATTTGCCTCATCGTATTTCTGTCCTCCCCGTGCTTATTCGTATATACTTCAAGACGCGGAGAGACCATGCGGATGAGTGACAACAGCATTCTGCTCCTCGTCATAGCTCCCCGTGTCTAACTTCCTTCCCCCTCTTCCAACGTCACTGTTGGCCGCATTGATTACCATGGAATATTAGCCCTAGACGACGGTCTAATATGCCCTTGGTCTGGCTTGCTGAAGCTCTTTAACCTTAGAACATTCCTCTCGCTTCATTTTCATTGCTATAGCTCTGTCCTTCTCTCCTTACGTTTCCTCTCCTACCGCCGCAACTTTCCCCCATGGATAGTTCAACGATCCCCGATATCCCCCCCGTACCTCATACCGATGGAACAGCTCCCGCCACGATAGACCGCCCCAAGACCGCCCCCGGAGATTCAGAAACGGCACTCAGTTCCAGTCGGAGCAATGGACGCTCGTCACTCGACTCAACATCAGACCGACCGAAGTCGCAGGCCGGCGAGGTCGCCAGTTCCGCCAAGGCAGGTTCCAGCGGCTTTTCAAAACTGATCTCTCGAACGAGACGCAAAAAGAAGGAAAATCAAAAACAGGCCGATGAAATGCCAACTCAATTCGAGTTGGAAGATGATGGCGAGGGTCAAGAAAGTCGGCGAAATAGCTCGCGGGATGGCCTCTCGTCCAATAACCAGGATGACCGGACCCGTCGGGATAGCACCCTTCTAACCGATGACTCCGAACCTGAGCAGTAGGTCCATGCGTTCGATAATAGGTCCACTTCAACGTTCTGACTACTCTTAGGACTCCCCCCTTAACCTCCCGCAACTCTCACGCCGGTTTCTACACAACCTCATCGCCGTTGATCAAACCGCCTTCCCCGGAAGGAAATGACACTGACGGTATACAGGCTGATGTCGAGTCAGCTGTCAGTGGTCCGAGCGCTACTCGGTCTGAATCCAATCCGGACACCGAGCCACAACGACCTGTTTCCCAGTCGAATTCCACATTAAGCATCCCCGAAGAGCGCAGTGCGAAGAAAGGCGGCGTTTCAGCGGGTCGACGTCTTAAGAACGCCTTTACTTCTGGACCAGACAAAAAGAGTTCGAGTCGCAGCCGGACTCCGTCTACTTCCGGGGAAAGTCGAAAAGGGAGCATGTTCGGTGGCCGCAGTAGACGAAGCAGTCTAGCATCACGAAAGGCTCAAACCGTTATTACTGAAACCCCGCCTCCTCTGCCTCCAATTCGCACAGATTTGGTAGAAGAGAAAGCGAGCTCATCTTCTGATCTGACTGCTGTTCCAAGAACCCCACCGCGCACCGCCATCCCAGCTCCCCAAACGATGGTGACGCCTCCCACTCCACGCACCAACCTAACACATGTTTTTTCTTCTCCCGACGTCATCGAATCTCCTGGCTCCATGAAATCCAACGAATTCAACTCTGGGGGCATCACCGTCAGTCCTTCGGGAAATATGATTTCCCATCGCCGTGTGCGTTCTGCGTCCTCCGCAAGTCACAAACCTAGCAAATTGTCAAACTCGATATCCGCACTAGGGCCGACAGCAGAGGAGACAAAGATCAACTCCAGATCGCCATCAGGCGCTCAGAGCGGGTTCTTCTCTTCGGTCTTTTCTGCGGCTCAGAATGCTGCATCGACGCTCACGAATACGCTGAATAATTCGCAGCCGAAAGCCCGCAGTCCTGCCTTGTCCGACTCGTTGCAACCGGAGGGCCCACAGGCTGTTGAGTCTGAGGGCGACTCCCAGGGAAAGCCGGCCACAGAGGAAAAGAAACCGTTGGCGGTCGATACGTTGGGGTCTGGAGATTTGAACTTCGAGCATTTGGACATTGCATTACCTCCGGGTGGATCGGTCTCGACCCCCGACGGTGTAGTCATAACAAAGCCAGATGCGCCGTCCGACAAACGCACGAATCACGCGGTCAACCGTCGTGACGACGAGTCGGCGAGACGGGAGGATAGGCACGCTGCTCGCGCTGTGACCATGGCCTATGAGAAGCCGTCCGATATTTCGGTACTTCCCCCATCGGACGAAAGCCTGGATCTACAGTCCAGCACATCACTCCCCAGGGATGCAGGTGGCGAACAAACCCCGCCGACTGGGAGCATCCTCGATGGAGATATTCCCACTCGACCACATCGGAGCGGGAGTGTGCGAAGTCGGCTGGCCCGTCGTCGTCATCGCGGTTCATCTGGGGCAACTACTTCCACAATCGGGGCAATCGGGGCCAGTGCCGTCGCTTTAGGGGTGCCGGGTGCGAACTCTAGCATGCCCCGATTGACTGGCTTTGCCGTCGCCAGCAAAAAGCGAAACAGGGACTTTCACCAATTATTTCGCAGTGTCCCTGAAGATGATTACCTGATTGAGGACTATAGCTGCGCCCTGCAGCGTGAAATCATTCTCGCAGGAAGGATTTACATATCAGAGGGGCACATCTGCTTTTCTAGTAATATCCTGGGCTGGGTCACAACGCTAGTTATTAGCTTTGATGAGGTCGTGGCTATTGAGAAAGAGTCGACAGCAATGGTATTTCCAAACGCTATTGCAATCCAGACTCTGCATGCCCGCCACACATTCCGAAGTCTGCTCAGTCGTGAGGCTACGTATGATTTGATGGTCAATATCTGGAAAATCAATCACCCATCTCTCAAGAGCTCTGTCAATGGCACCCGCGTCACTAATGGCACGGGTGATAAAACCGAAAAGGCCGGTGAGAGTGGGTCAGAGAGCGAAGATGATGAGATCTACGACGAGGATGAAGATGGAGACAATGCTGATAGCCTCTTTGCACCGGACGCCAGTGTTAACGGTAGCGATAGATCTTTACCTACCCGAGGCCTGTCCAGACAGCCGTCGGGTCAAGTTCTTACAGCAAACGGCGGAGCTTCGGCATCAGCTGGTAACTCCAACGGCGATAAAGGCGGCAAGTCTGGCGGGGAGAAAGATACGGACTTTCCGGGCCCGCCCACTCATCCTCCCACGGAGTACAACGATCCCGCGGGCCAGTATGATAAAGTCATCAAGGATGAGATTATTCCGGCTCCCCTAGGCAAGGTCTATTCTTACGTGTTTGGGCCAGCGTCGGGGTCCTTCATCCCGAAGTTCCTCGTGGAGAACCAGAAGTCTGGCGAGCTCCAGTTCGAAAGTGAGAAAGGCGGCCTTACCAACGAGAGTAGGACCAGGAAATACTCCTACATCAAGCCTCTTCCTGGAAGCATTGGTCCCAAACAAACCAAGTGCATCAGCACCGAGTATCTGGATTTCTTGGACCTAGAGAAAGCTGTCCTTGTCACCCTCAGCACCCAAACGCCAGATGTGCCGAGTGGAAATGTGTTCTGTACCAAAACAAAATACCTCTTCACCTGGGCTGCGAACAACCAGACGCGATTTTTCATGACTTGCACGATTGAATGGTCAGGGAAAAGTTGGTTGAAGGGTAAGTCGTTGCAACCAAGTATTCCGTTCAATGTACTGACGGACTGTAGGTCCTATTGAGAAAGGCGCTATCGATGGCCAGACTTCATTTGGTACCGAACTGATCAATTCCCTGAAAGCTGCCATGGTGCCCCGTGGTCGTGGTGCTGGGAAGGCCAAAGGGAAAAGTCGGCGCAAGAAGAGCGACTTGGCCGGCACGGACGCTGGTACAGTGGGTGCGCAAGGCACCAGCAATGCGGATGCACAGAAACCCGCATCCTGGGGGTTCTTGGAGCCGCTTCATGGTCTCCTCGGCCCCGTCACAGGTGCCCTTAATCCTATCTTGAGTGGGAATGTTGCCGTTTTGGTCATTGGGATCTTGCTTTTGATGATCTTCTTCCGAAGCCCGTCCCAGCCATCCGTGCTATCGGGTGATATTGGCTGTCCTGGGTACACACTGCCACAGCGCCTGGCTGCCTATGAAGAGATGTGGCGCCGGGAGGAAAGTGAGCTCTGGGGCTGGCTTGAAGACCGTGTGGGTATGGATGGCATGGCTTTCCCGACCGTTCAAAGACCTGCCGAGACGCGCCAACAAAAAAGGTCCCGACGGTTGCAAGGTGAACGCGAGATCGTGGACAAGCTTGCCGACGAAAAGATGTCAGTGCGAGAGATGGACCACGCCATCCGCACCACTCGGGAGAGACTCGATACTCTGGAGCGGATCTTGACAAAACGCAACACTCGGTCTACGGGGACCGAACAAGAAACAGCACAGCACATGCAGTGAGAGCTGTGAAACAGTCATTACCTAACAGAACATCCTTCGGTTGAAGGAGTCGTCATTCATTGAAAAAGTTTCTTTTTACCTTTTCTCTCAGCGGGTTTTCGGTGTTTGGACATTGATGACTCACCATTTAACCATTTCTTTTCATCCAGTCATTTATTGAGATCTGTGATCAGTGTGCAACTGCTGCGCGGAGCCTTTTCACATTTTCCTGTGTCTGTCTCATACATAGTTGGGGTTTCTTGATTTGGAACGGCTTGTTGAGACTACTATCTTCTTGTACATGAGCGCCTGCGTGTCTATACTAGATTTCTTTTCTTCAAGTTATAACCACTGTCTTTCTAGGTGTATCCATCTCCACAATTTATCTCTAATCATTAAAGTATCTACCAAACGGGCTATAGGAGCAAGGCCCTCGTAATAATATAAGAGCCTGATCCGCCTTTGTACCTAGGTAGTCTAGTCTCTGAGACTGTTGTGGTGGGTTATTTAATTTGAATAGCTTCAATGTGTCCTTTACTCTGGTAGACTTATCATGTTCTGTGGCCTCTCTTCTTTGGTAGCTACCTGCATATCCTCATATCATCCTCGATACTTGGGTCCAACAACCAGAAACTACCCGTCTGCTTCGCTATGGATCTGGTTTGCCAGTGTCCCTATGACGGCTCCTGCTTCTGGGGTTAGGGACGGAGGTACCACTGTACCGCATCATGATCGAATCGCGGGGGTTTCGCACGAGGAGCCATGATGGGTTATTATATGCAGTCGAGAAAGAGCACATGCTTGGCGTCTAGAGTGTATAAGAAACATTTATATCATACAGACATAGGGACAGACGATCTAGATCGTCATCCAATGCAATGCGATACACAAATCAATACATAATGGGGTGCGAACGAAGCCAAACGCTAGGAAATTAGTACATGTATATATGCAAAAAGTAAACAAAGTCATCGAGAACAATCAATGGTCGGAATCGTCGTGAGTTTATAAGTAGGCATGTCGAGCCCGGTCAAGCGGGGGGCTTGATCACCTCGGAAGCCATGCTCGGCCTGGGACGAGAAGATGACGTAGACACGCGGGACGCCTCTTGTTCTGCTTCTCGCTCTTCCCTTTCTTTCTTTCTGCGTTTTTTATTGATCTTCTTCATTGCCTCGCGTGTTAGCTGCTCGCGGAACAATCGCTCGACAACGTCCTTCTTGCGGGTTCTGCGATCGCCGATCATGATGAGGACGCCACCCGTAATGTTACAGGTGATGGAACAGCAGAGGATGACTGTTGTGAGCGCAAATGGACGCACGTGGTAGTCGATGCCCCATGTGCAGGCGCCGAGGGCAATCTGCAGCAAGGAATGACAATCGAGGAGCACAACAATGGCAATGAGCATCCGTAGCGGAAAGGCGTGGTGGGTTAATGTTTCGTGCGGTTTATAGAAAGTGTGCGATTTAGAGAGCTTCGTCTGGTGGTGGATGAGCTTCTGCTGCTGAACCGGGTTCAGCACGCTGTACTCGAACTCCTCGTCTTTCGGTGTATCACCAAACTCGACGTCGATATCCGTCTCGCGGCGTGAAGGGAGGTCGTTTTTATCTTTGAGATCCGGCAAACGCTTCTTCCGACGCAATTTCCATGTCAGGAATGTATAATGCGCGATGAAGATCATATGGTAAGTATCAATGGCACGGAACGGGGCTAGCCCGTCACCCATGACTGCGAACAACGCCACTAGGACGTTGTCAATGACGTTGATGATGTACAACTGTCGCCCCCCGACGTTGATCCATCCTAAGGCACTGGTAAGCACATTCCTCCAAGCAAGGCAACGATTGGGGGCGTACCAATGAGGAACAGTACCCAAGCGAGACCAAAAGCGGTAATTGAGACCGCATAGAAAGTGATGAGAAACCCGAGGGCTGGAGAAAGTGAGCGATGGGCGGCTGACCAGGCAAAAGAGAGAAAGCCTTACGTTTCCGCACGTATTTTCCAAAACCTTTCATCGAGCGTTTGAACTTTGACCGACGGGAATGTAACATATGTCGAACATGATCGTTAAGTTCTTCGACATCTCTTGTGGTCCAGCCCTCAAGATTGCTTCCTTCCGGAAGCACGGCGAATCGAGTGTCCTGCTCCTCCAGCACCGCCGAAAGGCTGGTCAAAGGGCGTTCTAATGATGGACGAACGTCCCTTTTTTCTGGGTATTCCTCGCCTTCATCGGTGGTCGTCGTCTCATCAGAATCATCCCTCGGCGGTGAAAGAGTGTACGTTTGGTTTCGATTGATGAGGGGGCCCAAATTCGGGACGAACAGCGAGTTCTGGACATTCGTGAGAGTGGACAATGCGGAGACTTCCGGATCTGAGCGTGGGTTCCCATGGTTAGAGATGTTTTGATGTCAGCCGAAGTCAGGATCGCGTACCGATGACATCTAAAACATCCACGATATGAGGATGGTACTCATTGGAAAACTCCAGTGGTGACGGTGAGCCTCCACTGATAGTAGCACGGTTGCGAGAAAAGCGGTTATGAGTAGCTGAACTCGTCCAGCGCATAAGACCTCTACCAGCCTTAGATTGAACATCCGGTTGTACATCCGCTTGTTCCGGGGGAGGCGACGGAGCGAAGGGCTGGTTTGATGGAGTTACCGCGACAGGACTCGGGTTAGTGTTCTCTTCCATCAAAGGGTTCATTGGCTCTCCCGTCCTCAACCGGGTCATCAACGCCGGATCTGGAGCAGACCAGCGGCCCGGTCGGGGCTCGGAGTTGCTGCGACGGCGATTGGCTTGCCATGACTCGTCCAGGTCCTGGGAGGGCCTGGGGGACGCGGGAATCGCACTGGGGATATCGAGAGTAGATAGTCTCTGAGAGCTTCGACGAACTTGAGGCGTCTTCTCTGCCGATGGAAGACGCTGAAGATGGATGGTTGGACGACGGGTGCGCAGCGATGGTGCTCGGGGTCGAGTCGGCTGTGATGACGTCGTTCTAGACCCAGCGGTGGAAGTACTGGAAGAGGGGGGCTGCTGAGGAACCCCCTGAGGACCGGGAGAGCCACGTAGTGGCTCTATGCGATCCATTGGGATCAAGTAACGGGCATGAAAGATCGATAGAGGGGTGTTTGGGGACGGATAGGAAAGGGAAAGCGAGAGGAGGCGATAGCGAAGGCGAATGGGGTGGGAATAAGGCAATTCTTTGACTAAGCCTGCCAAGCCATGGGTCCAGCAACCTTGTTTTGCGGGGATGACGTCGGGCCTAGATTCTTATCTATACAGGTACACGAGCACGGAAATCTTCACATTGCCCGTTTGGGGAAATTCAGGTGTTCACCCAGGTGCCGGTGTTGCTGTGTTGCTTGGTGTTCAGCATAGTTGATCATATTGAATTGCCAGTTTAATACAATCACTCCATTGGCAATAATATGCTAGGCGCATTCCATCAGTCATCCGCTCTTATTGTGAAGTTGCTACAATGCGCTCCATCTTTGTCGATTCACTGTTACTTCCCATGCCCTTATTGACTGTAGCTTTCAGTGAACTGTTGCCACACGATCTGTTACTCTGTCAACCCCTTGTCTTGTTTCTCCACCATGGCCATCCTCAGCAGCCTACTTCCCATTATCTTCACACATGCAGCCCACCTTTTCACCCATAAAGACAACTCCATCCCCCACTCTCTATCCCAATCATTTCTAAGAGATCTGATCAACTGTAGGCTGGTCCTGACTTGCAATACCGCCCTCTCTCTCTACCTTCACCTGTCGGTACGGCTTCTGCTTCACCACTCAGGTCAGCATGCTACATCCCTCCCATACAGCGGCCTTCTAACCGTCCCTTGCAGTTACTTTCAACTCAGCAACATGGCTCGAAAGAGGCCTGCTCCCGAGGCCATCGAGCCCACCACTGCGTCGAAGAGAGGCCGGACTTCCATGACGAAGAAGACACCCGCAGCGAGAACCCAGGAGACGGCGCGCAAGAGGGTTGTGGCTCAGAAAAAGCCCAGGCAGACAGTTCATGCTCCTACACAGGAGGAAATCGCAGAATACAATGCCGAAGAGCAAGCCACAGCTCCCATAGGCCAAGCAAAAACTACGTCGACTGAGAGAGAAATTGCAGCTCCTAAGAATCAGGAAACAACCACGGCCACCAGGCCGAACAACAGACGGAAACAAACTGCACCCAACAAGAATCAGAAAGCAACCGCGTCCACCAAGCCAAAACGGGCTGCAGCTCCGAAGAGCCGGAAAGCAACTGCTTCAACCAGACAGAAACAAACTACAGCCCCCGAAAACCAGAAGACCCCCGCGTCCACTAGGCAGAAGCGAGCGGCAGTTCCCACGGAGGAACAGGAGGCACCCCCCACCAAGAAGCAGAAACAGAGTATCTCCACTGCAGCTGAACATGCTCCATCGAAGACCCAGGTCCCCTTTGTGACCCCTCCCCCCGAGGCAAAAGCGGCGCCTACCAGATCATACGTGTACAACTTTGAGTTCTTCGAAGATATGGCCAAGACGATTGCCAGCAACTTTCCTTTCGTTGAATTCGCCGCAAGACATTCATGCAATATCCATGAGGTTGCTCGAGTGATCAGTGCAATTATTGTCGGCCCTCTCTCTGATCCTTCTTTTGATTGGTACGATAATGAGGATTTGACGATTCCAAGCTATGTGACGATGATGACGGAGGCGTGGGAGCGGCATTACCAGAAGATACTCGTGGCCAACATACAGCCGGTCGAGTCTGACGACAGCACTCATAGGACTGAGGATTCCGATGAATCTGATGATGGGTCATCTAGTGACAGTGACAGTGATGCTGCCTCGAGCAGTTCTTCGGACGATTCTTGCCTGGCCCCAGTATATCTGTGGGTGATCTTGAAAGTGATGGCGGAATTGGAGCCTCATCGGTCGCACACAAGCACGAAGGGAGCGATGCAGCCACTCACTGTGCTGATAATAGCGTCGATGAGGCGAAAGACGAAGTCAGCGAGGAAGTCAGAGCGACGGTGATGAAAGCAGTGAGAGAGCCTCCGTTGAACAAACCGAAGTATGTCCCTGTTGAGAGACGTCGTGTGCATGTCTACAAAGATGAATGGGGCAGCTACGTGCCAGTGCCTACGAAGGAAGAACAGGGAGAGCAGGAGCGTCGCCATTGGTCGGAGAAAGAGACCCGGCGCATCCGTCAGAACCGAGGCAGAGGTATGCTGGGGCCATCGTCGCAGATGCAAGATGTACCTGAAGAGCTGGACGTGGAGTTGGAAGAAGAGAATTTCGGAGACATGGAGTTGGAGATGGATCCAAACCTGCGTCGCGCTGTGGAGAATCCGTGCCCAGCATTTGTGGGAGGGAACCTAGGAGAGCAATTTGGAGCGTTCATGTTCTGATCAATTTGGCGTGCAGTTGGAGCTCTCCAGATTGTTGTCGGTGTTGACAGAGTTGTAGTTGAGAAATGCACGGGATGACATCATGGCTGAGATAAGCCGCGTGGTCTGCCTCAGGCTGCAACGGCCCAAAGCGGCTAGCGGCTTCCCTTTTTCTCTCACCTCTTGCCAACGGAACCTCTCTTACTTCATCCTTCCTTCCACCCCGTCAATCAATCTCCATCTGCTACAGATTCTTTCTTCCTCTTCTCGTATCTAGGGCACCAAGCTACCCTTTTCCTCCTTCCTCCCCCCTCTTCAAGTCAAGTCAATCCCTCCTGTCAAGTTCTGTTCAAGTCTCTCGACTCCATAACACAGGCAGCCTTCAGCTCTCCTGAGTCAATCAACACACAATCCGGTCATCGCCATCTATCCACTCTCCACCACCACCTCTTTCTTCTCTCGACCTGTTTGTGTCCTCAGCCTTCAAGATGTCTACTGCCGTCGAAAACAAAGCCGAGTCCACCGCCCCTGTGCCTGCTACCACCGAGGCCACCAACGGTACTGCCCCCGCTGCGACTCAGTCCACCGATGCCGCGGCCGCCAGTGCCGACGAGGGACGTCGGCTCTACATTGGGAATCTCGCGTATGCGACCACTGAGGGGGAGCTCAAGGAGTTTTTCAAGAACTACAAGATGTAAGTCACCTGGCTGCCCAACCCACTCTCCCCTTTTTTGGTGTCCTTTGTGGCGTCGGCGCCTGTGGAAAGGGGCCACCGTGTAAGGTTTCTTGGCCCATCTATCAGCTATCAGGGGGATGAAATAGTCTGAATTACCAAGATTCCTATTTTTAACACCCTCATCCCACCATCCCACTGCCATTGACCCGGTACAACTTCATGTTGTGAAGGGGAGCTATGGACCCTCCTCGTGGTCGCCTATTCCTCGGCCCCTACGTCATTCTTCAGGCATCATTCGGCAAAACTGAAGCTAACCCATCTTCCACCTAACAGTGAAAGCGTCTCCATCCCTGTGAACCCTCGTACCAACCGTCCGGTTGGCTACGCCTTCGTGGACCTTGCTACCGCCCACGAGGCCACCGCCGCTATCGAAGAGCTCTCTGGAAAGGAGATCCTTCAGCGCAAGGTCTCGGTTCAGCTTGCTCGTAAGCCCGAGCCGGCTGAGGCTAAGGAGGGTGCCGCCAGCGGCGGCGAGGGTGCTAGCGGTAACGAGGGCCGCAAGCGGGCCGGTGGCCGGGGTCGTGCTCGCGGCCGTGGCCGCGGCCGTGGAGGTCGCTTGGGTCGTGGTGGCCGTTCCGTAAGTCTCCGTCCAGCCTCAGGCCTTTTATCTTGTCATCTAACCGCATCGATAGACCCAATCTCAGAATGGCCAGGCCGCTGAGGGTGCCGAGGCTTCCGGTGAGGCCGCTCCTCTGGCTGAGGTCAACCAAAATGAGGCCGCTACCGCTGAGGCTGGCAAGCAGGGTGGTAAGCCCCGTGCTCCCCGTCCTCAGAAGCAGCGTGGTCCCCCTGAAGATGGTATTCCTTCCAAGACCAAGGTCATGGTGGCCAACCTTCCCTATGATCTGAGCGAGGATAAGGTGCGTATCCACCCGTTGATTCGGTGGTGGATGATCCGAGACTGACCCTGCCCCCCAGCTCAAGGAGATCTTCGCCGACTACCAGCCCGTCTCCGCCAAGATCGCTCTGCGTCCCATCCCTCGCTTCATGATCAAGAAGCTCCAGGCCCGCAACGAACGCCGCAAGGGCCGTGGCTTCGGATTCGTCACCCTGGGCTCTGAGGAGCTTCAGGAGAAGGCCGTCAAGGAGATGAACGGCAAGGAGATTGAGGGCCGTGAGATTGCTGTCAAGGTCGCTATCGACAGCCCCGGCAAGGAGGACGATGCCGTTCCCTCCGAGGAGAAGCCCGCGGAGTCTACCGAGACTCCTGCCGCCGGCCAGGAGAACGCTGCTCCCACCGCGGCCTAAATGACAAGTCGTTCAACCCCACCGAACGAGAAAACCTCCGATTGTGTGGAATCAATCGGAGGGCTGTAATGGAGGAGTGATGAGACTGGACCGTCGTACGGATTAATTGCCATGGTGGACATCTGAAGAAAAGCGAGAGCTGCTGAAACGCGCAGAGAGAAAAACACCACGAAAAACCCATGAAATCAAGACGAACGCTGTGGCTATTAATCCTGTCCGATATTGTCTATTGTGATGAGACATTGATATCTTTTTTTATTTCCTATGTTGGAGTGGACAGCCGCGAGGCGTCCGTCGTTGCTGGAGACATGACCAACGCCTGAACCGTGAGGGTTGACGGCGTTTTTTCTTGAGATCACGAATCTGCCATTCTGCTATACTGTATCTTAGCTACCATTTACCTAGCTTTTATGATTAGCCGCAAGGCTGGCCTTGTAGTCAAGGGGACTTTGCGGAGTTGACGATGAGTTTTGTGCATCCACATAGAGTGCAGTATATACTTACCCAACAATCATCCAGTCGGTATGTATACAACCCTGGATTCTCCCGCCACAAAAGCGTAGATTACGCATAGATGAGACTAGAGCAACTACGTGAGGGAATCATATACAGGAATTATCGAATCCCCGTTTCAGTAGATTCTACAGACACCTCGAGAGAATTGTACATCGAACAACAGTATGTGTTTTTGTAATACGGTAATATACCGATTCCTCCCGCGGTGTGGCTGTATTGATCCGTCCCCCGCTGCCTGCATTCCTGATTCCTCCCACTAACTAGGTAGGTACTGCTCTACTCCAACTCCTCCGTCCCTACTACCAACATCCCCTCCGCCGTTTGTTTCCTGCACCTCTCCATTGCCCATCGTCGTTCTCTGATTTGCGCCGGGGTGTTGACAGTGGCATTCGCACTGATCACCCATCACTGCACCCGCATCGAACCACCCTGTCCGACGAGAGGCGACGGACTCCCAGATTAGGCCGCTTCACTTCTGCTCTTCTCTCCACGCCTGCCCACCGTCCCAGTCACTTCAGGGACGAGGAACACCACGCTCGACGTATCGTCTCATTTTATATCCTGATTGAGAAACTGTCTCATTCGCCCGTCATGTCCAAAATGTGGGATGTTGATCCAGAGACTAAGGCCAAGGTATTCATCCTTTTTCCCCTCATACACCACCCAGCGCTAACCGATGCATGGTCATCGCCTGTTCAATAGCTCCTCCAATACTCCAAAACCAATGGAAATGACAAGTGTTGCGACTGTGGCGCACCGTCTCCCCAATGGGTTCGTGCTTCATGATCCTCCCAACCCCTATACGCTCCGCATTGCCGCTACTGGATCAACCGTCCCTCACGTTATACAAGCGATCATTGACTAACGGCATCTCGCGCGCTGTCGGTTCCCATTCATCCAGGCCTCCCCTAAGTTCGGTACCTTCATCTGCCTGAACTGCGCCGGCACTCACCGCGGCCTCGGCGTGCACATCTCCTTCGTCCGCTCCATTACCATGGACGCCTTCAAGGTCTCGGAACTTCAGCGCATGGAGCAGGGGGGAAACGACACTTGGAAGTCCTTCTTCGATGCCCACCCCATCACACAATCCGAGGGTCGCACCTTCGAGGACTCGACCATCAAAGAGCGCTACGAGGGTGACGTCGGCGAGGAATACAAGGAGCGGCTCTCCGCCAAGGTCGAAGGCCGCGAATACGTCCCCGGTCAGACGATGAAGAAGTCTAAACCTCCCGTCGCAGACAACCAACCCTCGCGATCAAGCACCCCCCTCATGAACTCGCGCGGTGGCCGCGGCTCGCCCGCCTCCCACGATGGCTTCGGCGGCGTCGACGGCGGCCGCAAGGAACGCAACGAAGCCTACTTTGCACGTCTAGGGTCCGAAAATGCCACCCGCTCCGACTCCGTCCCGCCGTCTCAGGGTGGAAAATTCACTGGCTTCGGCGGCGGAATGCCCGTCTCATCGCCGTCTTCGCAGTCTTCGGCCGGCGGCCCCATCCCCGGTTTCGATGACTTCCAGAAGGACCCCATGGCCGCATTGACCAAGGGCTTTGGATGGTTCACCACGGCGGTCGGGAAGAGCGCCAAGACTGTGAACGATAGTTATATTCAGCCCACGGCGAAAGACGGTATATTTACCCTCTCTACTCCTCCGATCGCGCCCCGTGCTAACAGTCATGTCAACAGATAGCGGAATCCGACTTCGCAGCCCAAGCCCGCCTCCATGCCGCACAACTAGGCCAAAACCTCCAGGTCGGCGCCCGCGGTGCCGCCGACTCCTTTAACCGGTTTGTCGAGGGCCCCGATGACGCGGGTGGCAGCGGGGCGCGCCGTCGCCAGGACCCCGAGCGAAAGGACTTCTGGGATGACTTCTCATCTCTCGGGGGACAGGAATCGCACCGTCGTAATACGTCCCGGTCGAGTGCAGTCGGTACGACGGCCATGAAGCCGGGTCCGACGTCTTCGCCTGCGACGGGTGGCGGGAGCGCCGCCGGCGGCGCGTCGGGAGGCTCTGCGGCCACGGGGAAGGGACAGGATGAATGGGATGATAATTGGTGATTTGCATTTTGCTTAGCGCATCTTCGTTTGCTTGCGTGTTCCTCGCCTTGTATGTATGTAGGGTTTCATTGTAGTTAGTTTCGGCTTTGTTTGGAGTGATCGGTTGCGATGTTGATAATGCATGGGCGTGCCTTCCAAGCGTACATTTTGTGGGTGTCTGTTGTAGATGATGGTATATACTCTTGATCAAATACATGGAGACACATTATCTAAATGCATATAGTACAGCTTCGGATTATATGATACATAGGCTAGTGACTTGAGTTTGTGGTTACATATACTCTCCGCGCAGATCAGACAGCACCGCCTTCTGGCGCGGCGCGCTCATCTTCTCGAACCGATCAACACTCATGACGAAGGTCCCGCGACCGGCACTCAGACTGCGCAGATGCTTGAGATAGCCCACCATTTCCTTGAGAGGCACCTTGGCGGTGATGGTGCGCGGGCGGTTCGTCGACGCAGGTAGGTCGACGCCCAGCGACGCCGACTGGAACGGGTCCGGCGGGGCATATACCTTGGCCGGGTCGATGGGCGGGAGGTCCTCGGTGGGTTCGGGCGAGGCGACGAGGTCCGTAGCGGGGAGCGGGATCTCCTCGTCCAGCGAGACGATGTGGCCGCCGCGCGAGGACGAGATGTCGTGGACGACGGCGCCGAGGCTCGCCTCGTCGACGGTGATGACTACGTTCATGACGGGCTCCATGAGCGCCGTTGCGCTGGCTGGGGCGGACGAGACGAGGGTGCGGAGGGCCGAGGAAGTGGCGAGGCGGGCGGCGGCAGAGAGCGCGGACGGGGTGGTCTCGTTGCCGAAGAGGTGGGCGGCCGGGTCGAAGGTGAGGATGACGCGTGTGTTGTGCAAGGGGAAGGTGAACTGGGGCCCGCGGGCGAGGGCGGCGAGACAGCCGTTGTGGAGGGCGGAGCGGAGGGTCGGGACGTCGAGGGTTGCGGGGAGGAGGGGGCTTTCCTCGACGCCGCGTTTGCTGATTTCGACGTCGAGACCGGGGGCCAGGATGACGATCTGGTTGCCGTCGCTGATCTCGACGGAGAGGGCGGAGGATTCGTCGACGGCCGGGGAGGAGTCCGGGTCGAAGGGCTCGACGGTTGCAGTGCAGCCGGCTTTGCCTTTGCGGCCGGCAATCTCCTTGTCGAAGATTTGGGTGACGGGGCCGGAGGCGGCGAGGGGGCACTCGCGGTAGCCGATCTCGATGCGGCCCATGCTGGCTTTCGCCTTGAGGTCGTTGAGGAGGCGGTCGCGGGCGATCTCGAGGTGCAGCTCGCCCATGCCGCTGAGGAGCGTCTGGCCCGAGTCTTCGTCGACGGTGACGTGGAGACTGGGGTCCTCGCGGAGGAGCATGGCGAGGCTGTCCTGCAGACGCTTTTCCTCGCTGAGACTGTGCGGCTCGACGCTGGCGAAGAAGACCGGCGGAGGTACGGTGATGGGGCGAAGTTGGAGCGTGTTGAGAGGCTCTGGGGGAGTGGCTTTGTTGCCAGCGTAGGTGACCAGGGTGTCGCCGGTACGAGTGTGTTTGAGGCCGGCCACGACGCCGATGTGCCCCTCGGGGATGGAGTCGACCTCGACAGCGTCGTTGGCGTACATCTTCAGGAGCCGTGGGGCGCGTTCGGAGACGTTCAAGTTGGTGTTGAACAGAACGCTGTTGCGGTCTAGGGAACCCGAGTAGACGCGCACGTAGACGAGAACCCCTCGCTTGGCGTCGTTGACTACTTTGAACGCGAGAGCACAGCCCTGCAATTTCTCAATGGCGGTGCGAGATTCGGCATGGATGGCGGCCGACTTCTTCTTAGGCTTCCCCTTAGTGGCGGCCTGTTCGCTCTGCTCGACGAGTAGGTCGCCAGAGAGAAGCCGTCGCAGGCCTCCCTTCACGCCGCCAATGCTGACCTCCGGATCGGCGGTTTCGAGCGGGCTGGGAAGGAGGTTCACGACGGCGTCGAGTAGGGGCTGGACGCCGATGTTGCGGAAACTGGCGCCGGCGAAGACGGGGATGATTTTTCGTCCCGTCTGCTGGTGCAGACACCGGCGCAGACTTTCTAGTATGTCCAACGGGGGTACGGCGAGGTGGTCTTCGTCGCAGTCGAAAAACCTCTCGATCATTGTTTCGTCATGCTCGCTCAACAGCTCAACGAGAGCCACTCTCGCGCGGCGGAGTTCCTGCGCCAATTGACCGTCCTCGGCATCTAGTTGCTGGAGATCGAACATCTTCACAGACTTTCCGTCGCCGTCATCCCATCGGAGACCTTGCAGGTTGATGGCATCGGCGACACCGATGAATCGACCGTTTCCGCCCTCGAACCACGGGATCTGGCAGACAGCCGGCCATCCACTTAAACGAGAGGCAACTTCTCTGACAGTTCTCCCAAACGCGGCGCCATCCCTGTCGAGTTTGTTCACGTAGACCACCCGCGGAATGCTGTAGCTGCTGGCTTGGTGCCAGACCTGCTCTGTCTGTGCCTCTACACCAGCCACACCGTCAAGAATACAGACTGCGCCATCGAGAATGCGCAGTGATCGCATGACTTCGAAGGTGAAGTCAGCGTGTCCGGGGGTATCAATTAAGTTGACCGTATGTGGGACGGCAGACCTCGGGGATTGTGCGTCATGGGGAGAGGCATTGGCTTCTGCAGCATTCTCCGGCGGCCAGTGGAAGGTGATAGCCGCGGATTGGATTGTGATTCCTCGAGCGCGCTCCGCCGGGAGGAAATCTGTGACGGTAGAACCTTCGTCCACGTCGCCCAGCCGTCGGGTGAATCCACTGTAATAGAGCATCCGCTCCGTGGTTGTGGTTTTGCCTGCATCGATATGCGCGATGATACCAATGTTCCTGGTGCGGTCCAGGCTGTCAGTCGAACGGTTGGAAGTGGACGTTGTAAATGCTTGCAACCGACAGATCTTCCATTTGCTTGGACTTCGGATGGCCGGTGTAATGTGTCTTAAATGGTTGGCTATTCTCGGGCTTGCTGGGCGCGCCGCAGCACGCAGGAAGAGAGCTGCGACCATCACCGCGATTGCACAGAAACCATGGGATGGAGGGAATCAAAGCAGTCTATAGCGTTGAACACATGTCAAGCACAGCTATATCTCTGCGTAAAGAAAAGGAGAACGTAAAAGCGACAGTGGGTTTGTCGAAAAACATGCGAAGGAAGAAAGTTGAAGCTGATAATATAAATGCGGGTTGAGATGTGACGGAATTGCAGGCCTGATAAATCAGGCCTCCAAGGCAGCAACGACGTAACCTCCTTGGAACTTCCTCTCCAGCTGTTCTTTAACTCCCCCCTCAACCCTCGTCCATCTCACCTCCTGTCATTGCCCTTAGCGGATCACGCAATCTTTTCCAGGCAGTCTAGGTGTGTCTCTCTCTTCGATCTACACCCCCCTTGCTTTTTTTGTCCCCATCTGACCTGCCCCCAGCCTGCAGACGTGGTTCCTCGGAGCCGCAGTGATCCCTCCTCCCCATCGCACAACTCTCCGCCCTACCACTCTCGACGATGGACTACTCTGCGATCTCCAACGACCCGGATCATCCAGCGGGTGCCTCTCCCTGGGGCTCTCCTCGGCCTGGTGAGGTGAACTTTCCAGCGTCGGCTACCACTGACATCCCTCCCTCGCCTCTTCCCCCACACCAATCCCCGTTTGATGCCGAATCCCACCCTGCCGACGGCTCGCAATCCGAGACAGGCCACGGAATTGGCGGAACCGAGTCCCCCGACCTATCTGAGAGGTTGCAGAACTCTCACCTTGGAGATTCGGGATACAGCGCGGATCAGCCGCAATCTGGCGCTCAGCAACCTCCTCGGTCCCAGCCCCCCGCGCATGCGGGCACGCCGCAAAATTCCCGACCCTCCGGTCCGGTATACAAGATCCAGGCGAGGATTACAGGGCTGGAAAGGCCAGGCAAGAAAGATCCAATCCTTCGTTTCGATATCCACGTGAGCTATTCCCTGATGAGAAACTGCCCGACCGTACGCAGCTAATCGGATTTCTCCCAATTAGACCAATATTCCCAAATTTAGAACTACGCAATATCGCGATGTTCGCCGGACTCATGGCGAGTTCATCAAACTCGCCGAACACCTGATGTCGGCCAATCCGGAAGCGATGGTGCCCGCTGTGCCTCCTCCTCTCACACCAGCCGGTGCGGGGACGGAAGAGGACGAGATCCGTGTGAAAGCGTCCATGCAAAAATGGCTTAACACGATTTTTGCCAACGAAATTCTGATCCATGACGATGAAGTGGTTCTTTTTGTGGAAAGCGACTTTGGTTACAGCCCGGTGGTTCGGATGAAACAACCTGCCACCGGCATGCGGAGAAAGGTCCTGAAACAGTTCGCTCCGCCGCCCGATGATACCCCCGAACTACAAAGCGCGCGGCCCACAGTTAAGATGTTTTATCTTGGATCCATGGATACAAGTCACAAGGTTGACCGCGTGGTCAAGGGTCGACGAGGTGGGTTGGCGCCTGATGCTATCTGTTATGTATAGGAATATTCATTAACCCCGTCTTCCAGGACTTGGACTTGCAGAGTCGGACTTCGGTGTCAAGCTCGGGCAAATGCATGTGCAGGAGACCCATCCCGGCTTGGCCCACGCCTATCGGAAGCTGGGTAGAGTCATTCAGACTGTTGGGGACTATCACGCAGTTCAGGCTACTGCGGAGGCAACGACACTCGGGGAACCTCTCAGCTATCATTCTTCAGACGCCTTCATCGTGAAGGAAACTCTCACAAACCGACACATCCTCCTTCGAGAGCTGATCCAAGCACAGCAGACGACCCGCAGTAAGCGAGCTGCGGCAGACCGTCTGAAGGGTAGCTCCTCCGTCCGGCCCGACAAGGTGGACGAGGCGATCACTGCGTTGGAAGATGCTCAGAACCATGAGGATTGGCTCACCAAGAAGACGCAACGTGTTACCTCGAATTTACTCCTTGAAAAGCGCCGCTGGTTCCAACGCACTACTGATGACCTCTTGATGACACTGCGCGAGTACACGCTACGCCAGATTGAAGCTGAGCGTCGAACCCTGGCCACGCTGGAGAGCGTGCGACCCGACATCCGCGCGATCGACTCTTCTGGAGGACTCAGTCGGTTAGGCCGCGAATCTCATCCCACTGGACGGCGCCCGAACATGGCCTCCAGTCAAGGACCTAAGGGAGACGCGTGGAGCGGTATTCCTCGTCGCAGCGACAGTCTTGGACGTAGTATGAGCGGTAGTATGATTTCTCCTCCACCGGACGATGAGGAGGAGGTCAACGGACAGGGCAAGGGCAGGCTACGCTCCACCAGTCGTGTGGGGTCTATCGTGGAAGAAGATGACGATGATCGGCTTGATGCCCGGAATGCCGCGAGTCGGCTGGCTACTAGCACTTTCTGAACATTGCCTGTATATTACGGATATTGATGATCCTGAGCGATTCCCCTCTCCAGTCGTTGTGATTTTTGTGTCTGAATTGCCTCTGATGATGCTGCTCGATGGGCGTGAACCTGGTAAGACTCATGCCTGGTATATGTTCGCAAATGATTATTCTTATTCCTATTCCATTCCCGCTTCACAATGACATTCCTCTCTCCCAGTAATTCATATTGCCAGCCTCATCCACTCAGAACGACTGTCTGTCCTAAGATCTCATCTCATTCGCCTCTTGAAGGAAATTGATCTGCTCGTTTCAATTGATCCTCGGGCAAATCAAACCAGGATGCCTTCTCGGCCAGAAAGATATGCTCCGTGGGCCTGGGAATTTCCATCCCCGGTTTCTCGTCGATGGTCCCAGCGGTGACAGCGATGCGCTCCCCAGGAATCATCATGCAGATACTGGACCCGCATTGGGGACAGAAGCCCCGTGAGGCTCTCTCGCTCGACTGACGCATGGTAGGCGGTATGCTAGTCCACGTCACATCAGAGCCATTGCAGATGGCCCAACTCTGGTAAGGAGCACCGGATTGTTTGCGGCAGGTGGTGCAGTGGCAGTTGGACATGGCGAGAGGTGGATTGGCGACCGTGTAGGTGATATAGCTGCATGCACAACTGCCTGTGAGATGTGGTGCCATGATGGGGTATAGTGTATTTGATCTGAATGATGTAAGAAGAGAAACTGAAGGAAATGGCGTTGTTCTTGTTCTTGTTCTTTCTATACTGCTCAGTAGAACCCGCTTACCAAGCATCTCCCCGCAACCGACGTCATCGGCAGTCTCTCCCATCTGATAACAATCCCTTCATTCAACGCTAGAGTGCTCTGTACAGTTTCAAATCTCCCCAGAAGAGGCAGATGCACTTCCCTACCAGTTGATCCTAATTTGAACTACAGCGAGGGCCGTCTGCGCAGCTTCTCCGAGCAACCGAAGCTCTTCCCACCCCACCCCCACTCTTGACCTTCTCTTGGGCCTCTGATCTGCATCGGTTTCAATCCGGTTCCATCTTATCCACTTTTGATTTCAAAGCGTCCCGCTGTTGTACTCGGCTGTAGCTATATATTGATGCCATCCTCCCCACTGACATCCCTGGACTTGGTCTTTTGATCTCCTCGTACACTTAGGTGACATTCCCATCTCTAGAAATTTCACATCATGGCTCCTGTGAAGGTCTTCCTGTAAGTGACTGCATTCCTCAAGTTAGTTACGCTCCTCTCATCTGACTATTTAGCACTGGTGTGACGGGATACATTGGTGGTGACGTCTTCTACACCGTGCACCAAGCTCACCCAGACTGGCAGTATTCAGTTCTCGTTCGCAACAAGGACAAGGGTGCTCAAGTTGCCAGCAAATACCCCGACGTGAGAATTGTCTACGGCGATCTCGACTCGTCTAGCATTATCGAGGAGGAGGTCAAGAACGCTGACATCGTGTTCCGTACGCCCATCCTAACCCTGTCCCGATTTCTATGCGACTCGATTCTAATCAACCCTAGACTGCGCCGACTGTGACCACGTCGCATCGGCCGAAGCCATCGCCAAAGGTGTCGCCCACCATACCGCCCAGAATCCAGTCTGGCTTATCCACACCTCCGGCACTGGCATCCTGACCGTCGAAGACTTCCGCACCAACACCTGGGGTGTGTACCGCAGCAAGGAGCACAATGACTGGGAAGGCGTCGACGAGCTCATCAACCTTCCCGACGACTCCCTGCACCGGAACGTGGACAAGATCATCATCGACGCCGGCTTGCGCAACCCCACCAGCGTGAAGACAGCCATCGTCTGCCCGCCGACGATCTACGGTCCTGGCCGCGGCCCGGGCAACCAGAAGAGCGTGCAGGCCTACTGGCTCACAGAAGCTGTGCTGAAGCGCAAGAGGGGTCTGCTGGTCGGCGAGGGCAAGAACATCTGGCACCAGGTGCACGTGCAGGATCTGAGCAACGTATACCTGGCTCTTGGCGACGCCGCGGCCGCCGGCGGCGGCCAGGCCACGTGGAACGAGAAGGGGTACTATCTCGCCGAGAACGGGTCCTTCGTCTGGGGCGATATCCAGCGGGAGGTGGCGCGCGTCGCCTACGAGAAGAAGCTCATTCCGTCGCCGGATGTCGAGCCTTTGCCGGATGCCCAGGTGACCGAGTTGAATCAGTTTGGTCTGTATGCGTGGGGTAGCAGCTCGCGGGGCCATGCGATCCGCGCGAGAAAGCTGTTGGGCTGGAAGCCCACGCAGCCCAGCTTGATGGAGCTGATTCCTTCAATCGTGGATCTGGAGGCGAAGGATTTGGGTCTGGCTTGATGGTCTTTCCTATAGGCATGATTTATGACACTCGATAGTTTAATGTGCAGAAAATGTTGTTTATTGCTTTGTAATGACCTGTAGTTACATTTTTGGAGTGGCACGGCTCTGAGGTGGCATGGGATGATGGCTTGAGCGGGAACCAAGCGTCGTGAATGCCGGATTGCTAGAAATTGAGGGCATACAATGGATGTACTCGGCACAAAACTCGGTCTGCTGACTTGACAGACCACCGTCGATCCCCATCGCTGCACAACATCTCCGTGCTTCCGCATGGAAATCTTGGTGGTATACGACGGCAAAGAAGCGGTCCCATGGTGCTTGTGGAGGTAAAAGTGCGGGCGGGACGTAGAATAGAACGGAGGCAGCTGAATTTCGTGCGTTCTGGTCTCGCAGTGAGGACAGGAATCGCTTCATGGCCTCTTCGGAAGGGAAGAGCATGCATCTGGAGGACTCTGGTAGCGCGAGGCGTTCCCTCACCGCGGTGACGAGGATTTGGGATGCATAATGCCTTTGCCGGTCAGTTTCAGGTTTAGGCATGACAGAGAGGTGATATAGTACCTTGCGTAGATGGATTTCATCATGAACGTATCCTAGAAAATGGTGAACATAACTGAATGCAACTTGGGCGTTCACTATGGGGTACGTATAATGGTATATACTAGCAAGGCTTTACCGCCATTTTCACTAGGCACATGTTATTTGTTGGCCTCTGCATAGACTTGGCTGCATTGTATCCATAGATGCATGATTATGATGAAAACAGGTCACGCCAGCCCCTCAAATCGCTGTTCTCAACATTTGTAGTCTTTGCTAGGTACATACCTCCGAAAGCTTAGGTAGGATTAAGGCATCCACCAGACGAGAAGGAGCAGAGAAATCATCTATTGGGCAGAATATTAAGCAACAAGATGTTAGTACCATGGCGATAAAGAGCTCGTAATAAGTTTTCTTGGGGTAGATCCTCTCATGTAACAGTTCTTTGTCTGGGTTCTTTGACGACAAATATATCCAGAAGTCTGTGCCGATGTTCCTTTCACGAACAAGATAATCAATTCTCTTAGTAGAACACTATCCGTATAATAACATCGATGTCTTCTATAATAAGTAGGCTAAATAGAAAGTCGTTGGGAGTGGTTGAAATAAAATTGTTGACAACCAAGATATAGTTAGTTGTGGAGGATAAATAAGCGCGGAGGGCGAGACAAGCGACCTAAGCGCGATGCGCGCCAAGCTGGCGGTTTCTGGCGATGATTTGATATCCACCCGTCCATCAAGTGTTACTGCTTTGTTGCACCAGCTCCCCATTGTCATTCCCCCCACCTTGGATGACTGTCTCCTACAGGTAATACTCCTTTGTGGCCATCATACCAGTACTCCCTCAATCATGCTCTGACATTTTCCAACCCATAGGTCACCGCCTAATGCCTCGCGACCTGTCGGAACCATCCTCGTTCTCTGTCTGAGCTTCTAGCTTTGACCGTGCTGTCATGGCTCCTGGTGCCGGAGGAAAGCGGAAGAGAGGAGAAAGACAGTGGTCTGGCGATTCAGGAAACGACGCCGGACGCCCTTCTCCCCATCGGCCAGGCAGCCTGAACATGGCGCAACAACAACAGTCCCCTCGCGAACCCCCCGAGACACGCGGGAGAGGTCGAAGACAGCACAATCGAGGAGGGCGGAATAGCATCGGCCGAAGGCCTAGTAATGACACCCAGAATCTTCCCGGGGCTCGCAAGGAAGGAGCGATGTCGCCTCCGAACACCACACCCGCGAAAGACGCCACGGAATCCAATCAGACAAACGGAGTTACCCAACAACCGCCACCGTCACCAACACCGGCGCCCTCGTCTGTTTCTCAGTCGCAACCTCAGCCCCCTCCTCCTCCCCTCCAGATGTCGCCTATTCAGCCTCGCGGGCCTCCCCCGCCTTTCGACTATGAGTACGTGACCGATACCATCATCGAGGACTGGCTGTCGACCGGAAGACAGAAGCTTGTGGAGGACGGGATACATATCCGGAATGCACAAGATGATGTGAGATTAGCGGCGATGTACCAGGAGCTCATTCGAAGCGCCTTCTACGGTCGGATGTCGCCCACAGATGCAGGCAGCGCCGTGAAGGACATAATTGGAGAAGACGTTGCGGCGGAGGATGTCGATATGGAGAGCGAAGGACAGGCTACGATTCTTGATACCAGATCCCTCTTCCTTGATACCCTATCGATCGTTACTGACTCCGATCCATCGAATCCCGCACTGAGGCCCCTCGTTTTCTCCACTGCGATCAATCCTGCGCTCATGCGCCTTCAGCTTGACACGCCTCTACTGCAGTCTTTGGGTCTTGTTCGAGAGACCTTTGCCCGTATGGGAATCCGCAAACAGACGAATCTCTTGTACCGACAATCGAACTACAACCTACTCCGAGAGGAATCGGAAGGATACTCGAAGCTCCTCACAGAACTGTTCACGACAAGCAATAACGAACCCCCATCCAGTGAGGTCGTCGAAGACACCTTTGAGAAAGTAAAGGCGATGATCGGTGCGTTCGACATGGACGTCGGACGTGTCTTGGACGTGACCTTGGATGTTTTTGCTGCTGTGCTTGTGAAGCAATATCGGTTCTTTGTGAAGCTTCTACGGGCCAGCTCATGGTGGCCTAAAGAAGACACTTTCCGCACCCTGGAGGGAAGCGCTCGCGATACAGGCTTGCCCAACTGGGCTCTCCCGGGCTCTGCGGGTTGGGTGACGACTGACGAAGAGCGCGCCGAGGCCATGCGAAACAACGAGCAGCGGGACAGGCAATTCTGGGACCGTGTAAAGGAAGTCGGAATCCGTGCTTTCTTTGAGATCGGTCGTCGTCCGGTTTCTGAAGAGGAGCTGAAACAAATTCTCCCGGAAACCAACAACCTTTCGGAAGAGGAATTGGAGACAAGGAAATGGATTGCGGAGACCGGCACGCTGCCACCAAAAGGGAACAGGGTAGCTGCGCAGCTTCTTGGATTCAAGCTACGTTTCTATTCTTCGCGGGCACGATCGAAGTCTGATGTTCTTCCCGATAACCTCATTTACCTTGCCGCGCTGCTGATTAAGGTTGGATTTATCTCCCTCCGCGATCTGTACCCGCACTTGTGGAGGCCGGACGATTCTATGGATGCATTGAAGGAGGAGAAAATGAAGGAGAAGGCGGAACGAGAGAGGGCTGCTCGGCCTGGTGGCGGCGTGAATGCGCTGATGTTGGCCGGTGCTTTATCGGATGACACGCTCCCGACTCCACGAATTCGAGAGTCGGAGACAAGATCAGCCACTCCAGGGAAGGAACAGGACGCAGACAAGCCGGCTACCAAGCCGGAGGAGAACGATCTCCCAGAGCCCTCTGACCAGAAAGTCCAACTGTTGAAGAGCCTCCTCGCCATCGGCGCGCTTCCAGAATCCCTCTTCATCCTCAGCAAATTCCCCTGGCTCATGGATGTCTACCCGGAGCTCCCAGAGTTTATCCATCGTATCCTTCACCAGTGTCTGAGCAAGGTTTATGCCTCGTTGCGGCCGATACCCGATGCAGAGGATCTTCGGGAACAGCAACAGATCCCCAGCCACGACCAAACAGGTCTCGGTAAAGGACAAATCCGCCTTTGCCAGGCGCCTCCGCGCCGCGTCCTTCGCTGGGCTCAGCTTGACAAGGAAGACACGAACGATGGTACCGACTATCGGTTTTATTGGGATGACTGGGCAGACAACGTCCCATTGTGCCAGACAGTAGACGACGTCTTCGCCCTGTGCTCGTCCTTCCTCAACCTGTCCGGACATAAGATTGGACAGGACCCGAGCTTACTCACGAAGCTCGCACGGATTGGGAAGCATAGTCTTAACAAAGATGATTCACCAGAGAACCGGGCACGGTGGCAGGATCTTTGCAAACGCCTCTTGCTTCCTTCGATAAGTTTAACGAAAGCGAACCCCGGCGTTGTCAACGAAGTCTTTGATCTCGTGAGCTTTTTCCCTCGGGAGACCCGGTATAACATGTACGCGGAATGGAACTTTGGCCAGACATCTCGACTGCCTGATATCAAATCCGCGTTTGACCTAGCTAGAGCTGAAACGAAGGATGTTCTCAAGCGACTCAGCAAAACGAACATTCGCCCAATGGCTCGCGCGTTAGCCAAGATCGCTTACGCTAACCCCGGAATTGTCATCAATGTCGCCATAAGTCAGATCGAATCTTACGAGAATCTCATCGAGGTCGTTGTCGAGTGTGCACGCTACTTCACCTACCTTGGATATGACATTTTGACCTGGGCCCTAATCAGCTCTCTCGGCCAGAAAGGACGGAGCCGCGTGCAAGAAGGTGGACTGTTGACCAGCAGATGGCTGAACGCGCTCTCGACTTTTGCCGGTCGGACGTTCAAGCGGTATTCTGTCATGGATCCCACGCCTCTGCTGCAATATGTTGTTGAGCAGCTGAAACACAATAATTCGACAGACCTTATCGTTCTGGAGCAACTGATCAGCTCTATGGCCGGTATAATTACGGATACCAATTTCAATGACTCGCAGATCCAGGCCATGGCTGGTGGCGAGGTCCTCCAAGCGCAGACTATCCTTCAGTTGTTGGATCGGCGACACGAGTCCAAGACTACGTCTAAACGGCTGATGAAATCGCTGACGGTATCGAAACTTGCTGGCCAGTTACTTATTGCCATCGCCCAGGAGCGCTGGACTTGCATCTACAAGGAGTCTGATGGCTCTTCTGAGCTCAAGTTACTGGGAAATATCTTCGACGAGATCCACCGAGTACTGGCACAGTATCTCGATCTGCTGCGCAGCAATCTCTCCGTGGAGGAGTTTGATTCCTTCGTTCCTGACCTCGCATCTCTAATTAAGGAGTTTGGTATCCAACCGGAAGTCGCCTTCTGGATCCGGCGACCCAGCATTGCCAAGAGAATTGCTCAAGATGAGGCGCTGAACGGCCAGGATGAAGACTCTCCGTCGCAAACTGAAAAGATGGAGACAGCTGATGATGGAGAGGCCGCTGCCGAGGGCGAGGTATCCGAGTCCATGGACGTCGATAAAGAACAGTCCGACAAAAACCAGTCCAACTCGAGGTCTACCGAACAACCATCCATCAACCCAGTCATGCAGGAAATGCAAGATCAAGTCAAGTCCGTCTTATCCTCCGATACCTGGGGCGTTGTTGGCTTGCAATTCTACACAACTTTTTGGCAACTGTCTCTTTATGACGTGCACGTCCCCCAGAAGGCGTACGAGGATGAAATTGACCGTCAAAAGAGGAAGGTCGTGCAAATCAACAGTGATCGATCTGACATAAGTATCGCTGGGTCTCAAAGGAAGGAGAGCCAGAAGAAGCAAGTCACACAACTCCAGGAACGGATCTTAGAAGAGAACAAGGCCCATCTGAAAGCCTACGGTCAGATGAGGGCAAAACTTCAGAAAGAAAAGGACCGCTGGTTCTTTGGCATGCGAGGGAAGCATGATTCTCTGAACGTCTCTTTGCTGGAACAGTGTTTCCTCCCCCGCCTGCTTCTGTCGCCGATTGACGCTTTCTACTGCTTCAAATTGCTCAAGTTCCTTCATGCTTCTGGAACCCCGAACTTCCGCACTGTCGGCTTGTTGGACCAGCTGTTCCGTGAACAGCGCCTCACCGCTCTCATCTTCCTCTGTACTTCTCGAGAAGCTGACAATCTTGGCCGCTTCTTGAATGAGATTCTCCGCGACCTCAGTCGGTGGCATGCGGACAAGGCTGTGTATGAAAAGGAGGCCTTTGGAACGAAGAAGGATCTTCCTGGCTTCGCCATGACGGTGGACCCTGAAGGCAAGCCCACTACATTTCTGGACTATGAAGATTTCCGCCGTCTTTTGTACAAGTGGCACAGACTGTTCTCATCTGCGCTCAAGACCTGTTTGAATGGTGGTGAATACATGCACATCCGCAATGCTATCAGTGTGTTGAAGGCTGTTGTCCAGCACTTCCCGGCTGTCAACTGGATCGGCCGTGACATGCTTGTGTGTGTGAACACACTGAGTCAGAAGGACGAACGAGACGACGTCAAGATTCCTGCGGCATCACTGATCGGTGATTTAAACCGACGCGAGAAGAAGTGGTTACTGCCCCAAGCGTTTATGATCACAAGCCAGCCGGCACCGAAAGGAAGTCAAAATAAGCCCGATGCCGACAGGAGCAAACCCTCCACTCCCCGACCCGAAACGACACCAGGCCCACTGAATGCTGCAGCGCCTGAGTTCAAACCTTCCACAACCGAGTAAGTTATGACGAAGACGTATCGTCAGCTCTAATCTAACCGTCAGCAGATCTCAAGGTGCAACCAAACCCGAGACCAAGACGGAGGTCGAAGACGGAGAAATCGAAGATGCGAAGATGACGGATGCGCCGAAACCCACACAGGACGCTGAATCAGCACAGAATCCAACGGAAGACAAGAAGGAGCCTGCTGCAGAGCTAGCCCCCAAGGAGGCGCCACACGGCACTAACGAGGAAGAGGAAAAGCCATCGACTGATGACAAGGATGGTCCACAATCACTTCCCACGGCTGAGTCTCAGACACCAAAAGGTCCCGAGCCGCGCCACCCCAATATCCCCAAGCGCCCTGATGTTGATCGACCTAGCGCCCAGAGCGCTCGTTCTTCTCATATCCACACACCAGGCCGTTCTTTCCGAGAAGAGAGTCGCTTACCACCGCGACCTGATCTCATGGACGACCGTCGCGAAAGGCATCCTGACTATCCTCGCGGCCGATTTGGCGAACACGACTATAACCGGTCATTTGACCAACCTATGGGTGATGGGCGCTATGATCGCCTGGGTCGCGATTATCCTCCCAGGCAACCGATGGACGAACCCTTCCGTGGTCCCTATCACCGGGACTCACGTCTCCCGCGAGAGCCAGATTGGCCCGATCGTGGGCGTGGCGCACGTGGCGGCCCAACAACACACCCTGATCGCATGGAGATGATCCAGGACCTTCCCGACAGAGAAGCCCAAAGGCGTGGAGACCCGACACGTCACGATAAAGACGATCGGAGGTCCCTCTCATCCAGACTCTCTCCTCCCAAAGATCTCCCAAGCCGACCCGAGCGCTTTCCTGATGGTCGTCGGCCTCATATGCGCCACGAAGATTTGCCAACGGGACCTCGCGGCGACAGACCTGGGCGCGGCGGTGAGCTGATCTCAGGTGGAGACTCGAGAGAGCCACCAACTGGCCCTGATATGACAGCTGGGCGCCTCCGGCAACCGGAGCCGGCTGATATCCCCGCTGGTCCTCGGGGACGCAACCAACCCCGCGGTGGACGACAGCAGCAACAACAGCAGCAGCCCGGACCGGCTCCGAGTACTGGGCCTGCTTCTCAGGAGCGACAACCACCCACGGGACCCAGTCGACAGATGCGCACAGGACCGGAGCAACAACCTCAGTCTGCCCCTCCTTCTCCTTCAGCCGAAAGACTCGATACGTCCGGCATTCATCCCGATCGACTCAGGAACCTTCAAGAGGAGCCACCCCAGGGAGGTGGGTATAACTCTGGGCGTGGTCCACCTGCAGGGCCTGTCCTACCGCCATCAGGGCCGCGTAGCGCGGGAGGGGCCCATACGCGTGGTCAAAATGCACCTGGTTTTGGTGGCGAGCGAGGACGCGGTGATAAACGATTTGCTGGGATCAACAACATGCTTCAGCAGACGGGTGGTCCTCCGGATCGCGCCCCTCCACCGGTCGTTAGAGGTCGTGGCGCCAACCGCCAGGCCAGCGCCCAAGGTGGTCGACCACAAACCTCGGGAGGCCCTCCTGATCTTCTGACTCCACGGGGACCCCAGGATGATGATCAACCCCGACGACGAGGTGAGCAAGATGAGACTGCGGGGGCCGAACGGCGTCCTCCACGGTACTCCGCCGGCAGCTATCCCCATGACCGGGAGCGTGAGCGCGAGAGAGACCGAGAACGAGATCGCGAGCGCGAACGGCGCGAAGACGATGGATCCCGTAGCAGTCGGCGGGAGGAACATCGAGACCGTAATCGGGACTATGAGCGTGAGCGTAGCCGCAGGAGTGATGCAGGCAGTTCTTCCCGAGAAGAGCGGTTCGAGTCGCGTGAAGCGTCGCGCCGGGGACCTGGTTCCCGCGAAGACAACCGTCGTCGGCGTGACCGCGAAGATGCACCGGAGGCGACGCAAGGCCACGACGAGGGCCGTTTACGTCCTCCATCGTCACTTGGTGGACAACCTCCGCCGCCTCCTCCGCCACCTCCACCCCCAGCCGCCGGGGAAGGAGAGCGTCGCTGGGCTGGCGGGCGCGATCGGGACCGCGACCGTAACCGAGACCGCCAACGGGATCGGGAATATCAGCGCGAAAGTGGTGGTGGCTCAGGAGGCGTACCTCACAAGCGTCGGCGAGGCGATGATGGTGGACGTGGGGAGGGCAGCGGTCGTGGCGGCATGAGGACGGGCGGTGACAATAAACGACCGCGAAGGGGCGCATGAGTTGAGAGGATTGATTATTGAACTGATGATGAGTCTCTCTTTTAGTTTCCTTACCCATGATGCATCTATAGGTGTTTTGGTTTGCTTTGTTTATTCTTTCGGGACTTGTTGGGTCCAATGTATTTCTCCACTATTGATACAATAAGATTAATGTGTTGGTCGCTCTAGAATGATCGCACTGTACACTTGATGACTGAAGTCACTATGGACTGACTGCTACCAAGTAGCAGATAGCTTTTCTCCTATGGCTCATGGACAGTTTGCACGCAATATAGGCTCCGCGTCAATGGACAATGTTCACTTCCGGTTGAAGTCGAATCGCAAACCGCCTCCAGACGTTATCGCTAATCTTTTGGGCGAGTTCCAAGACATCTTTACGACTTGCACCTCCATGATGGACCAAGATAAGGGCATGGCCGTGGTAAACCCCAAGACGGCCATCCGTGCAGCCCTTCCATCCGCATGTTTGGATCAAGGACGCCGCTGGCACAGTCATCGGTTCCATTCCAGACCGTTCCATTCCAGACCGTGGAAACAGCGGCATCTGCGGATGAAGTTTCGTCAAGCATCGAGAAGTCGCCAGATCCACGACGGGGTTTTTGAAGAAACTCCCCGCGCATGCTTGAACAGTGGGTGATTGCACGAGGGCTCTCACATCCGCGACATTCTGGATGGGAATGAAGTATCTGGCGATGCAACTGATTTTCAGGCTGTTGTAAGGACGGAGGTCGACGTGTTCGTGGAGGGGCATTCTGCTCTGCGATGGTTGTTCCCATGGATGCAATTGTTCATGGAAGATGGTGCAAGGGACACGTGCAGCGATACTGGTTCGTCATGCAGATGCATACGCTACACCGCTTGTCTCCTTATTATCATATTTCACTGCAGAAGGCCCCAAGTTGTTTCCTGGTCGCCTCTCCTGTGCCGATGCAATGTCAGACTCGTTTGCCATCCAGGGTGGCCGGGACGTCGTGGGCGAGATCGCCGTCTCCGGATCTAAGAATGCCTCGCTTGCCCTCATAGCTGCGGCGTTGTTAGCCAGCGGACGCAGTGCGCTGGAGGACTGTCCTCGAATCTCCGACATCACGAGCCTGACGCAAATTATGTCCTATCTGGGTGTCGAGTCCACAAGGATTGCAAGCACGCTTCATATCGACGTTACAAATCTTCAGCGTCACTCAATACCGGCTGTCCTCTCCACCAAACTCCGGGCATCGATCCTCCTCCTGGGGGTCTTACTCGCCCGCTTAGGACACGCTAAGATTGCACTCCCCGGGGGATGCAAGCTCGGAGAACGTTCCATCGAGGAGCATCTCAAGGGCCTCGAGGCACTAGGTGCGCAGATTCGCGTGGGAGAGTTTATCGAAGCATCTGTGCCGCCGCCTGGACTTCACGGCGCAGTCATAACGCTCAAGACGCCAACCGTACTCGGAACGGGGAACATCATGATGGCTGCATGCTTAGCACGCGGGACGACGCATATCGTCAACGCAGCTCGAGAGCCGGAAGTGGTCGACCTGGCCCGCTGCCTCGTGGACATGGGGGCTGAGATTACCGGTCTCGGTACCAGTGTCCTTGTCATCCACGGCCGGGACACACTTCATCCTTATAAATACAAGGTGATGGAAGATCGCATTGAAGGAGGGACCTTTCTCATCTTGGGCGCCATGTGTGGCAATCCTCTCACGGTCCATGGCTGCCACGCAGGGCATCAGAAGGAACTACTCAAGCTGTTGCGAGCCGTTGGGGCCAAGATAGATGTCCAGGGTCGATCGATTGTTGTTCGGAGAGCCACAGCACCAGCAGCCATCGAGTTCCAGACAGGCCCATATCCTTCGTTTCCGACGGACCTGCAGCCGCAGCTGATGGCTTTGCTGGCGACAGCTAAAGGTGTGAGCCAGATAACGGAGACTGTTTTTGACCAAAGGTTCAATCAGGTCCCTAGTCTGAGAGCAATGGGAGCCAGCATTTCCTTGGACGGTGCAAATGCCGCTGTATATGGTGCGGGTGGTCTGTCCGGGGCTATTGTTACCGCGACAGATCTCCGAGCCGGAGCTAGCTTGGTTCTAGCAGCTATTGCTGCTCCTGGGCTGTCCATTGTTCATAAGGTTGAAAATATCGATCGAGGCTATGAGAATCTGGAGCATAAGCTGCGTGCAATAGGAGTGTCTATTCGGAGACTCCAGGCCAACCCTACAGTGAAGATTAACAGTCATTCTATTGTTGTCGATGGGGCAGCTGTGGCTTGTCCCGACAAGAACAACACTGAAGCACGTTGATAACTCCATTGATCTGGTCGTTGGGATCGTTTGGGTATATTTGAGAACATCAAAACGGCACAATCCCCTCTCGTCGGATGATCTTCCCAACATCCTCATCCCTCGCGCCTTCTACGACGCTCGCAATGAACGTCCCTCCAATGCTGGGGTCAGCGCCAGCCCCCACCGACTTTAAATACTCCGGCCCATTCCCTCCAAGATTAGTTGCCAGGAACCCCGGTGCCACACTCCAGACCTTGACTCCATCGGCTTTCAACTTATGATTGTAGTCGATCATGAGCATGTTCAGGGCAGTCTTGCTGCACCGGTATCCGATGGTCTCGAAGTCGATGTGCTTCGGCCATCCAGCTGGCTGCGGAGGCGTCGGGAAGTATTGCTGACTAGCGACGGACATCTGCGACAGGCCAGCAATGAAGAGCAGTCGAGGGTCGGCTGATTTGAGCAGGAGCGGCATGAAGATATACGTCATGACATGTGCGCCGCTCACGTTGATGTTGTACGCCTGGTTGAAGCAGTCGCGAAGACCGATCTGTCCGTCGAATGCGGCGCCTGCCGGGTGTTAGTACACGGAGTGTCGGCATTGGGGAGCTGTCTGTGGCATACCAGCATTATTGATCAGCACGTCGATATACTCGGTCTTCGCCTTGACCGTCTCGAAAGCGTGCTGGATGGACTCGTCGGTCGACACATCGACCTGCAGCACTTCCAGAGTGCTGGTAGACTGCGGGAACTCTTTGCGAAGCGTCTCAATGGCCGCCTCGCCCTTCTCCACTGACCGACTTCCGACGAAAATGCGATACGCCTGGTCGGACTGGACGAGGGCTTTGACGGTCTCGTAGCCAATGCCCGTATTGGCGCCGGTGATTACGACGATCTTTGGAGATGACATATTGGTTTGTGTCTGGCCACGACAGCAGTGCACTGGTATGGGAGGGATCATGAGAGTAGTGGGTGATCGTCTTTGCTTTTATACTTCGGATGGAGTTAACGATGGGTCGTTGCTGGTTAAGTCCGCCTGGACCCTTGCTGATGCCTTCGTTTTTAGTATCTTATCTCCGCTACGACCGTCAAGTATGGCGAGATATGATGATGACAGAGGCATTATGCTGTTCTAAGATGGGTCTAAAGTGCTAAGCATGCTACAATTGCATAAACATCATATCTCTCAGTGGTAGAGGCCCCCATTGGCACGCTTTACCATGGTATAAGGCGCACCCACGCGGTTCAACACCTTGACCTCGCGAGGCTTTAGATACATCGGCGTTGTGATGGCAAAGTACTTCTCATAGTATGGCTTCTTCGCTTGGACCTGGGGGAGGATAAGTATTTGATGCAACGGTGGTCATCCATCAACTATACTTCTAACAACCACTCTGTCGATTGGGACCTGGTAATTGTCAATCAAGTAGCTAACTATTCTCCGAGAGGCCTACCAATTCTCTACCCAGGATATAGTGCCTGGGTCCTCTGGCGATTGATACACCTCGAAGAACGTACACTCCGGCTCAGCAATGACGTTGTCATAGAGAGGTTTGAACTCTTCCCAGAATTTCCCGAGGTTCTCGGGACGGATATAAACGGTCATGTGGAGAGACAGGCTTTCCGTCGAGTTCGACATGGCTTCGGATATACGACAGACGGGGATACCGGAGAATTGAAGATGTTCAGATGCTCTTTTATGTCCTTTGGGGGCCGCTGACATCAGCGCTAACATCCGGCCAAATCTAATGTGTGCTCCTGCAGGATCCGAGAATAACGTTATCTTCGCTCAAGTAGGATTAATTCTATTGCTTATGGGGAAACTAGCTCTAGCTGTCTATAGAGATATGATTAGAACAGAATGGGAAGCCTTTGCGTTATGCTGCCACCAGCTCAAAATACTTGAGAAACTCTTCATCCCTCCTCAGCAGTTCGTGCTCCTCGGCAGCCACCTGCACAAAAATCTCAAACACTCTGTTGTCCCTCCGTCCAATACTGGGCAAAACCAAGCAATAAGCCCCAGTGACTGGCCGGTGCGTTCGAAAGGCAACCGGCAATGAGCCTCCTCCCATGTGGTACTTGTCGATACCGATGCCCCGGGTGCACCAGCTGTTCATGAGAATATCCATGTCATGAAAGTCACTGTGCACACCGAGTTGTTCTGTTGGGGAGAGGGTCTTGACAAGCGAGGTCAGATCATGGATCGAGGACAGACTGACGGGGTCTATGGATTGGCGGATCAGGCTAGCTGCAGTTGCAAGACCTTTCTCTCCATCTAAGGTCATCTCTTGGGCAGTCATAGGGCCCGCGTGAGTAGGAAAGGCTCCATTGCCAAAGTACCGCTCCGAGGTTCTGTTCTCTGGGTCCCGGGAGCGCACATTGACGGGATGGAGGAGACGAGTCAATGATGTGGCTTTCTCTGGGTGCAGACGGATTCGGGCACGGGTGATCGAAGTCCAGAGGAGCGCAGAGATGCAGTCGTACGTGGATATGTAGTCTACTCCCTGGAGGTACGGAGTGCATTGCGCTTTGAGTTGTTGAACGGAGGCCTCGGTGATCTGATAGATGCTTGTTTGGAAGGGCGGAGGGGGCTTTGGAACAAAGGGGGCCTTTTCTGCCACGTGGTACGTTGGGAGCCTGTCGAGAAGTTCCTGCCTTGGGAGGCCCTCTGTTCCGTTGTATGGCGTTTTGTTGAGATCTGGGGTGTAGACGGGCATCTCCTGGCCTTGCTGATGGGCTTTGGCGCCTTGACAGATCAAGGATAGGAACGCGTCCATGGACGCCCAGTCCCCTACCATGTGATGCATGGTGAAGCCTAGGATCAGGCCGCCCTCGATAACGTTCAACTGCAGAGCGCATACTGGTTTCTCGTCCGCAGGCATCTCAGGTAGGAGTAAGACAGGGTCCAAATCATTTGGAGAGAACGAACCGGTGGCCAAGGCAGAGAATGACTTGTGCTCTCTGGGGCCCAAATAGTTGACGATGCACCGCACATGCTTTCCTGGGGCTGTCACGATGCAGAGTCTCCCAGACTTGTCAACTTGAAGATTTCCCGCCATGAAAGGAAACTGACGGGTCGCATTGCTCAGCCCTTCTTTGACTGAGGCTGCGAAGTGGTTTGTATCCACTCCCGGCTGGAGCTCATAGAAGACAAAGGCCTTCACCATCATGGGAACAGATATTCTGTCAAGATCTGACAGGTCGTCTTTCCTGATGTCGTCCATGCTGAATGATAGCTGCGTTGGATCTGCTTTGAAGCTTGGATCAATTGGATGGGGAAGAGGTGTTGGATATTGGTATCTCCAACAGACATGGAAAGACGCTGCCTACGGAGTAGTTGCACAGCTCCTTGGTTGGTATTATTAGTCTCGAGCAATTGTGGGGCTGATGGACTCGGTCCCAGACTATACTTTTTTTTTTTTGCCGTTCATATCTCTTGTTACCGGTAGTTGTAGACCGGATACTGGTACAGTATCCATGGCATTGAACCGGGGTGGCATGAGAAGCCCTGACTGTGCTTGATGTCAGATCTGGAACACACAGTTCAATCTCTAGGTCTCGTCTATAGATCCAACCAACCTTAAAATGTGCACGCCATACTAGAGCTCTGTTATTTGCTCAATCAAGGTTCAGCTATGCTCCCCTTTGTATCTGTCAATACAGGCCATCCCGTACGGGCTGCCATGGCTTCACCGCCTATACAAAATCGATATAGCGGTTAGCCCTCGCACCTCGCCTGCAGACCGCCCATTCAGAAGAGATCAGAATCCCTAGTAGAAAAGGAGTCGATTTCTCGCTAGATTTTAGATAAATTTTAAATCCTTGCTTCAGCCCTATTTTAGCGGTAAATCAGCAGTATTTCAGACATTTGCAGATTGACAGTAAGAGTATCACTCTTCTCCCACGCTCACGTGCATTCATCAAAGCCTCCAGGCCGGTATATAGATAACTCTCTCGACAGAACTCAGCAACGGTTTAATTGCCAGACAACATATCTCTGGTGCATCAAGCTCCAGATGACACTACTCATGCATCCATTGGTGGAGTTTCGCAAGTATAGACATGCGACGTCGACGCTCACTCGATATATGGTCGAGTGACGAGTAGTCCCTGTCGATCATTTTAAGGCCACGAGACCTGCAACGGCTCATCTGTCACCCGGCCCTTGTTTCCGCCGCTAGGATCTGATATTTTCCGTATTGATTCATGTGTTCCGGCGGGGATGGACTGACGTCTGGGGGTGCAGGGGTATATGCTATGAGGGCAAAGCAAGACACGTGACGGGACACCAAATCTGAACTCCTCAACACCACAAACACCAACCTCCTCCTCCATCACACACCATCTCCATCGGACCAACTCCACGTGCAGTCAGCCACAAAGAACGCCGCAGCCGGTTCCAACTGGTTGCAGGCATGTCGGGCCGACATCCGCCAATCCCCACTGGCGAAGCAGATCGGCTAAACTTCGGAGTCACGGACACTGCTCCGTGCTCTTTTCATCGTCAGCCCGACTATCCTGATTGAGCCGAAGCTCTCTATATGATCGTTCCTGGCGCCGGATACGGTGTTTCAGGGCCTTCCGACTTCCCTCACCCGACCCTCTGGTTTCACCATCGCGGCCACCTGTTCTCTTCTCCACAGAGGGGGAGCATGCCGGACGGTCCGACGATCCATCCTTCAGAGCCTGTCGCGCTGGTCACTCGACGCGAAGCGGGGAGTTCGGGAATGAATTGCGGTTGACGATAACTAATGTGCTGGCGGTGCAGTGTACATACTGGTCGCCTGGTCGGTACAATTGTCTGCTTCCTATCTGGTGGGTTGGCTGGCCCATTCTCGAATGAGATCCTATATAGCTGGAGACCCCGCCATTGCGATCCATCATTTTTATCAATCTGTTCTCCTCTACATTCCCCTCTCTTGCTGTCCTTTTCCTCTCCTACATCAATTTCTGGCTGTCCCCTAGCTTGATTTTACCAACAAAAATCTTCTCCGTTGACCGGACGAAGCACAACAATCAAAATGACTCGGCTTGACGTGGAAAAAACCATTGAGGAGCTCACATTGGGGGAGAAGGTGGCCCTGACTGCCGGTAAGACCGCGTCATCCAATTGTTTCAACTGACGGGAACTAACGTGAGCGCGACAGGAATCGACTTCTGGCATACAGCCTCCGTCCCCCGTCTGAACATCCCCACCCTGCGGATGTCCGATGGTCCCAATGGTGTCCGCGGTACTCGGTTCTTCAACGGCGTGCCGGCTGCCTGCTTTCCCTGTGCCACCGCTCTGGGAGCGACCTGGGATACGGAGCTGCTGCACGAGTGCGGACGGCTGATGGGTGAAGAGTCCATCGCCAAGGGATCGCATATCATCCTGGGCCCCACGATCAACACGCAACGGTCCCCGCTAGGTGGACGTGGATTCGAGTCATTTGCCGAAGACGGCGTGCTGTCCGGTAACCTGGCCGGCTACATGTCCAAGGGTATCCAGGAGAAGGGCGTTGCGGCGACGTTGAAGCATTTCGTCTGCAATGATCAGGAGCACGAGAGACTGGCAGTGGATAGCATCGTGACTATGCGCGCCATGCGCGAGATCTATCTGATGCCATTCCAGCTCGCCATGCGCATCTGTCCCACGGCTTGCGTCATGACCGCGTACAACAAGGTCAACGGCACACATGTCAGCGAGAACAAGCAGATCATCACCGACATCCTCCGGAAGGAGTGGGGATGGGATGGACTTGTCATGAGTGACTGGTATGTCTTGCGATCCCATCTGGCGGTCACCCGTGCTAACAACGTCCAGGTTCGGAACCTACAGTACCTCCGAAGCCATCAACGCCGGTCTGGATCTCGAGATGCCCGGAAAGACGCGCTGGCGGTCGACTCCTCTCGCGCACGCCGTGTCCTCCAACAAAGTCGCCGAGTTCGTCATGGACGAGCGCGTCCGCAATGTGCTCAACCTCGTCAACTTCGTCGAGCCCCTGGGCATCCCCGAGAACTGCCCGGAGAAGGCGCTGAACCGCCCGCAGGATCAGGCGCTCCTGCGCCGCGCCGCGGCCGAATCCATCGTGCTGATGAAGAACGACGACAACATCCTGCCGCTGAAGAAGGACAAGCCGATCCTGGTCATCGGGCCGAATGCCAAAATCGCCGCCTACTGCGGTGGAGGCTCCGCCTCCCTCGACCCCTACTACACCGTCACCCCGTTCGAGGGTGTCTCTGCCAAGAGCACCGGCGCGGTCACCTTCTCGCAGGGCGTGTACTCGCACAAGCAGCTGCCGGAGCTGGGCCCGCTCATGAAGTCGGCCGACGGAAAGAAGGGCTTCTCCTTCCGCGTGTACAAGGAGCCCGTGTCGGCGCCTAGCCGCGAGCTCGTCGATGAGCTGCACCTCGTGTCGTCCAGCGGCTTCCTCATGGACTATGTACACCCCAAGATCGATTCGCTGACCTTCTACGTCGACATGGAGGGCTACTTCACGCCCGAGGAGGACGGCGTGTACGACTTTGGCGTTACCGTCGTCGGCACGGGCAAGCTGCTCATCGACGGCGAGACCGTTGTCGACAACACCAAGAACCAGCGCCCCGGCTCCGCCTTCTTCGGCACCGCCACCGTCGAAGAGCAGGGCAGCAAGGAGCTCAAGGCCGGCCAGACCTACAAGGTCGTACTGGAGTTCGGCACCGCGCCCACCTCCGACCTTGACACCCGCGGCGTCGTCGTCTTCGGCCCCGGCGGCTTCCGCTTTGGCGCCAGCCGCCGCGTCAGCCAGGAGGAGCTCATCGCCAAGGCCGCCGACGCCGCCGCGCAGGCCGAGCAGGTCGTCATCTTCGCCGGACTGACCAGCGAGTGGGAGACCGAGGGCCACGACCGCGACCACATGGACCTGCCGCCCGGCAGCGACGAGATGATCCAGCGCGTGCTGGCCGCCAACCCCAACACCGCCGTCGTCATCCAGAGCGGCACCCCGGTCACCATGCCGTGGGCCGCGCAGACCAAGGCGCTGGTGCAGGCCTGGTTCGGCGGCAACGAGTGCGGCAACGGCATTGCCGACGTGCTGTACGGCGACGTCAACCCCGCCGGCAAGCTGCCGCTCAGCTTCCCCGTGCGCCTGCAGGACAACCCCAGCTACCTCAACTTCCGCTCCGAGCGCGGCCGCGTCCTCTACGGCGAGGACGTCTACGTCGGCTACCGCTACTACGAGAAGGTCAACCTGGCCCCGCTGTTCCCCTTCGGCCACGGCCTGTCCTATACCACCTTCGAGCGCTCCGACCTGACGCTCGCCACCGTCCCGGAGAAGCCCCAGTACGAGACCGCCGGCGAGCCCATCACCGCCTCCGTCACCGTCACCAACACCGGGCCCGTCGCTGGCGCCGAGGTCGTACAGCTGTGGGTGCGCCCGCCGCCGACGGGCGTTAACCGCCCCGTGCGCGAGCTGAAGGGCTTCGCCAAGGTGATGCTCAACCCGGGCGAGCAGAAGCGCGTCGACATTGTCGTCGAGAAGAAGCTGGCCACCAGCTGGTGGGACGAGCAGCGCGAGATGTGGGCGTCCGAGAAGGGCCAGTACGAGGTGCAGGTGACGGGCACGGGCGCGGACGTTCTGACGTCGTCGTTTGCCGTCGAGAAGACCCGCTTCTGGCTTGGCCTGTAGATGTTATGATTATGGCGATATGATGTCGGATGTCAACTGCATAGATAGTGACGAGACTGCAATGGTACCTTTACGACTGAACGTGCATGACGCATTAGGACCTGTCGGACTACAAGACATAGGACATGACAATACTAGTATGCACATCATTCTGGGGTACCTAGGTATAGACATTCTACAATGTGATACTATGCCACAACAACATTACTCCAACGTAATGCCTAATCCCTCGCGCGCTCCCGCTTCGTCAGCCTACCAAAGAAGCTCTTCACTCTTTGAAAGAAACCCTGTTTCTGCTCCTCTTCGCCCCGACCCAACCCCGCCAGCGTCGCTCTAGTCCGCGCAGACCACGAAGACGGCAACCTCGACGCATTCGATCTGGGCCGACGCAGCCGCGCTGAGTCCGCACACACGGCCGTCGGCGGCGGCGCAATCCGCGAGACGGGCCGACTGCTCGCGCCCATCCGCGCCATGACCGCTTCGCGGAGACTCGTCTCGCGCCGCGACTCCTCCTCGGCCGTCATGATGTGCATGAAGCCCCTGCTGTCGACGATGACACCGGGCTCATGCGCAAGGCCTCCACGGGAGCTTTCAGCCGCGTCGGAATGGCCGACGCCGCCCATGCGCTCCAGTGGCTCGCCATCGTACAGCTTCGACTGGCGGCTCGACGCGTACCCCCCGTCCGGCAGGGCGAAGCTCGGCGACGTAGTGCTCCAGGACGTCGGCGGGGTCGAGAGGAAGCTCGGCACGGTGTCTGTGGACAGGAAGGCGGCGTCGGAGCCGAGGAACACTTCGACGTCGCTGTCGGAGAGGTCGGTGTTGTCGTCGTCTGTGTTGGGGGTGGAGGTTTGTGGTTTCGGGTCGGGCCCGCACAGGAACGCGCGTGTCCCCTTTTTGTGTGCGGGGGAGGTCTGTCCTGGGGCGGGGGCGCCGGTGACGGACTGGATTTCGGTGGGCGGGCGCGCGCCGCGCAGCGAGTGCTGGCTGGCGTAGGTGGTGGCCGAGCCGGCGGTCGTGCATCGGCGCTGGCTGAAGATGGACGAGGAGCCCGGGCGGACGGTGTCGGGCTCGGAGGGCCGGTCCGAGTGCGAGGACTGCAGAATGCGCATAGTCTGGCGGCTTGGTTGGGCGGTTAGGGCGACGCCCGAGTCGTAGCGGTTGTCTTTGAGGGCGGCGAGGTCGGGACCCGCCAGCGGCGTGTAGTATTTCGAGTTGATCTGGGGGTGGGCCGCAGGCGAGTCATCTTTCTGGGCGGAGTTTCGCTCGGAGGGAGCTTGTTCGGTGGATGGGACGCCCCGTTCGATTCGGTATATGAGCAGGGAGCAGGAGAAGCGGATCTCGGACTCGAGGGCCGGGTCGATCTTCTGGCGATCGATCAATGGGGATGGAGGGTGGTGGTGAGAGGGTGTGTCTATGAAGTCAAAGTATCGGGAGGGAGTGTCACCGGAGAAGGTGAATGTGGGTTTCTGTGGTTGTTAGCGATGGTTCGTGAGAGTTGGGGTGTTGGTGAATACCTGCGAGTTGAAGAAGGCCAGGGAGGGTCGCTTCTTCAGCACCGAGGCTTTCCTCGGACGAATACCCTCCATAATGTTTGATGGAGCCAGCCACCAATATGACAGGGATTGAGGTAGAGACAGGAACGAGTGAAGCCGTGAGCCCGTAGGTCTGCTATATGGGTAACACGGTGACAGTCTACCGGCCAACGTCGAGTATGCTTCTAGCGCACCCCGAGTATGTTTCGATTTAGATAGACGGACGATGGTTTAAACGACGAGAATGCCACAGCGTTATGGCAGTCGTCCGGAGCGATGGATGGAATGTGGGGAAAGCTTAGCTCGCGTAGCGTGGAAAGGAGATGAAAAGAACGGGGAGAAAAGGAGTAATAAGGTCATGTCAAACGAGTGAAGTATTAAACGAGGACCGAGCGACAGCCAAGGATGAAATCAGGTCGAAGGTGAAGCCGGCCGCTGCATCTCCAGACGGATCGCTCCCCTGTCGAGGAAGAGGCAGATGGACGCACGAAAGTGGCGACGGCGATCGTATCCGGGGAGATTTCAAGGCCGCAAACAGGAGAAAAGAAAGAGAAGCAAACAGAGAGCAGGGAAATGGTTGGCAATGCAGGAGGTGCAGAAGTGGAGGAGCGTTGCTTTTTACTGCCGTCGAGTCACACAACAGCAGCCTCGTCCCGAGAGTTTGAAACATCACCGATGCCGTGCGTATTTGTCCCTGACTCCCTGGCCGGGTTGACACTCGGCAGAGCAGAAGCAAATGGCGGAGTGGGATATCATTCGATCGTCGCCGGGATGTCCTATACCGACGGAACTACCATACGACTTCACCATCTCCAACTGTTCGTCCTGGCAACGATCGCATAACAGTTGGAGACATCTGCTGGTCTCATCCAGCGCCATCCACAGCGATCAATTGTCTGGCTTGGTCGCAAGGGACGCCACCCAGGGATGAATCAAGGGATCTCCCCGTCGAGGTGACAGATCCAGTGATAGACATCACGAATCGGATGTCTCGATTCATCGGCATCGGAGGTGGGGCGTTAGTCAATTATTGAAACCCACTTGAAGGAAGGCTCGGATTCCTAACTGGGCGTCTTTGGCGCCATCGTGAAGGAGCCCATGCGGGGGGTATACTCCCTCCGTACGGAGTACAGCAGGACCAGGCGCCACCGCAGGGACGGACTTTTGTCTCCCATCGACGTCATGGTCGGGATTTGGGTCTGAAGTCACATCAGACAGAGGACGGATGACTCACTGTGCGGTGCATGCAGAGAGCACTGTTGGTTCCTTGGATGCTGTGCAGTTCACGATGATCAGCCTCATATGCTCCCACATGCAGGAGTTCCCGGGGACTTCTGTGTTCAGCGAGCGCATCTCAACGCGTGCGGTTTCTCAACGGCCGCGGCAACTCAGTAAGGCTCTTGCGACGATCCAAATACACTACACTTCGTCTCCAAGCTATGGGCACGCCGCGTGGCTCCGAGACACGATGGGGTCCAGCACGGGCTCATGGAGAGCGTTCGTCTGCTCCATGAATTTAGGTTCTCCTGGCGTCCATGTGATGGCTGCCTTCATGGATTGGCTTCGGGGCGCTTGGAGGCGCTGTCTGTGCGCGCGCCCAAACGCAATGCAGGACGGCTGAGAGAAAACATGCTTCACGCGAGTGGTAGAAGTGAAAATGGTTGCATTCGCTGTGTATATGCTATCGAGTCGCTTCTATGCGGACTATCATAAGACCTATACATTTCATAAGGTCGCCCACCACCCTCACAGGATCCCATATGATGGAAAGGAAGGCCTGTGGTGTAGGGCTTGTGTGATGGGGAGCAGTTGGATGCTTCTTTTACAGCCTTACCTGTAGATCGAGGTGACGAGAGAGGCAGTTGGATGCTCATCTCCCTGACTGATGAAGAATGAAAAGATTTTAAAAGACCGCACCGCTACTTCCCCGGGGCTTCAGATGCCGGCCGGGCAGGCGGGTATCCCGCGACGGGTCCTCTCTGGACCGAGAGAAGGGCGTTGAGGGAGTCCCCGCTGTCCGGCGAAGCATCCAAGCAGTTTGGAAAGGCTGCAACTTATGCGCCAATCTGATGGATCAATTATCGTCCTGTGATTTACCACGCGGTAATGTCCTCCACCTCGGCTTCCCCGAAGGTGCTGCTCTTGGTTAGTTTGTTAACCCCGTCCACTCCGCTGGCCCCGTCGGCGGGCGGCTTGGACATAATGTCCGGGAGGACTTCGCGGAAGAACTCCAGGATGTAGCGGTTAACCTGCTCGAACTGGAGAAGGAAGGCATCATGACCCTCCGGACTCTCGATCCGCTTGAGCCGGGAATCGGGGATGCCCGCAGCAATCTCCTTCTGCTCTTCAAAAGTAAACAACCCGTCGCTCTCGATTCCCAGCACCAATGCGGGTTGTTGAATCTGTCCCAGAGCCTCCAAGACAGGCTGGGAAGACTCCGGGCTGGCGCGGTGCCTCGAGACATCGTGCGTGTCGAGCTTGCGGGTGATGGCGATGTAGCAATTGGCATCGAACCGCTTCACAAACTTCTCTCCCTGATACCGAAGGTAAGACTGGGCGGAGAAGTAAGTTGGGGGCCGCTTCTTCGTGCCATTCTCCTTGTTCTCAAGGGACTTGCTGAAAGTCTTGGCTCCAGAAAACTGGGGGTCGGTGTACTGGATCTCAGTGGGCGTCGAGTTCTGCGGAACAGGCGAGCCTCGCTCCGACGTACGGCCACTCTTATGGCCATCATTATGGATGACCCAGTGCTCGTTGGGAGGAGTCGGCAACTTCTCACTGCCGTTGATGTTCTGCCGCTTGGTCGGGTCCGGAACATTGCGGCCAAACCGGGACTCGAATGAATTCCGGCTGCGGTAGGTGAGAAGAGCAGACATACGAGCTGCACCCAGACCTGTCGCCGGCGGGTCATCGAACGGGTAGTAGCCGTCCTCATACTTCGGGTCGCTGTAGATACTCTGACGCTGCGCCTCACCCCAACTGATACACCAGGCCGAATGACGAGCGGACGTGGCAATCGGAACAATCGCGCGCACGTAGTCTTTGCCGAAATACGCGTACTCTAGAGTGAGCATTCCACCCATGGAGCCACCAACCACAGCGGCGATTTGCTTAACACCCAGGTCATCCAACACGAGCTTGTGGATTCTGCACATCGTCAGTCACGTCCCCGTCACGAAGAGTCTGGTCCACCAAACATACCTAACGTCATCACGCACAGTGGTGAGAGGGAATTCGGGGCCATAGAGCCCCTTCTCCGGGTTGCCATCCTTATAAGTCACGGCGCTGGCGCTACCGTACGGGCTACCCAGGCTGTTCAGACAGATCACGAAAAACCGCGAGGTGTCGAAAGCCTGACCGGGCCCGCCTAGCAGAGGACCCCACCAGTCGGCAACGTCAGCACTGCCACTCAGAGCATGGCAAATAACGAGCGCATTGTCCCCCTCAGGCGACAACTGTCCCCGCGAGGTATAGGCCACCGGAACGTTATAGAGAGTGACACCGGATTCGAGAGTGAACGAAGGGATGTTGACGATCGTTTGATCGGTGATGAGCCCGGAATATGGGTTTTCAGGTTGCGAATCGACCCTCTCTACGGGATTTAGTAGCCGTCCAGCAAAGGCGGGGGCGAATTGGGGATACTGACCGAGGCGTGCAGGCACACCAGGTTGGGGAGCCATTGTGGAGGGAAGGAGGGAGGGAATGAAGGCGTGACAAGTGTCAGGAGGAAGAGAAGGGAGAGAAGGGAGATGAGAGAAGAGAGGTGACTGTAATGGAGAGTTGCTATGGAGGGGACTTTTCGGGACTTTTAATCTCTTGCTTGATGACTCCTCCTTTACCCCACTGCATTTCTCTCCTCGCCCCCCGCCAATCACCGCCCCCGAAAATTTCTCTCGGAATGTGCGGTATAATGTTGTTCCGTCAACGCGCTAGTCCAATTCGGGACATTATATGAGTCAGTTGCATGCCTGTTTGGTCCGGCATCAACAACAATCTCCTCCTCCTCCGGCCATTACATAGTTACGCCCGTCTCGTCAGGTTCAAGATGTCGCCCCCTTCCGGCCCTTCCTGTGCCTCCTTGATGCGTTCAGCAGTTGTCTTGTACAGCCGTGGGAGCTTAATCTCCTCGAACGGCTTGCCGTTGTAAACCATCTCCGCAAGACCTTTTGCCGCAAGGTAGATCACCGGCATTCCGTGCCCAGTGAACCCAGCACAGATATACTGCCCCGGTCGTCCTGGGACTTCTCCGACGTGTGGGTTCGTATCATATGAATAAGCCATGACTAGAACGCTATTAGTATTCAGGTACCCCCGTTCCGCATCTCAATGTTACTCACTTCCTGTCCACATCTCCTTCACATACGCCCCCGTGTCCTCCCATCCTTTGAAGATCCGTTGCATGTAACCATGATAGTAGTCTTTCGTCGGCTCGATCAAAGTGCTGTCATCGATCACTCCAAACCACTGCGGTTTATCATCATGGAAAGTGTAGTGCGCACCTCCCACGATGATACTCCCATCCGGGCGCGAGATCAGGTAGCTGTTCCCCTTGCCGTCTTCGCTTCGGACTACATACGAATAAGGTAGAAAGGGTGCCTGTTTGCCCTCGGGCACGTCAATGTGGCAGATGATGCCGCGGGATGGCACTATGCTGGTGGTGTACTCTGGCAGGAGCCCGAATGTGTAGGCGTTGGAGGCGTAGACGACTTTGGAGGTGCGGATGGACCCTCTCGGCGTGTTGACCACATGGCCTGAATCATCGGAAGTGACAGAAGTCACCGGCGTGAGTGCTTGAACATTGATGGCGTTGGAGTCCACCGTCTTCGACAACAGACCCATGATGAGTTTGTACGGCCACAGCGTTGCGGCCGTGTAGGAGAGACAGGCCTTGGCACCTTTCACCCCAGAGACCTGTTACATGACGTTAGTCTGTGATTTTAGCAGGTGGGCTCTATGAGGGCAGCCAGCGTACCCCCTCGGCGTTCTTTTTCGAGGTGAACTGTAAATCGTCGGTGAAAGACAGCCCCAAGGCCACTAACGCTTCATAAGTCTTTCTCCCTTTTTCGGCGTCCTCGTCATTGAGATAGACATTCATATTCCATGTGATATTATAATCACAGTCAATTCCCTCCTCTACGAGCAGTTTCTTGATGGCCTGCAGATGGCTCAGTTCGAACTCGGCGATCTCCGTCCCAGCATCCACCCCGTGCCTCTCAATATACATCGGAATCTGGTTGTAGACATCGGGGCGTAGATGACCACCTATCAATCGTCAGAATCCCTTTGTGCACTCGTCTGTGCTGACCGACCGTTCCGTCCTGTTGCACCAGAACATATCTGTCTTGCCTCGAGGATGGTGATTGCGGGGTAAGGCTTGTCATGGCTCCCCAGAAGCTTCAGAAGGTGATACGCAGTGCTAATTCCAGTGTAGCCAGCACCGATAATCACAATATCACTTTGCTCGGGGAGGTCTGGAGTCGATCGCAACTCGTCCAGCGGATGCGGTTGCAGTCGCCAGAACGGTCGAGTGGGGTTGTCGACTGGTAGAAAGGAGGTTGATCCCATGATGACTTGCTTGAAAATTATATGCGCTGTCCTTTTACTTCCCTATTGTTGGAGAGATATATGCCTTTCAAGATGTGAATTGCTCAGTAAGAATGAATGTGGTGGAGAAGTTAAGAGAAGGTGAGTTCTTATATCACCGTGGCCTGCATGCATCTGAACATCGGATCCTTATCCACCACTCTTATCTCCAACTACCGGCTGATAGCCAAAACAACATGAATAGCAATACGCCTAACAATCCCCCGCTGATTTCCATATCATCTCCGCCTTTTCCTTGAACGCGCTCATGGCAGCTCGCCAGAGCTCTGGCCCCATGCTGATGCGCGCCACGCCCAGAGTCTTCAATTCAGGCACTGTTAAGAATCCCTCTCTGGGCACCAACTTGACATTCAGTCGCCCTGCAAACGCATCAACCAGCTTGACAACCTCGTCTCTCGAGACTCCCCGCGCCGCGCCGCCCCAGACAAACACGGTGCACGCCCCAGCTTCCAAGTAAGCCTTGCCCCTTTCGATGGCCTCGTTGAGCGATCCGCCGGTGATGAGGGCATCTGTGCGTGCATTGATGGCGAAATCGGGCACCCCCGCTTCGCGTGCAGCTTGGAGGGCCCGCTTGATGCGGCTAACGGCGTCTGGCATCGACCGCAGCTGGCCGCTGGCACTATCCATGTCCTCCAGGTTGCAGCCCACCGCTCCAAGAGAGATGAGTTCTTTGATTGTACTGGCGACGTCTTCGTATCCCTCTTGGATGTCGACTGTCAATGGGAGGTTTCTTTTGCCGGCGACAACGCCAGCAATAGGACGCACGACAGTGAGGTTCTGAGACAGGGTTAATTTGTCATCCTCGATCCCCTGCGACGCGGCGATGGCGTAGCTAGCCGTTGCAATGGCCTTTGTCGAGGGGCTGTCGGCGATTATGGAGGCTGTTGCTGCATCGTATACATTCGTGAGTAGCAATGGTCGTCCTGGCTGGTGCAGGGAGCGGAAATATATCGCCAGATCGTTTTGTTCAGGACGGGCTGTCATTTTTAATCGAAGTAGGATATCTGAAAGCGACGAAGGGAATTATCACAACAGAATTGCTAGAGATGATCCATGATGCTTTTTATGTCCATGTCCTCGTATTCCTTGAGTCATCCTCTTGCTCTCAAAGTGACCAATCAGGCTGCCAATTCGCGAAGAACAACAACAAGCATGCCGCAAGTTACATATTGCATCAATATGAATATCTCTAGCAAATTGGGTATTTTTGAAGAAGATCTAATTCTCCAAAAAAAAAAATATCCTCCTGGCGCTAGCCGTGAAAGATATGTTGCTGGTGCGCACGATAAGCTTCTTTCCAACCTGGTCAGCGGTTAGGTAAACAATATCTCTTTATGCATCGCCTCTGTCTTTCCATCAATTGGACTCCGCATCCATATCGGCTTAGCACCTACTTTCCAGTCCTTTATTGTGACATCCAGAATATCCATGTTTGGCCGGTCGCGCTCCGGCCTGGATCAACTCCTTGCTAGACCACGGCCCAGTCTTTGGCAACAATTCATCTCGCGGCCTTGCGTCTTTCTCGCACGGAGGCTCTACACCTGGCATCAAGCCATCCCAGCCAAACCACTCACCAACCCTGTTTCTATAGTCTGCATTTCCGATACCCATAATAGCCAGCCAAAACTCCCAGATGGAGATATTCTCATCCACGCGGGCGACCTCGTCCAATCCGGCTCCTTCAAGGAACTCCAAGCTACACTCACCTGGCTACACGCCCAGCCTCACCCGACCAAAATCGTCGTCGCAGGTAACCACGACTTGCTACTTGATGCTGGCCGCGATGACCCAGCAAAACAAGCGGCATCTGAGCGCGCCAACCTGAACTGGGGCGACATTATCTACCTGGAGAATGAGGAAACGACAGTTGTGACTGCGAACGGACGACAGTTCAGAATCTACGGCAGCCCTTTTTCCGCACGACACGGGAACTGGGCCTTTCAGTATCCGCGGAGCCAGGACGTCTGGACCGGGTCGGTGCCCGACGGGATCGATGTGTTGATCACGCATGGTCCGCCGCGCGCTCATCTCGATCTGCTGGATTTGGGCTGTGTGCATCTCCTCCGCTCATTATGGCGGGTGCGGCCCCGGCTCCATGTCTTTGGACACGTCCATGAAGGCTCTGGTATCGAGTGGCTTCTTTTTGATGGGCTACAGGACGCGTATGAGAGGACCGTTGTTGCGGGTGGGGGGATGTGGAATCTTTTATCTACGGTGAGGGAGTCTGCGAAAGCATTCTTCGCACCGTCTGTCGAGGCCAAGTGCATCCTTGTGAATGCTTCTATGGTTGGGGGGTTGCGGGATGACGAGCGAAGGCAGCCTGTCAAGGTTATCATCTAGTATGTCGAGCGCAGAGACAGTAGTAGCTTGATATGTCCCTCCAATGTACCTAGTTGCAGATTATGAGACGCTAGAAAAAGATCTGGGCCACCATCCGTATTGTCGCGGAGTTCTAGTCGCTGGGTTCCTTAACTACGCGATAGCATTCGGATTTAAGGGCAAGACGCCAGGCACCGGACCAACCATAGTAATAAGTTATAGAGGCGCAAAAGACTAGTTCATCAATTGTCCGTCTGATTCGATGATAGTGGCCATCCCAGGATTCTAGCAGGGATTCCAGCATTGGGCTTTGGGGGCATATCGGATTTAAGGCGAAGGCTTCATTTGCAGGTTGATAAACTGATTAATCCTTCACCTTTCAATCTTCTTTTTTGCATATATATCACGCCTACCCAGATCTATCGTCTATTCAGCATAGAAACACCCACTAGCAACCACAACAATTCCTAACATTCATCATGACTGGAGAACATGAAGCTGCCATTCTCCCCCAGCAAGGCGGCCCCTTGTTCCTTGGCCATCGTCCCACCTCCGAGCCCGGGCCAAACGATGTACTTATCGAAGTCAAGGCCGTGGCCTTGAACCCCTGCGACTATTACCAGCGGGACTATGGCATGCCTCCGGTGTCTATCTACCCCGCCGTCCTCGAATCCGATGTTGCTGGCGTGGTCGTCAAGCTAGGTTCGAATGTTACCACCAGTCCCTGGTCCCGGAAGCCGAGTCATTGTCTTTGCCTCATCTTTCTACCAGAATGGCTCTCCCGACCACGGTTCCTTCCAAAAGTACACGTTGGCCCAATCCAAAGCGGTCATTCCACTTCCAGATAATCTCTCCTTTGAGGACGGCGCGGTCTTCCCTTTGGCCGTCTTGACGGCCTTGACAGCCTGGACCACCATCGGCATTTCTGCTAAATACTAGGTATACTCCCGCGGACAACAGGCGGTCTTAATCTAGGGCGCATCAAACAGTGTCGGCACGTTTTCTGTCCAGTCAGCCAAGACCCTCGGCTTCACTATCTACGCCACCGCCAGTCCCAAGCACCACGACCTCGTCAGGAAACTCGGAGCCCACGCGGTTTTCGATTACAAGGCCGGCGATGTTGTCGTGCAGATCGTCAATACCATGAAAAAAAGACGGCGTTAAGCTGCACACGGCACACTGCGTTGTGAATGGAGCTCTGCAGCCTACGTTAGACATCCTTAAGGAGACCAAGGGCGAATACACCCGCTAAGGTGGCGCACTCGCCGGTAGGAGCTTCGACACACTCATACAGGGCCGTTCTTCCTATAGGCCACTCTACTCGCAACAATACGCAACTCGTCTTCAACTTCCCGTCCATAGACGAGGTCGGGAGAAGCAAGCATATAAAGGAGGTTTTCCATAGGTGGCTGAGCGCCGGTCTGCAGTCTGGGAAGTTGTACCCAGCCCTGATGTTCAGATCGAGAGTGGCGGTCTATGCGGAGTGGATGCAGCACTGGATAAGCTCAAGGGTGGTGTTAGTGGCACTAATATCGTTGTGCCAGTCTAATGGATTGCATTTGCTGGTGTTCTCATACTGATTTTGCAGAATGATCAACGGCTCTTCGTGTAAAGACCGAGCTCTAAGCAAGGCCTCGCAGGAACATGGCGGCTAAACACATGGTAGAGGCCAATGAGGCACGGCAATCCGGTCCCTACCTGGTACGTCTGTAACCCATGCAGATGGTACCTATTGAAAGGCCCCGATTTCGCTGCTATAGCTGAGAGGATACGGCTTGCAAAAAAAATATCGTCAGCGACAGGATTCGAACCTGTGCGGGCGAACCCAACAGATTTCTAGTCTGTCGCCTTAACCACTCGGCCACACTGACGGACGTGACTTTATAGATGCTTAATGTGAAGGTGTACATTTTGTTGGGGTACAGCCTTAGTTGAGATCGGGATCCTGTGTTGATAGGCACCATAACACACACTATGTATATGTCAATTGCTTGACTGGAGTAGCTCACCTCGAAGATGATCATGGCCATGTGGTTCGTCGCTGTAGCTTGAAGCACCCACGGGTGGAAAGAAAATCTCACTGGTGGGATATAAAACTAACGGGCCTTCGGTGCGGTCGTACGGGAAAGGAGCCCGGAGAGCTGTTGACTATGGCTGATTAGAAGCGTCCTACCAAGGACTGCGTCGCTTCGTACCCAGGTTCCCTGATATACCGCCTAGGTGAAACGCCCCCACACAGGCGCTGATTGAGTGCATTGAGGCGTAGTCCACGTAGGGGATAAAAATTAAAAAGTATCGTCAGCGATAGGACTCGAACCTATGCGGGCGAACCCAACAGATTTCTAGTCTGTCGCCTTAACCACTCGGCCACACTGACGCAGATATTATGTCATCAAGAAATCTGTGGTAGGAGAGCCAGGATTGAACTTGCAGGAGTGAGGGCGTAGTGTGGACGGTGTATGCGGAGGACGACGCTGTCTTCGAATCACGTTGCCGTCACGATAATTAGTATGTGCGGTTCCAATAAAGCATTTCAGTTGCGGTAGAAGATCCCGACTCCGTGCCATGAATACAGATCCTCTTGGACGCCATCAGACAACTTTCACCATCAGCAAAGATGTTATGATGTACAATCACCAAAACGTGACCGAGATAGGCAATACAAACCTTGTAATTTGCCAGGTATTCTATTCGCACATCTCTGGGTGCTTCTTCTCCTTGATCTCGCATGCTTCAGGTATTTCTCGCTGGGTTTCCCAATCAAGTACTCAAGTTGCTGACGACAACTGTCCACGCAAATCTCATCGTTTGAGTCCAAGGCGGCCAGGAGCACTTTTGAGCTGCATGAATTGCTGACGGTGGCACGTTTTTGGCATACGCTTCGTTTCTGTGCTGGGAGGTCAAATAAAAATATCTTATAAGTTATTAGTGAAAGATCCAATTACTCAACCTGAAAGACACACCAATCTTGATGTTTTTCTCGTCCGTTGATCCTCTGGATAAATAATATCCGTGTCGGAAAGAATAGAGCGAGCGGCAGTGGGCAATTTGATAAGTGTAGCTGGTAAGCAATGGAATGTAGCGTGCCAAGGATCACTGCCAGGATCATAAACAAAACGGTCCTTCACGTCCTTTCCTAGATTGGAGTCTCTCAGCGTTGATTGACATCCAGGGTCGATGTCTCGGCCTTTCGTTGCATGAGTGTTTGGGTGTCCGTGGCTGATGCCTGACAGTTCGGCTTTCACATAAGGCAGTTGTCAGGGCGAATTCGTAAAGACCGAGGCCGAGTCAATGCTTCTTATCGCTGTAATAATTCCATACTTTGTATGATTTCCTGGAAGATTTAGCGCTTTTGTTTAACCAGACCTTGGAAAGTGGGGTGAGACCTCAAATATATCCGCCCGATAGCATGGATATCAGTTCTTGACGAGGCTTCGTATCCATCTGAAATTTTGGGCAAAACTGACAGAGCAGACGGCTATTGGTTTCTTCGTCTTCTCTTTTCTGTAGTAACATCTGTGAAGATCACCCTGTCTGATATCGCAGGTGCCCGAAAAAGATTTAAGACAAGAGATTTGGTGAGTGTATTCTGTGATGTAGCGGTTCCTTCTCCCGAGATTTGAGACCAAGAGGTCTTCCTCTTCGAGATCGTGTCAACTTCTAACCTGTACCTATCAGGTGTGTATGGGCCGCTGTTCGTAGTCATGTTAGCTGGAACAGCTGGTTGTTGTAGGAAAGTAACCTCCATGATCAAGGAAGGGGGTTACGGATATATTGACGCCCGACCTCTCACTTCAGTCACCCGGTTCGGTATTCTCGCGGCTTGCTTGAGCTCCTATTCTCCTAGAATGAGGCAGCGAAAGTTGTCCCTTGTGCAACGAATGAGCTCTGGTAAAAATCTGGTGGATCAATGATGAAGACTCAAGGGCTATGCACGAGGTTATAAGAGAAAACATGGTGAGGAAGAGAGGGAGGTGAAGAGAAGGTTAAAGCCGTTGGGACGTGGGGAAGTGAGAGGTGGAAGTGAAGTGGGAAGTTGGGCGGAGGTCGATCTCCTCGACCACTGCTACACTTTGGTGAAGGCCTCCCCCCCCCCAACCAAAAAGAAGGTCCTCAGGTGCTCTCGCATTGGCTCAGATGTCCCGTCGTGACAGTGAACTCACAACATTCTGACAAGTCTGCTTGACGGTGTGAGGCATGGGCCTTTTTCGTAAATAAACATCCAGTAATGGAGCGTGTTGCTAACGCCCTTCTCAAATGCCTAGCAATGCTGCCGGACATCATCACGCAATAGTCCTGGTTGTGATTGTAAATTACGTTACTGATATAGCCTTCTTGCTCTCGAGGGCAAGAATATATCCAGGTACGTGTGGTGGATTGTGGAAGGCAACCAAGCTTAGGCCGTGTTAGCCTGCATCAAAAGGTCCTATATGAGCTGTACTTACATTCGACTGGGACGATGTATCCTCTATGGAAATTATGAAACGCTCAATGGAACTCGGGCATGTTGAGCAAACTCTCTTTGCCCCTTTGGAGAATTAATAACTGCTTTATATGGAATGTTGCCGGATAAGAGGTTGGGATCGGGGCTGTGAGATAAACTCTGTCAACTAAAATCCCTCATAATGGTTGAAGCCAGGCGAGGGATTGTACCGTCCTGGTTAAATCCGGGGAATTGCAGTATTATAGCTGCTTATATCTCAATGCAGACATCAAAATATTCACCTGCCATGCTGGTCGCGGTATCATATGGTGCCCGCTGACATGAGAGCCGTTCCTCTTGTAGACATTGGCGTCTCCTATGGCGCTTTTCACGACATGACAGACATGTTGGCTCATCCTGTGGGCAAATGCTCCTTTTGTGTACCCTTTATCCACACGTATATAACTCTTCGTTGGTTCTGCGGGCAATGGGGTGGTTCGTGCCCCTTCTCCGGGCATGTATAGCCGGTTGTCATCTTCCTGGGGGTGTCGTAGTTTCTAGTACGCTTACATATATAGCGTCAGTGGTGGCGCAGCCATTGTGGCCAGCAGCATATTCGTCATCATGATTGTGGGAGCGGTTGAAGCCATGAAAGACATGTAGGATATACACGACGTGATACAAAATGGAGTAATGCAGAAGTATGCTTGAGAAGCCAGATGTGGACACCTGTAGCTGAGGCCTAGCGAGCCCATATTAAAAACTGAGGCTGTCTTATGTTCCCAGGACGGTTTGTTGGAGAAGAATCCAAAGGTGGGAGCTCCCACGTAGTACATACAAACAAGGATAGTAGTACAGAGAACGCTTGGGCCTGTTGTTGATGCCCTCCCGTTCCTATGGCCCAGAGATAGCCCAACAATTGCCACTTGGGCTTGCTAGAGCATCCATTTATGAATTGTTCAACGTGTTCAACGCCCCCCTGAGGTGCCTTCAACACCTGTCTTACAGATACCTACCATGGCTTATATTTATGTATTTGAATAAGCAGTCGATATGTATGCACTAGTCAGTGTGGCCGAGTGGTTAAGGCGACAGACTAGAAATCTGTTGGGTTCGCCCGCACAGGTTCGAATCCTGTCGCTGACGTTATTTTTTCATTTTTTGGTTGGTGACACATAGCTATGTACGATAGATAACTAAACTAGAATCTCTGCAGCCTTTTTTTTTTCCCCTCAGAATACTTGTTTAGGTATTATTGAGGCCCTTAATTCCTGGTAAAAAGGCAGAAGAATCAGCAATATTTATAATAACCGTAGCAATGGAGCGTCCGTTTCATGTTGAAGGACCATCTTGATTCCGCATGGGTTGGGAGTTGGGCACTGTACGTAGCTCCACTGTCTTGTATGTGGTCATTCAGTCATTATTGTTAGGACTCAGAATTGTTCTTATAGACTGATTCCAATAAAGCTATCAGTCATTTTATTATCAAGCTTCCGACATTAGGCCACCCATATGAAGGTGACCTTCCCGTCTTCTTCCTTCCATGCTTGAGCTCTCGTTTCTAACTGCCTTTAGATGGAAAGTGAATCTATCGTTGACTTCAGTGAGGTTGAGGTAGTTAAAAATATAAAAATATATCGTCAGCGACAGGATTCGAACCTGTGCGGGCGAACCCAACAGATTTCTAGTCTGTCGCCTTAACCACTCGGCCACACTGACTAATCATGGTGATTGGCCCCAGATTATGACTAGATGAACCAAGACATCACTGCGCGCATTGATGCGCCGCGTTTTCCACCTACGTAGGGACCTTCATGTCATATGAATTACCTACCTTGAGCCAATACATATATATATATATATGTGTATTTTCTCAATTTCTAGCCTAACATATTATAGGGGGTAGGGCAGCGCGGAAGAACAAGATCTACGTCTGGCATTCATGCCGTATATTCAATCAAACGAAAATATATTGTCACATCTAGGATCAGACTGGCCTGCGCAGCCAGCTATGTCTGATTAGGCATCATCAACCTTTAGACGACTAGCATCCTGCTGTTCAGCAATAACATCGGCAGGAATACGATCTGGGGTTGAGTTCACAAGCAAAATCATGGGTAGTAAAGAAGCTCCAAGAAGGCCAAATGTCACACAGCTAGACAATCGGTTAGTTAACCCGAGTACCAGGACAGGACAAGATACAAACGTACAATCCGATAAGAGGGTTGCTCTGTGACTGGGTGTTCATGCCGTACGCAACGGCTTGGCCGATCGCCTCGATACATCTGAATGCAGCACCATTCCGAACATTTTCTACCGGCTATTAGCATATCATATATCCTTCTCTGCCTAGTGGACAAGATACGAACCCTGAGCATCTGTCGCAAAAGACGACAATAGCCAATACATGTACGACTGCGACAGTGGGCCCGTTGTCTGCACGAAGAAATATGGCAGGAAGGCCGAAGGGAACAGTCCTTCGTCCCAGTCGATTTTCCCAGGGTCATGGCGGTTAAACTTGACCTGCATAATGATGGACCAGATGTAGACACCGACGTTAAGAATGACGACGGTGTAGAGGCCAACTTGCGCACGGCGCCGCTGGCCGAGGTACTTTGTGTCAAGAATAAAGCCCAAACCAAAGCAGCCGATGCTGGTTGGGAGTCAGTAACTAGTCAATGCTAAGGGTTGGCTGTACGCCCACTCACATGCAAAAGAACGGGGAGATGAGAGAGGAGAGTGCGCGGGCGCGGACAGAGAAGTAGACTCCCAAATAGGTAGACCAGGTACCGCTGTCAGGTATATTCGTTAGCCCTACTGCTCTTCAAAACCCAAGTATACTTCCAAGACATCCTACCTGTAGAAGAATGACCACAAGGCCCAAAGACCAGAAAGGACAATAAGCTTCGAAGTTATGGTCTTCGCAATGCGCTTGATCTCCATCTTAGTGGAAAGAGTCTCGGATGTCACAATTCTTGTGCCGTCAGACCGCACGACGTGCTCAAAAGGAGTGATCAAGAACGCAAATGGCAGTCTAAGTCAGCTAGTTAGCACCAACCGTTACCCATAGGCAGGTAGCTCTGTGGACTCACGCAATGCATTCGATAATGACAAAGGCAACATAAGTGTCGGGTGTAACGCCACCAGACACTCCTTTCTCATGGTTCTTTGCCAGACTTTTAATGTGTGCATCAGCAAATGTCCGCCCGACATTCTGTTCAGTCTCCAAAAGACTTACTTGATTGCACCCCCAACCAACTGCCCGAGGTTCCGTGCCACAATCCACAGAGCGAGGTACTTCCCACGAGCACCCGTAGGTGCAAGCGTCATGATGGCTCCAGCCTCAGCGACATACCAGCAACCAGTTCCAATACCACTGATGGCACCGCTCAGGATGAGGTACTGCAATACAAATGTATATCAGATAGGTGCACTGCCGACTGTATAAGGGGTCACTCACCCATTGGTTCCCGAACTTGCTGTTGCAGTAATATGCGGACCCTTGAATAGGGAAAGACATGGACCCGATGATCAACGCCCACTTCACACCGATCTTGTTCACGATGGGACCGCCCATAAAGCAGACTAGCAGACGTATCGTCGTTAGCATCCACCGAGTAAGCAGTTGGGCTGGCTCCTATACGTACTGATAGCAAGCATAGCGTATCTGATTGCGGTGGAAATGTTCGATACAAGAGGCGTTGCAAGACCACCTCCTCCGAGGCCTGTGATCGCGTCGGACATGGCTGGACCACAAAATGACTGAATGCTGAGGAGAATCATCTGCGTCAAACTGTGCTGCCATACCCGCTTCCACAGCGGAACGGTGGCTCTGTAATGCTCCATATCAACTCCATGAGCCATCTCGCCCGTGTTGACTGGTGAGGCAGGAGGAAAGCCATCGTGCGTATCGGGAACCGGTTTCTTTGAGTCAGTCATCGTGGAAAGATCGGACGACGACAGCGCGTATAGTAGTGTAGATTGCTCAGAAAGATGCCAGGGAAATGTCGAGCACACGGTGATTATTTATACCGCTGGCATCAGTCCCGAGGATTTGCAATTAACCTCGAGATGCTCAGTCTATCGAAGCCCAGGTGCGGGGGATAACCGTGTTCTCCAGGTTCGCCATCGGAAGAGTTGAAGGCCGTGGAAGGTCCAGACGAGATAAATGAGTCGCGAGTCTCGGCAGTTCCCGGGGATATAGGCTAAAACCTCGAAAGCGAACTTATCTCCAGAGTCTTGTGGGCAGAGAGAGTGGGCCTCTTCTCCAGGTTCGGCCCCCACTGTCATTCCGTGCCATGGGGTTTCTCAGACACCGTGGAAGGTCCACGCGATGGACGTGGCTTTTCTCCGCCTGTGGCGCAAACTTTAGCGATAAGCGGTAGGGATTCATAGGGTCAATACTACCAAATGGGGGAGTCCCTGGTGGCTCTCAACGTGGAGGGTTCGCATAAACAGGGAGAAACATGGCAGTTGACAGTATCCACCACCCATGCCGGCATCGGCCCTTATCAGTCACGCGGGGTTGTGTCTCACTATTCACCAGAACCATCTTTGTCAGAATACGAATATTTATTCTCGGCTTGTTTGTATGCATATCTGAGATAGCTTGGCCTTCTGCGTGGTTTATTGGTGCGCAAGCGGCTTGTTGTTGTGATAAGCTTGTCAGCCGCGCTATTCGATGCACTATGATCCTCGGTCTACGTCCTATCTCTCTAGTAGACGCTAGAAGGAATTGCTTGATATGATCCTAGATAAACTAGATAAATTATGTATCCAATTACGAATGCTGCGATTTGCGCAGACTACCCTGATACCTTACCTAGGTAGTGATCCCGATATGTAGGAACGCGTCTAGCATTGGGATGATGGACGGATGATAGAAAACGTATATGATCCGAACCAACTAGACAGGTGAATCCTCCAATATCCAGTGCTCTCAACTACCCTAGTAGTACCTAATATTAATCACTTGAAGATGCCAAATGGTAGCTACTACGTAGTTACGTTCTGGTAAGAGAACCTCTGACTAAGCGCTATCGCCTTCCGATACGGAAACACGCTAGGCCCAAGACAGAACAGTCGCTGGTGCAGACTAGTCCAAACAAGCTAGCGCACTACATCATTCCAGGCGCGCGAGGCTCGCAACAACAGCTTCTTTCATCCCCGACAGCGCAGGGGGAACTTGGCCCAACAGATCGATATGCCCACTTCTATCTGAAGTCCCCACCAGAGACCCCTATTTCCTATGATTGACTCTGCCTTATCTGCGCGATCCCCCTCACCATGACCGATTATTCGAAATGGAAGGTCACCGACCTCAAAGCCGAGCTCAAACGCCGTGGCATCGCGCAAACTGGCCTCAGAGTCAAACAACAGTTCATTGACCGACTCGTGGAGGATGATTCGAAAGGCGAACCTGAAGCGACCAAGGTAGAGCCTGCGCCTGTGCAAGAGCCGGTGCAGGACACCTCGCACCCCGCCGAAAGTGAACCACTTGCCGAAGGAACGGCCCCAGTCGCCGCACCCCAGATTCAAGAGCAGAAGCCCACGGAGCCAGCCCAGACACAGGAACAACCCGAAAAACAGGTACAAAATGGTACTAGCGTTGCGTCAGAACAGGAGCGTCCAGCGCAGCCCCCGGTCGAGGACCAACCCGCGGAGCCCGCCCAGCCTGCGGAACCTGAACCGCCCACTGAAGGAGCCAAGGGAGAAGCGGACAATGCACAGCCCATTGAGTCTAGCGACAACCAGGTACCTCCAGCGACCAAGCCCCAGACCGACGCCACTATACAACCGGATGAGCAGGCTCCCGACGCAGCAGCGCAAGAGGCCAGCCCTGTCGATACGGAGAGCACTAAACCCGTGGAAACCGAACCGACAAACAAGAATGTCGTGCCCGCTCCGATATCAGATGTGAACACCGCCTTATCCACACCGCTCCCGCCGGAGGAGGTGCTCGAGGACCAGAGGAAACGGAAACGTCGCAGTCAGAGTCCTGTTCCGACAGTCGAGGCCATAGCCAATAAGAAGATCAAAGCCCAGGATGAAGCTCCCAAGGTAGTCTTACCCGAAGATAAAGGTGAGATGGAGGTTGATGGCAACGCACAGCAAGAGGCGTCTGTTCAGGAACCATCCGAGGAGCAGTCTGCGCAGGAACCTCAGGAACCAGGTACACCTGACGAGTCCAAAGCGAGGAAGGAACAACCGTCGAAGCAGGACGTTCGCTTCAAGGAACTCTTCGCCACTAACGAGCCCGGTCAACCCCGCCCTGTATCCCCTCCCCCGGACGTTGACATGGAAGCAGAAGTGGAACCTGCGCAGCATGTGGCTACCCCTGCCCTCTACGTGGACGGACTGATGCGCCCGCTGCAACCAACAGCCCTCCGGAACCATCTGGTTAGTCTCGCATGCCCTCCCGGGGATTCGCCGAACCCAGAGGTGATTCTAGATTTCTACCTGGACCCGATCAAAACACACTGCTTTGTCAGTTTCACCAATGTGTCGGCAGCATCGCGCGTCCGCGCTGCTCTTCATAACACCGTTTGGCCCAATGAACGCAATCGCAAAAGCCTCTTTGTGGACTTTATTCCCGAAGGGAAGCTTCCAGAGTGGATTGACAAAGAGGAGACTGCCCGCAAACGCAGCGGACCCCCACCCCGTTTCGAAGTGAAGTATGACCACAGCGATGATGGGGTAGAGGCGATTCTCCAGGAGGTTGGAGCTCGAAGTGCCTCTGGCCGTGCTCCGGATCCTAGTGACTTCTCTCGCCCTCCACCGGTTGGACCCAGGGCAGATATCGCCGCGAAAGATCGACGTCCCAGTCACCAACCGGCACCTACTTCGGAGAGACCACCGCAATCTGGCCAGGGTTTCAAGCCCCTCGATGAACTGTTCATGTCGACCACTACCAAGCCGAAACTGTACTATCTTCCTGTCCCTCGGAACGTGGCGGATCGTCGACTCGATCGATTTGATGATCTACTCAGCAAAGGATCGTTTCCCCGCCGGGGAGGGGACGAACTGCGACGCATCACCTTTGAAGATGACGATCTGTTCATCGACAACGGGCCAGATTTTGGTGGTCGTCGACGAGGTGGAGGAGGGGGAGGAGGACGAGGCCGTGGCCGCGGAGGCTTCGGAGATTCGTGGCGGGACGATCGCAGTGGGCGACATTGATGTATGTGTACTGTACGATGAGATATTTCTCTTTGGGATTATCACGCTGTATATTAGAACTGGGACGATCGCAAAAGCATGCCTGTCTATGTTTACTATTAACTATTATTGTGTTGACTATCGATCAACGGAGCTTCGCTGAGCTTGTCGCGCTTGGCGCATTTCTTTTTTTATCGCGGTACCTGGAGGCGCAGCAGACAATCCGCGGTTCTGTTTAGTCACAGTATTCTTTGACCGTTTCTTTTCATATCCTTCTGCCTAATCCAGTCATTCTACCTTCTTTCTCTTTTCTTTCTGCATATATTTCTCTCCTGATTCTTCGCAAGTCCTTGGCAGCGCGTGTCCGAATCCACTCCGCCCCCTGATTTTCACCAAACAGGCCAGGTTTGTTCTTTCTTCGTTTCATCGCGGCGTTCCAGGGGCTGTGGCTGTTGATCGCCCGCTCGGGCCAACACCAAGTAAGCGGATAAGATAGTGGATCTTTCTCTTCGTTCTGTTCTCTCTTTCACTCTCATTTATTCTCCGTTTGGATCAACTTCGCGCCCAACATCACCTACCCTCCTCGCAATTTTCTGGTGGCTTCATCATCGGCGCGAGAATGGGTTGGCCGGTTTGTAACACGACCGAAGAAGATGCGACCAGTACGTGGGACCGTTGGTGTCTGTCTGTTGTCTTCAAGATTGAATAACTGACTCAAGTCACGCCACTACAGTCAATGAGATTGGTTTATGGGACGACGGAATCACATTTCATGAACTGTGCCTGATTGTGGGTGGCTTCTTCGCCGTCATTGCGGCCGGAGTCTCCTTCTACCTGATTATGTGCCATGCGACGCACTACAGCAAACCGATAGAACAGCGCCAGTACGACATCTCCCTTTGCTTTTCGTCTTGGACGCCACATTCAAACTGACCTGTCTTCTCCCCTAGTATCATCCGAATCCTGTTAATGGTCCCAATATACTCTCTCGTCTCCTGGTTGGCCACGTTCTTTTACAAAAAGGCCGTCTACTACGATGTTTTGGGCGATTGTTACGAAGCCTTCGCCATTTCCGCCTTCTTCTCCTTACTGTGCCATTATATCGCGCCCGATCTCCATAGTCAGAAAGAATACTTCCGAGGAATCGAGCCGAAAGATTGGGTCTGGCCGATCAATTGGATGAAAAAGTGCTGTGGTGGTGATCGGGGGATCTGGAGGACCCCGCGGAGTGGCTTGACATGGTTCAATGTGAGTCTGGAGAAGTTGCGCAGGACAACTGAATGCTGATCTCTCTTAGATCATCTGGGTCGCCGTCTTCCAATACTGTCTCCTGCGTGTGCTCATGACCATTGTCGCCGTGGTCACCCAGTACTTCGATCTGTATTGCGAGGCATCGCTCAACCCGGCATTTTCACACATTTGGGTACGTATAGCACAACACGCTATCTCAACTCATTCTGATTAGGAGCGCAGGTCCTCATCGTCGAGTGTATCGCCGTCTCAATCGCCATGTACTGCCTGATCCAATTCTACATCCAGATTAAAGACGACATTAGCCAATATCAGCCCTTCCTGAAGATCCTCTCCATCAAGCTGGTCATCTTCCTGTCCTTCTGGCAGTCTGTACGTTGGCCCTCCCCCAAGCATACGATCGCCATCACTAACGGTCTCCCAGAGCTTAATCTCCTTTCTGCACTCGTCCGGCGCCATCAAGGCCACCAAGAAGCTCGGCGCACCTGACCTCCGAGTCGGCCTCCCCAACCTTCTCATCAGCATCGAAATGGCCATATTCGCAGTCCTCCACCTCTGGGCGTTTTCATGGAAACCCTACGCCCTCGAGAAAGGTGGCTTCCTGGAGTCCGGCAAAGTAACCTACCAAGGCGGCCGCTGGGGCTTCAAGGGCCTCATCGACGCCCTCAACCCCATCGACCTCTTCAAAGCCGTCGGCCGCAGCATCCGCTGGCTCTTCGTCGGCCGCAAAAAGCGCACGCTCGATCCCAGCTACCAGACCCCCTCCGAAGCCATCGGCCTCAACCCCACCGACCCTACCAGTACCGCATACGAAGGCGCCGGCGCCGGCGCCGGCGTCGCCATGACCGGCGGCCGCACCACCCGCTACGCCACCGCCGCCGGCGACCAGGAAGAAGGCCATGTGTTGTTGTCGCATGCGCAGCCCGAGCCCACCGCGATGGGGGCTCCGCCCGCATACGACGACGCCCACGACCGCTACTACGCCTGGGACCATCGGCTGAGCACGTCGTCGCTGCTCGAGCCGGAGGTCCACCCCGCCGATCACCGGCCGTATTCGCCCTACGATTCGCATAACAACCCCTACCTTGTTCCCTCGCCCGCGCCCGATGCGCACCAACAGAACGCCTCGCCCCTCCCGTACCCTGCGGACACGCTGCACGAACAGCCGCCCATCCCACTGCCCGAGGCCTATCAGCCCCCGCCTGCGGACCACGCCCGGAGATAAGGTGGTTGAATGCGTGGCTAACGAAAGTGAAGAGTGATGTATGATTGGAATGCGGCTCCGGGGCGTCTGTGTCATAGAGCAATGATTGCTGTTCTTGATGCTGTTTTACTGCTTGTGTTGATTGTTTTATACCCTTGATGTTTCCTCTTACTGTACATACGCGCATAGCGGGAGCTTTGCTATGGGTTTGGTTACTCGGGTTATCTCATTGAATTACGCGGGGTATATAAATGTGACAATTTGGTATGCCAGACACGGTCATTGTGGATTTGCGTGCGAAGAATCGTACGGATGTATCATTAATCGTCAATAAGGGCTCCAGACGCCATGCACCATCTAAGTAGGACATAATGATTACCCAGACTAGGTCACCAATTGAAGCGCCGTCGGCGTTCAAACCCTCCGCCCCCTCCCTACCCGTGCGCTACACCCTCACGGGAGAAGAAGTCGTCGCCGAGTTCGGGCATTTTGAGCTTCCGCGAGGAGCTCTGCGGGGCCGACCTCTTCCCAGCCACCAAGATGGCGGTTCGCTTCCCGAGTTCTCGCATGTCGTTGACGCTCTGGCTCAGCTGGCCCAGAAGAGCAACGAGATGCACGTCATTGCTCTGCGCCAGGACCTCCGCTGAGAAGGCGCTCTGTTCAGGCGGCGTGAGCAGGGACAGATGAGACAGCAGCGCGTTGATGTTCCGCAGGATAGGGTGCGAGAGCGTCGCCTTTGCGGCTCCTCTGTTTGCCTCGGAAGCTATACTCGACAGATACGATTTGATCAATGAGATGCGGGACTCCAGCGTGCGAATAGCGTTTAAGCGGGTGTTGAGGCTGGCCATCACTGCAACACATGTTAACAATAATGCGACGTGGGGAGGGACTCGGCAGCGTACGTTCTTCTTCCTCGGGCGAATAAACAACAGTCTCAGCCGACGGCTCCTTGGCGTCTTTCTTCTCGACCTGGGACAGCGCGCCTCCTGTTCGGGCGGTCCGCGCCACCGTATCCATGCCGATCATCTCAGCCTCCCCGGTCTCGACAAAATACGGGATCTCGCGGAAGCGAATGTTGAGCGACTGCTCCTCACCGTCAACCTGCATCGCCTTGCCGTTCTCAGACGCATGTTCGCCTTCGTACACACTCTCGTACACGGTCAATGGGAGCTTGGCGCCGTTCGTCGATGCCCCGTGCACCTGCGATGGGTGGAATGCGAGAAACACGGCGGACTCGTTGTAGTCTTGCAGGATCTGGCGGTGGATGGGGAGGTGGTCGGTGTTCGGGCCGGACGGCGGCGCAGTCGTCCACCAGCCGACCAGGTCGAGCGCTGGGGCCTTGTGGACGTCCTTGACTGCGGTTCTCTGTCGTTAGTGGTGAAGGTATCAAGAGGGTGATTGGAGCTACACGTACGCTGCTTGACTCGCTCGGTGAACCATTCGTGGAGGATCTGGACCTCGCCGTTTGGGCCTTCCGTGAGGACGCACTCGAAGGCGTGTTCAAGGGTGATTGTCCGGCCGTCTTGTTGGCCGAGCAGGGCGCCGGCTATTGGGCCTCGTTGTGATCGTGCCGCATGGCGGGTGATGTGGTCGGAGATGGTGAGGAGGACGAGGGGGTGCAGCTGGATGTGGAGTCCAGAGTCTGACGTTTTCTGGGACAGGAGAGACCTTGGTTCTGCCATTTTCGGGGGTATGTTGTATGTGTCAAGAGAGATTGGGAAAGGATAGAGGATGGAGGGCTTCTTGGAGGTGATGATCGTGTCGAAGGATGACGGGGTGTTTGTTGGGTTTGCATTGCCGAGCGGTAAGCTTTCCCCGCGGCCTTCCAGAACAACATCGCGATCGCCCCAATCTCTCAGCTTCACTCCCGTCAGATCGCTGTGTACGCCAACATGACGGTTCCATCCACGTACGACGAGGTCGCTCGTCATCTGCAGCAGGTTTACTGCGACCCCTCGATCCGCTTGGATCTCACCCTTCTCGACAAGCTCAAACTAGAGCTCACCGAAACTACCGATCGCAAAGTCCCCGCAACGCTCTTGACGCTGATCTCCCAGCTTCTTCCGGTGCTCCAGGAGGACCCCACGCCCGTCACGACGCTCGGCACTAAAGCGACCACATACTTCACCTTCTCCGAACTTCGCTCCATCGACCCTCCTATCGACTTCATCGCCGGTTTCAAGGCGCCCTCGCCACCCATCAATCTGCTCGCTTTATCCCTCCTGCGAAAAGCAGGCTACGCGCCTAGCGACGCCGCCATAGTCGCGGGGGACTCAGATCTGGTTGTCTCGCTCGTGGAACTCTGGCTGTCAACGTCCTCTACGGCTGTCGCACAGGCTGCTCTGGACGCTATCTGGGCGCTTCTGGAAATCGACTTGGCCAGTCCTCTGGAGAATGGGGGTTCTAGCCAGGAAGACGAGGAGGCATCTGGAGGTCAGGGGCTGATGTGGAGGAGGTTCTTCTCCGACAAGGATGTCTATGGCAGACTATTCGCTCTCTGCTGTTTGAACGACGACTCGCCGGGAAGTCTTCCAAAGCGTGAAAAGACGGTGGCGCAAGGCCGACTGATGGGATTTCTGGTGAAGGCAGGCCGTCTACGCTGGGATTTGATATCTCGCTCTCAGGTTCCTGAGGTGGAGGCGAGATACAAGTGTAGCAGTTTGCTACAGTTCGCGGCGCGTGAGATGGTTGATAAAGCCGATGTGCTTATGCACATGACGCTGTTGAACTTCTTCCACGACCTTTTGGAGATTGACGCTCCAGGCTTGACTTCGCGCAGTTGTGTCCAGTCAGCATCCACCTTTTCGTCGCCCGCTCTGGACTTCCTTATCTCGCATAACGTGCACTCGTCCCTTCTGGAGTCATATCTAGATGATTCTCGGCTAGATCCGGTGGATTTAAGCTACCTATCTGGCCCGATAATGGCTTATGTCGCTCAGTACGCGGAGTTGTATCCCAACCATTTCCTGCAAAATGCGCAGAATCTGCTCGAGCGGATCCTCTCCCGGATTGCTTCGTCCCTGGCCATCTCGTCCGCTCAATGGGCACATGGACCTGTTCCCACCGGGCAGCTGAATGTGCTCTCCTGTCTTCCCCGAGTCTTGCTAGTTGAAGCTACGAAACACGGTCTGAACCCCGTGCTTGCCATTCCTACTTCCCCTCCCAGCAAGGAGGCTTTTGACGCGCTCGGGAAGATCCTCCATGGCCCGCCAAAACCGGAAGATGGCAATGCGATGGGGCTAAACACTTCTGGCCAGGCGCCCACGGACTGGCATAAAGAAGCTGCGGCCGCGCGAGTCATGTACTTTCTGTATCTGAATCACCACCCCACCCTCTGGACGGATGTCGTTGCGACGGCTGATATACTGGCGATGAAGGACATATCTCTCGCGGCCATCTCGTTTACAAAAGCTGTCGTTACAGCTAATTGGCAGACGCTGTCTGGAGACGTGACCTCGTCGGTCCCAGGGACATCCCGATACCAGCTCCCCACAGAAGAAAGTCTGGGAAGGCTGTCGCCATCTGCGCAAGGAGTACTTCCCTCCACGGGGGTGTGGGCCGTGCTCACTCCTCCAGCGTTGACCGTGTTGTTGCCCTACTTGTTCAAGGCGCCACGTTCATCGGCCGAGTTTGCGGGCGGTGGAGCGGGTGATGTGCAGAACACAGCCTGGAAGATCGCCACCGCGAAGTACGAAGTGTTGGTATCTCTATACGAGCATCTACAGAGAGTGGGCGGTGAAATGGAAGGCTTCGAAGATATAGTTCGGACACTCGCGCAGCGGGTGAATGAAGGACCGTTGGGAAATGTCTCACAAACAGGCAGTCGGGTGGAGGCGATCGGATTATAGGTTCAGTAATTGCACAAATCTTTAGACGAATACCATTTGATTAATATTCAGTCTATGCATTTGCTCTGTAGCAGGAGTCCGGAGTAAATAATGCGGCTTGGAAGCCCTAATAATTTGCCCTGTGAAGGCGGTGAGCCGCCATTGCGGCGGAAATTTTTTTCTCGTCCAACTCCACCTCCCATCGTGATTCACGCATCAGAGTCAACAATACCCATTATTCGTCTTTTTACGCGCCGGAGGGAGCTTCTTGAGTGAATAGGGTACATACAGAACCGTCTTACAAATCCATACCCCCATCCTAAATCCACCCATGTCCCGATTCGCCGCAAAGAAAGGCCGTAAGCTGCCTGGTGCAGAATTCACTTGGGACGCCGACCCCGACGGGGAGCCCGACACCGCGCCTACACCTCTCTTCCCTGTATGTCCCCTAGACGAGGCTTTATTGCCCTCGTGACATTCCTCCCTTCGATCCACTCCTCACAACAACATCATGGCTCACCTCTACCCGCAGAAATACACCGTCCCCCGCGCCAGACCGTTAACCGCCCGCGAACAAATACAAGTCGACCTGTACCGCCAGCTGCGCGAACGCTTCCACGATGGCCCGTACTACTCCGTGCTCAAGAGCGACTCGTCCAGCGCCAAGAAGGACAGCTCTGCGCGCGCCGAGTTCGATCCCTTCCACGGCATGCCCTCGTACTCGGGCAGGTATCAGAAGAAGCGGCGGGCGGCGCCGAACCTGAAAGGCCGGCCGTACGGTACGTCTACGTTCTGCGTTGTTGCAGGTCGGGCGGGGATAGATTGTGCTAATTGGCGTGCCGTCCTGCAGTGATGAAGTTCTTCCCGCGCGACGACTTGTGGCGGACGATCCAGCCAAGCTATAAGCCCGGTTCGACGTTGGATGGGTTTGTGGCGCAGGGCCCGCGGACGGGGGTCAAGCGTGGGTTCGAGCTGGACGATGACGAGGACGAGGAGGAGGATGCGAAGCGGGCGCGGGGCGATGGGGATGAGGATGATGCGGAGGGCGCCGCGGACGATGCGCTGGATGGAGACGAGGACCAGGAGGAGGAGATTGTGGACGATGACTTTGAGGAAGATGACGATGAGATGGGCGGGGACTACAATGCGGAGCAGTACTTTGATGGCGGCGAGGATGACTTTGGGGACGATGGGTTTGGGGATGGCGGCGGCGGCGGTGACGAAGATACGTACTAGGCTTGCTCTACGGAGGAGTTCTATGTTTGAGATACCCTTGTGTTGTTTGATCTGACTTTCTGAGCGGTTGCATCTGAGCGGAATGAGATCTGTTTACTGAATGGCGTATGGAATGGACATCGATCGTATGCTTGTACCTGTGCGACGTCTAGATTGATATACTGGATGCGGCCTCAGGCACGAAGATGACGTCATCCCGAACCGGAGCACAAACTTTCTGGCCCATCAAAAGCCCCGCGGAGCGTTGTGAAGCTTGCAAATGCATGGGCAGAATGGCTGACTCTCAGGCCCCCGGACTCCAGAAACGGTCTGCCCTGGTGCTCTATGGCTCAGAGACGGGCAATGCCCAGGAGGTGGCCGAGGAGCTGGGTGCGCTGGCCGAGCGCCTGCGATTCGTGACTCATGTGTCGGAGATGGACCACGCGCGGCTGGTGTGTTTGCTTTGTTCGCTCTGCGATTGGAGTATGATGCTGACTGCATGGTAGGAGTCGCTGCAATCGTATACGATCGTGATCTTTGCGCTGTCGACCACCGGCCAGGGCGATCTGCCTGCGAACGCGCGGGCGTTCTGGCGGTCTATGCTTTTGAAAAAGCTCCCGCCGACATTGCTAAGTGGGGTCCGGTTTGCGTCGTTTGGGTTGGGTGATAGCTCTTATCCCAAGTAAGTGGAGCGAGATGAGATGGAGGTATTGTTATTCTATAATCTAACACGCACAGGTTCAATTGGGCGGCGCGGAAGTTGTATAAACGCCTGCGGCAGTTGGGCGCAACAGAGATATACCCCTGCGGGGAAGCCGACCAGCAACATGCAGAGGGGTACGTCCGATCCCTGCGCGAGAAGACTACGTCTGTTTACTGACTATTACGCAGACTGGAAGGGACTTTTATCCCGTGGATGACAGACTTTCGCAAACACCTCCTGGAACAATACCCGCTGCCGCCAGGGCAAGATCCGATACCGGACGATGTGCAACTACCACCCAAATGGGTTCTCAAGCTGCAAGACGAAGACTCGCCAGCTCAGACGGAACACTCTGTTCCCGGAACGCACGAGGAGACAAATGCAGGGGACGTCCGTCCAGCGCGAATGGACCATGACTATCGTCCTATTCCAGATACCTTGACGGCGACCCTGGTAGAGAACAAGCGCATGACACCACCTAAGCACTGGCAGGATGTGCGCCATATCACCCTGACCGTTCCCGATGCGGTGGACTACGTCCCGGGTGACATGATTTCGATCACGCCGAAGAACTTCCAGGACGACGTCGACGCCCTCATCCAGATGATGGGGTGGGAGGACCAGGCAGACCGCCTCCTAAGGCTGGTCCCTAATGAGAGTGTTTATACTGTGGAAGATGCTCATACACCTCCCATCCACAGCCTGGAGTCATACCCCAGACTAACACTACGTGCCCTGCTGATGGACTACCTGGACATCCGAGCCATCCCGCGCCGGGCCTTCTTCTCCGCCATCGCCCACTACACGAACGACGAAATGCACAAGGAGCGGCTGCTAGAGTTCACCAACCCGGAATTCGTCGACGAGTTCTGGGACTACACGACCCGCCCGCGACGGAGCATCCTGGAAGTCCTGCACGAGTTCGACTCGGTCAAGATCCCCTGGCAGCACGCCGCGACGGTGTTCCCCGTCATGCGCGGGCGACAGTTCAGCATCGCCAGCGGCGGCGAGCTGAAGCGGACCGCCGAGGGGGGCGCGCGGTTCGAGCTCCTCATCGCGATCGTCAAGTACCGCACCGTCATTCGGCGCATCCGCGAGGGCGTCTGCACAAAGTATCTTGCGGCACTGCGGCCGGGTAGCACCCTGCGCGTGCAGCTACAGCGCGGCGGGCTCAATTCCTCCGTCAGTCAGCTCACAGGTCCCACCGTGTTGATCGGGCCTGGGACGGGCGTGGCACCGCTGCGGTCGATGCTCTGGGAGAAGGCCGAGATTGTCAAGAACTATAAGGCGCAGCATGCCGGGGCCGAGCCCTCGATCGGGCCCGCGGTTCTTGTCTACGGGGGCCGCAATCGGGCGGCGGATTTCTTCTTCGAGGACGAGTGGAAGGAGCTCGCCGGGCTGATAAAGTTGCAGGTCTTGACGGCATTTTCGCGGGATCAGGAGCACAAGGTCTACGTGCAGAATGTGATCCGGGAGAATCAGGAACTCTTTAACAAGGTTCTGCACGAGATGTCGGGATCGGCGTATGTCTGCGGTTCGTCCGGGCGCATGCCGGAGGCGGTTCGGGAGGCGCTCATCGATGTGTTCCAAAACGGGGCAGCGAGTGACGCCGATCGGACGGAGCGAGACGAGGCGGAGGAGTATTTATTGGGTATGGAGAAGATCGGACGATACAAGCAGGAGACGTGGTGAGGCTGTCACATGTGATGAATTCGCTTGGAGCTTTCGTAATACTAGCTCTGGGCACGCATGATGCACGAGATATAGAGTAGATCTGCGACGATATATGACTTGACTTATACCTCTTCCGCCAGTCCGCGCCATAATACTCACTGTTATGCTCTCTCGTATGATGCCAACGTGGTGCTCACATAGCCTACTAAGCGGTAACCTCGGTTGGAAGCGGAGGAGCAGTTGGCCTTGGGTGCTCGTCGGCCCGCATCGCTATTAGGTAAGCGGCGCTCTCCCGCGGGCGTTCTTCTGCTCCGACAGACGGAGTCGGCTCTCGACCTATTTACCATTCCCCTGCTCTACCCGCGGTCTCGTTCTGTCCCTCTATTCACCCCATTGATTGACCACATTTGAATCTCACACAATGGCCAGCGGCTTGCGAATTCTCGTGCCCGTCAAGCGGGTGATTGACTATGCGGTGCGTTTTAGCTTGTGACTCCCTAGCACCTCGGAGCCGGCACGACGAGACTAACACCCGGCACCGCAGATGAAACCGCGGATCAACAAGGCGCAGACGGGCGTCGAAACGACCGGGATGAAGTTCTCGCTGAACCCGTTCGACGAGCTCTCGATCGAGGAGGCGGTGCGGCTGCGCGAGCGCAAGGACAGCCCCGTCAAGGTGGAGAACATCCTGGCGCTGTCGGCGGGCGGGACCAAGTGCGCGGACACGCTGCGCACGGCGATGGCGATGGGGGCCGACCGGGCGTTCCACGTCGACGTGGGCGAGAAGGACGCCGGCAGCGGCGGGCCGGAGCCGCTGACGGTGGCCAAGATGCTGAAGGCGGTGGTCGAGAAGGAGAACATCAACCTGGTGCTGCTAGGGAAGCAGGCCATTGACGGCGACCAGGGCCAGACGGGCCAGATGCTGGCGGGCTTGCTGGGCTGGCCGCAGGCCACGCAGGCGAGCAAGGTCGACGTCAAGGATGCCGAGGGCACCGTCGAGGTCACGCATGAGGTCGACGGCGGCGTGGAGACGCTCCGCGCGAAGCTGCCCATGGTCATCACGACGGATCTGCGGCTGAACGAGCCGCGGTACGCCAGTCTGCCTAACATCATGAAGGCGAAGAAGAAGCCGCTGGAGAAGAAGACGCTGGCGGATTTTGGCGTCGAGGATCAGAGACGTCTGAAGACGCTGAAGGTTACTGGTGAGTGCGGGCTTATTCTTATATCGGAGAGTGTGTGTGCTGACGGTTGTAGAACCCCCGGCGCGACAGGGCGGAGGCAAGGTCGAGGACGTGGATGGCCTGATCTCCAAGCTGAAGGAGCTTGGTGCCCTGTGAGGGAGCCATTGGTGAATATTTGCTTGTGTATGTTTACGATTAGACCCAGTCTGCTGTCGTGTCGGTAGATATGTGATCATGGATGTTTTTACATTGCCCGGGCCCTCGGGGTCCTCCCTGAGGAATGTATATCTACGGAGTACGGTGTACAGAGTATCGTAGGTTCGGACTTCGCCCGTAGATCAATGTATGTTAGTCCCCTTCGAGATGATTCTAGTGCGAACCGGTCTCGACGAATGGATAGATGATGGATAGGAATCGACAGGTAACATCTTGCCACGAACCTAGCCTGGTGGCACCGCTAGCCGGTCTCGTGGGAACGGTGCTCCTGACGAGAGACCTTAGCCAGTCGACACGCGTATGAACGAGACTACTAGTTACATATGAGAGATCGAGTGGCTACGGGGAAGTGAGTGTCTATACCCTGTCCGGGACGTCTACGATGCGTACGGAGTACATACATGACTCGACGTTGGGGGTGGTGAGGCGCTGAACGAGGCTAGATAGCGGTGGATTAATTTATTTGGGTTTCGATGGGATCTAGATCTCGACGATGGAGGTTATTACGATCAACCACAGCCTGAAAGGATGCCTTTTTGATTTGTCGATGCGCGTGTCAGATAGAGAACAGACGGCATTGGTTCATGGCGCTGCGAAGGATTCTGCAGGGGTGTCTGTATGTCAATATCGACAGATTTATCTCGAAGGGCAGTTTATTCGGATATCGAGACGGTCGTCTTTAAGACGTCTTCGTGACAGTCCAACGGGGCTCGTCTCGTGGATGACTGGATTCTCGTGTCTCGAATCTCATATCACATCGAGATACCACCGAGTCATCGTCTGCATAGATCCCTCCATGTGGTGCAGTACATAGTATCTCCTGTCCACTCTGGCCACCTAGCCCAGAGATCGGTCCAGGACGATTCCAAATTCTAATCCGTCGGTTCCATACGCTTCATGTGGACAGGACACGACAGCGTATGGTGTAGTCGGTCACCCGGGCCTACTCTCACAGACTAGATCTTTGACGAACTGGTAGGACAACTCCTCAACAATTCATCATGACGATTGAAATCCGAAGGGGGCACCAGACTGGCTGAAAAAGCTCCGGGACTATCGATGAACTACTGTGCCTTCATGTATCCCTTCCAAACCCTTGGACATGTCATCTCATAGAAGGGGAAATGGAAACCAAGGGGACGATCGGGCCTGGTTTAATTTGATTTGATTGCAGGGGCTCGGCTGTGAAGGATGGAGCCTGGGGGATTGGGTGGGCTCTCCATCTTGGTGGGAGGTGAACAATCCTCGAGGTGGCTGGATTGGAGCTGTCATCTGCGACGGACTTGATACGTCGACCGGCCGAGGGGAATCTGAATCAGGTCTCATGAATGAATGTAGGGATAGAGGGGAGCAGGATCTGCATGGGTCTGGGGGTGTGGTATTCATCGGAGGTTCTTTTGAGCTTAGTTGTGTACAGTATTTGTAGGCGGTTATTGTTATTGTCGTTATTATTGTTGTTGTTGGGGTTCTGGACAGAGATTGTCTGGTTCGGATGATGAAGGATGTTCCAGGTTGATAACAGGTGGAGGCTGCAGATCTATCTTATTGAATAATAATAATAATATTTATAAGACGGAAAGAAAGAACACCATCAACTTATACAACTACAGGATTGTTCTCTGTACAAAGCAATGTTGCCCGAGAGATGAGTGTATCTACTATAATACAGAGTACTACTAGTACGGAGTAAGTATCCGGACGATGACGAGACGACGAGATGCCGATCTGACGCTATGATGTTATCGAGCGGACTCCACGATGAGTGCCGAATCCACTAGTACTAGTCGTAGTCAGGTAGTACAGTATACTGTATGGAGTACAATAATACAAAAATAAAACATATATTTATTTAGTGAAGAAAAAACAATATAGGAATAATAATATAATAGTCAGAAGAATCCCATTCAGCCACATGCGGTGGTATAAGACCGAATGCTTCCGATTGCGCCGTCTTCGGCCGGCTGCTCCTCTCTGTCATTTCTTCTTCATCGTTTCTTCTCTCTTTCTCTCTCTCTCTCTTTCTTCATTCTTTCTCCGTTCTGTATCACTTATGATTGTTACGATCTCACTATAATCCCTAATGCTCTAGTTGCTGGTGATCCCTCATAGTTCAACCCCGTCGTCTCCCTTGAATCCCTGCGCCCTTACGACGCCTATACTACCCTAGATATATTCTATATCGCCCTCATCCTCCTCTCAAACTCGGATCCCATCCGGTCATTCCCCGATTCCGATGCTCCAAGGTCCGTACGTATTAATAGAGTCTTACTCTTCTGCCTGGGCTTTCCCTCCCCGTTCCATGGTTTCCCTTCCGTTGCTCGGATGATTTGATCGCCACTCCACGATGGCGCATGCTGCCCTTCCCCCCCGCCGGTCTCGACCACGGATATCACGGAGGAAGAGACTGTCATGCTGACTGACCTTATATTCGCTCCTCAGGCACTTCCTGATTTCACCGACCCATCCTTGTATATGTCTCCCGTCGCTTCCGTCCGTTTTAACTCGCCCAGCCGCCCATTCCTCCCATCCGAGCGACATTCCAGTGCCTCGCTCGCATTCCTCGCTTGTGCCAGCAACTCCGGCTCTGTCCCGCTTGCTGCCCATTCGTCGCATTAGGGAATCTAGGGCCCGCGCGTCGCTGTTCTCGTCGTGGCTCCCATCGCCGCTACTTTTATAGATCGCGGTGCGCTGCCCGCCTCCAGGACTTCCGTCCTGCGTGAGAATCCCCGCCTAGTGCGTGCACTACGTCATCATGGCCCCCTCCTTCTGGGAACGCACCAAAGGAACCTCCAAGAAAGGATTCGACAAAGCATGGCATACTCTCGACAAACTCGAAGGCCCCGTCAACCGGCTATCCTACCGGGTCGGCGCTGAGGCCTTCTGGCCCATGAATCTCGAACGCGAAAACGAAAAGGCCGCCCGCATCCTCCGCAGCTTCTGCAAGGATGGCTTCTATGCCAACGAAGAGGTCGAGGAGGAAGTCGTCGATAGTCACGGCAAGATCAGTCGTCCCAAGGGGAAACAGCGCGTGCTGAAGAAGATCCCCAGCGAGGTCATCCGCCGTGCCAAGGGTCTCGCCATCTTCACCACGATGCGCACCGGTCTGTGGGTGAGCGGCTCCGGGGGCAGCGGTGTCCTTTTAGGCCGTATTCCCGAAACAGGCGAATGGAGTCCCCCGTCCGGCATCATGATGCACACCGCCGGCGTCGGCTTTCTGGCCGGCGTCGATGTCTACGACTGCGTGCTCGTCATCAACACCTACGAAGCGCTCGAGGCGTTTAAGAAGGTCCGCTGCACGGTAGGCGGAGAGGTCAGCGCCTCCGCCGGCCCGTTCGGCATGGGTGGTGTGCTCGAGTCGGAGGTCCACAAACGCCAGGCCCCCATCTGGACTTATATGAAGAGTCGCGGGCTCTACGCCGGCGTTCAGATCGATGGCACGATTGTCATCGAGCGCACTGACGAGAACGAGCGCTTCTTCGGCGAGCGCATTTCCGTCGTCGACATCCTCGCCGGCAAGGCGAAACACCCTCCCGCTTCCATCAAGACCCTGATTGAAACCGTCAAAGCCGCGCAAGGTGACTCCGATGTGGACGAGAGCTGGGTGATCCCGCCGGGAGAGACCCCCGGCGACATCGATGCGCAGGCACTGTCAAACCAGACATTTGGCATCCCCGCCGCGGACGACCCCGATCCGTACGGCGTCAAGGCCCTCGAAGCAGAGGGCCTCTTCATCCGGGAGGCCGGCACCAAGACGCGGCCCCCGATAGAAACCTTCGAATTCAGACCCAACCCCAGCAGCCCGGTGTACGCGACTTTCCGCCGTAGTGTCGACAGCTCCCCACGCAACAGCTGGCGACACAGCGTGCAAAGCTACGTCAGCATGGACCGCGGCACGCAAACCGACGACGGTCCGATGACCGCCCCAACATCCATCAGCCGTGCTTCCTCGCGAAGCAACCGCGACTTTACGATCAACCCCTGGGACAATGAAGACAGTCGCTGGGAAACCGTCATTCCCGAGCGCAAAGAGAGCTACGTTTCGGGCCATGACGCCGGCGCGGACGACGCACTCGGCTACGACGACTACGAAGACGTCGAGATCCACGAAATCAGCAGCGCCCGCGTCTCGAAACGCGACAGCGCCGGCAGCTCTGCATCGCCGGTCTCCACGGACCACCCGGCCAGCGCCTTCGAACCGAAGCGTCAGTCGCCCACCTTCACCCGGGCCCGACTGGTCACCATCCCCAAGCGCACGCCTCCCGCTCTCCCGCCGCGCAACCCCCAGCGTCCAATCGATACCTCCACTCCCGTCTCCCCTGTCTCCCCTGTCTCAGTCCCTTCCTCCCCCGCCGCGGAACGGTCGAATTCCAGGGCCGACGCTCTCGCCGAGCTCCCCCTCCACCCTGAGAACGAGACTAGCGCCTCGTCGGCAGAGGACGCCCCCAAGGCCGCTGCAGAAAAGGACGAGTTCCACTCGATATCGAGCGCGCATTCGTCCGACTCCGAGTCGGACACCGATCTCAGCACGAAAGAACACACCTCTGTGTCGGACGCCGTGCCGCCCCATGCCGGGACGGACGCCGCAGTTGGCACCGAGACGCCCCCCTCCAAGGCGGAAGAGACGCCTTCCGAACAGACGAAGCCCGAGCTCGAAGCCGAGCAAGCAAAGCCCGTCGCAGACCGCGAGAACGCCCACGCCGCTGTGGAGCCTCAACCTGCATGATCGCATTCTTCCCTCTTCTCATGAACATTGTTGCATTCCTTTCCTACTGCATTCTCTCTTCTGTATATAGTCTTCTGATGTATGTTTGTCTATTATTTGTACATGTGGCGACCGACTCGAACGCAGCCGACATAGCATTGTTCGGCTGTCCGTCTTGCGGTCAATGCTTTCGTTCAGCGAGTTGGCGTGGGGTGGGTTTGGAACTTTGGATACGGTATACCTGGGCGTCTTTCGGTTTGGACAGAGTCTCGGGCTGGGGCTGTATAGGATGTATATGATGTGGATTAATACGTTATATCCTGTCGAATGAATCATTATGAATGCGAAGTGCGAAGTGCGGTTAAGCGATGTTGAGAACTCCGTGCGGAATCTCTGTCGAGTATAGTACCTATGGTCGGCGAGAAAATCATAGTAATAACGACCGAACCATCACAAGCTCCAACTGCCCCGTTGGCCTCCATCAACCTCCATTTGCACCTGAATTGGTACGAGTAATCGCCAGTCCACCTCTCCTTCACTTCAGCCATCGTACACCCCGATCAACCCGGACCCACTAACTTCGGTCAGTTGATCCTCGACAAGATGCTAGGGGCCATACAGAAACGCAGATGATCCAGTACCCGTAAGCCAGCAGATCATTGCCGCGATGCAGGCTGTCCGGTCGCCCAGGCAAGCAGCACGTACACGACATGATAGAGCCAGAGCTCGAAGGAGGTTGCCAGAGTGATGCGTGGACCGAACCAGTACCGCTCGAGCCCTCTCACGACTTTCATGCAGGCATTGACCAACGCCATGAAGCACAGCACGGAGAACGAGAACGGCCAAGCCCACCACCAGGCGATGTAGACTGCCGCATGGTAACATCCAGCGATGGCGCTCCGGAATTTGAGCCAGGCTCTGTTCAGTCTGTCCATGATCAGTTTGTATGTGGGGGGGTCTTATCGACGAGTGTGTTTGAGGATATGCGGGTGGAGAGGGGTGTTGTGGTTGTAGAGGAGAGTAGAGAGGAAGCGAGGGAAGTCATTTTGTTATTGACTAGGATTTCTTTGTGTTGGAAGGTGCGGTTGTGCTGTGGTTCTGAAGGAAGTTGTTGTGTAGGTATAGACGGGAAGGAGTCTGGTGTATGGGATCTGCCGAGGTACGACCGATAGATACAGTACGTACAACATGAGGTTAGGTAGACATTAAGTATTCATGAATTGCTCTAAGACATGTATTCATTCAGCTACTATGCCAAATACTTCTACCGTAGAGGCCAAGAGATAAGGCATTACATAAACCACTGGACTGACCTGAAGCTTAATATACCTGACTCCTCATCATCACGCCAATTCCCCACTCTTCAGGATGATGCGGAAATGCAACACCACTTCTAGCTAACCCCGGGACTGACCGCCGGGCTGACCAGACTGCATCGTCACTACACAAGCCTTTAGCTCCTCCGCCCAATGGCTTGTTCTCGTATCGGCCGTTCCCCACTGCTAGTGCAAATGATCGTTACATCGATCGTCGGGCTGACCGGCCAATAACGGCCCCATCAGCTGGGAGATATCGCTCCCCTGAATCTTACGGCGCCATATAAACACCCCAGGACCCTGCAGATCTTGTGTTGGGTATTTTTTCTTCCCTCACTCCGTCGGTTGATTTGGTCTGGGAGGATAAGTACTGATGCCGTCTACCAAGTCTGTCGTGATCGGCGCCGTCGGGCTAGCCGGGGCTGTCGCCGGACAGTATTTCCCTCCCACCCCCGAAGGCCTCAAGGTGGTTCATTCCAAGCACGAGAAAGGCGTCAAAATCTCCTACAAAGAGGTGCGTAGCCATCTCACCTTGTTGGATTTCTCACCAAACATGAGGAATTCCGTCAAACAACCCCCAACCTAATCTCATACAGCCCGGCGTCTGTGAAACCACACCAGGAGTCAAGTCGTACTCGGGTTACGTCCATCTGCCTCCGGGAACTCTCAAGGATGTCTCGTTAGACCAGGATTACCCCATCAACACCTTCTTCTGGTTTTTTGAAGCCCGCAATGACCCGAGAAATGCCCCGTTATCCATCTGGATGAACGGCGGCCCCGGCAGCTCCTCCATGATCGGTCTGTTGCAGGAGAATGGCCCGTGTCGCATCAACCCCGACTCCAACTCCACGGAGATCAACCCCTGGTCGTGGAACAATTATGTGAACATGCTTTACATTGACCAGCCGAGCCAGGTCGGGTTCAGCTACGACGTCCCGACCAATGGCACCTACAACCAGATCACCGGGGAATACGATGTCTCCGGGTTCCCCGGGGGCGTCCCCCCGGTGCAGAACAACACGTTCAATGTTGGCACCTTTCCCAGCTTGAACAAGTCCACGACCGCCAATTCGACTCAGAATGCGGCCCGCGCTCTCTGGCACTTTGCGCAGACCTGGTTCTCCGAGTTCCCGGAGTACAAGCCCCATGACGACCGGGTGAGCATCTGGACCGAGTCTTATGGTGGCCGGTACGGCCCGTCGTTCACGGCGTACTTCCAAGAGCAGAACGAGAAAATTGCCAAGGGGACCGTCTCCAGGGATGTAGACGCACACTACATCCACCTGGACACCCTGGGCATTATTAACGGCTGCGTGGACCTCCTCGTCCAGTCGCCCAAGTACCCCGAAATCGCCTACAACAACACCTATGGCATCGAGACCATCAACAAGACGGTCTACGATGCAGCAATGAGGGCGTGGAGCAAGCCCGGCGGTTGCAAGGACCAGATTATCGAATGTCGCCGCCTCGCTGCCGAGGGCGACCCGCAAATGTTCGGCAACAACGCCACGGTCAACAAGGCCTGTAGAAAGGCCGACCAGTACTGTAGCAACCAAGTCGAAGGACCATACACCGAATTCTCCGGACGGGGATACTATGATATTTCTCACCTCAACCCGGACCCGTTCCCGCCGCCATACTTCTTTGGATTTCTGAACCAACACTGGGTGCAGGGCGCGCTGGGCGTGCCCATCAACTTCACCGAGTCGGTCGACAGCGTCTACGAGGGCTTCTCATCGGTCGGTGATTACCCCCGGTCGGATGTGCGCGGGTATCTCGAGGATCTGGCCTACGTACTGGACTCGGGCATCAAGGTGGCTCTGGTGTACGGCGATCGCGACTACGCATGCCCGTGGAACGGCGGCGAAGAGGTCAGCTTGCTGGTGCAGCATGCGGAGGCGGAGCAGTTCCGTTCGGCAGGATACGCCCCCCTGCGGACGAATGCATCGTACGTCGGCGGGATGGTCCGGCAGCACGGAAACTTCTCGTTCTCCCGCGTCTTCGAGGCGGGCCACGAGGTGCCAGCCTACCAGCCCGAGACGGCGTATGAGATCTTCCACCGGGCGATGTTCAACCGCGACATTGCCACGGGCAAAGTCAACACCGCAAAGAATGAGTCGTATTCGACGACGGGTCCGTCTTCGACGTGGAACATCACGAACGCTGTGCCTGATAGCCCTGCGCCGACCTGCTATGTCCTCCAATTGACGACGTACTGCACGGACGAGCAGGTGCAGAGCGTGGTGGATGGGACAGCTGTGATCAAGGACTACATTGTGGTTGGTGATGGGCAATAGATGTATATACTTGAATGGCAGCCGTGTGCTGTCGTGTCAATAACTGTTGATACTTGTATACTCGGAGTACTCTGCAGTATCAAAGAAATGTGAGACTTACGTAAGAGAAAACCTGCACGTGCGGGGTAATCAGGGGCTAGCCCGAACAGGAAGGTGGGCATCGTGGGTGATGAGATAATCAATATCTCCCGATCAGGAACCAGATCGAGACCGTTGACGAGTATAGTACTTCCATCGAGTTTCTTCTACGATCACCATCATAGTGATTACATTGCAAATCAGCCGTCAGAAGACAGCCGTCTGCGCTCTACGGACAGAATCCTCGCCTCCTGCCCGGATCAGATGCCCCAATCTCTCGTCGTCACAGACACTGCCGAACCTTCGCGAACCTTCGATTGGCTGATGGGGTGCGGTCAAGCGTCACACGTCATTGTCGTCACCTGAAGGCCAACAAGTCCATCTCTTCCTCTTCGCTCTCCTGCATCGACTTTAGATTCTTCAGTCTGGCCTGAGGTTTGTCCTGGTCTGTCTGTCGATTGTTGATTCCTTCCGTTCTTCTTCCCTCGACCCTCTTCTCGCCCTTCACATTGATCGTCTTGTTCCCCGCTATATCTGGTATACGCTGGCCGTGCCCCGCGAATCTTCTACGTCATTCGAGATCCTACGGTCATTCCACCCTCGAGCCCATTTCACAGCCCGGTGGCACAGGTTCGTGCAGGCCGACTATCCGTTCTGCAGTTTATATGCTCATCACCGTCTTCCAATTAGCTTTGTTTGACTTTTGGCTGGTTCTGTCTTTTGAACAACTTAACCGTAATCACTTCCCACAATGGTTGCCGAAACCAAGCTATACGATTCCTTGAATATCAAACCAGACGCGTCACAAGATGAAATCAAGAAGGCCTATCGAAAGGCCGCCTTGAAATACCACCCCGACAAGAACAAAGACAACCCACAAGCCTCCGAGAAATTCAAAGGTACGTGACGTCCCCGCACTCCCTTCCTTCTGTCCTTTGAAGACATCCGCTAACAAGTCTACAGAAGTCTCCCAGGCTTACGAAGTGCTCTCCGACCCCGAAAAGCGCAAGGTGTATGATCAATTCGGTCTCGACTATCTCATGCGGGGTGGTCCCGCTCCTCCGCCCGGCGGCGGTGGTGGTGCCGGCCCCAACCCGTTCGAGGGTGGCATGCCTGGCGGATTCTCCTTCGGTGGTATGCCTGGCGGTGGCGGAACTCGTACATTCCACTTCTCGACCGGTCCGGGCGGCGCCGGCGGGTTCAGCTTCAGCAACGCGGACGATATCTTCCGGAACTTCGCCAAGAGTAGCGGTGGTATGGGTGGCGGCCTAGACGATGACGACTTCCTCTCGTCCATGTTCGGTGCAGGCATGGGCGGAGGCGGCGGTGGTCCTCGCTTCCGTACCAGTCGCAGCAGCGGCGGCGGCGGTCCTGGTTTCCAAAAGGCCCAGCGGGCGCCGACGCCCGAACCCACGGTCGTCGAGAAGGAACTCCCGCTGACCCTGGAGGAGCTGATGAAGGGCACGACCAAGAAGGTCGTTGTCAAGAGCAAGACGTTCGATGCCAGCGGGAAGCGCTCAGTCCAGGATGTCACGCTGGAAGCCAACATCAAACCTGGTCTGCGTACCGGCTCGAAGATTAAGTACCGCGATGTCGGTGACCAGGAAGAAGGGGGACGGCAAGACGTCCATCTTATTGTGACAGAGGTAGGTTTTTTCTCATGATTTTCTCATGGTTGTTGCAACTCGTACTAACAAGTATACAGAAAGAACACCCCACCTTCAAACGTCAGGGCGACAACCTTATCACCACCGTCGAAATCAGTCTCAAGGAAGCGCTCTGTGGCTGGGAGCGCATCGTGCGTACCATCGATGGCAAATCTCTCCGTGTCAGTAAGCCCGGTCCGACCCAGCCAGGTTACGAAGAGCGGTTCCCCGGTCAGGGCATGACGATATCCAAGAAACCCAACGAACGCGGCGATCTCCTCGTCCGTGTCAAGGTCAACTTCCCTAACTCGTTGACACAATCACAGAAGGACATCCTGAAGGACGTTCTTCCGTAATTATGTTCCTGCCTATGATTTACTCTGGTGGCTATCGATCTTGCATTAATGGCGTTTGGCGTGTATTGGCGACACGATGTCATGATTCGAACATGTTTTGTCTTTTATATTAACTTTCATCTTGGCCTATTAGTATGACTCGTTAGATGAATAATAAAAGCTATTCCAGTGTTTACATGTACAGCCTTGGAATGTATGCATTGTAGACTTGTTCTTATCTTATCAATCCTAACCCGATCAGGAATCGACCTCACCTCCGATCATGCGGAGAAAACACTCCCTCTCCTCTCTCCCCTCCCCCATCCTCCTAACCACTCCCCTCCTCACACCAAACCAGCAAAATGCGCCGCAGAATCACCTTCATCCAACGCCCCGACGCAGACTTCTCCCTCGACCAAATCTCCCTCTCCCGCTCCTCGCTCTCCGTCCACGGCCTCGACGCCGCCCGCGAAGACCGCGTCACATTCAGCTTCGACGAGCTTCCACCGGAGGTACGTTACGTCCATATCCACCACCCAAGCCCACGAGATATATCTGTCCGCGGGCCTCTTCGTTAGGCGCTGATTCTGTATGCTCCGCATGCTGACACACGGGTCGACCAGCTCTGGCACGTCCTAAAACTATGCCACCAATTGCACATCCGCTGGGCGGCCGAGGAGCCGTATGAGGCGCGGGCGCCGTTCTCGAGTCGCGTGTCCCCCGGTCTACACGTGTTTTATACGCCTGTTGCAGGTGCAGGTTCAGGGTCGGGGTATGTACTCAGGAGTTTTGGATCTCCCCGGGGGGTTGGTACGTGTGTTCTGACGGATGAGGATGAGACAGGGAAGCGCTGTGTGCATCGTTGAAGAAAGTATTTGATGACGGGCTCAAGTGCGAGACGCCCGAGGTGCGTGATCTGCTGCCTCCCCCCTGGTTTTGTTTAGGGTCTATCGGTCCGCTTACGTGCGCGCAGACGTCGTTTATTACGCCGCCCCTTCTCTCGACGAGATTCGCTTCTACCGCTGCCCTCCAGTTTCACAGTATTCTTCCCTCGCTACAGAATCTGGTGACGTACCTCCAGCACAAGGCGTGTGCGTCTGCGGACGAGGATTGTCTGCGCCGTGTGGCGGGGCTGCTTGTCGCTGACTCGGTCGATGTCAACTACGATAGTATATCGCATGCGCTGACGATATCGGGGTACTGGTCGCGGACGCCGCCGAAGGGATGGACGGAGGAGGTCCGCGCCCGCGAGGCGGGAAAGGGTCAGATCGAGGTGGGACTTCTTGGGACTGAGAAGGCGATCGAGCCTGAGGAGATCCAGATGGGCGGCGTGTTAGCTGTGGTCGGGAAGGAGGATGAACTGAGTAGGTTGCACTTTTCATCTCGCCATTTCGTGGGTGGGAGAACCCAGGCTAATTACATCTGCGAGCCGGCTAGAACCCACGTTGTTTTCCTTCCCATCTCGACATCACCACCTTCCGGATGATGCGATGTATTCGATCTCGTTTCCTGAGCCGACGGGCCTGCATCCTACGATGACTATCGCCTTGTCGCGCGCGTCGCTAAACGCCCCGCCAGCGCCACCAGACGCGACCTGTGCACTGCACGCGTATCTGACTCTCCCGTCGACCGTCTTCGGCGATAAGTATCAACTGTCTACAACGGATTCCTTGTTCCTCGACTCCCACCACTTGACTGCGTTGCGGGCCGTCGCGGGCGAAACTGACCTGGAAGCTCCTGACTGGGTGGTGCCCCGGTGGGGATCAAATTGGCTACTGGAGCTGGCTACGCCCCAGGAGCCGGGGCTGGAGACGGAAGACTGGAACGTCACCATTCCGTTGCACTTGCGCTACCTGAAGCCGTCCGAGTCAGGTTACCGGACTGCATCGATTCCATGGCCCGTCGTCTTCTGGGCCTGTAGTGCAGAGGATGGTACCAAAATGGGCGTCAATCCGTTTGACCGGGTCAACCTGGGCTGGGAGGGGCTGTTTGGTGTTCGCACCATGTTCTACCAGCTGCATCCCTCGACCGGACGCAGAGATGCCCGATTGGTCGAGGAAATCGAAGTACCTGTGCTTCGGCTGACGCGAGAGGGGCTCTTCCAGACCAAGAACATTGAACTGGGTACGGTAGCCGTCATAGGTCTGGGGCTATTGTGGGTGCTGTGGAAGCTGAGTTTGGCAGCACGATCTTCTGAACCCAATACTCGGAAACAGAAGAACCAGAAGCGGAGCAAAGCCGAATAATGAGATAACCATAACTTCTGAACTGAGCGTTGCTCCTGTTGTTGACATTACAGCTTGTTCCACGGGTATCTTGTATCGTAGCATCGTGACCGTTGTTTCAATGATGACTCGGGATCTGAAAGCGGCTGATCGTAGCTAGTCTATATTCCCGCCGTTGGAAGGGAAGATGTGTCATCGTTCACCAAGTTATTGTCCATATCGAAGTTTTGCAAGCTAGGCATATCGATCACCAAATCACTCAACCAGGAAAATCCGGGGTAGTCAGCCAGGGAATGAGTCGACTCCTTGAATGGCTCCCTGGCAACGACCTGTGGCGCCGACGATGAGCTGGGGTTGGAATTTGCATCACGAAGAACATTCCCGAGCGATCGCGTATCCTCTTCCTTCCGTCGTTGGTGAAGCAGGATCAATAAGTAGGCTGTGTTGTAGGCCTCTCGCATGACCTCCGTATCGTAGGCCGACGCCACCTCGCGCAGCGTTCGCATCGCATCTCCAAGCATTGCCAAAGAAGCACGATTGTCGATGGCTAGGAGTGTGCATACGACCTGGAAAGGCACATTCGCGGCCTGATGCCACGGACAGTTGGAAGCAACCATCTCGCGAGCGGCCTGAAGGCCTTTCTGGGCCAGGGCAAGAACGCGATCCAGAAGTGTACCGGAAATGACGGAGTTCAATGCACGCAGCCGGCGATAAATGCACAGCATGAGGTTACATTGTGCCAGGATCAAGGGAGGTTGGATGTGCACGACGTCCAGGACGTTGGTTAGGGCAGATTCTAGATCGGGCAAGTCTTGGGTCGTGCTATTTGGATCGAGGCTTTCTGATACAGGTAGTAGATTGAATATCTCCGTGGTATAGCCAGTAGGTCGGGGAGTAGGCGGAAGAGATGTCGCTCCATGTAGGACGACACGGGAGCGGCCGAGCTCGAAGGAAATCCAGACGTTGAGGTGGCGCGCCATACCGAAGAGGCGTCGACGAATATCCGGATCACATGGCTCTGTGGAGTGCTGTTCAAGGATGGTGTCAGACGACGGCTCTAGATGAAGACCAGTCGCCTCAATCATATGCATCAGTGAGCAGCTAGTCATCCAGGCGGCGTACGGAGAGGCTGTCATGCGCAGGTAAGCGACGCGAAGTACCCAGCCCATGACAACATCAACAGACAATGTGGTTTCAGATAGTAACGCAGGCTCCAAGATCTGTCGCGCATTCTCGACTAGCTGAATTTCGGTGGGCGTGGCTTGCCGTTGCGAGAAGAGATAGCCGAATGCCGCGACACCGCAGAGGACCGCGTCGTAGGGCCCGTAGGCCAAAGCGGCGTCAGACGACGGAGGAAGCCATCGTTTACTCACACGATTGAAGAGGCTGTCGCGATCAATAAAGCCGTAGCATGGATCGACCTTCTCAAAGAACACCGTCGCCAGGGATCTCATATCCTCCTGAGAGATGATATCGACCACAGGTGTCGGCCTTCCGATTGTTGAAGAGAGTGTTGGCTGTGACGGATGACGAGCTCCGACATTCCAGGCAAAAAGATGTAGGTTGGGAGCGTTAGCCGGATCGATTTTCAGACCTAGTCGCCGTACAAATGCCGCCCCAGAATTGGCTTCCAATGAGCTCAGATGAATCCCGTTTGAGTCGCCGAGAGGCGCATGGCTATGGCCCTTGGATGCCGAGTCATCGCGCAATTTCGCCCCAAGGGAGCCCAGATGTGGCATCAAAGTCCTGGGATCCTTCTTCTTACGCGACTGTAGATCATAGTGACAATCAACACCGAACTGGCTGCACGTGGAACAGGGCTGATCGCCGGAGCATTTGCGCTTGCGCGACTGACAGGAGACGCAGGCAATGCGAGACCGCTTTCTGGGAGGCTCCGTCATGGCTTGTTGTGAGCTCACCCGGGGGAGTTTCTAATACATCGCGCAGTGCGGGAAGAGAAAAGGATGAAGTAAATCATACGAAGAGAGGGAGTTAACGCGGAGGACCAGAAGTACCTAGGTACCTGCCTGTTTGGGTAAGGCGCCTCTATTGATGCCTGAGGCCGCTAACTACCAAAATAGGTAACCCTTCTGAGCGCCCTACAATCACTCCTAATCCACATACTTGCTTCCATTCGGATATCCCATCAGATCCTCTAATTCCTTCAGATTCGGCATGCCTGCGGGCCCTGGCATGTACTGCAGGTGGTTTCTCGATGTCGACCCGTTCCACCACATCTCATTTTTATAGAGTCCTTGCATGATGGCTCCCGCATCAATATACGTGCGGATCTCCACCATCTGCCCCTCCCTCCATCGACTCACCCACACATTGACGATGTCAAAAGGTTCGCCTAAATGGGTCAGAAGGGTATGAAGCAGTCAGAAGATGTAGAATTGCACCATGGGAACAGTGGGGTGGAACGGTACGAACCGGAATTCATCTGCCCGATAAACTCGATCTCTGCGACGGACCATTCATAATTACAACCCCCATGGATGGCCTGCGGATGGATCCTGAACTTGTCTTCGTGCAATGAGAAAATCATAGCCACACGGCGCAGTGCATTGACGTAAAAATGCATCAGATCGTTATAATGGCCTGCGATGGGATGATGACCCACTACCGTGAAGCTGACGTTCTTGTGGATCAGGGTGAACAGCTTGCTCATGTCCTTCTCCAGCGTCTTGAAGGAGTCCCAAATATACATTTGGGAGACATACTTGCAGTCCGTGGATGGGTTTTCGAACCGAAATCCCTCTCTATACTTGTCTCCGGGCGGTTGGGGATCATCAATGAGCCCATCCCCATTACACCGACCATCCGGGTCGACAATGCCTGAGCCATCACAGCCGGGTCCCTCCAATGGGATTTGCGAGTGTGGTGTCAGTTGCTGGTGTTGTTGTTGTTGGCCACCGAAGGCTAAAAATGATAGACCGAAAGTGGCTGCGGATAGGATGTAAGCCGTGAGGGCCTGCAGGAAGTATGCAATTAAGACCATGAGGGGCCAAATAATTGGTCTATCAATGTTCGATCTACATCGGAGCTATGGCTCCTGTTCCTCATGTTGACGACGGAAGAACTACGAGGATGGTGATATATATGGATGGAAGAATCGCCCGGGGCTTTTTGAGCAAAATAACCCGTTCAATGAGACCCTTGATGACCACCAGGAGGAATTGGGGGATTGGAGGCTGGGACAAGACACCGGCGGTGAAGTTCAGGCTGGACTTTATTGAAAAAGAGCCGGATGAGTTCGGCGCAGAGGTGATGCGGTGGTTGGACTGCCGATTCTCATCCTATCACAACCTCGAGACCCAGCTTCTGGTCACAACCCCAGAACTTTCGGTATGACAACACAGAATTGTTATCACAGAGTACGGAGGAGTGTTCACCGCCGGGTGGAGGCAAGGATCCACTGTTTTTCAGGGCATTCGGGACTTGTCGAGTGACCACTACGGAGCGCTCCGTACTCCGTCCTCGGATGATCGGTTAGAGAGTGGCCACTGTAGACACGAAATGGGCAGCATCTCACCAATGTGAAAGAGATTACAAGACTCTTTGGACAAGAATCATGAATAATATTTGAGTAGAGGATCTGACCGTCATTGAAGATCGATAAGGTTATTAATTATGGTGATTAAGATTGATTGTTGGCTGGGAAAACCAAATTGAGGCTAATTGACTCATCCGATAACGCTGGCCCGCTGATTGGCCGATGGCGGCGGAGTCGGTGAGGATGGGCACGTGATCCCCGACCGGCCCGGCTTTCGGTCTTCCTTTTTTTCTTCCTCTTTTCCCCTCCTCTTTCTTTCTCTTTTCTTCTCTTCTTCTCCCATCCCAGATTGACTCCCTTCCCATCCACCATACAACCGCACTCTGACAGCTTCCCGCTGCCTTTCATGTCTTTTTAAGCTACCACCCTCAACCTCGAAAATTTTCTAGTGACTGGTAACAGCACAGTCGCGCTTATGTGTCTGGCACCCTCCGTCTTCACTTCTCAGGTATGTTCCTCAAAGAACAGCTTGCTCTATGGGGTGTTCTTTATCCGGTTCAATTTCATTTCACAATGACTAACATGCGATCTGCAGGATTACATCTCGGATCACCTCTGGAAAGCTTCCGGAAACTTTTGAACCCGTTGACTCATACCGTCTCGTGTTCCATCTACATCAATTTCTTTGAACTGCATATATAACCCACCAACAACAACATCAAAATGTTTGCTGCTCGACTATTCAAGGCCATGCCCGCCCGGGCCTCTGCCTTCCCTTCCGTGAATGCTTCTATCCAGTCTCGTTTCATGGCTACCGTGCGTCAGGGTCGCCCTGCCACTGAACGTGCCACCTTCACGATCCGAGATGGTCCTATCTTCCACGGCAAGTCCTTCGGTGCTCGTTCCAACATCTCCGGTGAGGCTGTCTTCACCACCTCGCTCGTTGGATATCCCGAGTCCTTGACCGATCCCTCCTACCGTGGCCAGATTCTGGTCTTCACCCAGCCTCTGATTGGCAACTATGGTGTGCCCTCCGCTGAGAAGGACCAGCATGGTCTCCTGAAGTACTTTGAGTCTCCCAACCTCCAGGCCGCTGGTGTGGTTGTCGCCGATGTCGCGGAGCAGTACAGCCACTGGACCGCCGTCGAGAGCCTCGGCGAGTGGTGTGCCCGCGAAGGTGTTCCTGCCATCTCTGGTGTTGACACTCGCGCCATTGTCACCTATCTCCGTGAGCAGGGTTCTTCCCTCGCTCGTATCACCGTTGGTGAGGAGTACGATGCCGATCAGGATGAGGCCTTCACCGACCCTGAGCAGATCCATCTGGTCCGCCAGGTCAGTACCAAGAGCCCCTTTCACGTGAGCGCCGCCGACCCTCAGTGCCACGTTGCCGTCATCGATTGCGGTGTCAAGGAGAACATTCTGCGTAGCTTGGTCAGCCGTGGAGCCAGTGTGACTGTGTTCCCCTACGACTACCCTATCCACAAGGTGGCCCACCACTTTGACGGAGTGTTCATTTCCAACGGCCCCGGTGACCCCACCCACTGCCAGGACACCACCTATCACCTGCGCCGTCTGATGGAGACCTCCCAGGTTCCCATCTTCGGTATCTGCCTGGGCCACCAGCTTCTGGCGCTCGCTGCTGGTGCTCGTACCATCAAGCTGAAGTACGGAAACCGTGCTCACAACATTCCTGCTTTGGACCTGAGCACTGGTCGTTGCCACATCACCAGCCAGAACCATGGTTACGCTGTCGATGCTTCGACTTTGCCTTCGGACTGGAAGCCTTACTTCGTCAACCTGAACGACTCCAGCAACGAGGGTATGATCCACAAGTCTCGTCCCATCTTCAGCACCCAGTTCCACCCCGAGGCTAAGGGCGGTCCTCTCGACTCCTCTTACCTCTTTGACATCTACCTGGACAGTGTGCGCAAGTACAAGAACAGCCAGCTCGCTGTGTACCCTGAGCGTGACAGCCGCCCCAACCCCCTCCTTGTTGATCTTCTGGCCAAGGAGCGCGTTGGCGTTCAGCCTACTGTTGGCATGCAGAACGTTGCTGCTGCTGCTGCCGCGGCCGCTGCTGCCTAAATGACTGAATTCTAATGCTTGGAGTCTGGGTCTGTTTGTTTCAGGGATACTTTGGTAATTGGTTGGTTTGTTTCGGCACGTTCTTGTTTATGGTATGACAAATTGAATATACTTGTCCAAAACTATTTGAAGTGATGAATCGTAAGGTAATGCGTAGCTTCTACACCTGCTTGCCCTGTCAGATGATTAGGTACCCTTCATTTATGTATGCTCCCTGCTATCGGATCTATTTCGCAACTATGGACACCACATCTTCATCCGCAACCACATGTCCCAGTCCAACTCGCTGCGGTATATGTCGTGCACTTGCGCCCCAGACCAACGCATACTTGAACGTCTCCTTCAGTGTCCGATGGACCTGGTCGCAGACATCCTCGATGGTGGAGTTACTGCGCACGATCAGCGCCTCACTGAAATCCGGGTCTTCTCCTTTCCTAGAGGTGTATCAGCTATGTCTATTCCAGTTTCATTAGTTGCAGGAGACGGCGCGTACCGCTTGGTATATATGCGGATCAGTCGCAGTTCTTTCCAGATCCGATCAACAACCTCTTGCACGCCCAGATCAAGCTCACAACTCATCACCGCCGTGTACGGTTCGCGCGCGAGTTGGTCGAGGAAATCGAGACTGACGCTGTCAATCTTGTTGTAGACATAGAGACTGTTACAGTTAGCTATTTTTTGGGCTGTCGGGGTCATTGGCAAAAAGAATGGATGGACCGACCATCTGATGTATTTTCTGTGGTCTTTCATGATCACGTCGATAAAGTCATCGATGGTTGCTGTATCGATTAGTATAATTGTGATTTCTTAGACATTGTGAGGGAAGAGCACGCACCATTCTCATCCCGCACCAATACTTCGCAGTTCAGCATTTTGTAGTCTTTCAGCACATTCCCGATCATCCTCTCGTCGAGGTACTTCGGCGGTGTCTGGAACGTAATCTTCATTCCGCCGGCCTTCTTCGGTTTGAGATAGATGTTGCTAGACGGAATTAGTCCGCTGACCACAAGCAACGCCACAGTAGCGACGAGGACAGGACAAGGAACGTACGGAGGGTCCCTGTTCAACCGAATACCAACAGCATCCAGTTCCGCCTCCAGCAACGCCCGCTGTTCAGCCTTCTTCGTTGCATCCAGCACCATCAAGATCAAATCACTCGTCTAGACTGCGTCAGAACACCCATCCCCAGAAAAAAACAAACCAAAGCAACAGGCCACCAACCTTCGCCGCAGAGATAACCTGTCGTCCTCGTCCCTTGCCCTCGGCAGCGCCCTCAATGATACCGGGAAGATCGAGAATCTGGATCTCCGCGCCCCCGTATTCCAACACACCGGGAATGGCCGTCAGCGTCGTGAACGAGTACGCGGCCGCTTCGCTCTTCGTCTTGGTGATCTTGCTCAGGAAGGTCGATTTACCGACGGACGGGAATCCGACCAGGGCCACTCGTGCATCGCCGCTCTTGCTCACGTCGAAGCCGGTGCCGCCGCCGCCGGAGCCACCGGTGGGTTCTAGGAGCTGAGCTCGTAACCGGGCGAGTTTTCTGGAGGTATGGTGGTGAGTCTTGTTGATAGTATTGAGAGTTGGTAAGGGAAACATGCGCACCCTTTCAGCAGACCAAGATGGTACTCTGGGGTGAGTTAGCGTGTATATTCGACAGGAGCCAGGTGTCAGAGCCGTCCGTTCATACCTGTGGCCTTGTTCTCTGCGACATGTCAGTTGCGGGGTTCATTCTGGGTTATTTGGAGGGGTACACGGGGAGACAAGTGGACATACTCTGCGTCCTGCGCATCTCATCTTCGATCCTGTAGTCGGTTGGAAAATCACACATAAGTCGAATCCCAGACAACACAGATACAGCCGCCAACGTACTCTTTGATCTTCTCCGTGATGTTCACCATCTTGCCAGTTGGGAGCCCCGCGGACTCAGAACACGCACTAGAAACAGACTCGGTATCGGTGAGGACAGTGAAAAGAGATGGAACAGTATTCCCGGAGCTCCAGCAAAGACAACTCCGAAGACAGACAACCGCTAGCACCACTGTGAACCGATCGCAGACGGGATCAATGCGGAGAGTCGAGGCCGGGCATCTTCTCAAAATCCGCGCGATGCCAAGCATGCCTTATGTAAGCGACATCCCCGAAACTTTGCTTCATTTCTTTCCCTTGCCTCTATCCAGACCTCATCTCCCATCCGCCCATATCCCTAAACTGGTTAGCCACATTTTCACGACCATATCGACTGTCGCGAAGCTCCCCTAGTCCCTGGAGACGATTACGGCTTCCCATCATGGCCGACTCCGCCGTTGCAGAGCCTCCTCAGGCCGCAGAGTCTACTCCGATCTCCAACCCGGACGAAACGACCACCGCACAAGACGAAACTACTCTCGATACCACACAACAGAATGAGACGGGCGAAACGGCCCTCGTCACCCAACAAACAGAGGTGTCCGCCGAGACGGACGCCAGCGCGCCGAAGAAGAAGAAAATCATTCGTCGCAAGAAGCGCCCAGCCCGGCCACAGGTCGATCCCGCCACAATCAAATCCGAGAAGCCCCAGCAGACGGGCACGGTATTCAACATCTGGTACAACAAATGGTCGGGCGGCGACCGCGAAGACAAATATCTGAGCAAGACCCACGCGCAGGGCCGGTGCAATGTCGCAAAGGATAGCGGATACACGCGCGCCGACCGGGTCACGGGCTCTTACTTCTGTCTGTTCTTCGCCCGCGGTATCTGTCCGCGTGGACATGAGGTATGCATCCTGCGCACTGTATACCTCCAGGCTGCAGTCTGAGCTGAGCTAACTGTCTTGCAGTGCGAATATCTCCACCGGCTACCCACGATCCATGACGTCTTCAGCCCTAACGTAGATTGCTTTGGGTAAGCTATCCTCTCTCCCCCGTGCGTACTCCACCCAGTCCAATATGCTAACTCTTCCCAGCCGAGAAAAGTTCTCCGACTACCGCGACGACATGGGCGGAGTCGGCTCCTTCCTGCGCCAAAACTCGACCCTCTACGTCGGCCGCATCCACGTGACAGACGACATCGAGGAGGTCGTCGCGCGCCACTTCGCGGAATGGGGCGAGATCGAGCGGATCCGTGTGCTGACGGCGCGCGGCGTCGCGTTCGTGACATACTCGAACCTAGCGAATGCCGAGTTCGCCAAGGAAGCCATGGCGCACCAGAGTTTGGACCACAACGAGATTCTCAACGTTCGCTGGGCGACGGTTGATCCGAACCCGCTGGCGCAGAAGCGCGAGGCGCGACGGCTGGAAGAGCGGGCCGCCGAGGCCGTGCGGAGGGCGTTGCCGGCGGAGTTTGTGGCCGAGCTGGAGGGGCGGGACCCCGAGGCTCGCAAGAAGAAGAAAATCGAGGGCAGTTTCGGGCTGCAGGGGTACGATGTGCCCGATGAGGTGTGGTACACGCGGACGAAGCAGTTGGAGGATTCTGAGAAAGCCGGACAGGCACAGCTTGACGCTCCGGGCCAGCGTCTTATGATTGAACCTGCGTCGTCATCGACAGCGACGGCGCCTGCAGAACCCGAGAGTGGTGGTATCTTTTCTAGTTCTACTGTTGCGGCGCTTAGAGGACTGGCGGGTGGGAACGTCACGACGCAAGCTGCGCCCAAACCTGCAGGAGGTCCTTTAGTGGGCTACGGAAGTGATGACGAGAGTGATTAGGGTCGGGATTGGGTTTCATTTCATGCTTAATATGTACACTAACGGAGATACCTTGGAAAAGATTGCAGGGTTTGCGATTTGCATCCAAACAGCGGGTATATTTCGCTATGAAACATGAGAGGAGAGAAAGCAAGCAAACATATAAGACACATGACGCATAAAGCATACGTGATTCATCTATCGTTGCCACATCCTAAATCGTAATACAGGCATAAACCCGTGCGATAATTGTATATGAAAGCATTGGTGTAATGCTCTCCGCCGTCCTTGGACCGGCTCTCGTTGGCCAAATCACATAGCAATTCGTGAACTTGGCTGAAGTATTTCCGTTCGGTTAGCGGCGCGTTCTGGATGACCGTGCGCCAGCTGTCAGGGTCCGATAATCGTGTGTCCCGAATTGCTTCCAGCAGGTCGTCCCGGGTGTCAATCGCGACAATGGGCCCATTAAGGGCCTTTTCGGCGACTTCCCGCGAACGCAGGAGAGCTATCTTCCAGTTAGCATACCATCAACTGGCAGGACGAGAAGCAAAGCATACCAGACTCGACAATATTTCTGCGGTTGGACTTCTTGTTACGATGAAGAGGAGCTAGGATGCGCACATCGTTCGCTCGCTCGCTGTTCACGGCGCTAGTATCTGCCTGGCTGGGGAGTCGTGTCTGGCGCTGCTCCGTTGTCCCCTCGCGCTGATTTCGAGCGCGGATCTCATTCCGCAGCCATGGAATCAGTTCGGAGTTCCGTATGTCCCACTCTTCTCTGGGAGCAAGGCATTTGACCTTGAAGCCTCGCTCTTTGCTATCTTGCTTCGCGATAACGATCCAACTGTGGTTGTGATCACGGTATTTAGTCAAGAGCTCTTCCAGCGAGGAGGCATCCACAGCAAGCTCTCCACTGATATCATTAGCCCAGAGGTCCTGCAAGACTTTGATGCCAATCGTGCGAAGAACAGTTGGGTCGAAGCTGGCAACAAGCACATCACACTGTTACCTACGTATTAGCTTCGTTCTTTGGAGATAGAATGCATGCGCTGCACTTACTCGTCGCGTCTTCCAGAATACCCCGCTGTCGTTTTCAGGTTGCTTGACAGACTGTTTGGTCAGTCCCCCGACGTAGTCTACCATGGATGAGCTGAGTCTGTCCCAACTCAGATTGAAGCCCACAGCATGCGTTTGAGACCGGCTTGTCAATAGCTTCGGACGGAATTCCTGTATAAGCGAGTCGTACCGACCGCCGGCCGCGAACACGTCCCGTCGCTTGGTGTCAAAGACGCACTGGAAAAGAATGCTGCCTCTGAAGAACTTGTCATTCAGACTCCCAAGTGGATTGACGTACACCTTTCGTTTCACGTCGAAGCTTTGCAGGTATGTCATTAGAAGGTTGATCCGAGCGAAGATTGGCGCAAGTCGTTCTGCGAATTTGGTGCCTTCCATAATGGACTTGAGGCGCCGTTGCGTTTGTTTCGGAGAATCTGATATGGTCAGTTTTACAGTTACAATGGATAAATTCCGACGTATACCAACCTCTGAAGTCGAACCGGGCGAGATCATCCAACGAAGTGGAAGCAACGCCAATAGCCGGGGAACGAAGCTCACTCCTGATTTTCTGCATGGTCCATTTGCCAACATTGAGCTTGCTAACAATCTCCTTGACCAAAGGAATCTGTGATGGAGTGATACGGCAGAATTCCATGATAAGTTGAAGGAGATCGGAGTGATTCACAAGGAAACACATGGAAGCCGACCGCAGAGGGGGGAACTCTTCAATTATCTCATCCAGGACCTTGATGACTTCGGCTTCCTTCAGCGCTAGATCCAGAGCATTGTGGGACACAATATCGAAGTCAACTTCTTTATGAGTCCTGGGCTCACCACCATGAGGCATCTCTCGATAGACTGTGCCAAATGCGAAAGATTTCTCGAGAGTAGGATCTTGCCGGGATATTGAGCGAGCGTTGGGAAGGGTCAGGTCAAACGGCAGCTGTAACAGGTTACCAGAAGCATCAAGGAGTCGCATTGCGCCGTTGTTGTAGTGTTGGGACCTGGGGAACAGCATTTGCCGTGAGGTCTCCACCGCTCCATGCTTGCGAAAGATGGCAGTCAATCGTTCTTTGACTAATCCTTGAACAAGCAGTTCGTTCGCAGCCGGGTAGCTGCGGGAGTCCATGTCCCACGCAATGTCTTCGAACTTCCTCGGCGACTGCGAGAATATACCGGACAAAATCTTCTTATAATCCGGTGAATTAGGATCAGAGAGCAAATGCATGATTGCTCGACGGAAAGTCTCCTCTTCAACTTGGAGGGGAATCTGGCCACTATGGAGTAACTCGGCGGCAGAAGGTCGTTGGCTGGGATTATGGCTCAGCAACGACTCGATTATCCTGCCTTGGACCGCTTTGTCCGAATATTGGAACGTTGCTGGCAGAGTATGATTCTTCTCCCTGATGGCCCGAAGCGTTTGGTCACGTTCCATGCCTGTCGGCAGAGGATGACACATTTCAAAGAAGATAACACCCAGTGAGAACATCTACAGACGTTAGTAAAATCTTCTTGTCTGTTGTCTTTGGCATTCCACTTACATCGACCTTTTCATTATAGTTTCCGGTGAAACCACTCTTCATCTCAGGAGCAACATAATATGTGGTCCCAAGGCTACGAGTGAAGTCTCCAGCAAAGTCTGCGGCAGCCGACGAACGCACAGCCGTGGTGAACTGGCCGCTGGTAGCCAGTCCAAAATCTCCAATGCGAGGGTTGTTCGCGACGTCAATAAAGATATTATCCGGCTTTAGGTCACGATGTATAATACCATGGCTATGGATGTGGCTCAAGCCATCGAGGATTTGACGGAACAGCCGCCATGATCTGTCAACATCGTCATACAGACCGTTCTTTATTAGATCACGGAGAGTCTTTACATGGATTAGCTCGCACCGAAGTAGGTGTTAGGTCTCGACAAACTTACATGTTTCTCACAGTACTCCATTTGGATATACAGAGTAGTGAGGACCGGTCTTCCTTGTGAGCCAGATCTCACCCGGCTGAGCTCTTTCCCTGTGCCGCTTTCCGTCCCATACGTTTCTGGTGTTTCTCCTTTGCATCTGTACGAGAGCGACCCGTCATGTTCATCTTCGCTATCAGATGCGAACTCGATCTTCGGATAGCCGCTCGAGCTGATGAAATCTAGCCCTCCGGTACTATACTCGAAGGCAGCCGAATTTCTGCTGGTAAAATAGTCACCATCCGTAGATGTCACAGCTTCTTCGTCTACATGATCGTAATCCTCCTCAAGCCACGCCGTATAGTAGCGCACGACGTACGGATGGTTGAGCCGCGACAACAGCATGATCTCGGAAAGCGTATCCTTCAAGGCAGCGGCAGATCTCTGTGATATCTTCTTTATTGCATAGAATCGACCATCGAGCTTGTTCCTGGCCTTGACTACCTGACCGAAACCACCTTTTCCCAAGCGACCTGCTTCATCGAAGTCTTGGTTGTACCGCGAGAAAGCTGGGAGGCCTCCGAGAGAGTCAAGGCGTGGACGCCTCGGCAAAGAAATGGAGTTTGAATTGCTTGTGCGGGAGATGAGAGGTGTGTCGACGCGGAAGAACTCGGAGGGTTGAAGCTGAAAGGCCGTCGGCCTCTTCTTTGGATCGGGCTTGAAGAATTCAAACAGCAAGTCCTGCAAGGAAGGCGACAATCCCAGGGTTTCCATCAACGCATTGGCGGATGTGTATCGCTGCAGCACTTCCATACCAAAGCCCATCTGAAGGAAGACTATGCCCAAGTCCCAAACATCAGTCTTCATAGTGGGCGTAGCATTTTCTTGTGTCAACTCCGGAGGAAGCCAAAAGGGCGATTTAGACGTCGTAAGGGACCGTTTGCTGTCTGTGGTATCTGGCAAAGCATCCTCAACGCTTGCCTGCAGCTTCACGACTGTACCACCATTTGAGGTTCTAAAAAGCATTACCCGTTCACAGCGAATGTCTCCATGGACGAAACCACTCCGGTGGTAGAACTCAAGGGCCTCGAGAAGTTGGATCGTCCAGCTACGGAGCATATCCACAGGGGCAGTGCCCACAATATCCAGAAACTCAGACAGTGACCCTTTATTTGCGTGCTCAAACAGGAGATAAATCTTCCAGGCATGGTCGTCGGAATTATCCATGTCGAGAGGCCTACAAATTTTGAAGCCAACAAACTCCACGAGGTTAGGATGCCGGAGCCTTTTTAAGGAGTCCAACTTATCCTCACTGGAGCGCATTTTCTCTCGGAAAGCTAGAGGCTCAACGCCCCTGGCTTCGATCGCAAGCTCCTTGAGCACAAGTAAAGGAGCGCATGGACGTGTTTCAGACACGGCAGGTCTCACAGTGAATGTCTCTTTCCCAGGACGGCTCTGTATATGGGTTTTACCATACACAGCGCGGAAGGTGAGAGGACCCTCGTCCGTGTCGGACATCACCAAGGGCGGATCGAAAGAGATAGCGCCGGGTATGTTGTCCACCACATCGCTATCGCTGTTTGAATCCATTCCGGGAGTCCGACTTTTGCGCCTAGAAATCCGCGCCTTGGTTCGCTCTCTGATTTTGTCCTGCAACAGTTGTTGCAGTGCACGTTCTTCCTCCGCGGTAGCAGCTTCTTGCTTCCGGAGTTCTTCTTGTCGCTCAAGTTCGGCTCGCTGGTTCGCCGCAGCTTCTTGTTCCATTCGTTCCTCCTCAAGACTAGGAAGGTCTTTGTTCTGAGCGCGCGCTTCTGCTATATCTTCGAGGACGTCTTGGATAGAGACCGCAATTTCATATATCATTTCCGAGCCCAACAGCTCCTTTGGCTTATTTCGTATGATATCGAGGATGCGGGATCGAGACCCTTGCCGGAGATCTTCTATGTTTTCCAAGGTAATGTTCGGATAGGTCTTCGGATATGTTGCGGGTAGCTCAACCAGCAGCTCGAGACGCACATCTGGATTGGAGGAAGCTCGTAGGTGCAGCTTGAATGAAAGATTGGACGATTGCTTCAAGTCAAGTGTCAGTTATAGTGCAAGTTCCGAGGTGATATGAGTTGGTATCTGGTGGTAACGCACATGCCATGCGGAACGTCGGTGCAGGACCTCTTCAAAGTCATCGCCATAAATGGATCGAAGAGCTTCGACCTCATTCTGGTGGATTTCCTGGTAGTTCGTGCGCGGCGCAGCGGACGAACCTAACGTAGACACATCCGAAACAAGAGAGTCCCTCTTCTCCGCCCGGGGAGAGGCGTTGGTAGGAGCATGCTTGCTGTTCTTTTTCTGTTTGTGAGGCATAGCGGGGCGTAACTGCAGGGCGGTGTAGAAGTCAGGTGCCCAGGTCGAGAAGGTCTCTGCCACGCGACGGAGTGACAAAGAATGCAGCCGAAGCTGCAGCCCTCTATAGCTCGAAAAAGGACATGACGAGAATGAGCTGTGAGGTCGAGAAGGAGCGGAATTCGAGGCGGAAGAGGAGGAAGTTGAGTAAAAGAGCGGTCACTACTGGCAGTCAAGGGCTTTAAGTTTAGCGCATCTGAAGGGCGTGCTGGGCCCCACCATCGACGATGCAGGCTGCACGTGATACACCATAGTCGGAGATTTGTGCCAGCACATTCCAGCTCCACCACTAGTCTAACTACGTACTTCCTGCCAGCACAACGAGACCCATCGGATTTGTGTTCTACGGAGTACATCGACACTGATTTTCTGTATAATGGATTTGCCTATCGTTATATATACCTAGGCTTCCCGTCGAGAAAATACCAAAGGGACATTCTCCCCAATCGTCAACGTTTGAGCGTTCGAGCTCTGCTCGAGTGCTTGCTGCACCCGGCATCGCATCTCGCTTTCACTCTCATCTGCATGTTTCTGCAAAGTAACACGGTAATTGCGGAAAATAATCACCAGAGCGGCCACAAATTCCACCTGAGCAAACTTCTTCCCCACACATGCCCGAAGACCGTCACTAAACGGTAGAAATGCGCCACGTACGGGCCGGTGGATCGTGTCGTGCTCTAGTCCGGGACCGGAAAGACCGTCCAGGCCATCGTTCTTTGCCAGAAAACTATCGATATTGCGTTTGTCCCACCGAGAAGGGTCGAATTCCGACGCATTCGGTCCCCAGTACATCTCATCGTAGTGCAGGGCATTTGCATCTAGACATAGATATGTTGCAGGTGGAATTTGGTATGCCTGGTCCCTGTAAGAGATACTTGCGCTAGAGGTGTCTGTCCATTTGGGTAGGCTGGAAACCGGGGGATAGAGTCGAAGTGTCTCGAGCTATTCATTCTCAGAATAGAACAACGGGGCAAATTGTGGAGTGCTAACGTACCATGATGCATAATGGGGCCACAAGTTTAGGGAAAGTCCGTTCGTAATCCCAGCCTGTCGGGTTTGCAGGCTCCCCCATGGTCACCTCTTGTATCTCATCGTACAAGTGGTCCTGAACGTCCTGATGCATTGCCAGGAGAACGAGGGCAAACCGAAGAGTCGTGGCCGTCGTTTCGTGTCCAGCAATCATGAAAATATACAGATTCCCAAATATCTCCTCGTCTGACAAACCATCAACACGGTGCGTGCTTCCTAACTCGGAATTCTCACGGCGGGCCCTCACGAGTCCTTCCAAAAGATTGTGAGAAGAAGGGTTCTCTCTGACCTCGGCATTATCAAGAAGAGCACGAAGGTATTTTCCCAGGTCGTCGTACGCCATGAAATCTGTCTTGAAGAATGGTGCCATCCTTCGTGGGATCCATTTGGGCCAAATACCATTCGCGAAGAAGACGGTGGACATGGAGGTGCTAATGTACTCCATGACGGAGGGAAACGTAAAAGAATACCCTTGAGGAGGCATCACAGCATCCTGAAATAGCCCTTCCGCATCCCCTGTAGTGGCTTTGTATGCAGGTTTAAAAGGCAATGTGACCCCAAACCCGGCACTGCAGATGATATTCAGGGTGAATTTCACAATATCGTCTCGTACGTCGGGAAGCGAGAATAATGTGTGGGGGGAGTCGGAGGCATGTTTTTCTTCCCAGTAGTTGGTCATCTGTATACCTTGACGAATACTTTCTTGCCACACGAGAGCATTGTTCTTCTCATTGAATGTGGCCGAGGTATACCGGCGATAACGAGCCCATTGGTTGCCTTCGCTCTAGATACTGTCAGATAAGTACGACGAGCGCTCACGAAGACAAACGTACCGTCAAAACACTGGGACCGTATATCGCAAACCCCTCTAAGTTCCGGTATTAGGTCCGATCAAATATGGCTCAGAAGCAAGAAAGCATACCGTAATTTTTCACTGGTTTGGGAAAACTCCGTCGAGCCATACAGACTTGGGTAACGACATTGGCTTCAGAAACATGGCATGTCACTGACCACGGAGTCACAATCGTGTAGACAGGACCATATAGTTTAGTAATGCGATCCTTGACTCTCCAGCGGTACTTGAATGAACTGTTGTGGACAAGATCGGCCAGCCAGGCAGGAAGACAGTGGTCAACGAGATAGCGGTACCACCTGGTTTCGACAAAGCCTAGGTAAAAGACACTATGCTCTGAGAATGGAAAAACCATATATGGAAGTCCTATCTGCTGGGCAAGACGACGGTTCTTGAAGAATTCAAGAGTGACGTGGATGGGGTAAAGGGCTAAGAACCCCCATAGAGCGATGCCGAAGGACTGAAACATGATTAGTGAAGTGTGATGGGGTTTCTTTCAGAGACAGTAGGACAGAAGAAAAGAGAGTCAAAGAGTTTAGATACTTGCGATCATCTTTGCTCTTATAAGCGTGAGGACACCCGCGGTGAAGAGGAATTTAGGCCGTCATACTATGGTCCATACCGTCTATCTACTTATTCTCATACTCCGATTTCTTATAGACCCTCGTAAAAAGTGGACCGCCCCCGCTGAGTACGAGCAGACCAATCATCATGCATTCTTGGAGCGATCGAGGGCCCACATCAGCCTTGTCAGATACACGTGACTGCTAGAGCATAACGTCGCGGCTGACGTCTTACAGGTAGGCACATGAACTCCGTATCCTCGGTACATGTATCCTGGGCTCATGGAGCAGCCTCTCAGAAGGTCTCGGGCTAGCAAGCCCAAAGTCCGGACCGGTTGTATCACCTGCAAGTCAGTGGATTCGTTCCCTCCTACCCTCAGCGCTATCACAATCTAAGTCAATGATTCAGGATCCGAAGAATTAAGTGTGATGAAGCTAGACCAGAATGCATGCGGTATGAATAGAAAACGAAATGACTGGGTTGGATGACTGATCGTCCCAGTTGCAAACGGACCGGGAGGAAATGTGACGGCTATCGGACACCGCCACCGTCTGTGTTAACACAGGAAGTCGTCCCGGTTTCTCCGTCTACTCTTCCAGGTGAATCTAGGGCTCTTGAGATATTCTTTGTAAAGGCATCTCCTCGTCTTGCCGGATATTTCGAAGACTCGTTCTGGAAGCGCAGCGTCCTGCAACTGGGCCTCTCAGAACCGGCCATCCGACAAGCTCTCGCTGCTATTGGTTCAATATACGAACATGCCAACACCGGATCCTCACTCCAGTCTTCTCATTCCGGCGTCTCATATATACAAGCGAACTTTCCATTGCGGTTGTATAACAAGTCTATCCAGTCTATCATCCCCAGGGCTAGGGACTCCGACGCCGTCCCGATTGTGGTAGTGGCCAGCATCCTATTCGCCTGCTTTGAGTTCCTCCGAAGTGATGCCGCTGCTGCATCGACGCACATTTCTGGTGGCATCAAAATCCTGCAAAAATGGCGGGATCACAACGGAGGACATCCTAAGGGCCAGCCATGGCCACAACGGTTCTCTTCATTTGAATCATGCTTCATAGAAACCGAGCTCGCTCCGATCCTCAGTTTGTTTAACATCAACTCCTCCGAGTTCAACCCCGTGCCTCGCAGTAGGATCGTTCTCAATGGTGTTGATGATCGGGGTCTAGTCATCATAGCATCTGAATTTCAGACACTCCGCGAGGCTCGAGTGGCTTTCATTGATCTCGTCACGACCACCGTCACGGTATTCCAGCAGATTGACGAAACCCTTAAGGCAGGGTGTTTACCAGACCTGGATATCATGACATTGTTCAGCGATATACAGTCGCGTTTCCATTGCTGGGAAGATGGTTTCCGTAAATTAGGCCAACGACAAGAAACAATGTGGGACAGGCAACAGACGAACGCAGCTGCAGTCCTTCGAATAATGTGGCTCAGCGCAATGACCGGCGTCAGATCCTATCTTCTCGAAACCGAGAGCGAGTGGGACGCTTATCGAAATGAATACGAAGAAATCATCCAGTTGATTGAGACACTTCTTTCAGATACAGATCACTATCCCGATGAACTTTCGAAAACGTTGAGCCTAGATTCAGGGCTAATATTTCCGCTCCACGGAGCTGCCTGGAAATGCCGCTGGCCCTGTCTGCGCCGCAAAGGTCTAGAGCTCCTGTTGAAGATCCCAAGACGAGAATGGCTGTTGGATGCGGAACAATATCACGATATATTCTATCGAATCATGGAGATTGAAGAGGCACATCTCCATGAGGATGCTGGAAACATCCCAGACGAGAGTATTCTTCCTCCCGAGCATGCCCGCATCCACGACTTCTACTGCAAACCTGTGCCTAATGATCCTTCTCGCTTTGCCATCACCTTCATCAGCAAGCCACATGGTCTCGACAAAGCGTGGGATTTTCGGACTGAAGTGATGTCCCTACATGGCACAGCAGTGCCGTCTAACCTAATCTCCTGTAAGCCGTGGGCAAGCCCATGGATGACAGATCCTCAAGTCGCCACAACAGTGAAAACTCTCATGTTCGGAGACTACAAAAGAACACCATTCCATGTGGCAATCGAGTGAATGAATAGACAAAACACTGCCCTATCTCACCAGGAATATGTCGTCTGTTCTCGACCACCTGAGGTTGACAATATATATATCAGCAAACTTATAGGCGAGGCTCAGCCAGCCGATACCTGGGTAATAACTTGGAAAAGAACCTGGTTACAGTATGAGGTACTGCAGGAGTACATTCACTAGAAATTCTGTAAACCACAACTCCTTCAAGGAGAGTTCTTTGTACTAGTACGCGTGGAAAAGCCACGGTTCTGGGTTGAAGGCACACAAAGATGCGCTAGTCCCCTTTGAGCACCATTATTGAAACTCAGGTAAGCTCTGTCTATCCACACCGCCTGCTCTATCCGGAAACACTGTAAACAAAGCAAGGCGCTCCACACCAATACACCATCCCGCCTGCATTAACATCCTCGTTGTCTTCCACTCTTTGTGAAGACACCCATCGGTGTCTCCTCTGCGATGCATCAGACGCCTTACTCTCCTATTTGAACACAGTGGATCTGCCGCCATCATGCTGGATTGGATTACTGGGCAGGACGACCCAGTCGCAGCAGGTAGGTGCTCACTGTCCACCTCGGAGCTGAAGCACGCGCGCACTTCCAAATATTACCCGATGAGCGTTCAATCCGAACACCAGTTCCCTTCTAACTCGTCGACTCACTTGTCGTCACAGATAACTCGAAGGTCCTCGAGCCCCCTGAAACCCCAGCCCCTGTCTTCGCCATCCGCGCATTTAAGAGCGCCTTGTTTGGAACCCCCAGTGCCGAGGACGACGACGAAATCACCAAGACCGAGAGGGAGATGAACTCGGACAATAAGCCAGCCGACCAGCCACGCCGCCAGAGCGAGGCATTAAAACTGCCTGCCTCTGAGGTGGCGGGAGATATCCTGAAGCCGCCGAAGACGGACAAAGACGCGACCGCGACCGCGATGGCTTCACCCACTAAAAGCATCCTCATGACACCCGGGACGACATCCAATCGACGCAAGACGGTCTCCTTTGGCGACAGTGTAGTCGACAATGAGCGGAAACGCGACGATCAGTGTGCGAAAATTACGAAGACACCTATCCCATCTTCCGGTAGTCTGAGTAGTCAGTGGTCGGCGGGTTCGTCAGGAGGGAAGTCAAAACCGCGGAGCAAGCTGACTCAAGCTTTGATGGACTCCCGTGAACAGTCCCCGAAGGACATGGACCCTGTTGCACAGAAGGCGAATGAAAAGCCTGGACCGGCCGAGTCGAAGGCAGCGTCGACTCCGGCGGAAGAAGACACGGGTGACGAGACAATTAACCTCAACGAGCCTCGCTCGCAGTCCGGCAAATACTGGAAATCAGAGTTTGATAACTATCGGACCAAGACTACACGGGAGATTCGACGGCTTATTCAGTATCGTTCCGCAGCGAAGTCTTACGCCCGGAAGAAGGATACGGAAGCTCAGCGCTTAGCTGACAAGCTCCGCGAGGAGGAAGAGAAGGTGGCCGAGATGGAACGTCATGTAACGCAGCTTGCGTCTACAATGGCCGGAGAAAGCTCCAACGCGGACAAGGAGAAACTGGTCCAGGAACTCACCAAGCAGACGGCTCTCGCCTTGCAGTACAAACACCGGGTTGGGTTATTGCGCAAGTTGCTGGAGAAGCACGGTGTTGTCGGCGGTGAGATGGACGAGATTGCGGGTCCCCCGGAAGAGGAGAGGCCTCCAAGCGATACCGCACGAGAGCTGCGTAAAACCCAGCAGGCACTGGAACAAGCCAAGGCGAAGATCGAAGAGATGGAGCACCAACAATTGGATTTCGGCAAACTCCGAGATCTCGCCCAGAGCTCAGAGCAAAAAGCTTCAGAACTAGCGAAAGAGAACGCTACTCTCAAACAGACATTGGCGCGCTTTAAGCAGGAGATGACCAAGTACGAGGGACGGCGAAAAGAAAAGGAGGCAAAGCTGAAACAAAGAGAGGCCAAGCTGGAGACTCGCATCCAGGAGTACCGCGAAAGATTGAAGGCTGCCTCTCAAGAGCGTCGCGAGCTGGAACAGGACCTCAAAGATTCCTTTGAAGAAGAACGCCGCCGAATGCAGGAGCAAATCGATATGCTCAAGTTGAAAGTGACCACCATCGAGCGTCTCCCCGAAATCCGCGCGCGGACTCGCTATTCTGACAGTCCTCGCAGGGGCTACACAGGAGTGCAGGTTTATGACTTTGGGCACAACAGCCCGCAGAAAGAGCACCAGGATGAGACAGAAGAGATCGAGGAGCCGCCGAGTCCAAGCCCGCGCGCGAAAGATCGACGCTCTCAACCAAGGACTGCTCTTGGCGAACTCGATCTCAAAAAGTACGCGAAAGCGTTAGGCCTCGATGACACCAACGAGCGGCTTGCGTACCTTGATGAGTCTCCTCGCAAACATCATACAGCGGACGCTCATTATGAAGATACTGTCGCACCATCATCGCCCCCTGCCCCTTCTACTCTCGACACTACTAGAGCCCGCGCTGCAAAGCAACGGTCCAATCTCGAAGCCTATCAAACATATGCTCCATCGCATACCACCATGTCATCTCTGGCCCGTCAACTCGCAAAGCTCGATGACAGCCAGCAAGTCCGCACCGAGCGTTTCCGAACCCGTCGGTCACCCGTGAAATACAGCCTAGACACCATGGCCGGATTACCGGAGATGAAATTTCTCGATCGGCCAAGGCGACGACAGAGCCTGGCCTCCATGCAACGCGAATCTCTCCCTATAGACAGGAGACTCGCGGCACAAGCCCGACTCAAACGCCGTGACGAAAGCCGAAAGGGCCAAGAGGGAAAGGAGAACGCTCGAGCGGTCAATAATTAACCAGATGTCTCATGCCGAACATCAAGGTGTCGGCCTGCGTATGTTGCACCGCTTGAAGTGATATACCATATTTTAATGTCTTTTCCTTTGTTGAATTTTCCGACTGCTCAATCCTGTCGCTGGATTATACCCTGAACCAGATATTGTCTGGTTGTTCTTGCCAATAATCAATCCGCTTTCGTTCAGATACCAGGCTGTCCTATATCCTTAAGAATCAAAACCTAGTAAGAAGGGTATGTAACTCGTTTATTAGTTTAATATGTTCCCTCTATGTATATCCAGTCTCTATGTACGATCCGGAATCACACGGTCTATTCCGCAGGGAACGCAGCTAGCCAATTCAACACACTCCAACCGACTCATCACGCCTTTCCATCCGAGAACTCCACAACCGCCCATTTACCACTCCAGGCCCACTTGCGGGCCTCGTCGCCGCCGCCGCCGGGCATCTGGCGGAGCTTCTCGTCCTCGCCGGCGGGGAGACCGACGACGACATCGGCCTTGCAGGTGCGGAAGGCGAGGACGCGCACGCCGGACTTAGGGCCCATGGGGCCGATGGCCGTCGTAAAGGGAGTGGTGGGGTCCCAGGCGGCCTGTCCTTGTTAGATGTTGCATTCATGATGTACGGAGTACAGGGGATGGGGCTTACGTCATTGCACAGCTTGCGGTAGTTCAGATCACCCTTGAAGAGGACGAGCTCGCTCTGCTTGAGGTCGTCGAAAAGATCGGGTGCCACGTGCGGCATGCGCCAATAGGAGCCGGGGGAGGTCCAGAAGGCGTGCGGACGGATGATCAGCTTGCCGTCGGCGTGGAGCTGGCTCCAGTGGTCGAAGAGGAAGGTGACCTCGGCGAGCTCCTTGTCGGAGAGCGGGGTGTGTTCGCGGCCGGAGTCGTCGGGGGCGGTGTAGAAGGCCTGGGGGTCGGCGAGGGCGCTGATGAGGTCCCTAAAGTCCGGGGGCGTGACGTCGGAGACGAACCAGGGGATCAGCTTGGGGTGGAGCACGACGGTGGTGGCGAGCCCCGCGGAGAGGAGGTAGCCGGCGAGGATGAGGTCGACGAAGAGCTCGAAGCCGGAGTTGTCGAGGACGATGTCGACGCGGCGGTCGGCGGACTTGTTGGCGTTGCGGGCGGCGTGGAGCACGTCAAAGGCGGCGTCCAGGTCGTTGACGAGAATGTTCTTCTCCGCAGCCTTGCGCGCCTGCGAGCCCTGCAGCTTCTGGATGTCCTCGTAGGTCAGCGACGTCAGGAGCGACAGGTCCGTGGCGTTGCCCCAGAGGCAGATCTCGCACATCTCCGAGAAGAGAATGCGGTCCCGCCTTGCTCGATCTGCTCGGGCGTCTTGCCCGTCCGCGGAAGCCCCGCGTCTTCTCTGCTTCCTGCGCGAGCTCCTTGTACCGCGCGGCGAGCTCGAGCACCGCCGGACGCGACGACTTGAAATGTGGACATCTTCTGCCGGGCGAACACGTCGTAGCCCTCCTGCCAGTGCTGGGACATGGCGAAAGAGGGTGCTCATGCGCCGGTCTGCGGGAAGGATTGCATCAGCATTGGGCGCTTCAGATAGATGCCGGAAAAACACGCACAGAGATAGCATTCCGAGTACAGCCATGGGACGTTGTGCCAGGTTGGGTTCCCGCGCTGCTCCAGCTCCTGGTTGTATTCCGCAATGCCTGGTTCGCCATCATCGGGGAGGGGGCTGTCGTCCGGTCAGTGGGAGGGCGAGGTTGGCGTCTGGTCGGGCACTCACGTCAGCTGTCGGTCGTGCTGCAATTCGTACTTCAGTGCTGCGAGCTTCTCGATGATCGCCTTTCCCTCCTTGCGTTTGGCCTCGTCCGTGACATCGCCGACGGTGCGGTGGAGGTCATCAATGGCGCCGGTCTGAAGAGAGCAGGGGGAGAGTCAGTTGACTGAATAGTCCGTATATAGGACATGGATAACACGCACGATGATCACGGGCCAGCGCTCATGGGCGGAGACGGAGGCAAAGCTGGACCTGTCGGAGGTGAGGTATTGCGCTGGATGGCGGGGTTAGCTTGGCAGGACGGAGCAGAATGGAGGGGCGTACGGGTTTTTGGATCGAATTCCATCTTTCCGACGTTGACTATACTTTGTATAGTGAAAGCCGTCTATATGGAGAAAGAATGAGGTACAATGGAGGGAAGAAGGAGAAAGAGAGAGGAAGGATGAGTTGGCGGGGAGCTGGAGAACAACAGTGTTGCGCGGGGTTCCGCATGATTTTCCACGGCGGAGTATGTATATGCAACAGGAAAAATACTCCGACCACCAATCTGGTTCTGTCTGGCGCGCACATGTTGAGAGAAGGGAATATATAGGAGCTAGGGAGATCAAGAGATAGGGTATAGCTATATTCGACCGTTGTTTCGCTATGCAAGAGTCCGTCTCATCATCCAATAGATACAGCATGATCTCATTCCAACATAAAAGGCCGAATATCTCTCTATAACCGAACAACGCCGTCCAGACAATAAACCAGCTCACATCATCGACAAGATCGAGTTTTGCGCATAAGCCTGGGAGGATGTTAGCTGAACAAGTCGAAGGAAAGTTGAGAACGGCGATGACACCTACCATCGGTTTGATATCAGGGTGAGGCACTGCTTCAAACACCTGGAAGTCCAACTTGAGCTCGGGTCCGATCTTGATGAACGCGCCCTTGTTTTCTGTCGCATCGCAATACTTGGGCGCAGAGAAGACGGTGATACACCGACCGTCATGCTCCACTTCGTAGCCCTCCATGCGGACCTCGTGCGAACGAATGATCGCCTCCAGCCCGTTCTTCTCACAGAACCGCTTGGTGACATCCGGGCCGAACTGAAGACCAACGCCACGTTTGCTGGGCCCACGGCCAGGCTCCGTCTGAGGATCGGTCCAGAGCATCTCCATCATCAGACCCTGTTGTCCGGGCTGCCGCTGGTTGTGGCGATTCAGCTTCCGGATATCATCCAATGTCGTGTTATCGTCGGAGAAGAGACCACCATGGAGCACCAGGTATTTGTTGCCGATCAACGTCGCCAACGGCAAGGCCGAGAAGGACTCGGAGAACACCTTGAACATTGTCTCGTTGTACTTTGCCCGGCACTCGCCCTCGAAACCGTACACCTTGTTCATGTCATCCGTCTCGTGGTTGCCGCGGTTGAGGAAGATGCCGTTCGGCCGCAGCCATTTGTACGCGTAGAGCAGGAGCGCAATCTCCGTGGACCACGAGCCACGGTCCACAAAGTCACCATTGAAGAGGTAGGCGTGTGTATCGGAGGGGTATCCGTTCAGACGGAAGATCTCCAGCAGGTCGAAGAATTGGCCTACATCATCAGCATCCAACCCAGAACATAGAGCAACAAAAACACTCACCATGCGTATCACCACAGACGGTCAATCTCTTGCCTTCCTCGACCCCAATCTCAACCATCGTCGGTTCCGCATACACAATATCCTTGACAGCCTTGACGATCTGGAAGGCATATTTGCGATGAATCTTCTTCCCGTTCTTGAACCGCTCAATCATGTCGTCGATAAACTCCTGGGTCATCTCCTTCTCCAAGCGCACCCCGTCGTAGCTGGCATCCACGGCGATCGCATCGATATCCAGGTCCTCAAAGGCAGACGGCGGCTCGCCCACCTCAATGGCCTTTTCGAACTCCATCCGACGCACCAGTTTCTCGCACTCGGCCAGCTTCACCTTCGCGTCTCGGTTGGCGGGTTCGCGCTTCACAACGGCTTTGAAGTCTTTGAGGGCATCGCGGTAGTTCAGGATGGCCGTGTTGGCGAGGGCTCGTCTCCAGTACGCCTGGCCGGAATTAGTATCCGGAGTGCAGGGGGGTGTCGCCGATGTCGCAGGTAAGCTCAGCTCACCTTCACGTAGGCCGGATCCAGCTCCAACGCCTTGGTAGCGTCCGCAATGGCAAAGCCATACGCCTCGAGTTTAATATGCGCCTATCACACCCGTAATCAGTAGACAGTCCACAAAAGACACTCCTCCGCCAGCACTAGCCAAACCGGCTCGGCGCAAACGTACCTGGGCGCGATTGCAGAAGAACGACGGCTCCCGATCGTATTTCTCAATCGCCTGCGTGTAGAAGTCGATAGCGGTCGGCCATTCATGTTCTTTGAAGGCCTGGTTTCCCTGCACCTTGAGCGCCGTAGCGGCTTCGAGGTCCGACGACGCCATGAGGGGAGGAGCAAAGCCGATCAGATCGAGTTAGATCACAGTCGAAAGTGGCAGGGGGGCACACGAGCAAGACGGGCAGAACGGAGGCAGCGAACAGACGTGGAAGAAGAAACTAGCACCGCCAATACGCACAGTGGAGGGGCACAGCGAGGAGGAGGGGAGAGTTGCGGTTCCTGGCGGGGAGGAAAAGACTCGGAGGTGGTTCTGCTATCGCCGCCCGCCGTGTCTCGTCCTTCTCTCGGTCTTGGCATCTTCCGCCTTCCAGAACCGCCTCGCCGCTTCGTTTCTCTCACCCATCATCATCCTCCACAACTTCCCCCTCGCTCGCCTCCCACCCCACCCCCGCTGCTCGTCTAATCTCCCCGAGGATCTATCTCATGTCCTTTTACGTCCCTCCAAGCCAGCAGCGCACCCTGCGCGCCTGCATGGTCTGCTCGCTGGTCCAGCTGCACAGCGTACGTGGATACACCGATCCCCAGTCTCAACGCCAGACAAGCTGACAAAACCCGCTGGTGGGAACAGAAATTCATGCGTGAAGGCTGCCCCAACTGCGACAACGTCCTCAACTTCCGCGGCAACAACGACGCCATCCAAGAAGGCACCTCCCAGGTCTTCGAGGGTCTGATCACCCTGCGCGACCCGGCCACCAGCTGGGTTGCCCGCTGGCAGCGACTGGATAGCTACGTGCCGGGGACGTATGCCGTCAAGGTGACTGGTTCGGTGGGTTATACCTGTTCTTAATGGTTGGTGGGGTGTTGTGGGATGCTCGGTCCGGCTAATGTGGTTTTCTGGATGGTGCAGCTTCCCGATGAGTTTATCGCGCGTCTTGAGGACTCGGGCGTCAAATATATTCCGTATGGACCTGTTTGTTTGTGTTTCGTGAGAAGTGGGTACTGACGGTGTTGTCTAGGCGGGATGGAAGCTCGGGCGAGGAGGAATCGTGATACCCTTGCGTTGTCGAAGTTATCTACGGTCGGTTCGGGTGGTTGTCGATGGATTCGTAGCCATGGTTGCATGGCAATTTCTGCGCACAATGGGAGTTCGGGTTGGGGCTTTTGATTTTACGGTGTTGAGGCTACATAGCGGGTTTCTTTATGCTTCGTTTCATAGACGTCTACAACCATGGTTACTCGATACCCATCGCATATCCTGAACAGTATCATATCGTTCGGAAGGGCTACACTATATAAGGTAGTCACCCTAACATTATTCGTAGTGCATGCCACCGCGACATGCGAAGAACCCACCCAAATGCCAAACAAAACGCCAGATTTGCAATATCGACAAAAACTAAAACCAACTGCTTACAGCTGCTTGATGATTTTCTCAACGCTCTCGAGCAGAATGTCGGCTACTCGAATGTTAGTATCAATCGCCACATCCATAGTCGGGCAAGACTCACCATGGTGCTTCTGGAAGATCAGCATGGGCCGCAGACGGACGGCGCTCTGGCCACTTCCACCAATGTTGACACCGACGCCCTTGGCCTTGACGAGGAACTCGTCGCGCTTGGGGGTGTCCCAGGCAATGAAGGTTCCCTGGCCCTTGCCACGGAGGTTCTGCAGATGCTCGGGGTACTGCTTGGCAAGGCGCTCCAGGCCGGCATAGAGATAATCACCGGTAGCAGCAGTGTTCTCAACGAGCTTCAGGCGCTCAATCTCCTCGATGATGCCCCGGAAGATGAGGGCACGGGCGGGGTCACCCATCCAGGTGTTGAACTGGCGATAGGGCTTGTTGGGGCGCAGAGCCGGGTTGCCATAGTAGTAGCCGGCAGTCTGAGCCTTCTTGGAGAAGGTCACGATATCGGGGGGAGTCTGGAGGTTCCAGTGGTCGTGGGCCCAGAACTTACCAGTGGCACCGACACCGGTCTGCACCTCATCGACGATGAAGAGAACGTTGTTGCGCTTGGTGATCTCACGGAGACCCTGGAAGAATGCGGGGGAGGCGTGGTTGTCACCACCCTCGGACTGGATAGGCTCGACAACAACGGCGGCGACGGGGTTGTGGAATTCCTTGATGAGGCGCTCAACCTCCTGCAGGCATCGCTGCTCCTCCTGGGCGTTCTCCTGGACATGCTCTTCAAGAGGGTACTTCAGGGAGGGGAAGGTGGCCTGGGGCCAGTCAAAGGCGGGGATATCCATCTTGTGGATGGCCTTGCTGCGAGTGGTGGACAGACTGCCGAAAAGACGTCCGTGAAAGGCAGACTTGAAGGACAGGATGGACAGCTGGGGAGACCCGGGAGACTGGTTCATCATGGTGCTCTGGAGCTCCTCCTCGGTGAATTCCTTCTCCGGACCTCCACGCTGCATCTGACGGTAGTACATGAAGGCGGCCTTGTAGGCAGTCTCGTTGGCGTCGGAGCCAGCCATGGCCGTGAACACCTGATCGAGACCCTTGGGAGCAACCTTCAAGATACCGGTCTTCAGGATGTGAGACCAGTCAGCGGACGGGAAGTTACCCAGGGCGGGACGGTTGATCAGGGAGGTCGCCATCTCGGGAGACTTGGCGACCTCGAGGAGGTGAGGGTTGTTGTAGCCAACAGGGATGGAAGCAATCTGAGCATAGCTGAAATCGAATCAGTATTCCGACCTGTCGACAAGGGGGCCGTGAGTGTTCCACTTACACATCCAAAAGGACATTTCCGTCCAAGTCGGCAATGCTACGTCATCATTAGCTTCTCCTACGCGCGAACAGTCAAAATCCAGACGTACTAGTTACCAATGGACTTGGTGTAGTCCGTGAGCATGTTCAAGCTGCGGACATCAAAGACCTTGTCCAGCTCGGCCATTGCGGCCTTGTTCTTGGGGCCGGGGATGGCCGTGGCCACCGTAGGGGCGGTGGGCTCATCGGGGAAGTAAGGCTTCTCGGCCGCGCGCAGCTGTGCAGTGGTAGAGAGAGCCCGGGCGGCAGGAAGACGAGCCACCGAGCGCAGTCGCAGGCTAGAGCGGTAGAGGGAAGCCATTGCGATGGATTCAAAGAAGGGATGGAGAGGGGAAAGAGGTCGGAGAATTCCACACGGAGCTGTGGAATTGCCTTTGGGGAAGAAAGCGGGCGGGAGAAAAGTGATAAGGTGCGATAAGCCCTTCTGAAGCTCTCTCACGCGTGCTTTAGGAGGAGGGGCACCTAGAAGATCTGGAGACAGACAGCCGAGAGGAAGATGAAGCAAGAAAGGGGGAAGATGAGAGAAATGCGGTGACGGAGTCTGCTATATAGTCTCTCGTTATCGCCAAAGAAACGAGAGCTTGGGAGAGCTGCCCCGCGGCGCACAGCTCCCCTCGGCGACTGTAACCAATAGGAGAGCCTAACGGGGCCGCAGTCACGTGGCATGTCGGCGATAGAGCTTCCGAATGGAGAAGGTCTACGCTGAGGGGTCCCAATCTGGTCGACAGCCGGGAGGGACAGTGTCCACCGAGTTGCGGCGCTTCAATTGATCATTTCGTGGTATCACAGTGGCCAATTCCACGAAGGGGACTAAATAACGTAGACAGTACCTAGTACTTGTTGCAAGATGAGGAACACGACATCAGACAAGCCTCATGGCGATAATCTTATCGCAGACTTGGCACCTGATAGCGATAAGGACGATCCCTACCAATTCCGCTTTTCCGTTGGAGATAGATTCCGGCAGACATAAGAACATAGAAGGATGCATGAATCCCCAATTATCCGTTCATCAGAAGGCATACTTTCAATTTGAAAAAAACAGTCATGAAAACAGAATGAATCAATGACAATGATGGATTGCGAAGCAACGCTCTATATGGGAGAATGCAGCTGAAGTACTTGTGCTCTGTCTAATCGGAATCCTCTGCAGTCCGCATGCTGTGTACTCTGTACTTTCATGGTTTCACCTTACAGAATATGTATACCACGAGTCGGCCTTAAAAATAGTCTGCTTTATATTATCAATAGCTCGACCCAAGGTACGTTCTAGATCGGGGCTGTCGTCAGGCTTAGCTGAGGTCTTCTCTCAGCTCACGACTCAGTTCTGTTGACTTCTGGTGGGGACGAGCCCACATACCTGACCTGGATTGCCCATTCTGGTCGATGAGAAGCGCAAACAAACAACATCGGTAAATCGGATATGGATGTCATTATTCAACGAGATGGGAGTCACACCACACCGGCATTAGGGCTTCTGATCGAGTGGGGACTATCCCCCTCCAATACTAATTTGAATCCACTACTGTACAATTTCATGTGGTCCGGGGATTTTACTTGATCTGGAATCTTGTTCAAGTCCGTGAAGCATTTCTCTCAAGTCAATATATACATGAATTGAATTATCGCCCATCGTCCATCGAGCCCGCTATATATACACGTATAATATAATATTCAGACATAAGAAAGCAGTCCGTGAAGGATAACACGGGGGACAATCCCATGATTGTCAAAGAAAGAATCGTAGCAGTAAAACATTCAAGTATCGAAAGGTTGGAAAGGACACGCAAAGTCATGATTAGGGCGCATGGCGATCGGCAAACGGAGATCCGGTCGATCCCCGGGTAAGGGACATGGAGGATTTGTCGCTGCCGGGGGAGGCATACACCATGCCGTCGTGTCTGAAATCGATGGGATGGGCTGTCGAGGCAATCTGTGTGTGGTTCGAAGCAACATCATACCGTCCAATGTCGTCGTCGCTCGGGGTCCTGGATTCCGTCCATGTCTTCATCTCTACCGTCCGCATGACCTCCAGACGGTCGAGCACCGTGTCGCCGTACAGGCGGGATTCCCCCCGGGAAGGCTTCGATCGGCCGTTTGAAGACCAGAGTTTTTTGGAATTGCTTTGGTTGTTGTAGGAAGAGTTATAGTTGCGGGTGCTCTGAAGCAGCCTCGGCAAGAAGAATGCCACCAGAGGACGCAGAGCGGGTGCGGATGCGCAAATCTGGTATGGTTAGAGCAATGGCAGCCAACCAGGTCGTGACGAGGACTTACCAGGCCCATGTTGATTTCCACAGACGCCGCGAGCAAGATCGGCCATCCCAGCCACGTGCTATCGTACGAGGCAATCATACTCTTCCACACATACACCGTGCGGACGGATCCGGCGACATTGACCACAATACCGAGCCCGAAGATGGAGATGACAGCGATTCGTTGGCGGGCCGGTAATTTGAGGTTCCAGATCAAGGGCATCGGGAGGACGGTGACAAGGAAATCGGTAAAGATGTTGATCACACTGGCAGAAAAGACAATCGCGCCGGAGTTCATGCATTGGTGAGGATAGGTGGGAGCCAGTTCCCAGTAGGCCTTGACGGGGCTAGGCAAAATGTTAGAAGGATATCCAGAAGGATAAGGGCTTGTATCACTTACCTGCATTGGAAGATGCTCATGAACAGGAACAGAGCACAGCAGATTCCAACGAATACCATCGCCGCGATCAGGCCGAGATTGTAGCCCCAGTAGAGACCCTTGCTTCCAGCTCCAAGCAGACGTTTGCAGAACCACAGAAGGGAGATCTTGGTCAAGGTGGAAGACCACGAGAAAAGGATTTGGAAGACTATGTTGAATTTTTGGATCGTCGAGAGCCAGTCGGGTCGTACATCCCATATGTGACGGTTCCAGCCGTAACGCTCAGTGGCTATCGAGGTGACCACACACATTGCAATAGAGAAGCCCTAGAATCTGTGAGCAGCAATACGGCTAGGTCCGAGATCAGTCCTCATACCAGAGCGGCGACGATAAAGATATCGTCCAGACCCGGACTGCATGTGATTCGTAGTCGTGTGTACAGACGAAGCAGTGTGACAATTAACGCAACACTTAAGCAGACAACGTTGACGATGATCGCGCCATGACCACGAGTCACCGGGTCCTCGTAGTTGGGCTTCGGCCAGGTGGCCATGACACTGGGGGGAGGAAGTTGCATCGTTGCGGTAGTATGAATAGATCGTTCCGAGAAATTTCGAATATTATTGTCGATACCCCAGCGCCGCTTTAATCGTAATCGGAGCGATGGATCAGTGAACCCAGCTGAATCGTCAACATCGCATTTTCCATAGTTTGACGGCGAAGGAGAGATTGAATGCAAAGAATGTAAGGAGCGGAGAGAATGGCCACGCCGGTGCGAGATGTGCCACCACACGAGGAAAGCGAAGTAAACGACATGGGAGAGGGGCGATGAGCGAGGGGATATACCTTCGCTAGCGATGTACATATGGAGTATGGAGTCAACTAGGCTCCTCCACTGCCGGGACGGACGAAGGGGCCCCCTCATTGGGGCACCCGGTGGACAATGGCAATAGTAGTCTGACCGGGAACCAGGGACACATTGCGTCTATTGGAGCCGACTGGAGTGTCCTGACTCTCAATAATCGAATGGGACTCGCGAGGACTGAATTTGAGATCCAGTCGTGAGAGCGGCGCAGAGTCCAGCCGGGGGCCAGTGCCCTCCAATGATGCTGGGTGGCCACCTCCACTGCGATCCATGCCATTCCGAAAGTAGCAAGATGTCCGACATCTACCCGAGTCTTATGCGAAGACAAGACGACCGATAGGCAGATCCAGGACCCCATCGTTCACGTTGTTCCCCACCACCGGGGGCTCCGTCCATGGGACGATGGGCTGGCTCGTGGGACCTGCACCTGCACCTGCACCTGCACCTTCAAGCGACATGGGAACCCCTGTCATCCTCAGGGCAGACAAAGTCAATTTCGACCAATTTCTCACTACTCCGTATGGTCTTGAAGCGTCCATTGCTTCTGGTTTGTCCGTGGTCCGCTAGTCGTGCAAGGATGTCGGCGTTGTGAGTCGCATGCGACGGAGTAATAGCGGCCGACCGAGAGGGCCAATCATGGACAATCGTTCACCTGATATTTGATACTACCTTCTTATTGAATTTAATTATCTCAAATTATTCTACGATCCAGATTTCGCAAAACACGCGATGTTCCCGACTCCATGGTCGAGTCCAGCTTGAGTCCAAGGTTACCACCATCCACGTTGTCACAGGACGGAACCTTGGATAGTATGTATTTCTCCCCGCACTATAGGTGGTAGGTGTGGTGTGGCGAGTCATCATCATCATCATTATTATTATTACCATGAGGGGTCAACCATGCTCGGTCTGCCCAGTCGGCACTTGATCTTACTTGCAGAACGTCACAGAATTAAGCCCCTTCATAAACGCCCACGGAGCTTGTATGGTGTCTTATTCTTAAGGATCAGGGAGTGGACTACGGAGTTTCATGCATGCCATGTGCTTGAAACAACAGCCAAGACCATGATCGAACCCAAAACAGTGCACGGAGAATGCGGGAAAACTACACGGCACTCCAGAGTACTCGGTAGGTATTCCTACAAGGACCCTACCTTACCAAATATAGGTAGTCGATATGGGCAGACATCATCATACACAACCGACTGAGTTCCAGGTTAATGGGCCGACGTCGTGGCCACCACCACTACCGCCTCTTCGGTTGCTCGAGATTGAGTGGCGGGATTTCTCGGATGGCACCCATGGAACGACAACGGGGATGATGGAACATCAATAATTGCTCGACCCCGGAGAGACTGGGCTAGAACAGCAGAATATTAAGGTGTGAAGTTTGCCTTCAACCCACAGGTGTGACACAAAAACACCTCAAGCTTCCAAAGTATTAACTCAACGTGATGAGGCCATATTCTAAAATAGTTCCACACAGGAGCCCGTGTTAGTGGATCTACGTACCTAGGTACGACTATCCTTTCACCCGATCCTACCTAGGTACCTCACCATGTGCCTACCTGTACATAACAAACCCATTATTATTCTTTTATGAACGAGGCATTTGTGCAGGCTACTTGTCTGGGCTAGTAGGAGACTGGCTTCCTCTATCGCCCGGAATTGCAGATCCTATATTTTCACATTTTCAGAAGTCGTCATTACGAGAGATTAACTACATATTCCAAATTTCCAAATAATAGGTAAAGAGCATGCTGACGCACATGCTTGTAGACTGGGTAGGTACATACAATCACGGTGGAGCCCATCACACCGTAGTTTGAGAACTCGGCTAGTGATCGTCCACGCTGAGATCCGACTTGCCCAGAACACAGTGAGATCGGCCTCCAGCATGGATCCATGTGCTTCTGCACTTGCTTTGCCCAGAGAAAAAGAAAAGCTTGGTCGGTCTCAACTCAAGTTCGATCGATATTCCATCCAATCCACCGTGATCGGCCATGTAAAGACTTCACTCGCCAGCAGCTAACTTTTGATGTTCTGGTCCTTGATAGTGATCCGAACATCATTGCTTACCTAGGTATCCTCGGTGAACTACCTCGTATAGCGCAGAGCATACCCTATTCGACTTCTAGAACTTAATGATTCTGCGCTATTTGAGATTGACAGGACATCCCGTGGATCGAATAGGCATCTTGCCTATCCTGACTCAGTTCGGGTCGACTGATTTTCAGGATCTTCACGGCAGTTTCTGTTCGATGTCTCGCCAGCTCCACTAGTCACGGCACAATCAAGGTTGATACGGCTTCAGCTCCACGCGCCTTGCACCTTTTATAGAACATGGACCTTGAGAGTATGATACCGCGGTGGCTGTTCTGCTATCGGTGTGATGGTCCAGAGAGCTATTAGTTGTGCATATTTGTTACGTAGTAAGAACCTGTTCTTCTCGCCCTCACCATCCGCGATGTCTCTTTTCCTTTTCCGGAGTACAGCATGCGAGGATCGTACGTTTCCCCCACTATCGTCTCTAGCCCCACGGAACCACCCAGGTTCAGACTCAAACAGTCTACGACGGGCTGCGACGAGATGTTTGCCTTGCTATAGTGCTTATTTCAGTTATTCCCCATCAATGAAACGACTCTGCAGCTGAATAAGCGGAAGTTGACCGACCGAAATCTAGATCATTTGCGCATAATCGTACCCTACTAGTAGCCTTAAACAAGGCCCGCACGCCGCTGCACGAAGATCCTTTAGTCCGTAGTCTTGTTCCGAATCAGGCATACAAGCGAAAAGCGGAGACTTGGTCCTGAAGTATAGACATAAGTCTCGCAGATTTGCAAGGTTCCTGGTCAAGCTACATTCTTCTCGGTCGTGTTTGCCTCCGCTGGCAATGTTGCGTCTTTTGATATGACATGTGGTCCAATGGCTATAGTACATAGGCAGGGTCTGGACAGTGGTTTATTGTCTAAGACATGAGAACAAATTGTATGAACTGACAGACTAGGCACAAAGATGACCACAAACTCAGAATTCCTGTCCAATAAGTATAGCAATTACCGATGGGATATGGTTTCAATTCTGACCCTACGTACGGGCTATGCTTTCGGGCTTCATATTACTGTCTTCCTAGAGCGTGCTACACCCTATTCATCTATGTATTCTAATATCGTTAACGTAAGTGCGCTTGATCGAATCCTACCCGATACTTGGCAACAGCCTATGGAGTGTTAGGCCGTTCCAACCTTCTTGATACACGGGCGTCGGAGATAGTTTGATATGTTGGAAGCAGTGACAACCTGTGGCTCACACCACCAAGCCCAGCCCCGCGCCGCCTCGCCATCATTTGCTCCAACCCATCGCAAAGCGTAGAGAAGTAGCTCACGGTCGTCGCTCTCGGAGATCAACTTTCGAACCTGCAACTCTGCGTTTTTGAACCCAGCCACTGCAGCGCCATGTTCTGTGGCGCTCAGTCCAGACACGACTGAGCAATAACATTGGATCAAGGCATGATACCAGTCGCACATCGCTTGTTCCAACTCAGGCCTTCTATCGCAACGGCTTTGGTTCTGTTCTGCTGACTCCTTAGTGACAATGGAAATCACCCATTCAATCATATTACGGATGCCGGGAATGCTCCTCCCGCTGTCGTCTTGCGCAGATACGAGCCATTCTGACATGCGCCTGCCATAAGCACGATCATGGGGGTGTTTAGACGACCTGTCCTCTCTATTCTCGTGGGGACAGTCCACCCATGCATTGCAACTGCGTGTTGTTATGGCATGGTAGATACTAGCACAACAACAGACGATGCCGTAGTCATCTTGACTCGTGCATAATGTTCGCATGCAGTCATATGCTGCTCGTGCTGTTGTATGCATTCGCACAGCCGCCTCGGCAGCAGAATTCATATCAACAGTTTCCACATCCGTCGCGAGGTCGGTCATGTCATTGACGTAGGCCACAAGACTCCCGTAGGCGAGGGGTACACTCTCGCGCCCAGACAGTTGGGCCAGGCCCTCCATGAACCCTATTGTCTGTGCCATGCCAGATGTAAGGTTCCGGATGATCAGATAGGAGCCGCTGTGGCCCGGCGCGATGATGTCCGCCACTGCGCATGCGGCCCCATGTTGGTCGAGTCCCAAAATTTCGGTTGCACCCCGTACCAGCGACTCATAATATGTATAGGAGCAAATTTCAGATATGGCCCGCTCTATCCGCCACGTGTCCAGCACAGGTTTACTCCCTTTCCGGAGCAGTGATGTACCTTGAACATACACCCCAGAAGCATCATCGTCTGAATAGTCCCGTACAAAAGCAGCCATCAGACAGTCAGCCAAACATTCGTTATCGGAAACATGGCTTCGTGCATCAGCGCAACTGTAGTATAAATTTTCGACCGCATCATGGATCGCCGCTATGTTGCCACGTACTGCGTCGCCCCAGATATCACGGCGCCTCGGAGTCCATCTCCGCAGAGTTGGTATCGCCGCGCCATAATTGCATGACGTGCCATCCGGCCAGAGAGCATGTGCGTCAGCTTCACCACACATATCACCGCGACGTGCAAGTGCAATACTGAAGTCGTACATGTCTCGGTGTGTCAGATGTTCTCTGGTTGGCATCTCGACACGCAGGACGCGGGAACAGATAGATTCATAGGTTTTCGAATGCGCAATTCCAGACACGTCGTCGCACGCGTGCGTGACTCTCCACTCCGCTTCTTTAGCTCTCGACACAGCGGCTGGCTTCTCTTCTTTGACTCTGGGCCCAGAAGAGCTTCCTTCATCTCGCTTTGCTTGTGCAGATCCTAGCGCCTGCCAGTGCTGTATCCATGTATCGTAGGTGTGCAATGCAGCATCCGTCTGATCCTCATGGGAGGGTAGTCCAATGGCCAGTCGGCCAATTGGCACTCGAGAGGAAGTTGTACGTGACCACAGCGACCCGGGAGAACACCACTTGGGTTTATTTGGAGAATTGGAACTAGGAATCGGCTCGTCCTCAATGTGTTCAACGGTGTGAGCTCTGCTTCGAATCATCTTCCGGTGCTACACAAACAATTGTAACGCCGAGTCTAGATTTTGGGTTATGAGCTACAGAAAGTGTCCCAGGGAAGGCACGGCATTTAATACTTCACATCTTGTATGATTTTGACCGCCATAATAACCGCGTTGGGATTATTACAGGCTTCTGTCTGCTGGATTCCAATCTCACGCTATAGATGATGGCAAAAAGGTAACTACAAACGAAGATCAACTGTTACTGTCCCTAATGGATAGTATGACAAGCTCTGTAGTACGAAGCTCGAGTGGAGTGGCACGCTACATGACGTATTTGAATCCAGAGATAGAGTTCCCATTGGTATCAATTCTATATGTCTTTCGAAGTATGGGAAGGCTCTAATGCAAGGGGAAAGATCGATGCGAGACGGATGACAGAGGGAGTGTGAAATCTAAGCTATGAAGTTTGCCTTGGGGCATCTTTGCGGAACGTCCTTGCAGGATATGGGACGGAATGAGAGCCGGTAGTTCAGGATTCATGCATGAAGTTGCAAAGAGTAATCCAAGGCTTCCAAACACGGATGCCTGCAACAAGCGGTGTGTATACTGTCAAGGGGATTGATCAAGGAGGGTTGTTGGGTTTGGATTGTGGGTGAGGTCCTGAAGGCCTCTAGATAGTATTGAGGGAGGCAGGCAGGCGCTAGGTCTAAATTGGCAACTCAGGACCCTGAGGCTGCGAAATATACTAACATCTAATTCACGGTAGCATTCGTCTATGCACAAGGTGCTAGAGATGTGTCTAGGTTTCTATTAAAGACGGGATAACAAGCAAGCAGGTATAGTCGCATTTGAAACTCTTGATTCCTAGTTCTGAAAAAAGGGGCCCTATTGTACATAGAGATAGAAGCTGCGTGAGCACTAGTCTATTTGGACGCTCTCACTTACATCACATGTGCTCTCATAGGGACCTGTCCAATGACTTTCGAAGGTATCTTGGAGATTTGCAATTCTCGACTTTGTACATGCAGACGCTCTTTAATAAACTAACTCAATGCTCGTGTGTTGGTCCGACGCATAGAATTGGACTAAATCTGAAGACCAAGGATATTCACTAGGCCCTATCTAGTTCGTTCAGGTTCTACAGAATTGCCGCGGTATAACGGTCACTCATTACTTCTCTGGAGAAGGATCTGTCGTCTGGTGTGTTCGAGAACACAACTTTGCCACCTGTTTCATAGACTTCGTGTTCCTAGGATTGTATTATTCTCCAACCACTGCAGCACCAATCGCTATGTGCCAACACATGTGATGGATTCCGTCTTAGCCGTTTCAGATTAGTCACCCTATATTTCGGGGACTGAGCGTGATGATGGTGCACAGTGAAAATTGAGAGAAAATTCCGACGACACGTCGAGGTCTCTTTAGCCAAGGAATCCCGACCTATAGGATCTCGTGAAGCGTGTACATCGAAGGCTGTGTACGCTCCACTATATTTTTAGCCAAAGCATTCGTTAGCCTTTCCTACTTACTACGTAGTACGACGGCGTCCCGTGTTTCCCTTTGGGGATCGCGATCTCGTCCCACACAGACAACTGCCGAACTGTCATAGAGTCGGTCGAGGCTGGACCATGGACGAATACGTCACTAAGGATTAACGTGCTGTCAAATCATTCAGTCGATACCCGAGTGTTCTTTCTACGGAGTACACTAAGTAGTTAAATTTTTTCGCAAAAGGGGCGAGCGAGGAACAGAGAAACTCTATTCGTTGACGGTGTTTCAACTTGAGGGACGCGGGAAATTCGCCGACGCCATCCAGGGCCTGGCCAACGCCCACGCGAGGGGGCCCCGCGAATCACGGGGGTTCCACGGTGCCACAGCGGATACTCCCGTGCGACGCTGGCGCCGTTGCGGGAAGTATGAAACAGGGGATGTTCTGGTTAGTCAGATAGGTAGTTCGGTACGCAGCCAGAGATCACAACCATGAAACCATTCCTTCGTCCTGTTCCCTCGACCAAGTCCTCGGTGTTGATCGTCTTTTTTTCCTTCTGTTCCCCCGGTTCTTCTCTCGTTTACTTCCTTCCCCAGATCCCAACGAACCGATTAGTTTAATACTCCGCTCTTTACTCTCGACATCATCGGTCTCCCATCTTTTCGTCTCTCGTTTGGTTTGTTTCATATCTTCTGATTCTCATACCCCATAATCATTCACCATCGCTCTATAATCATGGAGGGCCATTCAGCTCCAGCTTCGGCGGATGTCCCAGCTGCCACCGGAGAGGCACCAGCTCCAGTCCAATCAACCGTTCACTCCCACCCCGTCCACCATGATCAGGGCTCCTCGCAGGCCGAGAAGGAAACCCCTCGCAAACAGATCACCCCGCGCCCCACGTTCCTGGAGAACCTGGCCGACTCACGAGACTCGCAATTCATGCTTAACCGTCGTGATTCCGATGATCTGGATCGGTATTTCGTAGGTCTCCTTCTCCCTGGAAGACCGGAGAACCGTGCAGCTCTAACCCAGTCGGACAATAGCATGGCCCTCGAGACCTCGACAAGCACTCAAAATGGCCAGTCTTCCTGCGAATGCACGGCAGCGTCTTGCCCAAAATGATCCTCCCGTTGGCCTTCATCGCCGCTTGGTCAACCTTGATCACATGCATTTCTAAATTCGTCCATAATCGTGAGTGCAGTGTCGGCTTGAGGTATCCCTCCTGCTAATATCATTTTCGTCCCGCAGTTGGCATCGAAAACATTCTTCTCACAGTCACCGGTTTCGTCGTTGGTCTGGCTCTGTCCTTCCGGAGTTCCACGGCCTATGAAAGGTAACATCGTCGAGTTTCACAAGTAAGACTCCTCAGCTGACAATCTGAAGATGGGCCGATGGCCGGAAATACTGGTCCCTTCTAATCCAGACCTCGCGTAACTTGGCGAGAACCATCTGGGTCAATACGTCGGAGAGAGAGGGCCCTTATGCGAAGGAGGACCTGCTGGCAAAATTGTACACTCCGCAGTACCCCGTACACAACCCCACATTTTCTAACACATTCCAGAACCGCCATTAACCTCATCCTCGCCTTTGCGGTCGCGCTCAAGCACAAGCTCCGATTCGAACCTGATGTCGGCTACGAGGATCTCGCCGGTCTGGTCGGACACCTCGATACCTTCGCCAAGGAAGCGCATGATCGTCACAACATTCTCCCCCCGAAGAAGACCCCTTGGAAGGCGGCCGGTGAATATCTGGGCGTGTCGTTCGCGGAGTCGAACCCGCGCAAGCTCGTCAAGCGGTCTAAGAAGCCCCTGGGACACCTGCCACTGGAAATCCTGAACCACCTATCCGCGTACGTGGACAGGTGCATCAAGAACGAGACGTTGTCTTGCAGTCTGCACCAAGGACAAGCGAGTGAGTCATGAAGCATTGATAGGAGATCTCCAGCTAACAGAAACAGTCACCGCCTTGTCAACCCTGAATGAGGTCGTCACTGGCACCGAACGAGTCCTTGATACCCCTCTCCCAGTTGCATACAGCATTGCCATTGCCCAGATCGCCTGGATCTACGTTCTTGTGCTTCCCTTCCAACTCTATAACAGTCTCAAATGGGTCACCATTCCCGGTTCCATCGGTAAGTTTCCTCTCCGATGTTGGGTCCGGTACTATGCTAAAGCCGGCAACAGTCGCCGGATACATCATCCTGGGTCTTGCCACGATTGGCAGCGAAATCGAAAACCCCTTCGGCCAGGATGTGAACGACCTGCCCCTCGACACCTACTGCCGCCAAATCGCCCTGGAGCTCGACATCATCACCGCGACGCCGGCCCCCAAGTGTGACGAATTCTTTGTTCGGGACGAAAACCTGGTCTTGTATCCCCTCAGCACCAGTGGCTATCCTGACTGGAACGACCGTAGCGTGGATGACATCCGGGCTGCGCTGAAGGCCAAGGTCGTGGCGAACACCCCCTCGACCGCTATGGACGATTCTTCGACTGTTTTCGGAAGCCTCAGAAGCAAGCAATCCGTCTGAACGTTGGACTAAAACAACGATATAGGGAATGGTAATACGGAATATTCACATGCATGAGTTTTCAGCAGATAAATTGGCATATTTAAAAAGCGTGCGAGTTTTGGTGTTAGAAAAGCGGGCATCGTGTCACTCTTTATTGTTTTGCTTTATTGCTTTCGATGTGAATATTGGGCTTCTGTTAGTTTGCTGAATGCTCGGCTGAGATTGTTTCCGGGTGCATAATAATCAAACATTTGTTGCTTGACCATGCTGCGAGTGTGTCTGCGGCATTTGTACCTGGATACATATGACCAGAGATGACCGCGTGGAAGAGCTTCCAAGTCTTGATCTTCTGGTGCAGAGGGCCTTTGGTATCTGACCGCGGCAAGTCTGCCCTCTGCAAACGCAGGCGGCATGGTTCACTCAGGCCCAGTCAGCGGAATCCCGATTTGGCCTTGAAACGGCGTAAACGTGTAGCCCCCTCGAAGACCCTGGTGCTGTCTCGCCACAACAGTCTTGACTATAAATCGTAACGATAACTTCGTAACTCCCTCCGATCTACGGAACAAACAAGTCACTCCCCGATCCCTGCACCAGGGCGCCTAGATAGTTCCCTTTCGCACGGATCCTCCACGCGACATTGCCCGCCGCGCCGCCAGAGCCCCCACCGATCCACGAGCTGACCGCTGCGACGACTGCCGACGCGTCCTGTCGCGGGACGCGGATCCAGACGATCTTCTCCGCGGGTTGCTCTTGCTCCGTCTCGGGGGACACCTTCAGAATATCGATGGAGATGGTGGTCCCTGTCAGACCGAGGAACTGCGACAGCGCGGCAGTCAGGTAGGTTCGCGCGGTGAGGGGGTCGAGCGGTGCAGATTGGATAGATACGGAGGTGCCTGGCTGGTGGACTCTATGTTGTGCAATTGGATTAGCATGGAGAGATGGTCGATGCGACCATGGTCTGGTCGGAACGTACAATTGGAGCTTGAGGTAGGTCCACGCGGGATTGCGCGCGGTGAAGCTGGTCGCTTTGGATTGGACGGTAGCATCATCGGGGGATTTTCTTTTGGTGGTGGTGGACATGCTGGAGGTAGGTACGCAAGTGGCTTTGGTGAATTGGTGTGGGTAGAAACGTTCGTATGCGGTGGGAATTTTGCGATGGGGAGCTGTCGGGACAAAAAGTTGGAAAACCCATCGGACTCCCGTGATGTCACGCGGCGGGATTCACTACAGCCCGCGTCCAGCGATTAAAACTGCGACTGCATTATGTTTTGCGGACGACGGCTTCTTCCAGTTTTTGGCGTATATCCCGTAGAAAATTCTCCTCGTTTTCCGCGTCAATTTCCAGATCCGCGATAGAAATGACTTTGTCGCGCGACTTCAAGCCACGGATGACGTCCACGTTGGACTTTGGGACCCGAAGAATCTAGCAGTGAATTAGAAACGCTCCGCCCGTAGATCCATGTTGAAATCAAGACAATGCTGTGGCAAGGATGATTGATTACCTGCGCAAATAAGCGCGCCACCGCAACGTTGGCTTCCCCCTTTCTCGGGACGGCAGCAACGCAAACATCAATCTTCTCAGCCCCAACGGCAGTGATCCCTTCGCGGTGCCCTGATGAATTGGGTTTTACGTTGCACGATATATGGAGGTTGTACTTCTTGGGGATGAGGTTGCTGTTGCGGGCTTTTGCGGTCGGATGCTTCTTGTCCGCGATGACGGCCAATGCTCGAATACTATGGCCTGGATCTCTGATAGGATCGTCTGAACGGCCAGGGGCAATAGAAGAAGACATATCCCCAGATTTCGGCTGTTTATGGGCACTTTTGGCTGGGCCAAAAGTTCCAAAGGCCAGTCGAGACGATTCACCGGTCTTGACGGGCGAAAGCCTCAACCTGCAGGCGCCGAACATGTCTCTGCAGGCGGCGATGAGAATATCCTCTGACAGACTCGAAAGGTCCTGGAGGTGATAGTGGGAGATGAGATGCTTAGTTAGTGAATCTTGCTCAAAGTGACGATATGTATGAGTCTGGCGCGCTATGCCTAAACGAGCAAGCGGGTCTAGGAAGTACAACAGTATGATGTGCTATGAGGTTCTCCGTAACTTGACATCGAGGATAGGAGCAATTATCTGATGGTATAATCAGTTGAGCTCTTTTCTGCCGGTTAGACTTGATACTAAACTCTGGCCTGGCTTTGGGTGATGCAAATCGGTCGATTTCTAGGTCTGAACGGCACAATCGAGGTATGTACATATCTTCGCAAGCAGCAACGCATATTTCAGTATATCAGGCCTCATCTCAGTCTGACATTATTTTTGCTCTCTGCAAATATTGTATCCTTAAGACTTTCTCTTATATGATGAGTCAATTTGGCTTGGTCTATGCATATAAAGACTTGTGGAAGTCGGCTAAACCAAAGCTAAAGAGCGAGTATATATTAGACATGTTTCCTACCCAGTACCCCAAGACAAACAGTATAGAAACTGCTGTTTGCAGTAAGAGAAACTCACATACAATAAGATGTGGGAGAAAAGAAAGAGATGCGTCATTGGATTCTGTTGAGCAAACAGTGACTCTCTTTCATTTTGAATGACAAGAGCTTAGAGGACAAACCCGCAGGTATACAAATTGAGCATGTATCATGCAGTCCAATTTCTTCTCTCTTCGCCAAATGTTTACTTTGCCACCATTATATTCTCAAATCGACTCACCTCTCTGCTCTCAACCCGATGGCCTGGCTTAAAATCCCACATCTTCCCTATCACCCTCCCACATCTTGCTTGTCATCTCTACTTGTAAGAATTGGTCCCTGTTGAGACACACTCCTGCACTATTCCAAGAAACATCATATCTCATTCCAACTGTACCTGGTTGATGCGAGCTCGGATCTGAATAATCCTGCGACAAAACACCACAGTCCGACATCATGGCTCCCAACAAACAACTTGAAGAAGACCAGGATGTTGTCATTGTCAAAGTCAACAAGCTCCCTCCTGGACCATGCACGCCTACAAGGTTGACCCAGACCAGATATGATGATGTGAGTTGAATTCCAGTGCTCTCCCCTCATCTTCATTGATGCGCATCAACGCAAAGAAGGACTCGGATCGTCGCACAACAGGTCACTGTCTTATGGAAACATAGCTAACCCGTCTCGCAGGTCAGTATATTGGACGTAGTGAAAACGCCCCCATCTCCCTATCCATATACATTACCCGTGCCTGCCCCCCAGGTCCCGTTACGTTCGCCAGCTCCCCCAGCTGGCAATTTCACCCCTGTGGAGGACGTTGCTCCCCGCCCTCCGGTAAGACCAGACCCAGCAGACCGCACCGCATCTCATGGAGAGCAAGACAAATGGAATCTCTACTATCTACCCGATATTTTGTATGTCCTGTGTCCTGGGACCGAACACGTCAGATCCAGAGCTCCAGTCTGCATGACAGAATATACTGTCTTTGGCAAACAGGTGAAAGACTTTGCTGTCCTCCCGCGTCAAATCTCCTCTCGTGTAGAGGGTTGGAGGCTGGAGGCGTGGATGCGTCTTGATCAGCGGATCACGGACCAGGACATCATCGATCGTGTCAACCCTGATTTCAGGGCAAAGCTATCTCCTGAATACCTCGAATATCGTCGCCAGTTCTTCCGCGAAACGTTCAATCTGGCTTGCTGGACGTCGCCAGAGTCCATTAGTTATATCTGCAATTTGCTGGTGGAGCGGGGGATAGATCCGGCGATGAACAGCACGAGAGGCCTAACCCCAGGACTGAAAGATCCTGCGAAAGGAGAAGGCGGGGGCCGGGTGTCTCTTCCTATACCCCAGGTCTGTACTATTGCCGCCGATGGAGGAAACCAGCCGATCCCTACAAGGTTCTACGTGCAACCGCAGCCAATGCCGCAAAATCAGTGTCATGGAAGAGTGCCAATGGTTTATGCATCTCAGGCCCCGATTCCCTCGCGTTCCGTGCCACAGCATGCGTTCGTCCTGCCAAGCTATATGAATACACCCCAAGGCAGTGTGCAACACGTTCAGTACATGGCACCTTACCCGGCACCTTACCCCTACATGGCACCCTACTCTGTTCCATACCCTTATGGCAAACGAAAGTGGGTTGAGCCGATCAGGTAAGTCGTTCCGTCAAGATCGAGAACATAACTACCATACTGACGACCGTTGTAGACAGGAGACTCCACTCGCTTACTACAAGAGACAGAAGGTATCCGGTCACGGCTATGTCGAGGGTCCAACTGGTTATCCCTACGTTCCCGTCGAGCTGGCGCCTTGTCGCGCACCTATGCCTCGCGCATTTCCCCGCGAAGGCGACATGGGTGGTCGTACGATGTCACTTGAGGAGTATCTCCAGGAGAAGAGAGTGAGCTATGAGGAGTTCCTTCGCGCACGTTATGCCCATGAAGTACCGGGAATTGCTGGTGGTCTACAATATCATCCGCGCAGAGCGTAAGGCAAGGGCTTGAATGGCTGTGTGTGAAAGGGAGTGGGAAGAGATGATGTAATATGTGACGTTAGAAGTATTCGAGAGGAATAGTGTAATTTGGTTCATTTTGTGTCTGTATCTGTGCCTACTTCTATCATCAACTTCACATATGCTGAACATTGTGAGAAACGTAGATAGAAAAATAAGTAGGAACACATATGGGGATTTGCCCTATTCAACTCGGGGAAATCTGTAGAACCACTACCTCATCCTTCCTCGGCCTCACCTCCCTCACCCTCTTCTCATTACAACCCACCGATGGCTATAGTAACTGGAATTCTATTGATCTCATCCATGCCTCAACACTTCATGACGTTCAGATACAGCTGATCGCCAACCCACAATCCTACCTCGGCATCGAATCGGCTTCCCGCCCCATTCAGAGACTGGACAACAATAGGAGCCCGAGACCGGCCCGGTCTTCAGCCACCGGTTGGTCTGACTCATTGTGTTGGCCGACAAAGGCATTCTCCTTCGTCAGAGACAAAGAAATTCGCCGATTAACGGAATAGGTCCGTGGTATCCCCGCTGACCGAGCCGGGCGATCATCGGCGAGAGAATGGGAGGCTGGGCATATGGGAAGCAGGCCGAGGGGGGTGGCCAGGGGGTCTGCATGAACGGTGGGGCCTGTCAGATCTGCCATCCATGTGCCAGAGCCTCAAGCATATTTGCTCTTCAACATCGCCCGCTCAAGTCTGCAGAGATTCCAACCTGCGCTTGGATGCTAAGACAGGGGATATGGGATACAGTCGAAAGCGGCGAGTTTCCTCTTTCCAGAGATATGTCGCTTGAGCTGCTCGGATGCTCCGTTGGCCGGTTGGAAGATGGAAGCTGTCGTCGACCGCGGCGCGCGCAGCCGACAACAAGCAACCGGCAGACCGTGTCAATCTGCCCTCCCACCATCGCGTTTCGTCATGGCGTCCTTTGGTCTTCCAGTCTTCCCAATTCGGACAACTATAGCCAACCACCCCATTTCCCGGAGGCGAAGAATGGCAAGTCACCGCACACAATATGGCTCGCTGGGTTTGTTCCTCGCCTCTTCGATACGAGTGTCTTCGTCTCGTTCGTTCCAATTGCTTCATCCTCCTCCGAAGGCTACCGTTCGCTCTCATAGTGTGTTGCGCTGTATCGTCGTCTTGCCTATTATCGGCTTGGGAGCATACCCGTTTGAAGAAAGCTTGGGGAGATTGCCCTTCGGTAGTTGACACAATGGACCAGGTAAGCTGGTATACAGGCTTCGCTCCGTCTCCCAAGTTGGCAGGGTACAGGAAGAGATAACTGACTTATGGGTTATTATAGTTCCCTGTTTGGAACCCCAATCCAGAGCTGGGAAAGATGATCGCCGAATGGCCAGAGAGTCTTATCTCTCAGATTCTAGCAGTGGGAAACAGTCCTCTGGCTTCCGAGCCGGATATGAGAATGTCCTATTTCCCTGAGATGACCGCTTCTTCCGAGGCACCAGAGACCCCTGCTCTCTGTAATACTGAACTCGCTTCGGATGAGATGAACACTCAACAATCGCCAGAGATTGGCACAGTCTCGGCGCTCGAGGACAGTCCTGCAACTCCTCCGCTTCCTGTGGTCAGCGACACCCCCGACTCTCGTGGGACCAGTACCGGTTCCAAAGGGCCCGAGGAGACCCCGACAACCCCGATCTCCACCGCGGAGGGGACTCCCAGTAAGAAAAGAAAGCGCTCTAGTGGTAAGTCGACGCCCATTGTCAAGAACTCGCGAGACTGACTATCCATCCGCGTGAACAGTACCCAGACAAGACAGCCCCAATGCGATTCATCCTCTGAACTTTACCACCTTTCGCGAGGACCAATACTGGAGCTGGGACAATATGCCCGACATCCTGTACCAGCTCCGCCCCGACGAGAAAAGGGATCGCAAAGCTGAAGCCGATCTGATGACATACCCGATACACGGCAAGGTGTTGCGCAATCTTCCGGTGCTCCCGGACAACATCGCCTCCACAGTCGAAGAGTTCCGGGTGGAGGCCTGGATGAGAATGGACAGACGTGTGCGCCTGAAGGATATCACCGACCGAATGCACCCGAACTTCCGGGTTAAAGACAACGCACTCCAACAGCGCAGCGTTCGGTTCCGGCAGATTTTCGGGCTGCTAGCGTGGGATTCTGGCAACAAGAGAAGCCGGGAAATTGAGAAAGATTTGTTGCAGAAGATGCGGGACAAAGGCATCGATCCTGCGTCCAACTCTACTCGCGGTATCACCCCGGGGCTGATCAATCCCGCCTTGGGAGAAGCCGGCGGCCGCATTCCCCTGCCCAAGAGTGGCTCCCAGGCAAAGCAAGGGGGTAAACAAGTGGACGAAGAAGCAAAAGACCGGAAGCAGTCCTCTGGCGATCTCCCACTCCGCCGAGGCAGACACACACTGTGGGGAGGCCATCCCAACTATTTCACAGCAGTCTGTCATGCCTGACATGCAAGCTCCAGCTCCTTGTCCGATTGTACCACAAGCAAGACTGGAGCCGAGGGACTTCCTCCAGCCGTCTGTATCTTTCGGCATGAGTGACCAGCGTCGTGATGAGACACAGGCATTGTCAGTTTCGACCATGAACATTAAGCCGAGACCCTCTCCTATCAACCCTATTCCGCACATGTGTTACAAAGGATGCCAAAGATGGAGGATCCCTACTCCTGGATCAGCAGTTCCGGTCCTGAAATTGAACCTGAGCGAAGCACTAGCATACGATCTTCGATCTCCCTCTTTTGTGCTGTATGGCAGCATTCCCCGGTCCCCTCTTCCAGATACTGTGTTTCCGGAGTATTGCCGCTCCACCATGTTTCGCTCTATGGTGGAGCAGTGCTTCAACCAGCAGAGATACACTTTTGAATTGCCGTATTTCCCCGATGTTGTAGAAGGGGATGATAAGGCAGAGACCTGATTCTTCGTTTGTCTGTTTGCCGGATGGGAAGTCTACCAAGACCCCGTTAGCGGATTGTATGCTATTTGCATGAAAGCATCAAGTCACTGAGCGGATCCGGCGTGTTATTTTGATGTGCCTTTCCTGTTGTTATTGTTTTGCATTGCGATTGTCTCACAGCTTTCCTGTTTCTCAGCCTCATGTGACTTCCTTCTTGTCATTGCAGTGTACTCTACTTATTGACTGCACTAATCTTCCGAATGGCTGTTTGTCCTCTTTGCTGTCTTCTTTGTTTTGCCGTTGACGGGAAGGGGTGATGTTGAAATTAGGTTGCGCTAAGCTGTGTCTGTCCGCCATGGCACGTGTGCCGTTACTCCACACGGATATGCTGTGCGACAACACCATTAATCTTCGTAGACTACAAAGCGAATGTATCTGTGAAATTTGCCGTTGAGTACCTGTAGGCAAGAAGTAGATTATTCTTTTTGCTGTGGTTTATCAAATGTGTACCGGCAGATCTCCTGGAAATGCTGGTTACACAGGGCGGCCATTTTGCTTTGTAGAACTACACAATGGACTTGTTTCTTTATCACACATCCTGTAAAGCCCCATTAACTATGATAGGCTGTGTCTATATTTGACCTACAATCTGTGGTAGATACTTGTGAATGAACAAGAAAGCAATTTCCAGGTACTTTCTACCCCGGAAGGCCTTTGTATTGGCCAGTGCCCCCATGCGACAAAGGCATTTTGAGGGCATTTTCCAGCACCGGAGCGAATTGCTTCGGATATAAGATATCGCACATGGTTAACTCCGTATATCCAAGTTGTCTCTGTAATTTCTACTGTTCTCTTCTGTTGTTCACCCTGCTTCTCTAGCTTTCTTCATCTCCAGACACCTTTTCCTATCGTTCAAGCTCACCATCCTACCTCTCTCATCATCTCACGCATCTGTCCAGTACTACCAACATGTCTAGTATGTATATATGCACCCGACGTTCATGTTTACATGTTACAGCAGATCATTGACAGCTCCTTCCAGGCCAAACTTCATGCAATCGTACATCCAAAGTTTGCACCAAAATGAATTGCAACACCAGCTGACATTGTATACAGACACAGAACCGCCGAGCAATGACCATACCTGTCCCCACCCCTACCATTCTGGTTATTCACCAGACAATCTCCCACCCCTCTTGTTCCAAATCGAACCCCGTCGATCACAGAACCTCCCCGTCATTCCTCACCTTGTCGAGAACGGGGTCGTCGTGAAAGACAGCGAGGGCGTCGAAATCCGCATTTTCAGCTTCCTGCCCCGCTACATCACCACCAGGCCGGCGGCGTGGCTCCTCGAGTTCTGGATGCGCTCTGACCCGCGTCTGACATACAGAGACATCAAAGCGCGCATGGTGGGCGGCCGCCGCGACAAGCCCATGGAGAACGCCCTGAACATGCGTCGCGAGCGCGACGTCCGCGCCCCCCTCGCCCTCTCCTGCTGGTCCACCCGCCGCACCGCCAGCGGCCGCGTCTCTCGCATCGACGTCGAGCGCGTCGAGAAGTGGACCCTCGATCAGATCGCCTACAATACCACCATGGACATCGAGTACCGCTTCGATGTCCAGTCGGGCCGTTTCTACCCCCTGCGTCTGCGCTCCAAGCCCCTCACCCCCGGCGTCGCGCCCCGTTTCTACCCCCTCACCTACTTCCTGGACGGCGGTAGACCTCACCAGCCTAGCCGTCGCCTCCAGGCCACCATCCAGACCTACCACCGGCTGGAGAGTAGAGCCCTCGACCTGGGCCTGCGTAGCTGGCGCGATCTGCCTGACCAGGAGCTCCCGGCCTCTTGGGTCACCCACCGCAACAACGCCAGAGCGGCTTCCGCTGCGCGTCACGGAAGGGCTTGAGGTTGAGCGCTTCACTGTAAGATCTGCGTAGGTGAAGTTGTGAATGAAGCAGAGCTTGCGATGGATTGGAAGAGAGAGATTGATCTGAGTGTCTCTCTCTTTCTGCTGTGGTTGGTTTCACTAGGTCTTCAGTTGTGGTTCACCTTTCACTGATTTCTTTTTCACTTTTTGTTATTTTTTCACTCTTCTCTTATTCTCCTTTGTGTTCTGTTCTCCCTTTTCTTTCTTGCTCCGCGGGAGTATGGCTGGATGTTGTCAGAAACCACCAGAATATGGCCACAAAAGTGTCATTTCATGTCCCGGTCCACTTTCGTCAGACCTCAGATAGAAATCAGTACCGCTTTATTAGACCCCACTCCGATGGAGCGTTGTATATGCACAGGTTGGGCTCTATTAACATAATCTAGAAGAGTAAAATGCTGTCTAAACTGGAGAATCCCGTTGCAACGCCGCCTTCGTTGACGTCCCTCGCCTTCGTCCGCATCAACCAACCACCCTGCTCATTGTGCAGGACCTTGCCTCCGGCCTGATCCCACAGGATCGTGCCGTACACTCCCAGCTCCCCAATGACATGTCCACCCAACACTTCACCGTCGCTTCTGAGCGCCACGTTCTTCGCCTCTGCCGGAGGTGTAATCAGTTCCATCAAAATCCACCGCTTCCACTCACTCTCCGGGATCGAACGCAAGAAGCCTGGAATTGCGTCCTTGTAGATATTATTTCCACCTCCCTCGCGCTGAGGTTTGAGGACGTGGTTCAATGCGGTCTCGGGGTTGAGAGCTAGCTCCCGACCACGACCACTGCTGGAGAGGTCGTACTGTGGAGCGAAGGTGGCGCGCACTCTGTTGATAGTGGCCGGATCGGTGCCAGTCAAGAAGTGGGCGAGGTGATCGGGGCCGGTAGATTCGGCCAGAACCTGTTGCACAATTTTACAGCCGGCCAGCTGGTTCAGCACCGTGGGACATTTGATTGCTGCAGAGCGCTCCAGGTGAGTTCGTGCTTCCCAATCGCGCTCGGAGGTGTAATCGGTTGGTGCGTAGAAGCATCGCAGATAGACCGTCGATACTTCGAACTGCGTGTTGGGAGAATGAGGCGGGCTGTACACAAGCGGCCGCGAGGGATTCGACTGTGCAATCGACGTATGGTCGAGGATTTCGGAGCGGAGCAGTCGGAAGACGGGTAGATTATGGACTTTGCTCAACTGTCGGAACAATGCCAGCTGATCGAACGTGTTTCTCTCGTTTTCCTGGACTACGAACAAGATGCACGTCGGTAAAGCTGGGTTGGATTTGGACAGCCCATAGGCTTTGTGGGCAGTGGCCAGTCCCGCAGAGAGAGTCTCCACGGCTGTGTTTTCGGGAGGCACGTTCGAATTAAACAGCGGGTGCGATGGATACGCAATCGGGTGACCCGGGGGAGAATTAAGGAGATCGGCGTGTAGCGAGGCCACCAGAGATGACAATCCGCCGAAGGATGAGGAGATTGTGTTGAATTCCACCTGCTTCAATGCAGGGACGGTCGAACTCGGCGGCGCATGCGTCATGTAATCCGACCGGTAGAGGCCGAGAGACAGTGTCTGCGTATATCCTTCTTTCTTCACATCTTGGTGCACTTTCCATAGATTGGAGATGAAGTCATCCACATCAATGAGGCTGCATAACGGTTGAGTTATATATAAGCCGCCATTGCAAGCGTCAACAATAGGCATGGGTCGATGACTTACTCTTCCATGATCTTGCCTATCCATTTTTCGTCGCATGTTATCGCAGCGTACAATTGGTTGTATACGGTCTGCAACGCTTTCGCTTCCTCGAAGCAACTCCGAGGGAAAGGACTGGGGAATAGAGTCACCGGCGCATTGGTCGCCAGGACTCCATGAGGGTTCGACTCATTTGATATGAAGCTCGGTGCTGGTCGGACCATCAATCCATGCTGAGCTGTCCAGTCCTTGACGGTTGTCACCAAAAAGTCCTTTTGCGCGGGGCTCAGCGGCGGGGGATAGTCGGAATAGATCGAATCTTGCATGGCGAGTATGCTGGAGCTGTCGGTGAATTGAGTCCAACTTACAAGATACAGTGAGATATAAGTCAACTTAAAGTGTATCAAGACCAGCAAGCAGCAGCTGAGACTCCCCGACAGTGATGATGAGGGGAAGAAGCAAAACCCCTCGTGCGCGATGAGGCCGTTGGAATGATTGATAAGCACGCCGCACGTAATCTCCGATCCACCGCCTTATACACCGCCCGTACACCCGGCAGAAATTCTCCACGCTTTCCTGTGGGCGGTGAGGACTTGTTTCTCTCGATCAAACGCGTCACACGTCTCGTAGCGCTGCTTCGTCAAGGCGCTTTGAGATCGCTCTGAGAATTGTGACGATCGCTGGATCGAAGGTGACAGCTTTCTTGACGCTTAACTCACCAGAGGTGTGGCGCTTTCCTCCACACGCATTCGTTTACTTGCCGTTTTCCATGCTTCTCCCTCACATATTGCCGGTATGCGCAATTCGAGGATGACAGGATATTAACCAAACCGGCTTGCATTTCCGGCCCTTCGCAGTCCAGTCTGTGCGAAAATGGCACTAGTAAGTCGCAGGCCGGTCGATAGTCCTGTACCTGCGCAATACTAACCTTGGTGAAGCCGACTCCCTCGGGCGGAATGCGTCTAGATGTTGGAGACCCGCTTGACTGGACAGTCGATCAGGTGGTGCAATTCCTTTGCCATAACCCCGATACCCCATGGTCCCAATCAACGACTGGAGCACCTCGTCCTGATCCTGCCTTGTTGGAACCTGCACTCCGTGAGAACCTAGTGACCGGGGAAGTTCTCTTGCATGATGTGAACAAGGAAACACTACGCGATGAACTGGGGTTGAAGGCTCTTGGTCACCGTAGTTCAATGTTCAGGGCAATAGAATACCTCCAGCAGTTGTCACCCAAATATCAGTCCTCCCGAAGACAACCAAGCATCCATGATGACCATAGCGTTGGCTCGCTCAGCCCGTTTATCTCCAGGCCCCCCGGTGGCTTCTCCCCGGCCCCAAACCATGTAATGCGGGACCGATCTCTAATCCCTGCGAACACACATACAAGTCCCACCATACCTTCATGGCCATCTGGAGGTCTTAACTTAAGCAATGGCAATACGGAAGACTCATCGCACACACCAATACACAGTGAAGACAAGAGCATGCCCTTGGCAGGCACCGCAAACCAAGACAAGAATGCCCCAAATGCCTCAAGTACACCAATTCTGGAACAGTCTCAAGATAACTCCAACTTGGATGCTGCCCGGGCGGGAGAGCAAATTGTTGGTGATGAACAAGGGCGTAAACGGCGAAGGTTGAATTTGGTGTCTTCCGCTCCCGCAGAAGTCTTCCAGACCAAAGAATGGTACATGGGGCCCGACCGAGTAACCATTTCCAAATTGTTCTATTATGCAGATGCGGATGAAATACCCTCCGCTGAATTGGACAAGGACAATGATTCTTTCTTGATTGTCGGTTCACAGTGTCCACCGGCGCAACGTTTCGTCGTCAATAAACGGCTCCGATACTTCTACAACCAGAAGCCCATCAAGCTGAAGGCCGCCAAAGGTTTTAGCCAATGGGCAGTGGTGCCTTACAAGGTCTCTGACGTTCCCGATGACAGTCCCAAACTCTTTACCCTATACACTTTCCGAGGCAAGAGAGTGACTGTCAGCAAGGAGCATATCGATGCGTGGCCAGTCTTGACAAAGCTCTTAAAAATTTCACAGCCAGCCGAGGCTGCAGACCGGTCTGACCCTTTCTCCTATCTCCTACGAAAGTACCCAGCCCAAGACAACGATGAAGACGCGTTCCCCGTGTATGGTGAGTCAGGCTCAGAAGGAGAGTTTGATGAGGATATTTGGGAAGAGATCCAAGAGGAGAAGCGCACCAGGTCACCTAAGAGACCAAAAGAGCTCACACTGTCTGAGATTGATTCGACTATCCAGGAGTGCATTCACAACTATGAAACGGAGTGGAATGAGAAGTGCCGGCCAAAGGAAGAATTCAAAGCCTACAACCTCTGGCAAGCAGCGATGCAAACGAATTCAAGATATCGAAGGATCAAGGAGCTCTCACGAGACAATTCCCTTCTCGAAAAACGACTACAGAAGTTGATCGAGGCAATTCGTGAGGGACACTACACTACGAAGTCGGAACTACAACTGCAGTGCCAGAGCATGGAACAGACAGTCATGAACGTACAAAAACAGAAGTGGCGTCTCTCGGTTTTGAACTTGGAGAATGCTCCTCGCCCTGTTCCCGCTCCGCCCAAATCCGTATCGAAGAAGAAACCCGTGTCCAAGGACAACGACGAGGAGTCACTTTATTCAGACTCAGATGATATGGGCGACTTTATCGAGTTCGATACTATTGCTGCTCCTGCTAACCATCGACGCACTGAGAAAACGCCATCTGTCGGTAGCGATGATAGCGACGATGACATTATCAGTCCGTCTGGCCTTCTACGAAGATCGAGGCAGAGTCGCCGTCCCTTCATGGGATCAAGTTCTTCTTCCCCACCTCCGCGATCGAATCCCATTCCTCCAGTCAAGGACATAGAGACTGTTGACCTTACAGCCGATTCTCCGCCTCCCGATGACTTTGACGTCAGAACTCCACCGTTGAATCCTGTCGGTCCGACTGATAGGGTTGTCTCACAGCCCCTTGAGGATCCTTTCAAGGCCGAAGGAAGCCCTTCCCCTGGCCCTGCTCTGACGTCTAGCTTGATGGCTACTATACCACCAGATGCTACCGAGACGCACCACAAACGGACCCCTTCTGGGAAATTATCACCTCTCCCTGAAATTGGCGATATTGATGGGATATTGTCAGTGCCTTGGGATGTGCTAGAGAAAGGCAAGCATCGCGACATATTGCTAGCGAAATTGATCGCAATTCTTCCCGAAGATGAGCGGATTTCCATGGCGGAAAGAATCCCTACATACAATGTGAGCGATCTCAAGCATTTGATCCGTAAGGCAATCTCCACATTGCTTGAGAGGAAAGACAGGATTGATGGATTGAGCCCGTCCACAAATCAGCTTATCATGCGAACGGCGTCTTTCTACATCTCGTGGGGAAATTGCGTGCGTCTACAGCTAAAGGGGATTTTAAAAGAGCACATCCTGAAGGCGCAGAATGAGATTCACAGATTCCGGGACTTCTTCAAGGAGCTTTGTGCCCGCCTAGCGTCATCTGGCTTGGAAGCGATGCAGCCGGACGCGATGGATACTCCTCACAAAAGGCGGAAGAGACCAATTAAGGAAAGCCAGGAAGCAAAGAGAGAGCAAGAAAGTGCACAGATACGTGCTGCGTTGCAGACAAAACAAAAGGAGCGCTTCGAGAAAAAGATGAAACAACTGGGAGTAAGCAACACTGACCCAACACGTCAAGCAGTCAGCTTCGGGGATCCAGTCATCTACCTCGACCCTCAAATAGGAAAATACGTGAAGCAACACCAGCTTGAGGGTATCCGATTCATGTGGCGAGAATTGATGGATGAGAAGCAGCAGGGCTGTTTGCTAGCTCACACAATGGGCCTAGGGAAAACCATGCAGGTGTATGTTCTTTGAACCACCAACGTTTTTTCATTCTGACTCTGGATAGGATATCACTTTTGGCAACTATATCTGCTGCCGCATCATCGACCGATCCGAACATTCGAAAGCAGATTCCTAAAGCATTCCATCGATCCCAGTCACTGATTCTCTGCCCGTCATCTTTAATCGATAATTGGTACGAAGAGTTCTTGATGTGGACCCCCGAAAGTGCGAGTATTGGCACCATTCGACGGATCACTACGGCACTTTCTGTTGCCGAAAGAATACAGGAAGTGTCAGACTGGCATACAAAGGGCGGCGTTCTCATACTGAGCTATAACATTTTTCGCTCCTGGGTCTTAAACAACGAGACAGCCAAAGGACGGAAGCCCCTTGATGATGCACGCCATAAACAAGTTACGGAATGGCTTTTACAAGGCCCAAATATCATCGTTGCCGATGAGGCTCACAAGCTCAAGAATCCAAAGTCAAATGTTGCTATCGCGGCAATGAAGTTTCGGTCTCGAAGTCGTATTGCCCTCACGGGATCCCCTCTGACCAACAACCTTACTGACTATTATACAATGGTCGATTGGATTTCGGAGGGCTATCTTCCCCCATTCACCGAGTTCAATGCAAATTACATTGAGCCTATCCAGGAAGGACTGTATTTGGAAAGCACGTATAGAGAGAAACGAACATCTTTGGTCAAGCTCCAGGTTCTCAATAAACTGCTTTCACCGAAGATTAACCGTGCCGACATTACTGTGCTTGCTGGAGAACTGCCTCCCAAGGTCGAGTTTGTCCTTACAGTACCCTTGACCAGTCTGCAACAGTCTGCATACGATTCATACGCCGAAGCTACTTTGCGAGGTGTCGGTGGGGATTCCGTTGTGGCTACGACACTCTGGTCGTGGCTCGCAGTCTTGCAACTTTGTTGTAACCATCCGTCATGCTTCCTAGAAAAGCTCGAAGGCCGTGCGAGTAAAACCAAGCCTGGCGCGGAGGCAGCCCCCGGTGATGAGCTCATTAATCGGGCGGGTATTGCGAATGCAGATCAGCTGGTTGCGGATCAAAAACGACTCTTTGATGCTGAGCCTGACGTGAAAGCACCGAAACTGTCCTATCGTGCTCTCTTGTTGGACAAAATAATCGACAAATCTGTCCGGGCTGGGGATAAGGTGTTGGTTTTCTCCCATACTCTACCCACACTGGACTACATCGAGCATGTGTTGCAGCAATCTAATCGTAAATATTGCCGTCTTGATGGGAAGACACCTGTCGTTAGTCGACAAGCAGCGACCAAGAAGTTCAACACCGACGCCAATCTTGAAGTCTATCTTATTTCGACACGCGCTGGGGGGTTAGGCTTGAATATCCCAGGAGCTAACCGAGTCATTATATATGACTTCTCGTTCAGCCCCTTCTGGGAAGAGCAGGCCATCGGTCGTGCCTATCGTCTGGGACAAGTGAAGCCGGTATATGTGTACCGTTTCATTTCCGGGGGCACATTCGAGGAGGTCATGTACAACAAGGCTCTTTTCAAGACGCAGCTTGCCCACCGGGTAGTGGACAAGAAGAATCCGATCCGCTTAGCATTGAAGTCTCTTCGAGAGTGGCTCTTCCCATCAAAGCCTGTTCCCGTCACTGATGTGACCGAATTCCTTGGGAAGGATCCTTCTGTTTTGGATGAGATCATCGAAAGCGATGATGGTGACAAAAAGGCGATTCGAAAGATAACCCTGACGGCGACGGGCGAGGGAGATGATAACGACAAATTGACCGAGGAAGAAAGGCGAGGAGTCCAACAACAGCTAGACGATGAGCGACTCAGACGCACGGATCCTGAAGCCTATACCAAATTAATGATGGACAGGCAACGAGAAGCACTATACAACCTTCAGGCTCAGCAGCAAAGCATGGCTATGTCCCAATGGTCGTCCTCTCACTTGCCTTCCCAAGGGGTCTTCACAGGTCCCACCAACATTGTGCATTGGCAGCAACATCAGGCGATTCAACGAACAGTTCCAGCTAGTGCCCATAATACTGGCCCTCCGGCACTTGCCCCAGATATGAGCGTCTTTCAGCAGGCTCGTGGGTTAGTGACTCCGGCGCAGCTAAATGTTCCAATAGGCGCAAATCCTCCGCCACAGGACCAGGATGCATCCGCCGAGCAGTCCACTGGAATTGTCTCCAAAGAAGCACGGAATCCCATGGCAGGAGCAAACGGATTCGATGGTCCAGCAGATACCGAAGACGCTTCAAGCGATTCAGAGTCAGTGGATAGGTCGTCGGATAATGACTGCAACCCGCAATAGATGCATTTTTCAGGCTTCTATTTCTCAATATTTCTTATTTCCTTTTCCCCTTTTTCTTATTTTTTTTTTAACTGCCTTTTTTCATGTTTTCCCTATTAGCCTTGCATTGCCTCAACCTTTTACAGTGCCTCATGAGCCATGATATCCCTCCCACGTGTATTACAATTCTCTTCATTTTGTCATTCTATTCTTTTTTTGTTCTTGTACTTATTATCTGGTTTAATACTTCTCATGAACAAATCGCCAGCCTGTGGGCACTACGTGCTTTATAAAAGGAATACTAGACGAGCTTGATACAGCAATGCCATTATCACGGTATCACTACGTGCAAGGTTTATTTCATAGTTGTCAAATGCAAATGACGGTCAGAAACGGTATGTTCAAAGACAGCTGAGGATATCCTGGATTCGCTTTGAGGTGCAGCTGGCCTGAACGTTATATGTCCGTAAGTACCACGAAAAGAACCAGCCGCGAGGAGACAAAGCATGTGCACCTTAGGTGGGAGGATCATTGAAAAAGGTTCCCGGGGTCGATGCGGTTGAGATCTTTCGGTTGGGTAGGAGCTTGTCCCATCCAAAGGGGCCAGACTCTTTGCGTTCCTCAAACACCCAACGCTCGAGAGCATCGTGATATATATCGGTCGTCGACGGTGAAGGCACGCCGTCCTCTGCCCAGATTGTAGATGTAAGCGGTGCTTTCTCGGAGTTTACGAAGCTTGTGGGATGAGAGCGGGATAACTGCTCCACGGGATTATCAGAGCGGAAATGACACCGCCAATGGTGCTGCATATGCTGTTTTCTATATTTTATATAACATCGACCGCGTTTTGAAGGGACCAGCATACTCGATCTACCTCAAGTGCCTTTACGCGAAGGCTTCATAGCTATGCTTTAGTCTCTAAGCTCGATACCTTCCAGATGATCGTTGGAAATATATTCCAATACCAATCGTTTGAAGTCAAGAATACCAGAGCCCCACGGTGCCCGGCGCATCCTCGCGACCTGCCGCCTGGTTGTTTGCTCACCAAAGACGGCTTCGCCTTCACCTGTGAACCAGCCTGGGGTGCATGTCGCAAGGACACTATACCACAGAGCGCGCTTTTGCACTTCATCTGTATATTTGTTTTCAGCCAGCTTTGTTGGCTCGATTGCGATCCTGCTGGTGTTTTCAGCTTGTTTGTGAGCACTCGCGATTGTGCTAGCTGTAAATCGTGCCGTTATGTCGAACGCTGATGTCAGGTTGTACGAAACGCCGCCGCGAATAGGACTGCTGAAGAATGCGTTGGGGAACCCGTGGGAAAATGCGCCAAAGATTGTGCCATACTCGTCGGAAGCCCACTTCTGCGTAGCCTCAAGTCCGTTTCTTCCGATGATAGGAGCATTCAATGGGCCTGATGGCGATTGGTCTTTTCCGCGAGTGTAAAACCCTGTGGCCAGAACCAGGACGTCCAAGTCATACACCGTACCGTTGGCGACTACTCCGGACTCTGTGAATCTGTCGACCCCCTTTCCGTTGGTGTCCACGAGCGTGACATTTGGCCGGTTGAAAGCTGGTAGGTAGTCGTCATGGAAGGCTGGTCTCTTACACCAGCCCGCATACCACGGCTGAAGTTTCTGTGCAGTGGCCTCATCCTTGACCTCATTAGCGATGCGAGCACGTAGTCGCTCCGCTCGTGGTGCGTCCATCTGGTACATCGAGGTGATGTGCTCGTCTATCGTATCCGGAGTGACCAACCTCGACGGACAACCGACAAAGCCGGACACCGAGTGAGAGTCCGAAGCGGTCCAGCCATCATCAATCATGTTCTCGGGAACCGGATCATTCGTGATAAAGTGATTAAAGTTGTCTTGTCTTTCGTACTGCCAACCCTTCTTGTGGGCGACTTTTTTCCAGTCCCCAGGAGTCGTCTCCCTCTGGCCACGGGGGCCCACGTAAGATGGTGTGCGCTGGAAGACGTACAGCTGATCCGCCCACTTGGCGAGCTCTGGAACAATCTGGATGGCAGTTGCCCCGGTTCCTATTATGCCGACCTTCTTCCCTTTCAAGTTCACCAAGTCCGGCTGGGCCTCGCTCCCGCCGGTGTATTCCCAGTCCCATCGAGCAGAGTGGAAGACCTTTCGGTTCGCCATGAGCTCCAGCAACCCAGGAAGTCGAGGGACGTGAGGCACGCAGAGAGAGCCAGCGGCTGAGATCAAAAATTGGGTCTCAATGGTCAGATGGACCGGGTCTCGAAGGGGGCCAAGGTCTTGCTTCATTGTGACGATCCAACGGCGCTTCCCGTCGTCCCACTCTTGATGCATGACCTGAGTACAGAATTGACCCTGAAGTTTGTAGTGGGCGGCAATTCTTTCGCATTGACCACGGATTTCAGGTCCGTAGGAGTACTTGTGCTTGGGCACGTAGCCGGTCTCCTCCAGCAAAGGCAGATAGACGTATCCCTCCACATCACACATAAGCCCTGGATACCGATTCCAGTACCAAGTGCCGCCATACCCGCCGGCTGAGTCCACAAGAACCATATCTTCTGGTTTGAAGCCAGCATCGAGTAGACGGACGGCGTGTAGGAGACCCGAATGGCCACCACCGATAATCGTAAACTTCACTGCCGCGCCGTCCTTCAATGGGGATCCGTTGGCGACGACATGATCGTAGTTAACCCAAGGGTCGCGTCCCAACTTGTCACCGATAACAGGATCGCGGAAGTCAATGTACTGGTTCATGCCTTCCGGCCGAAGACGCTTTTGACGCTCCTCCTCATACTTCTCTCTCAGGTTGGGGGCAGACATGGTTATCAAGGAATTGCAGGGACGATCTGTGAAAAGAGGATAATCTGTTTATCGCGACAGAACGTGGTTGATGCATTTGAAGAATGCAATAGTAGTTGTGCCTTTATACTCTGTATAGGGAGGGAGTATCATGTAAGCGGGTTTCGGTGGTTAGTTATGGCATAAGTAGTATAACACCATGGATAACTAGTAGGACTATGGAGTATTCTGATAGTCCCGCGTTTGAAACTGGGTCTTGCTACGAGCACTAGCCATAGTGGATGCATGCTGCCCACTCAACGGTGGCCGATCGACCAACTGTGACTACTCCGATACTAGCCCACTAAGTGCTTTAAGATTATCTTAATGCCTAAACTGTACTCCGTACGGCATATAATGCAAGGAACAGAATTTCGGGCCGGCGCCGAGCCAAGCCACTCGGGAATTTTTAATGTGAACGTCGGACGATCAATCATCAGTCGGAGTCCGAGCCTCCGACTCTCCGAGGCGTCCGCTTAACGGACTACAGTCTCTACAAGTATATAATCAATTTAAAGATTATAAGCGTATACAGAGATAAGTTAGATAGGAAAACTTCTTATAGACTGCTTTATATCTCTTTAGAAGCAGAATTGTCAATTGTGGGCATATTTAGATATTTGATATAAACTAGCTAGTATGCCTAGACGCATAGACCCAGAGAGGCACTTATTAAAACAAAAGAATAATATTAAAGATAAGGCAGTAGATCCCCCTTTTTTTTTTTTTTTTTTTTTTTGGTCCTGAGTCTGTTTTGACTGTTGGGATTGCCCCGCTGCCCCTCCTGCACAGACTTTGAAGTTTGTGCTAAGAACTACATACATTAAGACTACATAAACGATCACTGATTGCCATAACAGAGGTACTAAGACAAAAGAGATCGGAACTTCGGTGCAAGCACATGCCGCTTACCTGATGGCTCCAAATAACTAACTACATAGTTAACTACTACGTACGGTCAACTACCTAGCAACTCCCATTTGTACTACTAGTCTACTACTATTTAACTGCAGAACGTGTCTGGTATTCATTGACATATCATTAGTCCTGTCAATACAACAGCTCGCACCTTGATTACCCAAGCCATTATGTCTCGCAAGTCATTCGCCCGAGTCCCTGATGGTGTCGAACAGACCCCAACTCCTTTCGTCCTGCGCGTCAACGATGATAGCCTCAGAGAATTCCATCAACTGCTGGCACTTTCAAAGATCGGACCCCCAACCTGGGAAGCTTCTCAGACGGATAGACGGTTTGGTATTACCAGGGAATGGCTAGTGAACGCAAAAAGTGTCTGGCTGAACCAATTCAACTGGGCGCCAATTTGAAGACCGTATTAACTCGCTTCCGAATTTTACGGCGAGTATACCTGCGGATGATAGTAGCAGCACGTTCACCCTACACTTCGCCGCTCTATTCTCGAAAAGACAGGATGCTAAGCCTGTCGTCTTCCTTCACGGATGGCCAGGTAAGCTATGCTCTTCACCTGGTTCATTTTCACGTCTTTCCTCACCCTATATTCTAAGCCTTGGGTTCCAATGCAATGGCCGGAGCCGCCTGACAGTGTAAGCAGGATCGTTTGTCGAGTTCTTGCCCATGCTCGAAATTCTGAGCAGTCGACATACTCCCGAAACCTTGCCATATCATGTCATAGTCCCCTCTCTTCCAGGTTACACGCTCTCCACAGGACCCCCGCTGGACCGGGATTTCACAATGGCAGACGCTGGCCACCTTATCCACAAGCTGATGATGACGCTGGGTTTCAGTGGCGGTTATATCGCCCAAGGGGGAGACATCGGGTCGGCCCTGGCTTTATTCCTGTCAGCTACTTACGAACAGTGTGTCGCAGTTCACGGTATCTCCTTTCCGTCCCAGTCATCTTCAAGTCGAGTACTCACGCGACCACAGTGAACTTCTGGATGGCGCCCAAAAGTTCTGAAGCGAGTAGCATAGCAGCAGAGAGGAGAATATCCGATAGCACAACAGCCCGCCGCGCCGAATTGTTCAGGGCAACCGGCATGGCATACGCTATGGAGCAGGCCACACGGCCGTCCACCATTGGCCTAGCTCTCTCAGCCAGCCCACTGGCGCTGTTGTCATGGTGGGTTCGCTCTTCGCTCGCCCCCAACAGCGTCCTTGCAAGCATGCATTTGCTTACCCTGTCAGGATTGGTGAAAAATTCCTTGATTGGTCGGACCCCAGGGAACCAGTAAGTCTTGAGATGATACTTGGCATGGTATCTCTGTACTGGTTTACCTCGTCTTTCCCTCGATCCGTTTGGCCGTATCGTCATCTCGTTAATCGATCTGCCCCTGCCTCTGTGCCAAAAACGAAGCCCTTTGGATATTCATGCTTCCCTTACGAGCTTTCAACCATGAACGAGTCCGTGGCAAGGGCATTGACGGAGAACTTGGTTTTCTTTGCTGAATATGACAAGGTATTACCTTCCTGTTGGTTAAATTTACAGTCTGACGTGATTACTAGGGCGGCCATTTCGCGGCCCTTGAGCAACCTGAGTTGCTACTGGCAGGTGTAGAGGAGTTCATCGCAAGACTTTAATATTGTTTAGCTATGTGGCATAACGCAATACAAAATGTGCCAGAATTGTATCTAAATATGTGTAAGGAATGCATGAATCGAATTATTTCGTCTTTTCCGACTACTTTAAACCCGGCCCGAACCGACCTCCGGTTCGGGTCGGATAATTCGGGTGACCCGACCCAGTCTACTCCTAATTCAGCTCGACGCGAGTAATGAGATTACATACATCATACAACATAACCTTTTCCGTTGCATCTGGCCCACTCTTGACCTTTACAGATTTCCATTGAGAGCTAAACTAAGCGTTCTACCAGCCACTTGCTTCTGCAAGCCCCATCGTGATGGGTGTGTCCGCTGAGAAACGCCCCATAGAACGCGTCGACCTCACCCAGAGTGATGGCGAGCAGAGTGAACGCCCCAGTCTCCCCAAAACCCCACGCATCGGGTCCTCTGGACAGCGATTTGGCGAGGCGACGACCTTTCTCCCTTTGAGTCAGTCGTCGCAGGCTTACTCTGCCATTGACGATGACGAAGATGCCCAGGCTGTCGACGTCGTTCAGGGCACTCAGGGGGAGGACGATTCCTCGCCCGTCAGCACCATACTCTATGGTAACCTCCACACGAAGATCGTGGGCGTCCGCTACTACCGTGGACATGCCACCATCGGCGAGTATGTGATTCTCCGGCGAGAGCCTACAAACCAGTATGACTCCAATGCCATCCGTGTGGACAACGTCATGGGGGCTCAGATCGGTCACATCCCTCGCAATATGGCCGCGAAGCTAGCCAAATACATGGTAAGCTCTTTTGTGGGAGGCACAAAGGCCAGATTGGAATCGCTTCTAACTATCTTCAGGACGCCAAGGATCTGGTGGTTGAGGGCGTGTTGACTGGAGTCAAAGGCGCCTGGGACTGCCCGGTGCACTTGAGACTCTTTGGTCCAGCAGACCCCGCGAAGAGAGAGGACATTAAACGCCGGCTGCAGCAAGACCGGCTTCCCCTGGATGAATACAGGAAACTCGAGCGCGAGGAGCGTGAGAGGAGAAAGCAGCTTGAGAAAGCTCGCAAGGAGGCCGCCAAATTGTCTCGTTCTCTTACTTCTGGGAAAGGTCACGAACAGAACGAGAGTGTCCTGGGCTATGCCAATCTCTCCACCCCTGACGGCCTCGGATTCGCAGAAGAGAACCTGGAAGACCTTATCGGACAGAGCACTGCGTTCAACCCTCGCGATGTCGCCAAGGTCACGGAGAACTTTGGCACCAGTGAGTCCGACCTGGCCAACATGCCCATGGCTGAGACTCCGTCGGCTCTCGCGACGGAGCTTTTGCCCTACCAGCGTCAGGGGCTGGCTTGGATGATCGGCCAGGAGAACCCACAGTTGCCGTCAGCGGGATCGACGGACATTGTGCAGCTCTGGAAGAGGGATGGCTCTCGGTTTACCAACATCGCAACGAACTTCTCCACATCCATCGCTCCTCCACTTGCGAGTGGCGGTATTCTGGCCGATGACATGGGCCTGGGAAAGACGATCCAGATTATCTCCCTGATCCTGGCTAACCCCCAGCCTCTCACTCCGGGCATCTCCAAGTCGACTCTGATCGTCTCCCCCGTTGGCGTAATGAGTAACTGGCGAAACCAAATCCAGGACCACACCCATCCTGGGCGATCTCCACGAGTCCTAGTCTACCATGGACAAGGCAAGAAGGAAGCGGCTAATCTCGATCATTACGACGTGGTCATTACGAGCTATGGTGCCCTTGCAATGGAGTACAACCCCAAGGCCAAAGTTCCACCTAAAACCGGAATCTTCTCTCTCCACTGGCGCCGCGTCGTCCTGGATGAAGGACACACGATCCGCAACCCACGATCTAAAGGCGCATTGGCGGCCTCCAACTTGAGGGCTGATTCGCGGTGGTCCTTGACGGGTACGCCCATCGTGAACTCCCTGAAAGACTTGTACTCGCAGGTCCGCTATCTCAAACTCTCGGGTGGTCTGGAGGACATGGCTGTCTTCAACGGTGCTTTGATCCGTCCTCTGACCTCCGGAGACCCCGATGCACGTCTCCTGCTCCAGGCCTTGATGAGCACCATCTGCTTGCGTCGTAGAAAAGACATGGAATTCGTCAACCTCCGTCTTCCGCCCCTCACGTCCCGCGTCCTCCGCGTCAAGTTCCACCCCCACGAGCAGGACAAGTACGAGCTATTCCAGTACGTATATCCTCAGACCAACCCCGTCACCCTCCACTTACACACTCCACAGGTCGGAAGCCCGCGGCATGCTCCCAGGAATACAAGTCGCAAGACAAAGCCAACACAACCTACTCGAACCTCCTCGAAAGTCATCCTCCGTCTCCGCCAGGTCTGCAACCACTGGGCCCTGTGCAAGAACCGCATCGACAACCTGACCGCCCTCCTCGAGAAGAACAAAGTGGTCCCGCTCACCCCGGAGAACGTCAAAGCCCTCCAGGACATGCTGCAGGTCAGCATCGAGAACCAAGAAATGTGCGCCATCTGCCTCGACACCCTGGAGCAGCCCGTCATCACCGCCTGCGCGCACGCCTTCGACCGCAACTGCATCGAGCAGGTCATCGAGCGCCAGCACCGATGCCCGCTGTGTCGCGCCGACATCGCCGACCCCTCGACGCTGGTCGCGCCCGCCGTCGAGCTCGGCGAGTCCGCCGACGACGACGCCGTCGTTGCCGCCGCTGACCCAGACCACCCCAGCAGCAAGATCGAGGCCCTCGTCAAGATCCTCACCGCCCAGGGCCAGGCGCCCGGCACCAAGACCGTCGTCTTCAGCCAGTGGACCTCGTTCCTCAACCTGCTCGAGCCGCATCTCCACCGCGTCGGCATCGGCTTCGCCCGCATCGACGGCAAAATGAACTCCGTCGCCCGCGACAACTCCACCTACCGCTTCTCGCGCGACCCCCAGTGCACCGTGCTCCTCGCCAGTCTCAGCGTGTGCTCCGTCGGGCTGAACCTCGTCGCCGCCAACCAGGCCATCCTTGCCGATAGCTGGTGGGCGCCTGCGATCGAGGACCAGGCTGTCGACCGGGTGTACCGCCTGGGCCAGAAGCGGGAGACTACCGTCTGGCGGCTGGTCATGGAAGACTCGATCGAAGACCGTGTGCTGGCGATCCAGGATGTTAAGCGCCAACTCATGTCGGCTGCCTTCCGCGAGACGTCGAAGAAGAAGGCTGAAGATAGAGCGACTCGCGTGGCTGATCTTGAAAAATTGTTGGGCTGACACAGTTTCTGCGTGGTCCATTGTTTCTCTCCTTTTTTTTCTACGCTTTCGATTTCCATTTCGGCTCGGAAATTGTTCCTTTGTAGATATTAGAGGTTTTTCGGGTTCTTTCTAACACCCTGCTGGCAGGATCTGTGGAAGCCTTTCTGTATTAATAGTACGGGTTCAAAGACTGGCGTCACTCTGAGCTATGGGATCAGGATACGTTCTGTTCTGACCCCTTGAATCTATCATTTTATTTTGCCCCTGTAGAATATTAGCGTCTATCCATTCTATATCTTAAGTTCTGTCGCTAAGTCCTACGGTACATAGTATATGTCGCATGTATGTAAATGAGTAGATACTGTTATGCAGCAGTTTTACCCCAGTTATCCTCTCGATATACATCCCCATCATTACTGTCTCATTCAGCCGACTTCACACAGCATGCCCTGCCAGACGGGTAAGATAGCCTACTATTTAAATGACTCCTGTGTATTCACACGGTCGATGTCGTAGGGGTTGGCGTCGTATACAGTTTGCGACGTCACACCATCCGACAGACGTGACGTTTGAGACGCCAAAGACCGCGTCCTGTGGAATTGAGATGCAGAAGGGAGATCTTCAACCGGGGAACTCTCGCTTGTCGTCGACGTGGAGGTGGTGCCTTTCTCGTGGCTTCCATCCGTATGTGGCCCCTTTTCGGTCTCCTCCGTCTCTTGGGGCACTTTGGTGACGGCCTGTTCCATTAATCTGCGCATAAAGTCATCCGACTCGGCCGCGTATTTGCATTTCCGTCGAATGGCTGGGCCATACTTGTAAAACAAGAACGGGAACGGAAGACATGCGACAGCTAGGAATGCTGGGATACTAGACGCCCAATGTACCCCTAGGTCCTCGTACATGTAGGTGGTGAAAAGAGGGAACACGGCCCCAAAGAGCGATCTAAGAACCGAGCTGGCGGCGAGAACCGAGGCGGCAAAAATAGTGTAGGCATCGATGAGATAGTTCATCAGACCTAGAAACACGAGGACCATGCCGAATCCAAACGGCACCCCCGCCGCGATACTAGCCATATAGTGTATCGAGGGATAGTTGGTCCAGGCGAACCAGAAGAGACCCACAGGGATAGCGATCGCGGCGAGCATGCAAGGTGGGAGACGAGCCTCCGGCGGTGCAAATCCGTCATGCTTGTCCTGTTCTCTAATGTAGCGTTTGTTGTCCCAGAGTGTGTACGCGACGGCGGCCATCATGCCCACCGCGATCCCTAAAAATGCAAGGCCGGAGATACCTTGGTTCCAACCGCGCTGTCCCTGGTATACAATCGGGAAGGCAGCGAACATCATGTATAGAGTGCCGTAAATGATAGCCATGTAGATCGAGAGCAAGAGAACAATCGGCTCACGGAACAAGAGGATCCATGGACGAGACAACGCAGTCATGAAGATCTCCTTTGGCGGCCGCCGCCCCTGGTCCGCGTCCACCTTGCTCTTGTAAACCTTTCCACTTATCTTGGAGAGTTTGGCTGCACGACGTCGCAGCAGAACAGGGGAATATGTTTCGGGCACGATGAGACCGGCAACGATCCAAAGGGACCCTGCAAAAGCAGCCAACAGGCCCATCACCCACCGCCATCCTGCATTCATTCCTAGGAAACCCCCAGCTACACCACGTTTATTAGTCTGCACAGCCCTCAGATATCCACTGGGTAGCGGATATGACTTACCAACAGGTCCTATCACGGGTCCGAGGAATGGCGCTGCAGCGAAAATACTCATCGCAACACCCCTGTGCTTTGCCTGCCAACCGATGCTATCAGCACCTTCGGTATAACGTCCGAGGGAACATGGTAGCCGAGTTACACACCTGGAACAAATCTGCGATTACTCCACCGGCGTTGGTCAATGGAGAAGACCCAAAGGCTCCCGCGAAGAATCGGAAAATGATCAACCCTTGGATGTTCGGGGCACCCGCGGCGGCGGCGTTAAACACGGTCAGGCCACAGTAACTGAAGAGGAAGAGGTATTGTCGCCCCCAGAGCTCGCTCATGGGGGCCCACAGCAAAGGTCCTATGGCAAAGCCCACCACAAAAAGCGAGACGCCCAGTGTTGCAACCTCGGTGCCCACGCTGAAATCTTCCAGGATTTGTTCCATGCCGCCGGTGTAGGCTGAGGAAACTAGGGACACTGCCAAGGTGGCCCACGCCATGGTCATTGTGTAGAACCATTTTGTGGCCGGTTTGAAGGTCATAGGATTCCGTGGATCATTAGGAATCCAGGTAACGAGGAAAGGATCATCTTCGGTTCCTGAGCCCGCATATGGATAGTCGATAATGTCTTGCGTGACGACGCCTTGGTCGACAATCAGGCGCCAGTGGGGAATGCCGGTGGGCTTGACGGACTCAGCCGCCGCGCGGGGGGAGTTCGCAGCCGCCATGCGGAACGGAAGTCGATTGACGGGGACGGAGGTGGTCTCAACGTCGGCGGAGGAAAGATGCCGGGAAATAGGCTATGGGTGTAATGCAGGACATGAAGAAACAAGCGGTTGCCGAGACTGACGGATCAAAACATGGAAGAGTCAATGAGGCGGATACGTTGCTCTGTTGCGAAATCCCGGGGAAGGGGTGCAAAAGAGAAGAGATGGGTAGATGAGGAAGGTAAGGGGGAAAAGGGAGGGGGGCGCGCGGAATGAACAGAACACAGACGGATGAGCGAGAGGATAGTAGCCTATTTATTATTTATAGATTGAGGCGTTAGGAGAATAATAAGAATAAAATGAGAGTCATAAAAAGTGTATAGATCCCCGGGGGGTCGGGTCAGGAGCAGCTGCGGTAGCGGGCCACCAGGACCGTGTGATACTAGCTTGATCGGTGACGCAGGCCTCATCTCGCAGATAGTCGGAAATATCGGCACAGGACCAAGGGTCTAGCGAGGACCGTGTCGCCCTCCAATGGGTGATGACCACAAGAGGGGGGAGTCAGGGAACAACGAGATGTTATGCAGCCCGTCTCCTCATAGGATTATGGGCATAAGGGCACATATCTCCGTCAGTGCGACACTAGCCAGACATCCAGACTCGGATTCGTCCAAGCGCAAGCAATCAGGCTGGAAAGCCACCCAACAATATCGGGCACTATCTTCGTTAGCGTGAGCGGCTAAGAGATGTCGGAGGTAGGAGGCACCGGAATCACCGATGGGTTCGTTGAAACCCACGCCGAACTCCGTCTGAACGGAGTAAGAGCAGGGTTAATATGATTCATGCAGTCTCAGCATCCTCCACGTGAATGATTGATTGAAGGTGCATAATGTTTCGCCAGACACGGTTGAACGCGGGCGTCGCCTTGATCTCTACCCCAGGAACCACGGGTGATGGTGGAGCTAGTTGGGGTAATCTCCTGTGGGGGAGTCAATCTGGCGAGGATCTCGAGATTCAAGAGGTGGAGGGAATGCGAATGGACGGAGGAGAAGTGATGATGCCGATGGATGACAGATGAGAAGGTGAAAGATGGTATCAGGTCCAGTACAGTACATACGAAGGATGAAGAAGCAGTCGTCCTCTTTCCTCTTTTGGCTTTCGGCAGGAAGGGCCGATGCACGTGCGCCACCGTCGTATGTATGTACCTGGTCTACTACCTATGTAGAGGTCTCTAGATACTCTCCTGACCGACTTTTCCCACCAGTCTCCTAGTCATGATCGTTCCAGCCCTGCGGGTGGAGCAGTATGAAGTGAAGGTTCATCTTCGCTTGCGCCGAGGCCAATGCACCCCATATCCACAGTACTCCATCTATAGATGTCACGAATGTTAACAATTGTACAGGGACAGGGAGAAACGGTCTATGCGCATCTGACCTTGTTCCACCTGGACATAAGTCCAAGTCTACAGCCCATGACATCATCATGGACAGCTATTCCCATTCAACAATGCAGGCTTGAAGCCGTAAGCGAGTCGAAGAGGATCCTATCGAGCTCGCTGCTCAAGTTACACATAAGGTTGCCGATTATGCTTAACCGATGAGACCCATCAGAATACACCATGATGGGCGATGAAGCCTGGCCGAAATGGGAGATCCCTCCCATGCCAGCTCAGCTGTGGGTCATCAAGTGAAAAAGCAAAGAGATCGCACAAAGAAAATATGTTCTTGTGACCGGCATTCTTCGGCGTTGTCTTCATCCTCCTCTTGACCCGCTCCCCCTCGACCTGGTTCAAGTCTCGCGCTTACTTCCATTCACGACAAGTAACTACCTACTGTAGTAACACCTAACGAACGCCTCGAACGCACATACTGCATGTGTCGCCCACCCGACTACTGACCGGTCTCCATGGCAGATCCGCTGCCCCCTTCCTACTTGCACGTCATCAACAACAACCGCATTCAATTTGAGATCTCTATTGAACAGGGCAAATACAAATCCGTCTTGCTCTGGCATTTCCTTGCTCTCACAGCTCTTCCATTGTCTGCCTTGATCATCCCCCGTCGCTACGGTGGTCACTATGTGCGCCAGCTCGTCTTCGGCCTCGTCGTCAGCCTGGCCATTGACGCCATCCGCTCCCGACGGGCCTTGCTCGGGGCAAATGGCTACATGGTGGGACTGATCGCCGCCTGGTGGTGCATCTGGACGGCAACCCTGTTGGTCTTTCACGATCCAGAATTGGAATTTCAACGAATCGAACGCGTCAAATCCAGTCTAGTTGCCACAACTAACGGGCGAACGTCCAAGTATCCCAAAGAACATCTCGCTTGGCAACCATATCCCAAGCCGATGGTGCATCGTCTGAACTGGGTTTTGGGTTTGTTACTCAACATGCGAGGCCCCGAATGGAACTGGCGGATCTCGTCCTTGGACCCATTGCCCTCAGTACTTGTCCCACTCTCCGCTGTAAACAAAGCACGAACCGTGACACCGGAGCCACCCGATGCACGAACCCGGCTACGAGCCGTAGCGGGCACCTTTGTTACGACCTACCTTGCCCTGGACCTAATCAAGGTCCTCATGATGCACGACCCGTACTTCTTGGGCGTAGTAGGAGCTTCGTCTCTCCCACCTCCCTTCCCGCTCAGCTACCTAACCCCCCTGTCCCCAATCCCTAACTTTCTGGTCTATGTCTACCGCTTCCTCCTCACAGGTACCGGCATCTACACAGCCGTCACCTTTGTCTCAACCTTAAATCCACTCATTTTCCTCGGCCTATCCGTCGCCTTCCCCTCCGCCTCCCGCACGGTGACATCTACTCCCCTCGATGCCCCCTGGCTTTACGCCGATCTTTTTGGCCCCCTTCTCCCATCCGCCCTGGATCACGGTCTCGCCGGCTGCTGGAGTATATGGTGGCACCAACTCTTCCGCTTCGGGTTCACCTCAACCGCACACGGGCTGCTCTCACTGCTGCCACCGCGATATGCCACCCACCGCGACATCCGACGCAGCGTTGTGGCCATCGTCGCCTTTGGTATCAGCGGCGCCATGCACGCTTGCGGCAGTTACACCCAGTTCTCGCCGACGCATCCAATCTCAGGCCCATTCCTATTCTTTATCTTGCAGCCCATCGGCATCGCCATTCAGAAGGTCGTCGCGAACCGTCTCCTCCCAGCTGTCCTGGCTCGCAATTCGAAAAGTCTACCGCGCTGGCTCCGCCGAGCCGCGAACTTCTTATTCGCGGCGGCTTGGCTGCTCTTCTCGGCGCGGTATATCATGGATGACTTCTCGCGCGGCGGGTTCTGGCTTGCCGAGCCCGTGCCTGTCAGTCTGCTTCGCGGATTGGGATTGGGGCTGGGGATTGAGGGTGAGAGCTGGTGGTGTTGGGGGGAGGCGTGGTTTAGTTCGTGGGATGGAGGTAGCTTCTGGTCTAGGGGGGTAAGGGTGATGTGATCGGTGGTAGTGTTCTCTTTTTAGATATACAAGGCGTGTCTGCGTTGCATATACCTGGGTGGGATCAATAGAATACATACATGACATGTGATAGAAATGATACATGAGATGAGGTTCATTGGTGGTATATACTCTATGGTTAGTCCGCCATGGCGACGTCTTCGTCATCTTCGTCGTCCGTGTCCGGATCAATATTCAGCGCTGGGAGTTCATCGTCACTCTCATCCTCCGCCGCTTCCGCTGCCACCACTGTAGCAGCCCCGGACGACAGGCCGCTGTTTAATGTGGTGGGCGGCGCCGTGGCTTGGACCTGCGGGGCAGTGGTAGAAGTAGTCGAGGAGGTAGGGACAGAGATAGCAGCAGTGCCAGAGAACGTTGCAGGAGAGGCCTGGCGCAGGGACGGCTGAGTAGCAGTCGTCACATCAGTCTCGACCCGCGGTTTCTTCGTCTGCACGTTCTCTTCGCGCTTGGCAGGCGTAGAGGATACGGCCGCGTGAGCAGGCTCGTCTGCGTGCGTCCGCTTATTCGCAGACTGCGGTCGGTTCGGAATGGGTTCAGTGCTTGTCAGATTCTCGTGCAAGATTGGGGTAGCCGAGGGCTGGAGAAATCCGCTACTCTCCGCGGCCGTCTGGGGAGCCATTGCGGAGACTGATTCCTCTTCTTCCTCGTCCTCATCCACGTCATTGTACGAAGCGAGGCCGCCTGTGTTCATCAAAACGGGCATTCTCGGTCTAATGAGAGCCTCCACCTCCATGTCTGCGCCGTAGCTCCGGGCTAAGAAGGGGATGATGCTGGCAGTCACGCCACGGCCTTGGGTAGCCGGGACAGGGTTCAGGACACTGGCCAGCATTGCTTCCTTTTCAGAAGTCAGGATGATCGTCCGGTCAATCTCAGCTCGCAGGGCGGGCGAAAGGTATTCAATAGGAAGGTGGGCCAACACGGCCGGGAGAAGTTCACACGCGGCTTTTCTCAGACTAGGGAATGACGACGATGCATCTATATTACGGCCTTGTTTCAGGCTTGGATTCAAGAATGAATCCGCATTCGCCGTGCTTTGACTGGACTTGGAGGAGGAAGTCTTGACCGCGGCAGGCTGTTCATGGACCGGCGGCAAGATATCGGAACAACAAGACTTGAGCAAAACGGTCAGGGAAGATACGCTCTGTTTGGTCATCGATGGTCCCATGCGGGCGAGCAACGTGCGAACAAGGTTGTACATAGAGCTGCGGAGTTCATGGATGGATTTCTCTGCACGGAAAACCCAGAGGGTTTGCTCCATGATCGTCTGCGCTATCGACACAGCCCCGATTTCCAGAACACCAACCAATGTTGAAAGAAGGTCAATGCAGGCCACGTGGATGCGAGGGAGCTCTGTGAAGAGGCCATCTCTTTCCGAACGACTAATCTGTGGATTGGCCTGGACGTCCTTTGCGTCGGAAGGCACAGTCAGAGCGGTCAATCGCGAGGTCAAATCCAGGATCGAGCCAACCGGGATAACCACTGTGGACGCGGTTGCGGTCGTTAAGAAGCGAGAGAGAAGTCGCAAAAGCAGAATAAGTCGGTTCACTCCAGAATCAAGACCTTGCCAACCAGACAACCCCAGCGCATCCGGCTCGAGAGACCCCATTTCTTGGCTGTAGTTCAATTGCTTGGCGGTTTGGCGCAGAGATGGATCCACCGACTCCCACTGTTCTATGACGGCTCGGAAGACGTGATGCGCAGTGTCATGCACCGAATAAATGGCCATCTGACAGGCCTTCTTCCATTCTTCTCCAGAGCTATTCTTGGGGGCGCACACATGGAGAAGGACAAAGAGGCGCTCCGCAAGATCCACCACCGGCTCGGGGAACGTCGGAGATGTCGCGCTGATGATTGTCTGCAGAACACTATGGATCTGCGCAGTGAAGGGGCGGAAAATAGTGGGGTGTCGTGCGATCAACTCGCTGAATGCATGGAGCACGATATCTAAAAACGGGGTATTGGGCTTCAGAGTTCTGGCGGGATCGGAAGACGGCTTGACCGAGATGAGGTTCAACGTCGATGTAATGAACCCGGGGAGGGACGGAGTAGTTATCTCGCGAACGAGAGTGGGATACTGGTAAGTGAGGTGGAAAATGCGGGTCAAGGTGATGATACACATTTTCTTCGTCGAGATGGGGTCGGCTTTCTATCCAAAGATGCGATTAGTTTTCTGTTTTTCGACGTCGCAATTGTCTCTGCAACTGAGGGTCCTCACAGTCAGAATCCCCATCAACCCACGAACGAATGGCTCGCATGCGCGCAAAACTTCCCATTGACCAGCTTCCACCACAGCCTTCACCAGCACCACTGCAGTCCAACGGCCTTCGGGGGTACGATCCTGCAGAAGACTCGTCAGACGAGTCATCAGCTTGTGGACTTGAACCGCATTGTCGGAATCGGATTTGGCAGCTTTTTGCGACTGAGGAGACGAGAGAAGCTCTCCGCAATTGCTGAGCGAGGCCGCCAGCGAGGATGCCAACGGAGGGAGTTGTTTGACGGGAATGTTGGTCAACCGGTGATTGACGGCATGGAGGGACATGGACATGGAGGCCATGACGCCGAGGATCCTTCGGAATGGCTTGTGGGGAGGTAGTGATAGAGGGAAGGTCAGGGTAGGTCACTGTAGAGGAAAAAAATTGAAGGCATATGAAGCCTCGGTACGGTAAGAATACGGTCATTACAAGGCCGCGGCGGTCATTACGAGACCCGACGGAGTCTCCCCTGGCACCAACGATGATCATCATCGTTTCTTGCACGTTCATCTTCCTTCGCATCGCCTACCGTTATTGTCATTATTATTACCACTGAACTCCTCTCCAGCCTTGGGGTGGGCCCCCGGATCATGGATGGACGTTTCAACTCTCTCTCAACCCCCAGACTCTCTCTTCTCTCTCCCTGTTGATTCCTCCCATTGCTCCCGAATCCCGCTCCACCATGACCGTGAGTCGTGCCTAACTTCTCCCCTCCTGGAGAGAGTCCCGCTCATATGTGTCTTCCGATAGGGTCGAGATTCCGATAAGGGGCATCGCTATGTCGCCGCCCTGGATAATGCGCGATGCCAGAACAAATGGGACGAACTTCCCGAGCTCATTCGCAAAGTGACGAAACACGCTCCTCAAAAGACCTGTCCGTAATCGCTTGATGTCCTCCTCTTCTCCCGCTGAGCCCCCTGGCTGATCGACGGAATGATCGTATTGCTCTGTGTATAGGCCTGTTAGAGGTAGCCTCCGCCGAATACCAGATCGCCCAACATCTTCAAAAGTCTCCTTCCTCCGCCCGACCTTCTTCCGCCGCCTCCTACAGTGTTTCCGAGCTCATCCCTTCCCTCCTCTCCACCATTGACAAGGCCGAGGGGTCGCATCAAGATGTGTTTCAGGCACAGATTTGTTTGGGTTGGGTCCATTGGGCCCTCAATGAGCCGGCATTGGCCGCAGCACGCCTTCCCCGAGACTTTGGAGAGACCTTGAACACGCTCACAAGCTCCGGGGAGGAGCTCTCCTCATGGACCAAGGTGTGCCTGGTCAAGGGTTGCTACATCAAAGGCATGTCCTGGTTTTCCGAGTATGTGTCAGTCACAGTGCTAATCTCCGGTCAGGCGCCGCGCAACACGCCATATCCGGGTCCATTGATGCTTTGACAACGTTCAGCTCCCTCACAGCATGGCTGAGTAGCCACGGTCAATCCTCTTCCAACAACCCTCAATTCCTGCATTGGTCGGAGAAGCTGCTGGCCGAGGGGGCGTTGCTGGCCGGTGATGAAGCCTGCAAGGACCTCGCTGCTCCCAACGACGAACTGGTTAAAACGGCCCTCAAGATATTCCGCGCGTGGTCGAATCATCCCCACGTCAAGCAGGGGCTACCGTCGCAGAGTATTCCCGGTAGCACCGGCCCCTCTGCCTCCAAATCACTAGTATGGAAGTCATACTACGACCTTCTGTCGGCCATCCTTCAACATGGTCTGGCCTACGCTCCTGCTGGGAACGGTCCGGAACGCCCGCAACTCGCGAGCGAGATCAAGCGTATCGAATCCATATGCGAAAGCAACCTCCTCCGCGAGGTCAAATTTCCTACGGCAGACGCTAGCAATACCCAGATAGAAGAATGGGTGGAACAAGTGATTCGGAATTGGGAAGTCCTCTGTGGCTCTCATTGGAATGATGCCGACCTGGGCGAGGGCGGACAAGATGCAGTTGGTCGGAACGTTCTAGATGTAAGTGTCCCGACCATTCCCGGTTCACATCAAAAGCTCACAGGTTGCATTTAGATCCTGTACCGCGCGGCGACCAAGACCTACCACTCTCACCTAATTCTTCGGCGACTTTTCCATGTCCACTCTGCATTGGCAGAGTTCGACCTGGCCGTCAAAGCTCTGGATTCTTATATCGAAATCGTTGTCAGTGCGAAAGAGAGAGCGGAGAAGTCAGCCCAGTATGGCGAACTGGAGAATGACGGCATCCTACTCCGAACGCTCTCCGAGGGTGTAATCATGTTATGCTGCTTCGGATCCGCCAAGGAAGCCGAGAAGGCACGAGACCTTGTGGTTCTGTTGAAGAAGTTCGTGAACAAGCATGTTCAAGAAGACAACGACGGTCAAGGGAATGAGATTCGTATCAACCCAGAAACCAGCTCCACTCGCTCTCAGATGGTGATCCCATCTGATGTAGCCATGGCTTATAGAGGCATTGGTATTGGTCTTGCCAACTGGGCCAGTTGGACGCCAGTGAGCGAAAAGCGGGACGACATACGTGCAGAGGCAATCGAATATTTGGAAAAGAGTCTTGCGCCCGAGTTGGAGGATGAGTCAAACTATTCATCGCTGTATACTCTGGCTTTACTTCTCGCGGAAGATCGGGACATCGATGGCGCAATTGAGTACGTCAAATCAGCTCTGACCACCACTACCCATCCTGGAAGCTCGCGAGGGGATTTCACTCGTGAGCGCGATCTTGTGCCCTTGTGGCATCTACTCGCCCTCTTGCTGAGCGCGAAAAATGATTTCGATATCGCTGAACGCTCTTGTGAAGCGGCATTCGAACAATTCCCCGCGGCTGTTACTTCCCTAGCCCACAAAGACCGACGCCCACAGAAACAACAGCACGGTACACAGGACCCCAACGCTAATGGCATGACACACGCCTTTATTTGTCAGCTAAGAGGGCGAGAGAAAGAACGCATCATCGAAACACGCATGAGCCAACTTGCTTTCGTCGAAGTCATGGAGAGCCCCGAAGCGGCGGTTAACCATAGCGAGCAGCTGCTCAGCCTCTTTGCGACACTCTTCGGTAACTTGGACCTCGAAGCAGAGGATAAACTTGCCAAGTCAAACCAGCTACTTCCCCCCAAGAGCTCGGCCGGTACTGTGAAAAGCTTCCGTGGCAGTATCTTTGGACGGCACAAGAAAGCGGAGTCCACGATCGCCTCTAGACCAGAGATTCCACATCCACCATCCGTTCAGGCGGAATCTCGTACAGATAATACGCCAGCAATACACGTGACAGATGAAGAGAAGGGTGCCCCTCCTGGGACTTCCCATACACTAGCCCGATCCGACTCGCGGAAACTCCGCAAGCGCAGCAGTACGCTCAAAAACCAAGACGCGACCCATGTGAATGGGGATGGACCCTCCCCTGTGGCAAGCGTAGATGGAACTAGGACCCCACAGGCCAATGGCGAAGAGATGGCGCAACAAGATATGGTAGGACTCGCCATCTCCAGTGCAAACCAGGAGCAAAGCGCAAAACAGCAACTGCCCCCAGTTTCCCACAACATGAAGCACACACACCAGCCTGCTCCAGCCGGTCATTCAAAGCAACCGCCGGAGCAAGACGTCCGCCTTCCCACTTCCTATGGCTTTGACTCCCCGACTCGAGCGGTGACCAAGTTTCCGCTCACCCAGGCCCAACGCCATGCGCTCTGTATCCTGGTCAAGATTTGGCTTCTCATTGCCGGTCTGTACCGCCGGGCGTCACTGTTTGAGGACGCCCGGGAAGCTTGTGAGGAAGCTTCCAAACATATCGCCCGAGTAGAGGCTCTTGTGGCTGCTCAAGATTCGTCCGCCCGAGGATTACGGGAGCGCGGATGGGGTGTACCCAGAAGTTCAGAAGAGCTCTGGGCTGATCTCTACACAGAACAAGGACTGCTACTGAACGTACAGTCGCGTCCCCACGAGGCGATGCAGCTTTTCGAGCAAGCCCTTATTCGTGACCCTGACCATCCGAAGGCCATCATCGCGCTATCCAATCTGCTCCTCGACATCTGGGAACAGAAGCTACCCTTGGAGCCGCCGGAGCCCGAAATCGAAACCGACCTGTCGATGCTATCTCTCGTCCCGAAGCCGAGCTCGGCCTCAAAGCAAGACGACGCCAAACAAGGAAAGAGACAGTCGGTGATTGACACGACGCAGGCCGAAGCTCGTCAAGTGTCCCCATCTACGACTCCTGACGAAGAGCCCAAGCTCCTCAACCGGATCGCGGCTCGCGACCGAGCTTATGGGATGTTGTCGGCCTTGACCAAGCGGGGCACGTCGTGGGATAACACCGAGGCTTGGTACGCCTTGTCGCGTGCGTACGAAGCACAGGGCCAAGTTGAAAAGCTGAAGGAAGTGCTTTGGTGGTGTATTGAGCTGGAGGACCGACGGCCCATCCGACACTGGTCCAACATTGGCTCCGGTGTGTATGTCCTCTAAGTACATACGGACATCCCTCATTGTCTTCTGTATCCAAGGGCAACCAAAGTCGTCCTATTTGTATTCTTCGTGCATTTCAACAGTGTGATACCTGGAGGACTTCCTCTTGTTGATAGATATCTGCTTTTTATATGGCTCTTGTGAAGGGAACATTGTTTATGAACAGTGTTGAAATCAAACTAGCAATAGGACATCTTTATTTACACGTCTCCCAGTGGGACTGCCTGGGAACATTTTGAACTAGATCTTCGTCTCTAGCTATTCCTCACTGGCGGGGAGCCGCGACAGGGGTCCAGGCGGAGTACTTGGGGCGAGTGCTGCGAAAAGCGTTAGAGGTTAGGGGACGGGGTAGAGGACGAGCACTCACGTCGAGTAGGTCTTGAAAGCACCACGGCTGAGGGTCAAGTTGGGACGGTGCTCAGGGAGCTCCCAGCTGCGAACGCCGGTCTGCATAATCTTATCGGCGGTGGGAGGAGCATCCACCATGTACGAGATCCAGGCGTGCCTAAACAAAGTCGGTTAGGGCATGACGAGACGCGCATAAGCGATATGGCAGAAAACATTACCAGCCAGGCTCGATCTGCGAGGCGTCGTATTCCTTCTGCTTGTAGTCGACCCATCGTGTCCGGACTGCAACCGTCTCGTTAACCGAGTTCCTCCCGTCACAACCCGAGCATCACTCACGAGGCAGCTCCTCCTCCATGTTCTCGAAGTACTTGTTGCCGTAGCGGTCGACGCCAATCAAGGTACCGGCCTTGGTATCACCTGTCGTCGCACTTGCGTCAGTCACTCGCTCCCTCTTTTCGGGTCTCGTGGAGACAGTCCCATACCAATATACTATTCGCCCGGAAAACATCGCGCACAGAGTAAGTAACCATTCAAGAGCCGCCAATTGAGCGGATTTAGGGGGCCCTGGTGTCCGTGGGGGAGCATACCTGCATTTGGTGGCCATAATCCTAGAGAAAGGGTGGTGGGTTAGCAAGGAGAGCACAGGCGGAATTGAACGGAAACAGCGACCAACCTTGAGGCCAATCCGGCGCAAGTTGCGCAGCGTCCGAAGAATGGTCGACATCTTGGGGGTGATCTGACAGCAGCGATGAGCTTGGGTGGGATGTAGAGCGGAAAGACGGTCTTGTTCGATACTGTCGGGCGTTTCGGGGTCGCGCACCCGCTGGATCGGGTCTAGCGTCACGAAGGTTTGCAGTGTTTGCATCCAATAGGGCGTCCCGAATTATTCACTTCAACCATTTCATCTCCGATTCCATCTCGATGATCAAATTCAAGACTCTATGCAGCGCTTAACAGCTGGGAGCTCAGGGATCGCAAAATGCTTGCGACCAAGTTACTAAACTCCTCCCACAGCGAGCCATCTCCGTTGAATTCATCAAACATGAACAACGATGTTCCCGAGCTGATCGGTCTTGGGCGAGTTGGACGCGTGATGCGCCATGAATGCAGTGAATATTGCCAATATTGGACCCGTCCCGACGACGATTCCAAGACGACAATTATCAGCTGGGGAGCAAACGATTGAGCTAAACAAGGAGTCCCTAAAACATGAGGGTCATGTATATTGCCATCTTGAGCATGTCCATGGCGTCATAAAGCCGTATCAGGTCTCCGACACCGAGAATCGAATGCCATATCTACGCACTCATCGTGATAGCGTGGACAACATTTGACGACTACAACGGCTCCAGGAAGCGACACATATCATCCGTCGAGTACACGAGCGGCGGGTATTAGTTGCTGATATCGCGACGCGAAATTTCCTGCTCGAGGAGGATCTCTCTCTTCGGATGTGCGATTTCACCGAATCTATCATTGTTTCGAATGATGAGAACATGGCCGACTTCGTATCCGAAGAGTGCGTTTCAGCCAAGTCCGACATTGCGCGCTTCGGCTCGATGTACGAGGTCATCTCCGGAAGCCGCTGTCAATTCTACATTATACCCGAAATCGAGTCCGATCTGGATGACGATCCAGAGACTAAAGCATTCAAGGCCTGGCCTACGGCTGACAAGCTCCCAAGTACAAATTATGTGTTCTTGGGGGATATCATTAGGAGGATTTCTTACGATGCAGGAAGTTTGTCACGCCTTGGATAATCTTGACCAAGGACCAGTGGTCTCAAAGGCTTCTGTAGATGCAGAAGAGGACAAATTGAATTGGCGACAACTACTGCGTTTAGCAAGCCCGATGGCGACTGCAATAATTTTGGCCATTGTCCTCGTTCCACGACTTCGTTCACCATGGCGGACGATATCCGCCTTTCTGCCGTCCACCCGACATGATTTGCATTTCTTGTTTAATAGATAAATCAATAAAAATAAGATGACTTGCCCTAGAATATACTTCTAAAAGCATGTTGATCGTAGTCCTAATTGCAATTAGGATAGCTAGCGACTAACGCGAACTACCTACTTATGGGTCAGGTCACCTGACACTACTCAGGGCCATCCGTCTCAAAGATTCCCCATTGCCCTCTCTTTCTTATCCCCATTTACTTCTCCCGTCGCAAACACCATGCTGGGCCGCATCGGTGGTCAGGCGTTTCGTTGCGCCGTGCGTCGTCCCGTTGCGCGTCGGAACCTCTGCGAGCGCAAATTCTCCGCCTATTCCACCAGCTCGACCTCCTCCGGCACCCATGCGCCCTCCGCGGCGTCGCCGTTGGGAAGTATCACGGCCGAGTTGGACCGGGTTGCGCCGTGTTTTGAGGTCCCTGCATCGAGGATTACCATCCTCGACTCTCCCGCCAGCTTCTACAGCACCCTCAAGGTGAGGCTCCGTGGCTACCGGCCATGGGAACTCGACAGTTCTGAACTAATTGATAGGAAACGTAGGACAAAATCCGCAACGCTCGCCGGCGCATCTACCTTTCGACGCTGTACATCGGCAAAGCAGAGCATGAGCTCATCGAGACCTTGGACCAGGCCCTGCAGGATAACCCCGATCTCAAAGTATCCATTTTGACGGACGCCCTGCGCGGCACTCGTGAAACACCCAATCCGTGCTCTGCATCGCTTCTCGCTTCGCTGGTCGCCAAACATGGTTCGGACAGAGTTGAGATCCGCATGTTCCACACGCCGAATTTGACGGGTCTGAGAAAGAAATGGATCCCTCGACGGATCAATGAGGGTTGGGGTCTGCAGCATATGAAGCTGTATGGCATCGACGACGAGATCATCCTTTCTGGGTATGGCGGATGTCTACAACTGAAAATGTGCGACCGTTATTGACAAGTACTTGCAGTGCGAACCTTTCCAAGGATTACTTTACGAATCGCGTCGACCGGTACCATGTCTTCAACTCCAGGGAGCTAGCCGATTACTACGCGCGCATCCACCACGCAGTCTGCAGCCTCAGTTTCCAGGTCCTGCCAGATGCGCACAGCGCGGCAGGCTATCTCATGGACTGGCCGACAGCTAATGGTGCCCCGTCCCCCCTCGATGACGCAGAGAACTTTGCCGCCTACGCATCGACGGTCTTGAACCCGCTCATCCAGCCAACCGAGAAAGCCGCCCTCACGCCCAAAGACACGAGTCAGACTTATGTATACCCCGTGGCGCAATTCACGCCGCTGCTGAAGCCGGACTCCTCGACGGAATTCCCCGCTGTCACCGCCATCCTCCGTCTTCTCTCGGGGCTCCCGGCTTTCTCAGGTGCCCGTTGGCTGTTCACCGCCGGCTACTTCAACATCCATCCCGTCCTTTCTTCCCTCCTCATCGCCAGCACCTCCCCCTCGCATACCGCCTCGACGACCCGTGGCACCGTCCTCACGGCGTCCCCATGGGCCAACGGATTCTACGGTTCCCCGGGCATCTCGGGCATGCTTCCTGCGGCCTACACGCATCTGTCGGCGCGCTTTTTGGACCGGGTCGCCGAGGCGCAGCGGACAAACTCCATTGAACTGAGGGAGTGGCGCCGCGGGACCGTCGGCGAGCCCGGCGGCTGGACCTACCACGCAAAGGGCCTGTGGATCACCCTCCCCAAGGAAGAACATCCCAGTCTGACGTTCGTCGGGAGCAGCAACTACACCAAGCGCAGCTACAGTTTAGACCTTGAGGTCGGTGCACTGGTGGTCACCGGCGACCAGGAACTGAAGCGGAAACTGGCCGCAGAGACCGAATGGCTGCAAGAACATTCGGAGCCCATCTCGCGGGATGACCTGCGGAAGACGGAGAGGCGGGTGAGCTGGAACGTGCGGCTGGCGATGTGGATTGTCGAGAAGGTCGGCGGTGCGCTGTGATTATAGGGTTTGCATTTGGCGCGTCGATAGAACTTGTATACCCATGTACTATAGAGCAACGTGTACAGTGTACGATCAAAAGAATAAACGCATAGACTGCTTTCTATCCATGATACTGGGATTGCTTTTAAGGCCGAAAATGACAAACATATCTACCGTGAGCATCAAATCATCCGTACGCCGGGACCTTTTCCCAATCAAGAGATCATCACTGTTCGTTATGGCATCCTAGGCCCGTCCCGGCACTCGACCGGATACTTTGGCCGGACCCAGGCCCTGGCGGACCTCATCCAGCATGCGCATGCCAATCACCTCGTTGCCGTTCTTGCCGCGCTTCGCCTTGGCGCCCTTCCGCTTCACCTGCGCGCTGGTGTTGTCGTCCCAGCTGGACAGGAAGTCGTCCATGATGTTGTTGAAGTTATGCCGCGGGGCGACGGCCTGGCCGTTGGCATCGATCAGGCTGGGGGCCTGCGACGACGCGGTCGACATATCGGTCATGCCCGTCATACCCGTCATGCCGCTGACCATGGACATGCTGTCATCGTACTCGTCCTCCTCGTCCAGCGCATACAAGGCCTCGACGCGGTCGAACCGGTCGTCCAGCAGCCGGTGGCCCTCGGTGCGCGCCAACGACGACGACGTCATGGAGTAGGCAGAGGGGTTGGTCAGGGCGCCCTTGCGCTTCTTGCGGCGGATGGGCGTCCCGCCCGCGGTGAAGACGGTCGAGGCGAGGGTGCTCCGCTGCTCGGACGGGACGATACTCGGCGGGGCTGCGGGTGCCGCCGCCGCCTTGCCCTTGGACTCCTTCTTGAACTTGGCGAACTCGCGCATCCACCCCTGGTCCTCGGGGTGCATGTCTGGCGCGGGCTCGTCATGGTCCGGCAGCTCGCCCGGCGCCACCTCCTTCTTCTCCACTTGCACAGTGCTGGGCTGCTCAGGCGCTTTCTCCGTGGCATCCGACTCCCACCCTTCGTCCTCGTCCTCCTCGTCGAACAGCGTATCCTCCCAATCGCCGGGGTCCATTTCCTCTGCTTGCGCCGTCAGTTTCCCGAACACGTCGTCCTCGGCATCCTCGTCGACAAACTCCTCGTCCTCCAGCGCCTCCAGCACCTCGCGAAGACGGGGGTCCATGTTCGGCTGGAACCCGGCAATGGCGTCCGGGACATTCTGCTGGTCCTGGTACGTGGGCTGCCGGGAATATGACGTCGTCGTGGACCGCATCTCCGACCCGTAGATACTCCCGCCGGCGCCGCCGAACTCACTCGCCGAGTCGTTGAGGGTCACACCCCGCAGCGCATCCTCCAGCTTCACTTTCCGCTCCTTGCCCTTGGCCTTGGCCTCGACGAAATACGAGTTTCCGCCGCCGGTGCCCAACTCGCGCAGATGCTGCATGTAGTCATACTCGGTGTCGTCGTAGTAGATGCCGTAGTTGGCGGCTTCACCTTCGTTCTTGCGGACCCTGTCCGAGCCGAACTGGCTGGCGAGATCGGACAGATTTTCGGCGCGTTTGGCAGATCGCGAGGAGGTTACGGAGGCGGCGCTCGACGGGGCTGGTGCAGCTGGGCCGGAGACCTGGTGGAGGACGCGGTCGTCGGCATCGGGGTCGTGAATGGCAGGGTCATGTTGGGAGCGGTGGAAGAGCTGGTATGTAGTGGCGTTTTTCTTGTCGCTGGTGGGGGTTAGCGAGATGAGAAGGGGGAATTGAAGAGGTAGAGGACGTACATCCACTGCTTTCTGGGCGGCATTTTGACAGGACCTCGAGCGAGGGAGGAGGGTTGATGTAGATTGACAGCGGATGGATCGTTGGGCGAAAAATGAAGAAAAAGTGGGAGGGGCGATAACGTCACGTGCGACTTATCAGTCCGCAAGGTATTTGTGCAAGGTTTATGAAGGGGCTTATGCAGATGCTGACGCATGCTCTTATCTTATCCGCGGCGGGGTGCCAACTCAAAATTATTAATCTTTTTCGCTCTCTTAATCTTCTCTCCGTTCATTCTTCCCTCCATCTCCATCCCCTTCCCTTCTCTCTCTCGTTCTCCTAGGGAAGGTCAGTTTCCTCTTCCTCTGGTCCGATATTCTTCCACTGACTCATCCAGTCACCATGGTTCTCGCAAAATCCAAAAACAACGTGGGGCTGGGCTCCAGCCTCATGAACGACCGGTTCGGCAAAGGCAAGGCCTCGAGCATGAAGAAAGCCTCCCACAATGCCTCCATCGCTCGGAAGGACATGCACGGCGAGACCTACCTCACGCCCGGTCATCAGGAGGCCTCGTGGGTGAAGATGCGCAGTATCACCGAGCAGGCCGCGCTCGATGAATTCCTCAGCACCGCCGAGTTGGCCGGCACCGATTTCACCGCCGAAAAGATGAACAACGTCAAGATCATCCACACCGACCAGAAGAACCCCTACCTGCTGTCGGCGTCTGAGGAGAAATCCGCCATCAGGAAGCACCAGAAGAACAAGGGCCGGCTCACCGTGCCCAGACGGCCGAAGTGGGACTCGTCGACGACACGCCAGCAGCTGGAGCTGAGCGAGAAGGAGAGCTTTATGGACTGGCGCAGAGGCCTTGCCGAACTGCAGGAAAACAACGACCTCCTTATGACTCCGTTCGAGCGGAATCTCGAAGTCTGGCGCCAGCTGTGGCGAGTGATTGAGCGCTCGGACCTGGTCGTGCAGATTGTCGACGCCCGGAACCCGCTTCTCTTCCGCTCCGAGGATCTTGAGACCTACGTGAAGGAGATTGACCCCAAGAAGAGGAACCTGCTCCTCGTGAACAAGGCGGACATGCTGACGGAGAAACAACGAGCGGCGTGGGCGGACTACTTCGTGCGGAACAACATCAGCTTCCGGTTCTTCTCGGCCCACCTGGCCAAGGAGCGCAACGAGGCCCGGCTGCTGGAAGAAACCGGCTCGGACGAGGATAGCGACGAGGAGCTGGCCGAGCCCACCAAGTCGATGAACCTCCAGGACAACGCGGAGGCGCCCAAATCCCGCCCCACGGATATCCTCGACGTTGACGAGCTCGAGGAGCTCTTCCTCTCTAACACGCCCGACACGCTCCCGGATAGCGACAACCCGGATGCGCCAACCAAGCAGAAGACCATCATCGGTCTGGTCGGTTACCCCAACGTCGGTAAATCCAGCACGATCAACGCGCTCCTCGGCGCCAAGAAGGTGTCGGTGTCGGCCACGCCCGGTAAAACCAAGCACTTCCAGACGCTGTACCTCTCGCCGGAGATCATGCTCTGCGACTGCCCCGGTCTGGTGTTCCCCAATTTCGCCACGACCAAGGCCGAGCTCGTCTGCAGCGGTGTGCTCCCGATCGACCAGCAGCGCGAATTCCTCGGCCCGTCCGGCCTGGTCGCCCAGCGCATCCCCAAACACTTCCTGGAAAACCTGTACGGCCTCAAAATTCACACCCGGCCCCTCGAAGAGGGCGGCACCGGCATCCCCACCGCTCACGAGCTGCTCCGCGCCTACGCCTACGCCCGCGGCTTCGCCACCACGGGCCAGGGCCAGCCCGATGAGTCTCGCGCCGCGCGCTTCGTGCTCAAGGACTACGTCAACGGCAAGCTGCTCTTCTGCCACCCACCGCCGACGCCCGAGGGCGACGACCCCATCGACCCGGACCAGTTCAACGCCGACCTGTACGACATGGCGCATCTGCCGCCGCGGCGTCAAGCGATGCTGGCCAAGGCGCTCCACCTGGAAGGGGGTAGTGGCAGCGCCGCCGATGACAAGGACTCGGAGATGATAGCGCTGGCGGCGGCGCCGCAGGCCGGCCCCGGCACGCTCTCGCAGAACGTGGATAGCGGGTTCTTCCGCCGTGGCGGTCAGGCGTCGGCCGGCCATTACACGCTGCCGTTCAACGCGCCCTACACCGAGCAGGGCCAGCAGATGCGCAAAGGCCTCACGGGGCGCAAGGAGCGCATGATGGTGGCGCTGGAGCGCGGGGTGGACGTGTCCGAGGTGCGCGGCAACTCCAAGAAGCATTTCAAGGGGAACAAGCGCAAGGTCAAGGCCAAGCGCGTCAAGGATGCGGATGACTTTTAGATGCACTCGCGGGCGAGTAGGGTTGTTCTGGTTTAATATTCAAGGTGGAGAGAGGGTTTGGTTGGGTACATATAAAAGTCTACATGGAGTTCTGTTGTTCCTACATTTGCACGAATGGATATGAATACGATCATGACCAAGATGGGTTGTAGTTGGGAATATAAATTCTTTTCAGAGAACATGCTGTATATCAATACGTAAATAATACCTCCAACTATATCTCGACATCTACAGATGAGACTTGGGGGCAGTGAAGCCAGCAGCGGAAAGGATGCGCTCGCCCTCGGCGCGCTGCCAGTCGAGCTTCTGGACGACGGCATCCTTGCGGGCGCGGTTCTCGCGGCGACCGAGCTGCTGGAGATGGACCTCGTCGGGCCCATCGGCAATGCGCAGGGTGCGGATCATGGCCCAGAGGTTGGCAAGCGGGGTATCCTGGCAGACGCCGGCGGCGCCGTAGGCCTGGACGGCGCGGTCGATAACGGTGAGGGCTGTCTGGGGCACGAGGACCTTGGCCTGGGCGATCTCCTTGAGGGCGGACTTGGCGTTGCCCTGGTCGATCTTGATGGCGGCGTTGAGGACGATGAGGCGGGCGGCGTCGATCTCGATGCGCGAGCGGGCGACCCACTCGAGGATGACGCCGTGGGCGGCGAGCGGCTGGCCGAAGGTCTTCTTGCGGTCGTCGTTGATGCGGGCGATCAGCCACTCGAGCGCCTTCTCGGCGGCGCCGATGGTGCGCATGGCGTGGTGAATGCGGCCCGGGCCCAGGCGGCCCTGGATGATCTCGAAGCCACGGCCCTCGCCCAGGACCATGTTGCTAACCGGCACGCGCACGTTGGTGAAGGTGATGTGGCCGTGGCCGTGCGGCGCATCATCATACCCGTACACCGACAGCATGCGGTGGATGGTGATACCGGGGGTGTCGGCGGGGACGAGGATGACCGACTGCGAGTTGTACGCGTCGGCGTTGGGGTTGGACTTGCCCATTACGAGGTAAATCTGGCAACGGGGGTCACCGGCGCCGGAGGACCACCATTTCTATCATCGCTATCAGTTGGGGATTGTCTCATCAGGGAAGGAGAGGGTGAGGAGAGGCGTACCGATCCGTTGAGGACGTACTCGTTGCCCTCACGGCGGATGTTCAGCTGGATGTTGGTGGCATCGCTGGAGGCGACGTCGGGCTCGGTCATGAGGAAGGCGGAGCGAATCTTGCCCTCGAGCAGAGGGGTCAACCACCGCTGCTTCTGGGCTTCATTGCCGTACTTGGCCAGGACCTCCATGTTTCCGGTGTCGGGGGCGGCGTTATTCGTGGCCTAAGTTCATGAGCGAGAGGTCGATCAACGGAAAGCGAGGGAATCTACCTCGGAGGCCAGCTTGCTCTTGCCCAAATACTCGGCCATCAGACCGTACTCCAGGTTGGTGAAACCGGCGCCTTGGGAGAAGTGGTTCTTGGGGAGGAACATGTTCCAGAGACCCATCTTCTGGGCCTTGACCTTGAGCTCCTCGATCACGGCGGGGGTGGTCTTCCATCGCTGTTCGCCCTGGCCGAGCTGGGCAGAGAAGAGGGGTTCGGCGGGGATACAGTGCTTTTCGACGAATTCTTCGACCTAGAGAGTGAGTCAATATATGTAGGGTATGGATTGAATGGATGGATGGATGACGGTACCAGGTCGAGGGTCTTTTTGGCCCGTTCGCTGACAAAGGGCTGGGCGATGGGGGGGATACGAGAGGAGGCCGACATGATGAATGGAAAGGTATAATAAAGAAGAGGGTATGAGAGGGAAAAGAGAAGAGAGGATGATAGAGGAAGAGAGAGAATATAAAGAAGAGGAACGAGGCTCGTATGATGAAGAAAGAATGCGGAGTAAAGAGCGGCCGCTGTGGAGAAGAAGCCGAAGCGCGGCTGGACCTCGGCTCATTCTGTATGAGTTGACAGCCAGTATACGTAGTACCCATTCATTATTCATATCAGTATCATTAATATTCATGTTGATGGTTATTCAGTATTCAAGTATAGAATATTCATGGATTCATGGATTCATGGATTCATGGATTCATGGATTCATGGATTCATGGATTCATGGATTTCAATGCGTATGCGTTGGTATACAATTGTCCAGCATACTCAACCGAGGCGCACCCGACAACCGGCATCACCAAGTAACGGATCAAACAGCATCCAGAATCAGATCGAATTAAGTCTCAAGTCTTCAGCACAATAAAACCATCCAGTCAGCCATACCCAGAACCCCAATCCCAGAACCAGCATAATAACACAAGGACCATCAGTCGTCAAGAACAGAACCACCAAAACAAACAGTCAACAGAACGCCATGCGACCCGCGCAGAACCCAACCCGGCCTGCGCGCCCTACTTCTCCGATGGCGAATTCGTCTGCTGCAGATGCTCTGCCGAGGACTGTTCAAAGTTCTTCTTGCCGAGTTTGGCGAACAGCGATTGCGGTTTTCCAGCACTGTCTCAGTTAGTATATTGTCTCGAAAGAACATGAGAAGATCAGACAGGAAAGACATACTTCTTGAACCGCTTTCCCTTCAGATCACTCAGCTTCTTCGAGCAAGGGCTCATGATATCGTCCGACGGAGAGACGTAGCTCGCTTGTTGTCTAACCTCCGTCAGCAACTGTATCCGCGGGATCAGGGGAGAAAGTCACAAACTCACTTATCACCATTCTCCAGCTTGCCCTGCAGCACCTGGCGATGATACTCCATCGAGTTCATCTTGGCGGGGGCGGCCTTGAGATCGTTGGCCTTGTCGTGGCTGACGAGGTGCGTGTTGGGGGAGCGGGCGCTGAGCGGCTGCGACGGGGCGTCCATTGTATGATTGTATTATTCTTGTGAATGAGAATGATTTGGTAGTAGAGGGGGAATGGGAGATATGAAGTTGGAGAAGATAGTAGAGAGATAGTAGAGAGAAAGAGAGAGAGGTGTGGATGGGAGGGAAGGAGTGCAGGATAAGAAAAGAAAAAATCCCCGTCGATTGTTGTCATGGCAACCACATGCCGTCATCACAGTATCCAGTATCTACTCCATACGATAACTATGGAGTATGGAGTATTAGATCACTCATTCTTTCTTGTTCCATCGCTGCCTGATCATCGCCTTGACTCGTGGATGTCTGACATCTCCTGCGGGAATTGCCACTGGCGATATCTGGTTGTTTACTCCATCCCGCTTGGAAACACACCACCAAACCAGACAGTACTATCGTCCATATTACAGATGACTACCCATGCTAATATATACATCAAGTACAGTACATGCAATGAACATTCCGTAACTTCTATCGTATAATCGTAACAGTCCAATCATCGACATCATCTCAACTCCACTCCAGCATCGCCCTCCTCCTCCTCGGACTCAGACTCCTCCGAGCACCCTTCATCAGCCTCGCGTCCCCCGTCCATCACAGGCGGACTACTCCGCGATCGAAGATGCGACGGCGTCACCTCGGGCATGGACAAAGCCGACTCGTCCTTCTCCGCCTCCACAGGGCTCGACGCATCATCCGACGTGGGAGTTGGCGGCGAATACGCAATCGTCGGGCTCAACGGCGCCGCGTCTTGTGAGTCCTCCGAGATATTCCGTCGATGACCCGCGCCCGCCGTGGTGCCACCGCGGTACGACGACGCCGGCCGTGTCGAGCTCGGACTCACGGACGGCGACCCGAACGGTGGCGACGACGACCGCAGACTGTACGACCGCGCGACCATACTCTGCACGCTCGGGAAGTCAATGTAGCTGCTGACGGTGCCGCGTGAAAACAGCACCAGCGCGAAACAGAACAGGACCATGATACTCTGAATCACCGAGACGCGCTTCTGGAACACCAATTCGTCCGCGAGCACGCCCAGCTGCGCGCTGATCGAGTAGATCTCCTGATGGTACTGGATGCGTTGGTGTTCGAATTCCAGTGCCACGCTCTTCCACACTTGGTCGTACTGCTCGCGGAACTGCTTCAGTTCGTTCAGCACTGTCACGTTCAGGCCCTCCAGGAAGGTAGACGTTTTGGCGAGCTGGCGTTTTTCGACCTTGTTAAAAGCGTCGCGCAAGATCCGCGACTGTTCCTCGATGTAGAGCAGCGAGAGTGTGGAGTTGGACTCCAACATCTGTAGGCGTTTGTTGACGGACTTGAAGAAGGACTCCTGCGTCGTTGGGTTCGGCGACGGGGGCTGTGTCCCCGTCGCCCTCGTCGCTTCAGGGGGCGCTGCCTGCTCTTCTTTAGAAGCACTTGGTTTGGAATCAGCTTCTACCGTCGTATTATGCGTAGCACTTTCGGCAACGGTCGTGGTAGACGCGGCTGAGGAAGAATCTGCATTGCCGCCAGCAGGCACAGTAACCTTCTGCTCATCGGCTGGTGCCTTTGGTGGTACGTCAACGGCCGGAGGCTCCTTCGTATGAGACGTCGATTCCGCAACATCTGCGTCCGCTTGTGCAGCCGGGGCCCCTGCAGAACCATGCACCTCTTTATCATGCACGCTGCACATACCAGGCGGCACCAATGCAGCTCCCCAGAGACGGGCTTCCACTTCAACCGCAGGATTCGGACAGATATTCCCCGTCCGGGAGCCGGCAGTCGACCCGTCAGTCGATTCGCTCACCACAGACTCAGCCGTCGCCGGCGGCTGGGGCTCTTTCTCGTCCAACTGACCCGCTGACGGATTGACTTCTACTGATTCTGGCTCTGAAACCTCGTCATCGCCACGCCCCGCCTCCCCGTCATGCTTGTACTCCTCCAACATGGTCGTACCATGCACGCGGATCAGACTGACCGGACAGTAGAACTCGTTCCCGTAGTGCGTCAAGAACTCAATCCGCAGATACCGCGCCCAGATGAGCGGATTGCCCACAGCAAACGCCTGGACCTCGCGGGTATTCCGCGCCTCGTAGACACCCAGCTCTCGCCACTGGTCCGGCTTGGCCGGGTATCGATCTGACACACTCACACGGAACGTGCGAAAGATCGAGCTGAAGAATTCGTAGTTGGCGAGGACGACCGTGTCCACCAAGGATATCGTCGCACAGCTCCAGAATCAGGAACTTGTTGTTGGCGCGACATTCGTTCAGCATGTAACTATCTTTGTTCTCAATCAGTACTGACGACGATCCCTTGCACTCGGGATTTGTCTTGAGCACCGTCGCCGCACAGTCAAACGACGCATAGTTGAACCGCTCCTTGCACGTCGTGCCCGCATCTTTGCCCCGACGGGCCACGCCCTGCGCCGGAGACTCATCGCCCGCCGGTCCCCCACTTCCTCCTTTGGCTCGTGCATCCCCGCCGTCTCCCTTCGTCTCGACCGGCACCTGCGCGCCCCAGGCCGTCGGCTTCGCGGTATCCGCGGTGTCGGCGCCGAACCCGCCGAAATCCAGCTCGATCTCGACGTCCTCGCCCAATGAATCGAGCGCGTTATTGATGCCCGTCGGTCGACGACGGTCTTCCGTGCCGGCTGCGCCTGCGCGCCGGCTCCCACCCACGTTCTCAGCCGACTGGCCCACCTTGGCGAGGTTCTGTTTTTTCCAGTCTTCAAAGGAGAGGAAGTTGGCGTTGTCGAGGAGGGAGTCGGTGTCGGCGTCAGCGTCGGGTCGGTCGTCTGAGGGGGTAGGGGCTGTGGAGGTGGTGGTCGACGGGGGAGTCGACGGTTCGGACACCGTGACGGAGAGGGGGTCCACCGCAGGAGTGGGAGTATTGCTGTCCCATCGGGTCTCAACACATGTCGGCCACTGGATGAACCTGGCCTCGACGTCCCGCCAGTTTCGCGTCAGACAGATGGGGGGTAGAGACTCGGCGGTGGTGCTATCGATCCCAAAAAAAAGCAGAGCGGCGAGGGGGAGGCATGTTGCGGTAGCCCAGGCCAGGGCTCGCATGATTAACGCCAAAATCAGACGAAACGTAGTAGGCGTCCTGGTGTGGTGCTCTCAAAGGTGGCAACACAGATGGTGCGATTGTTGTGTCACTGGGCTAGATATGGAGTTGTTGGAGTTGTCGTGTAGGCATGGTCTAGATAGGGCATTCAGTCCCGCGAAGGATGGATGGTTTCAAGGCAATACACGCCGGTCCGAGAGGCCGTCTAGAGAGTGTTGACGAAATCCAGCCGGGACTCGAAGAGTTCAACCATAAGTACCTGCGTAGGCACCGTTGATGAAGCAGAAGAAAGGGCGATAAGAATGTGGACCCGCAAAGTGTCTTCTCCACACAAGCACCGCTCACCGCCTTGCGACATCTATATACGGAGTACCTACGAAGTACGTACACATACAATAGTTACACCACACTATATCATGCCTGCATAAGGTGAAGGGTCAGCGTATGAGCCCAACCAACCAATGTGTTAGTCGGGGTTCTTGTTAGAAGGACTCGTCAAATCGAGTTGGCTTGAAATGCCATGACTAAGCATGTTGTGCAACCACAACCTACGGAGTATATAAAGACACCGTAGGCCCCCTTTCCTGCGTGGTAGAGGCGGTCACTGTTTATACATTGGAATCTACCAGTTGCCATCGTTCCTTGGTCTCTCCTGTGCCATGAATTGTCACTCGGGCCTCAGTTACCTCCACGAGACAGAAGAGGCTGTCTGGGTTGACAAAGTGAACGACGCTCGGGTTGACGGTCGCCTGTGCTCGTGGATATCGACTTTCCATGCGTGCAAGCTTCCATGTCGATTGGAGGGTGGATTCCTTAATGGATCCTATAATGTTTGCCAGAAATTCGTCTTTGAAGATGGGGCGTCTTGGATACTTCGACTTCCTCGAGTCTCGAGCATCAATTCCCAGTATGCCGATGAAAAGACCATCATGGAGGTAGAGGCCTTGGATATAATTCACGAGAAAACCACCATCCCTGTACCGGAGATCAGGGCCTGGGGACGCTCAGGGGATAACCCGCTTGGGCTCGGCCCCTTCATGATTATGGACTTTCTGTCTGGGTTAAGTCTTGACGAGGTTTTCACAGAAGGCAAATCGAGGTTCCTGAAGGAAGACATTAGTCCCGAAGATATCACAATCATCTACAGGCAGATGGCCAATTTCTCGTTGCAACTGTTTCAAATTGACTTCGATCAGATTGGTAGCCTTCCAACTCGACGGACTGGAACTTCTGTGCCGGTGCGTCCTTTGACGTGGAAGGTTCACGATATCCTACACGAGGGTGGAGTGAACACTTTTGGTGCGTTCTACAGCACGGAGCAAGAAGTCCCTAGCTAATCCGTGATTTATAGGTGACCGAACCAAGGGGTTCTCCTCGGTTGCCGAGTACTTCCAGTATATTATTGATCAAGACTGGCAGCAGCTTAAAAACCAGCCAAATTCAGTCTATGATCCATACACAGCCGCCAACGAGTATACGTCCTTAAAAATCATCAATTCGTTAATACCGGATCTCGTGGAGGCAGACTACAACCATGGTCCGTTCAAGCTGATTTGTGATGACCTTGGACTCACCAACTTGATCATTAGAAGTCGCGAAGACCTTACCATTGTTGGAGTGATAGACCTGGAGTGGGTGTACGCAGGGCCCGCCCAGCAGTTTGGTTCAGCGCCGTGGTGGCTTCTCCGGGATCGCCCTACTAATGATACGTGGGACTTTGAAGGTGAAACGCTGCCCGAGATGACTGGCCGCTACATGGACCACCTCCAAATATTCATTCGAGTGCTCGAGGAGGAAGAAGCCAAGCTGAACTTCGGGGACCAGAACAAGAAGCTCTCTGATCTTGTCAAGTGGTCTGTGACTTCCGGGGCCATGTGGCTTCACATGATCCTCTCTAGTGGCTTCTTTGGCTCCCGTACTTTTCCATGTGGGCAGCTACGCAGACATCGTGGATCGAAATGGTGGACTGACAGCGTCCTCAGAATTCAAGCTTCCGGCGAGGCGAAAAGGTTTGCTGAAAGTAAGGCTGGCCAATTCGAACGCTACGACAAGGGTGTGGAAGATATTGAAGATCTAAAGGCCTTGATGAATGACGGAAAGCTATCGAGAGAGGACTTTGTGATTCGTTCTCGGTCCATTCTCTCTTATTGCTTCGAGGGCTAAGGACTGAACGCCTGGGGTGACTACACGGTGATCTAGACTTTAGGTGTCTATATACCTACGAGTAGTAAAAGTCTTGTGCTTGTTTAACTTCGTTTGAACTATTACGAATAGATGCAGTATACGAGAATGACTTTTGGATTGTATTTCCATATGCTAGCTAAGTCCATCCCCTGCACAACCCATTCCTCCCCGTTCCGAGCACATCCGTACACAGAATCCAGTCCAGTACATCGAGGCCCTTGCACATGAAGAACGAATGAGTTGACCAAGACAGTCGCCTTTCCCGTAGCTTTTTTCGACTTTTCTCGTGAAGACGGCGGATCCATCTTCCTTCCATCACCACTTCCGCTCTGCGTCGTGGTCCAATCTCCTCGAGTTGACCCATTTTCGGTCGGTTGATCCCGTTCAAGTTGAAGCTTTCAATCCTCCCAAAGAAACAAACAAAACCCACCCTCTGACCATCATTGGAGTCACTTTTGAACGGCTCCTCGCCACCGCGTGTTGTTGAATGTAGTTATATTATACAGGAGTGGAAAAGAAAACATGCAATGTCGAAGTGTGCGGATGTCAGGTACAAAAAGATCTATGAACGGTAAAAGTGATATGATGCGGTAAGTGTCTCGGTGCCGAGACCGTTTGAGACCAAATGGTAGAAAGGTGAAGGAGAATGAGAATAAAAGAAGAGCGGCAGAATGAAATTTGTAAATTTCCATTATGTTTTCTTCTCCCCTATTCAAAGTGCGTATTATGCAGGACAACCCAAGGAGGAGTAGAACGTCGGCGCAGACAAGAAGTGATGACCAAACGGGCGGCTAGAGGTGCAGGTCATGCCAGCCACCGACGAGGTCGAGATCCTCATCAATGCTGCCATCGTAACCATTGGACGCCTTGGTCGATTTCGGACTCTCCGGAGACTCGCGCCGCCAGCCCTTCTCCAGATAGGGGCGGCGACGACGCTCGGGGGTTGCGAGGTTTTCTTTCTTGGCCCATGAGCCATAGTCGAACCCAGAAGAGCCAAGACCCCAGTCACGCCGCCAACTCATGTTGTTGGTTGTCTTCTTGGGAATAAAGGCGCTCGGTGCCGGCTTGTAGTTTCTCCTCTTGTCGCCGAGAGCCGCCCACTTATCCATGTTGGACTTCTTCGGGGGACTCTGCGACAAGGGCAGAGTGGACTTCGGAGACATATTCTCCGCGGTCCTCTTGGAGAAGTCGCAGAAAGCGGGAGCGGAAGCGCCCTGGGGCTGAGCCGGGACGTTCAAGACAGAAGATCCCCGAGCTTCGCGAAGGCCCGTCAACGGACCAGACAGTTCGGGTCCACTGCTTTCATGGCTCCAGCTGCGGGAGTTCTGCTCACGACGTTGCTGCAGAACAGTATCCTCGCCTTCCGATTCTTCTTCCTCATCCCACAGGTCGCTCCAGCTCTTCGAGATTTGCTCGTCCTTCTTGCGACCAAAGACCATCGACAAGGAGGGCAAGGGCTTGGCGGCATGGCTAGGCAACGACCCAGTAATCGGAACAGGATCGGAGGGAGGGGGGAATCGAGGGGCCGCTTTGCGGAAGGCCGAAGAACGATACGACTCTCCCAGACTGGACTCCAACACAGAAGCGACCGAGGGGGTGCCTTGGTGAACCGAGAACCACGAGGTACCGGCGGTCTCGGAGGGCGGGAAGAGATCCTCGGAATAACTCTCGGTGTCGGGGATGGCGGACAGCTGGCGAATGGCCTGCGGGGGGCTGGACTGTAAGGCCTTGGCCCAGGGGAAAGAGTCGCCCTGGTTGACCTGCGGGCTCTGGATGGAGGGAGTCCGGAGGGGTTCCCGGTTGGCACTGGCCGGAACAACTTCGCGCTCGTCGGTGCAGAACTCATCCAATGCCTCATCGTCGGTGGTGAAGGAGACGGTCCGCAGAACGGCATCCCGGATGCCGGAGAGCGAACGCTTCTCGGGATCAATCGCCAAGGCCAGTCGCAGAATCTCGAAGGTATCCTGAGACATGTTGGGGAAGATATCGAAGAGCGATTGGCGATCGCGAACATAGTCGGCGAAGAGGATATCGGACTCGGTCGGCGTGGCGAAAGGGTTCCGAGCAAAGAGAACATTGAGCAAGCAAATTCCCACGGCCCAAAGGTCGGCCTTGGCGGGGGAGTAGCCATTGTTGGGGGGTTCGTACTGCTCGGGAGCCATGTAGCGATCACTGCCGACACAGGCCTCCTGACACCACGCCTCACGGGTGGCCAAGCCAAAGTCACCAAGCTTCATCGATCCGTCTTGCATCAGGAAGATGTTTTCCGGTTTGATATCGCGATGATACAAGCCGTTCTCATGCATGAACTCGACTGCACTGAGGAGCTGCAGCATAAATTCACGCACGTGCTCCGTCTCGAGGGGACCACGGTTGAGCCGGATGGCTTCGTAGAGATCGCCGTTGGCACAATACTCCAGAACAAGGTACATATGGGTGTCAGTCTCAAAGGAATGGATGAGATTGACGATGTTCGGATGGTATGCGAGACGTTTGTGACAGTATAACTCTTCGAAGCGGGATTCGGCCGACATGACGATGGGCGAATCACCCGTGGGGGCCTTCAGCAGACACTTGATGGCAACGTCATTGCCAGTCTTGGTATCCGTTGCCAAAAACACCATGCCAAAGGAGCCATGGTTGAGGGGAGCAACTGCGCGGAAGCGTCCATCAAGGAGCTGTCCTTCCACGAAACTGTTCTTGAAGCACTCCATGGCGGATCGACACGGGGTGATGAAAGCCGTAGTCGGTTATGATATAGAGACGAATGAAGCTCGGCTGGTCTCACTGACGATGTGCAGTGAGAGGGATGAAGAACCACCAAGGTAGGGAACAGATAGCCGTCCTGGAAATCCAACAAGACCTGAACCGCCGGAAGGAGACCAAGGAAGAAAGAAGAGTAGGAGATCAAATGTCGAAAAGAAGAAAAGACGAAGGAAACGAAAAGTAATCAGGCGCTGCTCGACTCAAAGTTTCATATAAAAATCGGAGTGGTGATATGGTCACAAAAGAAAAAAAACGAATTGGCGCGGGGCGCGGTTTCGAGGGTAAGAGACGCTAGGAAAGTGTAAAGACCGTTATAGGTTCATCTGTTTATCGTTTCAAAATGATAGGGGCGAAAGCCAAATGGAAAGACGACGAAAGAGTGTCGAAGCGGAGAGACGATGTCCGGCAGTGAGCAGGCGGTGGAGTGACGAGAAAGGAAGTGGAAAGAAGAGACAATAAACGCTGCGTAAATATCGTAACCAGGATGCCAAATGTATAAACAGAAGTCTCGTGAACGTGACCTTCGAACACCAGGCTGAAGGGCGAGAGGGTGTGACTCAGGGAAGGATTCGAGGTTATAAGGTCATCAGTTGTCCCGAGCGAATTGAAAGGTCCCAGCTGGGCAGAGGACGATATACAAGGATACCGAAGGCTGTAGACGACTGGTATAGGGCGTCGATCGTCCGGATGGTGGACGGGGGGAGCACCAAATACCAGCAGCCAGCCCAGGTCAAAGGCACGGGAGATGGGACGGACAACTAGACGAACTCGACACGACCCCAGTACACGAGTACACTCTCACACGTAATAGCGGGATGTAATTGGGACGCGGGTAGCTTTCGGAAGTTGAATTGACAGCTGTAAAGCGTGGTGGGTCCGCAGTGGCTTGGAGGTCGTTGATTGCTTATGAGTCACGGGAGGTGTTCGGCAGATCAGGAACGAGACGGGTGGCAACAGCAGCAAGAGACACTCGTGGCTTGACGAACAGATGAAACGGACGAATCTGAACGAGGCAGAAGGCTATCGAGAGGACTCTGCACTGGCTTGTTTGTAATGGAGGGAGACGAGATGAGGGGATCTCAATGGGATGAGTCGAGGTGGTTGATCAGGTAGGTAGGGAGGCGACTGAGACGGAAGGCGTAGAAGGGAGACGATCGGATGGAAGGACGAACGAGAGGGAAGAGGAGATAGGAGGTGAAGCGGACGAAGGAAATTTGAGGGAGGTAAGAGAGAGAGAGAGAGGAATTGAAAGGATGGGATGGATGGGAAGGGGAACTTAGAGGAAGGAGAAGGGACGTGCGAGGAAGTACTTATGAGTTTGCCACTGGAATAGCGAACGGGAATAAGATGTACCGAATGTCTTGTATCGATAGGGATAAGGAGGGAGAGATAACTACTAATGATGGGGGGAGGGAGAGATGGTCCTATGAATGGAACCCACCGGGACTCGGAACCTTGAGTCACGGGCGGCGATGGCGAGAAAGCGCCAGAACCTGCTGGTGAGGTGTCTCATTGGTCCCATGGGTATCTTACCATACCCCTAAGCCGGATGCGGTTAGACAGACTGTTTCCTCGTGGTATTGCGAATACCGATGATCATGCAGACGCTTCCGGCCAGACATCCCGCCCCACACCCTCTTCGCTGCTCTCTCCCCCCCCCCTCCCCTGAATGATTCACCAGCTCAACAGGCCTCCATTCGTCATGCTCCCTTCTGTTTTCCCATCCATTCTAGAAGTTCCTAAGCGACGTGGGACATTCCTCTTGTCATTACGATCCGCTGTCAGTGCCTGGAATGCTTAAGTCAATGGATTCGAATTCTTTACAGAGTTACCTTCCAAAGAGGGTCCCGGAGGGTCCTGAAGACGACCGATGGTGAACGATAGCCAGGCGGATTATTAGGACTTGACTAGTGAGATCCCCAGAATCAACATGCCATGTGGACGGAATTGAGGCCAACAAGTGGCTCCCGACCAAGTAAGTTTGGATGATCCAGCCTTAGTGTCTAATAGTTGGGGAACCTCCAAATACCGCGGTGGTTGCTCTGTCACCAGGGGAATGGGTTGCCATTAGAACCCGTAGGATGCGTTAATCATTCTTAATTTTCTATATTTTCCTGATGGAATACAGGAGGCATGAGTATCAATCAGGTACCTAGTACTACCTGGGTACCTCTGAGGTACAGTTCTCTGCCCGATAGCTGCGGAGGGGACCCTGTTCAGCCCGAGTTCCTGCAGGTCCCCCCGGCCTGGCTGGGACCCATTCTTTTGCCTTGCTCCCGGAAGATTCTGCCGGATGCCTGCCTGCACTTGACGGAGTAAGATCTCTATAGTCTGACGATTGTTGAATTAGACACTGAATTCAACTGACGTGATCGGAAATGTTGCCTGTAACCCACCCACGTTGTCGATGACGATAGTGATTGCGAAAGAGTGCTCCGTACAACGATGATGCTAATTAACTATTATTATCAAATTATGTACAAGTATTTTTATTTTGAATACCTCGGCCGATGGCGGAGCAACGGTGGCGGAAGCCCACTATGCTATTTCCGGATGGTCGTGCGGACGGACCACCCAATCAGCAAGTGCCGAGTTCGCACTAACCCGCAACTGCATGCCGCTAGCGCCCGATTGGGCAGTGGAGACTCATCGCCATCGATGACTGGAGCGAGGATCATCCGGCCTGCATGGATGGATGTCTGGGGCAGATGAGTTGAGTTGGGTTGAGAGCATTTTTGGGGCAGCAGCCAACACCGAAACTCTGATAGCGCCGAGTGCATCACCGACTGGGTGGTCCAGGGAGCAGTCGTCTCGTCGTCTCATGGTTCGTGCCTCTAGTCCACTGGTCCCAAGATTCCTCCCCTACAACGCCTTTATGATCCGTTTGCCGCGCGCGATTTCCTTCCGCCCTGAAACGGTCTGGCCTTTCCTTCCGGGGCCGAGAGCCCCTGCGGGGTCCATGACGTCTCCCGTCTCACGGAATGATATTCATCCAAGGAGGGGCATGGTCGGACGTTTCATCCTCCTCCCGCACCTACGTATGATCGAGAATACAAATCATGATGGACCGTGGCATGGAGGAAATCTTCTCAAACTCCTCCTTCCACTTGGAGGCCGTTGATTGATACAGGTTGGCGGTGAAGCCTGCAGCTAAACAAGCTGTTGCGTTAGCGGCACTTTGACCGCTCTCCATGAGGGTGTGTGGCTAAGGTTTGTCCTTGCAGCTGGCGTTGCGTGTTGAGCACGTACTGGATCGGCCCATCCATCCATCCCATGAGGTCTTGTCGCGGCCTCCTCGAGCGGCTGGCATCACGCGATCGCTGAAGGAACACCACCTTCGCTTCTTTGTTGTTGGCCTGTGGCATCTTCCATCGGATTCGATCCCTTTCCATCCTCATCCTTCTCGTGATGCCGTACGACTAGTACCTAAGGCTGGATATGTACCGGTACTCTGTAGAGTGCACTCTACTCCTATTCCTTCACATCCATATCCGCGTAATCAATCGCCTTCCCTCCCCATTATTGTTGTCCTTATCCGCATGACGTCGATGGTTGCCTCCAAGTGACACCACCATAGTTCTCGGCCTTCATCTGGTATGCTGGGGGCAGGTGGAGTATTCCTTTCCCATGGTAACCATCGAAAACAATCCATCAGCCGATGCGATATCAGATAGACCTCCTTAGATGAACCTTGATCATATCTCCATCCCGGTTCAGTTTCCGGTTAATTGATGGCCGGAGCCCTGGGGCCAAACAGAAAACATGGCTTTATCAGGGCATATCCGGTTATCAGTTTATGTACAACTCCTGTTTATCTACAACACGGAGTATCCCGTAGGGAGCCCCCCTGAGACATACCAGTTTCTGAATTTCTGAATGCTTCAACCACACCCTTACTCCATCGACTCCATCAGAATTGACTTTCATCAGTGGAGGAATGATCCCCAGCCATCGACAAACAGAAGCATCACGCAGTTCCTAAACCGGCAACCTTCGCTGCTCTATCAGCCCGTACCCCGCACGATCTACGCCATGGCTTGGTCATGTTGGGAATTCCTCCGACGGATAAAGAAGTGGAAATGTGAGGAGAAAAAGCAAATCCCCATATTAATCTGACTGGTATGGCTTAGGGGCTGCGTACCTATCAGACGAGCTGGGGGAGGCCGCTGCCTGTTCCCCGGGATCCCTCGTCAGCCCTCCGGCAGGAAACACTTCCCGCAGCTGACTGGTCTCTGCATCCATTGCCCGGGAGATCCAGACGGACGGACGGCGGCACCTGAGGCCGGACAAAGAAGCTGGACCCCTCCAGAGAGTGACGATAGTTTGACTTCCCCGGATTTCATCATCCATCCCAATGTTTGTTGGTTTGTGTACTCCGTACCGTCCCCTCCATACCCCGTCGATCAACCTCTTCCCCTCCTTCTCAATGATATGATGATGATCATGATGCACAGGAGTTGGCCGACACATCCATGAGACAACTAATGTTGACAGCCGCTCCGGGGATAAAATCGCGCAATCCTCGGGCAATCTTATTGTTGTGTCTCTCTCCCTCCCTCCTTGCAAGGGGGAAATTTTCATCAGCGGCATGTCTGAGGTCGATCTCCAACGGCACATCGGCATACATCATACATACATGAAAGTACGTACTCCGTACATGCGTGCGTGTGTGGGACGGACGTACATACGAGACAATGTACGTTTGTCGATTGTGTTGAGGCCTTCGGAGGTCTTGTGTTGCTTTCTGCATGACCCCGATGGACGGGAGGCGTCTTTGCGTTTCGTAATATCCGTACAGACTTTTGAGCTGTTTCGTGCTGGGTGATTGGATACTTCATGCCGGTCGTATATATATTGTTGGTTGTTATTGTCGCAAAGCGTCCCATTGCATATCCATAGATCCAATGGGCTATTCCTATATATATATAACCCGCCAACGGCGACAACCGTCTGTCACCGCCAATAGGACCAGCGAAATGCTCGATCTCAAAATGGAGCTTCCCAAGCCATCCGGAATACTCAACATGTCTACCCCGTATGCAAGTATCCAGCTCGCGCGAGACGCTGAGCTGGTCAATGCTCTACCCTGGTTACATACTATTTTTGGCTTGAACCCACGCTGCCTCGGCGCTTAGAGTCCAACTTTGACCCCAGACAAATCAATCCTCCTAGCACATCTAGATCTACCAACATATCTAAATTTACTCGAACCCGCACTGCTATTCTCGACCGAAGGATGAATAAGAGGCGTGCCGCATGGGAATGTATATAATCACCTGACCTCGGAACTCTGATTGGCCGGTCGGCGATCGGCCCCCGCCATGCCGACGTCGGCCAACGAAAATGAATCATCTCGCGCGCTCAAGTCGAACCACTGATACAATCTTCAATTCCATCATACCACTCCGCTCCAGCGGCTGATGAAACTCGCTCACTGCCTCGAAAGATGCGCAATTGACGAATCCCTCGCTAATCATGCACCATGAGCAAGCGTTCGTTCGACGACGCCTTATCCCCCAGCGGTGCTCAGCCGGAGCATATCGATAACGCTCCCAGCAACGGCCTGCTGCCCATCAATGACCTTCTGTCTCCCAGCCACGATCTGCAGCAGACGTCTGGACCGGCGAAGAAGCCGCGGAACTTCATTGCCACTGTGGTGCGTGTCACCCTCCCCCGTGCGCTGGCGCCACCATGTCCCGTGAACCCTGTCTGACATGCGTAACAGGCTTGCGAGACGTGTCGTCTGAAAAAGACCAGATGCGACGAGTCGCGGCCGAAATGTGGCTTGTGCAAGTCGCTGGGTCTGGAATGCGTCTACAATGAGCGCAAATCGTCCAAGTATGTCCATGCTCCTGAAGCGCCACCCGGATGATCCACGAATGCACGGAGTATGCTAACCCCGCCAGACGCGATCATTCGCTCAGTCTGATCATGAGCACGCTCCACCGGCTGGAGACCAAACTGGAGAATCTCCCGTCGACCATCGCCGGTGATATCCAGTCTCTGCAGAGACAGATGGTCGCAGCCGTCGACGGCCCGGCGGAGACGACCAGTACCCCGGGGCCGGGCAGTCAGGCCTTCAGCAAACGCACGCCGGTCACGCATGCATCCTTGCAGAACCTGACGCCTGCAGCCGGGGAGCTGGATGATTTCGAGATTGGCGAGCGTCCTGATGCGACGAATGCGAATGGTCAGATTTCGATATCGTTCAGCCAACACGGCGTGATTCTCTGGCCCGGGGCGCGGGAGATCCTCCCCAAGAGGCTCCTCGATGCGCACGAAAGTCTCGGGAAGAACTATGTTATCGAGCTGGAGACGAAACGGCCCCAGCTGCCCATGTACTCGTGTCCGTTTCCGCCGCAAGCCGGGGACGACTGGCTAGACGCGCTGCCGTTGGGCGTGGTCAAGGGTCTCTCGGACGCTTTCTTCGCTACCTTCAACCCGTTTACGCCGATCATGGATAAGAACTTCTACCTCGCGTCTACTTTAGGGGCTGCGTTCGAGTTCGGCTACAACATGGATAGCTGTTTGGTGCTCAATGTTATGGCCCTGGGTTGTCTTGCAGTTCATGCCCATCGAGAGGGAAACTATCCCCTACCCGGCACCCGGAACAACCGGTTCGAGCCTCCAGAATGGATCGATGTCATATATGAAGATCCACCGGGGTTGCGATTCTTCAACGAGGCCCGACGACGCATCGGGTTCTTGATGTGCGAAAACGATCTTCCAAGCTGTCAATTCTATCTGCTATCATTGTATGAGCCTCCTGTCCTTTTTCTCCTGTCATCAGTATATTCCCTAACACATGGACAGTGTTTATTACAGCCAGATTCTTCGTCCGATGGATTCGTGGTCCATGATTCATCGGGCTGCGACTTGTTGTCTCCAAATGCTCACCAAGTAAGTAGCACCCTTTTGACGGTCTCGGCCCAGCTAACCATCCAGCCACGACGTCAACTTTGATGAATGGGAGGGCGATATGAAGTCCCGCGCGTACTGGAATTGTCTCATGAACGAGACCATTCTCGTACAGGAGCTGCACGTCCCTCCCAGCGGGCTCTCCCGGCTCGAAGAGTTTGTGCCCATCCCCAAGTTCATTCCGTTTGAACACGCTTTCGTGCGGACCTCGTCGACCGAAGATATCGACGATTCCTTCTTCCAATACCACTTCCTGGCGCAGGTCGCTCACCGCATCATCCTCACTCGCATCCGCCATTCCCTGTACTTTTACTGTACGTTCCAACTCACCACAATCACACAACCTACCAATCTAACACCCCACTAGCCGACTCAGGGACCTTCCCTCTCCCAGCAATCAATATCGAACTCCACCACCAGCTAGACCAGTGGCGCCTCAATCTACCCCCAGCCATCCAATTCCCCGACACTTTGCCCTCCACCCCTGCAGACATCAGCGCCGCCGCATCCCCCATGTCCCCGATGCCTCTCGACCCTAACCGCCCGCTCACCCCGGCAACCGCTGTCTCTGAAGCCATGCTCCGCGGCCGCTTCATGATCGCCAAATTCCACATCGGCCGGCCGTACCTGTACAAAGCGCTGCGTATCCCGGGCTCGCTCAGCGACGAGGACCTGGAGCAGATGCGCAGCGGTCTGCGGAACGCCATGAACTGGCCCGTTGTGGGAGGCATTTTCCGAAGGATGAAGAGCTGCATCCCGATCAAGTTTGCCTTTTGCTCACAGTATGTCTTCCTGAATGATCCCTCCCTGCCCAGACGCAGTAGAAGCTAATGAAGCAGATTTTTCGGCCAAATCCTTCTCTTCTATTGTGTCTCGCACTCGCCGGATGCCCGGCTGCGGAGCGCACTCCCTACCGGGTGGGAGCGGTGGAACCGCGAAATGCTCCAGTTCTTGGAGGACTGCGCGCCGTATAGTCCTGCTGTTGCGCAGGACTTGGAGTTGTTGCGCTTGTTATGAATGATTTGTATATTATTGCTTGGTTGGCGCTCGTCTGGACATAGAACTGGCCAGTTTTTTGTATTATGGGATCTTTACCTAGCCTTACCGGTTGCATAGATTACGATTGACGATCTGTCTTGTTCCTGGTGTATTAACTCTGTCCAGTGATTATAGATGGTTATTCCTGCAAAAGTTCTACCATAAAGGCACATGACAAGTCTAGTCTATTATGATATATGCAATCTATCGACAGGCCATGGACTCTATCCCAGTACGTGCAAAGGCCAAGATAAGTACTGGTTGATCATGCATTGTCCTCGTTCTGCCCATCCCGACTGCTGATACTCCGCTGCAGCCAGTCTCTCCATCCCTGATCACTCAAGATCGATCTAACACGGGCCTCGAGCCACTCCGTATTACCCCAAAATCCCCAGGAGGCCTGGAACCTACACCAGTCCACCAGGGCCGTCTCCCAGTGCCGCGCGAACTCGTCCCATTCGTAGAAGCACGGTGGTTGATCCCGGAGGAGACTCGTGTGGTACCGCAGCAGCAGCCGTCTCTCGCGCTCGCCCATCCTCAGACGCTCAGGCAATGGCTCGTGCACATCAACCAGCATGTCCAGAGGCACCGCGCACGTAAACAGCTTTGCGAGATCGCAGACCCCCAGGCCGAGCCCGACGTACTGGAAATCAAAGAACGCCACCTCGTCGCCGCTCTCAGTCGTGAAGAGATTCTCCGCCTTGACGTCGCCGTGGATATACGACTCGACCGGCCTCCCACACGGCGTCAGAAACAGCGCCACCATCTCCGCGACGCTCCGCGACGACCCGTCCACACCGCAACACAGCGCCGCCGACCACTCCGACCCGCCGTCTCGTGCCAGAGCCGCATACTCCTTCCGCCGCGTCGCGAGGTACGTATACCCCCCGTTCAACCACAGCCCCTTCCCCCCGCCGCCAGCACTCCGCTGCCGCCGACCCTCCTCCAGCGGCGGCCGGACGTACGCATCCAGATCGCGCCGCTCCGGGAGCAGCGCCCACGAGCGCCGATGGAACGCAGCCAGCCAGTCCAGCGCGGCGCACACCTGCGTGCCGTTCAGCGCGCTGCGCTTCTCCCCGGCAACGGGGAACCGCCCGCGCAGATCGACCATGACAGTCGCCATCAGGCCGCGCAGTTCGGCCGCGCACGGCTGCCCTGCCATGTCCCGCGTCGACGCCAGGCACCGCGCGACGGCCACCTCATCGCCCAGCCGCGGCGCCACGCAGTCGTAGAACGTCTGCTCCACCTCGTAGCTGAGCATCTTGCGTAGGTGGCCCTCGTCTGTGGGCGGCGAGCTGCCTGCGCCTGGCGGCGAGATGAGCTTCAAGATGAGAGAGTAGTGCGTCCCCGCGCCGCCGTGCGCCACCCCGCAGAGCTGGTTGAGGTGCTCCGCTGCTTCGTCGGTGAGGGCGCGAGCGGTGAGCGCGCAGATGTGGCCGTAGCCGGCCCAGAGGGTTTGCAGGGGCGTGCACGAGACAAGCTCGAGGGAGTGCCAGGACAGCATTATCCGCGCAACGCGGCTGGGGTCGCTGGCGGGAGCCATTGTGACTGGGTGTTTGTCAGATGACCGCGTGGTAGGATGTTTGTATGGGATTCGGGGTGATAATTGATGCCGCGAGGAGATGTCGAATGATCACGTGACTGGCCATCGTTATGTCTTCCAGCTCTTCACCTTCTCCACGACCGGACGGTTGAAAAGGGTATACTGTCAGGTGAAGGCCAAGCCCTGTCTTCGAAGCATACCGTACGACTCGGAAAGAGATGTCGATCGACTCCCAGGAACCGGTGTTCTCAGTATCTTCCAGTTCACGCTCCACCCGAGTGTGGACCTTCTACAACCATCCCAACCACGCCAACGAATCTGATCATCATCCGCCCAAGTCAAAGATGGAACTTCTCTCACAGATACACCAGCTGCGCGCCCAACGGTGCACGGCTGGGTTGCAGACAACTGCCTTCAATCAGAACCTGACACAGTGCCTTTTATTTCCGTACGGAACGGTAAGAGCCAGGTTGCTCGACAAGAGTGGTATAACAATTATGCTAGACGGGCTAGAGCGAAGTTCAACAGGTTCGGCCATGTGATTGACTGGTTGCGCACACTATGCAAGCGCGTTGATACCCAATTCCTACTTCTAGAAGAAGAGGACCGCGAGATCACTGACACGAGAGTGAGGTCAATCATGCAGAACCTGTCACGGCCACAGGCGCCTGCATCCACCCTTTGGTAGAGTTCCTTGCATCTAGTCTACTCTACTTAGCGTGCAAGGAACTCCTCTTTCGTCATCTGCCCGCTGTCAACGAGCGCTTTTCTCTCCTCGATCTCTTCCAAGCGCTCATCATACTTATCCAACTCCTTCACTTTCCGTGCTGCGAATGCCTCCAGCACCTCTGGATCATCAAACTCCCTCTCACGCCTCGCCCACTCCGCAGACCCTAGATGCCGTCGTAGCTGCGTGAAGGGAAAGCTGCGATGGTCATTAAACCCAGACGAAAGCAGCATATGTAGCCACATAGCCCCGGAAGCCTGTGACCACTTTATGAGGGAGGAGAGCTCTCTCCCCTTGTACTCGGGTGATTTTGCCTCTTCCTCCTCCAGGACACGCATAAATATGTCCAGGTATTTGAAATACCGGGTCGCGATAGCAGGCGGCTCGTCGCCATCGCAGTCCCAGGCGCTATTCACGGGTCTATCCTGGAGAAGCCACCACGGTGCCGAGCCGAAGAGTTGAGCAGGGCCCACGAATGACCATTCAAGGTCCACGACTCCGATAATAGTGAGGTCGTCTTTGCTCCGGACAATCAGGTTTGCCAGGCCAAGGTCGTCGCAGATTAGTTTGAACTTGCAACGGTCATATTCCGCGTGGACCAAATCTGGGATCAGACTCTTCAGGATCTTAAACGCCACGTATTTGTTCTGTGCATCATACGGGCCAAACACCGAATTGGGCTGGCGAACAAGCTGCTCCCAGTCCTGGCCCGCGACATACTGGAAGTACTCAGTAGCCGTTGCGAAGCCATGTGATCGATCTCCTAGATACCAGCTGAGTTAACGGTCCTGAAGAGTGATACAAGATTGTGGGACAATACCAAAAGTATCCACTCCCCCATTCTGTAGGATACTATGGGCCTTGAACGTCAGCGGCCGCAGCGGTGTAGGGCGTTGGACGTCCGCGCGTGGCGACGGCAGGCTGCCAATGCGGCCAAAATCCAGCTGAAAAAGCTGAAGGAGGAAACTCGCCATCTGTCTATAGATCACTTCGATATCACCATCGCTGATATCCTCCCTAATTACGCGACTGGGGCGCTGAGCGTCCGGATCCCGGAGAAGCTCACCAAGGCTCACACCGTGTATAAAGTCCATTACGATAAAGGGGCCCAGACCAAGTGGGTTACTTGCGGCAGAGCCCCATGCCCGGACTTTGGGAACAGGAATATTCGTCCTGTCGCGGATAAGACGGAGGGCTGTTACTTCCATAGCCACCTTCTCGTCGGCGAACTGGTCGCAAATCCTTCCCATACGGGGAAAGCGGACCATCCAGGTCGTGTTGTCATTGAAAACCATCTTTATGCCAGCGTTGAAGGCTCCATGGTGAAAAGTGCCGTCTAGGTGACAAGGGAGTCGGTTTGGGTGGAACGTCGACACCCACTGGCAGAGACGGCCGGTTGAATGGGTCTCGTTGATCTTGTCAACCCAGAGCTGGCCCTGCACGTCGTGGACGAGATCTAGGATTGCGTTGGTGTCCATCACGTTGGGTGAAGTCAATGGAGGAAGAAGGGAGGGAGCCAAAGGGCGGCTGCACAGGGAGGATCCTTGAACGCGATAAAGGATAAAGAGGTTGCAAGGTCCAAGTCACAAAGTACAAATCCTGATCACAATTCTATTTCTATGGTAACAGACGCAATATGGGTACTGTCAATATTCCTGATTGAATCATACTTCTACAGTAGTAAATAAGTAGATTTTACTCAGTAAGTAGGTAACATGCTTACAGACAGTCCCTCTAGGTCGTATGTACATTGACTATCAACGCCCAACTCCCACTAGGTATATAGCAGTACTCCATGTAACACATACAGCAACGCTCCGAGATATAACCACCTGGCAAACACGCTAAGAAACGCTGGCTCAAGCAGCCACCTACAAGACCCATTCGTCCGTCCGGTCCGAGCTCGATATAAACGGCTTGTCGATCTGCTTGATAGCATGGTCGCTGCACAAAATACTAGTACAACGCGTCAGCACACTCCCGAGGTAAGCAACTAGCCCACTTACCAAGCCTCGGCTATCAGCCCATCCAATTCCTTCACAATGTCTTCCCGTCGGGAAGATGGCAGATCGCCCTTGTTGAGCTGCGTCTGCAGATCCCGAATGTATCTCCTCTTGCCACCCGCGCCCTCGAGAACCTCCTTCCCGAGACAGTCGCTGTGGAACGCATGCTGACAGGGGAAGACGAAAAACTGCCGGCTGAGCACGGGGAGCGAGCAGATCCAGCACTTTTCGCCAGGCTCGACAATAGCGTATCGCGTGTCCAGAGACGCAATCTCCGACCGAATCTGGCGCGCAGTCTGCGCCGAGTTATCCATCTCCTGTCGGAGGGCATCAATGTGCCGAGAGTAGTCTTCCAGCGCCGTGCAGATCTCGTCCTTGAAGTCGTCAATGACGACAAAATCAGGGAAGAAGGGGATCAGATCTTCAATGCGGAGCAATTCGCATCGGCGCAGAAACTCAATGGCGTCTTTAATGCCCGTGCCCGGCTGGCGGATCTTCTTCTCCGCCACGAGGAGCCACAGCTTCTTGCGGAGCTTGTCGTTCCCTTCGGGCCGGTCGGCGACGATGGCGGCGAGTTCAATATCATCGTGCTGCAGAGCCAGCTCTACTGCCTGGAGATACTGACCCATCGCGCTGTAGATGTGGACGCAGGACTGCACCCGTTGGTGCTGTATGCAGAGACGAAGGGCGAAATCGGCATCGTACGGAGGCGGTGATGACGGCTGCGACTGGAGGTACGTCAGGAGCCCGGCTTCTGAGGATGATGTGCTCGAGGCATGGATCGATATGAGCGTGTTGTGGACAGCAGCCGAGGGGTTCGGGTGGTTCACGATGATGAAGTTGAGGTATCGTACGGCCTGGTTCTGACTGAGGGAAACATTCGCCGTCTTGTTGTAGTTGAGGAGGGCGGGTATCAATCTCTCTGGCTCGAGGTTCGTCTGTCGCATGAGGATATCAACCAGTCCCGTTGCAGCGTGCGCCATGAGGACACTGCTATATTTGTAGAACACGTCGGGGCTACTTTGCCGTTGGAGGACGTTCAGCGCTTCAGACCACTTTTCACGTTGAATCCAGTATGAGAGCACATAGCTGTGATCGTTGGTCGCCGTAGCAAAGAAGAGCAGCTCCTCTTCTCGACCATGGCTGCTGATAATATCGTACGCAGTCTTCTTGTCCAGGTCGGACTTGTACTTGGTCACAAAGTCCTGAAACTCTAAACGAACGCTGCGGAGCTGGTCCTTGATTTCCTCCGTGCTTGTGCCCTCCGCCAACTCCGCTCGAGTGGCGACATTGTCGTCAAGGGAGTTCAGTTTGGACATGAAAACTTCCACAAGCCAGCTGGAAACCATGATGCGCTGCATCGAGGATGACTTCTTGTATACTGACAATTGAGACAGAAGGTACTTGCGAAGAGCATCATGCTCGCCACGGTTGATCAGCGTGAGACAGACCTCCTCGAAACCCTTGCTGCTCTTGCCCCAGACCTTGGCTGCCTCCAGATAACGCCCTTTACTGGCGAGATAGTCGCCGGACGCAGTAGCAACGGCGTCTTTTTGGGCACCAGTGTGGGCATGTTGAAGGGCTTGATCGAACATCTGTCTCTGCAAGAATACCTTCCACACATCTCTATCTTCGTCCTCGACGGCGATCTCAAAGATCTCTTGGCCCGTAAACAACCAGTAGGTGTGTTGCATAGAGTCGGCCAGCAGCCCCAAGGTACTCTGGCCGGGCTCTAGAACGGGCTGCTCGTAGACAATCTCCTCGTTCATTCGGTTGACTGCAACAATCCGTCCCTCGACCAAGGCAAGAATATGCCACTGCGTCAGGGTGACAGCGGTAATAGGGTCTTGTATCATTTTCTTGCCTCCGCGTGAAGACTGAGTTGCAGGAAAAACCGATCGCGACAGCATATTTGCACTCTCAAACGGCTGGTGCAACTCCTCCGCCGAGTATGGAAGCTGACCATGGTACACGCCCTCAGAACTCAGCCAAGCAAACTCCCTATCGGTTTGACCGTCGACAGGATGATGACCATCAGGGCCGGTGGGTGAGATTGCCAGACTCGAGGGCGCAGAGCTAGAGGGCCTTTGGATCTCGTGGACGACAGGGCTTTCTCGCTGAAAAAGGTCCGTGTATATCGGCCCTCCGCCTTCTCTCCCAGGGCGCCCCCCGCGCCCCGTAAAACACATTAACTTTCCATGGGTTGCAACCAAGACCCGACGGTGCTCGGGCTTGGTAGGAATCAGCTCTGCCCAAGCCCCCGTCACTGGTGACCCTTCGGGCGCCCTGTAGACCGCGGTAACATATCGCTCCTCGCGCCGATAGAACTCCGTCGACGGTTCGATATAAGCTTCATAGAGGTGGCCGTCCGTGGTGCCGAGGAGGATCTCCCTTGTTGATGCTGTTGGGAGCGAGGGGTTCCAGGCGACGGTCTCGATCGAAACGCCTTTCAGCCGGGACAGTGGCTTCGGTTGTCTAGACTGGGTGTGGAGGTAGTAGTTTTCGCCGAGCGTGGTGGTAACAATTAGATGAGATGCAGAAGGGTCCAGAAACATGCGACGGATGACTCCTATCTCTGAGGACTTCTTTGGGAGATCAATATCTATGACAGTTCCGATCAGTACACTGCCGGCGCGGGGCGCGGAGCCCGTAAGTTGATGCTCGATAGGAGGGCAAACGTACCGTCTATTTCCTCGGGGGTATCAAGATCTATGCGAAGAATCCGATTCGTTGACAAGGCGAGAATGAGCACATTGTTTGCAACTTGGGCTGCGACAAAGTCCGCAGCTAAGGGGAACTGCAGCTGTACCCGGCGGACATCGAACATGGAGAGAGAGGAGTCGGGCTCCGCGAGGTTGCTGGGAGCAACATAACCGTTGGGATTGTCCAGCGCCATTGTGCGCCAATTCAAGTAGAAAGGAGATTATAGCATAGTTCTCTGCAGGTGAGCGAGGAGAGAGAAGCTGACCGCCGCAGCTGTTGGAGGAGTTGGGGAAGTCGGAGAGAGCGAGTGATCGCACCGAATGGGGAAGCTCGACGGAGGCGGAGCTGTTGGTGCCTTGGTGCCTTGGCGCCTGAACGTGAGATGAACAACTACGTACTACGACACTTACGACAAAAATAGTCTGTACAACAAAGTAGCGTGTTTCACAAGTCACAGGTCTATGGGATTTCCTCTTTCTTCTATAATCCATACAACTCCATCCCGAACAACGTCGCTCATTATGCGGTAATACTAAATGGATATGCTGGGTATCATTTCATCACAACCACCGCCCAAAGGAAAAGGAACGTCACATCACGATGCATTCGCGCTCGAGTTTTCGCCCGATTCGCTCTCTGGACTTAAGCTTGCCTTTCTGTTTCTCGTCCTCCTTCGTGCGCCGAGCGCTGTTGTCTTTCATCTCGCCATTCGTCGCGGCGGATCGGTCCTCGCGAGGGTCGACCTCCACGGCCACCTCGTCATCGCCTTCGTCGCTGTTTGGTTTGTCCCTGTTCAAACGACCAGTGAAGCGAGAAAATGTCAAGCTGAAACGGCTCTCGCTAGCCTGACTGCCAGCACGGCTCCCTGGATTGCTTCTTGTCGTCCGGGACCCGCGTCGAGAAAACGAAAACGAACTCCTCCCATCCGATTCTGGGGCCAGCTTGGGTGATGTTGAGGGAACTGAATGGATCTGAGGCCATCCAGTAGAGTTCATGGGCTCAGTCGTCTCGGAGAAGCCAACACTATACTTTCTACCACGAGTATCGAGCGATCCGATCTCTGCGTGCTCTGGCCCGGTGATCTCAAAGCTGGGGCGGTTGGACCGAGCGCCTTCCACCCGCTCACTGTCCAGGAAGTCTGTGACGGAACGCTGAGAAGCTTCGGTGAGATTCAACTCTCGGGGTTCAGACTCGCTGGATGGGATTCGATGGTGAGGAAGGTTGACCATCGCAGCGTCTTCGTTAATAGGGAGAATTTGATAGAACAACAGGTAGGGAGACTCATGCTTCAAAGCCTGCTCGATATCAACCAAGGTCACGCGTTCTCTCGCCAGATCATCGAACCGCATCCAGTACTGCGGAGGATCCGAGACGGTGGACTGGGAGCTGTGAGAGCTGGTTGGAGCTACGCCGGCATTGGTACCCCTGACGATAGAGATATAATGCCCGGAATCCACAGAGTTGCCACGATGACAGACCATGGCTTGCAAGGAGAGCTTGAAGTTCCCGTATATGGGCCCTTCTTCGTCCATACTGTCATCCTGGATGAAATGAGGCAGGCCAATCTCCGTCGGAATGTCCACGAACGTGTTGAGCCGGACAGCCCTGCCTGCTGGGGTCATGCTGTACCGTTTGAGACAGATGCCAAGCATAGGTCGTTTCGTGGAGAAATGCGTCGCAATTTGGGCGTCGTTTTTAGGGGTATTATCGGTGTACCACGCTGTAATGGATCAGCTTCAGATCCGCTGTATTCGGGACCAGCAAACTCACGTATCAAGCTGAAAAACTGCCACGCCGGCATCATGACCTCCTTACGGTAGGACCCCCGGCGTAGGGAATTGCTGTCGCCTGCGACTTCTTCTCCTTCTGGATCGGGTACGAAACGTTCCTGCACAATACTGTCGCGCCGCGTTCGGGACGAGTTCTGGTCACTCGACTGCGCCACGGAGGATATTGGTTGCAGCTCATCAAGCCGCATTGGGGATATGGAAGTGGGAGATCCGGTCGGGGACGGGCTGACCTCCACCGTCTCGATGTGAGCGGAGACACCTTTGCACAGGGAATCGAGCGACTTGGTGGAGCCGGAGGTGTTCTGTCGCTCCAGATAGCGCTTCACTTCGATTCTGTTGTTGAAGTAATTTTCCAGGCAGTCCTCCAGGGTGACTGTCTTGCCATCAGAAGGCTCAGGGATTGCGATCTCAAGCAATCGTTCGTTGACAAACTTATGGTCGTCACGCTCGTCCTCTTTGCCGGTGTGATAGATATCCATCTTCAATGTGAGAAGGGGCAGCTCGAGTTTCTCTGTGATGAAAGTGAAGGCCTCCGAGGCGTCCTGTTGGCGGAGTTCGGCTGCATCTTTCCAGCCACATTTCGCCAATGCTTCCTGGAGATGCTTGGTCTACAAACGGTTAGTATGCTCGCTGTCATAAGAGACCCGTGGAGCAGCACATACAATATCAGTCGTGATGAGCCTGCCAGACCGCAGCATGTTGACCCAGAACCGCAGCAGAATAGCCAGGTCCCGACGGGGTTCGTCGTCGAAAGTCTTGTACAGGATGGGCTCAAAGCAGTCGAACCGTGCAAACATGGCGAAGAGAAGCGCGTCGAGGTAGCAGGTGACCATTTCGCGATTTTCCGCGCCCAGTAGCTTTGTGCTTGGTGTATATCCCCTCACAACGCCTTCGATCGAGTCCTCAAGAAGGAGTAGCAGGTCGAATGCCTTATCCACGTCTCCTTGTGCATGGGTCGACTGCAATGCATAGGCCATATGCTCTTCTTTGATTCCGGTGATGCCAAGCTGGGAGATGCGCCGCGAGATGATTTTCACCTAAGCAGATGTTAGCACGACCGTGGCCTTGCTAGCAAGAAGAACCTAACTTTACCTTCTTCTGCTGTTCAGACGCATCGCCTGATGCGCTGGGAGAAGAAAAGAAACTTCGAAGGTGTGGACGGGAGAGGAATATAGAGGTCTGACTGTTGTTAGCATTTCATCACTGTTCAGAACAGAAGGTTCATCCAGCCTCACCTCTTCTTTGTTGCCATTTCTGTTTGGACGCTCACGTCGAGTGAGGAACCTGTGAATGCCACTCATCTTCTCGACCAGACCAGACGGGAAATTGATTAAGTATAGTCAGGAGGCAAGAAAGAGATCATGGGCGTGAAGGTCCGAATATGTGTCGACATGTGGAAGGGTTGGGTCCGGAGTCAGGGTCTGAGAAGTTTCATAGAACACGCGAAGAAGCTCCCCGCGGGGTAAGATAAGAACAATATCAAGAAATTCACACCCTGTCTCTGAAACGGTGCTTGCGGCTCTCTGTCTCTCCTTTTATAGATCACCCCCCTTGGACGCGTCAGTCAGCACACCCGCTCGTATAGGATCCAGGTGAGGTTCCCAAGTGACATCACATCTGGTGACAGCACAAGTCACTGGAGGAGAGGATCAAACGGCGCAGGAATGGAGGACACGGGTAAGAACGGGGGGGAATCCGGGGGCCTTGGATGGCAATACCCATTATCAGAAGACCAGGGCACCGGATCGACAGTGATCTAGATCATGGATGCCTGGAGCAGTAAGTGGGATGTAAAAGAGGGATGTCTGTTGGCTGGCGGGGGCAACTGGCAGAACGGCCGATCGCAGGTGGAGCTTTTTTTTTGGCGGTGGAGAGCCCTTATTATGCCTGAGGCATCAACAGGTCTCAGAGAGAATTTCCACGTGACCCGATCCCAAGTGGATTTGATCGGTCCATGTTGTCTCCGGAATTTTTGGACTGCTCTCTCTTACTCCGTCAGTCTACTGCCACCCTTCTCTCCGGTACAACCCCAATGGCTGCCAGCGAGTCATCCAGGTACCTGGCACGGTCATTGCCTCGCGCTTTCGTGCCCTCTGCCCGTCCCCAGGTCTCCTGTTGGTGCCGCAATGCCTCCAGCCAGGCCTCGTCCAGGTCGCCTGCCGCCGACCTGAATGAGCTGGAGTCTTCGGGGGCATTGACGTCTGCGGTGTCCATCCCCGAGTCGACAGTGAAGTCGTTCGACCCCGCTTCAAAAGCCAAAGGCCGCAAGAAGCAACTGCCGCGAAGTCGGTAAGTCGTCGTCCGCCCGATCAAACCAGCCGTGTATCAACCATCCTCATCCATTCCCAGGTACCAGTTTCCGATCTCCCAAATACGATCGCGGTCCGCTTCATCCTCACCGACTTCCGCCCCCATCCGAATCTTCATCTCGTCTCTACGTCCCCGGCCCTTTCTCGCTCCCGCGCGTCGACCAGACCTACCACTCGACCGTCGCCTCGGACATCCTCACCCTCTGCTACGTGCACAACCCACCGGGCTTCAAGCCGCCGCCGAAGGCGCCGCGTCTCCGCTCGTGGGATGAGTCCTCGCCGTACCACAAGAACCGGCCGCTGCGCGGGCCGCGCGGTGGTGACGTGCTGCGTCTCCTGCGCAAGCCCATCACCTTCAACAACATCCCCCAGCTGGAGCGCATCACGATCCACAGCTACGTCAAGCAGGCCGCGCAGGAGAACTCGTCGTGGCTGCACGTCGCTGGAATGGCCGTACAGGCCATCTCCAACTCGCGCGTTGACACCTTCAAGTCCAAGACCAGCGTGGCCACCTGGGGCATTGCCCCCGGCCGTGACACCGTCGCCGTCAAGGCCGAGCTCCGCGGCGAGACCATGCTGCATTTCTTCGGGAAGCTCGTCGACATCGTCATGCCCCGTATCAAGGACTGGGAGGGCGTCAAGGGCTCGAGCGGTGACAGCAGTGGTAACATCACTTTCGGTCTGGAGCCCGAGATGGTCGCCCTGTTCCCCGAGATCGAGGTCAACTATGATATGTACGTTCTGGCTCGTCAAGTAGCCCCGGTGTCTCATAACTAACCTCGTTTGTCATTAGGTACCCGCCCAAGATGATCCCCGGTTGTCATATCACCATCCACACCTCTGCGAAGACCGACAAGGATGCTCGGCTCCTCCTCAGCGCTATGGGTATTCCGTTCTACGGAAAGATGGTGGACTAGAGAATTAGGTGGACTGCAGGCTGGGAGTACTTCATAATTCCCCTTTGAGTCGTTTTGGGGCATGTAACATGGTATCGTGTGATATTCTGGTCTTCTGTAAAATACGCTCTGTTTCAGTTTTTTGCACAAATTCATAGAACATTGTTTGAGATGTCGTTCGTGGTAGCCGCACGAGAATATATATATATACTGGACTTATATCAACATGTCCCATAGAATCCCGAACCGCAATACACGTGAAACTTCATGCGTTTAAACACTGCCAACATAATCAACATGGCACCGGTGTCCACAGTATTATAGTAAGAGAGATGTACCAAACATTAATAATAGGCAACAGCACGCAAAAAAAGTAAGACCAAAATGCTCCAGGGTATTCCTTTATGTAAGTCAAAACGCATCGAATCATTCCAAAACCAGTCAGCCTATGCAATCGTAGGAGCAGCCAGAAATTGACATTTCAATAGCTCATCCGCACTAGGTCTTTGTTCGTAGTCGACCTGGAAGGTCATATCCAAGAAAGCCACCGCATCCTTGCTGGCATGCTCCGGGGCCGGCGGCCGGGCCTGGTTGCTGCCAATGGCGAAAATAGCCTGCAGTTGGCTGCAGTCCGGGAAGGGATGAGCTCCAATGAACATCTCTACCACCAAGCAGCCCAAACTCCAGATATCAGCCTTTTTCGTGTGAGCTGTCTGGCGGACGACTTCAGGGGCCATCCAATATACACTGCCCTGCAACGAAGGTCGGTGGAGGTGGCCAGCTCCGCTGCCACTCGCGCGAGCGCCAAGAACAGTCGATGCCTCGACTCGCTTGGAAATGCCAAAGTCGGAGATCTTGATGCCGCCCTTGTTGTCGACCAGAATGTTGGCACCCTTGATGTCTCGGTGAATGATGTCCCGGCTGTGGAGGTAGGAAAGACCGGCCAGGATCTGTCGTACAAAGTTCTTGATCAGAGGCTCTTGGAAGGTGTTGTACTGCTTGAGCATCGTGGCAATGGAACCACCCGGCACATATTCCAGGAAAATGTTCAGATACTGATCGTCGGCAGCAGTTCCGAGATACTGCACGATGTTGGGGTGGTGCAGCCCTTGTAACAGCTCGATTTCATGTTTGAGTGCAGTGACCATGCTGTTCTTTCGTTTGTCGAACTCTGTTCCCTTGGTTGCCGATGGTATCTCAACTTGTTTGACGGCCATAAGCTCTCCGGTGATGGTATGCAGAGCAAGGAATACACTTCCGAAGGATCCTTCACCGATGAGGGAACCTTTCATCCAGTTCTTGGCAGCGAAGTTGTTCCCAGCCAAGAATTCATTCAGACCATCATCCTCTTCTTCTCCATCTTCCGCCACCAAGACACTGAGTCGCTCGTTGAAGGAGCCACCATCAGTTGCCGCCACACTGGAATTCTCGTCCAAGAGACTTTGGCGAGAATTAGTGGGGTCATCTGAGCCGCTGTCGAATGAGACGTATGACTTCCGATTGGGCTCAATAGGTGACTCCTCCTGGAGAGGCTGCAGGGAGCTAGACGCGATGGAATCCCGATACGCGGTCTGGGGAAGGTTGAATTTAGACACGGAGATGGGCCGCGGGGCACGAGTGGCCTGTCCTCCTTGGTTGAACCACGTGTCGGCAATACTGGGGATAGGAGGGGCATCCCTCAAACTGGAAGCATAGCTTGTATTGCTGACAACGCTCAGTCGGCTCGCTGCACGACTGAGACGCTGTGACCTCCGAACGGACATGCGCATCGTCTTCTCGATGTCCTCACGGTGGTGGCTTGGGAAGTAGGATGTGATCTCATGAATGATCATTTCACTTGGTGGCCGAGCGCCGAAGAAGGAGCGTAACTTCGATACCGGATGGCGTTCTAAATGTGGCATTTGCACATCATGGTCACTCGGGGTGTTCTGGTGCCGAGAAGACAGGGGTGACATAGGTTTGCTGATGTTATGCCAGGACTCACCAGTAAGCTGCTGGATCTTCATCTGATTCCTCGTGTTCGAGTTGTTCAAGGCAGCTAAGTGGGTCACCTGGCTTTCATCCACCGCAAGCTGCGAGGCCCGGCGGAGTTCATCATTATCAGGCTCTCCCGCATGGATCTTCCGCAGGATAAGGCGTCCACGTTCGCTGTGGGCGCCCTCAACGATGCCCATCAGTTCGTGGTCGGTCAATTTCCTGCAATTGGACGGGTCCGGCTCCAGTCCATCCAGCACGTAGAAGCAGTAGTTGCGGTACTGGTGTTCGGGGAGCTGGAGCTTCTTCAAAACACAAATAATGATTTCATCCGGTGTCTTGCAATGTTTGATGTTCAAAACCTTGGTCTGTCCTCCTGTGTAGATCACTCGTATTACGGGAGAGTTGGTAGGCAGGGGACCCATGGTCAATCCGTCAAGGCTGGGGTTCTGCCTCAAATGTGAAGGACCCCGATGGGTCTCACTCGGTGTTTTGCGCCCCGAATTGGAGCCGCCTGATGAGGGGTGGCTGAAATAACCCTGTCCCTGTTCCTTTCGCGCGTTTTCCATGGGGCTTGCCACATATCGCTGAGCTCGCAGAGGTGACCCAGGCCGCGAACCTGCTTTACCTGCGGTGTAACCATGAGGCAGGTTATCCGTGCGCGGCAGGCGAGAAGTGCCTGCAGAATTGAGTCGGAGATTCGACGATCGACCGGAAACTTCCAGGGCTGCTAGCTTATCCTGAATGGACGTGAGAAAGGGGTCATTGATATGGTGGCATCCCCACTGACCATGTTTCTTTGTTTGCGGTTGATGACCGACTTATTCCTCAGTTGTTTGATGGCGACGAAGATGCGAACACGATCGCCAATTTTCTTGATTCCCATCTCCTGGAGAATTTTCTGGTCACATTCGATGAGGTTGTTCCCGTTGAAGTTGTTGGCTGCGAGGGTCAGATACTTAGGATCACAGTATCGGGCCGATCAAGACCATGCGTACCTTTGAAAAGAGCCTCATACTGGCCACAATTGATGCTGTGGAGCCAAGTGATCACCTGCTTTTCATCCCAGGATCTAGCCACAAGTTAGCGATCCATCGCCTGCGAATTCCCTGGAGTTGACTCTTAGAGCCAGTCCACTCACCGCACAGCCTCCAGCCCATCGTGTATGGAGAACTCCGACTCCGTGGGACTGGCGAAGGATGCCCCATCTTTGATGGAGAAGATGGCGGACTTTTGCGACGGCCCAGAATGGTAAGAGGTGGTTGGGGTTTGGGACGTAGGCATGCCCAAAGTCGTCGAGAACGAAGGCTTGGACGCAAGCATGGCGAAGGCAGATATCGTTATATCGCAACCGTGGGACTTCTTGGTCTGTGTTGGCTGCTAACCGGCTGAAACAGAATGTAGGGACGTCGTTCGTACACCGCTTAGGAACAAGAGGGCCCGATGCAGATTGACGATGAATCAATGCATGATCAAATGTCTGAAGGCGACAGGACAGCGGGTTAGTTCCCTGACAGGATTGAGGGCACACGAGGAGAAGTCGCGATCTGGGATAGAGACCTACAGGTCTAGAAGAGTTGATGGGGTCACCGAACAAAAAACAACGCTCCCCGTATTATATCACGACCGATGATCGTCTTGACAGTCTAGAATCTGATGTTATCAGAGATGACGGCGCTAGGGCGTCGACTGAAAGGAGGAGCGAAGCGTGGAGAGGAAGAGAGACGAGAGAAGAGGAGAAATGGAGGGAGGAAGAGGGGAGAAGAGGGAGGAGAAAAAGGAAAAAGGGCCGTGAGGAGGGTGAAGCGGTGATGTGGTGGAGGGAAAAGCCCAACGATAAGCACGCGGTCTTGAAACAAAAGCAGCACTGACTGCCCCGATCGGCCGGGGACCAGCTTCACCACCTGATTTGTCAGGAGGGCCCAACCTGAAACACGCGGTCCCGATGCGTTGGAGGGGATGCTGTGTTATGTTCTGTTACTAATGTCGTGGAGGATAATGTCTAGTCGCGATTTTTCTCTTCTCTTACCATTCTAGATTACTATACAGAGTATACTTATGATCCCTGAGTACTATTTAGTTAGTAGCTAGAACTTCCTATTCTTCGTGCGGCGGGGGTTCTGGTTCAATGGCTGCTACTTCGGATTAGACTCCCCCTTTCCGATGTGATCATGATGAGACAGATATTTTTGGTAGGAAAATCCACCCAGCGGAGTCCTTCCAGAACCCCTTGAATTCCAAATGGTCGATTGGCGTTACTCTCCCGGTCCTTTTTTTCTTTAGGCCCCTCTTCGTTTGACGATAAACCTAGATCTCCAGGCTCCATCGGGTCGGCTAGCTATACAACCGGTCTGAAACCTGCTGACGACTGCAGGTTCCTTGATGACCTCTGACTGTTTTACGGAATCGATTCAATTTGGTACGCTAGTCAGAAAAGTTCTGACTCGCAGAGATAGGCTGTCCCGGTCTGTTTCAAGAGCGAATCTGGCAAAAGGTAAACAAATCCGATGGAGAAAATAATAATCAATAAAGAACACACTCTACGCAAGGGAGAGGAGCCACTTCGAGAACGCCCTTGGGTGTCACTAGTGTCTCTATCCATAGAAACACTCGGAGTAGAAAAAAAAGCCCCGGGCTGAAAATTGACTCAGCCATTGAGTGTGTCTCCAAATTCCCCCGGTCACTTGAAACACGGTGCTGAGTAGGTAAGGTAGCTATCCTCAGACCAAAGAATTCGATTCTCCTTGCCTTGCAGGCAGGGAGAGAATGTTTCCATCATGAGCCTGGAGTGGGAACAAAGGATGGGACATGTGACACTGAGCTGAGCATTCTTTATGGAGGTTGATTATTGTTGAGTATTCCAGCCTAGGTATGATATGCAGGAAGATCAGTTCATACCGGTGAGTAGGTAGGTAGGTAGGTAGGTATTCGGCGAATTCTGTGGCAAGCAGAGTCTGTTGGATCATCAGGTTACCTATGTCATACGTTTGACCCGGTTGAAACCTCTGGTGGTATCTGGTATGAAAGATCAAGTAATATGTGACCAGACACGACGCTGACTCTATGCCTACCATCCCGTCGGCCATGGATCTCCTTCCCGGCTATGAGGAGACCATGAGGAGAGATAGGGTTGCAATCACCAAGTTTGCAGAGTCGAATGTATGCATCTCCGCACCAGTGGGGATGCGGATGAAGATACTGAATCTCGCGTGGTCATTGCGATCAGGTGAATCAGATACCCCAGGTCCTCCATGCCATACTATGGTCCTGATAGATGGGATGTAGAGATTGAGGAGATGAAACAACAGGATACTATCTGTCCATCGTCTATGTGGATTGTAGGTAAGGCTGTAAGTCTCTCGAGGTGCGTAGAAACAGACAAAGAGGACACCACGTGACCCGACGCAAACCCCCTCATCGAAACCCCACAGTTTTTCTTCCCCGCTCGTCTGTGATTCCATCTGGAACGGACATGCTCCAACTCCCTCAGCCTTATAACCCGCGATGGAGGACGAGAGAACTGCCCCCGGGAAAGTGAGGAAGAAGAACACCACCGCTCATCGGAAATCCCTGTCTTGCGAATATTGCAGCAGGTCGTTTGCCCGGCTGGAACATCTCCAACGCCATCTCCGCACCCGTTGAGTAACCCTGAGCCTCCTGTCCATGTCGGACCTCGAGCCTCCCTCGTCCTCCATGGCTAACCCATCGTCCCAGACACCAAGGAGAAGCCCTTTTCATGTGATATTTGCTCCAAGTCCTTTGCGAGAAGGTAAACCTCATTCCAGTCGCCGCAACGTTGATGAACCTACCGCTAATCTGGGAGGGGAAACCCGATGCAGCGACCTTCTGGTGCGACATGAACGATTAGTCCATCCGGCCGAGGCTGCAGCCAATCGAGAACATCGAAACCATAGCAATCATGATATTGTCCAGACTCCTTCCTCTATAGTGCCGCCCACTCATCATCATCCTCATGAGTCTCGCATGCTAGAACTTGCGGATGCTGTGCCCGTTCATTCCCAACCCGTACCCCCGCCGCCACCACCGCCGCCTGAGGTACAGGTCCAACCGCCTCCTATTGTCGAGACAACTCATTTCAACCCGTCGTGGGGGTATGATTTGAATCTACTATCACATGCCGCTAGTCATGTCGCTCTGGAGGGTCAACAGGAGAGTTTGAAGGCGTCCCAAAACGTGCCTCCTCCTCCTCCTCCACCGGTCCCCCATGTTCCGGAGAGAGCGATCACCGACAACTATGGTGTTGAACCGTCCATCTTGGATCTCACCGATCTAGGAGATCCGGTTCAAGACTTTACAGTCTTTCTCGAAAGCGTCGGCCTTTCCTCGGATTGGGACTCGGGGGTGTTTTCGTCCGTTGAGGACCCTCTGTTGCCTCCAACCAGCCTTTCAATTGATTCAAAGCCCACAATTCGCGAAACCTCTAGACTAGGGACGGATATCATGAGCGATTCCCGAGGTACGGCTGATGAGCCGCCGTCCTTTTCTAACTTCGGCTCTCGTCTTCCTTCACTGCAGCCCGAGTCTCAAGAAGTAGACGACCGCCTCGGGTTTGGGGATGAAGGGCCCCGTCCTGCATGGGACATATCAAACACCGATCGACAGGTCTTCATCTCCAAGCTTGAGGAATTCGCTCACGTTCTCCCAAGGGGCTTTGTCCCACCCTCGCGGCATGCCTTGTCTCGCTTCTTTGCCGGCTATATCAACGGCTTGAACGAACATCTTCCTTTCATCCATGTCCCAACCCTTTCTGTCGCAAAATGCTCCCCTGAGCTCACGCTGGCCCTAGCCGCCGCGGGATCGCATTATCGCTTTGAAAATAATCGCGGTATTGATCTGTTCTACGCGGCCAAAGCGATTTTGCTTGAGAGGCTCCAAAGAAGGGACAGTAAGCAAGTGCAATGCCCAACATGGAATTTCTTCTCTCCCACGTCAGGGCTCCACGAATCCCGTGGGTCGTCTACCCCTTCAAACCACACCACTAGCCCGTTCCAGCAGCAACAGCAGCAGCCATATCACCACCTCTCTCAGCCAATTGATTCTTCTGGCTACGCCCCTCCAGACTCAGATGCCCACATGGAAGTCATCAGAACTTTCTTACTGTTGACCGTCTTCGCTTCTTGGGAAAGGCATCCTGAACTCTTACGGGAGATTCTTTCACTTCAAAGTACTCTGGCAAGACTTGTCAGAGAGCATGGGCTGTCGGAGTCCCCAATTATCCCTGACCCTAATAACTGGGAAGACTGGATTCGAAGGGAGGGTAACAGGCGCACAAAGCTCATCGTCTATTGTTTCTTCAACCTCCATTCTATCATGTACAACATTCCCCCACTGATTTTAAACGCGGAGTTGAAGCTGAATATGCCCTGTTCCCACGACGTTTGGAAAGCCAACAACGCTGCCCAGTGGCGGCGAGTGATTCGCTCCCGGAACGCATCGGAGGTGCCATTCCAGGAGGCCTTCGCCAAGTTGTTCCAGAAATCTGCAGTAACGAGCTCTTCGGCACCTATCTCTCCTCTCGGGAACTACATCTTGATTCATGCTCTCATCCAGCAAATTTTCTTTGCTCGTCAGCTCTGCCTCTCTGCCCCGTATCTGCAAAGCACCAGCCTGAGGCAGGAAGACCTTACTGTCTTGGACAGCTCCCTCAGTGCGTGGAAAGCGTTATGGAAACGGACTCCCGAATCAAGCATTGACCCCCAGAACCCGGCCGGCCCGATTGCGTTCACATCCACAGCCCTCCTCGGCCTGGCGTATATTCGTCTGCACGTGGACCTGGGCCCTTACCGCCGTCTCATTACTCAAGATCCTGTCCAGATTGCGCGAGCCTTGACAGAGTCCCCTCCGATAGCACGAAGCCCGCGTCTTATCATGGCATTGTTGCATTCGGCGCATGCTTTGTCCATCCCCGTCCGCCTGGGTATCGATTTTGTGGCCAAAACTCACTCATTCTTTTGGAGCATCCAGCACTCTCTATGTAGCTTGGAATGCGCCTTTCTTCTAAGCCGGTGGCTACTTTCGATCCCAATGACCCAGTCAGAACAACGATTGACGGAACACGAGAGGAAACTCCTCTTATGGATCAAAAGTATGATGGACGAAACAGACATGGCTGTTGATCCCCCTGGGGCGCCTGACGTGGACTTTATGGCGAACCCATACAAAGCCAAGCAGCTCAGTGTTGCGATTGTGCGCGTGTGGGCTAGAACGTTCAAGGGCAACACCAGCTGGGCCATTGTGGATCTAGTTGGGTCGAGCCTAGATGCCTATGCAGACCTCTTGGAGACTCAGATATAACGTCATATCTCCCATCCCTGTCGGTCCACACACTTCTACCTGCGTCTCGCTAGGGTTTTGTCTTGTTGTCTCTGACCACGTTGGTCTGATGTCGCTGCACTTTCATGGGTTGTTCACTCAATACCTCAAGGGCCACGCGTATTTTTTGGACGCTATAGGACAGGTCAGGTGGGGTGCGTCATGATTATGCATGCCCTGTTCATTACGATCCTTGGGCATGGGCGTGCGCTTTCCTGGCAAATTATGCAGCTGTATACCCGTGTCCATTATCTTTCTTCTCCCGCTTGCCTCTGTATATATCTCTCGTGGTTTGATATGCTGTGATGTTATAATGTTTCTATGTCATCAGGTCTTGTTGCTTTTGGCGTGGCAAAGGTTGGGAAAGCCCAAAAAAAATGCCCTTCGCTGATTTTCTTTTCTCTATTATCCCTTGTCGTTTCTTTCTTGATGGCCTGATGATCAGGTTTTATTGTTTCCTTCACTTTCACTCCTTGTTTCGGAGACACGGCTGCTATAACTGATGTTACGATTGTTCCCCTTGAAGTAATTGAATGACTATTCTTGCCTTTTTCTCAATATTTTCGTCATCCAACATGGTCATTATACTAGGTATATTCCAGTCTTTACATTAGGTCATTATGGCATCTCGCTAGATTGGCTTTGCGCGGAATGGGGTTATCGAAGATTCGAAGCCGCTTTATTTTTGGTGACGCTTGCCGGAACGAATCGCAATGCAGACATTGACGTCTCCAGCTCAGCCATCTCCGAGTCTGTTGGCTCCTGCTGGGCTGTCGGGGGGGGCGCGTCGGACACCGGACTCGGTTGCGACAGCGATGTCTGCCGGTATCGCAGGCGGCCTGCCTGCGGGGAGGTTGCAGTAGATACGCGCCGGCGGTGCGTATGCGTTGGTCGCAGCATTGACGTCTGCTTGTCGATGCCATCGTTCACGATGTAGAAGTTGTATGTCTGGTATGTTAGTCAGCTCGTACAATGGAGCGGCACTACCAGATCGATCTACGTGGGATTGATTTACCTTGGGGAACATGTGCTTGTCTATCAGATGCATTCTGCGTTTCTGCGGAGTCGAGCACTTCCGCTCGCAGTCTTCGATGAAACAACCATACTAGATGCGACGAACGGATCAGTCACCCTGATTTGGTCCATGGCTTGTTAGCGGTCAGAAGGTACACACTGTCTTCTCGCCTCGCTCTCGTCGTGCGGCCACAAGAGAGTCATGGTTCTCTTCAATGTGCAGATTCAGAAACCGGTCGGTTGGGAAATTCTTGCCGCATTGCGAGCATCGGTTGACGTGGGTTTGCAGGTAGTGAACTTCGTAGTCGTCATACGACGTGAAAGAGAGGGTCTCTCGATGCGGCGGCAGGGAACAACGCATCACTTCGACTGCAGCGCCGCTGGAGGTGTCCAGGAGAGGAAGTTTGGAGCGGCCGAGAGAGGTGGTGGACGAGGCCGGGGAGGGGGATTTTGACCGACTCTCTAGCGAGTGATCGACAGAGGAGGATGCAGACAGGCTTCGAGAGCGTTTAGACATATTTCTGCGGCGCAGCTGGTTCTGGGTGTCTTGGTATGGTGCTGTTGGATGCTGCGACGGTGATTACAGCGGGGTCAATGGGAATGGGAGTCGGATCAGTGTGTTGATAGGAGAAGTTGATAGGAGAAGAAGCGACCCATTATTCGAGAGAATAGAGCGCATAGATGTCAGTGAAAGAAGAAGAAGTTGTATACAAGAGGAAGACGGCGTACCTGGCGGGGGATCGATGATTGGATGTTGCGCCATCTTTAGGTAATTTTCCCCGTTTGGGTAATTTAGGTAATTAATCTCCATTCATCACCGTCAACCAAAAGAATTTCCCATTCATCCCTCATCTTCATCTTCACCTCCATCCCCATCCCTCTGACTTATGCGCCCTGCTTCTCTTCGGGTGAGCGGCGGCTTCAACCATCCGTCCCTCGTCATCGCACGTTGGACTCATCTTCTTTCCTTTCACTGATCCTATCCTCCCCGATCGCCTCCGTGTATCGTGGAGATCCCTCCCCCTCCGATATCGAAACGTCCATCCCACCCTGCGCCAACTTTGCTCTCCCCGCCGTCCGCCCTATATACTACTGATGGATCGTTCACTGCTTTTGTCGCCCGCAGACGTCCAGCCAGCCATAGCCATCTGACGGGCGAAGTCATCGCTGGAGTGACTCCGCCGTGATCTCATCCGTCCTGAGCATGGCGTCCGCGTTCCAGACTACGTGGCAGTCAGTAGTAATCTCTCGATCTGTTGGCTGAGAGCTGTTGTCGTTCTAAACAGAAACGTACAGGAATGCGCTCGATGCCGAAAAGGAGCTTTTGAAGAGCCTCGCCGAGAAAGAGCCGACGTTCACGGAGATCTCTCAATTCCTTTCCGAGTCAGTCCGCTGCCTACTGTGTGGTAATCATTCGCGCAACCTGAAACTAACCACAGTCGCTTGTTACCGCAACAGATTCCGTGTCGCCTGCCAGAATGCCATTCTACTCGACTTTGAAGCGGCTCGCGCTAACAACGTCGAGACTCGCCTTTGGGATGCGCATCTCAAAATAAATACGCGCTTTCGCAAATTACTTGCTCGCGTGAGTGCCAGAACTCGCTCCAGCACCTCTCACACGAGCCAGCGCTTACCCAGATACTCGGACGCAGTTTCGCGAGGAAAATGGAAAGAAAAAGAGACCGGTGGAAAAGAGGAAGCTCGAAAAACACTACCTCGAGTTCATCAAATCCAGCCAGAGATTCTACCGGGGATACATCCAACAACTGTCGTCACATTTTGGGGGCATCGCGGAACTCGAGAAGGTTGCGCGGAAGTTCAACTTTGACAGTGAGCAATACCGTTCTAATTGTAACCATGAGCCTTCGTTGATCAGTGTCGGTGTCGCGGTCAGATCTTTCGGCGGAGGAGTCTGCCCCCGCCGTGTCCGACGAACTTCGAAAACGCATCCTGCAATCTTGTCACGCAACTCTGATCCGTCTCGGGGATCTCTCGCGCTACCGCGAAACCGAACTTGTTCCCAAGGACCGCAATTGGGGTCCAGCCATTGGGTATTATGACCTGGCAATGGTAATCCATCCTGCCTCTGGGGCTTCGCACAATCAGTTGGCCGTTATTGCCCTTGCTGATGGCAACCACTTGAGGGCCACTTATCACCTCTACAGGGCGCTAGCCGCCCAGGAACCTCATCCATCAGCCAAGGGTAACCTGGAGATTGAATTTCGAAAGGTAATGAATGCTTGGGCCAAGAGGGAATTGATACGTCCGGAAGATGCTGGGATTCCGGGAAGAGCATTGGCACCTTGGTTTGTTTATCTACACGCCCAGTGCTACCGCGGGGCCGACTTCCCCGAACATGATGAGCTAGAGAGCGAAGTGCTCAACCAGCTAGCCGTTGACCTCAAAGAACGGTCTTTGGAAGGCACCTTGCAGAAATTCTGTCTTATCAATATTGCCGCGGAGGATTTTTCCAGGACACGCTCAACTGGTAAATCTCGGTCGAGTCGCAAAGCTGAAAGAGGAGTTGCTGATCCAGAATTAGAAGAATCGGTGTCGAATGCAAGCCTCTTCTTCCAGCGGATCAATGTGAAAACATTTTTCACGCTGCTCCAAATTCTGCTGGCTGAAGTGGAGCGCTTCGCCGTCGACGACTCAGGTCCCAACGACACAAAGACCGGGCCAGACAAGGTCACTGTTGTCGCTCGTCGCGTGCTCCCAGCTCTTCGGAACTACAGTTCCTGGCTTCTTACCGTCAGTCACTTACTGGTGGCCTACAAGGAGGAGAAAGACACTCCATTGGCCGTTCAGATCACGGAATTTTGGAAGATATACGCCAACACGCTGACTCTCCTCGCCTCCACGTTCGATGTGGTCCATCTTCCAGAGGTCGACTATCTTCTGGAGGAGGACGAAGAGACGTTGTGTTTTGTACCGCTGATTAAAGAGGCGACGTCTCGTAGATACTTGGATACGAACGGCCGCCAGAAACCTCGGATGAACGACCCTGGAGTGGAAAGAAATCACCCCAACATAGAAATGCTCTATCGAATCCGCGAGTTCGTGATCGATGGCCTCGACTTGGTCGTGAGCAATGTATGATGAACGGGAGTCCTCGACGTTTCAAATTGGTGACTAACTCTTGACGCAGAAAATCCCTGTTGCACTGGTCGACGACGAAAACAAGAAAACCTTCATCTATAAAGAAGATGGCCTGCCCTCTCAGTTCTTTGCCAGCCCATCCGGCCATCACCACACGCTTTCGTCCGCGAGCATTGAGCGAGACGAGGTGCAGCAGGTGGCGCGTGATCCCCAGCATACTGCGGATGTGAAAAGTGTTTTCGGTGGTTCTCAGTCCGCCTCCGCGTCTATGTCCGCCAGCATGCACCGCATCGTCGAAGGTGTAGAACGGTTGGTTGAGTCCGACACGTACGAGAACGCTCCCATGGTTCCGGAACAGCTTGTTTTCCCACAAAGCGCCCAACCAACCTCCTCTCAGTACTTCGATCCCAGCACGGACTCCATCTTCCGAGAAGAGAACTTTCCGCCTCGCCAGACCCCCGTCGCTCCTCCAGGACTGGGGCCACCAATGGCCTCTTCGGCGGCGCTGGCCCGGGGCCCCTCGCAGCAGTCCTACACACCGCGCCCCTCCCTGCCCGCTATCCCCAGCATATGGAACACGGAATTCTCGACTAAAGTAGGCGGGGAGGCCTCAGTCCCTCGATCTCCACCAGGTCTAGGGCAACACCCAGGAAACATCATGCCGGGAAGAATCGCTAGCCCCAGCAGCCATGGTCCGTCTCAAGATCCCGCCATGAACGACCTCCTCCTTCGGCAAAATCTCCTGGGCCAATCGCAGCTCCAAAGCTCCCTCAACGGACCCAACCCTATGTCTCCATGGATGTCAACATCCAGTCCCGCCTCGCATCATATTCATCCCAGCATGAGCTGGGACAGAGCCAGTGGCATCGACGTCGGTCTGCCCAGCCAACCGCTATCCAGCGGTATGGTGAACGCCTCGTGGGCCAACGACGCCTTCCTCGCCAGCACGCTCACCTCGGGAGCAGGATATCCCAGCTCCTCGGGGTTGAGCAACAACCGCAGATCCGCCTACGGTGCCATCGGCCAGACACCCCCATGCGGCCATGGAGGCTGACAGGAGGCCGCCAGTTTTCAACTCTGGTCTGGAGACAGCGTCAGGAACACAGATGGCAGATGACCAGGACTTTCGAGGTTTGGCAAGTGACATGGACGTCAAGGTCCACGCCGAATGCCCAAGGTCCGGGGTTCAGATATAGAACCACCTCTTCTCATTCCCGCTTTCCCGTGCAGAGGGCTAAGGTTCTTATCCCCAACTCCGTCCGGTCTTCTCTCCCTCGCTCTAGCACCTGATCCACTACGTCGCTAGTAGATTAGGCATGTGTAGTGTAGGGTTTCTGCGCTCTGGATTCGGCCTTTCGCCCATACAGACAGTACTTTCCCTGGAATGGAACGGTCGATGCCGAGTTAGCTGGTGAAGGTACATTTTGAATCCAGACGCACGAGAAGCCAACCAACGGGTCCCAAACGCCGAACCATGTTTTTCTGTTGAACAATATCTTTCTGTTGTAGCTTGGATTTCATCTTTGTCTTACTTTTTGCTCTTATTCTCGCCTAGTCGCTCTCGAATGTTTCAGAAGTGTCCAGTGGTCTTTACCGCTGCGGAACGAAGACACTTTCAATTCGAGTCGTACTGGTAGAATCAAAGAACTCGTTCATTAAATCGTTGTTGAGAACGTCATCCCTGCGACTTCTATCTATCATGTGCTATATCATATCATAACCCACGACCTCGGGTCGCATTTTCACGTCCAAGTAGATACGGGTAAAAGAAAAACAAGTCTAAGACGTTAAGTCATGACCAAGTCGGGTATAGAAGGTTGAAATCCTAAACTTTTGCAGTGTATATTTCGCTCCGTGAAGTTGTTGAAGCTTTCGCTGTTTTCTTTCTTGTTTACTTATTTTGGTAGCAGGGCGCCGATGCCTAGTTAGAAGGGGTGTAGGTCTTCTTGGGGAAGGGGAAGCTATTCATTCGTTAGCATATTGTTTCGCGGGGATACATCGCGTGGCGCATCTTGTCAACCCTGCTCCGGGGGTGACTTACGAGGGACCCAGCTCCTGGATGCTGAGGCTGGCGAGCCACTGGCCCATGTGCATGCTCTCCTCCAGGGACTTGCCCTGGACAACACCAGCGCAGAAACCACCAGCGAAGGCATCACTAGAGTCGTTAGTGTGTGGACATTTGGAACTTCAGAGGTGAAGCTTACCCAGCACCGTTGGTATCATTGATGCTCTCCTTGGCAACCTCGTGCACGGGGAACTCCTTGACTTCGACCTCGCCGTTGGGCTTGACGGTGGCAGCGATGGTGGGGAGGGTGCCCTGGGTCACGATGGCGACACGGGGGCGGTTGGTGTTCTTCTTGGGCAGCTGAGCCAGCTTCTTGGCGATCTCGACGACGTCATCGGTACCCCAGCTGTGGCTCTCGGAGTAGGCGCGAGCCTCGGTCTCGTTGCAGAAAGTGTAGTCGGTGTAGGGGAGGACGGTGTCGAGCTGGTCCTTGAAGAACTGGGGGATGAAGGGGGCAGAAAGAGAGAGCATGAAGATCTAGAACGGGGAGTAAGTGGCGTAGTCAATATCATCCAGGGTGTTCTCCCAACCCGGTCAGGGTCTCTTACCTTATTCTTCGCGGCAGCCTCCTCACCCAGAGCCTGGATGGCGGGGACACAGACGGTCAAGTGGTAGCCACCAATGTAGTAGACCTGGGCCTTCTCGACGAGCGACCAGATGTGGGGCTGCTTCAGATGCTCAATCTTGTACTCGTTGGCAGCGGCGAGGTGGGTGCACATGCTGCGGTTGTGGCCAGTGATCACAACACCGCACTTGCCAGTAGGCTGGACCTCGTCGACGCGGTACTCGGTGTGGACGCCGGCCTTGTTGCAGGCATCCTTGAGGATATCGGCATACTTGTCCTTACCGACACAGCCGATGTACATGACGGAGTTATCGGGCAGCATGTACTACATGGGGACCGTGGGTTAGCTCGTTTCGGATTTTGCATTGCAGAGAGGCAGTACCTGGGCGCCACGGGCAGTGTTCTGAGCGGCACCACCAGCAATCAGCTTGGCGTCATGGTTCTGGAGCAGTTCCTCGTAGATGCCCATGTGCTTGTCCTCGGCGAGGATAGCATCGTTGTCCTTCAGGCCATACTTTTGCAGGAGGGCGGCGTCACTGGTTGAATTGTCGGGTTAGTCGGTTGAAATATTCCACATATCACTTGATGCTCATTCTGGGTGTCAACATACCCGACGGCCTGGATGTCTAGATGTTGCTGAATGTCAGCAAACAGAGTGACCAGGATGTATCAGCTTATGGAGGAGTGGTACATACCGAGGAGGGGGTTCTCCAGACAGAGGAAGGGGTATCCTTGAGGGGCAGCCATGGTGGATATATAGAAATCTGGGGGTTTTGAGGGGATTGAGGGAGAGTTAAGGGTGGGAGGGAGGTCAAAGAAGGAGGAAGCAGAAGAGAGAGTGCAGTGGAGGAGGGGAATCTGGAGGATTATCGACGGAGGGGCATGCGGGGCGGTGAATAATACTGCCGCTGCTGTGTTGCAGGAGACATGGTGATTCTCAGCCCAACAATAGTGGATTTGAAGAAGTGGATTAGATCTAAGGAAAGGTAGCTAATATAAGGTCCCGTTAGAGGCATATGATGTATGAATTAGAGTCTACAAGAAGTATAGAAGAAGTAGTGACAGTAGAAGAAGTATACGGACTTCTTGTTGTCGGCGATATCGGGGATTCCCAAAAGGGTCTAGTGGCCCATGACCCTGACTTCATCGTCTTTCTACTCCAGAATACACAGAGTACACACTTACTTCTCTCCACAACCCCCATAACGCGAGACCTTCTCTCTCTATTCTCCACCATGGCTGACGCCCCTCTTGGAATTGCAGAGACCATTCAGTCCGCTTCCTTGAAGAGAAACCCCTCCCCCTTCCACGACATCAATCCGTCAACAGCCACCTCCGAGAAGCTCCCCGTCGTCGACCATGCTCCCTCCGACACCGAGAGCATCTCTTCCGATGTAGTAGACCCCCGTCACATGGTCCGCTCGGTTCCCCGTCGGCAGACCCTCCCACCGCTGCCCGACCTGCGCTTCGAGCAAAGCTATCTGGCCAGTATCCGCGGCGCCGACACCTGGGGACGAGTCGCATGGATCACCATCCGCGATCAGGTACGGCAAACCTCATTACACCATCAGTTATGGGCAAACTAAGACCGTCTGAACTAACAATCCACCCGCGCAGGTTCTCCTCCCCCTCATGCAAGGCACCCTCTGGACCCTGGCGCTGTCCGGCTGGCGCTTCTGGAACCGCAACGCCTCGCTCAGCGGACAGACCCTCGGAAGCAGAATCCGCAGGTGGTGGTACGAGGTCAACAACTGGAAATTGCCTCCCCTGCCGTCCATGAATGATCGGCAGTTGGCCGCGCAGGCCGAAGACGTGAGTGGTAGCCCGCTTCTCCCCCTGTGCCTGGTTCTTCCGCGTGTCTTGTTGCGGCTGTTGATTCGAGGCTGACATTTACGGAGTTTTTACAGTTCTATACGGCGCAATTTGCCACCGCTGGGGCTGACTAGGTGACGACTTTCGTGTACATTGTTGCTTGTGTTCGGTTGCATTCTGGAGTTACGGGCTGGCGTTATATGTATGCATTTCTGCATGATTTGTCTCTTCGCCGGTTCCGAGAAGATATCTGGTCTATACATTCCCTGCCTAATTGTGAAATATCGACTGTCGATCTGACTGGAACGGGGTATATACCCATATTTGCCCATTGCCATTCCCTAATTCTAAACAATCCCTACATTGTAGCCTCCCTTCATCGACGTTCATAGCCAGACTTTTAGGTTACAACATTGACCGGAATTTGCCCCCCATCACACAAACGCCTAATACAGGTCCACCTCGTATACATTAATAGTAACTCAACGCTCAGAAAATCTAGCAGTCAGCAGGATCGCCCGGCTCTACATAGCCTAGGCAGTCTCGTTGGGACCAGACGCAGCAGCCGCCGGATGGCTGGGAAGCTCCGTCGTAGAGGTCATGATAGTCTGAGGGGCGGCTCCATTGCCTCCCTGCCGTGGGCCTCCAGTCCCATTCTCTGCGGGACCGGCTTTCTGCTCCACGGGAGCCTCGCTGGATACCTCAGCAAGTGGTTTCGTATCCAGCGCTGGCGGAGGCTCCTGAGCTGTGACTGGCAGCCCATTGACTGCCGGCAGCTGTGGCTGGGCTGGCGGTAACGGGCCTGCGGCTTCGGTTTGGACGATTTCCGCTTTGCTTTCGCCATTCTGCGGAGTTGGCTGCTCATCAAGAGCACTCTCGCCGCTCGGCATCTTGTCTTTGTTGTATCGGAGCTGCACCACCAGGCTTCTGTTTTCTGCATTGACGACTGACTCGTCGCCGCTCACTTCCTCTTCGTCGTCGCCTTCAAACTCGTTCTCGTCTTCCTCCTCGCCGCCCTGCCACTCGTTACCGCTCGATTCGCCACCATCAGAGCCCTCGTCCATTTCATAATCCATCTCATAGGCGTATCCGTTGGCTCGAGTAGTCCGAGTTCGCTGGGGTCTGCCCTCCTCTTCCTCATCTCGCTGTCCACTCAGCAAGGTCTCACCGTATAAGCCCCCCGCACGCGAGCGGATCTGTCTTCCGCTAGCTGTGAACCTCGGGCCTGCGGGCTCAGTAGGCGTAGAGACACCGGATGTGTTGCGTGTCGATCGTCGGGTCGCCGGGAGGCCATCCGAGAAGATGTCCTCATCGTCCGAGTACGTATACTTCAACTTCTTGCCGCGAGTGCGACCCTCATACAGGGAGAATCCAGGTTCCGGTCGAGCGAACTGAGCCTTTCGGGCGATGCGATAATCGCGGCGTTTACGTTTCTGTGTTACTAGGTGAGCCATGGCGACAGGAAAGACCGATACAGTGGGCATCTTACCTCCTCCGAGCCCTCAAATCGAGGGATGGAGAGTCTGATCTTCTCGCTCAATTTCTTCGAATTCGTGCTTCGCTCCTGCTCGAGCTTCTCCGCAATAGCTGTCAGTTCAGGAATTGTGCCCGCCACGCTCCACCAGGTGACATTCTTCAACGCTGGATTGCTCTCCCGGTACAGTCTGAAGTGGGTGTCGTCCAGTCCTTCAATCAACCAGTACCGGCGCTTCAATCCGTCGCGGCCCCAAGGCTGGACCGAAAGCGGTTGGTTCAGATCATCTTCGTGACGGGCTTGCTTGTAGGATTCTTTGATCTTCGCTTGGACGGCTTCGGAGGACGACAAGGACCAGAGAATGAGCGACTTAAGTAGTACCAACTAGGCAAGTCAGTTGATTGAAATGTCAATAAGGCCAATGCGGTAGTCGCGTCACGTACGCGTTGTTCGGGGGTCATTCCCGCGAACGATCCACCCCCATGGAGGGGATTCTTCCCTTGCCAAGCCTTGGGCCATTGCGAAACGTGCGTCTGAATCGCCTCTTCCAGTGGACGTGTGTAGTGGTTTCGCCTGCGCATTAAGACAGTCAGTCGGGTTTCGATAGCAAGGGCGAGATGATCCTGTTCGAGACGACAAGTGAAGCTGCGCGCAGCTTCACGTCGTAGGTCGGGAAGGCGTGTGGCGCAACGTACTCCACGTCTTTCTTTCTATTCAACACCAAGCCCAATAATGCACACAATAATCTCTCGATATGGTCACCCGGTGGGAGCTCCGAGACACCTCTCTCGATGTCTTGGGGTCCGTAGTGTGGCGTCGATCGCGGGAACACTTCGTGGAAACGCGCGCGGAACATTACAATGAACTGTGTTGCGACGGGTCAGCGAGATTGTTCGCGCGAAGGACGGTAGACGCGTCAAATCAACGACGATGAAGCTCGGGATAAAGTGCAATTATATGTAACTTACTGCAATGTCTGGATTGTCCGCCAAAACATATTCATGGGGTGGTGAGGGAGCTCGTTTCGGCGGCGGCGACTCGGATTCCTTCTTCTTGAAGTACTTGGTGATACCGACAGGCTCGTCGACAGCCATGGAGGCAGGCTCCTCATCTGAAGGAGGCGCCGATGACAGCGACGAAAGATCGGAATCGGAAAGAGACATGTTAGACATGTTCTGGTGAAAGGTTGGGGTTGACGGAGTGGTGGTGACGGAGGAGAAAGCGGGTGGGCGAGTCCGCGCCGCAAGAAGTACGTGCCGAACTACTGCTTGCTACGGTTGGAGCGCGGCATTTACGCGCGTGGTCAATGGCAGCACATATCACGGTAGGATCCGCGCTCATTCAAGCGCATGCATTCTGTTCCTCTGATTTTGGAGATATTTCGTCTACATTTGGAGCGCATTTCTATCTAAGCATTTTGATGCGATCAAGGGATCCGGACGCGCAGAGAGATGAAGAGTGATGATGATGGCTGTCGCAAGCAAACTCTGCGTGTAAAACAATGCAGGAAGAGAGCGCATCGACTAAGGACTCCAGCACAGTTGGATGAATGTGCAAGAGAGATGGAGAGAAACCTCTCGTCTCGAGTGTAGACTAGACAGAGGGACCTCGGATACGGCGCGGTGCGCGCGTTCGGGTATGTTGCAGTAGACGGTCAACCACGCAACACAGACCGACTGGTCCACCAGATGGACATCCAACGTTGAAATTTGGGTCTTCAGAGCATGCCGTCGAGGTATCTAATGACGCCGTTGACGCCACTGTCACCAGATAGACGGTATGGGAGTGACGGGGCAAGATGATCGTAAACCCGTATCAATCTGGATATGCACGACTGCCATTCAGGCCCTAGAGATTGGAATCAATGATGCTTCAGGATTCATCGGGGAGGCTCATGTTGGCCATATTGACGTGTTATAAGGGACCGGTAGACGGAGACCATTGACACAAGTCCGTCTCAACGCATTCGGGCTGCCATAGACAGGACCCTGGCGGGGGAAGTCAGGAGTCCGATTCAAGAAGTCGACTCCACTTTATATCACGGCGAAACTCTTGTCACATTTGAGATAGTCGACACAGTCCACACAGTCAACGACACGAGGATGGAGAAGTGCTCGTGATGAATGGTTATATAAGCGCGGTCCACTTTAACCGCAACAACCGCCCCGCCAATCACCAGGCAGGGTTAGCACCGCCAAGATCCCAAACGGCGCTAGCGCCAACTCGGTTAGGTTAGCGATTTCGCCCTAATGCCCACACAGCCCTCAGTCTCCGACGAATTCTCTACTACACCAACCCGACAAGCCCATCTTCGATCTTGAGGTACGAGAATTCCAGTCAACTCCCACCACTCCCCCAGGGTCGCAGGCGGTCTTTCTTTCTTCTCGACAATACTAACCTCCAGGTCTATCTACAGAAAGTCGCCATGGGTCGTGTGATCCGCAACCAGAGGAAGGGTCGTGGATCCATTTTCAGTGAGTGCGACCGCAATGATTTCGAAAATTTGAATGCATCCCAAAAGAACCGCGAATGCTGATGGAATTCCTCGCCTCTAGCGGCTCACACCCGTCTCAACAAGGCTCCTGCCCAGTTCCGTACCCTCGACTACGCTGAGCGCCATGGATACACTCGCGGTGTCGTGAAGGAGATCATCCACGACCCTGGCCGTGGTGCTCCCCTCGCCAAGGTCCAGTTCCGTCACCCTTACAAGTTCAAGATGGTCACCGAGACCTTCATCGCCAACGAGGGCATGTACACTGGCCAGTTCATCTACGCCGGAAAGAACGCTGCCCTGACCGTCGGCAACGTCCTCCCTCTCGCCTCCGTCCCCGAGGGTACCGTCATCACCAACGTCGAGGAGAAGGCTGGTGACCGTGGTGCGCTCGGCCGTACCTCTGGTAACTACGTTACCGTCATCGGCCACAACCCCGAGGAGGGCAAGACCCGTATCAAGCTCCCCTCTGGTGCCAAGAAGGTTGTCAAGAACACCTCTCGTGGTATGATCGGTATCGTTGCCGGTGGTGGTCGTACCGACAAGCCCCTGCTCAAGGCTTCTCGTGCCAAGCACAAGTTCGCTGTCAAGCGCAACTCTTGGCCCAAGACTCGTGGTGTTGCCATGAACCCCGTTGATCACGTAAGGAGCCTTTACCCCGAATCGTTTGCAGAATTGGATGACTGACATGCATTTTCTCTACAGCCTCACGGTGGTGGTAACCACCAGCATATTGGTAAGGCTTCGACCATCTCTCGCTACGCCGCCCAGGGTCAAAAAGCCGGTCTTATTGCTGCCCGGAGAACCGGTCTGCTCCGTGGTACCCAGAAGACCAAGGAGTAAGCGGGGTATCGAGTGGAGTTCTTTTGTTTGTGACGGGTTGAAAATGCTCTATTGCTATGAGACATCTGTACTTAGGCGACTGCGGATTACCTTCCACGCGTCCTTAGCCAAGTTAAGGTTGTGGCCAAATTTCATTGATGATTAAAAAATACAACGGGATGGTCAAAAGTCACTCTCCGGGTATAATGGATTTACCATAATGAATCTGTTGGATATATCTTGGTGTACATCTGAGTAAATGTGTCATGACATGGGACTATGCTGGTACAACTGCAGTGGGTGTTGAGACTTGGTATATGCTGCGTCGTTGAACCCTTCAATTCAAGATGTCCTTAGGTGTACATGTGCATCTCGGTTTCCATCCTTATCGATTACATTGGGGCTGAAGAGAATGAATGTTGATTGCTTCCAGGGGTGGTTGTCGCCGTGATATATATATACGAATGTGAGTATGACCACCCACCTGGTATGCACCATCAACGACACCGGCGCTATCCTGCATGGGCAGACCACATCCAGTATACGGTGCTCCAACTATCCCAAGTAGCCTCAAGCCAACAGTCAACAGTCAACGATAATCACCTGTATTATTGACAGTCATCGTTCTGCACACACTGCTCTGGAATTGACCAATCAGCGGGCAACCCCGCAACTTCGGAGGCGATTTAAAAGGCCACCATCATGTCCAGGTCCTGCTCCAGTCTCTCTACAACAATCCAATAATCACTAGAACCGGCGGACATATCAAACGAAGCCCATTTCAATGTGATGGTCCAGAAAGATCTCCCTCAAAGACTACCCCGACTAACCGCGAGCACCACATCCCCCCAGTCTGCCGCCGCACGCTGGCAAGCCGTCGCCAACCGCGACGCAACCGCGGATTCCTTCGTCTACGCCGTGCTCACCACAAAGATCTACTGTCGCCCATCATGTCCTAGCCGCCTGGCCCGGCGGGCCAACATCCGGTTCTACGACACGCCCTCCCAGGCCGAAACCGCCGGTTTCCGGCCCTGCAAGCGCTGCAGACCGCAGACCCTCCGACCCGAGAACCCGCAGGTCCAATTGATCGCACAAGCATGCGCGACGATCGAGTCCGACATTAAGGCCGGCTCCAAGCCGACGACGCTGCGGAACCTCGCGGCCCAGGCCAGCCTGACACCCAGCCATTTCCACCGCGTGTTTAAGCGCATAATGGGCGTGACGCCGGGACAGTATGCTGCGGCCATGGTGGATGGATGCGGTCCGGTTGGAAACGCGGCGGCTGCGTTTCAGCCCTGTGGTCTTGTGGATGGGTTGTGCGATAACGGCGTGGCTGCGGAGGTGGACATGGATTGGAACGATTTTGACGCCCTAATAGCCGCGGAGGCGTATTTGGACTCTGGTCTGGGAGCTGTGCCACCTGTGGATGATGGGGTTTCTTTATCGACTGGGGTTGGGATCCCTGGCGCCACGGATATCCTCGACTGGGATCGGTTTGTGGAGGGTTCACCGGATGAAGGGAGGCAGTGAGGCGTACAGGCTGTTCGCATGGGTTCCTAGATTGGATGGCTGAGCAAGGTAGTAATGAAGGTTCCTTGCGTTCATTATTATTATTATTATTATTTCACGTTACTCAGGAATGGAAGGATGGAGGGTTGGCGGGCGCGGGGAGATATGGGGGCTTTATGTGTTCTTGAGCGATCTAATCTATATGACGCACCATGTATGGCCCACATCTTCGTCCATGCTTCTGGACTTTCAAGGTTGATAAGGACCCTACAGTATGTAGATGTCAAGCCGTGATTGCGACTGCTCCAGTCGACTTCTCCTCACTGTGGCGACTTGGCAGATCCCCTCAACCCACGGACTCAATGAATGCAACAGCTCGCTGGGGTAAAGTGAGCATTGGCCGTGCGGTACAAAGATCCGAGCGCGTACTCTGTATGTACCTACAGTAGGTACTATCCCATTTCTGCGAATAGCTCTGCGAGTAATGCTGGATACATAGGAAGAAACACCAAAACCATGGCATTGTGAGACACCACAGTGAGACAATCTTGCTACTGTGGACACCCTCCGTACCCTCCGTACGATCATGGACGAGTGTGCTGTAAATAGCAGCGTGGCAACATCCAGCGCCTGGTGCGTCCTCTCAGGAGAAGCCGCTGCCCACCGGAAGGCCCACCGCCGCGTGTCACCGTTCAGGCTAAGGTTTCAGGTACCTATCCTTTCCCAGCCGGGTAACCATCCTCCATGGTTGTTTCGTCCATCCAGGGTCTGCTTGCGAAACCTCTTTGATGGTGGAGGGGTGGCGGCTGCGTCGGTGTTATTACCGGTATTTTGGTTATAACAATAACAAATCAGGATAAAAACAACAATCAACAGTTATTTCATTGTTCATTAATCCGTAATTAGATTATCCCATCGTGGTTGGGGCAGCCTCTCCATTAAACCATCCCACTTCCATCCCTCCGGTCTGGACTCTCTTCTTTCTTCTCCTTCCCCATCCCTCTCATTCCCATTCCCATCCCCAATTCTCATTCCCGTTACTCGTCTCCTCGACGCTGCCATACCTCGCTCTATCTGGTGGCACTGACAGCATCAATCTCTCTCTGTCAGACATACATTCCTCTTTCCGAGTGGTTCCCCATCCTGACAGGCTTCAGGTCTGGTTGACCGCATTCGGTTATTTATATCTACAACCATCGCCGCATTAAGCTCCCGAAGATTCTTTGCGACCTTCTTTCTTCATATCTATTGAACTTGATTAAACTATTCTTATTCTTCTTTTCGCTCCTCTATTCCTGGAATAAACTCGTCCTTAAATCAATATGAACGTCAACCGGAAATTTGACCGCTTCAAACAATGGGCCGGCGAGAGGATGGGAGGTGAAGTCAAGACCAACCTCTCCGATGACTTCAAGGCTATGGAAACCGAAATGAACGTGCGGCATGACGGTGAGAAGAGCCATCTATCACTGCAGCCCCCAGAACAGCCACTGATTCCATCCTTCTCAAGGCGTTGATCGCATCCACAAATCCATGACTGCCTACGTCAAGTCCATCTCCAAGCGCAGTGAAGGCGACGACAAGGAGAAGACTCTGCCTATCGCGCATCTGGGCTCCAGCATGGTCAGCCATGGGGAAGATTTTGACGCACAATCCGACTACGGCCGCTGTCTCTCCAGTACGTTGATGCCATCGCCTTTCCATTGTCTCCTTGCATACGGTTCCCCGCTAATCGACCTCGATAGTGTTTGGTCGCGCGGAAGAACGCCTGGCGCGGATCCAGGAGACATACATTGCCCAGGCGACTTCTAGCTGGCTGGAATCGCTGGAGCGATCTCTGGCGCAAATGAAAGATTACCAAGTACGGCTGATTCGGCCAATACTTCTGCGGGAGTCACTAACATACCTTCTCTAGTCTGCGCGGAAGAAGCTCGACAGTCGACGCTTGGCCTACGATACGTCTCTTTCGAAGATGCAAAAGGTCAAGAAAGAGGACTTCCGGATCGAGGAGGAACTGCGCACGCAAAAGGTGAAATATGAAGAGGCCAATGACGACGTGTTCCGCCGGATGCAGGACATCAAAGACGCAGAGGTGGATGGCGTGGTCGACCTGGAGGCCTTCCTCGATGCGCAGCTGAGCTACCACGAACAGTGCAGAGAGGTGCTTCTTCAACTTAAGAACGAGTGGCCGAGCAGGTACGTGGGGACTGATCGCAACCTACGCATCCATAAGATCCCGATAAGACTAACGCTGGGACAGACACTCGCAAGCCCCTACCCCCAATGGCCGCCGAACAGGCCGCGCCAGATCTAACACGGCACACTCGTATCAGGAACGGTACGAAGCTCTGCAAGAGGAGCCCGCGAACGGGGCGGACGCACGGCCGATTATCCGGTCGAACCGGCCGACTTCGGTCTATACGGGGGACATGAAAGACGCATACGCTGCCGAGACGGCCCCTCCTCGACCGGGATTCAACCGGACAGCGACCTTCGAGGGCCCAGCACAGCTGCGACAGGAACAGGCATCCGGTTCTCAGCAATGGCCAGCTCGGACCATCAGTGAGACTTATTCTAGCCAGCGGAACGTGGCGAATCAGTCTCGTCCCATCAGCCGGGTGTATGAGGATCCCTATCAGGACCCGCCGGAGGAGACCAGCCCGTTCAATGGCAATTATGGAGGGTCTGTATCACGCCGAGGGAGTTCCGTAACGTTGAATGGGGTGTCGTTGCATAAGAAGGCACCTCCGCCGCCACCACCCTCACGGGCGAAGAAGCCTGCGCCGCCGCCGCCGATGAAGCGGCCGATGTTGAGTGCTGGAGAGGCATAGCTGGGATTGGGAGTCTGGGTTGAGGGGTGTTTTGATGATTGGTTCTTCTTTGAATGTATGTTACGTAGGGTCTGAAGGCGCAGGAGTTGACAGGAATTGATTGAATTGCGGACAATGAGCTGGTGCTCTGAGTAGTGAATGTAGTGAAGCTGAAGTCCCTACGCATGTGTAGCTCTGTCGATAGTATGTAGGTAAGGTAGTTAGTTCTGTTACTAGGTAGGGATGTCTTCTTCAACAGAGGATAGGATGAGTCAGCCTTAGTCAGCAGCCGTGTCACATGACTTCCCCCAGCCAAATTCTTCCCATTTTCCCATCGCCGCCTGCTGCTTCTCCTCCTCCTCCCCGTTACAGGCACAGACAGGCTGAGCACCACCGCCAGTTTTCCCCGGCCAAAAGTCGCGACTGTCCCGTCCCCTCCATCTCCATTTCATCCATTTCGCTCTCCACGCGCGTTTCCCCTCCGCCCTCTCGCCCTTTGGGCTCCCTTTCCCTCCTTTCTCACCCTCCCTTCGCCCCCCTTTCCCTTTTTCCCTTGTTCGTCGCCGACCGCCCCCGGCTCCTCTGCCATCGCTCCCCGACGCCCCGGCCGGCAAAAACATCACGAAACTATCGCCAAGGTCCAGATATTGACCACTCTTTGTCGCATCCATTGACCACTGACGCCCCCGTGCCCGTCCCGCTTCACCCTCGTCGCGCGCCCGGTCGCCTCTTTGGCGCGACCTGGCGATTCCCACCGTCCACCGGTTTTCCCTCTACCCACGTGTTGCCCCCGACGCGCCCGCCGTCGCATACAGGTCCATCCCGACGTGTTTCTCCGTCATATGTATAGACGAACATCGCGCTAGACCATGGCTTCCCTTCAGTCAGTGCCGAACACGGCACCTGGCAACATGAGCTTGCCGCCGAACCTGACACAGCAACACATCCAAGAGGTCTACCAGGTACGATATTTCCCCCTAGACCTTCGTCTACCAGCTACCACCCACCCCTTGTATTTACTCAATTTTTCTTCACCCATTATATAAATATTCTTTCTTTCCCTTCCCTCGTCCATGAATTATTATCTGACCACCTCCAAGAAATACAAACAGATGCAAGAGCAGGGCGTCCGCCACGACGACCCTGAATATCTCAAAGCCCATAATCTTCTTTCCGCCGTCCAACGACAGCAGGTGTTCCAAAAGCAAAGACAGATCGCGCAACAACAACAGCTCCAAGCGCAGCAACGTCAACAGCAATTGAATGGTACGACACCTGAAGCCGCCGGCCCAAATGGTATGCACGGTAGGTCCACTCTTCCCTGCGCATATATTCCCCCGCGAACATTCTTCTAATTCCAAATTCCCTGCAGCGCGAAACAACTCGGTTCCGACCGGAGCTGGCCAGGATGCCGTGTCCACCCCCACTGGCGCTCAACCGCAAGCGCCCTCTGGCCAGGCCGCTTCGCAGAAGGGTGCACCTGTTGCGAGTGGTAGTTTCTCTCCAGAGCAGCTGTCCATCCTGAGAAGCCAGATCCTGGCCTTCAAGATGCTATCCAAAAACCTCCCGCTCCCCCCTCGTGTACAACAACAGCTTTTCCCGTCCAAAAAGTCGCAGACTCCGGCGCCTTCCGACACTGTCGCAGCTGCTGAGGGTGTCATCGAGGGCGTGAGTCAGTCCAAATCGGAACAGTCAGGCCCTGTCGAGGACATCACTCCCAGCAAAGAATATTACGAGTCCTTGCAATCGCCCTACGAGTCAATTCCCAAGACTATCACCTTCACAAATCATGCCTCGCGTGCTAACCGTATGCGCGTTCCCGCCTTGATGCCCGTCGGCATGGATCTCGAACAAATTCGGGAAGAGCGAGAGACGGTGCTCTATAACAAGATCAATGCGCGGAAAGCCGAACTGGCTGAGCTCCCGGCCAATGTCGGCGTGTGGGATACCAGCCGCAGCGACACCGCCACGGGTGATGATTCTCTGAAGCTGAAGGCTCTGATCGAATACAAAATGCTCAATCTGCTGCCCAAGCAGAGACTCTTCCGCAAGCAGATTCAGAACGAAATGTTCCATTTCGACAACTTGGGCATGACCGCGAACCGCGCATCCCACCGTCGAATGAAGAAACAGTCCCTTCGGGAGGCGCGGATCACGGAGAAGCTTGAGAAACAGCAGCGCGATGCTCGTGAGACCCGGGAGAAGAGGAAGCAGTATGACCAACTCCAGGCGATCCTCAACCATGGTCTCGAACTTCAAACGGCTGCTAGCCAACAGCGCACTCGCGTACAAAAGCTGGGTCGTATGATGCTGCAACACCACCAGCATATGGAGCGCGAGGAGCAGCGTCGCGTCGAGCGCACGGCCAAGCAGCGTCTCCAGGCTCTCAAGGCCAACGATGAAGAGACCTACATGAAACTGCTGGGACAGGCCAAGGATTCCCGTATCTCCCACCTTCTCAAGCAGACCGACAATTTCCTCAAACAACTTGCCGCCTCCGTCAGGGAACAACAGCGAAGCCTGGCCGAGCGATACGGCGAGGAGGATCAGTTCTACGAGGAGGACGAGGACGAAGACATTGCCTCCGGAAGCGACGACGAAGAAGGTGGTGGTCGACGCAAGGTCGATTACTATGCTGTTGCGCATCGCATCAAGGAAGAAATCACTGAGCAGCCTTCGATTCTGGTGGGTGGTACGCTGAAAGAATACCAAATTAGAGGTTTGCAGTGGATGATCTCGCTCTACAACAACAACCTCAATGGTATCTTGGCCGACGAGATGGGTCTCGGTAAGACCATCCAGACGATCAGTTTGATCACCTATATCATCGAGAAGAAGAAGAACAACGGGCCCTTCCTGGTCATTGTGCCCCTGAGTACTCTGACCAACTGGAATCTGGAGTTCGAAAAGTGGGCTCCTGCGGTCAGTCGCGTGGTTTACAAGGGACCCCCCAACGCTCGTAAACAGCAACAACAGCAGATCCGTTGGGGCAACTTCCAGGTCCTCTTGACTACGTACGAATACATCATCAAGGATCGCCCGGTCTTGAGTAAGGTCAAGTGGACTCACATGATTGTCGACGAGGGTCACCGTATGAAGAATACGCAGTCCAAGCTTAGCAGCACGCTTTCTCAGTACTACACCAGCCGGTATCGGTTGATTTTGACTGGTACTCCGCTGCAAAACAACCTTCCCGAGCTGTGGGCTCTGCTGAACTTCGTCCTGCCCAATATTTTCAAGTCGGTGAAATCGTTTGATGAGTGGTTCAACACGCCGTTCGCCAATACGGGTGGTCAGGATCGCATGGAGCTGAGTGAAGAAGAACAGCTGCTGGTGATTCGTCGTCTCCACAAGGTTCTCCGGCCCTTCCTTCTGAGACGTCTGAAGAAGGACGTCGAGAAGGATCTCCCTGACAAGCAAGAACGTGTCATCAAGTGCCGTTTCTCTGCCCTGCAAGCCAAGCTGTACCGCCAGCTGATGACACACAACAAGATGGTCGTCAGCGACGGCAAGGGAGGAAAGACGGGTATGCGTGGTCTCAGTAACATGCTGATGCAGCTGCGCAAACTGTGCAACCATCCTTTCGTGTTCGAACCTGTGGAAGATCAGATGAATCCCACTCGGGCGACGAATGATCTGCTGTGGCGTACCGCCGGTAAATTCGAGCTCCTAGACCGCATTCTGCCCAAATTCCGAGCAACCGGTCATCGTGTCTTGATGTTCTTCCAGATGACGCAGATCATGAACATCATGGAGGATTTCCTGCGCTTGCGGGGTTTGAAGTACCTGCGTCTGGACGGTTCCACCAAGTCCGATGATCGTTCCGACCTTCTGAAACTGTTCAACGCCCCCGGTTCTGAGTACTTCTGCTTCTTGCTCTCGACGCGTGCTGGTGGTCTCGGTCTTAACCTTCAGTCTGCCGACACTGTCATCATTTTCGATTCGGATTGGAACCCCCACCAGGATTTGCAGGCCCAGGATCGTGCGCATCGTATCGGTCAAAAGAACGAAGTGCGTATCTTGCGTCTGATTACCTCCAATTCTATCGAAGAGAAGATCCTCGAACGTGCACAGTTCAAGTTGGATATGGACGGCAAAGTCATTCAAGCCGGAAAATTCGACAACAAGTCCACCAATGAGGAGCGTGATGCGCTACTGCGAACTCTGCTCGAGTCTGCCGAGGCGGCTGATCAGCTCGGCGACCAGGATGAGATGGACGATGATGACTTGAATGATATCATGGCTCGTTCCGACGAAGAACTGGCTACCTTCCAGCGGATTGATAAGGACCGTCAGCAGACTGATCCGTACGGACCTGGTCATCCCCTCCCTCGTTTGATGGGAGAGAGTGAACTCCCCGATATCTACCTTGCTGAGGACAACCCGGTTGCGGACGAAGTCGAGGTCGAAGTCGGTGGGCGTGGTGCCCGCGAGCGCAAGGTCACTCGATATGACGATGGTCTTACCGAGGAGCAGTGGCTCATGGCGGTCGATGCCGATGATGATACGATCGAAGATGCCATCGCTCGGAAAGAGGCTCGCGTGGAACGACGCCGGGTGAACAAGGAAAAGCGCAGCCGCAAGGCTGGTGGCGACTCTTCGCCGGAGCCTTCGCGCGAGAGCTCGGAAACTCCTCAGCCCAAGAAGCGGGGCCGCCGTGGCCCTGCGCCGAAGCGTAAAGCGGAAGAACTTGTTGAGGAGACACCTCAGCCCAAGCGCAAGCGAGGCAGACAGGCCAAGCCGGTGGAGACGTTGAGTCCTGAGAACCGGGCTATCTTGCAACAGATCCTCAACAATGTCTACCAGTCATTGATGGATATGGAACAAGAGCTCCCTGCCGATTCTTCCGATAGCGAGGACGGACCGGTGACTCGTTCGATCATCGAGCCATTTATGAAGCCGCCGCCTCGGTCGCAGTATCCCGACTACTACATGATCATTCAGAATCCTATTGCGATGGAGATGATCCGCAAGAAGATTAATCGCGAGGAGTACCAGAATCTGAGGGACTTCCGCAATGATATCCACCTTCTTTGCCAGAATGCTCGAACTTACAACGAGGACGGCAGCATTCTATTCCAGGATGCTAATGATATCGAGGTGAGTTGACCATTCGGCGTATCTTATTCGTCTGATACTAACTACCAATAGGCCAAGTGTCTCGCGGAGCTCAAGAAGGAAACCGAGGGCCATCCCCAATTTGCCAACTACGACGACTCAGTATCGCCGGCTGACCAGGACCCGTCGGCGATTGCGTTTTCCGGAGCGGACACGCCGAGTGCGGCTACTCCTGGTCAACCGAAGCTGAAGCTCACCTTCAACCGGGATAGCACCGGGGTGGCCAACGGCAGTCCGAGCACTGGGATGAACGAAGATGAGTAACGTAACGGACCACTCTTGTGGAAAAGATGATGCCTTTTGCAGTTCTTGATGGATTTATACTTCCTGTACTTGTTTAGGTTTTCATGCGGTGGAAGATTTGCCCGAGCATTGCATTTTTCTTGTGGTTCTCTTACACTTCTACCTGTAACCCTTCTGGCTTTTACTTTCTGGACGGCGTTCTGTACTTTGGTGACCGGGGATGGATGATGGGTCATGGCGCAATGCTCTGTTCTCCTCGGGACGAGGGCAAGGTGATCTTGATCGCCGATGTTTTATGCAACTATTATTATATTTCCCTCCTGCCTTGTATTGGCAAAATCAAGAGCCATGTGTCTATTTCGCGTGCATTTGTGTCTGGCAGTTGGATCTGTTTACTGTCTGGCAGCCGTATGTTATGTACTATGGGTAGATACTCATGTAGGTAGTTGTGTATGGACTTAATGTGTGGGATATAGTGGAAAGGATAAAGATCAGTTCTGTATCAGCTCATTCAAATTGTGTCTGATGTACAGTAGTATATCATATATTGACCGTTGAGTTGCAAGAAAATATGAAACAGTTCTCTAGATATACTAGCCGAGAAGGCCATCTATAGAATCGATCGGAATGCCACGATGGATTTAGGGTTAGTTATCTCATAGGCAACCAGATGACTAACCCTCCCATCTGTGTGGTGCACGCTGTTCGAAGAACGAGACATACAAGGGAAGCGAGTGAATCGAGTCTGACGCACCAGAGCTACTAATGAGGTCGCACAAACGAAGCCGGGCAGGGCAGAATCACTGCGAAGAGACGCCGAAGAATGACGAATTTCCTGTTCGACGTCATGACCAGCCACGTGACTTCCCGCCCGCTTTGGCCGCAAGCGCCAGCCGCAGTATTATTATTCTTCGGATGCTGCCTCTCTCCCTCTTCCTCCACTGCTACTGATAACGACCGCTCTCCCTTCCTTGCCATATCATCCCCTCCCACTGTCCATCTCACCTCCCCGAAAATCCCCAAACCCATCAAAAATGGCTTCCATCCAGGACCGTGCTCAGCACGCCATAGCTCAGCTTGACAAGGAGGTACGTCGTCCATCTGTGTGGGTGTCGTTTTCGCAGGCGAACCCCCAGGTCCTCGCCGGTCCCAGCCTCTCCGACAGGGACCCCGGGCATTGAGAACAGCGATGGGAGTTATATCATCCTCGTCCTCTTTGTCGTCCCGTCTATTCAGAGGTTGTGAGATCGGTGGTGTGGAATTTCTTCATCTCGCAGCAAGCTAACCGACCTGTGTGTCCTCAGCTCTCCAAGTACCCTGTCCTCAACAACCTCGAGCGTCAGAGCTCCGTCCCCAAGGTCTATGTCGTCCTCGGTCTGGTTGGCATCTACTTCTTCCTGGTCTTCTTCAACATCGCCGGTGAATTCCTCGTCAACCTGGCGGGTTTCATCATCCCGGCCTACTACTCTCTCAATGCTCTGTTCACCGCCGGCACCGCCGATGACACCCAGGTACGTATTTTCTTTCTTCAACCCCATCTGACACGGAAACATGATCAGAGTGGCTGACCTAGATTTTCTCTCTTGTAGTGGCTGACGGTATGTTCGCGTGATTGCTGGCGCTCTCCCCCTCTCGACGCTCACGCCTAGGCTCCTGTCGGGGCACGTGACGTCGTTGCCCTGAGGTGACGAACCGATGGCTGACATGTGATCCTACAGTACTGGGTTGTGTATGCCCTCTTCACCGTGTTGGAGAGTGCCATCAGCGCTCCCTACTGGTTCCGTAAGTTGCCGAACTGACGATGTGGTGTGGGAGTCTTCGCTCGATGCTAATTTCGCAACAGCCTTCTACTACATCTTCAAGCTTGCCCTCGTCCTCTGGATGGCTCTTCCCCAGACCAAGTAAGCTCCCCAAATCACCCCGGCCATGCCACCAGCGTCGCGGCTGCTAACACGGATCCAGCGGCGCTCAAATCGTCTTCCACTCCTTCCTCCAGCCGGTGCTGGGCCGCTTCTTCGCCAGCGGCTCCACCTCTGCCAACCTTCGGGCCCAGGCCGATGCCGCTACCAAGTCCCAGTAGATCTGACCAAGTGTGTATATGCGACTTGCATGGCGTGCGTTTCTCTCATGCCATGGGTCGGGTCGACTCCCGCGTTCGCGGGGCGGTAGCCGGGCAAGGAATGAAGGAGCCGATGGTGACGACTGTCGGTGCTGTGTACGAAGGAGTGCCAGATTAGCGACGTCCCTTCTGACCGGACGGGACTGATTTGGAGCCTTCGCTTTGCTTTCGGATGATGCTTATCTGTTTGTCATGACATGTTCAGTAGAATTGCTTGTGGTGCTTCTGGTGGATGCGGTTTCGGGCTGTTGCTGTGTGTGATGCGAAGTAGTCTGGGGTTTTGGTTATGGAGCGCTGCGTACGAAGTTGTCCAATTTGGAACGTTTTATCTCCCTTTGGGTGTATTGACATAGAACTCCTGTCGGACTGTAATCTCGACCGGATACGGGTATTATACATCGTAAGGTTAACTAATTTCCTGGAGAACAACCACCCGTGGAAAGAAGGCAAGAGACCCGAAAACGCCATGACTCCATAACCGGCATATCCTACGTGACGTGATGGTGATAGTGATGTACGGGATCGAGACCCAGCGATCCCGGATTAGAACAGCATCTAGTACGCAAGACTCTCGTCTCCTCTGGAGATCAGTATAACCCGAAACGATTCTGCCACCCATCAGAACGCGGGTTGAGAACAATGCGGTAGGGGAAGGGGTTAGAGTCGCTGGTAGTGATGGGGGGAATATGGTCCTTGTCGCGGTTGACGACGGCGAGGATCTTGAGCGCGGCCTTGTGCAGCATATTTTCCATGGCTTTGCGGACTTTGGCGCGTTCTGGTCCGTTACGTTAGTCTTCGTCTTCCTATAAGTTTCATAGGTAGGAAGCAAGCCATACCGGACTCGGTCCGCGGCGTGGCGACGGTCACGTCGAGATTCCACACCTCCCAGCAGACCTCTTCCTCGGCCTTGCCGGCTAGGCCGCCGAACCAGATGCCGGAGCGACGGCGCTTCTTTTCGTAGAACTCGACGGCGAGACGGCCGCGGACGCCGCCGGAAGAGGAAGAGGAAGAGGCGGAAGCCGGGGCGGAGTGCTGGCGGATAAGGGCGCTGATGCGCGAGTCGATCAGGGTGTCGAGGTCGGCGTCGTTGATGGCGGGGAGGGTGAAGTCGAGGACGTCGAGGGTGGAAGGCCTGATGGAGGGGAAGTAGCGGTGGAAGAAGATGAGGTTGAGGATGCCTATTTTTCTTAGTACAAGAGGATGGCGTATGGGATATACAGTGGGAAAATAGTGTACCCTTTAAGACGTCGCGCACGCTGGTGGTGTCCGCAAAGACCTCCAGGAAGTACTCTGGAGGGGTTCTGCGGGGTTCCATCGTGGTTGGGAGGAAACGGAGGAGGGACGCCGCGGGCGGTTATCTTGACTGTCAGGGAGAAAAGGCCGAAAAGCGACCCAGCTGGGATGGATCGCTGGGTCGTACGGAGGTGGATGTGGTTGGTGGCGTGGATCTGGGGAAGTGGTTGATGAGGAGGGGAGGACAGGAGGAGAGGAGAGGGTGTGATGCGATGCGATGTCGGAGTGAGATAAGAGTCAGACGGTGTCAGCGGGCGGTATCTGACGGGGACGTCATGGGCTGCATCCTGTGGAGAAGATGAGATGGAGAGGAGAAGGCAGAAGAAGATGAGAAAGAGGAGAAGAGAAGATGGAGGAGATGGAGGAGAATGGGGATGAGGATGTAAGGCATGAAGGAGGGAGACACAGGAGGTACATCCGATTGCTACAACAGAGTACGACGATGGAGGTACCTCCTATGAACCACGCCACCACTGTGATTAATATAGTTATGACATCTATAAATCCAAGTAGAAATCTAAATGGTAGAAATCCCAATATAGCATTTGAAAGAAATGAAGTTCAACGCATTCAATCTGAACAATCCATGATCAGGATCGTCCCTCGTCTTCACGTTGGTCTCTTAACCGAGGCTTCTCCAGCCTCCCCGACCGTTGCTTGTTCTCCATCCGTTTCGACTCTCCATCTCCGCCTTTTCTCCATCTTCTTTGCTTCCCTCACCACTCACCACTCCGCCATCACTCCATCTCAATCACTCCCACTCTCTCATCTCTAGAATGATCCTGACTGCTCCTCGCTAACACCATCCCATCGCTGCTCCATCATGATCGGTGCTACGAGGCGCTGGTTCCGGCGCAATCGCAAACCCCTCGCCATCGGAGCTGGCGTCATCGGTGCAGGCTACTTAGCCGGTCAGTATGTCTTATCCAAAATCTCGGAAGCTCGAGAACGGATGAGCAGTGATCGCATCGCCCGAGAAAAGTAAGCCAGCCTCCATACCCTGACCACCCTCTGCTCGCGTGCGCTCGGCTGACCATGCGGCACGGCCTAGTTTACGGAGACGTTTCGAACAAAACCAGACCGACTGCACCTACACCGTCCTGGCCCTCCTCCCGACCGCGGCGGAAGATATCCTGGAAGCTCTCCCCGTGGAGGAATTGACCAAGGAGCTCCAGAAGAAGCGGGCCGAGCGCCTGGCTCGGCTCAATGCCGCTGAAGGCACGGGGTCGGACATGACCTCTCTCGCGCCCAGTCTCACCGAAGAGGATCGTCGCAGCTTGTCCAGCTTCCAGAGCGAAGGCTTCGTTCGCACGAGCCAATTGACGGAGGCTCCGGGGGAGAACGATGCTGAGTCGCGGCCCAAGAAAAACAAGACGCAGTTGTGGAACGAAGTCAAGATCACTTGTATGTCGGATGGATCTGCTGGAGGGACGTTTACGAACATGCTGACCATTCTTTTATAGCGATTACGCGGTCATTTACCCTGATCTACACTCTGTCTCTCCTCACCATCTTCACCCGGATCCAGCTCAACCTGCTCGGTCGCCGAAACTACCTCTCCAGTGTCATTTCCTTGGCCACGCCGGCAGATGCGTCGACAATTCGTCTGGAGGATCATGATGACGACGATCTGACGCAAACCTTGGGCAATGATTTCGAAACCAACCGACGATACCTTGCGTTCAGCTGGTGGCTGCTCCACTGCGGCTGGAAGAACCTGATGAAGGAGGTGCAGGCGGCCGTGGAGGAGACCTTTGGACCGCTCAACCCGCGAGAGGATATCTCTCTGGGAAGGTTGTCCGACCTGACACTGGAGGTTCGGAAACGGGTCGAAGGCGCTACGGAGGAGGACCGCAAGTATGTTCTGTTGTTTTTCGCGTGTGGAACTGATCGCTGACTCTCTTTCAGACACCGCAAGTGGTTGTCCTATTTGCTGCCTCCTCGGGAGGAGGAGGACAAGCTCTTGGAGGAGTCCGGAGTTCTGGGGGTGACGGAGCCCTCGACCTCCCAGACCGCCACGACGCTGCGCCATCTGCTGGACGAAACGGCCGACCTGATCGATTCGCCGACTTTCACCCGCATCATGATGCTGCTGAACAATGAATGCTTTGAGACCCTGATCCAGCAGTGCACGGCCGACGCGTTCAAAGCCTCGCCGATGCGCGCTCCGGAGACGGACCCCCAGTCCTTCTCCTCGGTCGCGACGGTGGTTCCGGGCGCTGATGGCTCCGAGCCCAAGACCAAGCTGGCGAATGTGTTGGCCGTGATGGCTCGTCAGGCCCACGTGATCGGGAACGGTACGAACCCGCCGAATTTGTATGTGACAGCGATGGACCAGGGAGTGCGGGAATTGGAGGCGTTTGCGGCCGTCATGTACAGCTCGAATTTTGATGTTGAGTTGCTAGGCGCGGGAGCGAAGACGGAGGCTTTGGACGCGGAGGCGGCCGGTTCCGACACGGTGATTATCGAGAAAGAGGACATTGATGAGCCCGCCCCGACGACTGGAAATGAGTCTTCTGCATTTGAGAAGGCATGGGGAAAGGCCGTGGAAGAGCAACCGGCGAGTGGGAGTGCGGCATAGAAGGGCCTGCTACCTGCTGCATGCGACGGAGTGATATACTTGATCTTTGCTTTTCTCTCTTCTTTCTTTTTCTTTCTCCCTATAGCTTATATGATGAGGTCAATCCTGGCGATTGGTAGAGTGGGATGGGGATTGTATGATAGCTGCTAACTATCTAGAGAGGAGATCCTTGGCTTTATTATGGGAATGATATGATAGTTATGAATTACTATGAACTATTATGAACTATTATGAACTATTATGAATTATTACGAATAATATTTCAGGGACTCGGTAGTTAGGTCTGACATAAGCGCGGGGAAGGATCCAGCTGTTTATTCCTCTTACGGAGTAGTCTACTCTCCCTCCTCTTCCTCTTCTCCTCCGTCAGGCCTCCAATTCTGCCGTCTACCTTGAATCCTTCAGGCCTATGCCCTCTCAATACTCCGTATGTTGTTTCCCGACTTCCATTCCAGCTGTCCTCCTTATGTTATTGACTCATCCAGGACCCGGACTACTACCCGATGGGGCCGAGATCGGCCAACTTTAGCTTGATGGCTAGAGCCTCGCGGGGGGAACTAGACTCGACTAGATCCCTTTTTTGTTGGATCCTGCGCGCAACTAAGCAATCGACGCGACTCATGCGATTCCAATAATGAGACTTTCCCCGCTGAGGAGCATGGCATTTCCGGCATCGGGTCCTTCTACTGGTTCCGGCGCCATGTCTGACTACTACATACGGAAGTATCCTGGTCGCATGTGCTGGTCGCATGTGCTGGTCGTCAATCCTTGCCCTTTTCTCCCCCCTCTTTTCTCACCAGCTGCGAATTTTCTTCTCGGCATCCTGCTTCTCCCTGCGCTCCCATTCTAGCCATTCTCATTGTCGCGGCAATCGTGATCGCAAGGGCAACCTCGTCGCTTCGCTGGCTGCGAGTCCCGCTTCATTTCGCACAATCGACAGGGATTGCGCTGGCCTCGGACTTTTACACGCGGTCACACGGATTTCTCATCGCCTCGCGCCCCCGAGTAATCCCAATCTCACCGACTGTTGACCGCGATTACATCGCAGCAATTCGCCATGAGTTTCCAAGGTTCGTCTTGTCCTCGATCGCGACTGACTGTCGCTTCCGCCACTGACCCCGGTTTGCGCAACCAGAGAAATTCAGTCCCCATGAGGGCCCCAATACCGAGTTCGAGGCCGAGGGCCAGATCCGAGCCCAGTCGTCCTCGTCTGACCTCCCTCCGCTGACCAAGACCACGGAGCTCAAGCTCATGGCCAAGGTGGACTGGCATATTGTGCCCTGTCTGTGCATCCTGTACCTGCTTGCCTTTTTGGACCGGTATGTCCATTCCGTTGCTTCCGCGTCTATCGCATGGGGAGTTTCCGCGTCCCGCTGACCCGATCGCGACACAGAGTCAATATCAGTAACGCAGCGGTCCTGGGTCTGCAGGAAGACCTGAAAATCGTGGATGGGATGAAGTACAACACGGCCCTGACGATCTTCTTCGTCCCCTATGTCATTTTCGAGATTCCGTCCAACATCCTGCTCAAGAAATTGAAGCCCCATGTGTGGCGTATGTATACCCGGCTGTCTGCACCGTTGCTTGCTGACCAGTCGCCGGCGCAATCTAGTCTCCATGTGCATGTTCATGTTCGGCCTGGTCACAATCTGTCAGGGTCTGGTCTCCAACTGGGGTGGCCTCATGACCACGCGTTGGTTTCTGGGTAGGATCACGGATGCTTCTGCAGGCTGACATATGTCGCTGATGTTCATTGTCTAGGAATGTTCGAGACCGGCATGTTTCCGGGCTGTAAGTTGCGCTCCTTCCGGAAAATCGCGTCGCATCCTGCTAATTCAGTATTTGTCTAGGCTTCTACCTCTTGGGAATGTGGTATAAGCGCAGCGAAGCCCAAAAAAGATTCAGTTTCTTCTTTAGCTCCACCACCCTCGCCGGTGCCTTCGGAGGCCTGTTGGCTAGCGGACTGGGGAAAATGGACGGAATCAGAGGGTATGGAGGCTGGCGGTGGGTGTTCATCATTGAGGGCCTCATTACCTGTGTCGTCGCCATCATCTTCTTCTTCCTCCTTCCTGGGTTCCCAGAGGATGCGAAATGGCTCACCGAGGAGGAGCGCGAGTTCATGCGCGTGAAGCTGGCCAAGGATACCGGAGGCGCGGGCCACCACGCGAAGATAGGCTTGCGCGACGTGTTGGATGTTTTCAAGGATTGTAGGTGTTCTGATGAACGGCGAACACGGCTCAGCGTCGAGTGCTGACTGTTGTACCAGACAAGATCTTCATCGGTGGGTTGATGTATTTCGGGCAGGTTGTCACGGCCTATGGTAAGTCTCGGAGGGACTCATGGAAGAGCGGCTGCTCATCATGTCACAGGATATGCCTATTTCGCGCCGACTATTATCAAGACCTATGGCTATGACCGTATGTTCCTTGTTGTCCCTGTACGTTCCATGCTAACCTCATTAGCCATCATGACCCAGCTATACTCCATTCCTCCGTGGGCAGCGGCTTGGGGATTTTCCATGCTGGTTGCCATCCTGTCAGACAAGACAAGACATCGGTTTGCCTTTACCATCGGCCCGATGCTGATCGCTATGGCTGGATTTGGTATCTTACTGAACGTGCATGGGGAAGCCCACCGCAACGTTCAGTATGCCGCTCTGTTCTTGGTCACGATGGGCTGCTACAGTGCGATGCCTGTGATTGTGTGCTGGTACGCCATGAATCTGTCCGGTCATCGTCGCCGCAGTGTGGGAACGGCATGGCAGGTTGGGTTTGGTAACAGTAAGTGGTCCTATCCCGCTTGGCGCAGTGGGACTGTTGGTGTGCTGACACGATGGCAGTTGGGGGTATCATCTCGACATATGCCTTCTTGAAGAAGGACGCTCCCGAGTATCGGCCCGGATACAGCATCAGCGTCTCGTTCCTCGCTTTCTCGGCGGCGTGCTGCATTGCCTATTTCTTCGCAGTGTGGCATGACAACAAGCGTCGCGACCGGGAAATGGCCAATGGAGCTGTTTTGCCCAGCGAAGAGGAACGGGAGCTGCAAGGCGACATGGCCTTGGATTATCGTTATGCGTATTAGACTACGAGTATATGCTTATGGCTTGATGTAAAGACTGGATATATACCTACAATGGCTTGGGGAGGAGGAGCTACAAACACGTGAGGGATGTAGATTAATAATAATTTCGGGATTTCGTCCATCTATACATATTTCTTGGAGAATTTTGCTTCTATATTATTGTGTTTGTGTATGGCTCTGTGGAACAGCGTTGATATCATGAATGACATAATCGACCGGATGGAGACTCGGTAAAGCCGCCCTCAGCCAATCAGCACCCTCATCCCACTAGCGAGCCCTTAGCGGCCCGGCATGCTGAGTCAGCCACGCCGCACACAAGAAGCTCCGTCCGCGGCCGTCCTCCATCTTTCTTGCAACCATCTTCTCATCCTCGTCGAAGTGTGAGTGACCCCGTGCGCCCGCGATCTCTCCCTGCCTTTGCCAACTAACACTCTCTTCCTAGTCTCGAACCATCTACGAAGATGAGAGCTAAGTGGAGAAAGAAGCGCGTCCGCCGTTTGAAGCGTAAGAGAAGAAAGATGCGTGCCAGAAGGTGAGCGACATTCCACATCCAATTTCCCACGTCCACAACACACGGCTAACAAATCCGCAGCAAATAAACGACTCGCCCCTCCATCTCAGCTGTCCATGTCGGAGCCCCCGTTGAACGCTGAACATGACAATTCTCGACGACGTCACGATGATGCTTTCTCATGATGGTTACGTCGCGGCCCTTCCAATGAGCCCTGTCTGATCTGATCTTTACCATTTTCTACGGTACGAAATCGAAACCGGAGTCCGCCGTTCGACCGGAGGTGGAATTTGTTCTTTTCTTCTGTCATCCGATCCCATCCTCACGGGCTCGCCTGAACGGTCTCGATTGATATGTCTTTCTCTTGGATTCAGACAGTGGGGGAGAAAAGAGTGTTTTTTAACCTGTTTCGCTCGGAGGGGTGCATGTGTTTGGTGAGGATGGAGGGTCTGCGGTTTCGTGGATCCTGGGGTTCGCATGGGGAACTGGTCAATTACTCTTAAGCTTGGGATCTGGCTGTTTTACAGTTCGATTCTGGGCCGTGGAGAGGTCCCTGAGAATTTATTTGAAATACGAAAAGTTGAACGACATTGTGTGTAACCTGTCTTATAGTAGAAGTACTTCGTAGCGATGGATGTCGGGTATTATCGATATGTCGATATGCCCCAGATTTGCTCGATTCATATTGTGCGGTGTGTTGTACACCGCCTTCTTGATGGGGATAGTACAGTATTCTGCCGGATTCCCACCGGCTTCATAATTTTTTTCTGGCTCGACTCCGCGGCCAGCTCTCCCAACCAGCCCTTGATCCTCCCACCACTACTACCATGCCATCTGACAAGGTGGAAAAGAAGCGCAAGCGTGCTTCCGATCGTCATGAACGCCCTAGCAAGAAGCCCGCCCTCGGTCTGCAGGATCTGCCTCCGTTGACCACCAGCGTCGTCAACGACAACAGCGAACTGGCTCCTGTCATTGGTGCGTACTGACATTTCAGAGACATCAACAACAGCTCTAACAAACAGCCAGTGACCACCCCCGGTCTCAGCGCCCCCCGAAACCTCCGCCTCACGCCGTATCTCAAGACCCGCGCCCATGGCGAAGACACCGACAGCTCGACCCGCAACAAGGGCATCACCTCGTCAGAGATCCTCCTGCAGTCGTCGGACCACCCGAAACTTGACTTTGTCGGACGCGAGGCCAACGACGACGCCGACTCGCAACTGAAGCACTACGTGGCCGTGGTCGACCCGAGCAGCCGCACGTGGCAGTTCGTCGAGGTGCGCAAGGTGACGCTGCGGGGTGCGGTGCGGCAGACAAAGGCCGCAGGCTCGGACGACGAGGAGGAGGCGGAGAGCTCGGACGAGGAAATGAAGACGCTGCGCGCGCAGCGCACGGAGCTGACCAACACGTTCGGCACGAAGCAGTCGCGCAAGGCGGCGCAGAGCATGGCGGAAAACGCGCAGCTGTCCAACGCGCCCGCGGGCGCCGCCGCCGCCGCCGAGTCGGCCATCCTCTCCGCCATGCCCGCTGACGCCGCCGCCGACCTGGCCGCCAAATCCGCCGCGCTCCAGGCCCAGGTGCAGGCCGCCAAGCCGCTGCCCCCGGCCAACCTGGCCGCCTCGCACCCGGCCGACGTCTACCCGCTCGACGTGCTCGTGCCCAACGGCCTGGCCACCCTGCGCCAGCTGCCCGGCGTGCAGGCCTGGCACGACGCCGTCGCCGCCGGCCAGCCCGTCTCCACGACTTCGCGCTACGTCTCGCGCCGCGTCGAGGCCGTCGTGCAGTCCGGCAACACCACCCAGCTGCAGGTGCTGCGCTTCATCTTCCTGCTGCTGGAGTTCGCGCGCGCGCTGCGCTCCGCCCGCGGCGACCCCAAGGCCTCCGGCCCGGGCAGCAAGAAACTGCCCTCGCGCGACGACCTGCGCCGCATCCTGTCGTCGTCCACCGGCGCCACCGACGACGCCGCGGCGGCCACCGAGACCCTCCCAGACCCGGTCATCGACGCCGTGCGCCGCAAGTTCGCCCCGCACGGCGGCCACGTCACCAAGCACGACCTCACCCTGCTGCACACCACCATCTGCGCGCTGTCGCTGCACATCCCGCCGCAGCCCGCCAAGGACGGCGGCGCCAGCGCCGTCGGCGGCAACGCCCCCAACGAGCTGGCCACCGACCCGTCCGACCTGCGCGACGACCTCCGCCTCACCAACGCCGACATCACCCAGTACTTCCGCGAGCTGGGCTGCCGCATCGACAAGCCGCGCGAGTCCGAGTTTGCCAAGTGGGGCATCAAGGGCGGCAAGGCCGAGGCGGCTGCGCGCCGTGTTGTGCGGCTCCGTGTGCCTGTCGAGTTTCCCAAGGTCAGTCGGGGCGGGAAGCGGTAGGTGGGTGTGTTGTGGATGGAAAAGTGTGTTTGATTGCGGCGTTGGGGCGCTTGCACTTGTTGTACTTGTTAGATGTATATATCAATCCATTGACGATTATGGTTGGACGTTCTGTAGTGAGTAGTGTGTAGTGGGTAGGTATCATGCCTGATGAGGATCACACTGCGATGCATGCAATATATATATCAGCATTAGATGAACCAGCTCCACCTTCTACCGACGCTTCCAACCGAGAAACAACGAGACAGTCTGTTGCCTTTGATTCCTCAATGGCCTAGATATTAGGGCTGTTCTCTGGTATTTGTAGAGCATTCGCAGAATCAGCTCTCAGCCCTTATCTACGCATGGCGACAGTCTTAACAACGCAATTGAGATAAGTCCCGGCATAAAATTGCTCAGAAACGGTCAATACCTGGAAAGACCGTGGAGAGAGTTGATACCCCGCTCTATCTACAGAGTATAGTGACAAATATCGCGCTCCAATACGGAAGTTCCTCGAGCACACCAGATAAACAGGGCAGGTCATCAGCTGTTGAACGTCTAGTATTTGTCATCCATATAGTGCGCTGGGTACCTGCATTTACCCAATACACCGCCTACGAGTATATCATGTAAGAAGCTACGAGTAACAAACTACAACAAATATGCATGATGACCATGGTCAAGATTATATTCAGAACCCAACTAGCGGTAACGACAGACCGGTTCCACACTAACACGTACGTGTCACACACATCGTGCCATATCCCGAAATATTCAAGTGATGATACGGTTAAGCGGCAACACCCACCGGCATGGACGCAGGAGCAGCCACAGGACGGGCGGCCTGGCCAGTCTGCAGACGAGCCGGGGCGACGCGTTGCTGCAGTTCCCTCTCGAGAGCTACCTCGAGGGGCTCATTCGCAGCCAGGCCGAGCTGGGCGTCGGCCCACATGGGCTGGTTCTCGGCCTCGGCGCCCTCAACGCCCACGCCGACGAACCCACCCTGGGCCTCCCAGTCGCTGGCACGCTTGATGCCCAGGTCGTTCCACACGGCCTGGACCGCCTGCACCAGGTGGTCACGGTGTTCCTTGACGTGGCCGGGAGTCGGGGTGATGCGCAGACGCTCCTCCCCGCGCGGCACGGTGGGGTAGTTGATGGCCTGCACGTAAATGCCGTGCTCCTCGAGCAGCTTGTCCGAGGCCTGTTTCGCGACCTCGGCGTCGCCGACGAGGAGCGGGACAATGTGGGATGGGTTGGGGATCACGGGGATGTCCAGCTCCTTCAGGGCGCTCTTCACCGCGCGGGTGTGCAGCTGCTGGAGGACCCGGTCCCGGTTGTGACGGGCCTGATACTGGATGGCCGTGTTGGCACCCGCCATAGTGGCTGGGGGAAGAGAGGTGGTGAAAATGAAACCGGGGGCGAGCGACCGGATGGTGTCGACCATGGCGGCAGATCCAGCGATGTAGCCACCGACGCAGCCGTACGCCTTACCAAGGGTTCCGGTGATGATATCGACGCGGTCCATGACAGTGCCCTTGGTACTGAGGGGGTTGGCAGTGTCCTGGGAAGCGTAGACCTCGTAATCGAGATGCTCGGCGACACCGGCACCGTGAGGTCCGTACATACCCACGGCGTGGACCTCATCGAGGAAAGTGATAGCACCGTACTTGTCGGCAAGATCACAAATCTTCTCGATCGGCGCGATAGATCCGCACATACTGTAGACGGACTCGAAAGCGATGATCTTGGGGACGTGGAGAGGCAAAGAGGCCAACTTGGTCTCCAGATCAACAAGATCATTATGTTTGAAGACCATCTTCTTCGCCCCCGAGTGACGGATACCCTGAATCATCGAGGCATGGTTGAGGCTATCGGACAAGATGACGCAGTCTGGCATCTTGCTGCCGAGTGTAGCCAGGGTGGCATCGTTGGCGACGAAGCACGAGCTGAAGACGAGAGCGGCTTCCTTGCCGTGCAATTTGGCCAGAGTGTTCTCCAGAGCCACGGCATGTTGGTTATGGCCCGAAATGTTGCGAGTTCCTCCGGCACCGGCCCCGTAAGTGTCGAGGGTTTGGTGCATGGACGCCAACACTTCCGGGTTGCGGCCCATGCCCAGGTAGTCATTGGAGCACCACACGGTCACCCGCTCTTCCCGGGAGGCAGTATGAGCGCGGGGGAACTCCTGGGCGAGACGATTGATGTTGTTGAAGTAGCGATAGGACTTGTCCTTGTGCTTCTTATCCAGTTCATTGTTGTAGAAGCCGTTGTAGTCGAAGGGCTTGGACACCGGGGCATGGGGACGGGGACCAGAGACAGCGGCGGGAATAGTACCGACCGGAGCATGGGCTCGGGGATAGTTGGGATGAATCTTCTGGGGATTCTTGTAGACGTCGGGGCTAACGTTGGCGCCATTGCCGCTGGTCGAATGCAGGTCTCGTCGGGGTGGAGCGGGACGAAAATGACGGTTGGTCATACCCGCCACACCGGCCGCAGTCGAGGTGAAACGCTTGGTGCTGGCCATTCGAGCACTCTGGACGGCCAGAGCCTTGCTCATGACGGGACAACGGCGAGCCAGGACCTGGAGGTTCGACATGGTGCCTCCGCCGGGACTGGTGCTGGGGCGAGTTGCGGTCGCGAGGGTACGCAGAGCATTGGGCGAAGTGCGCTTGAGAAAGGGACACATGGCCCGGGATTGCTGGAGAAGGGACTCCATGATGAACGAGACTCAACACGCGAGAGACACGCAGTCTGGGACAGAAGTCGAATGGAGATGGGGGAGGGAATTGATGATCCGGAAGAAGTGGAGAGAGACAGAGACGGAGAGCAGATTTAAGGATGGAAAAGAATGGAAAAAGCGGAATGAGGGGGCCGCTGCCGAAAGCCCGATCGGGTTAGCGCTGACTATTATCGGGCCTCGGATTGGCGGACGGCGCCGCGTTGGCGGGTACACATTACCGAAAGGGGACACGGCTGACTCACCGTCCGGGGCGAGATCCTCGGCATGATTATGTCAGCCCGTGATCCTCGATCCTCGATATTTTTACATACTTCAATCTATTCCGTAAAGAGAACATGCAGACAACAGGCCTGAAAGTTGTACTCCATAGTTGACATACAATACACCATCTATTCCCCATTCCAAGTCAAAACACCCCACGTCTTTCTTTTCACCCCGTCTTCGTCCATATTATGACCATGTCAATCGTAGTAATGCAGAAATCATGTGTTGATACAAAAAGGCAGCAAGCCCAGCCCCAGAACAAGAAAGTAAGAATATAATGAACAAAAGAAGCACACGAAAAGGATCAAATCAACCACATCGCACACGCACAAACGCCCATAATCCCGGAGAAATTACATGGGCCCTAAGCCGCCATCACCGTCGATCAGACGTAATCGTTCTTTGGTCGTCTTCGCCCGCTTGGACGTGCCTTTGCCCGTTCCACGTCCCCGTCCCCGTTTGGGAACTGGTGTCGACGATGGCGTACCGCCCACGTCTGCCGTCGACACCGGCGTGGCAGCACCCGACGGTTTGGCACTGGCATCATCGAAGTTTCCTTCGCCTGTACGCGGACAGTCGTTAGTACTGGATATTGCCCAAGACAACTCGCAGAAACATACCTTCGTGATACATATCATCCAAAGTGATATCGCGCTTGCGCTTCTGGGCCGCCTTCTTCCCGCCTTTGCTGGCCCCAAAAACTTCGCCACGATCCAATGCTTCCTTCTCCTTCTGCTCAATGAGCTCGGCCTGCTCATCGTCCGCGAGCCACATGGCAATATCCTTGGTGCGGCTTTCGCGGTTGCGCGTGTTGAAGTCCACACCACCAGCCGCCCCGCCAGTGATGACGACCCGCTGCACCTCTTCTTTCTGTAGCGCACGCTTGCGGATGCGCTCTTCGATCGTGCCCCGCGTGATGAGACGGTACACCGTCACCTGGCGCGTCTGTCCGAGACGATGAGCACGATCCATCGCCTGCGAGTCGATGGTGGGGTTCCAATCGGAGTCGTAGAAGATGACCGTATCGGCCGCCGTCAGGTTGATTCCCAGACCACCGGCACGCGTCGACAAGAGGAACACGAAGATCTCCGGGCGTTGCTGGAAGTCGGCCACCGTATCACGCCGGTCCTCCAGTTTTGTGCTACCATCCAACCGACAGTACTTGTAGTTACGGTACGTCAGGTACTCCTCCATCAGGTCAATCATCCGTGTCATCTGGAAGTACAGCAGCACACGATGACCACCCGCCTTAAGTTCGCGCAGCAGCTCATCCAGCTTGGCGAGCTTGCCTGAATCCGTGACAAACCGACGCATCGAAGGCACTTCAATGTGGGTGTAACGTCCCTTGAGCGAGGTCGGCTTCGGCAGCATTGGGGGATGCGAATATGGTACGGGATCCAACTTCTTCTCCAAGATCTGCTCTTCCAGCTGCCTTGTCGGCGTACTGAACAACGCATGCCGCACGGGGACATTAAACAGGGCATCGCTCATCTCGATTTGGGCCGCAGGGCTGGAGGAGGTGATAGTCACTGGAGGTGCCGACGCAGCGGGACTGGCGCAAGGCTCAATGACGTTGAGGCCCTCGCGTTCGAATGTAGATTGCGACACTGTCATCAGCTCCCGCATGTAACCATCCGGGGTGATCTCATGGACCGCACTCTGATCATTGCGGGCAACAATGTTCAACATCGTATGCGCCAGGGGCGCGTCTCCTTCGTCTTCCTCGTAAACAACATTGAGTCGAGACAGCCGGTTCGGTTGACCACGACGGCTCAACGCCCTTTCAAACACACCGCGATGCGACTGTTCATACGCGTCGCCCATGGATGTGTCGATGAAGCGTAGGAAAGAAAAGGCACCGTCCTCCTGAATGCTCTGTTTGATATTCTCCGGTGCGAAGACGTTCATCATGTGGGCCAAGTACTTGCCACGGAAGCCGGCGTGCAAGTTGTCGGGTCCCGCGACATCGACTCGGCCTGCAGAACTGCACAGGAGACGGGGCAAGGGATACTCGATTAAGCTGCGAGTGGAGTAGCCCACGTCGACGAACTGGCCTTCTCGGACGAAAGACGCAGTCTCGGCAAAGTACGCAGTGGTCAAGGGAGACTTGGTTTCTGCGCGTTCGAAGAGATCGGGGTGATTGCAGACTTTCCGGAACTGCATGACCAAGTTCATCAGGGTCGTACTGTCGGCTTCGTCCCCGACCGCGGCCTTCTCAATCAGGTCCATGATGCTGACCCGGTCCCGCAGCCCAGTGTAGTAGGCCCGCTGGCGGTAGGTGAGGTCACAGAAAACGTCCTTCTCCACCTTGTCCCCGAGTTCCTGTTGGACGTGCTTCTTCACACGTCGGAGCATGAACGGTTTCAAGATCATGTGGAGACGTTTGAGCTGATCCTCGTTCAGCTTCGTGTTACTCTGCGCATGGGACTCGATATCTTTGGAGAACCATTCGCTGAACTCATCGTGAGAGTCGAACAGCGTAGGCATGATGAAGTGCAGCAGAGCCCACAGTTCCTGCATGTTGTTTTGAATGGGCGTACCCGTAAGCAGCAAGCGATTGCGGCAGTGGAATCCCAACAGGTTCTTCCAACGGGAACTCTGGGAAGATTTGATGGCCTGGGCTTCATCGAGGATCATATACTGCCACTTGACTTTCTGGAAATACTGTGCGTCCAAGACCACCAGCTGATACGAGGTAACCAATACATGGAACTCGGACTCCTTGGTGTAGGTGATATGCTTGCGGTCCCAAAACTTTCGCAGAATCTTGCGGTCCTTGGCAGAACCCCAGTAGGGCAGCACCTTGATATCAGGGACGAACTTGGTGATCTCTTGCTGCCAGTTGTGCAGGGTCGAAGCCGGCGCAATAACCAGGAAAGGACCCCAGATGTTGTGGACTTCGGCCAGGTAGGCCATGACGGAAATGGACTGGATGGTCTTACCCAGACCCATCTCGTCCGCCAAGATACCGTTGATACCTTGTTCGTACAAGTTAACGAGCCAGTTCAAACCCTTCAACTGATACTCCTTCAGTTTCGCAGTAAGCATGCTGGGCTGCGAAATCTCAATGTCACCCAAACTCGTCGGGTTCTGGAAGTTCAATTCGCCCTCATCCATGGCGGCCATCGGATCGTCTTTGGTGTTGTTGAACGCACGAGCCCGATCCTGGGCCTGCTGCACGGCATTCTGCGCGTTGGCCATGGCCGCCTGCTGCAAGGCGGTCTCGTCCTCGGCATCGAAATCAAGATCCTCGAAATTGGTCACTCCAGCACCGGCCTTGAGGGCGCCCGCAGGCACATCCATCTTGGACTGTGCGGCCTCGTTGGCACCCTCCACGGCCGTGTCGCCCGACTCATCGCCCTCAGCACCCTTGATTTTGCGACCAATAAAGTGGGAGTACAGTTCGGTCTGCGAAATGAGGAAATTGAGCTTACGCCGCTGGCGGTTCGCTTCACGCTCGGCTTCGGCCTTCTTGGCGGATTCGATCTCCTGCTTCTCCGCGAGACGACGCAGGTCACGCTCCTCGCGTTCGTTGCGCTTCCAGAACGACATCATCTCACGCATAGTCCGCTTCGCACGGGCCTGCGTGTCTTTCATGCTCTTGTTGGTGCGTTCCTGCCACTTGCGAGACTGCTTGCTAGCCAGCTGAGCGGTCTTGCGCAGATTCTCCTGGCGGGTGCTGAGAGAAAGGACCTTGATGCGGTAGACCTTGGGAATATCCTTGCGGGCGATGTCGCGCCAGATCTGCTCGTAGATCTGATTGTAGCCCTTGCTCTCGTACGAGGACAGAGGAATCGGCGTCGCCTCCTTGGAAAGGACTCCCTTGCCATCTTTCCGGAGAACGTCTTTCCGATCGTCCCTGGGCGCAAGAGGCAGCAGTTCTTCATTTTCCAGCGCGGCATATGCGGCTTCGGCCGCATCCTTCTCGGCTTGTTTCTGCTCCTTGGACTTCTTGGGGCGGGTGACTGGACCACCCCGACCAGACTTGCGTCTGGAGGGGGAGCGGCCGATGTGGAACGAGCTGGTCGTGCCGCCTTCGAGGTTGGGGGCGAGGGGAGTGACTTCGCCGATCTCCTCGGGCGCTGTGACACCCTCTAAGGCCCTCTTGGTGGTCTTGATCTTTCGCTGCGCCCGCTCGGCCTCGCGTAAGAACTTGGCCTTCTCCGCAGAGTCCTGCGCCTTGTTCGCCTTCCGCTCCGCCTCCAATTTCTTCTGCATTTCCAGGCGCACGGTGTTCTCCCGGCGGCGTTTGCGCTGCATGTCCTTCTTGCGCTCCTTTTCGTCCTGAACTTCTTTGGCTTGGACTTCGGCGACGACGGAGGATTCGTTGGCCATCCGGAATCGGTCCATACCGGCCGAGGCTTGCTTCTCAAAGGTCTTGCCGAGCTTAATGAGGAAATCATGGCGGCGGCGCTAAGGATATGTGTCAGCTAAGAGGGAGTTTCAAGGCGAGGAGATCGATCGTCCTTACCTTGCGTCGCACGCTTTCGGCGCGTTCGGCATCCATCGCCCGCTTCTTGCCCTTGGCAGTGTAGCGTTCCAACTCCCATTCGAATCCAGGGCTCTCCACGTCACTCTTCTCCATGCTGTCGAGCTCGGCCATCACCCGGTTGATGTATTCCGTCTCTCGTTCCGACAGAGTTTTCCGTGGAGGCGCTCGGGGTTGGACCGCGGCCTTGGCGGGATCCAGGAGGCCATTTGTGGGAGGAACAGATAGCTCGCCCATCTTGGGTTCCTGGTCCACATTCCGACGGCGTTTCTCGGAGCTGGGCTTCTTCTCCAACCGCGGCAAAGGCGTGACGGGAGCTGGTTCCGGCTCCTTCGAAAGAGGCGGAGCCCTGGCAGAGATTGGGAGAGGGGGACTCTGTCGCGCAGCGCTGGCGGGGGCCAGGGCCAGGGGCGCTGGAGCGACTTCGGGAGGAGACGGCTTCCGAGGGGGAGGCCGGTCTTCGGTCGGGCCGGACAGGATACTCGCGAAGGACATGGGATCTGCGGCTCGCGCGGGTTTCTAATACGGGAGAGAACGACGTTAGCAATGCATTCTCCCTTGACCGATGCAGCTCGTAGGGATTTGTTAAGGTCACATACCACTTCCTTGGGAGGCGAGGCCAGGCGAGGCTCTCGCATGGCGGATGGGGGATATCCGGGCACGCCATGGGAGCCCATCGAAAAGGACGGCTCCATCTCCTTCTTGGGGGACAAGTGTGGAGGGCCGTCGGGACGAGCTGAGGGATGGGCGTGAGAGGCGGTCGAGGGGCCATACGGGGTGGTCCCGTTGCTGGACAACACGGAGCCCGAATACGGCCGGGGAAGGGAATACTGAGGCGTTCCGGCGGCGGCATGAGGCTGGAATTGCGACGAGGCGTCAGGATGGTGAGGCGGCGGCGCGGCACCATTCAATGGCGGCAGGGTGCCGGGCAACGGAGACTGCGCATGGGGATGGTGAGGACTCCGCGACATGGCGGCAGGTTGCGACGGATAGGCCGGAGGGGTGTGAGGAGGATGTTGCTGGTACTGGTCATTGTTCGAATAGAACGGACGGTTCTTGTTCGGAGGCGAGTAGACCGGGTAGCGAGACTGCTGAGTCGGGGACTGCGGATTGTACGGCGGAGCCCCCGACATGATGGCGGCCGCGTTTGGCGGAGACGCGGTATTTGCGAGCGGAGGGAGATGAGGATGAGCACAGGGGGGATGGTTTTAAGGAGAGAGGACGGGGTTAGGAGGACATGAAGGGGATGAAGACGTGACGGGAACCCATGCGCGAGACGATGACAGGGGGATTGAGTTGATCCACGCGTTTGGATGGTTCCGGAGACTGGCGAAATTAATTAGGCAGGGCGAGTGGTGGATGGGAGGAGGGAGGGGGATGAGAGGGATGGAGGTGGAGGATGGAAGAGGATGGTGGATGATGATGATGGAGGAGGAGGAGGAAGAGGGAAGATGGGGGGCGAGAGAAGAAAAGGAAGAAAGCGAGAAGCGCTGAGGTGGTGGTTTGGTTTGGTTTGAGCGGTTTGTGGTGGTTTGGCGGTTGATGAAGGGGGAAACCGGAGTCGCCTCACCGGGTGCCCGCACACGCTGTCAGAGCGGAGGAGGCTGAGAATGCTGATGCTGACAAGAACTGCAGATAGATAGATAGAATAGAATAGAGGAACACGTAGTGGGAATAAATTGGCGATGCAATAAGGAGGGTGAGTCTCTGTAGATACGATCTAGGTCGGTGTTCGAGACAATACTAGTAGTAGATCTAGAACGGTGAGATCGGAGGGGAGAAGAGACGATGGAGAAGAAGGAAAAGAATGAATGGATAGAGGGAAAAAATGGAGGTCCCTTGACAAATCTCTGTCGAAGGAAGAAGAACAACAGACAAGAAGAAGAATGGAGACATCGCGATAGAACGAGAGTTGGCGATGGTTCGTTTCCTTTCTGGGCGATTCATTACGGTATGCGTATTATGGAGTGTATTTTTGTATTATTCCGCCTTTCACGAGGGTATTGATGGTTTCGTACAGTATTCACTCCAGATCTGACCCTGTACCAATACCATTCTCTTCATCCAGGACGATGCACCCTTCACACCGAGAAAAGATTCTGCTCTGATGTGTCCTGTTCAAATTAAGAAACAAAGCCATATGGATGGCGATGTCTTTTGTTTGTTGTTGCATCTGGGGCATCCGACCGCATCCAGCTGACCTTGTCCACTTGATACTGATTCAGATGATGCAAATATGGCATCTGAACAGATCGATCGTGGAGGATATATGTAAGTTTGTATAGATAGATAACTTATGTATATCCGCATCCAGGGAGAATCACAATATCATATAAGCGACGGGACATCCTTCGTCTCGTTCGGCATCCAGCTGGGCCGCAATGTCAGTCCATCCCTGCACAGAATGCACCCGTCTTCCGAGGAGGATCCAACACTACTACTAGTACAGTGGACCACCTTAAACGGGTCTAGCGCTTAGTCTTTTGACCTCGTACTTAAAGTATTTTATTCTGCCAGGTGAAAACCCCAAACAACAGCAACAATAAGTCTTATTTATACATTAGATCCCAGTTATAGTGACAGATTTATCCTTCCATAGCCCCCAGATCTCATTACATACCGATCTAACTATGAGTTTCAAGGTACATGAGGGTGTATATCAATAGGCGCTATACTAAATAGGCAGGCGGTCCACCGTGCGCACGACCCCCTCCAACGGGTGTTCCAAATATGTACATACTCCGTAGTCATATTCATTTCACCCCCACTGTATCATCCGACGATCAACAGACGAACGCTCTCCCCATCTCCATGTGTCCGAAGTGGTTCGACAAAGGATTCCGCGATAGTGGCGTTGGGCCAGGCCATATCCAAATGCCCGGAGTCAGCCCATTAGCAAACGGGTATTATAGACCGGGAAGGGGGTAAATGGCTTCCAGATTGATCCGTCTGCATAGATCGACTGAGGGGATGGAAGAGATCGTTACGGAGACCCTCGGTGCATGTACACCGGAGCTTGATTTCGATCTATTCTGGAATCATTCGATTAATATATGAGTGTATTGAGAACATATTGATCATATCATTGATAGATAGTAGGGTAGGATCATAGAACTGATGGTATGAGGGCTTGAAAGATCACCTGACACACCTGACCACCATCATCATCACCGAACTAGCACCATCCCCATCCCCAACTCCAGAATCCCGTATCCCAATTCCAACTCAATTGATACACCACCCTAAGTTTGATCTACATGTAAACAGACCCCTATACACTACCCCTACGGGGAGCTCCGTCCGTCCGTCCCAGCCTCGTTGGCGCATCGGGGAAAAGGGAAAATGCGGAGAAAAGACGGGGTACGCATGGTGATGACGTCCACTACTCGGGCAGTCTCCGTTGCGCCATCATCATGTCCAGTGGATCGAGATCCATGAAGCCTAGACTCAGGGGCGCATACACCTCCCCCATCCAGTCAGTCGATGTACAACTCGGACTCCGCTTCAGCGGTCGTCAATGCGCAAGCTCCATCGGCGGAAGGGAACTGCATGCAGTAACAGAAGACCAGACAGACCAGGCACACACCACCACGGCGTCAGCTCAATCCCGGCCAACAGAAACGTCATTCGCATTCATTGTACCACCGGTCACCCCACTGGATGACCCTATAAATACCACCGAGTCTCCCGACTGCTTACCTGGTCAACCTCCATCCTCTACATCCATTCTCCTCCATCCTCCATCCCACTCCCACTCCCTCAATCAACAACAACAACAACAACACCCCCAAATCTCACCATGTCCGTCCCCGAGAAACAATGGGCCCAGGTGGTCGAGCAGAAAGGCGGCCCGCCCGTGTACAAGGAAATCCCCGTGCGCAAGCCCGCCGCCGACGAGATCCTCGTCAAGATCCGCTACACGGGCGTGTGCCACACCGACCTGCACGCCATGAAGGGCGACTGGCCGCTGCCGGTGAAGATGCCGTTGGTGGGCGGGCACGAGGGCGCGGGCGTCGTCGTCGCCAAGGGCGAGCTGGTCAACGACTTTGAGATCGGCGACCACGCCGGCCTCAAGTGGCTCAACGGCTCGTGTCTGTCGTGCGAGTTCTGCCAGCAGGCCCAGGAGCCGCTGTGTCCCAACGCCCAGCTGTCCGGCTACACCGTCGACGGCACCTTCCAGCAGTACGCCATCGGCAAGGCCGCCCTCGCCTCCAAGATCCCCAAGAACGTGCCCCTCGACGCCGTCGCCCCCATCCTGTGCGCCGGCCTGACCGTCTACAAGGGCCTGAAGGAGTCGGGCGCCCGCCCCGGCCAGACCGTCGCCATCGTCGGCGCCGGTGGTGGTCTCGGTTCGTTGGCTCTGCAGTATGCCAAGGCTATGGGACTGCGCGCGGTGGCCATCGACGGTGGCGAGGAGAAGCGCCAGATGTGTCAGAGCTTGGGTGCTGAGGTATTTTCCCTTCCTCCATCTACCCTTTTCTTGAATGTAAAGACAAGACTAACGAAGGCAGGCATACGTCGACTTCGCCGCCTCCCAAAACGTCGTCGAGGACGTCAAAGCCGCCACGCCCGGCGGGCTCGGCGCCCACGCCGTCCTGCTGCTCGCTGTCGCCGAGAAGCCGTTCCAGCAGGCGGCCGACTACGTGCGCTCGCGCGGCACCATCGTCGCCATCGGCCTGCCCGCCAACGCCTTCCTCAAGGCCCCCGTCTTCAACACCGTCGTGCGCATGATCAACATCAAGGGCAGCTACGTCGGCACCCGCCAGGACGGCGTCGAGGCGATCGACTTCTTCGCGCGCGGCCTGATCAAGGCGCCCTTCAAGGTCGCCCCGCTGAAGGACCTGCCCAAGATTTTCGAGCTGATGGGTGCGTTGTCTACATTACCATACTTCCTCGGTTGTACGTGTTTACTGACGAGAACAGAACAAGGAAAGATCGCGGGGCGCTACGTGCTCGATGTGCCGCAGTAGAATGCATGGTTTTTGGCGGGTGATGATGAGACGAGACGTTGACGACGATGATGACGATGACGACGAGAGTGCGCGATGATACATTGAGATTCTGACTAGAAATCACATTAATTCCTCTTCCACCTATCTCCACCGTCGTATGTGCTAATCGCCCTTCTCCGGATGCCCCGTGCTTAGCTGCGTCTCGGACGGACTCTCGGACGCGCCCACGGTCGTCTGCGGGCCCTTGTAGACCTTCCGTGCATACAACGCGTAATACAGCAGCGCGCCGCCCCACAGCGCGCCATTGATCACGACCGTATAGTTCATATCCTGGGCTACACATCATCAGCACCACATCATCGAAAACGCTCCTAGCAAACAAGGCAAGCAAACTTACGCGTCGGATCAGGCCCCAGCGTCGGAAACATGCACAGCATAATGGCAAACGCGAGATACGCGACCGCGGTCACGGCGATGGGCTTGCTAAAGACGCCCGTGTAGAACTCGCCCGGGTGGAAGCGGTCCTCGCCCCAGACCAGCCGGCACAGAATGGGCATGCCCCAGGCGACGTCGTTGCCGGCGACGGCGAGCGAGAACAGCGCGTTGGACGCCGCCGCGTTGATCAGCGACAGCAGGCCGACCACGATCGCCGCAAACACCACGCCCCAGATCATCCGCACGGGCTGGAAGCGGATGCGCTTGCTGACATGGCGGAAGAACGACGAGAAGGGCAGGGCGCCGTCGCGCGAGAAGGCCCAGCTCTGGCGGGAGGCCGCGACGACCTTGGCCTGTTAGTACTCCGTACGTTGCAGAGACGCGGACGGGGTGTGCGTACCAAACTCAGGCCCATGAAGAATTGCACAAGAGCGACCACCACCATGAACCCGATGGCGCCGGATTTTCCGAGCGCGTCGTAGTAGATCTACCGGCATGAGCGCCATTCGTCTTGTAACGGGCAAGAGGACATACCTGCGCCATGGGCTGGCCGAAAGCCGACCCCAGCACGGACTCGAGATCGACGTTGATGACGGCGGCAATGACGGCCAGCGACAAGAACCCCAGCACGCCGCACAGCCCGCACGACCAGAGGATGCCCAGGGGCACGGCGCGGGCCGCGTGGGTGGCCTCCTCGCTCATGTGGACGCACGAGTCAAAGGCGCCGATGGTCCAGATGGGCGACAGCCAGGCCAGCATGAACGCCCAGCCCGTGGGCCAGGTGGTCAGGTTCTCGACGTGGCCGAAGACGTATGCGCCCGAGTTGATCTCGCCGCCGCGGACGGCCTTTCCGATCGGGAGCGCCAGCACGGTGGCCAGCACGAGGCCGACGTTGGTGAAGATGCAGGCGGACTGGATCTTGGGCATGATGCGCGCGAAGAAGGTCGCTATCAGGCCGTGCACGACGACGCAGGCGACGTACGTGCCGTAGACGACGGGCCGTGACGCCGACCATTCGCCGTCGCGCGCAATCGAGACGATGGAGAGCAGCATGGTCGCAAAGCCGTCTCGTTCACCCGTCAGCAGAAATCCGGTGTGGGTGTAATAAACACATACAGTCGATGGAGCAGACGCCGCCGAGGAGGCCGATGGTGTTGCTATATCCCACCACGAAGCTCAGCGGGTTCTTCCACTTCTCGCCGCTGTAGTAGTGCGTCCAGAAGTAAAGACCACCGGCCGTGGGCATTGCGGATGCCAAATCGGCCTGGAGTAGGTGAGTATTAGACACGAACATGCCATGGAAAAGGAACACACCATCGCCAATCCGACAATGAAGATGAAGATACTAGCAACTAGCCAGCCTGATATCCATGTTAACAGATCGTCCCGCTTCGGCTCAAGCAACGCGCATTCTTACCCTATACTTGGTCAGCGGCGCACACCTCAACCCACAACGTCCCAGAGATAATTACCCAAACCATGCCCACCGGGCCTGCAGGAACCGAAAAGGAGAGCGTAGACGCGATTGACGGCAGGAGGCCCATGATACTGAACGCGATCGCAAAGACCTGGACAGTCGAGTAGTGTCGGCGGAGTTCCTGCTTGTAGCCCAGAGAGGCTTGCGAGGTCAGCATCCACGTCTCCTTCAAAGCCCACCACCGCACAGCAGCACATACCCAACAGCTCCGAATCCCCAATCTCAGCTGGGGGATCCTCCGCGATCACCGGCGCCGGTTTGGACATGACGTCCGACATAGAAGGCTTTTCCGCCATGACAAGAGTGCGACAATGTGACAGCAACCCACACCAGATAAACTGCAAAGGGCGTATCCAGCAGGAAGCGATCCTCAAAGCTGGGACCCGCGACGCTTATAACTATCTCACGAGCAGGGTGGCACAAGTCAATGGCGCTGATAAGCGGACAGGAAGCGGGGATGGCGACGACACGGGTGAGATCCGAGGCTCCCAGCAACTTCGTCAGGTCTTTAGCACCGCAGTCAACCAACCCAGAGCATGATTGGGCTGCGGTCGTATCAGCGATCATCGACTCCAACGGCGCTATCGGAGAAAAAAGGAGGGCTGACCGTCCAATGCGAAGCGGCCGTGGCGGCTGATAAGAAATCGAACACGCGTTAGCGGGTGAGCTTGACGAGCAGCAGACGAGAAGGAGCTGGCAGAGGGATCAAGTTGCCCTTTCGAGGGAAAAACGAGAGAATTGTGGTGGTGGCTTATCGCGACACCATCGCGCCATCTTCCGCGCTGATATGCAAGGGGTGGTCGAGGCTACCAAAGAGTAAAAATCAAACGAACAATGCATTCAAAGCAAGATTATACGTATACATGGTTTTAAACAGCGCCAGGCCCCTTATGGTTCGACTGGTCCAGCAGAAGTCGGGGCTTAATGTAATCCTCATCCAGCTGTCGGAACCATGCCCCATGGTCCCCCGATGGTCCTCCCGAGAAAAGATCCCGAAGCGCCTCGCGAGCGCTCAACCCGGTCTCGCGCCGCGAAGGCGAGACACTCGTCGAAGGGGGTGCGTTCGAGCCGAGATGCTGCGATGGCTGTGATGGGGATCGCCGCAGCCGCGATGCCGTCGGAGCTGTGGGCGGTAGGTCATCGTCCGACGCTCCGTCCTCGTCCAGATCGAAGGCGAGCTGGTCAGGATCGGGCAGCCGGCCCTTGCCGTTGGCACGCAAGCCGAACTCGTCCTCGCTGGCGGCACTGCTGCCACTTTGGCTTCCTGCACCGCCCCCGAGCAGAGTGGCCGTCGAAGAACGGTCCCGGGTCGTCTGCGTGTCCTTGGGACTATACGCATTCGAGTACAGCCGTGCATGTCCCTTGCCGCGTCCTGACGACGACGACGGTGCCGGCGGGCTAGGACGTCGGTTGTTGCCGCTGGAATAGCTGTCGTTCCGGTCCATGTGCCCGCGAGGCATTCCGTCCAGGGGAATAGTCGAGTCTGCTCGGCGCGGAGTGTAGCCCACGGCATCGGACCGCTTGTAGTATGTACCGCCATTGGTGACTTCAATATCGAATTCATCGTCGGACTCGATCTCTTCGACAACGCCAGTGCGAATGCCCAGGATCTCCAGCATCCGCGCGGTCGTACCTCCGAAGATAATCACGGTCAACACAACCACCACCAGGACGGTCGCCCGCAACGCCGGTGCGTTACCCCCCTTCAACCCGGCAGCCAGGGCCACGCCGACAGCTCCACGCAGTCCGGCCCAGAAGAGCATGGCTTGGTACGCGAAGGGCAACTCATCCGCCACTTCCATCCCCCGCCGGCGTGCGCGATACCGAATGAACCAGTTGATCGCTTTCGACAGCGGGAACACGGCGAGATACCGCGCAAGGCAGACACCAAAGACCGTCACCATGATGAAGAGCGGCTTGAACTGGAGGTGCCGCTGGACGAGCATGTCGAGCCCGAGGTAAATGAAGATGAAGTTCTCCGAGAGCTGCGCCATGACCTGGAACAGATACTTGGTGGTCAACTGCGTCCGACGCGACATGTTGTAGTAGGCGTAGTGTTTCAGCGTTATTCCGCAGAACAGAAGGGAGACAATGCCCGAGAGATGGATGCCGTTGGAGAAGAAGTAGCTAGCGTAGGCGATCAACACCACCAAGCAGCTTTCAATCTTCGGCATTCGCCGGACGTGCGTGTACTTGAGTCCCAGGGCGGTCATGATCCCCACCACGACCCCGATCAGCATACTACCAAAGAACACCAACAAGAACAGCCCGATGGCCTCGAAGAGGTTCAAAAACGTCAGAGAGCCGGCGTCGCTCTCGGCGTATTTCTGCGCGGTCTCGAACAAGACGATCGCAACCGCGTCGTTCAACATCGACTCTCCAAAGATGACAGTGTACAGCTTGGGCTCGACTTTGTACAGGTTGAAGATGGCCAGGATGGTAACCGGGTCGGTCGCCGAGAGGGTGGCGCCCACCGAGATTGCTTCGACAAACGAAATGTTCAGCCCGTCGAGGGGAATGCGCGTCCATACGAACAACACCAGCCCCAGGACAATGGCGGAGATGAAAGTCCCCGCGAACGCAAACGTCAGGATTGTGCCGATGTTGCGGAAGAAATTGGCCTGGTGTAGTTCGTATCCCGACGCGAGAATAATCGGAGGAAGGAGAAGGTTAAAGAAGAACTGGTAGTCAAAGGTCACGGCGTCTTGAATGGGCGAATCGGGGCTGAGGCGAATAATCAATCCGACGAACATGCCTATCGCAACCGATCAGTAACCACATGAAGCCCGTATATCGAAATATCCAGAAAAGGTATCACCATACCCGCAAAGATAGACAGCACTGTTTCATGGACCGCTTGGATCTTCTTCTGTTGGAGGAGGTAACTCGTAAAGAGCGCGAACATCAACAGGGCAATCAGGATAAAAAGCGCCCAGGAGCTAAAGATCTCTTTGGTTCCGGCCTCCGGAGCTTCTGTACATGAACGCGATTGTCAGACTGGCGAGGATGAGGTAGGGGGATGATCGTAAAGGTTCATACCGTCGTCCGGGTCCGCCTCCGACTCGGCCGCTCTCCCTAGCAGAACAACGTCGTTAGCATTGCAATCACATCCGCGATTCCGACAGAGTTAGAAAGAACTTTATCCATTCTCTTCTAAACTCCAGACTGATAGACAAAAAGAGGACACTTACGGAGCAGGCCGTACAGGGCGTCGCCCATAAGTTGGCCAGCCATTGTTCGATCCACGCAGCCACCACCGACGGATCACACGAGACAGGTAGCCCCAGCTGAGAGTCTCTGGCACAGAAGAACGGCTCTCATAATCCACCGCGACACAGGCGCACGGAAGCAGAGGGATGAGATCGTCTGGGGGAGAGGAAAGGTGAAGAAGGTGACGTTGGGGGGGAATAATCACGGCGAAAGATGGAGGGAGGGATAAGGTAAAGTGGCCGGCGGGACTCCGGGCGGCGGGCGGACGAATGGCCTTAGTTGGCTTGTCCGCCCGCTGATCCTGACGGCATCGGGGAGAGTCACAATAAAACTACGGAGTACTATGGAGAGGTACCCAGAAATCTCTCATATTTCATACAATCACACAGCTTTAATTAGATATTTGGATTGGTCGCAAAATCCCGAAAAATCCTAGCTACAACATTCCGCTCACTTTCGAGTCCCCTCGACCAGCCGACTCGTCAGCCATGCTGCCACAAGCGCCGCACAGCCGCCAAACCGCAACACCCATCCGACGCTGTCGTCCCAAGGCTCTCCTCGTGGCTTCTGGAAGGCCTTGAAGATGCCACTGCAGATTAGGCTCGAGAATATCTGGGGCGCCGATACTGCCACGTTGTGAAGCCCCAGGATAATCCCCGCCTGCGCTAGATTCTCGTCTTCATGCGTCTTGCCGGATCGCCTCGCGCCGTGTTCCACATCATCTCCGTTGGAGTCGAAGCCGGCTTCGTCCAGTCCAGCGGGGTACATCGCGCTGGATTCCTCCATCTCCGACCGCTGTCGTCGGAGCCGGCGCTCAGCATCTATGCGGGCCACCTCCGCAGAGATCAAGGCAAATGGCGCCCAAAGTGTGAGGGCCCACGAGATTCCCACCAGCGCAATCACCACCGTTCCAGCCTGGTACTGGTAGATGAAGAAGGTACTGAACATGCAGAGGGCAAACAGGACATGCGACATAAGCCACGCGCGCCGCAGCGTGAATCCGGGGATTTGTAGGTTGGAGAGCCATTTTGGGTCTTCCCCCTCTGTGCCACCGTGTTGGGAGGGGATGTTTGGGGGCGGTTCTGACGCCGATGCGACTGGAAGGCTCGAGAAGGACATCCTCCTTCGGCCTAAGAAGGGTTCTTCATCCGGTGGCGTGATAGCGGTTCCATTTTCAGGCGCGACAACCGGCTTGTAGGTCGGGACGACAAAGGCAGGTAAGGTAATGTTCGTGGTGAATGAAATGATGGCGTAGATGAGCAAAGCAAAGGTCCCGATCCTGGTGGCTTCGTCCCAGATTTCATTGATCTCCTTATCCGGGAGGTTTGGGTGCTTGTCAAAGATGGGGTTGACATAGAGCTGTCCGACGTAGGTGGTAGAGTAGAAGAGAAAAGGAAACCAGCCAACCCACGCGGCCAGCTGGACCTCGCAGACTTTCGCGATCTCAGGCGGCAAATACTTGATGGACTTGAACACCTGCCGGAAAAAGCTGACGACCCCCGGGTTTCCGGAACTGGGCGATGCATCGAGCCGGGGATCCCGTTCCTGGATGTATACGCAGCTGATCAACAGCGTCGTTCCGAGAGAGAACGAGGCGATTGCACACAATACTTTGAATTGTGTGTCTCCCAGAAACGGGAGGTACTTTGGCAGATGCATGTATCCAAAGATATATCCTAAAATATTGCCCACACCGGTAAGTCGACTGGCCCAAGCATTGGCCGACTCTTGCTGATGGACCGGTGCATTGTCAACAATGAAACAACGGATGCCCGCTTGGACTGCAGCGGAAGAGTTAGATCATCGCGCCAACTCAGCGGTAGGCGGAAGAGAACCTACCAGTGTTGATAGCAAAATCAAGACAATACATGAAAATCGTCGCCATTATGATGATCATAGTGCGTGTGCCCGGAGACTCGGGATCCACACCAAAGATCCCTAGGAAGCCCCCGACGAGCTCTTTCACCCACGCAAGGGCTAGCAGAGCAACGATGGTCGCCGCGCCGCCCACTATCATGAATGGCTTCCGTTTACCCCACGAGATCCGGCAATTGTCGCTGCAAATGCCAATGTAGGGCTGCACGAGGGTCCCTGTCAAAGGACCAGCAATCCAAACAAAGGCCAGCAAGGCCTTGCTCATCCCCAGCGACAGGAGATACGGCTGCACTCAACGGCAATTAGCTCCGATGCGGGACAGAAGGAGACGACCTTCACTTACCGATCCATTGGAGAGCTCGACGGACCACACGACCTGGAGCCTACATATCAACCGGTCACCACCCCTTCGATCGGACGAGAACGCCATGAGCTAGTAAACGGGGTGGATGACTTACCCGCCAATGCTCAGGGTCAACAAGAACAAGTACCAGCTGCTCTTGGTTTCTGACAGATCATGCGTGGAACAATCCCCGCCATATTCTCGTCCACCCCCGGTCACCGAGTCAAGATCATTGTTATCATCCGGATTTGCCGGTCTGACTAGAGGAGATGTCTCGTCCGCGGCCGGTTCATCAGCTGTCGTCATTGGTGTGATGGATCAAGACGTAGGTGGTTGTTTGAGGAGCGTGAGGAGGGCGACAAGGTACTCGAGGCTAGGTCAAGCCTGTGTAGAGAGGCATTCCCCGAGGTGATAAGAGCAATCGGAGACGATCGAAACGAGCTCCAAAGGAGACCCAGTATGTATAAGGAGCCAGGAGGGTTTGGTTGTGACTTTCAGTCCTCTGTTCAGAGAGAGCCAAATCTAATGAGCTGGTGAAGGTAATATCAGCGGAGACGCGGTCCAGATCTAGAAAATACACAGCCTATTGGGGATGGTGGGGCTGGATGATGATGTACGTGGAGTAGTGGAAAACGGAGCTGGTAACGCTTCAGGTCAATCCAAGTTTTAGAAAGAAAGGATCAGCAAACACGGCCGTGGTGCGAGCAAGCTAACATAAAGCAGAGCGTTGTCGGGATGATGAGGCGACTGACACGCAGGAAGAACATCGACGTCAGCAGGTCCTCCACGTGATCCCGCTCGGAACTGATCAGTGGTGGCGCCCGTCAGGAGGCCTGATACATACCTTACGGAGTACACAAGTGTGGTCACATCCCTTTAGACATTAGACGGACGTGGATTCATTGCTTCAACAAATCTATAACTAAGCACAAAGACGAAACGGGCAATCCAAATCTTATATCTTAAGATCTTCCATCAGAACTGAGTCCACAAGGGCTTTGCTCCCCAAAGCTAGGTAGACACCGCTTTTATCCCAGCCCGCAAACTGCCTTCCCTCGCACTTCCAACCCTTCCATGAGTCCCAGATAGTAAGAAACAGGCAAGAAAATGATACAAAATCCCCATTATCAACATAGCACATAAGAACAGGGGGGATGCAACGCGACATAGATCGACAGATACTGACAAAGACGGTTATGATAGCAGTCACAGCACGCAGATCACAACCAATAGCTTCGGCTTATGCACATACAAACGAGCAATTGAGCGCAAGCGCCAATTGCAGATCAAGGACACCATCTGCATTCCCGTGCGGGGTGTGTCTTGAAAGAGGAGGAAGCCACAGAAAAACAAACACCAAAGAACCGGTACGAGTGATGAGCCATTTCCCTCCAAAATGTTGCGAGGGAGGTAAAGAGAAAGAACTTGAGCGAGTATTATATGCGAAACAATAGACAGCCACGCCGACAGCTGACAGGACAAGGATGTCAGCTAGATCTGCTGTTGCAGGAGCTGAGGAGCGATCATGTGAGGAGCCACCATAGTCGGTAGCGCGGACGGTAGGCTAGTCATCGCAGATGGCATTGATGTCACGTTAGGGACATTGACCATGGTGCTGGGGAGAGATTCGGACGGCGAAGAGCCCTCCTCCGGGGAGCCATAATCATTCTCCTCGTTGTCCAAGTCGTCATCCTGAGTCGGCGGCTGCTGTCCATCCTGCTGAGCTTCGTGGATCCGACGATGCCTGTTTCGCGGGTCAGAATCTCATCATCATCGGAGTGGCAAGGCGAAAGGGAACTTACTGTGCCAGATTGTCGGACCGGGAGAAAGCTTTGTTGCAGTACGGACAAGGGTATGGCCGTTCCTGGGTGTGGGTTCGCACGTGTCTATACGCTAGAGGTTAGTCGGCGGCTACAGAGATTATCAGACGGGGCGCTGCAGAGCGCCCCCGCAGTGCAAGGGCCCAATGACGAGTCTGCCAACAATGGACTGCAGAAAACGTACCGTTTCAGATGTTCTAATCTCTTGAATAGTCGCCCGCAGGACGGAATAGGGCACGAATGGGATTTTTGCGGATAAGGACCCAGCTCCATCATCGTAGCGCTTCGAGCACGGCGGACGGGACCAGGCGCAAAGCGGTCCGTCTTATTCGCGGAACTGTGCTGCGCAGTGGAATCCAACGTATCCCCCGTGGGAAGCGCGCCTAATTCGTCGGATGTCTGATTCGGTTCAGGGTTCTCCTCCAGGCTCGAGAGCGGAGTCCCGTTTCGAGACATCTCCTGTAGCAAGTTCTTCTGCGGAAGTGGCGTTGGGTAGCCATTCACAGTCCGCGGTGCTGATTCATGATGCGACTCATCAACCTCCGCGACGGGCGCAACTGAGCTCGAAACGGAACGTCGCAAGTCACTCGGCTTGTGAGCGGCGTAGGCGATGGGCTGCGAGGCCGTCGGCTGAGAGACCGCTGCGACGGCGCTGGTCACACCGGGGGGGATCGAAGAGCGGCGCCGACGCTGCTTGTATGTAGGAGAACCCTCCAAGACGGAGTACACATTGGAGTGAAACGCCCGGGGAGGAGTGGGGAAATGTGCACTTGCGAGATTGGACGGGGGCAGCTGGACCATGGGGTTGAAGGCGGCCGTCGACGAGATTTCAGGAATGGCAGTGTAGAGGCCAGTGTCTTCGTTGGCAATGTACGCAGGCTCCGCCCCCAGTTGGTTGCTATGCTGTGGGGGAGTAACCGGCTCGAACGACAGTCCACGGTTACTATAATCTTCATATTGAGAGGACACAAAGGAGGGAGCTGGCGAATATTCGACAAAGGTGGGCATAGAGGCGTGACGCTGGTGGATGCGAGCAATCGGCATTCCATTGCGATCGTACTGGATATGCGTGTAATCAGGCTCGCGCTTAATCATGCCCGGCGCCATCGTCGTCATCGGGATGGAGCTGTACATCGCCGGGTGACCGGACTCGTCCGTAAGAAGGGGAATCGTCGGCGGTGCCATCTGGGGAGCCATCTGAGGAGGAGGCATAGGGTCAACGGTCCGAACCACTGGGGAAGCGGGTTGGCCATATGTCGTACTTGCGTGTGCAGCAAAGGAGGATGAGTTGGCTTGCTGGGCCTTTGTGAGTTGTTCATACAGCGACTGGGATGAATCGAACTCGAAGGAGAGCGCCGGCTCGCTGACGGCGACAGTCGTGGCCTCCTGCCCCATCTTCTCCCGCTTCAGATCACGTTCCAACGCATCGAGGAAGAGCCGGTCGTGAGGCACACTGTACCAGTAGAAGACCTTTTGCTTCTTCTGCGTCCGAATGCAATTATTTTTGTAGAGGAAATCGAGGAACGGACTCTTGGGTTCTTCCAAGGTCGCGTCGGTTCCGGCCTTGAGGTTGCGCAGGTCGGAGAAAATGCCTTCTTCGAATTTCTTCGAGTTCTTGACGGGGCGTCCGAAGGCTTGGAATCGGAAGGCAAGGCATCGAACGATATCCGTGCCGGAGATGTGGAAGAGATTGTTCCTGTTTATCGATCAGTCGGGTTGTTCTTCCTCATCGCTCCGAGGTTGCGATGCAACGAACCAGAGAACACAGGAAATGTAGTCGCCTGTGGGAAGGAGAAACCGTCTGATCAGTTGATCGGGTTGCCAATCCACTGGCGCGGAGAGGAGGAAATATTTCACTGTGTTAACCACCCGCGATTAGTTGAGGATACGATAACAGGTCTCGTGGTCGGGCTGACAAGACATACGATTGTCCACCTGCTGCAGAGCGACTTGCGCGTCATGAGGCAGGCTCTGCTGCGCTTCATTCGACAGCATAAAGGTCTCCGGCTTTTGAGGCGGCGCCATCGGGGGGCCATGCTGGGAATACATTTTGGTACTATGACGGTGGTCAGTCCAGGAGACAGACGAAAGGAGAGAGCACAAAGCATCGGCCAAGGCTGATCCGACATGGGTGAAGGAACAGAGACATCGCCAGACTGGCGAAGGGCAGTACGTACGGTCACAACTTGTCTCAGAAACGACGGGCGACAAACTTCGGGACCACGGCGAGAAAGGGAAATCGGAGGTCAACGGGCGCTCATAAAACCGCAACAGGGTTTCCAGACACCAGAGGGACCAGCCTTCGGGAAGTGTAGAGCGTTGAGGAGGTGGTGGTGGTGGTGGTGGTGGTGGTGGTGGAGGATGCGACCTTGGTCAACAAAGAGAGAGAGAAGTAATCAAAAGAGGGCAACAGAGAGATGAAGTGGGCCAGCCCGATTCCAAGTCTCTTTGAAGAAGTCGCACGGCGAGAATGAATGAAAGCGAAACGAAGGTAGAAGGGGAAGAAGAAGAAAAGACAAAAAGGAAACGGACGAGGCTAGTTCGCGCGATGAGGAGAAGTAAAGGAGGAAGAGGAGGAGAGAAGAGGAGAGGAGAAGAGGGAGGGGAGGGAGGAAAATGGGAAGGATGTTATTTTTCTAGGTAGAGTCGCCGTCGGTGGTGTTGGTTCGCAGGAACACTAAGAAGGGGGCAGCGTGCAAGGCCAATGGGATCCACCCAAAAATGCAAATCCAGGATAATAGGAAGGAAAATAAGAAGAGAGTAATTTAATGTCAATCCGCAACAACAATAATTATAATCACAACAATCAGATCGAAGGGGTTAAGAGCTTGGAAGGAATTCAGGGAGCGCCGACCGAGACTGCGGATCGAGGAGTAATAATAGTACTCCGTAGTAGTAGTAAGGTACGGTAGTCAGTCTACCTGTATGTACTATCTATTAGTACTATATTCGTTTGTAGTATTGTTTTTCTTTTTTTGGTCAATATTTTTAATATATTTGGCTTTTCCTTTTTCAACCTTGATTTATTAATATGAATATCGACTTATTGTTTTTTTCTTAGGAGGGAAAAGGGCGAGGTTGACTGAACTGACTCTCTGTGAAAGTTGGTTGGGGCCCTCGGAGGACGCACGCACGGCGAAAGAGAGAACATTGGCCAGTAACCTGGCCAGGGACCGGGCAGGGTGGGCTCATCCAGCGGTCCCGTACCTGGTACATACACGTTAACAACCGTATTGCTGGTCCCATTGGCTCCAGTCCGACTGGCTGGGTGGGGTAAAAACTAACCGTATGGGGTATTGTGCGGTAAGTTACCGTGGTATGAAGACCGTCCCATACCATGGGCGGTTCCATCAGGTACCTGCGGCGGAGGAAGCTTAGAGTGGGGGCTTCCGTCGAGTTCCAAAGATTCCCATCTGTTATTAAACGGTGGACCATATTAATATTATTTCTTCTTTTCTACTGATTCTTGCTGGGTCGGCCTCTTAGTACCGGTATTGAGCGGGAAATCCAGAACTACCCAGGTAACTAGCCTGGAGGTAGGTAAACTTCCAGCACAACGGCATAACGGCCCAGTACTACCCTCCCGTGTGAACACCCCCATCAGAATAGTGTACACCTGCAGCACGACAATCTTAGCCTCCCACCTTGCCTAGTACATGCACACAGCCTTCGGCACGGAGAAAGGGAGGGGGGGAGGAATGAGCGTCAGATGAGCTGCCATTCCAATCACTCCCCTTGTCTGAAGAGGAGAGGGGGAGTAGCATGTGGCTCAACGACCATGCACTCTCGTTCAGGTACGCAGCATTCGGGCGCTGGCGCTGCGGGGGATCCTAGCGAGATGCATATGGTGCATCTTTCAGCTAGACCCTCACGACCCTAATGACCCTAGCGACTATCGAGTCTTTGCGCATGCCAGAAAGCGATGATCTCATCCCGAGATAAGTCCCGAGTTATTCCATGTCCCACACATCGATCACATCGTCTTGGGATGAAGATTTGGTGCAATGAGGTCGATCTGTCGGTGTAACTCATTCGGCACATAGATACAGATCTGTACCGATTCCACAGGTGCTTTCATCATTGGACCATCGGGGCATTCTGCAGTGGCGAGGGATGATCACGGCGGTTAGAAGTGATCACTCAGGGAGTGTGGTGAGGGTGGTTGACGATATGATGGATTAATTCGTGCCCTGTGGGCTGGCCAACCCCAGTGGCCAACGGCCATGGGCGACCAGTGCCGGGTGGAGCCCAAAAAATGCCAAGACCGATAAAACTGGCGCGGGAAACAGTTGTGAAGCATTTGCCCCTTGTTTCAGAATCCTGGTCAGCGCTTACCATCCGCCAATCAGCTGCGGGGCCCACTCCTCCACTTTCCGTGCACTATTATTAAGTATTTTATCATTCACTATTATTATCCTACTCTGATGATTATTGCAAGGTTGAGTCTCCAGGATCATTCCCTGCTCGCATGAAGATGTCCTTCATTTTACAGAGTACAGAATGGTCGATTGTGTTGTCCTGGGAAAACCAGCAGGACCCAAGGTCCTCGTACAACCCTAGCGCTCACTGAGATTGTACGAACGTTCCGTCTGACAGGTCACTATCGTATTCGGTGCTAAGCGAGTCCATTCAGAAGGGGGAGGAGGATGCATGACTCGCAGTGGGATGCGGTTAGAATCCCAAGAATAGCGCTGTGGGAAAGATACGTCGTACGGGCAGCATTGCTTTGTTTGCTAAGGTGTTGCCTATTCTAGAATAGCCTTGATAGGATACTGTACATAGGTTAGGTACTATACATACTTGACACCCTGTGCTACTAACAGAGTAGGCAGTCTGTAGTCTCTTGCATGATGTATACTTCTGGAATCATGGGGCGTGGGAATTAGAGTATGCGACCACAATAAAGATTAATTTACGACTGTAGTTTACTGTATATCGGCTTGATGGTGTCGCCGTTGACAGCACGGACCACAAAGGACTTTACTTGCAATGAATGCTCTCCATGAAGTCCCAAAGCCCCAAATGACCAGTCAGAAGGAATCACGAGAATGTTGGTGTCTCTAATTACACCACGCCCGGCTTCTGGTCTAGACCTTTAACGTCATCGAACACCCACAAAGCGTCCAAGGCGTCGAATGAAGCGACAACGATATGCTGGATTCTGCAGTTCTGCAGTGTCAAGCCCATGTGTGGTCTGCACGGTGAATCCGCATCATGCTATATCATGCTATGCTGTGGGCCGTCACTACCCACCCACCGTTCAGCCATTCAGGGTATCCTCTTGCTTAACCGAAGGTCGGGGGGATGTCATGAATGATGATCGGCAATGGCGGCATTCCAGGCTCTCCATTCGGCAGGGCGCGATCCAGAGGACGAATCTCGGTCTGTTATGGAATGGAGAATGTCCAAGAGAGATGGATCGATCCTGGTCCATATCAAGTCAGAACAATGATCAGCGAATCTGTCTACCTTCATCCATATGACACCATCGACAAAGCTTAAGCGATCGGGCCTAAGATGAGTCCGACGAAGAGAGAATCATGATTTTGCCTTTCGCGAGCGGAGATCTCCTCCGTACTAGGGACGGCGATCATAGGGACCATCTCCCGTTGGGCGACAGAAGTAACTCGAGCGGTCGAAGGGACGGTTGGATGATGATGATGATGATGATGGAGGATGGATGCGATGCCGTTGACAGTCGGACCCCCACAGTTTCGGCCGAATCCGGATCGCTCACCTCAGGGGTCGAAAAGAGAAGTCATATACATAGTTAGTTATTACTAGTCTACTCCGTATGTACTCCGTAAATGTCTTTATGCAGGCATTTAGAGCTACGGAGTACTAGGCTAACAAGTCTACTATCTCAGCAAGCTGAACGCAGTGGACTACGGAGTATGTCGAACCAGGAGAGTGGAACCTTTCCCCTGGCAGGATGCAATAAATAGCATCTGGGCGCCGGAGTCCCAATGGGCCAACTGCCGGAGACGGTGCTGGGTTTAGAATCAAGTCCGCGGCTTCATCTAGATCAAGAGATACCCCGAACGGGACAGCTTCGGTTCTTCCTTGTCAATAATAGTGCGCAAATTCTCCGAAGATCTCCACTGACACGATTGATTTCTCCCAGACCCTCCCTCAGGCCGACCGCACTGGGGCGATAAATTACGCCCGACTCGCCCACAGTGGGATTGGTGGTAATAAATCTCGCCCTAATCATGAACCAAGAAAAAGCTGATCAAATCCATCATGGTCCATCTCATCAGGGTAGGTAGGGCACTTGGGCTGGTCCACCCTGGGCCGCGGCACTCTGTTTGATCGTCCATCGTGAAACCATCTAGAAAACTCCATCCCCCCGATGTGCGATCCCAGCCTCGTACGATGTGCCTTCCTGCCACCGACCCCGACCCCGACCCTGACCCGATAGTGCTGGGAGCAGAGTCCACCACCATCTCACGATCAGGTCAATAATAGAGGTGTTATAGATGCGTCCAACAGCACTTTCGTGGATCTGCATTGACCAAACCGCGTTAGACCTCGCACGCTCCCAAAAACCAATTCAAGTGCCTTGGAAAGGGCCCTGATGTTTCTCTGAGATTTCTTCCGCCATCCAAGTACGGGCTTTTAGGGATTGGCAATAGTCTGCACCGCGAGAACGTGCGGGGAACGCAGCATGCAGCTCTGCACTTCTCGTGAATAACTAGCTAAGTAACTACGGAGTAAGTACCCCTGTTGGCTTCGACGGTCTGATCCTGTTGTGTTGTGATCGTATTCTGAGGGATCCGGTTCTTGTCCTTCTCCACGACTGGGGCGGGCTCACTATCCCGGAATCTGATAAACGTCCGGAAATCGTTCCGACGGCGTTGGTAGAACGGACTCCTCTGGTTGAATTCCGCCTGTCGGTTAGGCCGGAAGAATCGTCCAGCCATTGCGCGCCGCCTCTCCACCAGGACCTGGGAAGATGACTCGAGTTGCTGCTCGGTCGTAGCTCGGCTGTCGACGGGGAAATCGTAAATCGTCAAAGCATCTAGGTAGGATATACGGTGCTATGGCACTCAGGTCGATCTATTGTATGTAGTGTATCTTTTGGGCCACCTATCCACCTAGGTATGTATCTACCTGTATGTAGTCCAGACGCTGAATAGGTAAGATAATGCCATGTCGAACGCCAAGAAACCAACCCAGCACTAACGGCTGTGATTACGCATTCGCCTTTCTATACAGCACCCCAACAAGGATTCTGGCCATGTTTGCCGAACCCCATGACGACAGTCACCGGCATTCCTCTCCAGGGCGTGAATCCGCGCCGATACGACCGCCGCCAGGGCAGAGGCACGATGCGATCCCCATCCCAACCATGGTTACCCCTCTCCGCTGATCGCATCGTCCCAGGGTCTGTGTCAGTCTGACTCGTGATTAGCCGCATAGGATCCGATACACGGCTGCGAAGGGTTGCGTGCAGAATCTGAAACACCGCCAACGGGGCCGGCGCTGGCGGTTTGCAGTCTGCACATGGCGCGCCGGGTGACAACCGTCTCGGAGGGGGGTGGAGGTAGACCGGGCTAACTAACTGACTAGTCCTGTCGGTTGTTGGGCGTCGTTTGTTTGGGTGATGATCGACTAGATACGGAAGTCCTCCTGTTGTGGTCCCTCAGGAGTACAGGTAGGATGCCCTCCTGACTATGTTCATGCAGGTACCGTTGACAAGTGAGACATGATCCTCCGAGGAGAACAGCGGTGGAGACCCTCACGAGAACTAGGCGGCGGAGACGATGGAGCAGACTGAGACACGGCTGTTTTCTAGACTCGTCTAGGCGGACTCTTGAGGAAACCTTGGGGGGGTAAACGACAGCGAAAGTGGTCGCGAACATACTGACACCGCATGAAGTCTCATAGTATAATGGTTGACATTCAGCTTTCATCTACGGAGTACGGATGAAACAAGTACTACGGCCTGGGTACCAATATGTTTGCTCCAATACATTCGACCAGTCAAATATGTACAGATGGCTTGATGGTAAGTAGGTATAGTATGCATTAGCCAACCACCTCAAAGCCAAAGTCCTCACCGAACGTGCACCTTGAAGAGATGTCTGTGTTTCAAGTCGAGGCCCCTTCCAAGCTTAGCCTCACTCGGGGAATTCTCCAGATCCGGAACAGCGCAGGAGACAATCTCAGCGTGGAACGTGCTTTTGTTCGATGGTTCCAAATAAAGTTTTGGGGGCTCAAATGAGGAGTATCAGACTGTGCTTCTGGCTGCTAGCCACTCGTGGATATCACCATGAGGTCAATAATGGCTGGGTTGTATGCATCCTATCACTCGAGCTAACGCAAGCCAAAGCCCGACTACACACCGAATAGTGTCTACCACCGCCAGCGGGAGTAGGTCTGGAAAAGCAGCCAAGCCAGCTGCGTCTTTTATGTGAAAGGGCGAGCCATCGATGCGGTCGACGTAATCCCTGGACAGTCGAGAGTGCTGGTGCACCGAAACCGGCGGGGCGATGTCTCGAACGACGGGAAAGGCACGGGTTGAAAGGTCCATCACGGCAAGCTGACAAAAGACATCCATGTCACTTTCGCGTGATCAACGCCGTCCGCGCGTCTTTCCTTTGCCTGACCGGCGCGGTTTCTGGATGGCCGACAGATCGCGTTTGCTAAGGTTCAAGGTACCGCCGGAGAACTTGCCAATAGTAGGCCCTCCAACACCACGTTCTCGTCGCCCAACACTAGTCTTCGACTTTGGTGTGGGCTTCTCCAGAATAATTCCGTTTTCCTTGGCTTCCAGGCGTCGCCTTTCCTCCCTCTTTTCGGCCTTGGCTTTGATGCCTCTCCGATGCGACGACGGCATTTTCTGGTGATAGAGGGATGTCTTCGCTCCGAGCGACTGCATTCGGAGGTCGAGGGCCTTGAGTCGGTTTTTGCCTGTGGGTGCGAGATCCGACCCCGACTCTAGCAGGTGCGATTCTTTGAGCAGCCGTTGAAGCGCAAGGTCGTTCTTCAGATTGTCCGCGTCAGCCGCGTCAATTCCATCCTCATCTTCATCCTTGGAAGGGGATCGCTTTGCGCTGGTCGCCTTCACCTCGAACGATGGGGGCTTTGCAGTCTAAAGTTGACAGCGTATTAGTATAGTCCACGTATCCTAGGCATAGTATACAGGTTCAGACATACCATGAACGCCTTGCGCGCCTTCTTATCCAACGGGGCTTCAGTCTTAGCGGAGTCGGCGTAGGAGATCACCTCCACCGCGTTGGATGCTCCTTCGTCCCCAGAGAGCCCGTCCCATTCAGATCCAGTGTCGCCATCTTCTGACTCGTCGTCCTCATCCTCATCCTCCTCTTCGGAAGCATCAGTGTCCGTAGCCTGACGTTTAGGCACCTCTAATGGCTGAAATTGAGCTTCAAAAAACTTCCGAAAAACATCCTGAGCGGAGGTGTCTGGAGGGGGTGGAGAGACCTCCTCGTCCTCCACTGTCGTAGATCGGGACACAACAGACGTGTCTCTCTTCCGTTTTCCAATCATCTCCTCGTTCTTGGGCAGGTTTGTGTTTGGTGGGTTGGCAACGAGAGCATTCACGCCCGCTGCGGTGACGGGAATTTTTTGTCCATCTCCGAGTCACGTGCGATAAGATAGGCCTGCCCCTCGTGGATTTCCCACCCACGATGAAACCCACCTTGCATCGGCCGTCTGGAGCACCAATTGCGCCGCCCAATATGACGAAATTCCGGCCTTGTATTGACCTGCACTCGGGGCAGGTCAAACAGATTGTTGGCGGCACGCTGAGCAACGTCGCCGCCGACCTGAAGACGAACTACGTATCGCAACTTCCCGCCAGCCATTATGCTGGGCTGTACCAGAAACATGACCTGCGTGGAGGCCATGTGGTGATGCTTGGACCGGGGAATGACGCCGCGGCAAAGGAGGCGCTGAGTACGTGGCCCGGCGGCTTGCAGGTTGCCGGAGGCATTACGGACAAAAATGCCCAGTACTGGATTGATCAGGGCGCTGAGAAGGTGCGCTCACGTTATCCTGGTGCTTTCTACTCCTGGATCTGAAGGCACTTCATGCTGAATGCTCTTGCGCAGGTCATCATCACATCGTTCCTCTTCCCAGAGGGAAAGTTCTCTCGGGAGCGACTAGAGTCCGTGCTGGCCGCGCTTGGAGGGGACCGGTCGAAGCTGGTCTTGGACCTGAGCTGTCGGAGGAAGGACAACACTTGGTTTGTTGCCATGAACCGGTGGCAGACCATTACCGAGATGGAGATTAACCAGGGTGAGTCTGAGAGTAGCTGCGGTATGCGTGAGAGCGCTCTGTTGACCGTGACCAGAATCTATCTCGATGTTGGAGCCGTACTGCTCCGAGTTTCTGATTCATGCGGCGGACGTCGAGGGCTTGCAGCAGGGGATTGACGAAGAGCTGGTGTCCAAGTTGGCTCAGTGGTGCTCGATCCCGGTCACGTATGCTGGGGGAGCGCGCAGTCTTCAGGACTTGGAGAAGGTCCACTCCAGTAGTCAGGGCAAGGTTGACCTCACGATTGGGAGTGCCTTGGACATATTCGGTGGCTCTGGTGTGACCTTTGATGAGTGTATACAGTGGAATCAGACTCACTGATGAATGATGTATTGGAATGGGAGTTGGTTCTTTCCATCACCGCTTATATATTGCGTGTCTTTGAAATGTATATATATTTTGGATGGCTGGACGCAGCCTTGTGAAGAGATCGGTCAGAAATAGACACTTCGTACTGACAACATACAGAAATTTACAGTACCTAGCTAATCCCAAGAACACATTCTTCTGCACAGCGCTTTCAGATATACGGACGTACATAGAATGACGATGATATCCTTTCTGGGCGAAATGCTGGGCGACGATCTGGCCTGCCAAATGCGGCTTAGGGGGGTTGCAACCGGAGCTCACCTTCAACCACCCGCCGGCGACCGCTGCGAACATCCGGATCATCACTGTACTGCTGCCTGCTTCTCTCTCAACAATCGCTCATCCCGACCAGAGTTATCTCCATCGCGCTCTCCACACCGACATCCATATCTGTTGTCAACTCTCCAGCAACCTCCCGACGAGATTCCGACGAAGCCCGACCGTTGAACCTATCGCACCCCTCGACCGTCAAGATGAAGCCCGTCGTGTCTTTGTTAAATGCGTGGTCCTGGTACGACTCCCTGCTGCCACCAGCTAATGCAGATGGAAGCTGACAGTGTCATGATCCAGCGTGGTGATCTCCCTCTTCGCCATCGTCATTCTTTCAGTCCTCGGGTCGCTGTTCCACGTGCGTCTCCCCTCTACAACCCGTCCTCGAGTGGCCCACAGCCCAACGAGTCGCAATATATGCTCCGCATCGAAGATACACAAGAAATATGCTGACAGGCGGAAATACAGCGCGACCACCACGGCTTCACCGGCTCGGAGGGAGAACCAGAGGACGGCGGCGCAGTTGCGGCCTCCATTTTCAGCGCCGTCGTCATCTACGCCGTACGTCTATCCACCAACGACTGTCTAATGTTTCGGGATACTGACAACCGGCAGTGCTTCTTCGTCTTCTGCTCATTCCAAGCCTATCTGCACATGAAAGCCCGCCGCGGCGGCGCCATATCCCTCAGTTAAATCGATGCTTCCGCCCTATCTCGCCATCAATGAAACACTCCGGTCTCTATATCTTCTCATCCTCTTCTCCTGACAGGAAGGCAGTCGTGGCTCCTCGTCGATAGCATTGAGTGCTATGACGGGGCAGGTGTCTCCATTGTCTGCTCTTGCTGTTGGCTCCGTTCCTCGAGTTTTCTGTCCAAATTACGCCTTGTATCGGTGACTATGGGTTGGTCGATTAGGTTCCAGATTCTAAACTTGCTGGTGGTTTTGGGTTGCTTCGTATCTTATCAAATGCTGTTTAAATATGTATATAGCGTGTCTGTTTTCATATAGAACATTCGACTTGAAATCTATACTTCCGTAACCCGTAGATGGTCACAGGCGACTGTTATGTTCATAAGTGCTATATACCCTATCCATCTGCGAGACTACCGCAGGTGTGAACGCCGTGATGCGAGAAGAGCAGCTGATTCTGGAAGGCCGCCAACGCCAACGCCCATGCCGAATCCCAAATCGACCAAACTTTTGGGGATATTCTGTGCATCATTAAGTCATATCATGAAACCCAACACTCGATGCCACCATTACAATTCTGCGACCTCGACCGGGTCCAACATTTTGGACATGTACGGCCCGTCCAAGGTGTAGCCAAGACGGGCGTAATAGCTGCGGACGCCGACACCGGAAATCACACTGATCTTGCGGCTTCCATGCTCCTCGCGGGCGATGCGCTCAGCTTCCTCCATCAGGAGGGTGCCGAAACCTCGGTGCTGGAACTTGCGCGCGTCACGCCCATGCAGCGGCACGGCGGAGCCGTAGACGTGCAGCTCTCGCACAATACTGGTCTGCTGGCCGGTAAACTCGGGGCGGAAGGTGTGGGTGGGACTGCACTTGCGCAGACGCAGTAGGCCGATGAGAATATCCTGTTTGGGGTCTTCGTAGGCGAGGAAGGTCTCCCAGCCGCCGTTGGCGGTGTAATCCCGCCGCACCAGCTCGATCTGCGACGGGCGAATCCTGTTCTTGACCTCGTTGACGCCGACTTCGCGGGTGCGAACGTCACGGCACGTCGTGCCAAAGTCCTTCATCCGCGCCAGGGCGAGCTCTCGTAGGTTACCGTTCTCCACGCCCGACGTCACGAGCGGCATGGGAATGTCGCGCTGCACACGGTAGATACGGGTCCAGGGCGGAATGAGGGCGAGAATACGCGCCACCAGATCGATCAACGCGTTGGGCGTGTAGTTCTTATAGCGGCCGGTGCGCCAGAGTTCGTAGAGACCGGTTCCGCGGATGACCAGCGTCGGGTAGATCTTCAGCCCGTCTGTGCGGAACGCGGGGTTCTCGAAGTACTCCTGGAACTGGAAGAGATCTCGCTCCATTCCAACGTTGGGCAGATCCGGCATCATGTGGCTGACCACCTTGAAGCCGGCATCTTTGGCGAGTTTGAAGGTCTCGGCCACAGCGGCGACAGTGTGACCACGGTTGGTGTCTCGGGCGACGTCTTCGTATAGACTCTGGACACCGATTTCGAGACGGGTACAGCCGTAGCGAAGCATGCTGCTGAGGTGGGTGTCGAGACAGTAGTCGGGACGCGTCTCAATGGTGATACCCACGCACTTCACGTTGCTCATCTCACCGGCCAGAACGGCCTCGTCGACATTGTCAGTCTGATAGCCACTCAGCGCATTATGCAGTTGCGCAATAAAAGACTCGCGGTAGTCTTCGGGGAGCGACATGAATGTTCCACCCATGATGATGTATTCCACTTTGTCGACGCTGTGACCGAGAGATTTCAGTTGGTCAACTCGTCCTCGGGCCTGTTCGAACGGATCATAGCGAGCGCGGATCGCACGCATTGAGGTGGGCTCATAGCCCGTGTAGGACTGGGTCGAATACTCAAAATCGGAATCAGGACCTCCAGGACAGTAGACACAGATGTTACCCGTGTAGGCGATGTGAGGGCAGCGGTGGGGTTTGCTCATCACGGCCACGACGGCGATGCCGGACGACGTTCCTGTGTAAGACGGATTAGAGGACCTTCCACCGCAGTCTGGAGCGAAGGGAGGGGAACATACGGATTGGCTTTGCGATCAACTTGGGAAGGATGTACTTCTTGTAGTGTTCTGGGACCGCAGCGATAATGGCCGTTAGCGGGGGCTGCGCCGCGAGACTGTGCTTCTTTGCGATTTGACCCCGCAGTTTGTTGAGGTTGATATCCTTCTTCGGTTTCGTAGGATCGGTCTGAGACTCATATTCCTGGATCAACACATTGGCAATATCTGAACAAGCTCTCATGTAGCGTTCGTTCTCCGGGGGCAGCTTTGCACTGTTCTTCGACTTGGTGGATGCCAGTGGCGGCATGGTCATGGTGGCCGTGGCCATGGTTTTGGGAGGGATAACCAGCGATATGTATGATGTTCTGTAGTGGGCGGACAATATATGGCGAGATCTATCTGGACCGATATGGAGGAGATGATAACTCAAGGAAAATGATCACGGCGTGGGTGTGAAAGTTGTATCCTCACTCGAAAGTTGAAGCTGGACGCATTTTGCTGGGTCACCGCCTTTTTCTGCCCGTCAAGCTGTGCGTCCTCAGGCACCAAGGCACAATATACTTCCGACTCTTCCTCGAGATTTTCCTGAACAATCCTGATGTAGACGGGGGGACAGGAGTGATAGTAAAGACTAGAAGAGAGATCCATCTCTATAAAAAGAGCAAATGGATGGATCCGTAGACCAACCGACCATAGCCCCAAATGTGTCCTCTGACGCTGTCCCGTAGTCTAAGGCCGAGGGAGCAACCGACCGCCCGCGACAATTCGGATCCGCTTAAAGGCTTGTCCCGACAAAGTCCTTCCCGGCGCGCGTTTGGGTGACCCTGCTATACCGATCATTCTTCTTCCCTTCTACTACCTGACTATCAACCACCTCAACCCCCTTCCTCCGCCACTCTCCCCTCCTTTCTTTTCTTCTATACCCTCCTCTGTCTGCTTCTTTTCCGGTTTCCCTCCTTTTCGCCATGCAGGCCTTCCGTCGTAACGCCGTTTCTGCCCTTCGCAATGCCGCTCCCGCGCAGCGTCGTGGTTATGCTCAGGGTGCCACCCCCTACTCTGAGACGGTCAAGAACCTTCGCATCAATGCCGATACCAAGGTGATCTTCCAGGGATTTACTGGAAAGCAGGGAACGTATGTCTTCCGCCTCCGCTGACCCCCGAGCGAGTTTCATTTCGTGCTGGTCGTTGACGTTGCTTTTTTATCTATGCGCAGTTTCCACGCCGAACAAGCCATTGCCTACGGTACTACCTCCTTTTGTCGATCTATTTCGCAAGATCCAGTGGCTGGATGATCTGGATTCCGTCGCTTACAATCCTTAGGCACCAAGGTGGTCGGTGGTACCAACCCGAAGAAGGCCGGCACGATGCACCTCGACCGTCCCGTTTTCGCCAACGTGCGGGATGCCGTGAAGGAGACCGGTGCTACCGCTTCCGCTATCTTCGTCCCGTATGGACCCTGTTCACCACCTCGCGGGGTTGTCTGGTAGTCGTGCTAACGAATTTTAGCCCTCCCCTTGCTGCCAAGGGTATCGAGGAGGCTCTTGAGGCTGAGATTCCCCTCGCCGTCTGGTACGTTTCTCTCAATAGATATCTGCCGTTTGTCGTCGCATTTACTGACTATCCACTACAGTATCACCGAGGGTATTCCTCAGCATGGTGCGACACATTCTAATGCCCCGATGTTGGCTTCCGACGAAACTGACCGATTTTTCAACAGACATGGTCCGTATCACGGACATGCTCAAGACCCAGAACAAGACCCGTCTGGTTGGACCCAACTGCCCCGGTATCATCGCTCCTGTATGTTTCTCCCGTCTATGCGAAACCGATCATATGTGGCCGGAAATTAATTGTGACGTTTTGCTTGATTAGGGCCAATGCAAGATCGGTATCATGCCTGGCTTTATCCACAAGCGTGGCCGTGTCGGTATCGTGTCTCGTTCCGGTACCCTCACCTATGAGGCTGTGAACCAGACCACCCAGGCTGGTCTGGGTCAGTCCCTCGTTGTCGGTATCGGTGGTGACCCCTTCTCCGGCACCAACTTCATCGACTGCCTCAAGATCTTCCTCGAGGACCCCGAGACTGATGGTATCATCATGATTGGTGAGATCGGTGGTAGCGCCGAGGAGGATGCTGCCGAGTTCTTCAAGGCCAACAACGTCCACAACAAGCCCGCTGTCAGCTTCATCGCTGGTATCAGCGCTCCCCCCGGCCGTCGCATGGGTCACGCCGGTGCCATTGTCAGCGGTGGCAAGGGTGGTGCCGACTCCAAGATCTCTGCTCTCCAGGATGCTGGTGTGGTTGTTGAGCGCAGCCCGGCTGGTCTCGGCAAGGCTCTGCTTGCCGAGTTCGTCAAGCGCGATCTGGTCTAAATTTGATTCCCGAGGATGTGGCGGTTTGTTTGAACTCCCGGCGGCATGTATGATGGGCCTCATGTACGGGCAGCTAGTTCTGGCGACCTGTCATGTGCCTAGCGACGTCAGGGAGCTGGCTGGGTATGCACCTTGATTTCCTAGACGACCTCCTTGACCCATCTGTACTTTTCCCTGTCATTTTTCTCCTTTGTTTAGAGATGCTAGGAAGTAATTAGGTTCGTGATGTAAATTTTTATATATCTTGTGATAATTGTGTTGGCTGAATTAGCAAAGCGAACGAGGATCTACGCGTAGGTGATAGTAACCTCCGAGTGTACGGAGCAGTTCGTTATATAATGGCGTGATGGTGAACTGAAGATTCGAGCTGGAGAGCGGCAATTGGCAAGAAGCTTAACGAGATCTGTCATGAATCTCAATCTGTAGTCTTCTCCAGTGCAGTATGTTTTCCTTCCAACGGACTCCTTATGTCGGCCACCTCGGGAAGATATCGGGGTAACCATCCGGTCAATTATGCCGTGCATTCCTGCCGTTTATTGATGCCGAGCCCAATTTCCAGTTTGCAGGGGAGAATACGTCCTGTATTTTCGTCCCCAATTCAGATTGGGAGGCCAAGTGGCTTTTCCCTGTTGGTCCCTCACATAGAGGAAGATTTAGAGCCCATGATTAGAAGCCATTGCCTCATCCATTGGACCTCACCAATATGTCTCTAACCATTAGGAAAGGTATATATAATGATGCTGTTCAGGGGCTCTTAAATGTTCTACTGTATCCAAAAGTCCGCACTCTTACTATGAAAAGCTTTGCAACGAGAGAGCTCCAAACGGGGGAGGGCCACCGTTCATGCATGCATCAACCTTCAAGCAGGGGCCGGCCACGGTGGTCCATATTCGGATCGACGGTAGGGAAATAGCAGTGCAGTATGCATGGAGTACCACGAGCAATGACATTTATCCTGTATTGGCATTGTCCTGCAGAGAATCGAAATTTGAAGTTTACACAGAGCCGAGGAGTCCAGAAGCTGGAAGCTGGGAGAACGAACGAGAACGGATGTTATGAGAGTCCATATAACCAGATCAAAAGGCTCTCGCAGAAGATTTTGTTGGAATTCCAGTAGATCTCTGAGTGTCGGTCGAAGCTCAAGTAGTAGTACATACGTAGTAGTACCTGTTTGAAGGATCGCCGATCAAGTAAGGGCGGACCAGGTGATAGTTTGCTGCTTTTGATTGTTATGGAGCTATGATGGATGATTCATCCACACCAATCGCTGGAAGAGCGCAGAGTGGACAAAGAATCAAACTAACTCCTTTCGTTGCAAGGGATGGAAGGGGATGAAGATGTTGTATAGTTCGTTACCACCCGTGGTTGATGCTTTGTTTGGATGGAATGCCGCTGAAGTAAGCATACCCCCACGTGACCACCCGCTCCCAAACAGTTCGTTGCTTGAGGAACGGAAACCCTCTCTGTTTATCCTCTTCTCTCCAGCTTTCCAACCTCATCATCCAACTGCGACGACCTCCCTCCGCGGCTGCTATGTGCCTTCCATAGCGAGTCTGCTGCTGCCGGTATCTTCTTTTGCATGTTCTGACCACTCGCCGCTCCTCTGTCGAGTTTTCTCGTCTCTCGCCTCCCGTCATCTCCCCTGCGGTGTGGGAACGTGTGGTTGAGGCGGCTGCAGAGCATCAAAACAGACGCTATTGCCCGTGGTTACCGACCGTCTCTTCCCACAGCTCGGGAATCAACCACCCACTCATAGTCGGGCCCTTCACGACAATAAATTAAGAAAACGATGCCTCCTGATTTGGGTAAGTGGAAAATATCGCTGACCGCTCGTCTTGTTTCCTTCATGATCTCCGTGGTGGTGTTTTGTTCTTGTTTTTGTATTTTTCTTTTTATTTACCGTATTACTCCTTCATGGTCGCCGTCACTAATGTGTCCATCCTCTCAGTCCGAGCTGCCTCGCAGTCCTCCAGTGCGGCCTCTCAGACAACACAAATAATACCACCGCATAGTCGTCCAGGAACTGCCGAGCTCATGCGCTCTCGGTCAGAGACGGTGGTATCGAGGAATGGTCGACGGCCGAGATCGAGGGGATCGACCGCCAGTATTCATTCCAACACTACCCAACAGACACAAGACCAGCAGATCTCCGATGGTTTCCCCCAGTTCATACCGGCGCAGCCCGCGACAGGCCACAATGTCTTCGGAGGAAATCCTGAGGACATCATAATGCGCTTCGGCAATCAACTCTCTCATACCGTCAACGGCTCTCCGTTGGAGGCAACGCTGCATGAAGCCCATCATACTGTCATGCCGAGGGCAGAAGACTTCCCTAACCACGCCATGCACGGCCATCACTTGTCCCACCATTCTATGCCCTCCGGAATTACGCATAGCCTTCCTGGTGTACCAATGCCGCAGTACCAAGGGATGTATGACAGTGGCATTGAAAATCACGTCCCAGAGGCCGTCATGGAAGACAACGAGCAGTCGGAAGCCGGCGCGAAAAAGAAAAAGGGATCTAGCTCCTCTCTCGCCAATGACAACGAACTGCGGAAGCTCCTGCGACAATATGAAGGATACTCGCTCAAACAGATGGCTGCGGAGGTTCTCAAGCATGAGGGCGCTGGCGGCAAGGCGGAGAAGGTGAAACAGGTCTTTGCCATGATCTGGTAAGCAATATGCGCGGATGACTGCTCTTATGAGAATGCTTATATGTTTGTAGGTTGAAGGAAAACTGCAGGAAGAGCAGCGGCTCCGTCCGGCGCGATCGTGTGTACTGTTGCTACGCAGAGAAATGCGGAACCGAGCGTGTGTCGGTGTTGAATCCCGCTTCGTTCGGCAAACTTGTGCGCATCATATTCCCCAATGTTCAGACGCGGCGACTCGGTGTTCGTGGAGAATCCAAGTACCATTATGTGGACTTGACCGTGATCGAGGAAAAACAACAGAAGCCCCCACCATTGAACCCCCAATTACCCAGCAACCCAAGCGGTCCGTCCGGTATGCTGGACGGCAAGGGAGGGGATGTGTTGCCGAAAAGCGTCAATACTATGCCACAACCACCCGCTGATACTGCCGTGTTCCCTTCGCCCACCGCTTCGTTCACCCCCCGGTTTCTGGCCAGCCCGTCAGGTTTGTCATGTGGCTGTCAACCGTCGTCTCGGTCTAATAATGACTGCATCACCGTCGACAATGTGGGAAGCCATGCCGGCAAGATGATCCATCAAATGCTCCAGTTTCCGTCATCCGACAGTGCATCAATCGATAATGAATCGCTTCAGCTCCCGGACATCAGTGGCTATCTTCCGGCCAATACAGACTCGAAGGTCGCTGCCGCTCTGGCAGCCCTCTATCGATCACACTGTATCTCTGTGATAGACAGCTTTCGATATTGCAAAGAGAAGAATCTTCTACGCTACTTCTCTGCCTTTCACGGGACATTGACGGTCCCCGTGCAGAAGCTGCTCACCCATCCTAACCTTGCCCCATGGATCAAGGAATGTGACTGGCTCATGTACCAGAAAATGATTGCATTCGTCGCTCCGCTCACGACTCAGGTTGTCCCTAAGCTTGTGCTCGATGCCTTTAGCTCGATTTCCCAGCGCCTTACCGCCCACATCGCGGAAACGTTCAAAGCCCAGCCGGTGCATGTTTCCTTGGCGCGGTTAATACCAGCGCATATCTTCTGCAACCTGCTCAAACACATGCTCGACGTGAACCAATCGGCAAATGCTGCAGCCGCTTGGCTGTGCCATCCGGACAACCGGAATCAGATGTGGTTTGACTTTAAGACCCTGGTTGACCCGCAGGAGATGATGACCCGTGCCAACATCCCCAATTGTGCGGAAAAAGCGACCGAACAGATATTAAAGCATGACATTCGCGCGCTGCTGACTCCCATTACCGACGGGAACCCAGCGGCGCACCCTTTCTTCACCAAACCGGACTCCGAGGAAGACGTGCAAGCGCACAAATATCCGGTGGAGACATCAACTGGCGAGGATTATAACTTCCCGGACAAGTGGGTGTCATTTATTCTAAACCTGCCGTCTGCCTTCCCCAACCACCGCACCCAGTGTATCATTGAGCGAGTGGATGCCCTGTGGGACTGCATCCTTCGCCGATTGACTCTGGGCGGTGCACAAAGCTTCAGCGCATGGTGGATGACCAAAGTATTCTTCCATGAAATGATGTTATGGCAAGCGGCGAAGGGGGGATTTATGTTTCACACCCCCAGCACCTTGCGCAATGCTATTGCCGAGTTCAGTCAGTCAAGCCAAGGCGCCTTTCTGATGAAACAGCCTAGTGGTCCCGATGCCGTTCGGGACCCGTCATTCATGACACCGGAGACCCAACAAGCCGGGGGACCCAGGCCCGACTCTGCTGCGCGGGCCAGCTCGGCCGAAGACCTGTCCCAGACCCAGCCGCCGATGCAAAACAGCTCGCATGCGGTCGAGAACGACAAGGCTACTGGAGTTGCTGAGAGCATGGCCCATCTCAGCGCCCCGAATAACGATGACAGTGCGATTGATCTGGATGACGACTCGATGTTGATGACGGTGGGCAAATACGGGGACATGATGGCCTCGGATCCTGCCGATGCCGAAGGCGATGTTGTGGTCATCTAACATTGAGTTCGATGGCGCCGATTCTCTTTTGGACACCTTCCTTTCTTTTTCAGTGTTTGCGGACGGAGTTGGATGACATTTCAGGAGTACTTTATTTTGGTTGGTAATTATTTCGATTCATGTACCAGGGAGGTTCGGCGTTCGACGATCTTTGCACGAGAGACGAGAAACGAGAAAGCATGGATTTGAGAGACGTCGGCCTGCACTCCGATGGCTTGTTCAGGTTGACATTATACACCTACACCCATTTAATAGCGTGGTTGATCCCGCTTGCTTGACTTTCTCCTTGGCGCATCATTTAGTCTTCAGCATCTGGCTGAGGCCCATGTATATATGTATGTATGTCTAACGTGATTCTAGAGTTGCTGATGTCCACGTAGTTTTTTGTACTCCGTACTGTCTTATCAGAAGTCCTGAAGTCCCTACACAGCCACACTTCAGCCACAATATAGACCAATGACTCAGACTCGTATATTGATTAACAAGCGTCCTGTATCTCGATCCATATACAACACCATCCTGATCCTGATCTGCATACCATGCACTAGAAGACCAGTATACACAGTTACAACACAGCCCTAAAGCCAGAGCCACACCAACACACCGCAACCTCAGCAACATGGACCCCAGTGACCCCAACAAAGACTTTATAACAGTCAAGAGCACGCTCCCGACACTCCCATTCCCCTCGAACAGCGAGCGCGCCATCCTCACCACAGACCGACTCCTCATCCGACCACTCGAGCCCACCGACCTGGACGGCCTGCACGCCCTCCGCACCCAGCCAGACGTCATGCGATGGACGTCCACCGGCCGCGTCGACCAGAACCTCGACGAAACCCAACAGAAACTGGCCCCCTTCCTCGCGCCCAACGACGCCGCCACCTTCAACTGCGCCATCTGCGCTCGCCCCTCCGGCGACATGGTCGGCATCGGCGGCGTCCATCTGTACCCCGGCGCGCACGGCTGGCCCGAGCTCGGGTACATGCTCCGCCGCGAGGTCTGGGGGCGCGGCCTTGCGTCGGAGTTTGTGCGCGCGTGGCTGACGGCGTGGGAGGCGCTGCCGCGGGAAGAGCGTGTTGTGCGCGTGCATCGGGCGACGGTGCCCGAGGCTGCCGATGCGGATGGGGATGGGGAGGGTGCGGTGCGCGAGCGGCTCGTCGCGGTGGTCGAGGCGAGCAATGTCGCCAGCCAGAATGTCCTGCTCAAGGCCGGGTTCTCCCGGCAGGGGGAGTATACGGAGGTAGATCATGCGGATCCGTCGGGGGTCGTCTGGCTCGTGGTGTTCTGCTATTTTCCATCGCGGTGACATGGGGTCTGTCGACGGGCGGCTGGCTACGTGGGAGAGCGATGCTGCTACCGTACGTGTGATGCGAAAGAATGAGAGTGCATTGTATGTAGTAGCGAAAATGTGTAGGGCAAAGAGAAGAATCTAATGGATAGGGCTACTCCGCCGGAACAGCCACTTGACCTCGTCCGACTTCCTGGCCTTGCGAGCGGACGACAAAGTGAAGGGACCGATCAGCCGGGACGAAGGTCACCTCGACATCTGCGCGCAGGGTGGACAACGTTTGTCCGGCGACAACGGGGTAAGGGTACGCAGATCGATTCTGTCGCTCGTTGAAATCGCACACGATGACCCCTTTGCGGGCAATATGGTCTGAGAGCGGTCAGCACTGAAAAACGACGGCTGTGAGAGATGGAACATACAGTCCGAATCGACGCGGTGCTGCGGATTGACCAGAGAGCACTCGTAGATCCCAATCTCGTAGACCAGGCTCTTCCCGTGGGCGTGGGCAATCGTGATCGATGCGTGGTGCGGCATGCTGGCGCTATACGACTCGCCCTTGAATTGGATTGTGCGTCAGATTGATCTGCCGGTACGATATCACGCCACGCCATACCTTTTTCAAGATCCACAAGGGCTCGAATGTCGGCATGTCGGCCACGGCGACACCGTACGTTCGGGTGCAGTGCCACGTTGGACCGTTCGCGAAGTGCAGCCCGTATAGCACGGCCCCGCGTACGACTGCGAGGTGTCTGAAAGCAGATCTGTGAGTATTATGAGCGGCGGAGCAGGGGCTTACACTCACGGCTCGCTCTGTGGAATGACGACGCAGCCTTCATTCTCACGCAGCCAGTTTCCCAGCCTGGATCGGAGATAGGGGGACGCACTGAACCCGCCGACGAGGACGACTTTCTGATTCTCGGCAGTGTGGTTAGCAGATGCCATGGCATACGCGAGGAAAGGAGTGAACGGACGTTGATCGGTCTACCGCAGCCATGCGCCTGGCGGATTTGCGTCAGGATCAGAGCTCGGATCCGGTCAACCACCGGGTCAAAGAGTTCCCTCATCCTCCCAGGAGAGAGAACAACTCGGGATCTTTGAGCATCGTAGATGTCCGAGTACACGGCTCCCTCGTGCAACTCGACATCGAGAGGAATGTATGACGTCCGGGACTCATTCTCATGGAATGCCTTCTTGACCCGTTCGAACCGGTTCATGAAAACACTTCCGGGACGAGTCGTTCCCGATGGCGGCTCCAGAAACGCGTCGCCCAGTTCTCGGACAAGAAGCTGATAGAACCGAAAGTCGACGGCAGTCGAGCCACACATGCCCCCTATGGAAAATTCAGTCTGATATTGGCTCACACGGGCATCAAAACATACCGGTGGACGCAGTGATCTGCCGGAAGGCGAGCGGGGGTTTGACACTCAGGATAGAGCAAGTGGTGATGTCCTAGGATGTTGTCAGAAGCAGAGGACGCAATGCGTAGCGAGACGGGCCAACTCACGACTGTTCCACCTCCACAGTCGCATACCAGGAGTCCGTCGCCGGGCTTATCATGTCATGTGAGCGTCAGCTAGGGAAGGCTTCTATCCAAGGGGATCTGATCTCGGGCATACCTCGAGTGCATTCTGGCACTGCGCGAGCACGGAGAGGGTAGCTGCTTCCGGCTCATCGATAACGTAGACCCTCTCGCGCTGCTGCGCCCTCTCAAACTGAGCGCCGATGGCCGCAGACCGCAAAAGACCCCGAGTCTCCTGCGACCAGGTCGCAGGGACGGTAAAGTAATACTCGACTTGAGTATCCTCCCGGTCGATCTCGGGCATGTGGTCAGATGCGTAGTGGTGTACGTACCGCAAGAAATCACTGATCACATAGCACGGGCTCAACGCCGCCGGGAGGTGCAAGGTGCCCGATCCCAACATCTCTCGCATCGCCTCGTCGGCAAACTCCAGGCTGTTGACACTCCGGTCCAACAGAAGCTTGGTCCAGGAGCAGACTTCAGCACCGGGGAGATTGCCGTCTCCGTACCCAGCTGGGACACCTCGGTCGTATCCAATTCGCGACGGGACGACTGAGTCATTGGCATCCTTCATGGGCCACTGTCGCACTAGCTCAATCCTTCCTCTTGCCCCAGGCTTCGGATACCCGACACCTGCACGGCCCGTCAGCTTCTCACATCGCCATGGCGACGTTGGAGAGGAGTATCTCACATGTCTTGGTGGTGCCGAAATCTATCCCCACGATCAACCGCTTGCGCGATGCCATCGTGTTGCGCTGGACGAGGGAGAAGATCACTGGCGCCAGGGATCCCAAACAAGGCAGATTGCTGGCGGTTCTGATGCCGTGAACCTGGTCAGCCGGCTTATATGCTGACCCATTCCGGACGCAGATGCTCTAGAACAACACCTGTCTTAGACAGCGGATGAAAGAAAACGCATGCATCCGACACCCTGGTCTGACAAAGGCTGGTTGGTTTTGCAGTTCTGGCTTCAGCGACCAACCACGCACTGTTTGTCTGTATCGGAAGGACAAAGAAATGCGAGACATGGCGACTATTTATCAGACAGAACGCTCCCATGGCCACCCTCCTTTTTATTCTCCCTGGCTCCGTTGAGTGTCTCGGTCGTTTTCTTCCTATCCTCCGCCTTTCGTCCACATCATGGTGGCATCTGTAAGAAACAGAAACAGAAAGGTAGGGCCCATCCCCCGTCTTGATCCGTCGTATATATCGCAACCCTCACCACGCTCTAGAAACGCGCTGCATCTCCTCCCGACAGCCAGCCCGTCAATCCGCCCCCCAAACGTCAAAACATGGAACAAACTTCCACCCAGGAGGAGGAACGCACGCCTCCGGTTGAGCAGAAGCAGGCCCCCGCCGATGGAGCGGAGGAGGCGCCTGCTACCAGTGAGAAGCAGTCTCCAACCCAAGCGAATCCATGGCACCATGATGATGAAGATTTTGAAAAGTACATAGCTGAGAGGGATACTCGATTCCCCCCGGTCCACTTTTCTGTGGACCGCTTTGCCAAATACCGGAGAGACCTTTGGAATTTTGTCTCTCAGAACAATTGCGAATGGATCCTGCCCGAGGGGATTAGGTCGTTGGCCGATAATTACGGGTGGTTCCAAATAGAGCTCGAGGGATGGCTGTACCATAGGACCATCAGCCGGGCGGAGCTGGAGGGCCTTCCCGACGCTCAAAAGAGACTGATCGTGTCCAGCCTGAAGGGCAGCCTGGTCCAGGATGACCTGGACACCACTATGAGTCTTCTTCCGAACCACATCCGCAACGGGATCGCCTGCGTCCTCTTAGAAAGCGTTGTCGTGCAACACGCCTTCGCCAAAATGTTCGACAATCCATTTTGGTACTTTGACGGCGAGGCGGAACAGCTGAATCAACTGTACCGCAAGTTCATTCAAAGTGAGTATCCCCACGTGGCTAGGTTCCGTTTACTGAGGAATTTGAGCTGATCCGACAATCAAATGTCGCAGCCAGTAAGCCGCGGGCTGCGCTCTGGCGCTGCGACACGATCCGACTCGCCAACTCGGTCAAACACAGCGTGGCCGATGACCTCACGCTGGGGCAATATAACCAAGAGCGAAGAGACGCAGCCGTCGCCGAGTTTGCCGCCGAAATCGTCTCCAGCGAGCCATTCAAGCTGCTCCTGAAACCGTTTGCGGACGCCGAGGAAGAAGCAAAGGAACTTGAATATCTTGCCAGGATTTACAAAACCCTGGCAGACATGCTGGTGAAGGTGTTTGCTCATCCCGCCCTTCCCAGAGTGCGCTGGATAGACGACTTGGAAGATACTTTCACCGCAGATCTGAAGACTATGGCGGCTTCCAGTGTTCACTTCTTGGACCGTGGGGACAGGAGATTGGATGGGAGACGCGTGTTGATGGTCAGGTATCCCGCATTGGTAGGGGCAGACGCTGTGCGAGATTGGCCCCTTTGTCCAGAATCTGTCCGGCTTGAAGCTGACGTTCTGGTTGCGGACCCTCCTTCTCCCAACGACAGCGGTTAGCCATGATGGGAGACATTTTGAACCGCTGCCAGACAAGGCGTATTCTCTAGTTCCTGAATCCTGTCACTGTCCTGCCAAGTCGCTGGCAATGTCTTTCGTTGACTACATGTGGTCTTTGCTGCTGCTGTTGGTGTTGCTTTTGGATCTAGTTTTCGTTTCACAACTCTGTGATCATCGCAAATATCCTCTAGAAACCTAGAAATTAGCTAGTAAAATGCATACCAAGCGCGACCTGGCGTTTTCTTTGCTTCAACAGTGATGATGACTCTACGGATGAAGATAGGACAAAAAGAAACCTACCTTAGTTGCACTGACCGGACTTTGTTCCATGGGGTCATGCCGGCGAAGACGAGACATGGAACAATAGCTGGCAATATTCAATGTTACGATACCCAGGCACTCGGCATCCGTTGGTTGATTCTGGTCCGTCCGACATCAAAGGAGGCAAAAGACGGGACGGAAATCTTTGTTCTCATCTCCTGTACAAAGGCATGTTTTTCTGATGACAAAGAACCCTGGTTTGTTATCATTGACTCGAACCTTGGCGATGTACACAAATATAGAATGGCGTAGTGATGTGCGCTCCGAAGGCTCAGAGATACGCACCACACTGAGAAGACCGGCATCATCAGGATTCTGCAGTGAGGGCTGTCCATGTGGATTGATACATCTGTTGTGAAGATCTAGAATGAGAAACCATATAGCAAGGCATAAACTTGCACCCGTACACATTAAATTGACATGAGAGCCTAGCCATGGTTGGACAGGAGACCACTCTGAGAGGGGACAGGCGTCTGCAGAGCTGAAAGAAACCTGCAAGGTTTACCTGAAACCTTTGGCAGGAAAGAATCTTGGACCAGCGAACCCGTGGGCGATTATACTTTGGATATCGATGTTGCCTCCACTATGAGGGCTCCATAGCTTGACAAGGATGTACCTCCCAGAACTGCGTCCACGTCGGTTAGTGGGACGTTCCTGAGCAAAGGACAGATGAAACATACGGAGGAGGGTCAAAATTGAGAGTGACCATGCTTTTACTTTGTTCGATGAAAAATCTTGCATGCGGCTTCAAGACCCGACAGTCGGCGTCGCCTTCATTGCGCGGGCCAGACGGCTGGATTACACTGGGAACAAGGCGCCGTCTTGGCTGTCCCTCGCGCTCCATGGCGTATTGGCGGCGTATCATCCTCACTCGCCGCTGCAATTCACGGCGTCGACGGCTGTACGTGCTTGCCGAAGATGCATCATCGCCACTTTCGCTCTCTTCGCTTTCTGTACAGAGGAGATCGTCTTCCAGCTGGCTCATGTGGAGCCGCTCGATCTGCGTGACGGAGGGAAGGTCTTCACGTTCCACTCCAGAAGATCCGATATTTTCGGATTGCTCGTCGTATTCGGTTGTCACAATAAACTCGGACGCCGGATCCACGGGGTCAATGGCATAAGGTCCTCCCAGCTCATTGACATCGGTTTCGGACTCTGGGTGACCCTCCGAACCCAAAAGGGGGGTTCTTTCAAGAGCCTGGAGCGGAGGACGGTGTGCGTTCAAGTATTCTTCTGAAGGCTGCATAGCACTGCGCCGATGACGGCGCCGAAGGGATGTGGTGTGAATGTTGTATCGAGCTGTTCGGGCGAGCAATTCATCGGAAGTCATGGAAACGAAGACCATACCTTCTTGGATCCTAAAGGACATTTCAGCAACAGGAACCGATCGATTTCGCTCCTGGGTGCAACATACGGTGCATTATAGCCAATCTTCGGGGCTTTGATGACGATTTTTTTCAAACAGAACGGCATTTCTCCGCGATGCTTGAGAATCAAATTACACCGATCAGACTTGGTACAATAGACAGAGGAATCGTTTCGAAGAACATTTTCCGGCCACGAACTTTCGCCGCCAGGTTCGAAGGATCCCCCGTCACAACTGGCTAGTTCCATTTGGAGGGCTCCTGACACAACCTGACCTTGATGGCCGTAGCGAAAGCTCTGGGGACCCTCTCGGTTGTCGTCTGACTCCAACTTTCTACGCTTGACTCTGCCCCGATCGCTGTCGCGGACGCCTTCCACCTCCTGGGGCATGACGGGGGGCGTCCTGATAGGGGGAACTGGGTCGTCAAGGAGGGAATTAGGATGGGCAGCCCTGTGTCCAATGTTTCGGGATGGTCGACTGCCTCCTCTGAGTGTGCGACGTCTGGAAGACCCACTATCAGCCCGGGAGGGATCTGGGTCTGTTGCGTCTGGATCTAGAACAGGAACGTTTAAGGTCGGTGATCGGGGGATAGCTGGGCGGACATGGCCCTCATAACCAGTATAAGGGCGGTCGGCACCATGAGATTGGAGTTGCTGGATTTGCCGGTCAACGGCAGCTTGGGGCTGTTCAAAGTTCGACCGATCTCGACCCTGGTTGGATCGGAGTTCGTTGATCTCCTGGTTCAGAGTTTCTAATGCACGGGTGGAGGTGATCCGGTTGCTTTCGGTGTTCAGCAGCAAGTCCCGTAAGTGTTGCAAACGATTGGCGTTGGGTCGGGCTGGGCGATCTCCGCCACGACTTCCACGCGAGGTACGGCGAGAGGCTGGCGGATAGTCGTAATTTCCCGACTACAGTCCAGGGACAGGCAGTCAACACAGGTACGATTCAGAGATGACAGTGAGGTTCTCCATTGGAACAGAATGAGAGAAAACGTACCATCCTGGAGGGAAGATGATCCGCGGTTAGTTGGACGGAGCGGGAGGGGGCAGCAACAACTATACCGATACAAGGTAGGACAAAAGACGAGACGAAGAGACTCAGGTGGAATAGAAAAGGAACAGAGAGGCCGTCCGAGAGCAAACAGAGCCACAAGAAGACAAAACAACAAGAAAACAGACGAGATGGGATGAGAAGAGAAAGTGAGTCGAGAGTGAGAGATGGGCGATAACGAAGAGGGCCATCTATCTATCGACGGCACGTGATGACGATGTCATCGTCTCCAGAAACACTTCGGAACTCTCTCCCTTCTTCCTCATCCATTCGCCCTCCTTCACTTCTAGCGGTCTCGGTCTTTCTTCATAGCGTTGGTTTACCTACTTTCTACCTTATTCTCCTCTTTCATTGATACCGATCCATCTTCTTGGAGTCTTTCCTCCGTCATTGAACCACATGGAGGGCCCGAACAGCACTCCGCATTCTATCAGCGCGGGTGAGTACTGTTTTGGCTTGACCGGAGTGACAGCTAACAGGTCATACCCATATGATAGATGAAATCGCGCTCTATGATCGCCAGATCCGTCTATGGGGTGTGAAGGCCCAAGAAAAGTGAACAGTCCTCTTCCTACCTCGCATGTCTTCTCCAGCTAATCGTCCATTCGCGGTAGACTACGCTCGGCGAATATCCTTCTCATCACCTTCAAAGCGCTCGCCAACGAGGTCGCTAAGAATCTGGTCTTGGCTGGGATCGGAACCTTGACGATTATCGATCATGAGACCGTCGGAGAGGAGGACCTGGGGGCCCAGTTCTTCGTAAGAGAAGATCAACTCGGACAAAATGTTCGCTGGCCCAGCCCCATACAAACTCGAGGTGCAACAAGCTAATTCCTGCATCCAGCGTGCCCAAGCCGCATCGGCGGCCATTCATGCCATGAATCCAAGAGTGCAGCTCCGAATTGACACGGATGACGTACGCACCAAGCAGGCCGACTTCTTTGGACAATTCGACGTGACCATCGCCACGGAACTTGACTTCGCGACCTACACCACTATCAATGCTGCATGCCGAATTGCGAACCGCCCATTCTATGCAGCGGGGCTTCACGGCTTCTACGGGTTCATCTTCGCCGACCTCATCACGCACGATTTCGTTATCGAGCGGTCAAAGTCCAACGCCCCCTCCACCACCCAGGAGACCCCCACACGCAGCATCGTAAATATCACGACAAAGAAAGAAAATGACAAGGTGATTGAGATGGTGACCAAGCGCGAGACATACTCCCCGCTCATTCTGGCCAACACCTCCCCTCTTCCGGACGACTTCACCCGTCTCCCGCGCCGACGCCGCCAGGTCACCCCGCTGTTAACCTGTCTCCGCGCACTGTGGGAGTTCCAGAAGACGTCCAATCATATGCCGACCTTTTCGCACCAGGACCTCGAGCTCTTCACCAGGCTCGCCCGCGAGGCTCACCAGGAGCTGAAGCTCGACATCTCCACCCTAGACTCGGAGTTTCTGCGCACCTTCCTCCAGAATCTCGGCAGCGAGCTCAGCCCCGTGGCCGCCTTTGTCGGCGGCAAGCTGGCCCAGGACGTGATCAACGTGCTCAGCGCCCGCGAACAGCCCATCCAGAACCTCCTCCTCTTCGACGGCGAGAAGTCCTTGTCTCCGATCTACCCGCTCCATCCGTTTTTCCCTCCCGAAGTCGGAAATGTCCTCCCCGCCATGCCACCCGTTGCGAATCCGATCCCATTGGATGCGGAGCCGGTCACCGGGCCGACCATGACTCTGCCGTCACTCCCGCGTCCGGGCAATTAGAGTGGCTCTAATGGCAAAAAGGACGTAACACTGCAATATCTTAGATGTACTTTACAGCGCTTGTCTTGGCTGGAAACGAAGAGCCCCAGGACAGGCATTACGACGTGTATGATAGAATTGATAAAATATGAGACGGTCGTTGGTCTTTGCGACATTCAAACCTGCCATTTCAGAAATTGTTCACATGAAACGCTCGTAGGATATAGATTGACAGCATCAAACAGATATGAATGCACCAGGGCAGATCTATAACATCAAGGTGGTCGACCCAAACGCCACGTAAAAGATGAACGGGTTATACTGCAGCGGGAATTATAAGTGGTAATTTTCGAGTGAAAGATGTATTTTTTGTCGCACTGGTTCCAAGAGTCGATGAGAAGAAAAAAAAAAAAAAAAAAAAAAAAATAGAGATATCATGCAGAGAAACCTTCACGGTCGACTTGAAGAGTCCCTCCCGACCAGAGGGGCGCTCTCTTCATCTTCTGCCTTCCGGGGCCCCATTGTGTGGTTCCCAGCACCGGACGCCTTGTTGTCGTCCTCCTCCTCGTCGGAGATGAGGCCCTGGAGCTCGAAGGCCTCGGCATCGTTGATGTGCTGGGCCTCGGCCGTGGAGCGCGCATGGCCGTTCATGAAGCGGGAGGGCCGCTGCTCGGGCTCGGCGTCGAGGGACTCGCGCGCGTTGGACGGTTTGGTCGATTCGGGCCAGGCGTGGACGGCGTAGATGTGGAGGAGGACGTTGACGACTAGATCCAGTCTGTTAGCGCTGCGCGGGACGACGCACCACAGAACCGTCGAAACTTACAGAGGAAGAGGATGAAGGCGATGCTGTAGAGGATCAGGATGTAGGACACGTGCGTAATCTCGGCTTGGTGCAGCAGTTGCATCTGTTCCTCGGTGGCGCCCATGAAGAGGAAACCGGAGGCATAGAGGAGCTTCGTATTGTCAGCACAGAGGCCAGGACCCGGGCGCGTGGGACACTTACGAAGGGAGTCAGGTACTGGAAGCTGTTGGGGTTGGAGCCGTCCATGCTCACGGTGCTCTTGTCGCGCAGCACGAAGGAGATCTCAATGATTCGGGTGAGCGCGGCAGCCATCAGGGTATAGCCGAAGATGGTGTGAATCATCGTGCTGATCATCAGCGTCTGCGGATGCGCCGACATGGCGTAGCCGGTGAGGCCGATGACGATGGCGGGGATGAGGTTGCGCTTGGGGCGGCCATCGCGGCTGCGACTCAGCCAGATGCCCAACAGACCGGCGCACCACCAGACAATACCCATGGTGGTATGCTGCAGGTCGTTGTGCACCCAGGGGCCGCCCCAGCGGTGCTCGGTGAAGGTGTTGACGCATCCCCAGGCGGCGATGACGAGCGAGTCGAAGAACTCCTGGCTGCGACCGGTGCGACGGAGCCAATACTGGCCGACGAGCAGCAGGATCGTCAGCAGAATGCCGTACGCGATAAAGGCGCTGCCCATGATGAAATGCGCCAGGCACTGGCCGAGGTGGTCATCGCGACAGAAGCCCATGGCGGTAATGCCGCCGAAGAGCATCTGCACCCAGCTTGCGACGGGCATCGCCTTGCCGAGGACACCGTGGAGAATGACGAAGACGCGGCGGATGCGGCCGTGAATGCCCTTGGACAGATGGAGCTTGAGGTAGAAGCCGATGACCACTTGCGCCACCAACATGAACATCAGGGTGTTTGCAAAGGACGCGTGGACGTTTTTCGAGAACTGGCGGCCTTTGTGGGCGTGGCCGAGGAAATAGGCCACCACGGCGATCACGGTACCGACAATCTGAAGAGGGACATGCCATCGAGAGCGCACAATCTACAACATGAGCGGATCGGTTGTCAGCATGTACGACCGGACCGGACTGGAAGGTGGCTTATCGGGGAGAATCAGCAACACAACACATACCCCGAGGACCATACCCAACGGGAAGATAATCCCGAACGACAGACCCATCAGGATCATATGCACCCATAACGTCGAGTCCTAGAGATCCGGTCAGCTGGTGTTGGGTGGGAGTGGTGGTCGCGATGCAGTCGGACACGTACAATGGGATCTTCGGAGATGGCGGCGCCCTCGGGAACATTTTCATGGCCGCCATGAGCCAGGACCGGGGAGACCAGGAGGAGCGCGGCGAGCACCCCTCGTGGGTTGAATGGATTCAGTATCATGGTGAGGGAGAAGGATGTCGGCGGAGAGAGGGAGAGTGGAGGGGGAGAAAAGAGAGAGTGGGAGAAGGAGAGAGAGAGAAAGGAGGGAGGAAAAGAGTGAGGGAGAGAGAATAATAATCAATAGTAATCGGCAAATCAGACGGCTCGGATTGGGCGGAGCAACTGAAGAGAGATGCACAGCATGGGCTGATCGCTTTGCTTTTCTTCTTCTCTTTCTTGTTGTCTCGTGCGTTGAATGTACGGAGTGTGATGCTGTTCTACATGAAAATGGCTGGCTGCGGAGAGTTCAAGTTGTCGACTCGGACGGACCGGATGGTGAAGCCGGCATGATACTCCACGTTCCCAACTATCTATATCCTCCTACCTGAACATCACCACCACCACCACCACTTATCGACTCTGACTGAAACACACGCTCCGATATTTATCTTTGAGACTCACAAACGTCAATCTCAATCGCCATCACGATGCCCGCATCGCAGGATCTCCATCCAACATCATCCACCGCCGAAAACGGCAACGTCCAAAGGGAGAAAAGACTGGTACGTGCCCACGCCATGCAACCCCAGTTAGATTCTCCAGAGACTCACTGACAACTAGCTAGAATGCGCTACGTACTTCCATCGCTGAGTTGGAATCCCAAGCAGAGCAACTAGAATCCCAAATTGCTTCTGTCAAATCTCAGCTCAAGTAAGCTATCTAACGAGGGTAACAAATGAAAGAGAAACACAGACTGATCGCCCTCAGAGATGACCCTGCAGTAACAGTCCAACGTCATATCCGTCTTCTTCACGACTATAACGAGATCAAGGATATCGGACAAGGCTTGATGGGCCTTATTGCCGATGCTCGAGGAATGCGTCAGATCGACGTCCAGAAGGAGTTTGGGGTAGGAGATCGAGACTGAGACTGATCTGGTCTTCTACTGTCTGAATGATGATGAAACGGATGATAGTTCCTTTCGAGAGGCATTCCGCGCAAAAGCGATATTATGATACCCAATATCCTGTTGTCATGTTGAATCAAGCCAAATGGTCTCATTCCTATTTCTACACAATCACCTAACCACAGACTTTTCGGATTCTAGATGACACTCAACTCCGCGCCCAAGCCCGAATTAAACAATAAAATCTATCCCTCAAATAGTGGAGAATGTAGGAATATTAAACAAGAAAGGGGAGTGGGAAAGTAAGGCCACATTATAAACAGCTGCCCTCAGGAAAGAGGACATCATGCAAGGGTATATGCAAAAGACATGGGGATATCATCATTAGTGCGTCTTTCCAAGACTCTGTAAATTGACCAGCTCGTAGTACCGACCCTTTTTGCGGATCAGGTCGTGGTGCGATCCGCTCTCAACGATCTTGCCTTGGTCAAACACGTAGATCACATCGGCTTTCTGGATCGTACTGAGGCGGTGCGCAACGGCAATCGTGGTGCGGCCACGAGCAGCGGCATCCAGTGCGGCTTGCACAACCTTTTCAGATTCGGAGTCCAGAGCGGATGTGGCTTCGTCCAAGAGGAGGATCTTGGGGTCCCTCAGCAGCGCGCGAGCAATGGCGACACGTTGTTTCTGTCCGCCAGACAACATGCCTCCCTTGCTGCCGACCACAGTGTTGAATCCCTCTCTGTAAGAACAAGACGGTTAGAAGATAGCCAAGCGCAGGGTGAGAGCTATGGGTGAGAACTTACGGAAGGGACATGATAAAGTCGTAAATGTTGGCATCCTTGCACGCCTTCACGATGGCGTCTTCCGACACCTCATCGTCCGTGACTCCGAGCATGATGTTGTCCTTGATCGTTCCTTGGTACAGCGTCGGCTCCTGACTGACCAAGGCCATGAAGCTGCGGTAGGAATTGACATTGAGGTCGGTGATGTTCTTCCCATCCAGCAGAACGCTGCCGGAGAGGGCATCGTAGAAGCGCTCTAACAGGGCAATCGTAGTGCTCTTACCACAACCGCTGGGCCCAACCAGGGCAACATACTGCCCAGGCTTCACGGTCAGGTTCAAGCCCCGCAGAACCGGCTGCTCCGGGCGAGTCGGGTATCTGAAATGAACATCCCGGAATTCGATCGAGCCTTCCACAGACTCCAGCGTTTCTCCCTTGTCCGACCAGATGTCGATCGCTGGCCTTCTGTCGAAAAGCGTTCTGAACTGGGCGGCGGCGTTCTTCGCCTTGCCCATGTCGGGCGAGAAAGAAAAGACGGTGCCCGCAGACTGCGCGCCGAAGAGGATCTCGGAGAAAACGACGAAGAATTTGAAGATCGTGTATTCGTGCTTGCCAAGCAGCGTACCTCCGTACCAGAATCCAAGCGCAACGCAAAAGAATACCAGCGCCTGTGAGGCAGCATAGAGAAGAGATGACTTCGAGATCGAAATGAGACTCTTTCTCCCTTGCTCTTGAAGCTGGGCGTGATACATGTTCCAAACGTCCTGTTCACGAGTGAGGGAGGCAACCGTACGGATGGCCGATGTCGCTTCGCAGGCATAGCTGGCAGAGCCTTCGTAGGCGGCTTTCGACCGTCGTTGGAACTGAGCAAGCATATAGAAACGGTAGAATCCGCATCCCAAGAGGATCGGGACAACGGAGATGCAAACCAGGGCCAGCTTCCAACCCAGCGAAAGAGCAATGATGATCGCCGCGCCCAGTGTCGTCGATGTCATGAGAATGGTGCCCAGTGTCACGCCACTAACTCCGGACAGATGCTTGGTCTCGGTCGACAAGAATGAGGTCAATGCACCAGTGCTATTCTCCTCTCTATCGAAGAAGGTAATGTCCTGTCGGAGGATCGAGCGAAAAGCTTCACTCCGGGCACGCCGGATCAGTCTTTCAGAACAAACAGCAAATGCCGCCCCGTTGGTCGATAGGGTGATGAACTGAACGATTCCGACCACGAAAAACATCAAAGCCCAGAAATTTGCGTCGGACCGGATCTTGTCCGCCATCGTGCTACTATACGACAGTGCATTGATCGCCTTGGCGTAAAGAAGAGCTTGAGTAGGTTGGCCACCTCCTGCCAAGACTGCGAAGATCAACCCAATGATCATGTACAGCATCTCTGGCTTGTTGAAGGATGCAATGAACTTGATGAGAGCCCAGAGTGAATACTTCTGCTGCACTTCTGGGCCCTTCTTGGCAAGAATAGCGCTCGATACGGACTTGTGGGTGCCTGAACGGGCCATCTGGTTGAAAGTGTTTACCTCTTCGTCTTCCAACGAAGCCGAGTTCGTACCGGCAGTCTTGATCCGCGCCATCTCCCCCTGAGTGAAGTCCTTTTCATTCAATTCGTCGTCAGCATCGAGGTTTTCCGCATCTCTTTCCTCGTTGATCCGCTGAGCTTCGACGAGACTGTGGTAGGTGCCCTTCTTGTCAACCAGCTCGTCATGGGTCCCTTGCTCGACAATGCGACCACCCACGAGAACAACAATGTTATGGGCCGTCTTGATAGTCGATAGACGATGGGCGATGACGATAGTGGTGCGACCTTCAGCAGCCTTGTCGAGCGCAGCTTGGACGACACCCTCCGATTTCGTATCCAAAGCAGACGTGGCTTCATCGAGCAGAAGAATCTTGGGGTCACTGACAATCGCCCGTGCGATGGCAATGCGTTGCTTTTGACCACCAGAGAGCAAGAAACCGCGCTGACCGACATTAGTTTCGTATCCTTCCGGCAACGCAGTGATGAAGTCGTGAGCATTAGCCATCCTGGCAGCGTTCTCGATCATTTCCCGGATTTTGTCCTCCGGTTCGCTCTCAAGCTTGGTCCCAATCAGACCGTGACGGATGTTTTGGTAGATTGTCGTACCGAAAAGGACGGGTTCCTGACTGACGAGGGAAATTTGCTGACGCAACCAACGAAGATTGAGAGTCTGAATGTCATGACCATCCAAAAAGACTTGGCCTCGGACAGGGAAGTAGAACCGCTCCACCAGGCCGACGACAGTACTCTTTCCCGAGCCCGAAGGGCCGACCAACGCAGTCGTCTTACCTGCGGGGAACTCCAAAGAGACGCCATCCATGACGGTCACTTCAGGCCGAGACGGATAGATATGTTTGATATCACGGAACTCGATGTTTCCCTGGACGTTCTCGATCTTGTCGCCCTCGTCAGAATACGGGTCCAATGGAGAGGCACGATCGATAGTGCTGTAGATCTTCACGGCAGCAGCCAAGGCGTTGGTGAATGCCTGTCCGTTCGGGCTGACGTTTCCTAAACTGAACGAGCCGATCAAGATGGCCATCAGCACAGTCAGGACTTGACCGACGTTGACCTCTCCATCCACCAGGAATCGACCCCCCATCCAGAAACCGAGACCGTAGTTCATGAACATGATCCCGAACATTGCGCCAACCATGAAACCGAGGATGATCTGGGTCTTGGTTCCCCATTTCTCGGCTTCAGCGAGGTGGACCTCATATTGTTTGGCCAGCTTGTCCTGCGTACCGAAGGCCGTGGCGTTGCGAATGGAGCTGATGACTTCCTCCGCCACCGTTCCACCCGCGCCATAGCTGTCCAAGGACTTTTTGCTGTATTTGATGATGAAACGAGAGCCACCTCCCATGGTCAGAACGAGCGCAACGATGGTGGACGAGCAAATCAGGGCCAGTTTCCAATATTTGATGTAGGCGACAATGAAGGCGGTAACAAAGGTAGCCAGAGCCGTCAGGGTGAGGCCGACCTTTTCGGAAATGCCGTCCTGGATGAGGTTGGTGTCGGCAGTGATCCGGGTGGTCACTTCACCGGCGCCCAGCTTGTCAAAGTAACCCATGTTCTGTCTGAGAATCGATTCGAGGTAGTGTTCGCGGATCTTCTGAGTGATGTGCTCGCCGGTGTAGATGAATCCGACGGTGCTGATGTAGACGGTCACGAACTCCGCAATGCCCAGATACACAAAGTAGAGGACGTTGTGCGTCAATTGGTGATAGTACACGGAGTACTCGACCGTTCCGAGCATGATGCCACGCATGTTGTTGGCCAAGGAGCCGAACAGGATCTGGAAGGTAAGGTTAATGGGAGGGACTCTAGCGATTGCAACTGATGACCAAGGGCACTCACAGTGAACAACGGCAAGGCCGCGCCGGCAGCAATAGCGCAGATTGCGCTGACGAAGATGATCAACATATCCATTCGTGACGCATAGCGGAAGAGCGCAATGAAGGAGACACTCGACTCCTCGGCGTGCAGCTGTTTCTTCAGGACCGCTTTCTCGCTCTCAGGGAGGTGGGCGAAGAGAGCATCGTCGTCTACCGCCACCGGGGTATTTTTCTGGGAGGAGGATGGCCGAGACCCCGGCTTTTCCTTGCCTGCGGATGGTGTGATGGTAGAACCAGAGCCTACAGAACGCTCGTTCAGGCTATGTGCCTGTTCAACCGTGGCTGTAGGCTCGTTGTCTGGTTTCTCCGCCGAGGGAGACATGTTGTCCAGTGCGTTGAAGGCCAAGCCTCCGGGGGACTAGATTGGGTCCAATGGTGATAATACAGTAAAAATGATTGCGATAAGGATGACCAGGCGGCACTACTCCATGAGGAACCAGCAGGAGGAAGAGAAAGAGAGAGACGATCAACTATTATTGCTGGCTTGTCGGGATCCCCAGCGCTCACCAGATGCGGTAGCGGTTTCAGGAGTAGGGATGGTTCCTTTTAGAATGTTGAACAATGGGGAACAGAGAGGTACCAATGTTGCGGGGAGGAAGCCGAATGCGGACAGGAAGCGAAGTAAGTCGATGGGGAAGAATAGCAAAAGGAATGATGAAGAGAGAAAACACGGAGTGAAAGAGATGACGGGGCAACGAGGCGCTACTTATTGTTAATGCATTTCTTTCAGTTGATCAAGAAGCTTGGTGACTTTGGCAGAGAATCCATGGTGTCAGCCGCCGTGTCGGGGGGTGGTTCTGGTCACCTCCACTATGGAGATTTTTTTTTAGCCTTCCATCATTAGCAGGTCAGACTACGGAGTACCAAGATAATCCTGGTGCTCGGAGCCCCGACTTGCCGACGTCCTTTTATGCAAAACAACATGCATCAAGAGGGATTTTCGTCTTATTCGATTCCGTAGAATCCCCCAGAGTACTACGTAGAATCTAGATACCTAGGGTCGATCGAGATGACGTCCACTACTACCCAGATAAGAATTTCTCCATGGACACCAGCATCTTCAGTCTCTGGGTGACTCTTGCCCCTGTATGTATGTACTTTGTCCAACTGGGCAGAGGCAACCCGAGAACGAGACCCTCCAACAAAGGATCCAAAACACCGGCAAATTAGCGTCTCTCAGGGCTGGACATAGAGCCAGATCCGTCGAGTTCGGCGTCTCTTTTAGGAAGAAGGTTTCTCGATCGGTGAGTCATCCCGCCATCGCAGATTACCCACCTAGGTGTAGATATTCACCTAAAACATACCAATAACGGGACATTCACTACGAAACTACTTACTAACAGAGCACGCTCAAAGTAAATCAGGTCAAGCTTTAAACCGAGTTCGGAGATTTCGCAACGACCCGCCCTTATCCCCGCCACATGCTCTTAAGTGACTACTGTATGGGACAGTCTGCATACACTTCAAGAATTAGTTAGTTAGTTATTCCCGACAAATTATGTAACTATCCTTTTTCTGGGCTGAGTTTGCAACGTTTACCCTTTTAGGCAAGACGCCACATCGGAGTAGAATAATATGAACAATAACGATACCCTAACAATAATACTTCTTCTACTATAGTAGGAATCACGGTCGGAACAGCCCGTTTGTTTGTCCTACGAATACGAGTTACGAGTTACCGTATCTCGTTTTCCCCAATGCGCTGATTCGTTCGGGATTCCAGATGAGGCATGGAGATTAATTTCCCTAGTCAGGTCGGTGGTCGGAGTTGGCCACTCCGACTCTACCTAAGACTATCTAACTAGTACGGAGTAGTAGTACCTTAGTCCTCCGTGCACCCAGCTTACTCTGTAAGAGTACGTACTACGTACTCCGTAGGAGTAGCTTAGTTACCTCCTATTGTAGAGTAGTATTCTCATTTCTTTGGGACCGGAAACCCCCCTATCCGTGACGTAGAATATCGTGTCCTCTTCTCAGCCTAATGGTCGGCAATGTGGCCGAATAGCCCTGGAGTTCCTTATTGTTTGACTTAAGACTCATACCTAGTGTGCTCTACGGAGTACTCCTACGTACATCTCGTCTCCGCAAAGAGGAGCCCCCCAAACCCAAAAGCGACGGTTTGTTTGGTATTTCTGTTTGGTCTCGTCGGCAGCGGGACCGACATGTCGGTGGACGGAAGATCCACTCACTATTATTGCAGAGCCGGCGAAGAACATGGAGGAACGGACTGGATCTACCGTGTCCAGCCTAAGCGAGGCCTGGACACTCCTGATCCGCTCGATCGATCAGGGGGGCGACATACTGCTACGTGTGCGTTTGGGGGCCTTCCAGGCATCCACACGTCGTCTAGAATCATCGGCATGGGTTCAGGCAACAACCGTACTCGACTGCCTGGTACAACATGATTCACGTCCCGAATCCTGCGCGTCATCATGGACAGATGACACGGCACGGACCTCGAGAGCCTTCCGGCAGGTATTCTTGCGGTCTGAAACCATATCACTCTGCTGCAATGGGCTGCGTACGTCCTTTCGCGAGATCACCCGAATCGGTCCATCACGCGGCTTGAATCTTGCGGGTTACCGTACATTATACGGTTGTCTTTGAGTCATCGGGCGCGAAGACCCTGTAGCTTTCACCGACAAACGAACTTCCAACACAAGCGTAGAGTAACTATTGTATGTAGATGTTGATGTCCGTAGCGTAGTCATCATCTTGTTCTGCCTTATTCTGCCTCAGGCAACAACGCACGCACACGGAAATAAATCACATGACCGACCCGAAGCGAAACGCTAAGCCCTGCCCGCACAAAAAAACCACCACTCCGAAAGGCCCTTGAAGTCGGTCGACAACCTCACTATCGCCAGTCCATACATCTCAGCTCGCCGTCGCGACAATCCTTCAAGATGCCGGTTAGCACTCCTCCCCCCTGTCGAAGTTCTCTCCGGGCAGTTATTTTCACCCTGGAATTATTGCACCGGCTGTCCCATCCCAAAATGCCCGTTGGGGACCTGATGGACACCGCTGGCTAACGCGCTGCCCTTTCTCTCGATTAGAGCCACAAGAGTTTCCGCACCAAGCAGAAGCTTGCCAAAGCCCAGAGACAGAACCGTCCCATCCCCCAGTGGATTCGTCTCCGGACCGGTAACACCATCAGGTAAATATTTCGATTGCTCCTGTCCTTGCTTCGCGAGCGCGCGGTTGGGGAAAGTCGGGTCCTGCATCAGCCACTACGCCTACTACGTCTACGTTGGAATGTTCCCATCGGCACGCAAAACCAGTGCTTTGAACCCCGCCACGGAGAAAGGAGACGGTCAAGGGACCTGCTCGATCCGACCGACCGGACTCGCACGCGGAGTCTTCGAAAAAGCCGCAAGGAATGGAAATGGCTGACTCGTCCTTCTACCAGATACAACGCTAAGCGGCGGCACTGGCGCAAGACCCGTCTCGGTCTGTAAACTCGAGGCAGCAGCGACCGAGATGTTTGTCCCCGATTGTTTCGTTCGATTGTGATACCGCAGACGTTGCTCGCGATGGTTAATCTGCATCCTGAACTCGACCCGTTCTGAACTCTGTCGCTTCGTTTCCCTCCATTTCCACGTTCGGCTACATGACAAGCTTTTTTTCTGGGATGTTCTTCCAAGATGATTCAGTCGGACGGATTAGACGATTCGGTTGCAGGCGGTGGCGGGTTCGGTGACAAATGATGATGCTACAATTTATTGTACACGAGCTGAAGCAAAAATCAAAAATTATGACGGATCATGAGCTTGAATGAAGATTAATCGGGGTCTTGATATATTGGGATTTGAAGGTGCATGGAAGATGCCTTGCTTGGTGGCTACGTAGTATCGGCCCATGACTCTCGCCACTGTAGGGGGTAATAAAGGCAACGCAAATAACCAGTGTTCACTTTGTAACTACGACATTCAGAACAAAGCCGTAACTGGCCTTGCTGTGACAGACCTGCCCGATGAGGGGGTTATACAATGTTCGAAAGGTGCAATAGGTTCACTGATATTTGTGACTGCTGCATCCGGATTTAATCTGACAACAAGTACCAAAACGAAGCCATCCTTGATTTTGTGCTTATGAACGAATCCACCTAGTCTGTTGGGCCAGAGAAAGGATAAAGAGACAACCGCTGAGTGAAATTTCCTAACGCCAGAAAACTGAAGAACATGAAGACCATAAGTCAAGTTGAAACATCGGAAAGACGCCCATCTTCTTAATGTAGCCTTTAAAGCGAACCGATCCAACGAAACAAGCAGAGAAGAGAGGACGAGACAAGGTGTTTAGCGGCTACATTGGGACATTCGTCAGTCTGGCGTAAATGAGTATCAAGACGGCGAACTTACTCCTCGGCCCACTCGTTCTCACGACGGATCTGGTCCTCCTCTTCCGGAGTGAAATCATTTTGGATGTTGAAGGTCTTGCGAATCTCCTCGGGGGACTTGCCCTTGATCATGTTCGCCACGGTCTTGCAGCCGACGTCCAAAAGGCCCTTGATATCGAGGTAGTTGGCAGCCTGCGAGGGCGCACAAAGTTAGTTTGACCACGGGAGAGAGTTAAGGGCACGTCACATACCAGAATGATTTCGAAAAGCATTTCCTGGTCAACCTGCATGAATTTCTGATCCCACTCGTCGATATCAGTCGTCTTGCGGCGGGAATCATCGTCGTCGCCGGTGCTGGGAGGGTCATTTTTGTGGTGGGTGCACCATTCGATCACCTTCTTCAGGACGGCCTCGTTGACCTATACGCATGTGTTAGACACGGTTCCCAAGACAAACCTGGACCAATGGTGGTGAAACTCACGTTGGGGATAGGGATGGCTTCTCCGGTTTCACCCAAGTCCTCGAGCATGTTCTTGATAAGGAGAGAGCGCTCGGCGACATCACGATCTGCATGAGAAGAGGTCAGTTGGTGGGCACATATCTCGGCACATTGCAAGGATGATGAACGTACCAACCGTGATGTCGACACCGTCGGAGCTGGTGAAGACGAGAGTGGGAGAAGTCGACATCTTGGTGGGTACGTAAGTAACTGAAGTTGAGAGAGACGTTAGGATGAGGTCGGACAATCACTGACAAGACCGAGTTGTTAGCTATGAAAGACAGAGATCATGAGGGGTAACTCGGCGGGGAGACGAAGACTTACCGATGACGGTGGAAAGCTGAAAAGGTCTGCAGCAGGCCAGAGGATGAAGGAGGGGGGAGACGGTACCTTTTATACTGTTCGAGTCACGCAGACGGCAGTGAATTCGGAGAGGGAGGCGGAAGGATAGATTAAAGAGGTTGTTGGCGTCAGAGAAGGACGAACAAGGGAAGAGTCAGTAATGCGGCTTAGTCGCGGCGGTGGAGGCGGTTGATTTCGTAAGGAGGAGGTAACTGCCGCCGACGGTAAATGTAAGTTTACATCACAATACCATCGCGCTGTCCCCTATCGGCAGATTCCGCCGACCAGATACATGGAGAATGGTAATCTATGGTAACCCAGGTAATCATGCCAGAAATCATAGGCCAGTTAGTAAGGTACTTCTACTAGTTAGGCTTCTACTAGGTAACTACTAACTACAACGTAGTGTTGGCCCCCACGGTAACGGGTTCTGCCTCCTGGTAGTGGCCTTTTCCGAGTAGAATACGGAGACAAAGAGTTCTTTGAAGGCTGTAAAGGGTTGAAGTGGTGTATCAGAAGCAAGCCCTTGGACAAAGCAATGTTTTGATCCAAAGGTTTCAAGGATATCTTAGCTATCAATACTCCAGAAAGAAATGAAACGAAGCCTCCCTCTACAAATCCTCTGGAAAATGTCGACAGTGCATACTGCAAGGATCCCCATACTCATGCCTAAGCGAGGGCAAAAGGCCAATGTACCTGTGCTCCGTACTCCTATTGTATTATGCGATGGCATCTGCCAATGTCAATCCGGACCCACCAACAGTCGATTCATCGCCGGATCATAATAATAAGCATCATACGGAGATTCGGTGATATCACCCTTCCACGACGCGTCGCAAGAGGTCCGGACCTTCTTCTATCTGATCGCCCGATTTCCTTTTTTTTTTTCTTCCCTTCTTCCTCTCTCCCTCCCGAGTCACCATCCCCCAGGTATCACCACGGTGCGACACGTTCTCGTGCAACTAATCGCGCCGCTATCCTTCCAACAACCCGATGCTCCCTCCCCCTGGGTTCCGAGTCCCGACTGATTGAACTTTTTCGGATGCGTCGCAAGGACAGCATGAACTGTCTGCTTAGGCTCTCTCTCCCGTCGTGTTCGCCCTGATCCCCCCGTTCGTTGTGTTGTCATCTCCTGGACGCCCTTCGCATTCAAGCCATGTGGAGACGAACGTATCTGTTGCTGCTCGCGCTCCGCGTTTACTTTGCGCTATCGCCGAGTTACCTCCATCCCGATGAGAACTTCCAGGGTCCGGAGGTCTTTGCAGGTATGTCCCGTTCCAATGCGCCCGTGATTCCCATCCCGATCGATGTGCCGGCGGCGCGACCGGCTTCTTCATTGCCGACGGCGGGAATCAACAACATCTCAGACGACTGACCCGCCGACCTCCCCCATCGACAGGCCACATTCTCTCCTATCCATCCGATTTGCCGTGGGAATTTACCACCCAGAACCCGATCCGCAGTGTCTTTCCTCTCTTGCTCGTTTACGATGTGCCGATCCGACTACTGAAATGGTTCTACACCGAGACGGGGACGGTCAACCCGCCCCCACAGCTGGTCTACTATGTGCTACGCGGAGTGATGTTTCTCCTGAGCTTCGTGCTGGAGGACTGGGTCATCTACGAGCTTGTCCCGGTGCCCCGCCATCGTCGCGCGACCGTTGTCCTCGTCGCGTCGTCCTATGTCACCTGGACGTATCAGACGCACACCTTCTCCAACTCCCTCGAGACCCTGTTGGTGGCCTGGGGTCTGGTGTTGATTCGTCGCATTGTTGAGAACAAGGTTCGTCCCACCCCAGCGGCGGGTGGTTGCTGTGTGGGAGGTCGAATCGCGAGCTGATTCCCGTTTGTTTATAGCAACGCTCCTCGGTCTTCTCCTGCGCCGTCTTGTCCTTCATCGCCGTCGCCGGCGTCTTCAATCGGATCACCTTTCCGGCCTTCCTCGCGATCCCCGGGCTGCAATTAGTGCCTCACTTCTGGCGCAAGTCAGTCTTCTTCCCAGCTCCAAGAAAGCGTCGATCCTGACCCCCCGCATCACAGGCCCTTCTCGCTCCTTTCCTTTGTCGGCTTCGGTCTATGCTTCCTCTGCGTCGCCATCGTCGTCGATACTACATTCTACAGACCATCCGCCTCGTTCGGCGAGATCCTCCGTGCGCCTATCATCGCGCCGCTCAACAACCTCTGGTATAACTCGGACAGTGCCAACCTGGCGCTCCATGGACTGCACCCGCACTACCAGCATTTCCTGGTCAACCTCCCGCAACTCCTGGGCCCCGCGTTTGTGATGATGGTGCTGTCGCTGAGGAGACTACCGACCGTCCCGTCGTGGTTGAAGAACACGCGCGCAGTTTCCGCCATCTCCGCCACCGCCATGTTATCCGTCTTCCCTCACCAGGAGCCGCGGTTCCTGATTCCGTGCGTGCCGCTGCTCCTCAGCTGCTTCCGTATGCGCCGATCGCGCCTGTTCCTGATCTCCTGGGTCGGCTTCAACGCCGTCATGGGCTTCTTGATGGGCGTCTACCACCAGGGCGGCGTCATCCCCGCCCAGCTCGCCCTGCCCTCCATCATCTCCACCAACACGCTGGCCTCGGTCGCCGTCGCCGCGGGCCAGCAGCCCCCCGCCGTCTCCGCGACCGTCCTCTGGTGGAAGACCTACTCCCCGCCGCGGTGGCTGCTGGGCGACAACAGCAGCGTGCCGCTGGACATCCACACGCGAGACTTGATGGGCGTCCCCGGCCCCGACATGGCCGACGAGCTCGAGCGCCTCGTGCCGTCCTGTGACGCGCACGCCGCCGCAGACCACCACCTCGACCAGGTCTACGTCGTCGCGCCCAGGTCCGCAACCTTCCTGGACCAGTACACGCCGTCGAGGCCCCCGTCGCAGCTAGAGCTCCACGAACTCTGGTCCTACAGCAAGCACCTCAATCTCGACGACCTGGATTTTGGCTCTGATGGTGTCGTGCCGACGTTGAGGCGCGCGGTTGGTCGGCGCGGCCTCGTCGTCTGGGAAGCGCGCCGAGCCGGGTGTAGCTGACGGGAAAGGCCAGAGCATAATATCTTTTTCTTCTTTTCCCTTTCTTTTCGGGCATCGTCCTACCGGATTTTGCATTAATACGTACGTGGCTCATTGCCGGTCTTGCCATATATCCCCTTGTTCTGTTGCTCCGTTCCGTTCTCACAATGGCCATCTACAAGCCATCTATACCGGGCATGTACCTATCTATATACCCCTAACACGACCCCAACACATTTTATACCCCACCAGCGACGCAATGACAGACGTTTTTATGATTTGGTTTTTGTTGGGGTGAGAAATCGCCCTGTTGTATTCCTCCTGCGCCGTCACATGAGTAGGCCCCATCACCCCTAGGCGGCTTGTGTCACCCGATCCACATATCTGGTAGATGCAGCTTGATCATGCGATTCACCAAGAGATGCCGTCTGCAGTAGCTTGCCGGTCAAGGGATAGTTTAGATCTGCACCCCGACCAAGGATGTGCATCGTCAAGTCGGCGCACAGACAATCAGATCAACAGAAATTTTTGGCTCCATTAACTACGTACATTGTCGGATCTTATCTGCTAAATCAAAAGAGAAAAAGAAACGGTGACTATCATACGTTAAAAAATCGCCCGCCACAGTCAGCATCGACAGCAGCTGCCAAAGGACGCTCACCATACGGTTGGTCCGTATTTGGCGATGCACTATCCGATGGAAGAGCCTGAGCTTCGGTGATCAATCCGATTCAAGGATATGCATTGCAGTATCGTTAAGAGGGGGGAATAGGAACTCAAGGCCAGATTGTAGGAAACATCATGGGACAGTCTGCCCCATCAGGACAAGGAGACTGAGAAATTATTGGTCCTCAGGGTCATCCGGGTTTTCAAACAGGTAGTTGGCGGCCAGTTCTTCATTCTTGTCGCAAGCGAAATATGCTTGGATGACCGAGTCTCGTGAAAAGCCAAGGCGGCAAAGCTAGTGATACGCATCAGTCTAGACTCCAAAATGCATTGACGGCGGGAAGGAAGCTTACCCGTTCGATGGCGTCTCTCTCTTCCTCAGTCACATGAATCTGATGCGTGCCAGGAGGGAGTGCGCCCTCCTCGTCCTCCTCACTCAAAAGCTGGAGAAATTGCTCCTCATTCTGTCCAATGAGCGCCGCGATTTGGGGGTTTCCCGAGGCCAGTTGCTGGAGGATTGGCTCGAGCATCTGGGGGTTCTGTTGAACCAGCTGGCGCAGTTGTTGGAAGTGGGGGTTGTGCCGCAGGAAGTCCAGATTAGGAAGTGCTTCGCCACCAGAACGACCGGCACGGCCAGTGTCCTGAGTACCAGCCTGAGCAGCCGCTTCGAACAAATTGACTGGCTCATCACCTCCGGCCGTAGTGAGCCCGCTCTCGCCAGAGGGAGCCTGGGGGGTTGGCGAGGCGGCAGCGGCAGCGGCGGCTTGTTGTTGTTGTTGTTGCTGCTGCTGCTCCTGCTGGATGTTATCGGGGATTCCCTATCGTTCTGTTAGCCAAGTATAGATTGGACGCCTGTCTCCTAACCACACTTACACTCAGGAGATACTCGACGGCCCGGTCGGGGTTGAAGAAAGCCGCCCGCATCGCACGGTTGATGTCATCTCGCGCGAAACCCATGCTCTCCATTTGAGCAACGGCATTCTCGTTTTCACGGCCTGTCATCAAGGCAGAGGGATCATTGAAAGCGGAACCGGACTGAGAAGCCCCGGTAGCAGCGGGAGACGGGGTCGCAGGAGGGGCGGCCTGGGCCGGAGCGCTGGTAGCGGGAGCTGGAGCTGGGGGAGCAGCAGGAGTCGAAGCAGCCGCTCTCGAAGGCGTGGAGGGACCTTGCGAGGGAGCGGCAGAGGATGACGAAGTCTTGGGCTGGAGAGAAAAAAGACCATGTCAGTGTCCCATCATTCGCAATTTGGGAAAAGGGTGCTTTATTCATACCTTGGACACCATGTATACTATGAAGCCCTTCTCTTCCACCTTGTAAGATTCAATCGTGTTCTCATCTTTGAGAATTTTCCCTGAAAAGAGTCAGTTGCCGTCCCGGGCGAAATACAGGCGGTAACGCCATCGATTGGATTGATAGGAGAGCCGGATCAACTCACCCGAGTAGATCAACTTCAGTTGAGGGACCTCCCAGCCCTTGAGCTGGCAAATTCTTTCCTTCACTTGCCCAACCTAACGAAGATTTTCACTTAGCCCCGCACCGACACTTTGTCGGAGGTCACCTACTGTCTCTGAGGGCTCCGCATCAATCTCGAACTTCTCCTGTTTCAAATCCTGGTGGCGGAGAAGAGGTGATCAGCATCAGAATTGGATTTAACGGAGACCTGTTCAGGCGGATGTTAGATGGGGGGGACGTACTTTGAATGTGAGCTTCATCTTGCGCCACCCACGGACCAACGATGCCTACAAAAAAAGGTGGGGGAATGGGGAGGGGAAGAGTAGGAAGAAGAAGGCGGTTGAAACGGGGATGGTGTGTGCAGAGAGTAGACGGTCGGATAGATGATAGTCGGAGAGGGACCAGAAGGATGCCCGGGATGAGCAGAGGAGAGGAACAGGTGGTGAGGCGGTTGGGAGAGGAGGAGAAACAACGAGTGATGATGGCAATCCATGACGCCTGAAGAGGAGAAAGCTGCGAACCTGAAGGCGGTGAGCGTTGCGGTTTGCCCTGCCACGATTGTCCTCAGCCACATCCGCCACCAACATCTACAGTACTAACTATACCTTTGTAGTAGGTATGTCTTGATGAGAATTCATTAGTTAATGGAGGATAACGGCACATGAATATGATTGAAATGCTCTATCTCAGCAGACGGCTCTCAGTCAAGAAAGCTTCATATCCTTCCATTCTTCCAGAAGGTTACTAGGGGATGGTGAGACGTCTACTGTTCTAATGACTGTCCTTTGTTTCCAGTATAGTTTCTTTTCAATTCTTTTCGATAATCATATGGAGAGCTGAATGTCCGGGTTCATTCACAATGTACAAGGCACAATCTCATTATCATGAAGGTGCTCTGTACAGAGGCAAGAATCCCAGCCTGATACGTCGCATTGATCTATCACAACTGGATCCCGGACACCAAATGAACCCCGTCAAGACTTATGAACGCTAACACCGACTATTGTTTTTGCGAGACTATTGACTGCTGTGTTTTGCGCTTTGCAAAATCAACCCAATCAATGTACGCCCTCATACCACTATCTCACCACGTCCATCCCTCTATACTGCGTACTTCTGTCTCCTGTCTTCTCTGGCAGACGCCGATGCATCACATCTCCCAACTGGACTTCTGATTCCACTCGCATGCCCCGTATCCTATCCTGGCATGAAGTGACGACGATCTTTCATTTAAGGCCGTCCCGGAGGCCTGGAGATCGTCCCGGCCGCCTTCGTACAGAAGCCCGAGGTCGTGACAAATAGATTCCTGGATGTATCCCATATCCATTGCCATCATATCGATTCTGTCCCAGGCGATACACACACATGCGCCGGAGATCTCTTCCCCGTTCCTCACTGTACGAGGAGTATGCCTGGCCGACTTGCAGACGGATCTGCCAGGTACGCCGCTGGTGAACCATGTGGACTGCTGAGACATGAGAAGATATAGTCTGGTCGGTAGAGATGAGCAATCACCCCTGTCATTTCCTGCCGAGAATCAAGGACAATTCATCAGGATCTCCAGGGATGCTGCACTTCAAGAGAAGAATTCTGCACACCGCGATATACAAAGTACTTCCCGGCAGTCCGTGGTGTCGGACCCCAGCTAGCGCCAGAATAAATTCGATAATTCTTCTAGTCCGAATCCTCTTTGGGTCTCTACTCCGCTCCGTATAGTTGACTCGTTCAAATCCACCGGTTGCGATCTGACAGCGGCCCCGGTCCGCTGGGACGAGTGCGCTCGGCCCATCCACGTCGGTGGGCTTCATTCGAATGACTCCATGCATCTTAATCAAATCAGTCCTTCGGGGAATCCTTCGTCTTTCTTCCTCTGATCGATAAACTTTCGATCTTCCCGAGATGCTGGGTTCTGTTCTGTTCGGATATTTACCCCAGACATCCCCTCGTCCGTCGTCTTCTTCAGTTCCCATCTCCTTATGCCTGCAACGTTATATTGTCTTTCAAGCTCCAGACACCCCATGCTTTCAAGGTCATCCAAACACATTCGTCTCTTTACGATGTTATGATATTCTTCCTTTGTCATTGCGACACCTTGATCACACCCTGCCCATCTTCTTATCCATTCAACCTTGGCTATGATGTCCCGCAAACCCATGCACACCCCAGTCTATCTGCTGGGTGGCCTGTCCCTAACTCTAGCTCTTGTCGTTACTATTTTCCACGGGATATGCTATGCGTCCTTTAAGGCACTGTCTTCAGAAACCGCCGGTATTGAGGCTGCCCTCGTGGGCTTGAACGCAGTCAGCTGCGTCATTCTTCTTGTCCTAATCCTGCTGTGGACGAGGGATATCCAGAACGACACCATCCGGCAGTGGACGCCGTGGAAGACGTACGGCTACGGACTCATACTCGCCTATCTCCTAGTCGTAACAGGAATCACTGCGGGAGGCATCGCATGGAGCGCCTCTCAATTGATCGGACAGCCCGCTGTCACTGTCCCCGGCCCCAACCGCTCACTCATGGTCGCTCGCTGCGTCGTCTGGGCCATGTCCGTGCTCAGCCAGGGCGTCCTGGGTGGCTACCTCCTGCTAGCCCAGCGGAGGCGGCACGAACAGGACCAACGCACGGATCAGCCGTCTCGCGAGCTCGGTCCTCTCTCCAGTTCACCCAGCGTGGCCAACAAAAGCCGCACCTCGGCGACCTCGTCCCTCGCCGACGAGTCCCGCCGCACCTCCCTCGACCCCAAGTCCAGCTGCGAGGTCAACGCGCCGACCCCCGCCTCGCGCGTCTCCCATCGCTACTCCGGCCGCACCCTCTACCAGCCTGACGGGAAGCTCGACCTCCTCCCGGCACCTCCCGCCGCCGCCGTGACCCGCAGCAGTAGCAGAGCGAACTCAGACCGCGACAGCCGCACGCCCACGGTGGTGGGCGACGACTACAGCGAGCGCCACCGGCTCTACCGCAGTAACTCGGAGCTGAAGCGCTCGCTCGACAGCCTGGTACTGCAGTCCGGCACGTCGTCGCCCACGGCGTCGTCGTCGACTACGCAACTGGACGCGGCACGCCTGCCGCTGCCGAAGCTGCGGCTCCCCGCCGACGAAAGCGACATCCACCCGCTGTTCCGCTCGGATAGTCCGTCGCCGCCGCCGACGCCAACGCCCACCACCATCGTGGTGGCGTGTCCGGCGGCGGGGCAGACCATCTCCGTGAAGACGCTGGAGCGGGTGCGCTCGACGCGTTCGCTACGGTCCCAGTGCCACACGCCGCGGAGCCGGTCGCCGCTGTTTGAGCGGATGGATGTGCCGGGGGAGGGCCCGGAGCCCTCGGCCGGGATGCCGGGCTACATCATGGCGGCGCATCTGCGGAAGAGCATCGCGCAGTATGAGAAGAGATACGACTTGCATGAATCGCCACATGAGAGCTAGGGGGTTAGGATAATGGGTTTTGGGTTTTATGAATACGGGCGTTTGGGGTTGGGTCTGTTTTCTTTCTGGTTTAGAGATATCCCGGGTAGCGTGATGGTTGTGTTGGACATTATGGAGTTAACAATAGATTAATGCGATCTGGTTCTGTAGATTAACTAGTCTCCGACACGTGCTTTCTTTCTGGAGCTGGTATGAGAAGCGGTGAGGTGAGTAGAGATGGGATTCGATGGGGAAATGTACCAACGTTGTCAACCAACGCAACAATGTCCAGGCGTGCATGTATGTGCTGCCAGCTGGACACTAAGAGGAGAGAGATGAGATGGTCGGTCGTGTAGGATTGACGGTGAAGCGGAGAAGACGATAGGATTCCATTTTCCAGGCAAGGGTCGATCTCCGATGGAATCTGGCTAATATCCTGATATTCCGATATTCACGGTGAGAGAAGACGGGCAGATTTGAGTTCATCCGTGCATGGAATAGCGGTCTCGTGCAGGGAAAAAGTGTAATTATGCGGGACTGATTTGGTTGAGAATCCAATGTGGAGGAGATCCATTCATGCACGCGTGTTTCTGGGGGTATTTTAGTCTTGACTTGGATGTTGTTTGATTGTATGAAGTCCTTGGTGAGATGGTGTGTTTGGGGGAATATACATGGTCGCCGATATATACCTCATCACACCATAGAAATCAGCCGGAGAATGACATGTTGGGGAACGGATGTGCTGGGAGTATGAGAGAATAACACGCGAATAGTAAACAGAGATAGAAATCGAACATTCTGAAGCTAATTGTATGATCATACATAGGAACATGATAGAAGACTGGGCTGGGATTACTCAAAGTAGTGTCTCCTACTCATCATCACAACTAGATTTGTCGACGCCCTTGCATCATGGATGTCTAGTATAGCTGTCTTCCGCTTTTGAGTTCCAATAAATAGAATATATTCTTCTTCTTCAGATTGATTATTTCTTTCTTCCGCCCTACTATGTGCTGGAAGTTACTCAGTAAAACAGTTGAGTATCGGGATGCTTGACGCCACCGGGGGGAGTTTACCGTAACCCGCTGGAACTGCACCCAGCCAACCTAACCTAACCTTTCCTAACTCACCAACCAACCTAACCTTTCCGTCCCGTCAAATCCTTCTTCTTCTCTTTCTACTTACTTCCTCCACGATCTCATCTTTCCCACTCCCTCTACCCATCTCCCTTCGGATCCCCTTCATAAACGGATCTTGCAAGAGGCTTCCTCCCCAGACGTCTTGAAGATCCCATTGTCGCGTGGTGACCCGTTCTCCCTGTCATCCGACCAGCCAGATTGGATCTATGGCGATCAACACTACCACCTCCAGTACAACCAGCCCATCGTGACCCTGATTTTCCTCCCTTCTACTACTTTCTTCCTGTTCTCCTTCTTCTTCCTCATCATTCTCGTCTCTCTCTCAGTCTCTTGGCTGATCTCTTCTTCTGTTCCTCTCCATTGTTCGTTCGTGTCGTTCGTGTGGGATCATCTCAATTCGGCTTCTCTCCCTTTCCGGGATCCTCTTTTTTTCCTACTGGACTTTTGGTCCTCCCTTTCGTACTACGGTGGTCTTCTCGTACCTGACTTGCTCCTATCGCCAACAAACGAACTACTCCTACTCCTACTCCTACTCCTACTATCACCCCGACTGTCATTACTACTCCTACTACTACTACTACTTCCGGCGACTAACTCCTACCCGCCTTACCTTTTCCTCACTTGATCCACTTGGCCGAACCTCGTTTTACTTCACTTTCTTCTACCACGGCCATCTACTCCGACAACAACGTCCTTCTCTCGCCTCGTCTTCCATCGCGTCGCAGCTCCAGGTATGTCGGATCTTCGGAATTCTCTTTTGTTCTCTTGCTGGTCTTTTCCCGTCACCGTCTGTTTTCTTTCCACCCCGTCATCACCATCACATCCAAATCCCATCTTCTCTCCTGCTTCGGGATCAATGTCTCTACCATCATCATCGTCTTCTTAATAATCCTGTTTTTCATCCGCGTTTTTCCTATCTTCCCATCGTCCTTCTGCCTTCCTAGACCTCTTTGCCTCCCCCTACTTCCATCTACACCACCGCACTCTGCATACCTCTCCACACCTCGTTTTGGTGTTCACTGGTCTCCATCGGCGTTCCTCTCTGGATTCATACCTCTTCTCCCTCCTCCCCAGCATTCTTTCAGTGTCCCTTTCCCTCTCCCCTAACTCGTTCTTCTTCTCGTCGCCTACAGTCGTTTTGCGGTTGTTCCGAAATTGCCCTCTGGATCTGATTCACCTCACCACCTACATCTCCATTCGCAAATTTTCTCCTTCTGTTTCTTTGCTCCCCGTGGATCCCCGACCATACAAATACGCACCACTCTATCACCTCTGTCCATCCTTCCCTTCAATATCATTATTTACCAACACTCCCAAACGCTCCCTTAAACAATCCATCGCTGACCCCCATTCCCAGCCCACAACGATGGCGGGAGTCAAGCGCAAACTCGACTCCAAAGGGTCTGCAGGTGCCACAGCGGCAGGCCCAGCCCCCAGTACTCCAAGTAAGTTTCCCCTGCTCTTGACCCAAGCCACGGTCTCTGATCGTCGTCTAGACTCTACTTCTGCCGACTCTTCTCACGTGCGTGTCACGCGGAGTCATCGGGCAAGCCAGGATGCGCGGGCCGGTCCCATCGAGAGCCACAGAAACCACGTCACGCCCAGCAAGAATGGCCCGCCGCGCTTATCGCGGATCATTACTCTCAAGACCCGGCCGTCGAAGCCGGATTCTTTCCCAAAGAATGTGGCCAACGCCTCTGCCGCTAATGCAGCGAACAGCCCAGCGAATCTGGCTCGTGAGACGCGAGCCTCTAGAACTCGAGCGGCGGCACCTGCTGTCCCTCCGATGCCAATTGTGCCCCCTGTTGATGGGGAACCGTCACACAGCCCCGAAACTCCACGGCCCAAAAGAACGAAACGTGCGTCTATCGCGGAAGAGACCCCGCGGACGACGCGACAGTCGGCCCGACTACGGTCACATGGGAGTCTGATCTCTAACGAAGACGCTCAATCCGAAGAAGGGCCTGCCCCAAAGAAGCCCGAACCAAGTCCATCTGCCGGCCTGGCTCCTGCTACCCGGACTAGAAATCGGAGTCGGCACGTCATCGAGAACAATGACGCTGTCAATGGTGCCAATGATGTTGCAAAATACCTGTCCCCGGAGGGCATTGCACCGGACGCCGTCGTCGACAAGTCCCAGGATCCGGACAATTCCATGGAGCCGAATACACATTCCGCGGAACAGACCCAGAAACAGGGCTCTCCATCTGACGGCAAAACGGAAATGAACGGCCGGATGAACGACGGCATGAAAGATGCAGCCAAGAGTATGAAAACCCCCAGCCCGATCCTGTCTCGCAAGCGCAGGGCTTCCGAACTCGGTCAGAGCGGCACAGGCGAGAATTCCAGCGTGTCGGTCTCACCGACGAAGAAGCTGAAGCTGGAAGAAGGCGAACCAGAACAGGCCTCCGAACGGCAGGACCAAAGCACTGCCAATGGCAAGATGGAATCACACTCCCCGGCGGAGGAATCCAAAGTCGGAGATGAATCTCGCCAAATCACAGAGGAAGTTGAAGGATCAACGCCTGAGACTGTTCCGGAGCCCACCGCTGCCAAGGCAACGAGGGGTGGGCGTTACCGGGGCCGTGGTCGCGGGGGACGGAGTCGTGCTGGCGCCCGCTTTGCAGGGACCCGACGTGGACGGGGTGGAACCCGTACCCGAGGACGGTCAACTCGTCAGACGGACCGGTCGAGCGATGTTGAAGCAGAACGATCTCCTTCTCCAAGCGCCGCCACGCAACGGCTTCGGGACCGGCAGCGCGAATTGGACAAGACATTCAAGAGGGTTGCGGCGGCTCAGCGTCTCGCTTTGGCGGTGCTCGCCACACAGTCCCAGAAGAAGCTCGCGCGTGATAAGAACGCTCACAAGAACGTCCCTGAGTGGGAAGAGGTCAACTATCTCTTGAAAGCCCGGCTCCAGGAGCGGCAGGAGGTCTTTCGCCGCGAGTATGAATACAAAGTTGCCCAGGAGAACAGGCTCTTTGCCGCTTACCAGGAGGTCATCGAGGAGCGATTTAGGGTAGGCATCCCCATTACGTTGGATAGCTGTGAGCACCTTGACTGATGATCGACTTAGGCGTCCGCTCGTCATATACAGGAGGAGCATTTACTGGCCAGCCAGGGCGAATACATGGCCTTTGTGGAGGGACGTCGCGCGGCGGAAGACGATGAACATACTGAGGTATGTGATCCCCATGATTAGGAGTTGCGAAAACATCAGCTAATGTGAATCCTCGCAGACGGACGGCTCTGAGACCGAGGCCGACAGAGGCCCTGTCGCACCACCGACCAAACAATTTGTGAGGGGATGTAACTCGTCCGCCGTGCGCAATCCTGCTGGCGCTGCAGCATATGACCGCGGGAGGTTTGGCTGGGACGATTTTGTCCAGCGTGCCAAGCTGGGAGACGATATCGATCCGCAGATGAAGCAGATGAGGGAATCGGGACCTTTGGCCGGCCTATCCGCCTCCGAAATTATCAGTCTACTGCTGGATGCCACGGGAGTGGTGGAGGTGCCCCAGAATGGAGCGGATGGGGCTCCGCCCACTACGTTGCCTGATGTCCGCCCAACAGCCCTGTCTGCCTTGGCTGATGCCGCGGCCGCGGAGCTGCCTCGTCCCTCTATTACCCAGACCACTCCGCGGCTCCCTAGCCATCGAACACTACTCCCGCAGCCGTCGACCGATCATCGACCCTTTGTTCTGCCACCACCTACGCCCCGACAACCGCCGCGTCGACTGTTACCTGCCGGGCAACAGATTCCCGCCATCTCCGAGCATCTTGGATTGCCCGACCCCTTCTCGCCGATGGGCGGTCCCCCACAGCTCCCTCCTCCGCCGGGGTCGAACTTTCAGCGTCCTCCGCTACCTGGCTACTTGGCTGGCCCGCACCCGTCTAGTCGGTACTTCCCTCCGCCTCCGCCTCCGGGACATCGCCCTCCATACTAGGAGTGGCGGCGGCTGGTGACGGGGAATCTCTTGTGATTTGGTGGAGATCTCTAGTTACTAGGGGACGAAATCGACTTTTGATGATTTGCAATGTACTGATAGCGTGCATTGGGCTTGTCCCACGCAGTTTACATTTACTGTACTAGGTCTTTGATGTTCTTTCCGGCGTACTGTTTCTTTTCTACTTGGGTATAGCTGGGAGTAGGGGGGTTTTGCATGATTGTGCTCTGACTTGGAGCACGAAGTTAGTCATTCATTCTCTTCTGATGTGTCATTACTTATTTAGTTACTTGTTAATAAATGAATCGAGAGACATCCACCGATGGTGGCGATGCTGAGTGTGGATGACTCTTGATGACTCTTTTGCTGACTCCGCCCACGGTTCCGCCCCGATCGGGTCTAGTCCCGGACTCGATTTTCTTCACGGCGGAACCGTCCACTTCTTCCATCTCGTTTTCCTCTCCGTGTACCCATTTCTCTGCGGCCTTATAAAACCTCGCGTCTTACCCGAGTCTCGCCTCTCGTGCAAGTCAGATCATCGCGGTTGTTGTGTCTGTCGATTCCTCCGCTCAACGCCAGGTTCTGCCTCGACGTTACCCCACCTCGCAAATTATTCGCTTCCCCTCACCTTTGTCCACCGGTTTTTTTGCGCAGACCGATTCCTCGTCTTGGGTGGCCCATCCGGCGGAAAATTTCTCTAGATCCTCCAAAATTCCTTCCTCGACCTTTCCACAAGTCTAATACCCGAAAGAATGGCGGTTCGCGCTCAGTTTGAGAACTCCAACGAGTGAGTTCCCGCGCCGTGCTCCGGCTGCATGTCAAGCAAGCTTTCCTGGGACCATCGCTGACGGAGCCCTCCTCCACCTTTACAGAGTCGGCGTCTTCTCCCGCCTGACCAACTCGTACGCCATCGTCGCCATTGGCGCCTCCGAAAACTTCTACAGGTGTGTGAACTCAGCCCGGCCGGAACCCTACACGCAGCTTGCACGGATCATTGACGTTGTTCTCTCTCGTGGATAGTGTGTTCGAGGCCGAATTGCAAGATGTCATTCCCATTTGCCATGCGACCATTGCCGGCACCCGGATTGTCGGTCGTCTCACAGCGGGGTATGTGTCCCTCCCATGCTCGACGCGATGATGGAGGAGCAGGAATCCAACTGACGCATGGACCGCAGCAACCGTAAAGGCCTCCTCGTCCCCACGACCACGACAGACCAGGAACTGCAGCACCTGCGCAACACGCTACCGGACTCGGTCAAGATCCAACGGATAGAAGAACGGCTCTCAGCGCTGGGCAATGTCATCTGCTGCAACGACCATGTGGCGCTGATACACCCGGATCTGGAGCGCGAAACCGAAGAGATGTACGTGCTGTTTACACGAGAGAAGAAAGAGAGAGAGACAGAGAGCGCGAACTAACCGATCCGCAACAGCATCGCCGACGTCCTGGGCGTCGAAGTCTTCCGACAAACCATCGCCGACAACGTCCTCACCGGCTCGTACATGGCCCTCTCCAACCAGGGCGGCATCGTCCACCCCAAGACCTCCATCCGCGACCAGGACGAGCTCTCGTCCCTGCTGCAGGTGCCGCTCGTGGCCGGCAGCGTCAACCGCGGCAGCTCCGTCGTCGGCGCCGGCATGGTCGTCAACGACTGGCTCGCCGTCACCGGCCTCGACACGACGGCCACGGAGCTGAGCGTCATCGAGAGTGTGTTCCGACTGGGCGAGATGGGGCCGCGCGGCATCGGCGGCACGCACAAGGAGAGCATCGTCGAGAGTTTCTATTGATTTGGATTGGATGGGTCGGGTCTATGTGTATTGGTTTCATTACTTTGGTTCAATTCAATCCATTAATCAATTGATCTCTTGTCGGGTGTATACATATATCCAGTGTCATGAGATAAGGTAGTTCCTCTGAATTCGGAGTAATAGGTACATACACAACCGTCAACAACAGTCCATGGAATGTTGCCATTGAGCCGCTACAATAGTTCTGATAGTTACACCCCCGTCTACAAAAGACAGACCGACCCGGCGAGCAAACTCTGCAGGTAGGCTCCAGCGTGCTTCGCATGTAGGATGTCGAAGCCACTACATGAGTTTCATGACACACGATCACGACTCCCGACTGGCGGCTGTGGACGTGGATGTGGCTGTGGCTTCAAGTGTAGTCTTGCATCCACATCGCCTTTCCAACTGCAGGACAGTCTCGACTCGTAGCTCAAGCCGTCGGTGGCTGTCCTCTCATACACTAAGAGAACATCGTCCACCTTTCTATCTCCTGTCTGTAACTGCATGCGATACGATACTCTGTATACATCTGAAATGACGTAATTCTGACGTAATATCACTAGACTAGACTTTGTACTCTGTAGTAAACTCGTAGTAAACTACTTGTTTACTCCGCGATATGGTGTGAAACGGTCATGATTCTATGATGCAGGTGATTGAATTGTCCTTCGAATTGCAGGTGGTACAGAAGAAGATGAGATGGACAGATTCCCTCCGATCAGGTTGCCTCTAATGGATGGGGTGAACGCATATATGGGGTATTGAGTGATGAAAGACAGTCACAAGTCGAGATACAATACAGCGATGAAGAGAAGACACGCCTTGACGCCGGTCCAGAATGCTTGCAATGGAACGAAACGAAACAAAACACAAGCGATGCGAGCCCACTTTTATATTATACTCTCTCCTCGAGGCCGACGGCCATGTCCGTAGGATAATCTTTGGCGGGAGACTCTTCCTCCCCCTTGATCTCGTCCTCGCTTTGCTGGGCCGGCAACGGTGGCGGCGGCGGAGGAGGCGGCGGTGTCTCGAACATCTGCTTGTCGGTCGGAGTGAAGTCGTCACCGCTCTGACTCGGTCTCGTATCCTCCAGATCCCCTGGGCTCATGGGGGGTGGCGGCGGGGGAGGCGGCGTCGACGACCGTGGCCTCTTCGACGCTTCGTCTCCTCGATCGGCTTCTTCTTCTTCGTCTTCATCCCTTTTGCGCTTCAGAGCGCCCTGTGCTTCACCCTCGTCGTCTGACATCTTGACATCCAGCACGTCATCCTCGCTGGGTGCCTGGGGCGTGCTCGCCGCAGCCTTGGGGTCGCCTTCCTTCGCGTGCCGCTCAGCCAGCCGTTGCTCATGCGCTCGGTGCTTCTGCACGGCTTTGTCGAAGAACTCCTTGCAGAACTTCTTCACTTTCTTCTGCTGCTTTTCGTCGATCCTTGTCGGGTCTTGGACTCGGTTATTCTTGAAGTCGGAGTTGACGAGCTTCTTTGCAACCTAGGGATGATTTGTTAGTATGCATGCAGCAGACCTGCTGGTAGTTGTGTCGACTTACATCCTTGGCGTAGCGTTTCAAGTCTTCCTTCGGGAGCTTGTGCTTAAATTTGTCGACCACGTACTTCACATGAGGGAATAGCTAGTGACCTTGTTAACGAGCTGCTCCCTTGCGACAGATATCGGCCATGGCTATGACACCTACCGTGTTCTCGTAGAGCTTCTTCTGCTTCTCTTCGCTGTACTGCCTCCATTTTTCCTGTCCTTCTTTCTTCTCCGCCGCCGGCTTGGACAGCTGCGGCGTGCCCGGCGTACCGGCTTTTTCTTTGGGGGTATCCTCCTTGGCGTTCATGATTCCATCGATGATATCCTGCAGGGCCTTGTCTCTCGACTCCTTCGGGGGCGGAGGAGGCTGTGGCGCAGGCTTGGTCGGCCGTGTCCAGGTCGTGTCCCCACGAGCTGAGTAGTAGTAGGTCCTGCCGTTGGATTCGGCGGCAAACCACCCGGCCGGCAATGGCTTGCCCTGACGACGTGACCGCCGACCATGAGGATGGTTCTTCCCCCGGCCGTGGCCTCGCGGATGACCGGCCGGACCGCGAGGCGCCTCGATCGACCGGGACCGCGACCGCGACCGCGACTTGGACCGTTGGCGATCGTCGCGAGTGCTTTCGCGTCGCTCAAACTGGTTCACGGCCTGCGTCGACGTGGCATTGGGGTCACGCTTCATCCGCGGAATGCGGTATCCCACCTCGAGCGTCGACCACACCTGCAGGAGGGTCTCCGCGCGCTTTTCTACCCGCTCATCGCCGCAGCTTGTCAGCGGCTGGATCGTCGACTCGATCTTCGAATCGATGATCTTGTTCCGGGTGAGACGGGGGAACTTGTCCAGGATGTCGAGGATCTGCAGCACCACGTTATGATCCTCCTTCCACATCGCCAACTGCGAATTGAGGATCTGATAACCATGCATCTTCACCACACGGTTGCAAACCCGCTCATCATCGCATCGTTGAATCCGTCCCAGAAGCTTCACTGCGATCCACTTCTCCTTGCACTGCATCAGTGCCGCCATGACCTTGGTGACACCGTTCTCGTCGAGAGACTTGGGCTGTACACTATCCACGTATTCTTCGTCGTCCTCGCCCATCTTCTTCTTGCGGGGCCGTCGGGCCACCGCGGTGTCCCAGCTGTCAGCGTCATCGATGCCCAGCGCCTCGATCGTCGCGTTTGACAGCTTCGTCGCCCGCTCCGTCTGCGTCCGCCCACCGATGAACCCCGTGCAGTTGGGCTCGCCGCAGTAGCACGGCTGCGGGTCCGCGCCGTAGCGGTCGACATTGTAATTGAAAACGAGCTCCTCACCGGCCTGAATCCGCCGTTCGGCGAAGATACCCATGCGAAGCTTTTCGCCCACGACCCACTTGTCGACGTAGCAGTTGGGATTGCATGAGTGGTTGCAGAACCGGCCGAGATTACCCTTCTTCGTGGCGTCGACGAACTCGCCCTTGCTGAGCGACATGAAGTAGAAATGCTTGATGCCCTCTTCATCATACTGCCGCATCCGCCGCCGGAACTGGCCCTCGTTGATGACCTCGCCTACATATTCGAAGATGAACTGGTGCGGTCGCAGGTCGGTCTCGGCACACATGCCGAATACTTTATTTTCCGTCTTAATCAACGCCACTGGAGCGTACTCTTTCCATTGGAATCGTTGGTTTTGACATTACGTACCACATCCGCAATCACCCATGCATTCGATCTTCGTAGCGCGGTTGATACAGTCCGAGTCCTCTCCGCATGCGAGGTTTTTGCCGATGGACGGTTCTGTTGAAGTCAGAGCGGTCCCTATTCAGAATTTGAGGTTCGGAGGGGAGATAACAGGAAAGAGACATGATAAACAGATGTAGGGACAGACCAAATGGCCGTGTTGTCATGGTAGTGTTGCGCACCAGGCGTACCCGAGAGATACACGCGTCCCCAAGGAGGCGGTCACCACCAGAAACAGGAGTCAAAGAGAGTTGCTTACCCCATTCCTCAGCACAATCGCATTCCATCGCATGTTCCGTATATCCCCATGTACTTGTTCGCGTACGTGCAGGTATCCATCAGCTCGAAGGTGGCCCTGGGCTTCGGCAGTGCTATCCGGGAGATGGGAGAACAATTGCGGCGGGCGCGCAACCACCTTCTGCGAGGAACTGCGAGTCAACTTCGGAGGCTGACCGGGCTCCAACTTGACGGTGATGCCGCCGCCGACCTTCTCTTCCTCCATGGTTGTGTCGTGTTCCTGTTTGATCTCGACGCTCTTTTTCTCGTCGTCGCCGTCATCTTCGTCCTTAACGGGGGAGCGGGAGGAGGTTCGCGACGGGAGCCCGGGACCATTTCCAGTGATCGGCGTGCTCGATGGCGCAGGCGATTGAGCGGCTCCTTTGTCGGAGTCGGTATCCTTGATCACGGGTGTTTCGCTGGCGCCATCTCTGGGCGGCGCGGCGTCCCCGTCGCCCGCGGCGGACGTGTTGGGGTCCAGCTTCATCGCGGTCACGGCATTGGCTACGGATTCTGGCTGACGGTCCGCGTAGTCATGAGTGGGCATGACGACACGGACAGGACGCGCTGACTATCAGGGGCCAGTAGAGAAATGCGCCGCGAGGGGTGAAAGGGCGTGTGGCGGTGTGGTGGGTTGGTGGACGGCAATCGCGAGACGGACGGATTGATGAACGGTGGGCGTAGGGAAGGGACACAAGGCGTGAAGAGAGCAGGAAAATGAGAGATAGAGAGGAAGAAGAGGAGAGGAGAGGAGAGGAGGAAGAAAGGGTCAAAACGAGAGGAGAGGAAGCGAAAGCGAAGAGAGGGAGAGGAAAGGAAAAAAGAAAGAGAGTTTACTGAATCCCATCCAAGTCCAGACGACGTCCACGGGATTTTCTCCCGCGGGCGCCAAGAAATATTGAGAACTCCTCTTGCTCTTCTGCAGTCCCCCATGGATCCATCTCAGCTCATGTTTCATTCATTGAGTATCGAATCTCTGCCTAATTATTGCTCTCTCGTCCACTTCCTTCCTCCGTGATGTCCATCGCCGCCATTCTCTATCGATCACCCGCAGCCGTAGCTCTCCCTACCTCCCTCCAGCACGAGGCAAATCGGAAGAACCCGACTTTTAAGAGCGGCGCACCGTGGTGCACGCCGGAATGTGGAGGCGAGAGCTGTCTGCGCCCTGTGTTTGCGGGTTCTTTTCTCGCTGTTCGGCGACGAGGTCACGCCTCACGCACCGTCACATCCGGAAGTGTCTAGGTAATACTTCTTCAAGTGGTGTGTCTCTGTAGTCTTCAGCCCTTGGGACTAGTCCGTACGGTACGCATGTATGAATGTAGAATGAAATCCCACTCGGTCATGGCCGCGAAACCCGTAGGCGGGTGATGTATCTAGTCGTCAAATTAGCTCACAGTCAAGGCTCGTGTAAACGGGCCTAGCTCCGTCATCATCTCCCAAATAGCATTCATCAGCCAGCCGAGGCATCAGAGACAGGAGAGAGGCATCCCCTTCACACCGATGGGTAGCCGTTGGAGCCGGAAGAGACACATCAACGAGGGTCTGTTGCTGGACGCGTCCATAGTAGACGACACGGTCTGTCCGTCTTCTAGTTTCCACCCAGAACCCACATCAGGTTGCGACTCTCGCTTGCGCGGTCTGGGTCAGACGGATGGTGGGGAGTCCGCCGAAAGGTGACATGGACCAGAACGAGCCGCAGGAAAATAATATGAGCATTGCATAAGTCGCAACGGCACCAACGACACCTCTTGGCCAGTCAACGGAACCCCCAAATAACACCCCTGGACAAATTATAGGCCATGGTTGAACCAAATCATCCGGACTAGTGATCTAGCCCTGCAGCGTCTGGCTGGGATATATCAGATCGTAGTCCGTCGTGGCTGGTGCACGGGAAGACCCGAGGTGGGAGAGGCGAGGAGTGGTGATAATCGAGACTGCATATCGGATTCTAAATGCGTATAAGTATGCTCCATATGTCCAAGGTAGACTTGTGTTGTTGTTCAGGAAGGGGTAACAGGGTCGATCGGAACTGTTGGGATCAGAAGACGCGATTTTAATTTCGGTTTTGGGGGGGGGGGGGGGGGGGATTGTCGATGCGGTCTGAAACTAAGCGACCTCATCGTGACGGAAAATCCACGGATATTCCTGTGCCCACCAGGTGATTTTTATTCGCCGATTTTCCACCTTTGACCGATTTTGATTATTTTTAATTTAGAATGCGTGTCTTTTTGCTTTGATCATTGGCCTCGACCAGCACGGAATCTCCCGTCTGTTTGACATGCAGGACAGGGGATAACCAGAGCCAATAATTCATGGCCGGCGTGCATGAACGGGTGTTGCTTTAGGTGAAGGGGTGTCTACTCCTGTGTACTGTGATAATATAATAATGGACATGCCTGTTAGTTATCTCCAAGACCCTAAGAGAATTGGACGAAACCTCGATGCCGATCGATCGAAACGCGACGCCAAATAGTCCGTACTAAACCCTACCAGAATAGCTAGGTACTGTAAGGAAGTGCGCAGTGGTGCTAAGGTAGGGTTTGAAAATAAAATCATGCCCACAGAGACCAATGCACTGTCTCTCCCTACTGTGCTTGATGAGTCGTAGTTGTCCTTAAGATATCCTCTGACAGACTTTACTCGAACGGGCGGGTGAAGGAGGACTGTACCATGGAAACATACGGTAATCGGGGACGGGAATTCCCAGTTACAAGCGCGACGGGTACCTGAGACGGTGGGGCAGACACCATTCTCCGCCTGCCAAAAAGTCCCCGAGACTTCGTCCAAGGTACTGGGTACATCCATCCCATCCAGGCGGGTGGTCATATCGATGATACCTAGTACAGTCCCCTGTACATGTCTACTTGTATTCCACGGCTGGGAAAGGAGCATAAACCTATACTCACCAGTCAATTACGGTCAAGAGAGTAGAGTAAAATACACAGTTATTATGGATTGGCAGTTTCATCCTAAGATGGTACAGACCGATAGTAGTACATAAAGTACATCCTCCGTAGCTGCCTAGGGCAGAGAGGCTAGGGACCGGGTGTGTAAGCTTCTCTCGCCCTCTCAACTTCTCCTCCTGCTCTCCAACTCTGTCTCCCCCTTTCTCCTCCATCATCTCATCGCCTCAACCACAAGCCAACCTCCACATCAAGCACCAAAACTCTATTCAGAAACGATAGGGCTCCAGCAAAAGTTTTCCGTGGACGACTATCGCAGACTACCGTCCGACGGTTGATTCATCTCGGCGGGGCGCCGTGTCTCCTGCATACTGATGGTTCTCGTGCATGGACCACTCCCATCATCGATCGTCCTGCTACGACGCTGCCTACTGGCGATGGCGATTGCTAATAATACCTGTCCACCGCCCGACAGTCGACCCGTCAAATGAAAATCAGCGCCTACACAGACTAGTCCAGCACTACGCCCAGCACCATGTCGTACTAGTCGGTTCACAAGCGCGGTGGTGGCATTAGTCTGTCTTCCCTGTGGGTGAAGAAAACCGGTCCCCTGCCGCTCCTCCAGTATTGTACAGTTCGCGCTCGTCCTCCACTCTCCTGAAAGGCTGATACCATGGCGGATGGTCGGTCCCCTGTCTGTCAGCACGTCTCTCCGTTCCATCTCCGTCGCTCATTACCGACAAGCGTTACGACGCATACTCCGTACGGAGTACTTGAGAATGGAAAAAAGGTGCGGTGTAGTATTCCCCCATTTTACTTCGGACTGGACGATCCTATTGGTACCATCGCCATCAATTCCTCACCATTCTCTTTCTCTTTTTGTATTTTACACTCCTTTCCCCATTGATCATCCTCAATCGATTCGACCTCACGGACTCCATGACTCTTGTCTTGTTCGGCCCTGGCTCATCATGCTCAACACAAAATGATCCTCAGTTCCGGTCCTCGATCATGTCCAGAGCAATTGAGGAGAAAATTCAAGAACTCACGAAACAGAAAGATGGGTAGGTGGCCTGTTCTTCCGAAATCATCCTTGCGGTCTTCGCTCCATGGCTTTCCAACCACGGAGTACTACCTGGGTCCTCCGTACCAACCAGGTAAACAACGGTATCCATCTGGGTATTTACCCAGCCTCCAGGATTTTTCTACTTTTTATTTATTTTTTTTTTATTTCTATGTTTTCTTTTGTTACTCACCTCGTCTGCGTCTAATGATGCGGAGCCCTTAACCCCACTCTGCGGTTATCAACCATCTCCGCTGCCTTCCATGTCTGCCAGTCATCGCTGGACGCATTCCCGCTATCTTCAATAGGGCCACTGCATGCCTTTGCATTTACTGTAACCGTACATAATACGGAATACACAATCTCACGGCGCGGGTATTATGGGCTCTTGTCGGGATGGATCGACCACGCTACCCTATGCGGGAGCCAGCCCCGACCCTGGCTCTTGAAGCTTCACTCTGGGAGAAACACCTCAATTCGCGTCGGTCGACCCAACGTCTTGGGGCGCCTGTGTCCGCCTAGCATCATGGCCCGGCCGTCCCATGATAATCGCTGGGAACACGGTGGTTCCCGTCAGAGGGTCCGATGCCCCCTTTCAGAGGATTAATGACGGTCAATCCACGGCGGCAAGCGTTTCCCATGCCTCCCATGATTAAACCGTTAATTTTTTTTTTAATTCCATTTTATTCTTTTTATTTTCTTTGATGGAAAATAATTCCTTTCATTCTATTCTCTCGCTTGCGTTATTACCCTCCCCTTTGGACAATCGTTGTCAAACTATTTTCCCCTTTTAACACTGTGGGTTCCATAGTCAGGGAACACAACAGTAGCCCCAGGCTGTTGTTACATTGTTTCTTCAAGCCGGATCGGTCTTGAACCTGCTCCCCCTGTTCCCTTCGTTCCTCGCACTTGTGTGTTTGGCTAGTCCTTTCTGTTCCTTAACCCCTCCTGCTTCTCGCGTGGGCCTCATTCGGGCGATCCAGAGCTAATGTACCCCTCCCTAAAGAAAGGTGTTGTTTGTCTCTCCACGATCCTTCTTCCTCACGGAACTGCATTGACGCCTGGAGTCGTCTGAAACCGCCCATTCTGAAACACCGTCGACTTTGATAGAACACCCGCATTCCAACCCGGACTGGGTGATTCCTCACAATTCGATTCTGCTTCCTTGGATGGCCGCTCAACTCTGAGAGGAACCCCCCCGAGCACCACTAGTCCAGAGTCCCTGCAGCTTCCCTCTGTCTAAGCGGACGGATGCTGGCCGCATCTGCACTGGTCTGACCTACAGCCCCGAATTAAAAGTCCGTTTGACTGGAGAAAGAAGTGTCATTCGCCTCCTGCATTGCTTTCCTCTGTCTTCCTTCCCCTCTCTCCTTCATGTTTGGTGGCATTATGTATCATTGAAGTACTGTTTTGGAGAGGTTCATTCGATCTCCAGCAACGTTCTCTCATACCCTGCTGTTCAGTCAAGTGCTCGTTTCATTGGATCTTGATTACCCCCGTTCCCCTCTTGTTAATCGATCTTCAAATCGGTCTCTTTCCCAGGTCTTCTTGGCGTGGTTCTAAGCACGATCAGCCACCGGTCTGGAAGTACACAGCCAGCTTTGGATCCATCTTTACGGATTGTTTACAGATTTCTTGTCCGACGTTTTGCTTGTCCGCTTGTTGGGTTTCCCCCTCTTTTCTTCCACTTAGGAAGAGGACTTTCTATGTTTCTTTACCTTGTGAACCAACATCCAATGTTTGCTGTTGATTTCGAGTACACTAAAAGTCCTCCAGTGTTGTGTGCGCCGCTCCCCGGTATCGCTTGTTGTTCCACTGGCCTGTTTTCCGATTGATATCTGAGCAACCACGTGTTTTATACACGGTTTTAGACGCATCGTTCCGTTTGGGAGGCTCTGTGGAATTTTTTCTTTTCTTTTTTTATTTTACATTTGTTTTTTTTTTTTTTTTTTTTTTGCGTTACTCTGCGTGACGGGGACTGTGGTGTTTATCTTGTCCCGGTACCTTTCCCACTTCACAGTATCGTCGCGTGACGCGTCGCTGCTTATACTCTCAGCATCACATTGATTCAGAACTCTTTCATTGTGAAGGGAAGCTCGTCGCTCTCGCTTCCATGCTGTGCTGGATATGTCGAATCCACCGGAAAGGCCATGGACTGAGGAGGAGAAGGTAAGCAAAGATATCTCGACACAAGCATATATCAGGCATACTCCTGCGTCACCTCGGTCGCGGGATTCAATGGCTAACGCACTTGCTGTTCAGTACACACTACTCACAGAGATCTTGAAGAAAGCGGGAATTCCGTCGAGCCATCTAGTGAGGATCGTCCGAGACTTTAGTATCTCCCCCAGCTGGGCAGATATACCTCTCCCGCCAGGTACAGATGCCAGCACCTCTTGTCCATTGATTCCGGTATCTTCGGTCTATACCACTCTTGCCAGGCCGTGCGGATGGAAAGAATATACTGATTCGGTGTGCTAACCCGGTTTTCAGGTCGGTCCCTTAATTCCTGTAAGATGGCGTTCTATAACATGTGCCAACATGTGCCATTACCGGTCAACCCAAGTTTGCCATCTTTCCCGCCAGGGCGCCATGAGCCATCCGCCTCGTCAACTACTCCATTAGAAAGTGGTATCGCTCGCAAACGGCCTCTCCTTCCTGCAGACAAACCGATTCTTGCCCCGCGCGCGATCCAACCACGTCTAGCGGCCAGTACCGCTTCGTATAGCAGCGAGAGCGGCGCTTCTACCCTCCTATCCCCCAGGTCGGAAAGTCTCAATGCGCGGGGCGAACCACCGCGGAAGCGCGGTCGACCAAGCAAGGCGGAATCCGAGCGACGAAAGGCAGCTGCTGAAGCTCGAGGAGAGCCCTATCCCCTCCCACGAAGATCCGGCTCCAACAAGACGAAAGGCCCTTCCACGCCGGCCAGTCCCTCCACTACCGAGCCTGTCAACCCGCCGCTTGCGCCCCAAGCCATTACGCCTAGACCTCCTCCCACCATACCACAGCCCGAGCTACGCTATGCGCCCCCTCCACCAGCGAGACCTCCGGGGCTGATCCCGCCAAACGACGACATCCGAGCGCGTGACATACATAGTCGAGAATTAGGACCGACGTTGAGGGAGCTTCCGATGCCAGCTGAGATGAGACAGACCCTCCCCTCGCCGCAGGCCCTGCAGTTGGGCCATCGGGAAACGATCGCGCGGATGGACCCAGGAGAAAGGCCGTACGACCTACACCCGCAGGAGAGGATGTCCCTTGTGGCCGACAACCGCAGATCACTCCTTCTTCCTACCACTGCACGACCAGACGAACCACCAGGACCAGCACCCGACATTGTTTTACGCAACCCAGTCGACAAACGAACTGAATGACAATTTGAGTTTCTTCCATTTTCGTTTTCGCAACAACAATCGCCGACTGTTTATACATTGAGAACCATTGAGACACGATGAATGAACGAACCATCCCATCGATCACGAGCGATAGATAGCATTGATTGATTCGACGCCCCTCCCTCACCCCATACAGGTCTCATTCGAGACGCCTTTTCATGAAGAGAATACTACGAGCCACGCATCTGACATGCAGCGTTTCCCTCTTCTCTTTGTTTGTTTCTTATTCTTTATCTGAGCCGATTCCTCGATGATTTCACTATCCTTATTGATTCCTGGAGTGGCCGTATGGACGAAATTGATTGCTCATATTCGGCGGCAGTCTCCTAATTGATGTATCGGAGTTGAACCACCCGTCCAAGGCGGGCCTGATGAATTGGGCACATTCCGATTTGCTCCATCGCGCATGCGCTTTATGATATATGATATGTTGAAGCGACGAGCAGATAGAGGTATCATACAGGGTCGACGCGGAGTCCAGGTGTGACATCGAGTTGACCTCCTTGTATCGTCGCGTTCTCGACAATGAACATGATATTGCATACACTCTCTTCAAGCCTTGGGTCTTTACCATCTATTTTTCTGGATTTCTGTTCCTTTCCACGTTATCTCCGTCTTGTCTGCTCTTTCCTTTGCCCTCTGTATGAAACTAGATGTTAATCCTCTTAGTATGTACTATTACTAATTAGTCACGATGATTCTGGCGTGGTGTATGTACAGGTTTGATTAGCTCTTTTCAGAGCAAATACGATGCCAATTAAGCAGATCTCAAATCATGATGCTGAACAGAGATAGACATCTCATAACTGTATACACGCCCCGATACTATCGCATAGACGTCCCAGCCCGTAACTCGTGCAGGTGGCTGCAACCCGCGAACAGGTCAAGCTCCTCGACTCCCCCGAACTCGGCCGAGGAGCGAGCGCAGCCTGGCTTTCGAACTTTCCGGGGGTGAAGCGTCGGCGGAGGTAGCATCTGTCGTCGCCTGCGCCGAGGATCCTCCGGGCGTCTCCGAGACTTGGGCCGATGACGTGGCTGCGGGGGCCGGCTGCTGTGCCATTTGAGCGCTTATGCCGCCAATTAGGGAACGGGCATTGTCCACCGAGGGAACGGGGACTTTCCTGCCCACGTCCGGGACCGCGTTGGGGGTATTGTCTTCGACCAGTTTCATCACGTCGTCTTTCCCGTCGACTCGACGGGTGAGATACATCTTGGGGAGAGTTCCCTGCCGGGGTAGACTGCGCGTCCGGATGCGCTCGATCTCCTCCCGGTACGCCGTCTCGTAGATGTCAAAGTCGGCAGCGCCAGGCGACTCGCTGACGATGGGGACAGTCTCCATGTCGGGCGAGTCGTCAGACGCTAATGTATCGGGTTCATCGTAGATGACGTCCATGGTGCTAGTTGAAGCATCGGCTTCCGCAGATGCTGACCCGGTGTAGGTCGAAGGGCCGATGTACAGGAAAGGATACTCCTCCTCCAGCGGATCGCGGGCGTGGCCGCGCGTTCCCTCCATACTGCGCTTTGTTGTCGCGGAGCTTGCTCGGGAGAGCGGGATGCCGGGAGACGGCGAATGAGGCGTGGCGGGCTTCTGAACGTCGTCCATGGAGCCTTCTCGGATTTTCTGGCTGTGTATGGAGCCGGAGTCTTTGCGCCCCGGGTACATTGCAGATGGGCTGTCGGGAGACTGCTCATCTGTCCGCGGTTGGGAGAAGCCTTCGCGCGCCACGTCATGGTACCCCTTGAGAACATTATCCCGCTCCCTGGCTCTTCTGTTATACATGTTCAGGCTGTGGCTCTTGTTGGCCATGGAGAAATCAGCTGTTGAGAAGCTCTCGTCTGGTTCCATTTCCTGTGGCGGCTGGACGAAGTGGGTTTCATATTCTTGTCCCAGGATGCTTTGCATGGGCGGGTCGGCTTTGTTAGGATCAATGAGTCTTTTGAAGTTCTTCACAGCTTTCATCTAATGACCCATGAGCGGCGCTCCTTTTCCGGAGTCGGGGAGAGGCTCAACTTACCACCGCTAGCACATGGCTAATATTCGTGGTTATGGCCGAATTCATTTCCTCCTCCGTTGGGGGCTCAACAATATCTGATGTGTTCTCGCTTTCTGGTAACAGAGGGTCTAACCCATCTCTTGTCACCCAAGGATGCGCCTGTGTTTCTTCCTATAAGCTATGACAACACCAAGAATGTCTGTACGGGCACTCACTCGTAGCTCAGCCATCGTAATGCGCTTGTTTGGGTCCTTCTCCAGGATACGAGACATGAGATCTTTGAACTTCTCGTCGGTCTCACCTTCGCATACAACGGGGTCATTCTTGATCGCTTCGTACAGCTCGAAGATGCTCTGCTTCTCAAAAGGCAGTCTGCCATACCGTAGACAGTATAGCGTAACACCCATGGACCAGATATCGGCCGCCTTCCCTGAAACATCTCCATGCTTTACGACACACAGCTCGGGCGGTAGGAATGCCGGGGAACCGGCGGATTTGGCCGTGAACATGTCCGAATCCTTCTCGAACATCTCAGACACTCCAAAGTCGACCACTTTCAAGACGTCGTCACTTGTCACCAGGCAATTATCTGGTTTTATATCGCGGTGAACGATCCCTTGGGCGTGCAAATATTCGATCCCCAGGATAAGATCCCGGAACCAACAGCGGCAGAGTTCGTCCTCGTAAGGGTCAGCACGCTCTTCAAGCCCGACCTTCATTACGACACCCTTTTTACACATTTCCATGACCATATAGAGCGAGTCCTCTGTCGGGTCATCCAGCACCTCTATCAAAGAGACGAGGTTGTTATGATGCAGTTTCTTCATGATGGCAATCTCCTCTTTGATGAGGTAGAGGGCATTTCCCCTCTGCTCATCCTCGCAGCGATGGAGAGGCGAGTTGAAGCCCTCTGACGAGCGCTTGGGGCCTCGCGGCCTCCGCAAAAGATGAGATTGGGCTCGTTTTCTGAGCCGTGCCTTGGAAAATTCTTTCACCGCCTGGTGATATGCGGTCACGGTTAGCATGTCCCTCGCATTGACGAGAGTGTCAAGCATACATATTCCCTCCCGAACTGGTCCGTCGCCAGGTGTACTGCACCGAACGATCCCCGACCAATCTCTTGTTTGATGATATACTGGTTGATTCTGTGTTCTGCGGTGCCGTCATCCTGACTTGTAGTGTATTCGGATCGAGCATTCAGAGTTTCCTATCGAGACCGGTCAGGAGACAACAAACAAGATCGAGCAGTGAATGTTCAGTCGGGTGTGATTTGGAAACACGGGCTATGGAGGTAGACTACCTTCACGGGACGTCTAGCTATTGGGTTTCTGCGACGATGCCGCGAAGGGCTGTCGTACGAGGGCATCGATCTGGACACGCCACGTGGTTTAGCAAAACCGAAAGAAACAGACTATGTTCCACGAAGAAACCACTCACGCATAGCGCGCTGGACGGGGGTGCGGAAAGCCGGAGCGGCCGTCGGAAGATTGACTAGCATCCTGCAAGGGAAGGTTGGCACCGTCGGTGGCCATTGAACGTTGTGCCCGAAGAAGAGAAGCAAGGCGACTTCCACAAAATGGGTGTATTCTATTTGGTGGGTGGTCTCGAATTTGGCGCCGAAGGGATGAGCAGAATCTGGATGCCTGCGGGCGAATGTGGGGGGAATGGGGGGGTGTCGAATTGGTGATGAAGAACAGTGAGATAAGCCCAGCGATAATGAGGGGCCGAAGAGGGTTCTGGGAGATCCCAAGATCTTTTCCCGCTGGACTCCAAAGGTCTGGTGCGTTGGAGGAATCAGAGGCGGCCAGAGAGGAAGAGAGAAGAAATGCAGAAGAGAGCCCAACGGTTGTTCTATTTGAAGCATGATTGATTATTCTAATTTAGGATAAACCGATCGGATCCTCAGGCACCCAGCCGGATTACTGATGCGGATTCCTGAGGAATCAACGGATCGGGGCTGTTGATTATCGATAACGGCGGATCTCACCGCCCACGAGCCCATCCGCGATCGCTAAACGAGTCTAATTCAACGCTTCAGGTTAAGACACTACAACGACATCCTGCCATCTACTTCCCTCCGAATCCACGGTGTCTACCGACCTGACTCAATCGCCCTCTTGTGCCGTCTCACAATGGTCGTCTACTCCTTTTACATCTTCGACCGCCATGGTACAATTCCCCAATGCAAACAACTTCCACCTCAATCAGGGGTTTGTTGCTGACCGTGGTCCTCCTACGTTCTCTAGCGGAGTGTATCTACAAGCGTCGCTGGCTTCCTCGTCCGTCGTCCATTGCCGGCAAATCATCGCGTCCCACTTCAGAGATCGCGGGTCCTCAGGGTGGAATGCCGGCCGCCTTGGGGGAAACCGCTCGAACCACCGACGACGATGCCAAGCTGATATTTGGCACAGTGTTCTCGCTGCGGAACATGGTACGCAAATTGGGAGGGGAGGATGACAGGTGAGGTTTCTTGATAGCTCCTGTTATCACTCATGTCTAACTCATGTGTCTCTTCCGTCAGCTTTGTAACATATCGCACCAGCCAATACAGGCTCCACTATTATGAGACGCCGACCAACATCAAGTTCGTCATGCTTACCGACGTGAAGAGTCCAAGCATGCGGGTGGCCTTGCAGCAGATATACATCAATCTTTATGTTGAATACGGTGAGTTATTCTGGTCCGCCATTGCTTGCGATGCTGGCTGCTTATATTTGTTTTCATCAGTTGTTAAGAATCCCTTGTCTCCAATTGAGCACCCCGGTGGTGTAGGAGTGAACAATGAACTTTTCGAAGAGTCTTTGGAGCAATTTGTGGTATGCTGTCGAGTTTCCCTTGTCGGGATTGCGTCTAATTAAAAAACAGACTCGGGTCCTATCTTAACTTTTTGACCTGTTGAGTTTCGCCGGCTACCTTTGTGTACGTCAAGCCTGGTAAAGGACTATGGCGCGCAATGTTCCAGAAAGCTCACCATGGTTGCATATTACACCATCCCCCAAGCGTGGACTTTGTGAGCATCAATGGCAAGCAGCCCCGTCTCCTTGCTGAGGCGCAATATCAACACACAAGCGCTGGAGGGGTTGCCTCCCCCGGTACTATATATCCGGAAGGGAGGCCCTGAGAGTCCCTGAAGCGTGAACCCCAGCCGATAAAGCACCTTGCATCATGCACCGTCGTTTCTAGACTCCCTACAACACTCACGAGAAATGCCCAGTGCATCCCACGCTCTCTCTCTCTCAAGCTGGGTGTATTCCGCAGGCAGGACCGGAATATCGCGGAGGCTTGAGAACGTGATGAACTTATCCTTCTGGTATACGAATGAGGTTCCATGGCATAGATATATTGATGTGGAAATACTAAACGAGGGAAAAATACATTTTTATTAAAGCGCAATATGTTCCCAATAACGCCAGTATCAGTCCTTCAAACTTCGGGGATATCGTTTTCGCCGGGACCTTCACTGTACTTGGTGCGACTCTGGGGCTTGGCGTGGCGCAAACGGTCACCACCGAGGATATTAGACTTATCAATAGCCTCCTCTTCGTCCTCCGCTGGGTGCTTGTTAGCAAGTCCTCCAAGGAACTAGTTACCCGGCATCATACCTAGCTGCTGGTCGGTGTTGGAGTACGGAGGCTGGATGGGATCCTCAAACGACTGGTTATCCCCCTGCACTGGAATGTAGTCGCGCAGGCCAGAGCGGGTCTCATGGGCATAAGTGTTGTCGGAGACCCTGCCGGAGACTGGGGAGGGGTCGTTCTGGGCCTCGTAACGGTCTTCAGCTTCTCTCTCGAGACGATTCGACATGATGGTTGTGGATGTTAGGTGAAATGTATGGTTGAATGTATTTTGGTATGATGATAGCTTCATTGAGAGTAACGGAGCCTTTATATGTTCCTGGCTTTCATCTTTGGCTGCTTGACGTAAGGCTGACATGAACCCATGTCAATTCTATGTCACAGGAAGTTAACTACTCAGATTGAGTTTAGATCATGACGGAGCCTTAAAATAGGTCACTGCTTTAGCTGCAGGACCATGGTAGATGTCCCCATAGATGCAGTCTGCGATTGTCTTTCGATAGTTGACCCACTGAATTGGAGGCTCACCTGTTTGGTACGCATGTGTGTTCATGATGATATGAATGGGTATGACGAGCCATTGCCTTCTCCCACTGAAACGAAGGTCTCATTCCACGCTCGTGAGCAATCAGCATGGTAGGTTCGAGGGGAATCTGATCCGTTCTGATTATCCAGGGAGCTGCAGGTGGAGTGATGTGACTTCAGTGGAGGCCTCGGAATGTGAGTACCTTAGATCTGTCTGAAGTCATTTCGCCACGCGAGTGATAGTAGCCTTTGGGTTCTTGGTGATTATTGGGTGGAATACGCAGACGGTGTGTATTGGCCAATCATATTGGATAGTCACTTGGACAATAATTTGGGATGGGTATAGGTATGATTCAAGCTCTTGGAATCCCGATGCGTATGTTCTCTCATTTATGCAATTATTGACATGGACTGTCGGGTGGATTGAACAGGATCGTGGACGATCAAGTAGGTAGTTCAGTCAGGTATAGAGCGACTTGAATATGATGTTCCAACCATGCCACCATCACTGTCACACCACAGATTAGGTACGTGGGATGTACCCGAAGTGCATTGACAACACGACCACCATATAATGATCTCTACAACAAGATACTCTGTAGTATCCAACACATGATCCCACAGGAGAGGAGCCATCGATATCACCTGATTGATCGGTACCAGAGAGGAGATCACGGTTAGGGTCTGAGACAGCTTAATCTGGTTCGGGAAGGCCAATGGAGAAACGGGCGAAGCTTGAACAGGACTAGCGGGACTTCATTCGCTCGACTCCACTGGTGGAGCAAGCGGCCCCACTCGGAACTGTTCTGTCAGCAAGTTAAGCCCTCTTGGTACCGATGGAACATGCCGTCGTCGCGTTATTATTGTTATGTATTATATTTTGCTGGAGAAGCGACGGGGTACTAGACTATGGAGTAGATATGTATGTTGGGGTGGTCCTGATCCTTCCAACCGGCCCAATCAGTTCGGAGGTGCCGACATGACGGTCATACGCATGCTTCTTCAACTACTCCGAGGGATGATTGCAGTGGAGGGGTGGCCGGCATCCAAACTTAATGGATTGTACTCCGTAATCAATTAATAATATGGAATGTGTCTAATATATTCAATATTGATAGACCTGTTCGATTACTTGCCTTGAATACGAAGCATGCCCCCCGTAATTAAGACATCCTCCTAACATGTGAAGGGAATGGATTCCAGCCCGTCAGCAGGAGATGCGCTGAACGTGGGATCACCTTCCAATCATTCTCCCATCCATCGCCATCTGTCACCATTTGAGGTTGAGTTGTCGATTTGGCGGTCAAGATAGCCCTCGAATAAACAGACCAGGGCATGGCCTGTCAACATACCTGAGCCACACCAGGTTGATCCACTCCATCCTGGACATCCGTCGGTGTCTCCCCATGACAATTCCAATGAAGGGGGCCCTAATTTCTTAGTCTATTCCGTGGTTGCTCCTCGGAAAGATGGCTTGTTGGCTTCCGAAATTACTCTTCCCCTCTGCCGCCTTTCTCCTGCCCACGGGGTTCAGCGGTTTCTCTGGTTTACCGCTTCCGATCTAGTGGGTTCCCTTCTCATGCCGACACATGCAGTTGGAACTAAGGTAGGCTTATAGCTGGCCCGTGTCGGACCATGGGAGGACCCCTGAAGATTGGTTGGAATCACAACGGCCGATGTCGATAAGGGCATGAAGGTCAGATCCTCAGTCGCTGAAGGAGGAGGTGAGAAAAAGAAAGCAAGCAAGCCACCTGCAGCGAGTGCACATCCTGGAGGGGTTTAACTCAAAACACGCGCCGATTAACTTGTGGTCTGTACTCTGTACAGCAACTAAGGCCCGACTAGCGTAGTTACTGTGATACAAATTGTCATCGGAACGCCCCACCCCCTGCAGCGTGGTAAGTTAAGTCGGAGTAAAATACTCATGTCGACGGGACCGTTTCCTTACTTCTGCTTTCCCTGCCGCATGATTGGCTTGAAAAAATCCCTCGTGCAAACCGCACGACCGCCCATTTACGTCAATTGTACAGTAAACACCGGCCGAGTGGTCTGCATGTTACTATTCGGCCGCCTGCCAGATGGATCTCGCGTGGGTGAGATGCCAAACACGACCGCTCGTCCCTGCTGGCGCGTCCTGCACCCTATCTTAGCCCGGTTATCAATCGATCTCCGCCTCCACGCATGGTTTGCGGTTCAATCTCGGCGCTGGGCATTGTGCTCTCCATGAGGGATGATTGGGAGGATGCGGGTCCCCCCTCTCCTTAGCTCTCCAAAGCGATTATCCGTGGCCGAGGTCCGCGTTAGGCGTCTGGATCGACACGGATCCCACGTCACTTGAGAAGGGAGGAGCAACAGCAGCAGTAGCAGTATGGAAGGAAAAATGGGGACCGGTGGATATACTCCTACGGAGTAGTCCTGAACGAGGGGTGGGAGGTCCGATCGACTGCACAAATGAAAGCTGCATTCCATCATGCGTCGGTAGCTCGTAACCTGCAAGTATTGCCAACGCAGTGATCACAAAGTGGCTCGAGACATACTTGTCCCGCATCATGATGGTTGCTTGTTGGATGGCCCAAAGCGCTCGGGACAAGAGACAGGGGGCCTAAGTCTACCGTAGCTGCGACGAAACACAACCCCGGAGTCCACCAAATTCATAACAGTGTTTAGCGGCGGCGGGCCTGTTCATCCTGATCCTTGACACCCGACCACCCCACGCTGAGCACAGCAGCTGTCCCAAAAGAGCTATGTGCATACTTCAAAGCTTCCTCGGTAGAGCGACTCATGATCTGGTCACGGACTCGGATACGGAAGAATGGAGAATGCTAGCTGGGCGGAGATGAGGGTACGTTCGTCACCTACTCCGTAGTAGCAGGCGATCCTCTGTCCGTTGACGTCGATACTCCCGTCGATGGTGATCAGTTGAGTCTTACTATAGACAGATGGCTCTGGACCTTTGATCTTTACTGTTGCGCAGCGCATCAACCTTTACTCGGGTAGGTAACATCTACGGAAGTATGCAAGTGCAGTCCCCTCTTGGCCTAATCAAAGTAAGTTGTTTGGCTGTTCATACTGGGGAATCGCCGTGGCTTCGTACGGAGTAGATGCACGTTTCAGCCCCTCTTCAACACGGCTCATCCATCCTATGTATGTACATGGAAATTGAGGCTAGTCGAGAGGCTGTTCAGACCGACCTGGTATGCTTTATCACAAAGCATGATCTGTATACAAACTCGATGAATGGTAGAGCACCGCGAACAACAACCAAACCTTTGACACCGCAGCAGCAGCTGGAGGCATCGTCTACTCCGTATGGGCCCATTTTTATCACTGGCAGATGATGTTCCGTGGTGGTCGATCAGCGAGCTACTGATCATCGGTGACCCCTCCAGTGGAATTCGTCGCTAATCCGTACCCCGTCTATCCCTCATTTCCAGTGTCCGTTGGCTACAACCCCTCTCCTTCCGATCGTTGGAAAGAGGGAGGACGAAGAGAGTGGGGAGCCACCCTCTTTCACCCCAAACGCCACAGGTCGCGGCTAGTAGGGGGCAATACTAGCGTACGGGCTTTGGACCTCCCGCCAACTACTGGCTGTTGTTTGTGCCGGTGCGGGGGCAAATATCGGGTCACGGTGCTTCCCATCTGATCCAAGGATTTGTAGATGCTGCACAGCCTCAATCTGACTTGACTCCCGATGCTCGGCTCGAGCCCCTTCCAGACCTTGTTAACGTCATTCTGCCAGACGAGAATAGCCGGAGCAGCATCAGGTCGAACAATGACGAGGATGGAGGTCATCCGACTGAGACCAAACGGGTTTGTTGAGCGGATGGGGATACCGTGTACATCGCTGCACATAACTAGGACTACTATTTATCTAGAGCAGTTAGATAACTATGGTACTGGTTGGTGATTCGAAACAGTGGGTAAAACAGTTTCCACAAACTGGAGCGAGCACTGCTGCTTAGCACTACCTAGGTAGCTACTCCGTACTCCTACTTCGCTGCGAAGACGGAAGCAGACCCAGTAGTGTTCCAAGGATCTTCCGCGATAATCTTACAGGCCATCGTACCGGAAATTTCACTGGATTCTGAATAATACAATCAGACCGCGCCACTCTACCAAGAAACCATCTGTCCATATATACTGTGCGTCAAACAGAGCCAAATCGCAACTGATAAGATAGGTACGTCTGTGGGATTGGAACTGATGACCATATCTCGGAAGGTTCTCATGCAATTGCGTCTACCGGTGAAGCACTCGGAGGGTATTTCCTGGACGGAGGTGGTAGTAGTAGGCTTGTCTTGACCTTATGGATGGAGCATTCCAGTGTGGCTGCATCCGTACCAAGCCGTACTGTGACAATACCAGACTGACCATCCTGCGAACGGAGCGCCGGAGGCAACTTAGGTAAGTATGTACCTAGGTACACTCACCAGGAAAATCGCTTCCATTATTATTCTAATTATTCTAGTATTATTACTCGATTCTGACAAACAAGAATAGGGGGAAAGCATTTTTCTATTGGAAGGGCTCTTCTGCCTCCTGTTGCTCCCAAAGCCGGTAGTAGGAAAAGTCCCTCACTGGAGATTTGTAACCATCATCAGTCGTCTCCGTCAGACAGGGAAAAAGAAATAATAATCAAAAGAAATATGGGGTCCATCGGTTGATTTTAGTGATCGATTATTATTTTCTTTTTATTCTTTATTCTTTCTTTGAATTTATTTTGAACCTCATTTGCAAGTAAAAGTCTCATACAGTTGGAATTCCCACAAAAAGGGGAGTAATAATGAGAACCCACCCCCCATACCTCCTCGCGAGAGCACCCGGTACCGACTGACCTACGGGGTACACCTTACTATTTCAACCTCTCCTCCCCGTAGGCAAGGAGGCAGACAGGCTGCGACCTTTCGTGACTCTCTCTTCTTCTCTCTCCATACAAACGCACTAACGTCCTTTCATCTCTTGATTCTGAAATCTCTTTTACCTCTGGGTAATTCATCTGATCGGTTCACCGTCTGTACAAACCTTCCTCTTTTCAACTTCGGTGGCATTTTGTCGAATCCACAGCAACAGTGCAGCCTGGTTTTGTGGTTCTCCAGCGTAGTACCTAGCACAGTCCCATTTGGGCATTCCGTGCCTTGTTGCGCGGGCCTTTTTTAATTTTCTTTTTCTTTTTCTTTTTTTTTTTTACCCTCCTTAATTTTTTATTTTACGACCATTTTCTTCACCAATTTTTTTTTTCTTTACACCCTAACGGCCGTCCACCCTCCGAAGTCACTTTCGTCACTTTTCACGCAACCCCGTCGCCTCAGGCCACACTACCGGCCCCAGGCCACCACCACAACCTTTTTTTTTCTTCTAGTCTCCTCCTCCCTCTTCCTCTTCCTTCTTTTCCCCTTTCTTCCTCTTCTTCCATCCTTCCTCTTCTACACGCTTCTCCTTAGCTCTCTTCTGAGGCCTCCTCAGCTTCGTGCTGTAGGCATATCCACCCTACTCAGTCGCGGGGGCTTCTTTCGTTCCTCTTGTCCTCCGTGAACTTTTGACTCGACATTACCGCACATGACTCCGCCATCCGTTTCACCTGTACCGTCCGCAGTCTCCTCCGCAGCAACGTCACAGATTTCCTTCGACCCTCGAGATGGAGAGCCTTCGGTAACACGAGCTCTTGCGGGCATGAATCTGTCCGCCGGGGACGGGGAGGCGCTCCCCACTCCCCATCCGCCTGCGAAGTCCGCCAAACCCACCATGGCCAACCGCTTATCGCGCATGTTCTCTAGCACCGGAAAATCAACCCCGAAGGACTCGGATTCCCATCGCGACTTTTCCGACAGCAGTACCGACAGTGTAAAGCCCACGACCAACGGCAGTGGCAAACAGTCCAAGCCGCCCTCCAGACCATCATCCAGAGCTCCATCCCGACAGACTTCTCTGAAGGAGGACGGTGAAAAGAAGCCCAAGTCCACCGGTGGCAAAGACCAGAAGGATGGAGCCGTCATTCATAAGCGCTTCGAAGTCTTGCCCGAGAACTCGCACTGTCACCATCTGAGAAGTGCGCGCCGGCAGGAGAAACTGACCGACTTACTTCGAGACATGCTCGGCGGCGGCAGAAAGAAGGAGGACCACGTGGAAGATCAGCAACTGTCTCTGATGTCCACATGGATCGACCAGTTTAAGAATGAACGCGACAAGTTGGCCGCCGACAAGAAAGGCGGCCCCAACGCCACCGCATCCCTGGTCGACAAGTACGGCAAATGTCAGGAAATCGTCGGGCGCGGTGCCTTTGGTATCGTTCGGATCTCCCACAAAGTCGATCCCAAAGACTCCAGGGTGGAGCAGCTGTACGCCGTCAAGGAATTCCGTCGTCGTCCCCAGGAGACCACCAAGAAGTATCAGAAGCGGCTGACGTCAGAATTCTGCATCTCCTCATCCCTCCGCCACCCGAATGTCATTCATACCTTGGATCTACTGCAGGATGCCAAGGGTGACTACTGTGAAGTGATGGAATACTGTGCAGGCGGTGACCTCTACACCCTTGTGCTGGCTGCAGGGAAGCTGGAGGTCGCCGAAGCCGATTGCTTCTTCAAGCAACTGATGCGGGGCGTGGAATACATGCACGAGATGGGCGTCGCTCATCGCGACCTCAAGCCCGAAAACCTTCTCTTGACTACTCACGGGGCCCTTAAAATTACAGATTTCGGAAACGGCGAGTGTTTCCGTATGGCCTGGGAAAAAGAAGCTCACATGACGGCTGGACTGTGCGGCTCGGCCCCGTATATTGCGCCCGAGGAGTACGTTGAACGAGAATTCGATCCCAGGGCGGTTGATATCTGGGCGACCGGCGTCATCTACATGGCTATGCGAACGGGCAGACATCTATGGAGAGTCGCGCGCAAGGACGAGGATGAGTTCTACCAGCGGTATCTCGAGGGGCGGAAGCATGAGGATGGATACGCTCCGATTGAGACCTTGCATCGGGTAAGGACCGGTCCCGGTCGTCATGGAATGACTTGCGCTTACAAACCACGTCAGGCTCGTTGTCGCAACGTGATTTATTCGATCCTTGATCCTAATCCTTCTCGCCGGATCAATGCCTCGCAGGTTCTCAAATCCGAATGGGTTCGTGAGATTAAGCTGTGCAAGGCTGGCGAGGAAGGATTTTGATTGGGAAGAGAAGTGCTTCGCCCTTGTGGCTTGTGCAGCAGACGTTGAACGCCTTGGTGGGAAAACATGGTCTCGGCGGGTTGTGTTGTCACGTTGGTCCGGGCTGTGTGTTTCCCTTGGTGGTCTGCTCTTATGTTCTGTACCTGTGACAAAAAAGACCAGGTGGTTCCTGTGTTTCCTCCATACACCATGGGAGGGTCCCGTACTTCTTCAATGTTTATAGAAGGAGGTACTTTCTTACTTTTCATCTGTTTTCTTTTCTACCGGCGCATGTGTCAGGCCTTTTATTTGCATGCTTATTAGCTTATGGGCTTAGTTTTGGTCGTCATGTTTTCATGCCAATGCAACGAACAGTCATGACCTCGATATCTTTCTTTTCATTTCTTTTCAGGTTGTTTCTTTCTTCTACTAACTTTCTCTTTTCGTTTCATACAGCGAGAAATATCTTCCATCATTTCTGATTTTGGGATATGCTTGTGTTCTTTTGTGATGACTCATGTGACAATCATGCATTTCTTTAGCAGGGCAAGTTGGTTTCTAGTATGGGTGGTTTATTATGGTGTTATCATGGCTCCTTTGGATTGTTGTCTTTTCAGGCGTTCTGCATGGTTCCGGACTGCTATCATACATGGGATATATACATTTACTGTTCGGATACCCTAACTTATTTATTCAAATTGACTCGCGATGAACCGGTTTCGAGACGATCCAAATTGCTCGTTCTTTGTTAAGAAGTAGACTGCATGCCGCTCTTTTGAGCCCCTTTGGGTTGTGCCTGGAAGAATCCGGCCATCCTCGGTTATGCTACCTTACACTGCATGTTGTTTGGATGTTGACGGTTGGACTCGGAATCATGTCAAGACAGGCTGAGATCATCCCCGCCACGAGCTTATACCTATGACTTCATCTCGGTCGATCATCCCGCTCTGATCCTCATACCTTGATCAAGTGCAAATGATCTTCATGCTAGACTGGATCACGTCGCTATTCGATGGAAACCATGTGAACATACCAGAACCATTCCTATCCAACTCCTTTGCCTTACGTTCTTGTGTTTGGGCCAGCCCCTTCGGGCAGACGGTTCGTGGAACATTCTCTAGTAACTACACCCTGTAGGAATGGTTATACATACCGAATTTCCAGCACATTGATAAGCTTACTCCTACCATTGGCCATCAAGCTGATGCATGATATAAGCACCGGAGCCTGGACATATACCGCCACGTCTGGACAAGGACGGCCGGAATGCGCGAGGCATGCATTGCCGATGGTTCTCGATGCATTATTTGGAGTAGCTCCCCGAGTCCCAACACACGATGCGCGAGTGACTTTCGGCAGTCATGCAATACAGCCTTACGGAGTACACGACTGAATCCAGACCAGGGGCCAAGACTCAGGCCCCCTGTTGCGCCAGCTTCCGCTCCACTTCCACGCCTCCCCCCACCGCCGAGTCCAGGCATCTCTCTCAGTTGTTGTTTACCGACCGGTACAGGAATACTTTACCCAGATCCGTACGCCCGTCCAAGATGGATATGGATATGACAGTCTCACCGCAAACTTACATGTGGTCCGGCTGTCGGGGGAATCCAGCGGGACCCGCTTGTAATGGTGCCTCAGAGCCACCGTCTTGCATTGGGGCGGTGGTGGAATCGCTTGGCAGTCCGGCCTGCATGCATGGCTTCATGCTGGGGTGGAGAAAGTGCCAGGCAGCACGATTATTATCGGGTTCCTAACGGGTGGAAGCATCATTGTGATGAGATGGGGTCTTTCGACTTTCCTGCGTCTGCTGGCGTTCTCCTGCTTTCTGGTATGCTGTATGCAGAATTGTTCTGGAATTCCTTGGAACTGTGTATGCGAGGGGTAAGATGTGAGGAGTTCAAGGACACAACAGAAACGAAGAAATGGAACTGTACATTGTATAGTAAGTGTTGGTGTGGTACAGTAGATGGGGTTTCTTTGCATGCGCATCTTCGGAGCTACCCCGGCCGACCTGGAATTGCTGTCGAGTTGTCTGGATCTCCAGATGTCGCCATGATTACACAACGTGTAAGCCGGTCCGATCTTTCTGTCTATTTATGTAGGACAATTGGAGGCTCGCGGACAGCCGGCCGAAGAAGTTGTGTGACGGTAGGAGTTCGGCATTAGCCTTGTGTTGCTGTGGATTGGAAATCCATCCAACAGCTGCAGGTGGCAATCGCCGGTGGTACCTTTGTTTATTTGGTTGGTCACCAATTCGTGAGAATTCTTAGACTTTCAAGACTTTGTAGGTGATTATGAAGTAATCCGCATAGGTCGTCTCTAGAGAGATTCAAGCTAGGTCGTCCTCCAGGGTCAATAACTTTTGACCGTAAAGCTCCTAGGTGCGCAGATATTCCAGATCACGGCTTACTTAGCACCAGTAATCTATTTGATGGATGTCCACCGCCGTCATGTCGTTCACTACCTACAATCTACTTCTGGTCAATCAGGCTGACATCTATGACGTAAGAAGGGCACCAACGGACCGACTCCGTGTTCGTGTGTAATTCCCATACGGGTCATAAATGCCAGTGTGTGGACATGCCTGGTTGATACGGTCATATCCGGTAATTACCGAATGACCTCCACAGCCACACCACGACACAGCCACTTGCTCACTCATCATCATCCCGCATCAGGCATCTGGAATCTCATCCATCAACGCTCAGCCCTGCGACAGCCTCCGATTCCCAGTCCCTCTCTTCCCCCATCGAGTCGCATTCCTTTTGGTGTGCACTATATCGTGTTCTCTGTGAGGTCTTTTCTGTCAGTCTCATTGATCTCCGCCTATACATTCAACCATCGACTGGATTGATCAGTATCGGTTCTGCCTGCCGTCAAACCGCCATCATGTCCTGGGCAGGTATGCACCACCTACTCTCTTCTCGCAATCACAGCCTCTCAATATACTGATATGGTCGTCTCATCTGGCAGGATTCAAGAAAAATGTCAATCGCGCCACGACGCAGGTGATGATGAAGACGGGTATGTAGTCGTACCCCCGCTACTGTGTTTCACAGTCCACGACACCTCAGCCGAAGGTTGTCTTGTCTTGAAAAACAATAGCTGGACACTCATAGAGACCGACACTGATTGGCTCAGGGCACGTGGAGAGGACGAACGATCGTGACTACGAGATTGAAGAGCGGTAGGTATCCATACAGACGCGACAGTGGTGACACCGGAGTCGATGACTGATAGTCCCCTTTTCACAGACGATACCGCACAATGGAAGCCGCCGCGAACAGACTGCAGAAGGAAGCCAAGGGCTATCTGGACTCGCTACGAGGTGGGTCGTCTCGCGGAGATAAATGCTAACGGAGCAAAAGCTAATCCGACTGTCCGCAGCGATGACCGCCTCGCAGATGCGCATCGCCGAGACGATAGATGCCTTCTACGGCGACGCCGGAACAAGGGATGGTGTCAGCAGAAGCTACAAGCAGGCCGTGGAGGATCTGGATGCCGAGACGATCAAAGCGCTGGATGGCCCCTACAGGCAAGTACCGTTGGGGGGGATGATGCTTGCACCGGCGCCATATTAATGCATCGCACAGAACGACCGTCCTGGACCCGATTTCCCGCTTCTGCGCCTACTTCCCCGATATCAACGAGTGCATCAAGAAGCGCAACCACAAACTGCTCGACTACGATGCGATGCGCGCCAAGGTGAAGCGGCTGGTCGAGAAGCCCGACAAGGACGCTACCAAGCTGCCCCGCGCGGAGCGCGAGACGGAAATGGCCAAACAGGCATACGAGCAGCTGAACGAGCAGCTTTTCACCGAATTGCCCCAGCTGATTGACCTGCGGGTGCCGTATCTCGACCCCAGCTTCGAAGCCCTGGTCAAGATCCAGCTGCGGTTCTGTGCGGAGGCGTATTCCCGCATGGCGCAGGTCCAGCAGTATCTGGATGCGGAGACCAGAGACCAGTATGCTCGGGGCGACTTGGATAACCGGGTGGAGGAGGTGTTGCAGGAGATTCGGGACCTTAGTATAGCGGGGACTGTTTAGGGGGAACGTCTTGCTGTGTTTATTATTCCGTGTTGCCGTTGCAGGACGCAACACTTAGCGCTTTCATCGGTGTCGTATCTGTCGTACTAGGAGTTATTGCATTGTTTCGATTGAGCCCCAACTGATTAAGGGTTTAGGCCTCGGTATGGATGTACAAGTGGTCAAGGACGAGGGTTTGTTACAGCAGGCTTTCTAATAAAGTCAGTCGAATGGAATAGGTCACGTTGCTAGGGTATCTGTCTATCAATCCATATACACATCTATTGTACAATCTCACAGCGAACCAAGAACAAAATATCACGTCCGAACCACCGGCTCAGGCTCGCGATACAGCTCATCCTCCAGGATATCCAACACCGGACCAACGGCCGCCCGCACGGCCGCCAGCTCCCGGGGATTCATCTCGGTGAGCACGTAATCTGCGACGCTGCCTTTTTCGCGCGAGTCCGGCCGGCCGATGCCCACGCCGATGCGCACGACGGAGAGCCCGCCGGCCCCGCCGCCCCCGCCGCCGCGCGTCTGTGCCGGCGGATACAGCTTCTTCGCCTTCAGCTGCTCCATGACGCTGATCAGGCCGCGATGGCCGCGCAGACTGGCGGCTTCGGGCCCGCCGCGCTTCACGCGCACCTTGCCCAGCGGCGCCTCCAGCTCGTCGTGGAGGATGACGAGCGTCGGCTCGAGCTGTCGGAGGGTGCGCGGGTCGATGCCGCGACGCTGCCAGCTGCTCGTGGCCGGGTCAGGCACGCTCACGTCCGACTCTGGCTGCTCGACCCGCACGTGGCCCGCTTGCACGACGCGCTCGAGGATATCGGTCTGCGCGGTGGCCATCCAGCGCTGCAGCTCGCGGACGAGCTTCCGGCCCGACACGTTCATCAGCGACGGGCTGTGCCAGGTTTTGTAGAAGAGGGGTTGGGGTGCGGACGTGGCGGCGGAGACGAGGGGAATGCGCGGGAGGAGATGCGGGATCAGGGCATCGAGGAGGAGGTGGCCGGCGCTGTGGCGGGTGGTGCGGTATGGACGGGGGTTGCCGATGGAGGCTATGAAGAGGAAGCGCCGGGGTGTTTTGAGGGGGGTGGAGGAGGCCATCTGACTATGATGCGTGAGTTGTGCAAGATGCTCAGGTACAGAGTACTGAGTTGGTACTTTTTTTTGCGGAGTTTGGGGTCGGGATTAGTCATCTGTCGGAAGGGGAAGTTTGTCAATAGTCGCCTGTCAGAGGGGCATCTACTCCGTGCAGAATCAAGTACGAGCGTTCCACCTGTACGATATGCTCTGCGTAAGGGTCATTGACCGCCAATTCCTCCGACCTTTCATTCATGATCTTGTCAACCATTGTGGGATTTCTCCGCGGGTCTTTCGGGAGATCGTCATTTGCACGGCGGGACCGCGCCCAAGACCGTGAGTCAGACCAAGATTGGGCAGAGATGAGATTCTGCTGGAGAATGGGATGAGACGAGACGACACGACATGACACGACACGATGGCGATCAACGCTCCTTGATTGCACGGAGGATTGCATGGACCAGAGGTTGGCGGCCTCTCGTTGCCTCGGGATGTATTCCGGAGCTTTGACTTTCTCTTTCTTTGATGAGTCTGATGGACTGAAGATACTCGACTTCTACACCTCGGTGGATCTGAAGATGACAATTCCAAATCCATCGTGCTCAAGGCCTCTTCCAGCCATTCAGATCCGTGGGTGAGCCGTCGCATCCAAATTGCCCGGAGATATTAGCCTTGCAGGTCCCTACTTGACCCGGCCAAGTGTTCGCTGGGACCACTTTTCCTGTTCCCACTCCCAGAACCCAGTTGCGCGGGACACGACACCACTAGCGACACGAGAGAGTTCCCGGGAGCTGATGCCACAGCGCCACACTATCCTGCTGGAGCCAGTGGGCAGGGCCTCGGAGGAATTGGGGTTACCCAGTACCAGGGTACCACGGCGGTGCTGTCTCCAGGTCTGCTTCCCTTGCTTACCAGCTGCAAGACGATGCGAACGATGGTCGTCCCTGTCGACCTTCTCCCCAACCATCACCCCAAAGGGGATTGAAGACACGATGATTGACTCTCAGTATCATCATGCGAGGGCGACTTGGCTGCATCGTAGTGGAGCACCTCCCTCACGTCGCCTCCTCCGACCAACGCCGTTCGTCCCTTTGCGCTGGGTCCTGATGCCAGTGCGCCGACAACTGACTAACTCATTACTACTAGCTAACTAACTACTAGCTCACTGCTCGAACTAAACGACTAGCCATGAAATTACGAAGTGTCGGGCTCGCCGTTTGGCTCCAGCTGATCTGACCACCATTCGCATCCCCTCTCTGTCTCCCCTTTGCGCCAATCTACCGCTGCATGGCGCCGGCCCAAAGCCCGAACTAGATATTATTACCTACCAACCGACCTATCTCCCACTGACACCTCCCAATTGACTCTGACAGCTCCGTCGCCCTCGTTTCACCTTTCTCCCGCCTAGCCTCTTCGGACGAGGAAATATCCTCTTTTATTTCCCTCCTTTTCTCTTTCCCGTTCTTTGTGGTCGTTGCATTGTCAGTTCGTTCTCCTTTTTCGTCTTGGGTCTCGTCGGAAGGATGCAGGCTCCTTTCCACGCGTGTCAGTAACGCCTCCCGAGTATCTGGGATAAGATCTGCTACCCCTGCTATATCGCATTATCGCATCCACTGGAGATTCGCCCGGACCACGGATCCGTCGTCCTCGCATCGGTGGTGGAGGCAACTCAATATCAGCCACCACTACATACACCACTGTCGTTTCCGCCATTCCCCAGCTTCGTCATGTCATGGACGAAACCGTCATTCAACCGTCAGAAAAGGGCATCGCCCCCGCAATGGAGGTCGACGATACCCTACGATCCTATCCTCCCTGCTCTCACAGCGTCGACCCGGATGGGGAGTCAGACGAAACCGACTCAGACGACCTGTCAATGTGAGATGCGTCCTTGTGTTATCCCAAGAATTGACGACCCTGGCTAACCGGGCCCCAGAAAATCAACCAAGTCCGCTCACAATATTGAATTCGTTACCGAGAATGGCCGGCGATATTGCAATGATTCGTATTTCATGCCGAATGACGACGGGGAACAGACGCGCTTGAATATCATCCACCAGATCTACCTCATCGTGCTCGACGGGAAATTGACCGCCGTCCCGCTGGCCAAGCCCGACGCTCGCATCCTCGATATCGGCACCGGACCCGGCGACTGGGCCATCGAGATGAGCGGCTCGTACCCCAATGCCACCATCATCGCGTCCGACATTGGCGTCTTCGACGGCGGGCTCGGCCACATCGACCTCCCCAACGTCTCGTTCCAGCTGGACGACGCCCAGGGCGAGTGGACGTATCAACAGCCGTTCGACCTGATCCACCTCCGCGGGCTGTCGGGGGCGTTTGAAGACTGGGGCTCGGTGTATGAGCAGGCGTTCAAGCACCTCGCGCCCGGCGGCTACATCGAGATCGCCGACTCGGACCCGGCCGGCGACACCGTCTCGTTCCCGCACTCCGAGGACTCGTACCTGCGCATCTACGCGTCGGCCATGCGCTCAGCCGCCGACGCCGCCGGCCGGCCGCGCGACCTGCGCCACCTCCGCCCGGCCATGCTCAGCGCCGCGGGCTTTGTCGACGTCCGCGTGCTGGAGCACACCATCCCCGTCGGCCTGTGGCCCGAGGACCCGCACGAGAAGACGCTGGGCAAGATGGCCCTGATTGCCTTCCTGGAGGGGCTCGAGGCGTACAGTCTCCGGACGCTGACAGCCACGGCGAGCTGGACGCCCGAGCAGGTGCGCGACCTGTGCGACAAGGTCAAGGACGAGCTGTTCACTGCGGACCAGATGACCGCGCGCCTGCGCATCGTCACCGCGCGCAAGCCGTTCTCCCGCAAGGATATGAAGGAGCAGCGGAAAAACGACGTGCTGAAGAGACTGATGCAGTTAAATGTGGAGGATTAGACGGGGGCGATATTGCCCTGGCGGGAGATTTTCAACCTGGCTGGCTGGGCTGGGGCCCCGCAGACGGGATGGTAGTTGGTTTTGGAGTCCCTTGTGCGACGCTACTTTGCTATCTGAGATACCCTTTTCTTTCTTTTGTTTAGAGCTGGTTCCTAGTGAGTATATAAATGTGATGGACCTCAGGAAGTGTCTGGTTGATGGTGATGCCGCTGGAAAATCGATTGTGGTCATTATCTACAGAATCGGATTTGTAAAGAGTGTATCAAAACGTGCCAAAAAAAGAAAAAAAGTGAAACCCCCATTTTAAATACCAACTCCGGTCCCGGCCCAGGCACAATGCAGAAAAATCTCGAAACGACACTCAAAGCTGAAACTTGGTCCGCTGTTTCTCCAACCCAGCCTTCCACTGCCACTCCTGGCCGCTCGCGTGCTGGATGCCCTTGTCGACGCGGCGGAGCTTCAGGGTGAACCGCGGGCCCAGCTCCTGCGTGCTCACGCGGATGCCCTCGGCGCCCTTCATCTCCTTGCCGTCGGCGCCGACGACGGGCTTCTCGGTCTCGCGCTTCTCGCGGAAGACGTAGCGGTGGCGGCGCACAAACAGGTAGTCGCGCTGGTTGTGGACGGTGACGACCTGGCGGCCCTCGAGGTCGGGCTGGGGCGGGAAGAGCGTCTGGAACAGGCGGGCTGTGAGGAGGCCCAGCGGGGTGCGGAAGTTGTTGAGGATGAGTTCAGGCCAGTGCGCGGTGGAGCGGCCGTGGCCCGGGATGCGCTTGCCGTCCACCCAGTTGCTGATGGAGAAGTGGAACATGGGCCCGCTGGGCAGATGCACGATGTCCATGCCGGACACGCGTTTCTGGTCTTCGTTGAGGATCACGACGGCGGTGTACTCGCGGTTGGCGGCGAACTTGGAGATCTCGCGCACGGAGAACTTGTGCGAGAAGCGGTGCGCCGTCCGCCGCACGTAGATGCTGTTGGGGAAGAAATCGGTGAGGGCTTCGGCTTCGTGGTGCAGCGTGGAGTTGAGGCCGGTCGTGATGAGGATCTTGGGCGAGCGGAGCTCGTCGGTGAACAGCGTCGGGAATTTCGCGGCCAGGGCTTCCGGCGCCAGGTTCAGGTTCGTACTCCGCGTCGACTGCGACGGACTCGTGGCTCGTTCGGTGGCCGTGGGTAGGGAGGATTGTTTGCGGCCCCGGCTGGGTTTGTCGTCTGCGTCGTCATCGTCGTCGTCCTCGTCGTCGCTGCTGGCCAGCATACTATCGACCTCGTCCTGGTCGTCGTCGTCCTCCGACTCCTCCTCCGACTGTTCCTCTTTGGAAGACTTCAACGGTCGGTTGAGCTCGTCCTCCTCCTCCTGCTTCTGCCGCTTGATGCGCTCCACATCCACGCTGAGGCCCAGTCCATCCTCGACGTCACTGCCCGCTTCGTCCCATACGCGCTTGCGATCGATGGTCAGGGGGATATTTCGCTTCAGCCGCTCTTCCTTCAGCTTGGGATTCTTGGCTTCTTCCTTCTTCCGGCCGAATCGCTCTGCGCGACGAGCGGCGTCTTTGGCCTTCTTCCGTCTGACATGGAGCATCTGACGCCGGAGCTTGTTGGCGGGTTTTGCTTCGGCATCGAATGACGGATTGGGCCTCGCCGAGGCCTTTCTGGAGACCATTTTGGGGTATTCGGAAGAAAGATTGGAGCTGGTACGGTCAAGCAGTTCGTCGGAGATCGCGATAGTTGATCTGTAGAAAAAAATAAAATGGACGGAGAAACCATTCGCCGGGCTGAGTCAGCAGCGTCTGTGTTTGCGATCTCCGATCTCGAATCGCCTTCGCATGATCGTTCGAGGATAAATTTCAGAGGAAAAAAAGAAGCATTCGCTCAATTCCTTTCTCTACACTCACACCCTCACTCCATTCTTCCCTCTCTGTCGCTGTTTCTGCTGCTGCGACTTCGACCGGCGGCTCACGTGGGTGTGGATGACTCAATTGGCGACTCGACTGTTTCTTCCCCGCCAAATCCATTTTCCTCGCTGCATCAACCCCGCCAGACACGTCCTCTTCTCCAGGCCCTTCTCGCACTCTCCCGTCGCCCGCAAGTCCCTCCAGGTCTCCAAAAAGAAAAACCCCAATATGGCGACTGTCACCACCAAGACCGGTCAGGTCGTTGACCGTCTGGTCTTGGACTCCATGCTCCGCCGCCGGCTGTTCTACACCCCCTCCTTCGAGATCTACGGCGGTGTCTCCGGCCTCTACGACTACGGCCCCCCCGGTTGCGCCGTCGTTACCAACATTGTGGATCTGTGGCGGAAACACTTCGTGCTGGAGGAGGATATGCTCGAGGTCGATTGCACCATGCTGACCCCGGAGGAGATTCTCAAGACCAGTGGCCACGTGGAAAAATTCGCCGACTGGATGTGCAAGGATCCCAAGACTGGTGAGATCTTCCGCGCCGACCACCTGGTCGAGGAGGTGCTGGAGAACCGGCTCAAGGGTGATAAGGAGGCCCGTGGCCAGAAGGTCGTGGTGGACGAGGAGAAGGAGGCCAAGAAGAAGAAGAAGTCCAAGGAGACCAAGGCGATCAAGCTGGACGATGCGCTGGTCAAGGAGTACGAGGAGGTGCTGGCGCAGATCGACAACTTCGACGGCCCCGCGCTCGAGCAGATCATCGCCAAGTACGATATCCGCAACCCCACGACCGACGGCAACTTGCTGCCCCCCGTCGCCTTCAACTTGATGTTCCAGACCTCCATCGGCCCCAGCAGCAACATGCCCGGATACCTGCGCCCGGAAACTGCCCAGGGTCAGTTCCTGAACTTCCAGAAGCTCCTGGACTTCAACAACCAGTCCATGCCCTTCGCCTCCGCCTCCATCGGCAAGTCCTTCCGGAACGAGATCTCCCCCCGTGCCGGTCTTCTCCGGGTGCGTGAGTTCCTCATGGCGGAGATCGAGCACTTCGTCGACCCCGAGAGTGGCAAGAAGCACAGCCGGTTCGAGGAGGTCAAGGACCTTGAGATGTCGCTCCTCCCTCGCGAAGTCCAGCTGTCTGGTAGCACCCAGACCGTCAAGATGACCATCGGCAAGGCGGTCGAGACCGGCATGGTCGACAACGAGACGCTCGGATACTTCATCGCCCGGATCCAGCTCTTCTTGCTCAAGCTCGGCGTGGACCCGACGAAGCTCCGGTTCCGTCAGCACATGGCCAACGAGATGGCCCACTACGCGGCCGACTGCTGGGACGCCGAGCTGCACACCAGCTATGGCTGGATTGAGTGTGTTGGCTGCGCGGACCGCAGTGCGTACGACTTGTCCGTGCACAAGAACAAGACCGGCGCCCCGCTGGTGGTCCGCGAGCTTCGTCCCGAGCCTCTGAAGGTGGAGGAGTGGCAGATCGACTTGGACAAGAAGAAGTTCGGTCCTCGTTTCAAGAAGGACGGCAAGGCGGTCGCGGCCGCCATCGATGCGCTCTCGCAGGAGCTTCGCGAGAAGCTGGCTCTTGACCTCGAGCAGCAGGGTAAGATCGAGGTGGATGTGGAAGGTGTTGGCTCTGGCAAGGTTGAGCTGGACAAGGACATCGTCACCATCGAGAAGCGCACTCGCGTGGAGAATGTCCGCGAGTACACGCCGAACGTCATTGAACCGTCGTTTGGTATTGGCCGTATCTTCTACAGTTTGATCGAGCATGTATACTGGTCTCGCGAGGGCGACGAGGCTCGTGGGGTATGTACTTTTCCTTTATTTTTTCCCTCCAATCGCCCTAATGAGAGGAACGCTGGCTAACTCGACTGAACAGGTTCTGTCGTTCCCTCCCGTGATTGCGCCCACCAAGGTGCTGATCGTCCCTCTGTCAACGCACGCTTCCTTCAAGCCTCTGTCCCAGCGCCTGATGATGAAGCTGCGGCGCATGGGTATTTCCAACCGGGTGGATGATTCCTCGGCCAGTATCGGAAAGCGGTATGCCCGTAACGACGAGCTGGGCACGCCATTCGGTATTACAGTCGATTTCCAGTCGGTCAAGGACAACACCTTCACGCTGCGTGACCGTGACTCGACCAAGCAGGTCCGCGCTAGCGAAGATGAGATTGTGCAGGCCCTGAAGTCTCTGGTGGAGGGCGAGGAGACATGGGAGGACGTCCGCAAGCGCCTGCCGGAGTTTACTGGACAGGAGGTTGATTAGACGGGGAGCTATATATTACAGACTTTAGAGAGAGCTGTTTTGATGCTAGGTTCTCTATAATCTCCATACAAAAGAAGTTGTTTCGTTCTATGAATCTGTGTAGTGCTTGATATAGTGCGGGATGGCTGCCAAGCCCGCGGAGTGGCCGTCCATCGTCATCTTACATTGTTGTCCTTCTCGACTCCAGCAAACATTCCCTCTTTTCTCTCTCCTCTCCTCTCCACCTCCATCCACTTCTTCTCTCGCGGACGGCTGGTGCGTCCTTCTCATACCATGGCGTCTCCCGTTCGCTCCGCCAAATTGACCCTTTCTTGTCCGTTGTTCGCCGCCGATTTCGACCCGCGCAATCATGGCTTCCTGCTGGTGGCCGGTGGAGGAGGCGAAGGCCGCAGTGGTGTTGGGAACAAAATCGCAAGTACCGCCTGTTTCTCCTGATCTGCTCTTTGCGTCGCATGTCGCGGTGTCGCACACGGCCGGATTTGGCTGCCTGCCTGTAGCGCTTATCACTGACGATCTGCGACCTATCTTCCCACAGGCCCTCCTGAATACGTCCAAACGCAATGAGATCTCCGAAGTAGTCGACATCGAATTATCGCGCGACGAGGACTCCGTCACGTCCCTGGCCGCCGTACATGCGAGCGATGAATCCATTGTCGCCCTGGCCGGCATCAACAGCTCCATGGCGGAGCAGAAGCGCGACAACAACCAACATCTCCGCTCGTTCCGGATCGATTACCCCCCTCGGAAACGGACCACCCCGACCAACGCAATTGACGGCGCCTCGGAGTCACCAGCAGACAACCCAGCACCGGAGAAGCCCACCCCCGGAAAGACCACGCCGCTCTCTCGCGCGTCCCTCTTCCGAACCAAGGGGGACGATAAGTCCCGCGGCAGCGGGGACACCTACCAGCGCATCTTGCGCCTGTCACCGTGGAAGGACGCTGACACCCCGCGGGTCGCGGCCATCGCGACGGGGCTGGCGCCCTCGGGCGAGATTGTCTTCTTCCACGCCGTCACCACCCCCAGCGCGGCCGACGTCATCGGGCGCATCCGCCTGGACAGCGACGAGGAGGCCGAGGACGTGGATATCACGGACCTGGAGGAGCCGGGCCGGTTCCAGGTCGCCTACACGAACGGCGTCGATGTGTTTACCTGCCAGATCTCGTCGGAGACGCGATCGAACGCTGCCCCAGACGTGAAACACGTATACAGCGTCCCGCTGTCGGAGAAAGGCGGCCGCAAAACGAGACCCAAATTCCGCGCCCTGCGCTTCCTCTCGCCGACGACGCTGCTGCTGCTCCAGAACGCCCCGGACCGCAAGGGCTGCGAGCTCGTCCTGCTCGAGCTGCACGACCCGACCCTATCCCTCGACGAACACGCCCCCGCCGCCACCGTCCTCCGCCGCAAGAAGCTCCGCTCGTCCATCAAGATCGGCCTCGGCCTGGACGTGTGCAGCCTGGGCGCGAACCCGGCCGGCCAGCAGCAGACCGTCGTCGCGGTCTCCGGCAGCGACCAGTCCATCGAGATCCTCACGCTCGAGCACGACGCCCAGAAACGCCGCTACACCACGCCCCGGTCATACACCACCCTCCGCGACGTGCACCCCTTCTCCATGACCAAGCTCTGCTTCTCGCACTACACGCCCCCCGCCCTCCCCGTCTCCCCCGAGACCCCGCCCCAGTACATCAAGCTCGCCTCCGTCAGCATGGGCAACACCGTCGTCGTGCACACGTTCCCGCTGGCCCCCGTTCCGCCCGCCAGCCGCTCCCCGCGCTACACCCTCGTGCCCCTCCGCGACATCGGCGTCTGGTCCAGCTTCTCCAGCGCCGCCGCCGCCGCCGCCTCCATACTCTTCGTCTGTCTGCTGATCCAGGCCTTTGCCGAGATCAGAGGCGTCATGCCCCCGCGTCTGGGTGTTACCGACCTCCTGCCCCCGGATATCCGCGATGCCGTCGCCCGTCCGTACATCGAGCCCGGCGTGCCCTCCTACCGCCCCGTCCAGCGGTCCCCGCCGTCTCCGTCTTCCTCGACTCCTGTCCCGGCCGTCCCGTCCGCGCTGCGCGACATCCTCCACTCCCAACCACCCGCTGCCCCGTCCAGCATTGTCGTGCGCTGCTCCCGCCCCGCCGCCGCCGACACGCCCGACGTCCGCGTCGATGCGACCTCATCCCCCGAAGGGGACGACGCCCTGCGGCGGTGGGAGGACCTCTCAGAGCATGACCAGGCCGCGTGGAAGAAACTCCTCGCGGATGCGGACCATTGGGGTCTGGACGATGACGAGGCCCATCTCGACGGGGTGCGTTTTGGGGAGCGGTGTCCGCTGCGCGAGTAGGTGTTCGTTTGGATTGGGTTTGAGCTTGTTTGGATATGGATATGGATATGATTTGTTTGGGATTTTTGTACACTTTTTCTTTCCCTGCCTTTTACTTTCGTGCCTTCCCGTGATATCGAGCCGCGGTGCGAGATTGTTGCTGGCATGGGGGACAGAAAATTGATGTATATTACGTGTTGATGCCATTTTTCTTTATCTACGAATTGAATTTATTGATCCTTTATATTGATGTCTTGGACTCAGTCGATAGATATCGTCTATTATGACCGCTCACTATGGTGTATTCTCTATCCATAGTCTTCTCCCCAACAAAACAACATCGATCCAACGTATTTTATTTCCAGGGTAAACGTATCTCTTTTTACTCGGCTCCATGCACTCTGCCAGACCAGAGCAACATAGCCAAGGTGATTATCCATGGCACTATGTATCCAGGAAGGGAAGTAGAAGCAGTACAGGTCAGACACCAATTAAACGCCGAATTATCCATGCCAGGTCTGCAAAAGACACAGCGGGGTGGGTTGGATATCACGAGAAACAGCAAAAAGGAACATGAGTGCAATGCAGGTCGTAACGGAACAGCGAAATCATCCAGAGGCGCGTTAAATAGGACCCATATGTGCGGGAGAACAAATCCGGTGTAAATCGTAAAAGTCGGCAATTCGAGCGGAGGCGAGAACGCTCCCTACTGGCCATTGTTTTTCTTCCAACGGAGCAGTTCGGCCAGGCTGGGCAGGCTGCACCCAGTCTTGAGGAACTCGTGTGCCAATAGTTCGTCGGCGGTCGCGCGACTGCGGACATCCACACACAGACAGACGCTAAGGAAGGACTTGAGCTCTTTGCTGAGCTTCTCGGGCTTCTTCAGGCGCGGCGTTCCGTTGGTGGCGATCAGGTACAGGGCTTTCAGTGGCTCCTCATTCAGGTATGGCGGTTCCGATTCAATCATCTCGATGGCCATGATACCCAGCGACCAACAGTCGACCTTAGGCCCATACTCTTTCTGCTTGACGACCTCGGGTGCCATCCAGTATGGCGTGCCCACCATTGTCGCACGCTTGTTCTTCGTTTCAGTGAGCTTGGCGCAGAACCCGAAATCGGCTACATGGTTGTCAGTCTGCATTCTAGGGGCTTACACGAAGATGATATGGATGCAACTCACTAATCTTGACATGGCCAGCGCGATCCAGAAGAACATTGTCACTCTTGATGTCACGATGGATAATGTTCTGACTGTGCAGGTGTGCCAGACCCTTGCATGTCTTAAGGTACGTCAGCAAAGAGAATCATCAAAAGAATCATTATCCCAAGGAATAACTCACCTCAGCACAGATCGTGGCAATTTGATCTTCCTGGATCACCGGGTTGTTGTCGATGACATCGGTCAGGGCACCACCCTCCATGAATTCCATTACCACCCAGAGCTCGTTGCTCTGTTCCTGCAGGAACGAGTCGAGGAAGTTAACAATGTTGGCATGCTGGCTGTCCTTCATGACGATGATTTCATTGACGATCAGCTCCTTCCGAGGCTGACTCCGGAGATCCATCTGTTTGATGGCAACCTGGCAACGGGGGCCATATTGGCGATAAAGCTCACGGGCCACGGGGGACGTGGCATGCTCCTTGACCCGTGCCACATACACGGAGCCCGAAGCACCCTGTCCGATCTTGCGCTGCTTGCTGTACGATTCGTTGGGGTTGTCCTTCGAGACTACGGACCGGAGTCTGTCCATGACCTCATTCTCCGTCATCGCCGACATGCGCATCTCCCTCTGTCGAGGCTCAGGCTTCTTTGTGAGAGCGGCTTCCGCTTGACGAACACCATCCGGAACATTGTTCTTGTTCGTTTGCTTGTTGGCAATGTTCAGCGGTTTGACCGGCTGGACTGGAGCCGGGAGCTTCGTCGGGGGAGGGCCTTGCGCCTGGGGTCCCTTTGCACCGTTGTTCGGCGTGCGCGTCTGGGATCGCGGGTCGTATCGCGAACCTGGAGCTTCATCTGGGCGATATCCTGGAGCGCGTCCCGTGGAGGAACCATAATCCCCGGGTCGTTGGCCTTGGTTGGCGGCCGTGGGCGGGGACGGAGCTGGACGTTGAGCAGTGAGCTGTCGCGAGGGGTCCTGGTTACGGGCAGCACCAGGTGCCTGGGGAGCTGGACGGCTCGGTTTGTACCGATCGTTCATGTCGCCGCCGTAACCACCCAATTCCTGCTTGGCAAGGGGGACGCGGGTCTTGGGAAGCGAAGCATTGTACGCTTCCTGGTCGAGCCGGCCTTGTTCATCGTCTCGTTGGCGCTCACGATTCCGGCGGGCTTCTTCCTCCACCCGCCGGCGCTCCTGCTCGGCCATCTCCTTCATCTTCTCCAATTGCTGCTGCTGTTCCATCGCCCGGTCTGACTCGGACTTGGGCGAGTGACTCGAGAGTCCCGTATCCAGGCGCTGAGACGGCGCGGGCGGTGGTGGCCTCGGAGGGGCAATCGAGTTGCCCACATTGTTGCCGTAGGGCTTGGACTGACCGGCGGGAGACGACAAGCCCGCGTAATACTGAGGGTTCTGTTCGCGCATCTTGATATCGGAATAGAACTCGAGAACCTCGATGACGGCTTGGGGGTTCTTCTTGTAGTCTTCCTTGGTGATCGCGGACGACGTCAAGAGTTTCTCCCACTCCGGCGGCAAGCCGACGAAGGCACCGGTCTGGGGGTCGAAGCCCACATGGACTCGATGGCTGAAGTTGGTTGGGTTGCTCACACCACCCATACTGGGGCATCGCTCGTAGATCTTATCGATCCACTCGTAAATCTCGTCGTCGGTCTTCACTTCGCAGGTGATACTCTTGGTGGGCAAATCGCGCGTGATCAAGGCGGTCTTTGACGAGGCATCCTTGGGGTTAGCGAGACGAACAATCTCAAAGGCCATCCGAGTGTCCTCGGAGCGCGAGACCGCGGTGACGGTGTTCAGCGGGATCGACAGCACCACCTTGCCGGTCTCATTCTTCAGGAAATCCAGGCGAAACTCGCGCAGGAGGAGATACCGTTGGTTCCACGTGGCGAGAAACTTGTCCTCCTTGCAACGGACATAGCCTTCCTTGATGATTGCGACGCCGCCCTGGCCGGACTGGTTGGTCTTGGTGTGGGCGAGCGACGGAGTACTGGTGTTGGGAAACAGCGAGAGACTGGGGGTACCGGGGGAGTTCAAGTTCATCTGGCTGAACGAGGTAGCCACGCTGGAAGGGTTCGAGGGGATGTTGAGTTTCGGGCGGTCCGTTGGCGGACGGGGCGCAGGGCCGGGATTCATGAATTGGTCTGGGGAGTACATCCTGCGATGGGGTTAGCTGCATCCACAGCCGAAGGGGGTTGGTTTGGCTGGTGGCATGGAGAAGATGAACAGGGAGATGTGAATGAAAGTTGAAATATGTTAAACAGACACCGACAAAAATAAAAATAATCAAGATTGGAGGATATGATCAGTCCGACTTACTTTCCATAAGAGGAAGTGGTCTCAACGGGCGAGTCTCAGGGGGGGACGGGACGAGGGGAAATCGGTCGGCGGCAGGGAGGGTTGACGATTCACTGGGTTGATGGTCAGCGCATTGATCTTCAAATCAAGGGACTCGATCCCACCCTCGGGGCTGACAGCATTGCTGAAAGGGGGGAGGCTTCGAATCCTATAGGAGGGACAGTCGGGAACGCGATCAGCCGGCCAAGCGTGGGGTTGGTTGCGTCCCATCGTGAGAGGGGCATTGGGACGGAGAGGAAGCGATTGCGACGAGTGTCACCTACCTGCAATTGTTTGTACAGACGAGCCGGTTGACAAAATCCCAACGATCCGAACCCAGGGGCCTCGCAGTTGTGAAGAGGGGGGTGGAAAGGGGGGGTTGTGGAGGAGGGACAACGCGGTGAGGGAGGGACTCGAGCCCTGCAAGAGCGGCGAGATGCGCCCAGTCGGGAGAGACAGACTCAGGACCGGTCGGAGAGGAGGGATTAGAAATTATGCGATGAATTGACTGAAGATTCGAAGAGAGAATAAGAGAGAGGGAGAGAGGGAGGGAGGGAGAGGAAGAGAGGAGAGGGTTGAGAAAGGGAGAGGAAGAGGAAGAAGATGGTTGGTCTTACGCCGAAGAGGGGGGGCAAATCGAATTGCGGTTTCACTAACAACGGGAGAGCTCCTCCACTCTTTGTCCCCTGCCCGATAGCCCGAATTCAAGAGATCGTTTATGACGATAATGATAATAGGAGTAGTATCGTAGTATCGTTGGGTTGATGAATTTTTGGAGGTCTTTCTGCTTTATGGAGACCATGCGGTGCCCAATGGGACGATCAGGGAGTTCCTAGCAATCACCGAGGAGTCTCCTCAAGGGAGGGCTTTTTCAAATTCGGTCCTGTAATCAGGGGAAAGAACCTGGAAGACGAAAAGCACGAAAAGCATGGATCAATTGATCCCACGCTTGGAGGCCAGGAGGACAACAAGAATCAGGTTGATTAACTGGCGGTGGGCGGTGGGTACACGAAATAGTGTCTGATATTGTTCTAGATGTTTCATCTTTCCCACGGATGCGCCCTATCCGTATGTAGTGTGTAGTACCATGAGGCAGTTGTAGACGTCCCTTGATCTATCAATTGACAAACACTTATAACTCCCCCCTTATACTTCGTATAATCTACTCGGTACAATCCATAACCTATAACCCATGACGGATCCTCCTATGAAAGTTGTTTACTTCCATGTCCCTTGATCTATAGTAGTAGCATGACCCACGGGTCGCCGTTCCAGAGTTGGAGATGGATGATCCACTCTCCGCCCCTTTTCTACTCCAAGTAATAGTACGAGGTAGTATGTATGACTAGATAATATATACAACATCATCCATTGATTTATCTCCCCTATACCATCACGGCTCTTCCCCAAAGGGATAGTTGAACTTCAACAGCCCATTCAACCCTCCCACCCATCCGTCGTGCGCTTCGCCCCCCGTAATCCGTCGCATCACACACGGTACTCCCCCCTGCCATTCATTCTTGCCATGCCGCATCTCCTCATTCCACACCCGAGCTTCCATCCCCACCGTCATCCCTTGTCCCAGGTTGACCCCGTCAATGCTCACCTCCAGCTCCCGCCCCCGGTTCTTCTCGCTTAGCCGCAGCGTGATCGGCGTACTGGACGGAAGCACCAGGGGTCGGAAACTGAGGCTCCGCGCGCAGATCGGCGTCAGCAGCACCGATGGCACCAACGGGTGAACGATGCTGCCGCCGCTGCTCAGACTGTACGCCGTACTGCCGGTGGGCGTCGAGATGATGATGCCATCCGCCACCGCCTCCGTTAGAAACCGGCCGCCCACGTACACGTCCACCACCGCCAGATGCGGTTCTTTGCCCCGGTGGAGAAGCACTTCGTTCATCACGTACACCCCCTCGCTCCCCAAGGTACTCCGTAGAGGTACGGAGTTCGCGTCTTGCCCAACCGGTGTCCCATCCGCCATGAACAGCCCCACCTTCAAACGGTTGCGCATCAAGATTCGCGCCCCGCGGCCGGATCCCATGGACTTTCCTCGAATGGACGACCATCCCGTTGGCCCCATGGATGACTCCCGTGGCGCATCCTCTGTCGCCGTCCTGGCGCTCTCGAGCACCGATGCCCGGTCCCCAGCCCCCGCGCCAGACATGTAAACTTCACGGAAGGCTCGTTTATACTCTGCGAACTTCCATTCGCTGAGAAATCCGAGCGTGCCCATGCTGAAAGACAGGACCGGGGGCACGTTGAAACACGTCGCAAACAGCGACGATGCATGCAAGATCGTCCCATCGCCTCCGAGCGTTACCGTGAGGTCCGCCTTGTTGTGTAGTGCGGCCGGCAGGCTGTCCACTGGGGCTGAGTAAACCGGGCAAGGAAGTAAGGAATGGACTTCTTCGGCGGTCTTCGGCTCGAGGATGATTGAGGTGGACGGGTATGTAGATGTCGCATGACTATAGCCAGGGCAATCAGCAGGGATCTTTGCGGGGGTGAGAAAGAGGATGGTGGTGCCATCTTACGTTACAAATTCAACCAAGGATTCTGTCACAGCCGGAGCGCAGTCCTTTTTCACGACAAAAATGTTTCGTGGAGGTGAAGGCCATTGTAACGAGAGAAGATCCCCTTCTCGGGATTCTAGAGGGTGAGGGGAGGAAACAATCAGCGAAACGACCTCGAAATGACTGAGCCGCGGCAACGCACACCTTGGTACTTGGGTAAGATGCGCTGGGGAAGTGTTTCAATGTCCCTTATCTCATACCGACAGGACGACGATGCGAAGTTTCGCGCCCACGGTGTTCGTCTAACAAAGAACCGGAGTCGAGCGTACTGCGATCGCGCAAACACAGACTGCATCATGGAAGATCGGAACGGACTATCAACGACCAGAATATTAGCAAGACGTTTCAGCTGCAAGGAATATTTGATGGACTCACTTAAGTTTGCTTTATCATCTTTCTAGCCGAGCTTCTAATCGAGCTTCTAGTCGAGCAACTGGGTGAGTCACGACTGATCTGAAAGACTGGGTAGAGCCTGACTAGACTGGGAACCACATGGGCTTGTCAAACATTTAATCGCAAATTTTCAGGGTATTGGAAGATGTGATACGAAGGAGGAGAAACGATCGGAGAAGGACGATGCATCCCCGGAGAGATCAACATGGAGGAGAACTGACCGCCTTCCCAGTCTGACGTATGAGATCATGCGCCTGCTTTCGCTTGCGGCCGATGATTTCTCAGGTCTTCTCCTTCTGGTCAGGCATCGTCGTTCGACGGTGGATAATCGTTCCTGTGGATCGCATGTGATTCACACTTTTCCTATCTCTGACCTCTCTTTATCCTCGAGTTTACTCTCCCGGAGCATGGCTTGACGCTATATCTCATCCCCACCAAGTCCCTTCGTCATTACTACCGGACGACACCGCTTTTGTTCCTCCTTACCTAGTATGTATTAACTCTCCCTTCCGTTCGGTCGTGCTCGTGTGACCTCGGACAGAGAAGCTGATTGTACCCCTCTACCGGAAGATCGGGATCGGTGAAACCGATTTTGTTACGCCCCTCATCGCCATCGTGGGCATCATGGCGGACAACGACGCTCGCCAGCGCAAACCCGGCGCCTCCGCTACCCAGCTCATGGGTGCGGATGGTCATCCTGGAGCTCACCAGGGCGAAGAGCCCCGTCTCAAGCATGGCATTGCCATGCAACTTCTTCGATCCCTTATCCTAGCCACATGGTTCAACTGCTGCTGTGTGATCATTCTAGCGACCCAGCTGGTCGGCTCCCCTCTTTATTTCGTTAATAAGAGCTATTATTACAACTATATGGCATATACAAAGCAGTCCTTTGGTCTGGTCATCACAGCTCTCACTCAATGGGGCTGTCCCACATACGTTCGCGTCAGTGGAGACAAGAGTGTTCGCGGTCAAGTACATCTGTCGAAAGATGGTCGGCTCAAGACGCAGTTCCCGGAGCGATTGGTCATGATCGCTAACCACCAGGTGTATACCGACTGGATCTACTTGTGGTGGGTGGCGTATACGAACTCGATGCACGGCCGCATTTTCATCATCCTTAAGGAGTCTCTCAAATATATTCCGATCATCGGCCAGGGCATGATGTTCTACGGGTTCATCTTTATGGCTCGCAAATGGCTGTCCGATAAGCCCCGGCTTCAACATCGTCTGGAGAAGCTAAAGACTCGTCTGTCCGGATCGAAATCGGGCTCTCCAGAATACGATCCGATGTGGCTGTTGATATTCCCCGAAGGTACCAACCTGTCTATCAACACGAAACGTCGCAGCGATGAATATGGCACGAAGCAAGGATTCCCGCCGCTGAAGCACGAGATCCTCCCTCGATCCACTGGTCTCTTTTTCTGCCTGCAACAGCTGAAGGGAACGGTGGATTGGGTTTATGACTGCACAGTGGCGTATGAAGGTCCTCCGTAAGTCATGCATTGTCTTCCCCTAGCCATACAGAACAAACACTGACTCTGGCTTCACAGGAAGGGGAGTTATCCGGACAAGTACTTCACCCTCCGGTCAACATACTTGCAGGGACGACCTCCGACGTCCGTGAATATGTACTGGAGACGGTTTGCCGTAGCAGACATCCCGCTCGACGACCAGAAAGACTTTGATGCCTGGCTCCGAGCTCGATGGACAGAGAAAGATCAGTTGCTAGATGAGTATTTCGAAACGGGGCGATTCCCGACGGAGCTCACTGGCACGATTGAGACAGGTGAAGTGACCGCAGAACAGAAAGCTGCTGCGTCTGCTGGGTATGCCGAGGCGCATGTGCGACTGGGGCATTGGAGGGAGATCGGACGGATCTTCGCTGTGCTCACCGGAGTGGCTTTCCTATGTAAAGTGCCAAAGCTTACGGGACTTGGTTAAGGGGCATGGAAGTGTCATTTTCGAGCGATATCTTTCGGACCATTGACTGTTGGATCTTAATGCTTGCATTTCATAGAGCTGAGTTTAGATATTTGTGATGAATATGAGGCCCTGATGTAAAGAAACCGTACGGAGTACTCCGTAAGTACTACCTAACGTAGGTGAGGCGGAAAGCCACTGTGGCGGTGCGGACCTCGGGCCTGAGGCGCGGCGCAACAAAGTGTCTTTGGCTTCTCCTTCTGCAGACTCTCGTCTCGCTGCTGTTGCAACCACACGACTTTCGTCCCGTCTCTCACCAGGGACATCCCTCTTCTTGGTTGCTTGCTTGCTTTCATCTCTCGTTATCTTGGTGAGATGATCATGAGTTAAGCTTCTCCGACAATCCTCTCTCTCCGTCCTCCGAACATTCACACTTCCGCGTCCTATCCTCCGTTTCATCACCCCAGGGGATACGCGCCATGGCTACCCTCCAGAATGGTTACGCCAATGGCGTGAACGGCGATTCTCTCACCACGGTCAACTCACTAGCTAACCTGCGTTTCTCTGATATTCCCTCCGCCATCGACATTCCCGCGTCCACCCTCGACAGTGAAGTCGAGGTCAGCCTCGAAGGCTTGCCGGACGATCCCACCGAACTATGCACGCTACTCGAGAACGAAAAAGCCGCAAAGAACTTCTGGGTGATCATTGCTCTCGCCTACGCGAAGCAGAAACAGATCGACCATGCGATCGATATCCTGAACAAAGGGCTGGCGTCGGTCGCCCACGGCGCCACCAAAGAAAAGCTCGGCCTCCTGGGCTGGGTCTGCTGGCTGTTGATGCTAAAAAGTCGCCAGGCGCCCCGCGTCGCCCCCGAAGGCGAGCTCTACACCGAATCCAAGACCAAGGATTACTACCTCCAGCTCGCGACGTCGACGTTGAACGAGGCGTCGCGACTGAATCCCGCTTTCCCACCTTTGTTCCTCGCGAGAGGTGTCCTGTCTCTCTTGCGCGCCTCGCTGCACCCTCCCCGACCGGTCCGTCCCGGAACCGTGGACACATCCGAGCGCGTGGAGTCGCTGCGACAGGCGCTGAAGTGCTTCGATGAGTCGTCCAAGGCCTTTGGCGGGAGAAATGTCATGGCCATTCTCGGCCGCGCGAGAACGCAGTATATGCTTGGACGATATGCGGAGGCGCTCGAAGGGTATCAGAAGGTTCTGATGAGAATGCCGGGGCTGACGGATCCGGACCCACGGATTGGTATCGGATGCTGTCTGTGGCAGCTGGGCTTTAAAGAGCAGGCGAAGGTGGCCTGGGAACGGGCGCTGGCACTCGTGAGTATCTCCAGTTCGAATACCTGGCAATTGATTACGGGCATGGCTAATCTTGAATTGCACGGCAGAACCCCGACTCTAAAGTTGCGAACATCCTGCTGGCGGTCTACTACCTCTACGACAGCTCACGCCATGCGACGACCGACCCGGCCTTTGGTTCCTTGTATAAAATGGCAATGACGCAGTACACGCAAAAGGCCTTCAAGTTGGACAAAGAGTACCCGATGACGTGCGCCCTGTTCGGCGGGTATTTTTTGCTACGGAAATCCTACTCGACGGTGGAGACCCTGGCTCGCAAGTCGATCGAGAACACGGATGTGATGCAGATCGCCAGTGATGGATGGTACTTGCTGGGCCGCAAGGCGCACTACGAGGGAGACTTGCCGCGTGCCGCAGAATTCTACAACCGCTCCGATCAAGCCCGGGGCGGCGGTGACAAGGGTTACCTTCCAGCCAAGTTCGGGGCCGTTCAGATGCAGGTCTCGAACAAGGACTTGGACGGGGCCAAGTTCCGGCTCGAGAAGATCATCCAACAGACGAAGAACGCGGAATGTATGATCTTGCTGGGTGCGCTCCATGCTGAAGAGGTCTTTGCTGCTCAGAAGAGCGGCAGCAAGGAAGACAAATCGGCCGAGATCAAGAAAGCCATCAGCCTCTTCGAGTCGGTCCGCGCGCTCTGGAAGGACGATGGCAAGAAGATCTCGCCTGACGAGTCCGTCTTGGTGTACCTGGCTCGGCTGTATGAGCAGACCGCACCGGAAAAGAGTATGCAGTGCCTGGTGCAGCTCGAGGAGATGCAACTGGCGGAGATCGCCGCGGACGAGTATCCCGAAGGCATCGAGGATGAGGAACAGATCAAAGACGCCATGCGGGTCAACCTGCCTCCGCAGCTCCTCAACAACATGGGCTGCTTCATGTATCAGAATGAGAAGATGGACCTCGCTCGGTCGCTGTTCCAGACAGCCCTGAAGGCCTGCGTGCGCTCCAAGGAGAAAGAGAGCGACCTGGACACGGACGCCCTCGTGACGACCATCAGCTACAACCTGGGACGCAGCTACGAGGCGTCCGACATGCCAGACGAGGCCAAGAAGGTCTACGAAGGACTGCTGGAGCGCCACAGCGACTACACCGAGGCGAACGCTCGGCTAACGTACATCGCGCTGCGGCAGAGCCCGACGGACGAGGGACCGAAGAGGATGGCCAAGCTGTACGAGGCGGATTCGACCAACCTCGAAGTGCGGGCGCTGTTCGGCTGGTACCTCAGCAAATCCAAGAAACGGGCGGCGAATCTGGCAGAGGATCACGAGCAGCGCCACTTCAAGCACACGCTGCAGTACTACGACAAGCACGACCGCTACTCGCTGACCGGCATGGGCAACGTGCACCTCATGACGGCGCGCGACATGCGACGCGACACGGACCAGGACAAGGAGAAGCGGCGGAAGATGTACGAGCGGGCGGTGGAGTTCTTCGACAAGGCGTTGCAACTCGATCCGCGGAATGCGTACGCGGCGCAGGGCATTGCGATCGCGCTGGTGGACGACAAGAAAGATCACGGCACGGCAGTGCACATCTTCTCGAAGATCCGCGACACCCTGCGGGACGCCAGCGTGTACCTGAACCTGGGTCACGTCTACGCGGAGCTCCGACAGTACACGCGGTCTATTGAGCACTACGAGACGGCGCTGTCAAAGGACCGGGCGCGCGACGCGCAGATCCTGTCGTGTCTGGGGCGGGTGTGGCTGCTGAAGGGCAAGCAGGAGATGAGCCTGTCGGCGATGAAGACGGCGCTGGACTACGCGCAGCGGGCGCATTCGGTGGCGCCCGCGCAGATCCACCTGGAGTTCAACGTGGCGTTTGTGCAGAACCAGATCGCGTCGCTGGCGTACAGCCTCCCGGAGACGCAGAAGACGGTGCAAGACGTGCAGGAGGCGGCGGACGGGCTCCGGCAAGCAGTGGAGACGTTTGGGCGTCTGGCGCAGGCCAAGAACCCGCCGTACCCGGCCGGGGCGCTAGAGCAGCGGGCCAACATGGGCAAGACGATCATCAAGCAGCTGGAGCGGGCGCTGCAGAGCCAGAAGGAGTACGAGGAGAAGAACGCGGCCAAGCTACAGCAGGCGCGCGAGGCGCGTGAGGCGGAGATGCGGCGGCGCGAGGAGGAGGTGCGGAAGGCGCAGGAGGCGGAGCGGGAGCGGAAGCAGAAGATCGCAGAGGAGCGTCAACAGATGATCGAGGAGGCGCAGCGGCTGGCGGCGCAGCGAGCGGAGGAGGAGCGGGCGCGGGAAGAGGCGGAGATGACGACGGAGGAGGAGACGGGGGCCAAGGTGAAGCGCAGCAAGAAGAAGAGCTCGAAGCGGAAGAAGAAGCGGGCAGAGGACGACTTCATCAGCGACGGGGAGACGCCAGCGCGGGACGAGGGCTCGGAGGCGGAGAGTGGGCGCGAGGCGGCGCCGAAGAAACGGCGGCGGCTGGAGCGTCGGTCAGGCAGCAAGGCGCAGAGCAAGTACAAGAGCAGTGAGATGGTGGTGGACTCGGACGAGGAGGAGGACGAGGCCGTGGCGACGCCGGCGGCGGCGGAGTCGGACCACGACCAGGAGATGCAACAGGATGAGGAGGAGGAGGAAGTGGTGCAGCGACGACGCAACAAGGTGAATCGACGGGTTGCGGATGAGGAGGAGGATGAGGATGATCTGTTTGGTGATGGTGGGGAGAAGGATACAGCGATGGAGGATGAGGAAGAGTAAGAGAGTGGGGGTTATTCTTGTAGTCTATGTTTACCTGATTCTACTGCGTGTTTAAAAGAGGCGTTGGGGAGGATGCTTTGGCTGTTTTGTGATGCTATATTATTATCCTACCTGGATGCATTGATACAATACGGAGTACATACCTATTCTGTGCACGATGTTCATATTCATGACCCGAAATGATGGATACGAACTACGCTGTAGATCGGCATAAGATCCTGTACTATGCGCCGAAGTATTCTTAGTACAGTAGTAAAAGCCGTGGACGGCGACCACGGACGGGACTAGTACAGAGTGGAACGGGGGGGTGTTCTAGACAGCGTGATCGTCAGGAGGTCGAACGATGGAGACGGAGGAGACGCGAATGAAGCAAATGAAGCGCGCAGAAAGGCACGCTAGGGGGATCTGTCGCAGGAAGGTTTGCATCTGAGACACTGGTGTGGCCGGGATCGGGGAGGTTGAAGTCGTCGAGATGGCTGTTTTGATCCGAGGCTGGACAGATCATTCACCTACATAGATACATACATACATACATACACATGTAAGCGGCTGGCAACTGGCTGGAAGAGAAATGGCGCAGCGGGCCCGAGGTGCAGGAACAGAAGCGAGAGAACGTGCGGTTGCATCCAGCTGGAATCCTTCGACTCCATCGACATGGATGTGGCAGGCGATGGTTCCACTCAGGTGTCTCCGAGGTTTCTTTGACAGATGATGTTTTATGTTGTAACTGGAGTAGATCTGGTGGATTGTTGTGTGTTATATCTATAGGACTAAGTACTAAGTACTGCGTCCTCCCAGGTGGTAGCCTAGTATCCTCCACCAGGTAGTTCGTGTACTAGTTAGTATACTCCGGACTGTACTTTGTCCATCTGGGGAAGAGAGCACGCGAATGTTCTACGGAGGACATCCATGACCGTCGTAATAGCCCTAACCATGGATCGCAATCCCATGGGTCGCCCGTCTCCGCTTGACAGACTCCAGGATCCGATCCCTGGCCAGGGGTAATCCTATACGGAGTGGTTAGTTAGTTATAATAGTTAGTTAAGGTATGCTGTTGGCTCTAATCATGGCCCTAATGCACGATCCGACAGCGCTGGTGGAGGGACGTTGGACAGGCCCGCGTCGCTAAGCTAGCCCACTCGGTACATACGGAGTACATAGGTAACTACTAGTCGACTCTCCGTACCTGACTGTGTACTCCGTACAGAATAGCCTGTACTCTGCCCCACCGCCGATACTGCCCAACTCTGGCCGCGTCCGCGTACCGGTAGGAGTCCATTCCCCTTTGGTTCGCGACGATCCACCGATCCAGGAGGCGTCGGACCAGTGGTTGGGAAAGGGGTTTATCCTATACAGTATATGTATAGAGTACAGGATAGAGTACGAGTATAAACAGTACCGTAATACTTGAATAGTCTCTAGGACCTAGGTACTCTAGGTAGGACCTCTAATACTACTCTACTACTCTAGTAGATCCTGTATAGTAGAATATACCCCTATCCAAACCTCAGATCGATCAACCGCCTAAAAAAAGTAAACAACCCACGGACGCACGAGCGGGACCACACGGGACATGTACTGTATACGGAGTAGTGATTATTATTATTATTATCATTTCCAGAGTACAGTCCAACCTCTTCCTTCTCTTCCTCTCCCTCCACCCCCCAGAACCGTTTCTCGTCGCATCTCTTAGTGCCTCACTAGTGTTTTAGTCGAACCACTGTCTGGGTTCTCCATTCCTTTCCTTTTCCTTTCTTACTCTTCTTTCTTACTCTCTCTCTCGCTCTCTCTCTCCCTTCCTTACTTCGGCTTCCTCCATACCCACATTCTTTCCTCTCTTCCTTGCCTCGCCATCCTCCCAATTCCCACCCGGCCAGACTCATTGATTGACTGCCCCTCCAATTCTTCCATTCCTTCCATTCTCCTTCTCTTCCTCATAATCTCACTCTCCTTCATTCCTGATTGACTCGGAATCTGACCTTATCCTCGTTAACCTCATACCTATACCCATACCCATACTCCTACTCACGTCCTTTTGAATCGCCTCGCTCGCCCATCTCTATCGTCGCTCAATTGACTTCCTCCTGACCATGAACCGCTCTCCATCCGCCTAACCCATGCATTCCTCTCATCGCCTGTCCTCCCTCCGCTCCATGGCCCACGACCACGACCGGCCCTCCACTGGGGCCTCGTCCGACCCCCCAGAGCATTCCGTCCATATGCGCTCGCGTTCTACCGCCCACGCCCACTCGCCCAAGCGCCTCTCCGTCTTCAGTGGTCGCTCCCGGAGCAATACCACCAACTCCACCTCCTCCTCTCGTCGCTCCCCGGCCTCCTCCATGACCTCGGCCGATGCCGCCTCGATCCCCTCGTCCCAGCACTCCCATGAGGAGCGAGCCCCGTCCGCCACCGGCTTCCGCTCCGAGCGCCAGGAGAGCATGACCAAGTCGCTCTTCACCCGCGGAAGCCGCATCCTGCGTCGCCAGGGAAGCAAGTTCAACATCGTCGCGACCGTCGACGAAGCCGACGAAGGCGAACGGGAGAAACCCCGCTTCGAGGTCACGGATATCTTCACACGGCACCATCGATCCCGCCAGAGTTCCGCTCGTAAGACCCCTCCCTCCCCTCATATGCATGCGCGAGTTCCATTGGCTCACCCGTTCTCCTGGCAGATGACCACCTCAAGAGCCTGATCTCCGACCCCTTCGACTTCCACCACCTGACCCACACCAGTCCGTCCCATTTCCAGGAGCTGGACAGAACCCGCCAGACGGACCTGGTCACCGAGTTCTCCGCCATCCGCGCCTCCCAGCGCCCCGTCACCGGTCTCAAGGGCATCCGTGCCGAAGATCTGCATTTCCGGGGATTTCTCCTCCGAGGACCTCACCAGCTGTGCCAACTGTACCAGCTGTGGAACGGCCATCGCCGGCGATGACCATGCAGCCCCGTGGCCCTGAGCCCGCCCGGCTCGCCGGCGACCACTTCTCAGCCGTAAGCCCCAAACAGATCGACAGCAAACCCCGGGAATCGCGTGTTTTCGAGAACTTCTCCCGCCCCGTGTCCAAAATTCCGCGGGGCGACACCACGACCCCGCCCCCTAGAGCGGCATCTCCCCGACTGGCCGCGTCCCCGGAGTTCATTGAGCCCGCTCCGCGCGCGATCGATGAAATCCTAGGTTTACCGACCAACCAGACCTATCCCGAGCATGTGTACACCCACACGGAAGGGGCTCAATATCCCTCGTCTCTGTCCCTGATGCACGAAGACATGTTCCCGGCGCGACTCCGACGAAAGACCATTGCTCACGACCCGGATCCGCTTCAGTCTCGTATACAAATGTAACATCCGACGTAGGATGATGTCCCCGAGGAAGAAGAGGCCGGGACCACCTGGCATGATAGCCCCGAATCCAACGGCGCAGACAGCACCTCTGCACGGACGGCATCAAGACTCGGCTCCCCGGCGATGCAACCTGATGCGCTGGGTCCCCCTAGGTCGCGTCTGTCGGTCTTTGTCTCCGGGGAGCTGTCGGAGAAGTTTTCGGAGGCGCTGGGCTCTCCCACTCTCCCGCAATTTCGCGAGAACGCCGAGGCGCTTCGGCAAGAGCGAGCAAAGAACGAACACCCTCGGAGGCAATCGTCGTTCCATCGGAGGCCGACCTATGAGACCATCTATGAGTCCTGGGATGCCGACATTGATTATTGCTACGAGCATGCGGCAGAGTCCAATTCCAACTTTGACTGGGCCCGCAAGTCGCTGGATGAGCCGCGCCACGACCAAGTCGAGGTGTCGGTCACCGTGCCTCCGGATAGTCCGTTGAACGGCGTCCTGGAGGATCAGGTGCGGCCATCCGTGCATCATTTGAGCACCTCCACCCTGCCGACCCTGGACCTGGATCCCAGTCCGTCTCGCTCGCTGCCCAGCGCCAGCTTCGCCGCCACCCCGTCCACGGCGTTCGAGGGTGAGCTGCCCGTTGCCCCGCGGGATGGCGATTTCTTTCAACCAGTCAGTTCTTCAATGTTCCCATCGACCTTGGGAAAACACATGACCCAGGATACTCTGTATGACGAGTACCTAGCGGCTGATGCGGAATCAGATCGTCATTTCTCTTTCTGCTCCCAAGGAGTAATCCGGCCGATGGAGCACCCTGTGTCCCCTCGGAGCAGCTTCTCTCCCATCAGCAAATGCAACTCGGAGGAGAGCTTGATCCTGTCTCGTGCGGCGTCGATTGTCCGCAAGCACCGGTCCTCGGTCTCGACCGCCAGCGTGCCCGATCTCGTGCACAGCCTGGCCAACAGCCGCGAGCTTCCTTTGATGGACCATGTGTCTTCGAGTGAGCGTCTCTCATCGGGCAGTCTCCGCCTCGACTCATCCTCCCACCACCGTCAGGCCAAGAGCCTGGCGCGGGAGTTGGAAGCCTATCGCCTGGACAGCAACGCGACTCCTGAGTCTACCGGTCCCTCGGTCCACGACCGGGCCAAATCGACTTCCGAAGTCGAAGCCGCTCCTCTGGTGGCCAAAGCCACCAAGGCGAGTGCGCATCGCCGAAAAGGAAGAACTTCCTATTCGCTCTTCCCCATCCCACCAACGGCCAACTGAGTGGGTTGGTTGAGCGATCACCTTCTTTTATCTGTTTCTTTTTTTCCCCCAATCTATAGATCTCCTTCCACGTCTTGATGATTTTGTTTGTTTCACGGTCAGGTTTGGCGATATCAGCCGTTGGTAACTTTTACACCTTGCGGGTCGGCCTTGTGGGTTCTTTTGCGATTTCTTACAGTCTGTCGTTAGCATTGTCTTGCATTTCTCAGCGGTTGTTTCCCGGGACAAAAATTGGGTGTTCTGGCATGAGGATGGGAAAGGCAAAGTGTTTGGTTTTTTCAATCTTCGGACAATCGCTTGGTTGGGTTGGGATGGGTTGAGGTGGTTTGCATATTCTATTGTCTTGACACTCTTTGACTGTTCATATTTCATAGAGCATGACAGATATGGTTGTCATTGCGGAAGTGATAGCATCTGATGTAGTGTATGCGGCCTAATATCTGGGTGAAACAGTACCTGTAGGTTCAGGACCGAGTGCAACAAGAGCTCTATGAGTAGTGTCAATTGAAGACTGGGGTCTGAGCTCACAATGACCGCAGCTGAGCCCCCGCCAAGCCTCACCGCCTTGCCGTTTTGCCGCCTCTAACGCCGCCTCTATACTTCTCTCTCATCACTTGTCTTGCTTCAGACCTACCTCTCTTCACCTGATCCGGTCTCTACCGACATCATGACGTCCCCATCACAGGCGTTGGCCAAACGCCAAAATGAGACCGGTCTGATGCCGCCGCCGCCGCCCCCAAAACGCATCAAACGACCGGCTACCGTCCTCGACGAAGATGTCTACACCCAAGCCCTATCCGATATCATCGCGCGAGACTACTTCCCGGGGCTGCTCGAGGAGCAAGTGAAACAGGAGTACCTCGAGGCGCTCGACTCCAAAGACAAAGAATGGATCGCCACCTCGAAGAAGAAGCTGGCCGATCTGATGCGCACGCCCGGACGAGCCCGCGGCCGTCCTGCGGTCTCCGCCACCTCGCCCTTCACCACCGGCCGCCCCGGAGACACGCCCACAGGCTGGGGCGGCGATACACCCATGTCAGTCGTGTCATCGACGACGGAGACCACCACGCCAGCCGACAAGCCCACGCCCGACGTGTCCAAGCTGGGCCTGCTCGAGTTCCAGGCGCAATACACCAGCGAAGACAACGAGTCCTTCAACAAGCTGCTCGACAAGCAGAACGCCAAACGCCGCGAGAAACACGCCTGGCTCTGGGCCCAGAACAAGATCCCCTCCGCCCGCCAGATCGCCCACCGCCAGCGCGAGTCCCGCCGCATCGAGTCTTCCCCCTCCTCCTCCCACCAACTCGTCCCCATCAAAACAGACCTCGACGCCCGCCCCGCCGCCCCATCCACCTGGTCCGCCGCCCCAGACAACACCCTCATGTTCCCCCCATCCTCCATAGAGGACACCACCGAGACCGCCGCCCAGAAAGCCGCCGCCGCCTCGCGCGCCGGTCCCAAGCGCGTCGTCTACCACAACACCCGTCTCCCGGACCCCTCCACCACAACACACCCCACGACCCAGGCGCAGGCGCCGCCCCCCTCGCCCTCCGTCTCCGCCATCCAAGACGCCATCGCCGGGCGCCCGCGGCCCACGGCCTCCGAACCGGGGTGCGCAGCCGGCGAGACGCCGCGCGTAAACGGGTACGCCTTTGTCGACGAGGACGAGCCGGAACCGCCGGCCCCGTCGGGAGCAGCGGACGAGTACACCCCGACAGCAGACGACCTGCATCTTCTCGGCTCCGCAGACAAAACCCCCAACCCGTTCCAGATCCGCGACACCCGCCGCCGCGAGGCCCTGCACCACCGCATGGTTGACCGGGCGGCGCGCGCGAAGCGTGCCGAGCAGGCCGCGCGCGCGGTCAAGACGCCCGTGGCGACGCCGCGGTTTGCGAGTAGTCCGATGCTGGATTTTGGGCTGCGCCAGCGCCAGCGGACCCCTGCTGCGGCTGGGGCGGAGGGGAAGATGTTGACGCCGGCGGCGCAGAGGTTGTTGCAGCGGGTTGGGAGGACGCCGCGGGAAGGGGAGGGGGATTTGAAGAGGATGTGGACGCCGACGCCGCGGCGGAGGTGAGGTGAGGGTGCTTTTGTTGAATTTGGATTTGGGCTTGGGGTTAGCGTTTGATACCATGGGTATGGCGTTGGTGCATTACTATTACTACTTGAGTTAGGCTTAGAATAGAGGGCTTGAATAGCATGTCTTGTATTCGTTGTCGCTATGATTAGGGTATCTATCTACATCATGCTAAGCGTCCCCAGTATAGTGCAAGTGCAGGCAGTCAAACTAGAAGCAACGCAGTCAGCCATGCGGCGAGGGCAGCCACCGACGCCGACGTGCGTCCCGCCGCGTTCAGGAAATACGCCGCCCCCAGATAACTGCACGTAATGTCGCCGTTCGCGGGCCGCGTGCCGTACGACAGGTCCAGCCACCTGCCTGTGGGGCACGTGAACTGCAGGACAGACGGACAACGCTGGACAAGGGTGAAGCAGACGTCCTGGCAGGGGAGGATCTCCTTGTAGGGGCCCGGGCGGATGACCTCGTCGATGAGGGGGTTGCGCGAGCGGGTGTAGGCCGGGAGGGCGAGCTGGGAGTGGTTGGCGACGGCGGGGGCGGAGTGGTTGTCGAAGGCCTGGCCGACGTTGCGCGGGTGCAGGAAGTCGGCCGGGTTGGAGAAGTCGGCGCAGCGCGGGATGGTGACGGCGCAGAGCCACTGCTTGTAGGCGTGGGCGCAGTCGTCGCAGGTGGTGGCGAGAGAGTAGCGCGTCTCGTTGGAGGCGTTGCACTGCACCTGGGCGAGGGAGTAGGTGAAATTCTTGTAGAGGGCGGCGGCGTTGTCGTCGTAGATGCGGCGGATCTCGTCGAGGTCCTTGTGCGGGTTGGACGGGACCGCGTACGCGACCTCGGAGCAGAACGGGAGGTCGTACACGACCGCGCAGTTGTCCTCGGTTTTGGTGCTGAAGGTGCGCGGGAGGTAGACGGTGCCGCCGCCGCCGACGACGCCGTTGCCCGCGCTGGTGGTGTTGCCGTCTTTCGCGAGGATGCCCGTGTACGTCGACGTCTTGTTGAGCCCCGTGAGGTAGAACTGCTGCTTGGGCCGGTGGCCGATGCCCACGCGTGTCATGCTCGTTTTGATGTTCTGGTCGCCCTTGCCGATCTGCGCCAGCGTGTTGAGCGCGCAGTACGACCGCTGCAGCCCGTCGATTGCGCTGTCATTGACGTTGTTCGCGAACATGGTGAACGGCGGCGTCATGTCCATCAGCTCGCTCTCAGTCTGGAGCCCAAAGTCCGAGGCCGTCAGGTTGGCGGTGGTGAACAGCGCATTGTTGGTGTCCGAGTCGACGAAAAAGAGGTATCTCTCGTCCTTCACTTGGTGGAACAGGGCGTCGGTCGACGCCGCGATCTGATACGTGTAGGAGCCCGAGTACTCCGTGCTGTTGGGCGCCCAGACCCCGATGTACACATCTCCGTCGGCTTGCATCGTCACGTTGGCATACCCCTCCACCGCTGTGTAGACATCCTGCTTGGCACTGTCTCCGCCCGGACCGGGCTTTTGCAGGTCTGCGGACTTGGACACATACAGCTGCAGCTGCGGGAGGCTCTTCCCGTCCTTCGAAGTAGGTTTCGAACAGGCGGTTAGAGAGAGGTAGACCGAGCTCGACCGCTTGGAATGACTGTTGCCGGTTTGGCTCTCGGACTCATTCTTCCCATCCTTCGGGAAGTACCACCATTGAGTGACGCCTCGCTCGACGCCGCCATCCTGGTACTGATTGTTCCCCAGAGCAGTCACGCCGCTGGGAGCACGGCGGACAAGATCTAGGCCCCGCGCTTCCCCCGCGTCATCCACGACATCTTCGATGACCAGACCGTTGTATGAACTGAGAGCGAAAGACAGCTGGGGGTCGTCTGCGCCGAGAAACAGGGCGGTTGGGTCTTCCGAAGGCAAGGCCGGGAGGTCTGTGGCGGCGACGTAATGTGCGCTCAGAATAGCGAAAGCGACCACGTAGGCGAAGACAGTTGCGCTGACAGTTGCACCAAAGGGGCACTGCAGTATCGGGTTTTTAAGCCGCATAAGGAGCGTTAGTGGGAAACCCAGGAACGGAACTGACACGGCTCATGAGACGGTCAACATAGAGGGACACAACGTACTTCCTCTCACGGCGGAGTCCTGCCGAATCGTGAGGGAAGAAGGTCCAGAGAAGAGAAGAAGGAGAGAGTCATTCACGAAGCTGACGGCACTGATGTCGCCAACAACATGCATCCGCAGCGGAGGATCGGCGGTGTTGACTTTCTGCCTGGCGGAGTTCGGCTCCCGCTGCGCCACGTGGCTTGGACTTACTAAGGCTACTATTAATATGGTCTTACAATGTACATAAGTAGAGCATAGAGCACTGTAGACGCAATGCATTAAACCAATATATACGACACAAGATAATCACACATCCCACCCCTACACACCTCATACAAGCTTATAAAACCGAGCCGCAACCCCGCTGAGGATGATCACAGCAGCAATAACTCCAAGGATCCCAAACCACCATCCAAGGCCATCGGAATGCTGCCCAGGGACAGGCACGTTCATTCCAAACAAACCACAGATCAGGTTCATCGGGACCAACATCGTCGCAATGAGCGTCACCTTGCTCAGGACCTTGTTAACATGGTTGCCGAGAACCAGGTTGGTCACGTTCAGCTGGGCCAGGTAATTGGTGTGCGAGCGACTGAGCATCTTCTCGAAATGCGCAAGGTTCGACATCATCGTGACGACGTGGTCCTGGATATCACCAAGATAGAGGCCGATATCGCCGCGGGGTGTCACGGAATATTGCTCATTGCAGCGCTTGGAGAAGCCCCGAATGACATCGGCCTTGCCACCCAAAAGGCGCATCAGACTCATCACCTTCTTGCGTAGGCCACCAATCCGTGGCAAGAAGGACTCGAAATCGTCCATGCGAGCGATGAAGACCAGGTCCTCAATCGCCTCTGATTCAACTTCAATTTCCCGAATCACGGGGCCAAAACTGTCGACGATATCGTCACTGTTATCACATTAGTCTTGTCTTCTACCACATCCGAACGACCAACTTACATCATGGCGTAACAGATCCAGTCACTGCTCAAAGACACATAGTCGCGAAGCTTTCCAATTCTCCGCCGCACGTTCGCAGCGTGGGGATTCTCGGTGAAGGAGAACGACAGGACCCCATCCCGGAAAACCACCATGTAGAAATTCACCGGTTCCATAAATTGCTCGCTGCTCTTGTCCATTTGATAGAACGTACGGAAACAGACGAAATAGTACTGCTTGAACAGCTCCACTTTCTCTCGGGCTTCCTGAGTCAGGATATCTTCCGTCGTCAGAGGGTGAATGGAAAAGGCCCTTGAGAGCGCACCCACTTCGTCTTCAGTGGGATTCAAGACATCTAGCCACCACACACCTCCGTCGGGCCCCAGCTGAAAGAGGTCCCGGAAGGTGTCCCCCGGCAAGACTAGATCCCCCAAATCGGCAGCGTGCACGGTGCTCTGGGATTCGGATGAGAAGAAACCAAATCGGGTCGGCTCGTTCTCATTTTTCAGGTTATCCAATAATTCCTTGTCATTCATGACTTTCTCGTTCACTTTCGAGTCCAGCCCCAGGAAGTCGTCCGAGGAACGCTCGTCACTGGAGGACTGCTGCACATCCACGCCATCCGACTTCTGCGCTCCCGGACGGAGGTCGTAAAACACGCGCGGCTTCCGGCCTTGGGAGCTCAAGCTCTGCTTGCGCCGCGTGGTGGGCTTGGACTTTTGATTCAAAGCCACGAATTCTTCCAATTCCTCGTAGTCGATCACGGGAATCCTACCGGGCTGTTCGTAGGTCGGTACGCATACGTCGTCGTTAGCGTCTAGCTGGATGTCGCCCGGCTGAGGTCTGATGATGCTCGCATTGCTGAACGTAGGGCGGCGGGCGTGGGTGCCCCCTGACACGGTCCGTTGAAGGATCGCCTCCAAGTCCGGAGCGGCATGGCTTTCCAACGTGTTGGCGCGCTCGCGACGGCGTGGGTCTGCAAAAGCCTCTACCGAGTTCGGAGGCGATGTCGACCGAGCCGAAACAGAGGAAGCCCTCGAGACGGTGCCGATATCTTGATGGGTCCGGCTGAACGTACGCGTATGGCGCACGCCCGTCGGATCCACCGAGAGCCGCCGTCCGAGGCCATTGGGCTCGTCGACGGAGCGATCATCATCCACGACGGCTTGCTCGAAATCCCGAGAGAAGGAGCCCGCTTCGCGAAGGGCATTCTGAATCTGGAGCAGATCGGATCGCTGGGGAGTTTCCGCGGTAAAGCCGTGCTGGGCAGTATGCTGTCGACTGAGAGACATGTCCGGTGTAGCTTCAATGCGGGGAGGGTCTAAGTGGAAGCGATGGTCATCGAGTTCGGGAACTGGGGTGCTGAACCTGGTGAGGCACAGCTCCTTTTCGGATCTGGGCGACTCAGACATGACGACGAGGTGTATTTGGAATCGGAATCGGATCTAGGTTGTTGATCGATATATCAATCTTACTGCTGGCGACCTGCGAGCACGGTATCGAAGTAAAACTTTCTGCGTCTATTCTCTCGGAGAGACGACGAAGGATGAACAAGTCCCGGGGGTGATTGCTCCTCCATCCATCAGCCAGACCCCTCGCAAGGGCCTGGCATTACCGACGCGCGACCGTGTGCCAGCTTCGATGTTGCTGGGAAAACGAAGTCCCGTTAAGGGGGTCTGGTATCGCCCCCGCAGAAGACCCGGAACTTGGGGCCCAGAAGAGGGTGAAGGAAAGAGGACTGGCTGTAGCGAAGCCCCGCCAACTTGACTGAGTCGTGTGAAGAGAAGCGCTTTCGCTCCAGGGTTGTCAGGATAGACAATTGCAGGGGAGAGCCTTTTTGCGACGTCCCTGCAATTTCTTTCGAAGTAAAAAGTTCGGAGATCGGATCGGGCCCGGAAACGTGAGAAAAGGTGTGAAGGCGGTGTTGTGTACCGTCAATCGTCCAACCGAGTTCGCGAAAGTTGAAAGAAGGTCCAAGACGCCTGTAAGTCTGGACTGATGTGTCGAAATATAAGTGGCGAAGACCGTCTGCGGCCGGATGAGACGATGAAGATCAAACTCTGACAGGGTTGCAGAATGACCCAGATGCCGAGGTGATAGAGCGAGAACTCAGTTCACCGAGGGGTTCTTTGATCAACGACAGATAGTACAAGTTGATTGGATTGATGCGAAAGAATACAAAGAAAAAGAAGAATAACCAAAGGTGATTCACCTGGGGAGGTGAGTTGAGATGATGGACTCAAGGGAGGAGGAGAAGAGAAGAAGAAAATGGAAGAGGGTTTTAAGACTAAGAGTGAAAAAAAAAAAGCCAAAAAAAGAGGGGCGGACTGGGATTTCCGCTTGAGGGAAAAACATCAAACTGGGACCAAACGGTAAGGCAAAAGGCTAAACTAGCGCTAAAATCCCGGACAGCCATGAGGCCACCAGAGGGACAACCGGCGGAAAGGTCTCGAATCTACCGGGTACAATACGGAACGACTAGTCTGATGGATTCTAGAGGCGAGAGGAAGCCTAGGCTACCTTATATCGAAGTACGTAGAAGAGGCCTCCAATACAGAGTACGACTACTGACTACCTAGGTGGGTACATACTCCAGAGTCCCATCCGCATCTGTCGCTGGTTTCAGCAACGTCTCCCGAAGCTACCCATCGCCACTAGTTAGGGGATGACTATTATTAATAACACCCCTTATGTCTGATGCCAGATACTACAGGTTCATTACGATGTATGTCTAGACAAGTGCATACTCCGTGTGGTGATGATAGGTGAGTAATGCCTAGACACGAGGGCGGACAGACATGGCATGACATGCAGCGTGGGGGGAACAGTGACAAGTAACAACTAGTTAGTGGATGATTTAATCTCGCTCGCTCGAAACTTTGTTAGAGTTTGATTTATTCTACGAGCTGAACACAGAACCGATCACGGTGGCCAACTCGTCTCCCATTAGTCGCTAGTACACATATCATGCCCCTGATGGCTGTCTCTGACTGGTATCAGACCGGAACTCTGGCATTCCAATGAACTCTAGAGTAGAACCGGTTTATAAGACCATCTTGGTTGGCTAGAATGCTTCCTCCTGTTCATATCTACTGCAGCGCACCCGTAAAGGTGGGTGATTACCTAATAGTCCCCGAGGTCGGCCCGCACGGGGATTTTTTTTGGACAATATCAGTCATACCAGCAATCATAGACACGATTGACTCAACCTCAATAATAACACCCTTCATTCCTTCTCTTCAACCCTTCAATCGACCCCCTTCCAATTGGTCTTATCCAATTGGTTTTGTCGTCTTACGGTCCCCCTCTTTCCCTTCGCACCGCCCGCCATGGCCTCCTCCTTTGTTATCAAAACACCCTGTTCCTCTGCCAATATCGGCCCTGGCTTTGATGTGATCGGCCTGGCTTTGTCTCTCCACCTCGAAATCCACGTCACAGTTGACTCCTCCAAGTCCTCCTCGCAGCACCCGCTAAACTGCGTCATTACCTATGAGGACAAAAGCACCAACACCGAAGAGATTAGCCTCGATCCCGAGGTCAATCTGATCACCCGTGTAGCCCTATACGTACTTAGATGCCATGACCAAAGAGCCTTCCCCGTGGAGACCCGCGTGCATGTTATTAACCCCATCCCGCTGGGTCGCGGCCTGGGCTCGTCCGGCACGGCAGTCGTGGCCGGCGTGATGCTGGGGAATGAAGTCGGCCGTCTTGGTTTGAGCAAAGATCGGTTACTGGATTACTGCCTAATGATTGGTGAGTCAGTTGTCTTGGTTTGTTTCTAAACCCCTTCGGCTGATTCGACCATAAGAGCGGCACCCGGATAATGTTGCTGCCACCCTTTTCGGTGGTTTCGTTGGAACCTACCTGAACGAGCTGAAGCCGGAGGATGTTGCCCGTAAAGAGATTCCTCTGAGTGAGGTCCTCCCCGCCCCGGCTGGTGGCATCGATACCGGTAAACAGCCCCCAGAGCCTCCTCTTGGAATTGGTCATTATCGGAAATTCCCCTGGGCCAAGGAGATCAAGGCCATTGCAATCATCCCGGACTTTGAAGTGCCCACCGCCAATGCACGCAATGTCCTCCCCACCTCCTACTCCAGGGCAGACATCGTAGGTTTCCCTAGCCGGTAGCGGATTCATCGCGAGACCGTGAACTGACGTCAATCCCTGCAGGTCTTTAACCTACAACGCGCGGCTTTGCTTCCTGCAGCCTTGGGTACCTCCCCGCCTGACCCGGATATGATCTATCTCGCCATGCAGGACAAGATTCACCAGCCGTACCGGAAAACCCTGATCCCAGGCTTGACAGAGATCCTCCAATCCATGACCCCCAGCACACAGCCGGGTCTACTTGGAATCTGTCTGTCGGGTGCCGGACCAACTATCCTGGCCTTGGCCACAGAGCGGTTCGAAGAGATTGCGGACCGGATCATTGCCCGCTTTGCTTCGAACGGTATCTCGTGCCAGTGGAAGCTGCTCGAGCCCGCCCAGGAGGGCTCGACCGTGGAATATCTCTAAAATTCAGGTGTCTGTTGTTTTCTTTGATGCCCAGTCTACGGTTTAGAAAAGGATGTCGGAAGGTTGGATCAGGTGCCATATGGGCTTTGTGTACGGCCGGTTGATGATTATAGAATGATGCGTGCATACCTAAAGCTGGTCCATGACTGGCAGATTATATTTATATACCACACAAAATATTACGAATCTCTTATGCTCCTTTTCATTCCTTTTAATCATATAGTCGCAGGGGTATATACCCACCTGATACCACCACACATAAGTAGTATATACCGACATGACAAGATGCCACTATGTATGGACGACTCAAGACATAAATTGTGAAATAGAGTACGTGCAAAATTAATCCGCTAAATCTACAACCATCAAGATTTCCACGCCGCGTGTGTTTCAAAGTATCGATTTGTATACCCTGGAGAAATGACATAACCGATTTAGGCGGTCAGCCAAGACGACCTATCCGCCAGCGATCAACAACCCTCCACGCGACGAGACATCAACTCCCATCGCCAACCTTCAAAAACAGCGCATAGTCACCACAGTAAGCTATTCATCATGGATGATATCCTTGCGCCTATCCAAGATGCATTCGAGGGCCAGATCGTGAGTTTCCTCTCTGCTTCACAGACATCCAGCCACCTATACCTTTTACTACACCTGGCTGCATGGAACGACGCTAATCTACCAATTCGTTCATCTGAACAGGATTTCCACGGCCAGCGCATCGCCGAACTCCTCTCTACAGCTCTGTTGATCATATCAGGTGTAAGTCTTGGCTTCCCTTGGTGGATGTCCCAGGCTCTATGCTCGGATTGCTTACTTGACCATTGCCAGGTTGTCGCTTTCTTCGTCGGATACATCTACCAAGACATCCATCTTACCCTTTGGGTCGGCCTTGGTGGCACATTAATCACCGGTCTTGCTGTCATTCCTCCGTGGCCTATGTACAATAAGAACCCCGAGAAGTGGCTGGTCCCTGTTCCCGGGAGTGCGGGCGGCGCAGGAGTCGTGGTAGACGGGGTCAAAGTTGCATGAAACAAAATACAGATCTGTTCTTGGAGGTATCGATGCTCTAGTCCTTTGGGATCGACTCCTCCCGGTTTTCTACAGAATTCGCAAGTGCATGCGCGCCAAGAGTATTGTAGTGTATGATGGGGTAAAACGCAGAGAAAAGCACAAAAGACCCATGAACGCCATCCAGACCGGACCCTGCTGGTCTCATGAAAGCCTAGGAACATTGCATCAAACAAACAGTAATCCTCCGTACGATCTTCTAGAAACCCCCAATGAGCCATTGTTTACCGACCATACTTCTGGAACTCCCAGTCTCTGTTATCCAGGGGACACACTTGGCGGGTCTTCAGCCAACGAGATATACAGTGGAAATGGAACGCGTGCTGCATCGATTGACATCAACAGGTTAGCACTGAGCTTAAAAAAGCATGCCAGGGAAGGGGTTCACTCACATTACAGATTCCCCATGCCACCGTGCACTCTTCAGTGGTCGACGAGCCTTGGTTCGCTTGACATTCGATACCTGCATCGAGGATATTAGTTCCTGATTGTCGTGGCAGAGGGAGGGTGGCGTACAGAGATCCATGATGTGGTTACGGCAGATGGCGCAGTTGTCGACGACGATATCCCAAGCCCACAAAGCCACAGCGTTCCACTAGACGGAAATTCAGATTAGCTCGAGGAGTCCCTTCTAGATGGCTGTGTATACTCCGGAGTATAGTTACCTTCTTGACTTCAAACTTCTTCTTGCCATCACTGGCGCCTTCCGAAGACTTAGTCCCCTTTGCCTTGGAGGAAGATGCGGCAGCAGCTTCTTTCATTTCAACGTCGGCCATGGTTGTTTGCTTCAAGACCTGTCGTATTGGTTTTGTCGGGAGAGAATGGGATGGCACCCGTGAGTGGTCGCCTGTGATGCTCGGAAGAGGGGCACGGAGCGGTGAGATTACGTAGTTCCGATCGACGTGTGTGAGGGGACGTGGAAGAATGTGGAAAAGTCGACCAAATAGCAACAGGAAGAGGCGAAACTCGTCTTGGTTGGAGGAGAACGACGAATACGTTGCTGAGAGCAGCCGCCAAGGTTGATTGCGCCAACTCGACTTTGCTTTGTTTGCACCGATCAGGCTGAACGAGTGAAGTGGCGGAGAGGGGAGGAAGACGCCTAACAGCTGCGGAACCTCCTTAGTCATCGCCGATCCCCGCCCCAGCCTTCCTTAACCTCAACCTCACGCCCTTCCAACCATCTCCCTCCTCCATCATCTCCATATCTCAAATGTTGTCTACAATGCCCCTCACTATCAGTTCAGTTTCCTTCTCTCTTCGCGCCCCGATCTAGACGTGAGCATGCCTAGGAGTTCTGGATTCCTCTTCCCTCGACCTTTCTTTCAACGCTTGCAATAATAGACGAACCCTTCTTGACGCGGATTGTCGTCACTACTATCTGATCACGGATTGATCCGACTCATTTGATTTCTTCTTGCTTGTCACCTCTGATTACCAGCGTTACGATTTCAGTGGAGTCTGCTGGACAGTACATGAGCCATCTCCTTGCTACTACAGTTTGCTTGCACTCTACTCATATCTCTACTGTGGTTATTTCTTGACATCTTTCTGCTTTCTTTTTCCTTTTCTTTTCCCACTTTATTCAAGGCTGCCTATTTATTAAGCCGACCTGTCGCAATGTCGACCCAATCTCCTGCTCCTCCGACGCCGAAGCAAACCCGGGGCAACCGTCGCAACCAGAAGAGAAATACCACCCCGTCCACACAAAAGGTTGCTCTGCTCTCGACGCCTCCCTCATCTCCTCCGCGAAACCTGAGCCCTGGTGGAACAGCCACGGATTCATCGAACAATCCCAACGCTTCCAAAAAGAAGGGCGTTCGCTCCAACAAGAAGCCGCGCGAGGCGCCGAAGGCTTCCCCCGCTCAGCGGAACGGCCATCGCCACACGTCCTCGAACCCAAATAACGCTGCGATCCCTCAGATGAACAGCCCGCATTACGCCGGGCCCACTTTCCACGCTTCCCCAGCACCCTCTGCTCTTCCGATCCCAAGCTTCTTCTCCAAGTCCATGCCCGATTCTGAGGCTGCGCCGGTGCTAGAATCAGAAGGGGATAATTTTGATGGCGATCCTGAGCTTGAAACGACCCCTTCGAAGCCGAGGCAGCGCCCTCACTATGAGCCCGAGGGGCCGAAGTCCACTCCTCTCGATTTCCTTTTTAAAGCGGCTGTCGAGGCAAGGAATTCACAGCCACAACGGAGCCCCGAACCGAACATCCGTACCCGCTCTCCACACACAGATTCCAAAGCTCTGCCACAGCGGACGTCTGTCCGTCCTCCAAATGGCATGTTCCCTTTCGAAATGGAGACGCCCGAGACTCGCAACTCGCAGATCGGGCCGTCCTTCGCGCCGTCCTACAAGGATCGCATGAATGCTTTGCGTTCCTCCAATTCTCCCTCTCCGCAAGCAGCGGAACTTGATGAAAACCAACGACGGATGAAGACGGAGGCCTTGAAGAGCTTACTGCTCAACCCTCGACCTCAAAGACCCTCGGCGTCAACTTTGAACGGGACCCAGTCCGTTGACCGGTCGAACAGTAGCCCCAATGTGCCTCATTTTGCAACGCCGTTCAGGGCGACTACTGGACCACCACCTCCGTCTTCCCGCATGCCGTTAGAACATTATCACGCAAATGGACATCGTTCGCAATACCCCCAGCAAACATCACCTTATAATTCACCGATGGGGAAGGATGTGCGGCCAAATCCGGTAAACGGCCCCTACTCCACCCAGGGCGGGTATGACCAGGCGAAGTTTGCGAATCATCACCCCCAACGCCCCATGCATTCGCCTGCTCGCCACCCGTCACCTCCGTCCCGAAACGTGTCGGGCAGCCCGTCCACCAAGGGTCTCGATACGAAGAAGATGGAGGACGATTTACGAAGAATTTTGAAGCTTGATGTGAATCCGGGATTCCCCTCAAGCAGCATCCAGAGCTCGTACGCCTGAGATGCTCTAATTTGTCCTACATAATGCCGAACTGTTCTTTTTCATTCTCGGCTCGCCGCGTTACCCTGATCCTCAGTGGAATGCTCCTATCGTGTTTAATTGGGACCTCAACTCTCAACTTTCACCTAGTTATCGGCAGGGACTTTCACCAGTCCCTTTGCATTTACTGGCCGAGCGATTTTCTTGGGTTTGATCTATTCTTTGCTTCTTTTGTTATTATTTGCCTTCTCTATGCTATTTGATTTGGCTTGTTGCTCATGCTCTGTTTCGTTGGTGTTGCCTCCACGGTTCATGTTGGGATCGGTGTGATCTTGTCCTGGTTGACGGGTCTCTGTCCTCGGGCGGGATGTTTCTATACCCTCGGTTTGCATTGCACCTGGAGTCTGGTGGTCTTTCAGTGCTCACATGGAGTGTGTTGGTTTGGGTAAACTTGATGGCTGGGGCCGAGGATGGTGGCACTATATGGATGTCGAGTGTTTGCGTCTTTCTTTTTGTCTTTGTTTTGTTCGGTTCGTTCTTTTGGACCGCCAGCTTCAGGTTGTATGACTTGGATGGATATATCACTGCACGTTCTGCCGGATACCCGCTATGTCTACATGGTCGTTTCTGGTGGTCAGGCGGGGTTTGGTACTTCGGGTCTTCCTGAGTGCAGTTGATATTGTGCACTGGTGTGTTCATATTTGCAATCCTGTGTGTTAGTACATTCGTTAGAGCCTGTCACTCGTTCTTACGGAGTCTTCGTCCAGTCATTTCAGACTGCGGGCTCCGTGACATTGGCGCAATCATGATCTACGCTCGTTTGAACTTCTCATTGATCCCCAATGGCGGATTAGATCTGGAGGATGGCAAGGTTTCGAGATAACCATCGGAGCGTAAGCTTTGCTCGTGCATGTGGCTTTCAGCTGGCCCATCGGTATTGTGCCGGGCGAACGATACCAGAGGGGAATACTGGCGGTACCTGAATCCCACAGCCTTGGAAGTCCAGAACCCGAGTAGAAGGCCGATACTGACGGCGAGTGGCCGGCGGGCGTCCCCACTCTGTACTGCAAAATACGCGCCCGCTCGGTTAGGGCGCCACAACTCAGGAGAAGAAATCCATGGGTTTTCGGAGAATCGAGGACTTGATTTCTACAGAGTAAATTGGTTGATTGGAGGATAAGAATGCGTCACTGGTCCATGTTCAAACTGGCAGTAGAGAGATAGGAGCGAGAGAGGCGAGCAAGATTGACAGCGATAGCCGAACATGAGCGCGAGTGGACGTAGTTTAATTGAATGTCGATGATTATTAACGAGAACGCCACCGGTCAAATAACCACGATCGGGGAGATCCACTGCTGGCGGTAAGCCTCTTTAGCCCCGAAACCGCCCGCCAAACGGTGAGTAGGAGTAACTACTTAGTTAGATGGTGTGTATTGTTTCGATGGGTCCTCGTTGTTCTGGTTTTGGATCCTTGGTATTGGGAGAGATCTAGATAGATCTGGATTAGAGTTGTAAGAACCAGCTGAGTTGATGGGGATTATCTGGTACCGGGGACATTGTCCATGGATGGGCTAAAGATACTAAGAATATCCATGTACCCATGTTGTTTGTACAGGTACATAGTAAGATAGGGATGAGTACTTGATACATCCATATACCCAGGATACAGCCCTGTCCCACACACTTCATCTGGCGCACTGGCTGATTCAGGTGGTGTCCCTAGGTCCCTAGGTAGACTCCATTTCTACGGTGCTGTCACTTCGAGCGTCCACGTCAATGTGTGTTTCCGGATCTCTGGTCGTAAGGATCTGTTATCGTGCAACGATGTGAGGTCACGCTCCAGCCGATCCCTGGGAAAATGTCCCAGCCGCATGATATCATATGAGGCCAATGTCGGCGATGAGATGTTCTGCAGGCCGCATTTGTCGACAGTGTCTGGTAGCGGAAGGCAAGGAATGCGGGCATCGGGAAGATCCATGACAGAATCCGGTTATTTGTTGGGGTGGCGACGGGGGTTCTGTGGTTCAGTGCCTGGTGATGTGTTCTGTTGCGTACTGTAGAATCAGTAGGATCAGTAGAATCAGAAGTTGGTAGTTGAAGCTCATTGTACAGACTCTGTACTTGTACAGATACTTACGGTACAGCAATCCCTGGTTCCGGGCGCTTGCCCAGGGGGAATTCGGTCTTAATAATAATACAGAACCAACCAACCATGGTGGATGCCCCTTCATACTCTAATCTCCGTAGGAAAATAGAGAAAAAAGAAAGACGAAGAAAGAAACGGATCTTCATCATTCTTGCTGTCTGCTCCGGTCTGGTCTGCTTCTGTCCGTTTTCCTTCTTCTCCTTCTTTCCCCTCAGGCCGATTGAGATCATCTCCAACCCTCTTTCGACTTCTCCCATTTCACTCACTCACTCTACTACTACCTACTACTACCACCACTTCAGCGACTTTTAATTTCCCTTCCGCCCCTATATCCTCCCTCCCTCTCTTTCTCTCTTTCTCTCCATCTGCCTCCTTCTCCCTCCTTCGTTCGCAACCTTCCCCAACTAGTACTACCCACTTCTTTGGTCTCCCCTTGCAAAAATAAAAATCCCCCCAGTTCGCCTCCCTTCCTTCCCACCTTTCCCACCCGTCATTCATCTTTCCTCGACTCCGAGTCTGCAACGTCTTCGGGGGACTGCGATCACACCAAGAATTCCGATGAGCTGCCGTCGGCGCATCTAATCCCTCGGCGAGGAATCACTCACCCCAATCTTGCTTCTGTGCTTGTATATCGCGGCCGTGTTTTCACCATGGCCAACCCGTACGTCTTCCCCCTTCCCCTCCCCGGTCTGGTCTCTTCCCTTCAACAACGACCAAAGTTGACCCCCAAACAGCTTGAGTTCAGCATGGCGCTCTTTCTGGCACACGATGACTTCGTACGATCGCCATGCGTCCCACGACTCGCCTTATCGAACCGGTAAACATGTGCCGCTCAGTCAGAGTCGCCATGAGCCGCTCACCTCCATCGCGACCAGCGCCATTGAATCCCGTCCCGACCTCACGGATTCCTACGAAGATGACCACCCCAAGGGGTCGACGAGTTCCAATTCCAATGGCTGGACCGGCTCCCCCACGGGCATCGGCTCTCCCAATCGTCCCTACTCCCCCGGCATGCGATCGTACTCGTCCCAGAAGCGGCGGTCCACCGATCCCGGCACAGATGGCGCCCCGGAAATCCAAATGCAGAGTTTCCACGACGGAGCCCCTCCCCCGCCCCCCGTGGCCCATTCGTGGAGAAAGATCGAGCGGTGGCTGGAGGACAATTACGAGGAACTGTACGATAACCTCTGCGAAGGGTGTACGCAGAATGACATCAACGAATTGGAGCATGAACTGGACTGCAGCCTGCCACTGGAAGTGCGGGAATCGCTGATGGCCCACGACGGACAGGAGCGTCCCGGACTGCCGACAGGAGTGTTCTTCGGCTGTATGATCCTCGACTGTGAGGAGATTGTGCAAGAATGGAAGAACTGGAGGACCGTCAACGATGAGTATTTCGGCGTTCCCGGCATGCTCAACCCCCCTCCGCTCCCCAAGGCCACCGCAAGCTCCTCATCGGCCGCGCCGCCGCCCCAGGGTTCGAACCCGCTCTGGAGGCAAGATCTCCTGGAGCGACAGGACTCGCAGCCCCCCGGTGCCGTCCAGAAGGCTTACGTCCACCCGGCCTGGATCCCTCTCGCGCGGGACTGGGGTGGTAACTGCATTGCCGTGGACCTTGCCCCTGGGCCCGCCGGGAAATGGGGCCAAGTCATTATCTTCGGTCGGGATTACGATTGCAAGTATGTGATCGCACGGTCCTGGGCCTCCTTCCTCGCAATCTTCGCCGACGATATCTGCAGTGGCAAGGCCCATGTCGACGAAGACTCAAACGAGCTCAAGCTCTTGGAGTTCAAGTCCCAAGGGGTGGAGCCGCCCTACCTGGAGATCCTCCGCTGGCGGACTGATCAGAAATATGGCCGGAAGCCGCCACGCCGCAAGGCTCCGAATGGACTGGGCCTGAGTACGGGCAAATCGGGCAAGGAATCGCCGTATGGAAGTCCGACGCCGACCGAAGAACGCGGCCGATCGCCTCATCGCTTCCCCAACCGTGGATCTACGCAGAGCCCCAAGACCCAATTTGGCATGTCGAGTCCTCTGGCTCGGGTGACGGAGGAAGCCCCCAGTCCGGTGCATACCACAGCAGAGACGGGGCTGCCCGAAAGCCAGTCGAAAGGCGACGTCAACGAGACCTCCAGTGAAGACCTGATGGAGGTCGCGACGCCGCAGATCTCGGGCAAAGAGAACGAGGGTGTGCGCGAGAATGACGACCACAAACCGTCTGAAACAGAGAAAGCGCAAAAGCGCGAGTCAAATCCAGGTGCCGCCGGAAGCACGTTGGATACAGAGGTCTTGAGTGAGATGAAGAATGTCGCGATCTAGACCGATGTTTTTCGTCTGTCTTTCTGATCGGCGTCGGGCTTGTTTTTCCTTGTCTGGTTCTTTCCTTCACTGAAGTGTCCAAATGCCTACGTGCCGATGTATCTGGTTGAAGACTGTCCTGGACCACTTGTATAAATTCTTCCTTTAGCTACATGGTGTCTGCGGTGTGTTTTGTATGCAGTGAGAAGCCTTTGAGTTTTGCTTGGGATGGTCACTTGTGATCTGTTTTTGTTCACATTGCCTGTAACTTTATCTCAACGATCATGCAGCATTAATTCTTCGTCTTTATGCCTTAGTGTGTTTACCGCTCTTGGTGTAACAAGATGAGATACTCGTATGTACGTAATCGAAAATATAGTAGATTGCCGTTGCATTGGCTACAGCAGGGTATCTTGCAGTCCGATCCTTGGGCCTTGGATGGGCTATATCTCGGTACATTCAGGACGACACGATGATCACCGCTTAGCTTCTAATGCCATAATGCTGCGATGCCGCCGATTGTCGCCTAGAGATGGATGAATCAAGTTGAAGCTGTCACGACCAGGCATATGGTAGCCAGGTCTTTGGACGGTTGTCTCTGGCCTGTACGCCATCCGCACAACGGGAGTATTCTGCGAAATGAAGGCACACCACTCCTTCAGTCCCAGTCGTCATCATCGTCCTCATCGTTCCTGTTGTAGCGTGCGTTCCCGCTTCGAATCGCCCGACCCTTTGGGCGCGATCTCCCGCCCTCGTCGCTCTCCGCGTCCGACCCATCCGACCCGTCCTCTCCAGCCTTGAGCCGCGCCTGCATCAAGATCCCCTTGTACAGCAGCCTCTTTTCCAGCGTCGCCGTGCTGATGGCATCCATGCCGTCGCGGCCGCCAGACGCCAACCCCTCGAAGCCCAGCACGCGCTCGACGGCAATGCCATCCTTGAACCCGATCACGCACGGCAGCACGCGGATCTTCAACTTCTCCACGACAAACGGCGTGTTGCGGACGTCGACGCGCGCAAACCGCACCTCGTAGTGCGCCGCTGCCAGCTGCCGCATGTGCTCGTCCATCGTCGCGCACCGCGCAAAATCCGGGTGCGCAAAGTGCACCACACTCCGCTTCGTCTCTGTCGTCAGGTCCAGCAGCGCCTGGTCGCTGTTGAGCGTCGGGTAGCTGCTGTCTTGGAGGGTGCGGGTTGCCGCGCCGCCGTCGGGGCGGCCGTGGGTGTGTTTTGCGGAGGCGAGTTCGGCGTTCAGCTGTTCGAGGCGCTGGGCGCGGTAGGCTGAGTCGTCTTCGTTTTCGAGAGAGGCGAGCAGCGCGTCCACGTCTTCTTCGTCTGCGTCGTGGTCGTGGTCGCGGTCGCGGGCAGAGGGCTTTTGGTCGGCCATTGCGATGGTTTCAGGGGGAATTGGGTGTTGGGTGTGTTGCGTAAGACTGATGGAGCAATGGACGGAGTATGATGGGGTGTTGATGGAGAGAGAAAATCGGGATGGATTCCCCTCACCCCCGTCATTGTACCTGATCGGCGAATTAGTGAGCGCCGGTACCTGGTACACATTCACATTTCACAACCCCATTATTTTGAAGAATCTAGACGATATAGACGATACAGGTAATATATAGACCATATATCTAGACAACAGACAATACATAGATGACTTCTATTCTGGACAGGTGGTGGTGTACTCCGTAGTGGTAATAATGGTACGAACGGTACCAAACAGGAAAGATTGCCGCTTCCGGCCGCAAAAAGTTCCCATCCATTAATTGTACACTTTCTTTCTTTCTTTCTCTCTCCTAATCTCACTCTCTCACTCTCACTGTCTCTCTCCTTCACTTCCTTACTCTCCCTGTCTCTTCCTCCACGGGTCCATCCTCCTGGTCTACCTACATTCGTTGTGGATTGAATCCTCCCTCGGATTCTCCTTTTCGCTTCCGCCTTTCCTCCTTACAGTTGTTCTTTTTTTATCTTCCATCACAGCCCCGTCGACTTCTCCCTCCATCCCTCTCTCCCTCTCTCCCACCCTCCTCCGTTATTCTTACCCGGTAACCCTCAGAACCGTCATCATGGTGGAAGACAAAAAGACCGACGATTACACAATCGAAATGGACAAGATGGACCAGGGGAGCAAGAATTTCGAGGCCGCCGCGCCTCCTCCCCAGCCCCGGACTCCCCCAGCGGGCTCCATCTCCAACAACCCGATCTTGCCGGTGCTGGCATACTGCGGATCGTCCATTTTGATGACGGTGATGAACAAGTATGTTCTGTCGGGGCTGGATTTTAACCTCAACTTCTTCCTCCTTTGCGTTCAGGTACGTTGGATCCCGGTCGTCGTGGCAAATCAGGACTGACTCGGCTTTTCGATAGTCTATCGTTTGTATCGTCGCGATCCAGACTTGCAAGTCGTGTGGTCTGATTACTTACCGCGATTTCAGTGCCGATGAGGCCAGAAAATGTGCGTACACGCGTTCCATGTGTTTCCAGCTAAAGTATTCTTCGAGAAATGATCTGACAGCCGTGTTCAACAGGGTTCCCCATCACCTTGCTTCTCATTGGAATGATCTACACCGGTTCCAAGGCTCTCCAGTTCCTGTCTATCCCCGTGTACACCATCTTCAAGAACTTGACCATCATCCTCATTGCCTATGGAGAGGTGCTTTGGTTCGGTGGCTCCGTCACCGGTCTCACCCTCTTCTCTTTCGGCCTCATGGTCCTGAGTTCCATCATTGCCGCGTGGGCCGACATTAAGCACGCGGTTGAGTCGACCGGCGATGCCACCGCCAAAGTGTCGACCCTGAACGCCGGATACATCTGGATGCTGGTCAACTGTCTCTGCACCTCCTCCTACGTGCTGGGAATGCGCAAGCGCATCAAGTTGACCAACTTCAAGGATTTTGACAGTATGTATTTATCAACTTTTGTCAAGGACTTTCTAACTCAGCTCTAGCCATGTTCTACAACAACCTGCTGTCCATCCCCGTCCTGATTGTTCTGACTGGTCTGATGGAGGACTGGTCGTCGGCCAACATCACCCGCAACTTCCCCCCCGCCGATCGTAACAACATCATCTTTGCCATGATCCTCTCGGGCCTGTCATCCGTGTTCATTTCCTACACCTCCGCCTGGTGCGTCCGCGTGACCTCTTCGACCACGTACTCGATGGTGGGCGCTCTCAACAAGCTTCCCATCGCTCTGTCCGGCTTGATCTTCTTCGATGCTCCGGTCACCTTCCCCAGCGTTTCTGCCATTGTCGTCGGCTTCGTTAGCGGGATTGTGTATGCCGTGGCCAAAATCAAGCAGAACGCCAAGCCCAAGACGGGCGTCCTGCCCATGTCGAACCCGCCTGTCAGCGCCAGCAGCCAAAGCATGCGCGACTCTCTGCGGTCTTAGACTATAGATTGTGCCAGCTACGGTATCCTATGGCGCAACAAGGGGACACATTGATGTCGTCCTTAAACAAGGGCCTTGTCGGTCCGTGATACGTTGCAGCTGAGTAATTATAAGTCCGATGGACAATTGATCTTTGGCGGTGTTGGTGGCTTGCACTCGGCGCAACCTCCAGGACCATTGTTTGCTTTGTTACGATATTATCCGGATTCTATGCCTTGCCCGTCACGAACCTTTTCTTCTTTTTTCCGCGGCTCTCGCTGGCCTTCATTGCGGTGATCATGGTAATACTGGAGCGACATGTGATTTTGCTATGGATACAGGTATTTGCTTCCAGAGAAAAGCGAGGATGTTCTGGGTGTTGATTGTACATATGGATTTCTAGTCTAGTTTTTTAATAGTATAGAATTGGATGCCTCAGACATATGGAGTATTCATACTGTAACCTACTCCGTATAGATATGCCCATAAATGATGTACGGAGTCCATAGCAGCCGACGATCTGATTGGCCACCCGGGAAGAAAAAGTCCATCTCCGGAAACTCCATGCTGTACCTTTGCCTCCCATCCAGGTATTCTTCCAGACTGTCCAAACAGAACTCCATATAATCAATCGGAAATGCCCAAGTCCAAAAAAGCCCGCCTCCACGGCCCTCCCCCCGGAGCCGGCGGCGACGCCCCGCAGAAAAAGGCCCGCAAAATGCACACCTTTTCAAAGCTATCCACCAAGGCCGACGCAGCTCCAGCAACCAAACCGAAACACACGCCGCAGCAGCAGCAGCAACAGCGCCGGCCCATCGTGCCATTCGCAAAGAGGGATCGAATCCTGCTCGTGGGCGAGGGTGAGTACCGCGCAGTCCAGCCTAGCTAGCTACAGAGCGTACCGTATATGTATACTGATGTAATTGTAGGCGACTTTTCCTTTGCACGCTCGCTGGTCGAGCACCACGGCTGCCGCCACGTGCTGGCAACCTGCTACGATGCGCAGGACACTCTGTACGCAAAGTACCCGCAGGCCGAGGGGAACGTACGCGCCATCTGCGGACCCCGTCAGAACGAGGATACGGATCCAGCCCAAGACGAGCCTGCAACGACAACCTCCCCGCGCAAAAGCAGCAGCAGTCGCGTCCTCTTCTCCGTGGATGCGCGCAAACTCGGCACCCCGTCTGGCGGCGGCAGAGACGTGCGTGTGGGCTTTCCGCGCCGTCGGCGGCGCCGGCCCGCGTGGCTGGAGGCCAAATTGGCCAAGGAGGGACGGCTACCGTCTGTGCCGAAGGGTAGTGACGGGCCGTGGGACGTGATCTGTTTCAATTTCCCGCATGTGGGCGGGCTGTCGACGGATGTGAATCGGCAGGTGCGGGCGAACCAGGAGCTGCTTGTGGGGTTTTTTAAGGCGTGTGTGCCGTTGTTGTCTGCGAGGGTGGTGGAGGATGGTGGTGTTGATGAGGAGGAGTGGGAGTGGGAGGGGGGGAGTGAGGGTGAGGGTGAGAGTGGGAGTGAGGATGATGGGGGAGGGCAGCGGACGGAACCGGGGCAGATTCTGGTGAGCATGTTCGAGGGCGAGCCGTATACGCTCTGGAATATCAAGGATCTGGCGCGACATGCGGGTCTGCGGGTGGTGACGAGCTTCAGGTTTCCGTGGGCGTCCTACAAGGGGTATTCGCATGCGCGGACGGTGGGCGAGATTGAAGGGAAGCATGGAGGGCGAGGCGGCTGGCGCGGGGAGGACCGCGAGGCGAGGATGTATGTCTTTGAGATCAAGGATGATCACCCAGTGTCCAAAACCCCGTCGAAAGCTGGGAAGGGCAAGAAGAGACATGCATCGGACAGCGATGACAGTGACTAAATCCATTGCTAATGACATAGAGACTACATAATATAGACCTTCTTCATCTCGCTCTCGTCAAACACCTCGCCCGTCGTGGGATCCTTAACCTTGCCGGCTTCCACGCAGCCGACTTTCTTGCTCATCTCGAGTAAGCGTTGCTGGCCGTAGATCCGGCCGTTGGGCAACACGATCGGGTCGCTCTCGACGTAGCTCTTCGTGTGGTGCGCATACGGCATGTTGCGCGCCAGTTCGTTCAGCTCCGTCGAACAGATCGGGCATACGGACGTCGTCGTCGACAAAGAATTGGAGCTGGGTGATGTATACGCCGAGTGGCAGGAAGGCGTCTTGAGCGCTGACAGTCCAGCGGAGAGCGCGATATGCAGCAAAGGCCACGACGGTAGAGACAGGAGTTCGTGGTGCGTGCGGACAAAGAGGTCGGAAAGATGGTGCCATCGTTCAGGCGCATACATAGACTACATCAGTCAGTATGGGATGGGATAAGACGTTCGGTCGAGTCACCTTGTAAGGCTCTGCCTTGGTATCTTTGGGGAACGCAAGGAGTCCCGCCGCACGGTGGATCTCAGCAGACTGCGTCTCGATGAAAGGCGTCAGATATTTCCTTGCGTGTGCTCGCGCTTCCACGAGCTTCCCTTTATCCCCCGTCCGGATCATTTCGATGTACTGTTGTAATCGCAATTCAAACTCCAAGTTGTACTGCATGAAGTCAGTATCTGTTTCAGAGGAACCAAGATCGTACCGACCTGGCTCTTCCTGAGCGCTGCCTTATTCTCATTACACCACTGCAGCGCATCCTTCGTCTCGCCGCGCCGTAGACTCTCCGCAATCCGCTGGCACTGTATAAAGACGTTGAGGTCGACCAGATCCTCGATATCCTTCTCCTGCGCCAGCTGCTGCGCGCTCTCGGTATACCCCGACCGCAGCATCTGGTCAACTATAAGCCGGTCCAGCCGGATCCTCGACCACTGGTCGTACTTGACGTCCGCCAAACTGGGTATATGGTGCAGACACTCCAGATGCTGGATGCGTTTCCGCGACTGCGCGTGGATCTTCTTCTCCTCCTGCTGGAGGTTCTCCATTTTCCGTTTGAGACCCTGCATCCGGGAGATCATCGCATCGAGCGCGGCGAGCGTCTGGTCGGGCGTCTGACTCTGCGAGAGGGACGCATTGGCGGTTTCCTTCAGTGCGGGGAGCACGTATTCTTTCTCGCGCTCCACGAGCCGTTGTACCGACTTGAAATTCCTCCGTGCGAGCTCGTGCGGCAGTCGAAGAAGGGGTTGGTCCTGGTTGATTACCGGTCAGTCAGGCGTCTCTATGGGTGTCTGGGAGAGGGGGAGTACCAAAAGAAGGTGATTCTCCGCATTAAGTTTCGTCGAGGTGAGTTCCGCAGCCATGATGGCCGGATGGATGCAGCGGTGCGTAACAAGAGGTATGTGAATAGAAGGCTGGGTCTACCAGAGCAGTAGTCGAGGTCGTGTAGAAGATGTGTCAGGTTGAAGCGAATCGGCGGTGGCGGAGGTCGCCAAATGCGGAGAAGTCACGACACCTGCCCGCATTACTGTGTACTACCTACTATATGTTCACTCCAAGTATAGCAGAATTATTCTATTCATTGCTGCAATTAAAACACGAAACCAATAACGCAGTAAATTGTTCTCCCTTTTCAGCCCAAGACTCCAGTAAATACGTCAAAGAAAATGAAAATGACCAGGCATATATGGTACAGGAATCACGCCCAGGCAGTGCTCCCACAAGCAACGACACAGAAGCGCCGCACAATTCGCCGAAACGGAACCGCTTCTCATTCAGTAGAAGAGCCAGCCAACGGACTTCCTGGACGCGTCTAATCGCTGTCCTCGTCGCTCTCCTCCTTCTCCTGCTTCGACTTGCGCCGCTCCTTCTTTTCCTTCTTCTCCTTCTTCTTCTTCTTGCGCTCGGCCCGCTCTTCGGCCGTTTCGCCCTCGTGGCGCTTGCGCTTCTTCTTGTCATCATCCTCGTCCACTTCCATCTTCGCTGGGGACGACGGGGTCTCGGTCTCGGGGGCTTCCTCCTTGGGAGCCTCGGCGGGCTGCGCCGAGCCGTCCTCGGGCAGGCTGTAGTCCTTGTAGTCGCTCTTCCACTTGGCAGGGGTAGCCTCGTTGGCATGGCCGTATTTCTACATTTGTCAGTCAATCTATTCATGTGAGACACTTTCGACGGGCTTAGGACACTCACGTCGAGCTTGCCGGCAGACTTGAGCTTCTTCTTCTCCAGAGCAACCGGGCCCAGACCCCATCGGCGGGGGTACAGGTCACGCTCCATGATGCAGCGCTTGACCTTGGCGACAACACCGTGGTCGCAGGTGGTCAGCTCAACGGTGGACATCTGAGCGATACCGATGGCGATGGCCTCGCCCTTGGTGGTCATCAGGACAACCTCCTCGTTGACATCAATTCCAGCCTCTGCACCCCGTTAGCGGCGGTCCATCTTGAACAAGTATAACAGACACTTACCAAAACGCAGGAGACCGGGAATCATGAGCTTGGCACCGTAGCACACGGCGTTGACCGCGCTGTCCTTGACGACAATACGCTTGTAGCCGGTGAGGAGGGTCTCCAGGGGTCTGATGACGCGACGCAGGTACGACTCATCGCGCTGGTTGTCGTACATCCACTGCGCATCCATAACGTCATGGAGGGTCACCATGCCGCTGTTCTCGTCCATAGCTCCACTGCGCACACGGCGGAGCTCCTGCATGTGGGCACCCACACCCAGCAGAAGACCCAGGTGCACACACAGAGTACGGATATACGTGCCGGCCTCGCAGCTCACCCAGAAAACACCGAGGTGTCTCTCGTTGTCGAACTCGTAGAGCTTGCTCTCGTGGGATGGTACGGATACGGAGCTGACGCTTGACGGCGGAGATCAAAGGCGGGCGTTGGAACAGGGCACCAGTCAGAGTCTCCAGGGCTCTGCGGAACTGGGCCTCTCCACCGGGAATCTTGTCATGGAGACGGATCACGCACACGTACTCCTTTCCGGCGCCCTGCTGCGACTTCACCAGGCGGGTGGCGCGGTCAATGCAGACGATCAGGCAACCCGTGACCTTGGGGTCGAGAGTACCACTGTGACCGGTCTTTTCGGCCCTTCACACGAATCACTTTAGTGTCTATCCTAACGTCGGGGTCGATGCGGTATTTACCTCAGAATGCGCTTCATCCAAGCGACAACCTCGTGACTGGACGGGTTGGAGGGCTTGTCCAGGTTGATCACACCAGAGTTGATGTAGGACTTCAAGTCACGCTTGAGAGGCGAGCAACCGGCGGGGATCGGGGTGAAATGACCAGTTCTAACAAGGACTATCCAGAGCAAATTGACATTAGCATGGACTTCACACTGGATATTGAATGTCTTCGTTTTGTCCTCTTGGGGGGATGACAAGACGACGATAGGACAACATACGCTTGTCATAATTTTTCAACAGGAGCGGCCACTCGGAGGTGGAAATGCTGGAAGTGCCAGCCTCGGGCTTAATTGTGTAGTCCATGGTGTCTTTGGTCACTGCAGACGCCATTGTGAAGAATCCGGCTGGAGAGACGCAGTGTGGCCAGGCGAGAGCGCGTTTGCAGAGATCGCAGGAAATTTGCTCTGGCGCTAGCGAAGGTCCTGGGAATTTTTTTTGGCGGTGCGCTCCATCGCCTGTTTGGGTTTAGCGTCCGCTACCATATCAGTCACGTGTTGGTTATGTAAGCTATCATGCAACAGCGGCTAAGACATCTACATAGGTACACTCTGATGGTAAAGTCACTGTATTCGTATCTACGACACGTTCAAGCTAGAAAATAGATACTGCCCACACAAATCCTGCAGAGCACTTATCCCCTCTCCTCCATATCCATCCTAAATACATGTCTAACCACCCAATCTTCTCCCCGGTCCACGTTGGCTCCAAGTGCCCTGGAAGGACGATGTCCATCCTCCTGACGAGCCTCCTGAAGAGCCTCGGTCGGGGTTGGACGGCCGATAGGCAGTGCCATAGGTTCGATATTCGGCCCGATCGCCAGTGGTGAACCACCGCCTCACAAAGGACGGCGTGGTAATATAATTCCGACCACCACCGAACGTAGGGTAGAGACGGGTGAGGAAGTCATACATGTGGGCGGCCACAATCCCCATGGCTTCTTGCTGGGCGGCAGGCCAGCCATGCATCACCAGAGTGAAGGCCAGCATCGCCCATGGCAGGAACTCGATGGGCATTCGGATCACGAAGAAGGACGCCTTCGTCCCACGGTTGTCCTGGGCGAACGTGTATACAAAGGCAAGGATCAAGGCTACTCCGGGTTAGTTTGAGGACTAGGACGGCCATGCTGTGCCATGCTCACCATGAAGGAAGAACACTCCATTGAAGACGCAACCTGCGGTGAGCTTCGGCTTGTCAGCATGATTTAGTCCAGTCAAAGGTAAGGCTACTCCAGGAGCTAGTTGGATGCACGGATTATGTGAACGCCAGTATATTGAACTAATAACAGACATGGGATAGGAAGTTGAATGTAGGGCGCCATAACCACCGACGTGAATAAGGATCACGCCGGCTATCTCAAAGGACATCCCACCATTCCTGCAACGCGAACAGCCCTTTTAAGGATCAACTGAGTAGGCACTGCCGAGATGCAGGGGTGATCTCCCTCGTTTCCAGGAACCGCTGCAGCTAGAAAAAGGCTGGGCGGGCAGATATGCGAGGTTTGGAGTGAAGCATGGGGGATTGAACGTTTTACGCAAGGAGATGCTAGACCGAGATCTGCCAGGACTTACCAAAATCACCGAGGCTACAAAAATCACGTATGTGAAGAAATCACCAGGGCCAGTGAACCGGGGCGAGCCGGTCTCCAGGCGGCTGCTGTAGGTGTACACTGGTAGTACGTTAGCACCACCGCTTCCACAGACCTAGCAGAGGTCCGTACAGAAATAGAGGTCGAAAATAAACGAGATCTGCGGCCGAGTCAGGAAGAAAGGCGTCGCCAGTCGCCAAACTTGCGGCAGCAATTTGAAAATGACTCTTGGCAGAAACGCAACATGATACGCGCTGAGAAGGCCACCATAGATTAAAGCAGACTGGCAGAAGGTAAGTAGAGTGAGAGTCCTATCCAATGATTAGTCCATGGCACACAAAATGAGGGGTTGGGTGGAAGTACCTCGCCACAGGAGGAGCAGACCAGAAGAGGTCCATGATTGCAGATAGATGGCAGTCGATTGAGCAATCAGACTTCCTGCTACTGTGTAATATCGGTTAAGTATGTTTGCAGGTGACAGACAGCACACATTCTGCAGCGTCAGCCTGAACCAATTCGTATCCACGATGGGTGGTTGTGGAAGAGAAGGAAGAAGAAAAGAAAGGAAAGCGATGAGAGAAATAAAAACGTGTGCATCCACTAGCTCGGGACGCGAGAATAGATTTTCCGTTCCGGTGAGACTTGCTTGGCGGTGCCTATGGTACTCCGTGGATTGTGGATAGTAGATACTGTCTTTCCTCCTTTTTTTTAAGAAATTTGGGTAAAATGATTCATGTGGAGTTGGGCTTATGCTTGGTCTCTCTCTACATACCTCAGATATGCATAGTTAGGGTGGGGTGTAAGTCCCTGTGGTAGCATTGCGAGCTATATATTTCGTCGCGGAGCATGTATAACACTGCAGTCTTTTATGCAAGCGATTAAGACGTCGACTACCTATTCCCAGTATGACATATACAGCAATAACTAAACTACCCGGGAAAGCGACTTATACAAGTATCATTATATTAGCATCTACAGACAAGAGACACAAAGTCTTTTGTCCAAGGCTATGTTCACCTGGAAGCAGCCCAAGACAGCTTGGTTATATACACGCATCTCTCTAAATATCATGGCCTTGATCATGCCCTCTATAAAGCATGCGCCTCAGCAGTGCCCCGTACTGCCAGGCCCCCATTACTGCCTTCGATCCATACGTCCCATACCGGTCCATCCCTGCCAGATTTCTGCTTGCCGCAAATCGTCAGACGTTCGTCCACATAGAGAGGCGAGAGATTCCTGTATTGTATGTCTCTCACTCCTCGGTTGGATTTGAGCAGATGAGTCTGCAGAGCGGTAAGTAACAGGGTCAGAGTCAACGGCCCATGCACGAGAAGGTTTCGATAGCCTTCCACGTTCTGCGTGTAGCCTGGATCGAGGTGGATCAAGTGAGCATTGAATGTGAGCGCCGAGAACCGGAATAACATCGCCCTGCTGGGGGTAAGGGTATGGCGGAAGTCTGGATCGGCGGGTGCTTTTCCGTAAACCTGTCAGCATATATTGTATGTCCGTCACCCGGATTGAGCATGCGCACGCTTGATTGCCCTCTGATCCTTTTTGAAATTCGCCCTATCCTGGTCCAGTTGGTCCAGGGTCTTTTCCCGCATGAAGACCAGGTCTCTGTTCTCGATAATCGCCGAGTGTCCGAAGTCTGACTCGTCCGCCCTCCAGATACGGTCGAGAATGCTGCTCTCTCCCTCATCTTCCTGAACAGCACCCATGCGCCGTTCAATCCGGACGATCACCTTTTCTTCGCCCTCCCGGCCTTTCACAGTCACATCGCGGATGGATTCGATGCAGACCGCGCGGCTGCCGTTCAGGACGAGCCCGCCCGCGGGGGCGAAGGCTGCCCGTCCACCACCCCATAGTCGCCTGTTGAACGGGTGTCCCGGGGTGTGGAGAGTATCGGTGCCATCCGGAAGCAATTGGGACAGGGTGACCTGAGGAGGGAAGTAAACGAGGTGGTGACCTGGTGGCAGACGCGACGCGCTGCTCACTGACGGTAGCACCGTAGAGGTTCCTGACTGCGTGTTCGAAGACTTGAGCAGATCACGTACGGTGAGATCTAACAGATGCGACGGCTGAGGGTGCAGATAGTCGAACGACCAGGGGATCTGGCGGGACGTCAACTCCCGATGGACTCGTTCGGCAAATGCAGAAAATCCCCGCAATGGAATCTTGATCGGAATCGGAGCTGGGGCACCCAGCCCGGCGCGCAAAGACCGGGCGCTCAACCTCATTGACAACCCCATAGACTAGCGATGGAACCTCCAGGTCTCTACCTGGCTACCTAGTAAGCCATCGGTAATGCGGAGTGGAATAGTGCCGGGTTCCTAGATCGGAGTCTGCAGCATCTCCACCATCCATTATTCGATCGATCTGTTTGCGCTGTTTGTCCGGGAGGATCTACACCGACTCAGGCAGGGGGGTAAAAAGTTTCCCAGGAACTCTTCTTGCATTCAGATGTCTCAGGGCGTCCGAGGAATCATGGAGCTTGTCAGTACAACATTCCTGGGCCCGATCGCCTCATTTTCCCATCAGGTTCGGAGACTCTCCCTCCCCCACCGCCGCTCTCATAACGTCATTAATTGAATCCCCCCAGGCGGCGGTTGAAGCCTTTGGAACCTCGGCTAAGCTGTTCCCCCGGCCCTCGTTTGCAGACGCCTTCGCTGCGGTGCAACAGCAAGACGCAGACTATGCGATCGTGCCCGTCGAGAACTCAACCAATGGTTCGGTCGTGCAGACCCTCGACCTCCTCGCAGACCCGGACGGCGCCTATCAGGATGTCCAAGTATGCGGGGAGCACTACCTGACCGTGCACCATTGCCTCCTGGCCCGGAAGGGGGTCATCCCCGCGGGCGAAAAAGACTATAGCGCCATCACCAAACTCTACACACACCCGCAGGCCTGGGGCCAGTGCGAGATCTTCCTCCGGAAGCACTTCAAGGGCGTCGAGCGCCAAGACGTGTCGTCGACGTCCAAGGGCGCCGAAATCGTCGCGAAGGAAACCGACGAGCCTAGCGCCGCCATCGCGAGTCGCTTCGCCGCCGAGACCCACGGCCTGGAGGTCGTGGAAGAGAACATCGAGGACACCGCCAACAACACAACGCGCTTCCTGGTGCTCCGCAATATCCAATCAAACCGGACGAGCCAGCGGTCCTTTGATGATATCCGCGCGTCCCAGGCAGCGAGTCCCGGCCCCCAGGCCAAACACAAGACGCTGATCACCTTCATGCTGCGCGAAGATGCCCCCGGCGCTCTGGCGGACGCGCTGTTGGTTTTCAAGCAGCACGGCCTGAATCTCACCAGTATCAACTCGAGGCCCAGCCAGAAGGTGAATTGGAAATATATTTTCTTGGTCGAATGCCAAGGGGTGTCATCTGATAACGACGACGCCGCCGGGAGGGTTGTCGCCGATTTGCAGCGAGTCGCGGAAGCTTGTCGATACTGGGGCACCTGGACGAACCGGCTCCCGTCTGTTGATCAGTGAGGGCCCGGCAAATATAAAATAGGATATGAGGTACCGCGTTGGACCTTGTTATATAGAAGAAAGCCTTCAGACCTGTTGAGAAGGCTACGACGGAATACGAAGACCATCAATGAGACCTGCTTCTGTGTCTACGAGAACGACTGGGACGAAGTTCCAAAAGCAACGTCAATGTCTGGTTTGGATAGAAAGAGTGAATAGAGAATAATAGAAATAGCAAACGAAAAACCTCAGCATTGAACCAAAGTGTAACAGTCTAATCCGCCAGCCCAAGGTGATGACTTGGGAGACAATCCTTAAGGGCATTACGGACTATATAGAAATCCACCATACATTTTGCCATTCGTACCTCGTGTCAATCTAGCAGCTCTAGATGACCTCAGTGACCATGTTACGGAGCTTGGATGGCCCTATCGATAATCCTGTTAATCATCGATCTGGCAGATTGATAGACGAGACCTACCATTGTACAGCATCACGGAGCTTGGTCTAGCAGCGTCATGGCAAACACTGATGCCACGAGTTGTGCTTGGAGAGCCGCCTCCACGATTCATAGGGCGAGCCGTCAAAAGACCCACGTGGGGAACTTCTGGCCTTTCATCCTCGCTCTCTGCGAGGCCGCTGAACCGTCAATCTGTACAAGCAATTAGTCCCGAACAAAGAACATAAAGGGTTCACACGTAGATGTACCGTCGTAAAATTCATCATCGTCGCTGTAGTCGGCAAGCTGTTCGAAATTGACCTTGTACCGGAGGATGGCTCCGATACCACCGAAGCCCTTCACGAACTGGTTTCCTTCGCTGGACTTATCGGAGACAAACTCCAACGTGGCACCAAAGTCCTTGTAGTTCTCCGCCAGCCACTCGAGGAACGAGGTCTGGTCGACCACTTCCATCTCGGCGCCGGTTTCCTTGTCGGTGAACAGTTCGCGGTTCTCCTCTTGGGCCTTGGTAGTATGGATGACCACCTCGGCGTCGGTCGAGGACTTGAGCACCCACCGCGTGACATCCAGGTTCTCGTAGACGATGAGAGTCTCAGCGGCACCGAGCTCCAGGGCCTTGAGCGTATCCTCAATACCGTAGCAGACCTTGCCGGTATCCTGACTGATCTCCTGGAAGTACGTGCCGATGAGCTTCTTCTCCTGAACGAACTTGACGTTGCTGAGAGTCTCCGAGGCCAGTTCGATGGCCTGGTTGAAGCCGTTCTCTCCTCCATAGGAGACGTCGACCACCTTGATGACCTTGGACTGCAGACGCTGGTCGAACATGTCGGACTGGTTCAGGTCGTTCTTGAAATCGGCGGAACCAGCCAAGATCAAACCAGCCACGTTGATCTTGTCGTTGGTAATGAAGTTCTGCACCGCCAGCTCGGCGATCTTCCGGACGTAGTTGTGACGTTTCTCCTCACGAAGACGAGCGAAACGAAGGGCGGACTGACCACCACGACCGTGCTTCTTGGGAAGATCGACGCTCAACTTCTGCAGGACTTCTCTGGTGTTTCCGCTCAGCGTACCAAAGAGGGCACCGTTACCGTCCATGACGATGAAGCCGAATTTCTGGTCGGATTCGAGGAGTTCGCTCAGGGCCTCGGTGTGGAACTTGTTGTCACACAGATAGAGGGAGGTGTTGATGGGCTTGAACGGCTCGAAATCGATGTTAATCTTCCGTTCTTTCCCTTCCGACGTGATGATTTCACCACAGTAGACGACCAGGCCATTTGGAGGGACCTTGTTGTAGAGCTTCAGGCGCTGCTGTGTGGAGGTAATGGCGGACAAGACCGACAGACGGTTGACACGGGACTTGATGTTGGAAGCGGTACCCTGTCGGGGGGCGTTAGTAACGATGCGATCTTTCCCGATGAGCTGGAAGGACATACGAATTCTTCCGCCAACATCTTCGCCGCCCGAGATACCTGATCTTTGGGAGCTGCAGGTCCGAGAGTTAGCGACTATGACCGAGCATATGGCGACGAAGGAGGGACGCACGGATGATGAGAGAAATCATGGAGGTTCCATTGCCTCTAGCGGCCTCAAGGCGCTTGATCAACTTCTTCACCTTCCATATCTCAATGTTCTTTTCCGCTTCGTTCGCCTGTGCCGCGCTCATGGTGGGCGAGGCGACGGTATTCGACGACCACGGGAGAAAAGACTAAATGGGGGGTTGCCGGTGCTGTGGACGGACTATTAGTACGGAGTATGCTGGGGAGAAAGCAACGTGGGGAGGGAGAAAGCTGGGAAGATCAGGAAAGTTCTGCAAATAGAACCAGCAGACACTGGAATCAAGGGAAGCCCGACGTACCTTGAGGCTCGCGCGTTGCCGTCCAAGTCCAGCGGGGATGTTCAGCAAATTTCATCAGGCACCGTGGGGGGCCCGTGAAAGGACCGGCGGTCGCCTGTGTCGGATGACATAAGCCCTGCTTCGCCCTCTTTTTTTTCCCCGCCGCGTTGCGTGTGTAAGGTTTCAATCTGCAGCAGGAAGCGTATGAAAAATTACAGAGTAATATCAGCTACTCTATACCTCTGCCTGATATACCTATTCGAGATTGCTGAGGACGGTGGAAATCTCTACGTTACATACATTGGAGTTCTCACACCCGTTGACCGCACAATTCCGATCGCTTCTCGTCCAAGTGTTAACTGCAGGTCTGTTTTGTGTCTTGAGCAGTTCAGCGGTCGAGACTCGAGATGGGCCCTCAGATCCATACTGAGTTCTACCTACTACGAGAGACGCTCGTCTACCTAGATGCAACCTGTAGCTTCTCGTCCTTTTTATCCATCTATTCCATTTCGTCTTTAAAAGAATCCAAGTATTTCCATGGATGATACAAAGTCTGTCGGGCCGCATCCCAGGAACTCACAGTAACGAATGGGTGAGTCAGCCAACACATAAGCATGAGATTCCCTTTCTGTAACATGAATCCCATCTTCTTCAGAGTACCTACATGCGCCGTACATAAACCCCCTTCCACAAACCGGGCAGAGGCCTTACGGGTTACCAATGCGAACGGCTCAGGATGGGCTTATCAGTCGCAGCGGGGATCAACTGGCACCGACCCCACTTCGACTCTATCTAGATCCATCCGTCTTCGCTCGTTGCTTCTCCTGGAGACTCACGCGCTTGTTTATTCCATCGAAATTATTCTTATTAGGTACTCCTCTCGCCTGATCCTTATCTTCTCTGGACCATACCGTCTACATGGTCTCCTATAAATCCGGGAATTGACGGCACAATCCTCTGTCGGCCTCCTTGCGCTCGGTGGAGAGAGACTAGCTCTGTCTTGGGAAAGCACGTCCTCTCAACAACCGCTCCCGGCTCGCCACCAGCAAAGCTTTAACCCCCGGTAATCGGGTAAACAAAGCGAAAACTTTTCGCCCTGTCGACGTTGCTTTCGATTTTTCTTGGTGTCGGTCTATCGCCTCCGGTTGTCGACAAGACAAAGAAGTGATCATGCTGGGATATTCGGACGACGAGGCAGAGTTCGAAGGTCTGGAAAACCATGGATCTACGACTCAAGGTTTGAGGATTCCGGATTCTTCGCACTTTACCTCCTCCATCTATCCCCGGGGGAACTCTGTCGGCTCGACCGGTTATGCGGCGCCGGATCTGGATCTCCAACGGTCGAGGTAAGCCTCCGCGAGTTGATGAAGGGGAACAGTATTGATTGTTTCACTTAGATCGGCCTCCTTCTCTGTTCGATTCCGAGAGGCTGGCGGTGTCAACAGCATCAACAATTTTGCGCGCTCGTGGCAACGGGCGGCCGCATTCCCCGAAGTCATTCCCCGTCGCTCTTCCTTCGTAGCGGTTGATTCGGACGATGATCTTGCCACCTCGCCAGGTGTCCAGCCTGGTCGGAGCTCGCGAGTGCACAGTCAAGATGCGGATCTAGAACGGCCGCTACTTGGTCCATATGGACAGACTTCCGATGAACATGGTCCAGATGATCAGGGACACTCGAAAAAGGGATTTCCAGCCTCGAGTATTCTAGGTTCGTCGTTCGATAGAAGCCTGGGGGCGTCATACGGCACAATATCCTCGCGTGTCAGCGAGTCAGCTCGCAGACATGCCATACAGTTTCACCGAGAACACCAGGCGCTGGCAGATGCACCGATTGACAGTGATGCGGAGCCTCTCCTCGTCAAACAAGTCCAGCATGAGGACGGTACACGAGAGAATATTGTGATCGGCCAATCTACTGTACCACAGACAATTTTCAACTCCGTCAACGTCCTCATCGGGGTTGGACTCCTAAGTCTGCCGCTAGCCATGAAACAAGCCGGATGGCTCCTTGGCCTTTTGTTTCTGTTCTTTGCCGCCGTCACAACCTCTTATACCGCCAAAATCCTGGCCAAGTGTTTGGATGTTGACCGGAGTCTCGTTACTTATGCTGATCTGGCGTACATCAGCTTCGGCCATCATGCGCGCTTAGTGATAAGCTTGCTATTCTGCTTGGAACTCGTCGGGGCATGTGTCGCCCTGGTGGTTCTCTTTGCCGACAGCTTACATGTACTTGTACCCGGGTTGAGCATCTTTCAGTGGAAGATGATTTGCGGGGCGATGCTCATTCCACTCAACTTTGTACCTCTTCGTTTTTTGAGCGTGACCAGTATATTAGGAATTCTTTCTTGTACATCCAGTATGTCTCTTCTCCCTGGACACGCCAACCGAGTTGTCAACGCTGACTTCTATAGTTGTCTTATTAACATTCATTGACGGGCTTATTAAACCCGACGCCCCGGGCTCACTTCTTCAGCCCTCGCGGACATATTTGTTTCCCGACAGCTGGAGCACTGTTCCGCTTAGTTTCGGGTTGATCATGTGTAAGTCCATGTTCGAGATAAGGATACCGGAGTACTTGAATTGCTGATACTCCCAAAGCACCATGGGGAGGTCACGGAGTATTTCCCAACATCTATAAGGACATGAGGCATCCACACAAGTATGGGAAAAGCTTGTGGGTAACATATCTTTTCACGGTAAGTAGAGCAATCATTCTACACCAAATGCATCATCGCTTTTCTCACATTATCTACACTAGTACTCTCTTGACTCCGTGATGGCTGTTGTGGGATGGGTGATGTTTGGTGACGGCGTTCTGGATGAAATTACAGCGAATGTGTTACAAATGGATGGATATCCGCAAGCACTGTCCATCTGTATCATCATATTCATTGCGATCATCCCAATCACCAAAGTACCCTTGAAGTAAGTGCCTCGCCTCCTCATGAGACCAGACTCACTAACAGGTGCAGCTGTCGGCCGTTAGTGGCAACGATGGAAGTCCTCTGTGGACTGGGGCCACATTCTGCGCCAGTTTCTAACCACCATCAAGGATGGAAGGGGATTCTGCGCCAATCGTCGCAGATAATTGTGCGCATCTTTGTCGTGGCCCTTATTGTTGTCATGGCCATCGTCTTCCCTGCCTTTGACCGGATCATGGCTCTCATGGGCTCGGCTCTGTGTTTCACGATCTGCATCATATTGCCGCTCGCGTTCTACTTGAAGATTTTTGGGAAGGAGATCGGTCCCAGGGAACGCATCTTGGACTGGTTTCTTTTGATCGTGTCGTCGATCCTCGCCGTGACGGGAACCGTGTGGGCGTTCCTGCCCGAGGAGCTGATCTCACGTGCCTGAGTTGTGTTCATCGAGTAGTGATCGCTTGCTTTATGCGTGCATTATTTGATAACAATAGCGAAGTTGTTGCGTATTTTGCCATCGTTTAAGAGCTCTTTTTTGAACGGCTTGGGGCTGGACGCTCCCGTATACTCCCATAGTTGAAATATTAACTTTGAGGTCTCCTTAGACTCTGCCAGGACGAATCCCAAGCTTTGTAGGATGTCCTGCAGTCTGCTTTCTGTGAGATAGCGGGAGTTTTTGACGCATGCGAGTGGCAGCACCAGGAACAAGCGAGGCGTGATAGACATCGAAGAGCCACTTGGGGACGAGCTGGTCAGGAAAGTCACACAGCGCTTCAGCATTTCGCCTCTTCCCAGCGCATCAGGGACGTAATTCAGTACCAGCGATAGACTGAGGATGTGAAACCGCTCGTGATCACCCCTAGGAAGCGGCCTTTCCATAAAGTCCTGCTTCAGGATACCGGGCTCCTGCGAGTTCAGGTCGATACGCGTGACGTCCAACGACTCGTTCATCGAGCACGCATTCTTGGTACTGAGCGCGCCGACCTCCAGCACGCGGAGCTTGAGTCCATTCGCCTGCAGCTGCGCCAATTGAGGCCCAATCCAGTCCACCAGGACCTTACTGGAGTCTCCGCCGCGTTCCAGAGACTGACCGATTTTGCTGGCGAGCTGGTAGCTTTCCAGTCCGCCATTGCGCTGGATCTGAGCGTCGAGTTTGCGGACTAGGGCCTCATCGCCCGCCTGAGAGGCCTGGGCTTTCTTTTTCAACAGCCGATGATGAGAGCGGATGAGGTTGCGGGTGGCTTTGGCCGATAAGGCTGCCTTTGGTCGGACCGTTGGCGGACGTGTGTGAGAGAGCAGCATGGGCTTTTTGGTTTTGGCTTTGGATTTTTTGGGGGCCATGTTGGCGATGTTGATATCAATGGAACTCTTGTTCATAGAAAGGAAAAGGATGTTATGTTAAGCCTGGGCATGATAAAATACAGAATTTCGATACGTGACGAAATGACAGCTATTCCAGAATGGGATAGGCGGCCCCGTGATCTCTGTTCTGGGCGGAGAGCCGGTCAGGTGACCCACACAGCGAGCCGTAGGGTTTTCGCTAAGCGAATACACTCCCAAATAATTCGACTCTCGACACTGCGACGACAATCATCACGACAGCGCCGGACGACAGCCATGGCCCCTAAGGCGGATAACAAGCAAGGTAGGTCGCATCTATTCGGTCTCCTCCTTTTTCCCACGAGAATTGGCAACCTACGAGTTCGCGAGTGTGGCATTGTGATGTGGTTTTTTTCACCGATTCCGCGATGATTTCAACGGAGAGCAATGAAGCAATCGACACTCGGATGGGCGTGATTCTCTCGCTGTCATTCACTCGAACCTCGCTACGGATTGAATTCTCGAACCAGACGAACCGAATCGATTTACAGACGCTGACTTTTCCGTTCGCACAGGCAAGACTAAGCCCAGTGACCGGGCTGGCGCTGCTGCCAAGGCAGTCTTGAAGGGTGCAGGCGTATGTTCCCACGACGAGAACCTCAACCCTCCTGGCAGTGCAGAGAACTAAAATCCACCGCTCATTGCAGGCGCTCAAATCCCGCAAGGTCCGCACCTCGACCACCTTCCACCGCCCCAAGACCCTCGAGCTCTCCCGGTCGCCCAAGTACCCCCGCAAGTCCATCCCCCATGGACCTCGCCTCGACTCCCACAAGGTCATCCTGTACCCCCTCAACACCGAGAGCGCCATGAAGAAGATCGAGGAGAACAACACCCTGGTTTTCATCGTGGATGTCAAGGCGAACAAGCGTCAGATCAAGCAGGCCCTCAAGAAGCTGTACGACGTCGAGACCGTCAAGGTCAACACTCTCGTCAGGTATGAAGATGAATCCACGGGGTGTCCCGGACCCTCCGGTGCAGGTGCTAATGTTGGACAGACCCGATGGCTCCAAGAAGGCCTTCGCCCGGCTAACTCCCGATGTGGACGCTCTGGACATTGCCGCCACCAAGCTCGCTATCGTCTAAATGAGTGGGGTTCTTTGGGTTTGGGTCAATTTTCTTTTATTTTCACGCGGTGGTTCATAAAATATCAGTCATAGTTAGCTGCCAGTGCTGCCGATGGGCTGAATGATCATTAACTAAAAAGAAATACTTGAATTCACGACTGATTCACGAGCGGACGTACCTAGTTCTATGTATTCGGCCGCGATGTAAGCAGTACGGAGTAGATTAGTCTCGTCTGCATTACGACGGGATGAAGACTGAGCGGTATCCTGAGGTAGTATGATGACGAATACCGTGAACATGAAGTATCATTCTATTTCTAGAGTACAAGATTCCCACCCGGGAAGAACTGGTCAACATTCCCCATAGCCACCGCTCCATCTATACCGCCACACGACGGACACGCATCCACGCGCTATCTACTGACCGCGCATGCTCTCCAGATGCTTCAACACAGCAATGTTCGTGTCCATCCAGCGCTCGACGCAGTTCTGCGCGCACGCCTCCTCGGAACCGCTCAGCCGGCCCGACGAGACCGATCCCGTGATGCATTTCTTCCAGCACACGTCGGCGAGATGGTGCACATCTGGGGAAGTTAGCATTCTACCTGAGTTTCACCGCAGGATTGACGGTCGGGTCGTCACGTCTGTCAGACCGGGGCGACAGGCGACAGGCGGCACTCACTCTGCTGGATGGTGGACTTTTGAGCCTCGTTCGTCAGGAACTGGTTCAGCTCCTTCTTATCGGCGTCGCTGAGCTTGGAAACATCGAGTTGCTGGTCCATTTTGCGAGTTGGAATTTGCAAGAGATGTAAAGTAGGAGGTCTGAAAGTGGTCTGTAGGATCGATAGTGATTGATGCCGGAGTACCTGTACTCCGTAGCTAAGGTAATAAGGTAATTCTTTGCAGCGGGCGGTACCACCCGGCAGAAAATGATCGCCATCGCGCTGGCCACCACCACTCTTTTACTCCGGAGTACTTCCTATTCACACAGCGTAAGCGCACAGCACGGCAGTTGACCCTTCATACGACCCTCCGCCGTCCATCATCTGTACCCCCTTGCACGCCAGCATGCCGCCCGTCCGCACGTCGCGCACGCGCAAACCCCCGCCAGCGGGCTTCGACGACATCGAAGACACGCTGCTCGAGTTCAGCAACAAGATGAAGGACGCCGAGAACGCCTCGCACGACGGCAAGAAGAAGCACGAGATGGTGTGGCCGATTTTTCAGATCAGTCACCAGCGTACGTTCCTCCCCTCCTCCTCCCCCGGCTCCCTCTGATACTGACCATATTCTGCCAGGCTCGCGGTACATCTACGACCTGTACTATGAGAAAGAGGCCATCTCGAAACAGCTGTACGACTGGCTTCTCAAGAACAACTATGCGGATGCGAACTTGATTGCCAAGTGGAAGAAGCAGGGATATGAAAAGGTATGTCTGTTTCTTTCTGCGGCACTTCCAGTGTTGAGCGCGGACTAAGCTAACATCCTTCAGCTCTGCTGTCTTCGTTGCATCCAGACGAAAGAAACGAATTTCAACGCCACCTGTATCTGCCGCGTGCCCAAGGCCCAGCTCAAGGAAGACCAAATGATCCAGTGCGTCAGTTGTGGATGTCGCGGCTGTGCCAGCAGTGATTAGGCAGATCGGGGGATATCACATTTACGTGTTTGTTGCATGCATGGTATGATGAGGGTTCTGGTCGGCAACCCGGCCTTGATTTACACGGCGTTTGGTCACAGGGATTGATATACCTTTTCCTTTTTGCATTGCCCTTAGCTACGATTGTCCCAATTCTATGTACGAGTGACATACGACTTCGCTAAGCCGTACATTTCTTCAATGAAGATGCTTAAAATCCGGACTTAGAATGTAGGTACGATGAGACATCAGCCTAAAATCAACAAGATTAATTCGACATCTGACAAAAGCAATATCCCTGGCAACCAACTAAATAACAGAATACAACAAACTCCAAAGCAACCAAGTGAAACTCGTAAGCATCAGTTCATGTACATCTTGGCAAATGTCATCGTAAAAGTCATCTCATGGTCATCTCAGGCTGAGTTAAAGTCAGAACCGACTCCAGACCTCACCGTAGCCCAAAACTCCAAATAAATCAATGGCTCGAAAAGAAGTCAAATGTTTCAGTCCAGTCCCAACACCACCAAGTCCTAAGTATTAAGTCACAGACATTAATTGCGGTCCTGAACCAGGCCAGTGGTTCAGCTTTCCGAAAGATTCTTTCACATAGATCCACGAAACCTGCTCGGTGCGTATGTGTAATCCTCTTCGATGCCATAGGGCACCAGCAGCTCAGAACAACGATGTATTACTTCGAGGGTTAAGTTGCGGTCTCGACGCGTGGAATCGAGGTTTCGATTGATCGTCCTTGGTTGCTCCGCCGATCTTCTGAAAGCCTTGCAGGAGGTCAACTCCATCGACCTCTCCTGGGCTCTCATCAAACAGATGGAACGAGAAGAAATCATCATGCGTGGCATCGATAAACCGTCCGGGCTCCGGAAGTTTCGACGGCGACTCCGGAAAGAGCAGCCCCTTGGTCTTGTGGGAAAGAGACGGAAGCCCGGCTTTACTGTTCACACTCATCGCCGTGATATCGGCCAGCGCATTACCATTCGATCCACTGGCGTCGGCCCGGCCACGCTTAGCGGACCGCTTCTCGGGCGAGCCATATGCCGGGGTGGATATGTGGTCCCCAGATGGATCGGCAAAGACATCAAAGCTCGAATGGAGGTGGTCATTCGGCGTAAAGGTTTCGTCCTGAAGGTTGAAAGCAGGACTCCATGGCAGATCCTCCTCCGTGAGGCCCAAATGTTTGATCGGCGAGTTGACCATCTGCTGTATCTTCTTGCGATGGTTTCGAAGGTTGGTATTGGGCGAGACGGACGGCGGGGGCTTTGCAGGTTTCTTAAACTTGATCACAGGTGTGATCGGGGGAGGCAGCATGCTAACATACTCCCCACGCAAGGGAGAGGAGCCAACAATAACACCAGCATCCTTCAGAACCCCGGAGTGGCTGGGGCTGATATCGTGAGAGGAGCTGCGAATGCGGGCGATCTCTTCTTCTGCCCTGCCGCGCTTGATGCGAGGAGGTTCGATGTCCAAGTCTGACGTCAAGATATGACCAGCCTTGTTGGGGCGCAGTGCAGAAGACTCCAGCGAGGAAAAGTATCCGCTATCGTTCATTGCCGCCGACTTTCTCTTCTTCGTGCGAGAAGCGGCACCCGACGAGGCAGGAACCTGAGAAGGCGTCGGTGGGGTACCCTGGCGAACAAACCGAGGCGGCACAATCGGGGGAGACGAGTGAATCGGTTGAGGGGGGGACGAGCGCGGAGGATGAGTCTGTGGACCGGGAGCGTTGGCACCTTCATCCCCTGTATCATCCTGCAGAGCAGGATCAGAAGCAGGTAAGGTGGCATCGGACGATAGGTCCACATTTTGCGAAGTCTTCGGAGCAGCAGATTGATACGACGGCGGGGGAACCGCCCAAGTGGTGGTGCTTGAGCTCGGTGGATGGGCGGGTTCTTTTTGAGGAGCTGCCGGTAGGGGAAGGCTTGACATGGTGGCACGGCGCAGGGGCTTGTCCTTCAGGAACTGAGCTTCCATGCCCGGCTCAATAGCCCAGTAGTTGCCTTTGCCCGGGTCATCCTTAGGACGCTCTTGTTTGATGAACGCCTTATTTAGACTGAGGTTGTGACGGATGCTGTTCTGCCAACCGGCATCGCTATTTTTGTAATAGCGGAACGTATCCGAGATCCACTTGTATATTTGCGCCAGGGTCAGACGTCTGTTCGGAGCGCGCAGGATAGACATCCCTATGAGAGTGGCATAGCTGTAGGGGGGCTTGGTCCCGTCATCTTCGATCGGGGGCATCTCGCTGGGATCCGGCAGTCGCACCGAGTCGTCCTCGTTCTTTTGCTTCTTGGACGACCGTTCCTTCAACGGCGCCGCCTCCAGAAGCATCCTCTTCAAAGGTGGCTTAGACGGGAACGACGGTTCGGGGAAATCAGCAAAGTTGTCGCTGGTGGGCTCGTCTATGGAGTGGGGTTCCTGATGCGGATGCTTATCTGGGTTGACACTCGGGAAGGTCGTAAACAGGGCGGATTGTGGCATCGAGGGAGGTGGAGCAGAGTGGTGAAAGGTATTGAATGGGGGCTTTTTCGTCGGGGAATCGGTGGTGAACGATGGAGGAGCGGGTGCGGTGATGGAGACGAAGCCAAGATTGCCTCGGCCAGAAAGAGAAGCGTTCGATCCTCGAGAAGGCTTGGTGGGCGATGGCCGGTGCAAACCCCCATGGGAAGGGTTGAGCGCGTAGTCTCTGCCTGGTTCGGCGGGAACGTTCTCCAGGGGCTGCAATGGCATGGGCGATGGCTCTAGCCGCGGGCGCAATTTCGAGGGTTCTGTATCCAAGGGTGACGATGCTTTCGCCATGGTCCGCGCAGTCGGCGCAGAACGCGTCGAGCTCATGCTGACTTGGGTCCGATGGATCCGGAGTGAGTTGCGACGCGTCGAAACCGGTTTCTCCGGTGTGGAATGTGACAGCGCGAAGCCGAGGATAGACCGGCGCTGAGGTGAAGGTTGCAGAGGATGAAGCAAAGACAGATGCTTTTTGTCTTCTAGAGATGGTGGAGTTGTATCCCTGCCAGCTGATAACCGACGCAGCTAGTGTGGAAGGTCCTGGATGGCACCTAGTTAGGCATAAAGTCGATGATAGTTGGGCAACAAAGGCCTGGACAGTACATTTAAGGCAGGGGTGATCCACGCGAGTCGGTTTGGAGATAGACGATATATGTAATCGACCAAGGCTACCGGCACTAACGGGGGATCAAGGTGGAACTTGGATCGATTCGATTCGACGAGACTTGGGGCGGTTTGGCTTCGGTGGGAGCCTAGTTATCTGTGATGTTCGTCCGACGCGCACGCGCGAGATGGGATCGGATGAGAAGGAGATAGGCGGATGATCTGAGGGCGGCAAGGACAACGAGCACAGAAGAGAAGAGGAAAATCCTGATCAGATCGTAGCGGGTAGAAGAACGATTAGGTCGAAGCCAGGTGGGGAGGGAGGGGGAAATTGGCGAAAGGCGCTGGTTAAGTTAAGAAACGGCATGAGGAAGATGAGCAAAAGGCGGGTGATGTTGATGGTGCTCGCGCGGTGTACGGTATGGTTCCGACGCGGTCGTGTCACGCGTTTTTCTCTCTATCTGGGGGAGAAATTTGGGGGGCAGCGTATGGTCACGGCGTGACAATACGACGGGCTAGACCGGGAGGCGACAGACTTCGCTCCTTACTTACTCTTTCAGACTCCATCCTTCATCCCTCGATCCAATCAGCCCCCCATTTCGGTCGATCATGGACCCCCTCGGTCTCCATTTTTCCATCGATTGACGAGGCCGGTATGTGCGAGGCGACTCCGGAGTGCATTCCCCCCAGTCTAGATCCAGCGAGGGGTCGTACCAGAGCTAGGTTGGCTAAGACAGCATTCCCGTCGTCTTTTGCCAGCCTCGGTGCAAGTTCCGGTGCATGTCCCCGGTGGCAAGTGCGTCGTGTACCTACATTAGCCCTGGCCTCGAGGAGTAAGGTACAGTTTTGATGGCTTGCGGTGCATACGAGCAGTGGTGCCTGGCATACAGTATCTACCGTACCTGCCTGTGTAACTAACTAATCCTACTGGGCTTCTAAGGAGGAATACGTGTTCGGTGCATGGTGGCACGATCTCAACATGCGATTGAAATCGCACCATCCGTCACCGCCAAATCCCTTATATCATGCTATTATAGGTGGCACTGTCTTCCCGGCTCCTTAGAATGAGCGAGAATGCTTCAAGGGAGAGCCAAGTGGGGATGCGGAACACAGAGGAATGGGCAAATGAAACCTGCAACGCCGACGGCAAAAGCCCGCGTGGCTACAAGATGTTCTCATCACGGAACCCCCTCGAGGGATTCTACAGGTACATCCATTCAAACTAGGCAGTGAGGTGCTACGAAATTCTGTTTCTTAGGCAAGGTGACCCGATATATTGAGGGCTCGGACAGTAGGTGGGTGGTTAGATAGTGCGGAGTATATCAGCACGGTTGACTCCACCTATCCCTAGCATCACGGTGATAGAGGTTTCAGTCCCAAGCTTCAATGGCGATGCATCATGCACCTCAGGTCGAAAGGGGCTCTAGAGGAGGCCTGAGTTCATCTTCAGCTCGTCCGATGCGGCGATTCCCGGTTGATTCCGCTCGTAAATCCCAACCCCATTCTCTTGGGGCATCTATATCTACGTAGATATCCTCGCATGCAGGCCGCGGGAGAAATCAAGGAGACTTCATTGGAAGGACTGTAAACAGAAGGGACTCTATGTTCTTGGTACCGACGAAAACATCAGTTCTATATAAGATGAATAGAAGGAGAAAACTGTAACGCCAGGAAGTCTTCGAACCCAACCAAACACAAAGTCTATCCAGTGAAGACACAATTGGACGCAGCAAACAATCTGACCACGCTCAGAAAGTGCATCCCACAGGCAGAAAGATCCAAAAGGCATAGGTATATCTTGATGCGTCAAACTTTTCGTACACCGGACAAATCTGATGGATATCCTATAACATCAAACAACCCTCGCTGAAATATGCACAAGAACCAAAGGAGAAGGAGAAACGTGGAGGACCGCAGGAAATGTGGGCGAGTATTAATCTAAGAAGGTAAACATGCTCGTGTGGATTATGTTCAAAGCACGGTCTGCGTCTCGTTCTTCAATCACGCAGGAAATGTTGATCTCGCTGGCACCTAGCAAGTAGAAATCCGTCAGTATCGGGCCGGTCTGAACAGCCGCAGAACTAGCAACTTACCTTGCGAGATCATTTCGATGTTGACGTTGTTCTCCCCAAGGGTAGTGAACATCCTCCCCGCGACGCCGATCATATTCTTCATCTGCTTTCCAACCAGACTGAGGATAGCCATCTCGGGAATGATGTCCACCGTGCCGTATTTTTGCAAGTCGTTCAACGCCCCTTTCAGGTCGTCATCAATAATCTGATACTCATCTCGGCCGACTCCATTCAGCAAGGGCATCTCCGAATGAAGAGCCATGGACACGTGGACCTCGCTAGTGGAGATCAGATCAATTGAGAGTCTCCACCGGTCAAGGACGGAAAAGATGCCGGCAAAGAAGCCGTGTGACAGGGAGCGCTTGTTCGAATGGACGTTGATCACAAGGATCTTGTGTTTGATCGTGACAGCCGTCGGGCGCTTCGGTCTCTGCATGAAGCTGTGGCTCCGCGTGCGGAATAACTTGGGATCGTGGCCCGGAGCGGTCTTCTCCAGTTCAGAAGAAGAGTCCGGGAAGATGACGGTACCGTCACCCTTGGGGTTCATGACATTTTTGATGCGAATCGGGATCTTGGCGCGGATGACCTGCTCCATAGTAAACGGGTGGATGACTTCTGAACCGTAGAAGGTCAATTCGGCGGCCTCGGCGGGGGTGATTGCCGAGAGAAGGCGTGCAGTGGGCACTTTGCGGGGGTCTGCGGTAAAGATGCCATCAACTTCCTTCCACACCTGTAGTTCCTTCGCATGGATGCCAACGGCCACCAATGCGGCGCAAAGATCGGTGTACCCGCGGCCAATCTGATCGAGAAGGCCGCCCGGTACCGTTCCGAAATATCCAGTGATCACTGGAACCTTTCCCTCGCATTCCTGGATTCTCCGTCCAAGGGCAGCGGCAAGTTTATTGTAAAACACTTGGTCGAGGCCATGGTTGGAGATGGGGAAGTCAATGATCTCCGCCAGATCCACGTATTCCGCGTCCACACCGCGGTCTTGGAGGAAAGCGGCCATCAGCCGACAACTCAGCTTCTCCCCAGTACTAATCACCTTGTCCACACAACGGGCGCTGATTTCCCCGAGGGTCTGAGCAGCCTCCAACACCTTGAGGACTCGTTCGCATTCGCCATTGATTTCCGTAATGACTTGGGATTTGATTTCGCTGGACTGCAGTTGATCTTGGGCCACTTGGACATGTTCTGACCGGACAGCTTCGACGAAGGAGACATATTGTTGCGATTGAGAATTTTCAGCGTCCCGCGCGGCTCTCAGCAATCTATCAGGTGGTTCCTGTCAGAGGATGCTCCCTTGCCAATACAATGATTTGATTGTGGACGGGTGGGGGGTTGAGAGAGACGTGGTGAAGTGTTCCGGGGGGAGTGTTCAGTACAAAAATGACTCACCGGTTGGTGGTACCCTCAGCCTTTGTCGAACTACTTCTCGCAGAGCAGACTACAGCCACGCTGTGTTGCACAAGACTCGGTCTGAGGTTTGACGTTGTTGGTTAACAAGACCCATATCCAGACAATGTGCTTGTGCGACAAAGCGACTTACATGACCACCTGGTCGACAATGTTAAAAGCGAATTTTCCAACACTGGTGCCGCCAAACTTCTGGACGACCCAATTACTGGAAGTTCCGTTGACCAACGGTCGGGAGTCCGAATCGGACGGGAATTGACTGTCCATCCTGCGAGGAGCCGAGTCGAGTCCTGGGAAGGAGATGATGTCTGGAACCACGAGTCTCTATGGACAATGACTCCGGCAGCGGGACAGCCTTTTTATGTGCACTGGCGGGGTTGCGAAAGCGGAGCATCTAATGACGGACTAATATGGGGGGCAGCGCATAATTTTTTCCCGCCGCTGCCTCTCCGCCTTCTGTTTCGGGCATACGATATCGGAGCGCTACCACTGGGCCATGACTAATCCGCATTATGTTGTTGTTTTCATCCCGATATGAGTCACGCTGGTCTAGGTCGATCAGAATGTAGACTTTATGTATAGTAGATCTGCGTATCGAATACGCAGTCGGATCATTGGGTGTTCTAGACATAGCTGTGAAAAGCAGTACTCCCCTACGAAAATCTCTAGTAGAGGCTCACCTATTCTGAACCTCGCAATGTAATACTTTGGTACCTTCAAATAGGTACCCGAGTACCTTAGGTACCTATCTATCCCTAACTAACCTGTTAAGGAGTCTCGAATTCTGCCACTTTATAGAACATCTGATTCGTCAGGCCATCTTACCTAACATGGCAAATCAAGGTCCATGGACTGTAATCAGATTGGCTCTGTGCGGGTGACCCACTCTGCAGTGCAGCCTACTAACTTGGGTAACATGCATTTAGGCCCGAACCGCCTGATTCATCTAGCTCTACCTACGGAGTATACTTACTTACTTCGGATGCCGGCAGCAAACCCCCAAATGGCCTGACATCAACGACCGTTTGAGCATACCCAACTTCTCTTGTTTATGCGCGACTGTGCATTCTCCTTTTCTAGGCTTTCAATCCCTGCAGCCTACCAGGAGTGGCCATCTGTGACCAAGTTATGGACGACGCAACCTGTCCATTCTGTCCGTTCTCCGACCCTGATAGCAACTTCGTTGCGGAGCACATCGAGTATTGTCATCCCGAACACGATACCCGGCCCGAACTTGGCCCGAGTCACGTAGCCACGGACTCCCCCACCTCGGAGCCTGATCAAGAGGAGCCTCTGCCGAAATATATTGACTGTCCTCATGGTTGCGGTGAGATAGTGGAACAAACCGAGCTTTCGACACATCTTGACCTGCACATTGCCGAGACTGTTGCTTTTGAAGATGGACCTACCCCTCAAGCACCGCTACCGGATCCAGCGTCCGACGCAGGATATATATCCGACTTTGACGAACATAGAATGATGAAAGATCTGAATAAGTCTTCCACCGGCCAGCGATTCCTGAAAGAAGACATGGCTCGGGCGTTTTCAGCCAATGGAAACAAAACCGCCAGTACATCCTCGACCGCGGAAAACATACAAACAACATACAAAGGCGTCAAGCGTCTGGGAGTACGTGACCTCCCCATCCCATCCATCCGGTGGCAATAGGCTAACCACAGACAGCGCGCGGAACTGGGCCCCTACGCCCACGAGAAGAAAATGCCCTCCTGGCTCCGGCGAATGCTGGAAAAAGGAGCCAATTCCTCCCTCACCAACAAGATCGCTGCGGACGGGTCGCTCCAAAAACACGAAACCGTCGAAAACGAAGCAAAGGATATCATCCCGGTTCTTGGTCGATTATGCGAGCACGACACATCGGTTCAGCGCGCATTTTTGTGCAGCCCTGAGGTCCGTCAGATTTCCAAAATACCCCGCGAAGGCGGGTTCTGCGGCTACAGGAACATCCAAATGCTCGTCTCATACATAATAGCATCCCGTAGTCCCGGGTATGAATGCTTTGGAGAGTCCTTGCCGACCATCTTGCAGCTGCAGGACATGATAGAAAATGCCTGGGACAAGGGATATAACAGCGTCGGGCGTCTCGAAACCGGCGGCATTCGGGGCACCAGGAAGTACATTGGGACGCCAGAAGTGAGTTCTTGTATTCAAGGCACCGCAACACGTTGCTGATCCGCACAGGCACAAGCGTTGTTTATGAGTCTCGGCATACGGTGAGACCCGCCACACCCTGAACGACAGCCTGCGAGAAGTGACCACTGACCGGTTCTAGATGTGAAGCGAGTAGCATTGCGAAAACAGGTGAAACGCAAGCCCACGATGCCTTATTTGCAAATATAGCGAACTACTTCCGACAAGCATGTTCGACGGATCAAGAGAAAAAAGTTCTCATGACCAATCTCCCGCCTATTTATCTACAGCATCAAGGTTTGAGCTCCTCTGGCCTCGCCCCCCTCAACATGCCACCCCCAGCGTCTAAGCTAGAATTCATCATTACAGGACACTCTCTGGCCATCGTCGGGTTTGAAATACGCGACAATGGCAGTGCAAACCTCTTGGTCTTTGACCCGATGTTCAAGCCACCGCGTGCGATTGACCGCCTGAAAGGGACGCGCACAGTTCCTCCAGACCCTTCTCGGATTTTGAAAGGTTACCGTCGAGGCTCAGCCTACTTTCAGAAGTACAAACTATTCGAAATTTTGAAGTAAGGACCCTACCGAGCTGAAGCCGGAGCGGCTATTGAATCTAACAACTTTAGACTTTCGGTGCCTGCAGAGATCCTTGAGAGACAATCCAGGACTTAAACCGGTTGCACTTCCACCTAATACCTACCAAAACATGCAGATAGCATAGGATATGTTGAATGTCTGTACATCATGTTTGTATACTAGATCGATTAGATGAGATGTCCGTATCGGGGACTAGGTCGGATTCAGTTAGTCCGACATGCCGAACGGGCGGGTAACCCCACGTAAAATTTCCCTCGCCTTTGTAGAGCGCGACAATCATACTTGACTTCACCGAGAGCATTACGGTTTTTATCTTGTTGATCTCTTAACTCCAGAGGAAACATGCGGACCTCTCCGAATGTGATCATCACAGGCACCCCCGGCGTGGGGAAGACAGTCCACTGCGAACAACTGGCGCAAGATACCGGGTTGCGCTATCTCTCGATAAACCAAGTCGCAAAAGACCGCGACTGCTTCGAGACTTACGACGACGAACTGGATACGTGGGTTGTGGATGAAGACAAGGTATGTTTCGCTGGGTTCTGCGTTACAATACCTTTTCTTATGAACACAATCGAAACTATGCGCGTGCTTCGGGATCTATACTTACTTCGCACGGCTACAGCTCCTAGACGCAATCGAAGACGAAGTCCTGCAAGGAGGCTACCTCATAGACTGGCACGCGTGCGATCTCTTCCCCAAATCCTGGATCGACCTGGTTGTCGTTCTGCGGTGTCCGTCGACATCCATCCACTATGACCGTCTATCGTCAAGGTACCTATCTCCGCGCGGCCACCTCTCGCCCCGAGACCCCCCTCCGACCCATTCAAGTTCAGACGTCTAACCGTTACTCGCGCCAGGGGATACAAAGAAACGAAGTTGCAGGAGAATCTAGATGCGGAGATCTTTGGCGTGTTACTAGAGGAAGCGCGGGAAGCTTTCGACGAAGAAATCGTGGTTGAGCTAAACAGCGAAAAGGACGATGATGTAGAGAATAACTGTGCGAGGATCGCGACCTGGGTCGACTCCTGGAAGAGCGACCAGGCCGGCAGGGCGAATTAATGCAGTGGCACCTGGGCAGAGCCCCAGGCCACTGAATCTTCCCATGGGATAATCAGGCGGAAGACTGCTGCTCTTCGGCCAGCCACTTCTGTAGTTTGACCAAGGCCTTGTACCGGTGCGAGATCTGGTTCTGCTGGCGTATCAGCGAAACACGACACAGACAGATGTCGCGGAGAGAGAGACTCGGCTGCGTACCTTGGCTTCTTTGTCCATCTCGGCGTAGGTCTTGCCCTGATATTCGAAGATAGGATCCCAGCCTAGAACAGAACGGAAGCGTGAGCGTGAGCATGAGCCGTGTATATATCTCGCATGAGAAGGGACGACACGACATACCGAAATTTGGGGGTCCTCTTGGGCGGACGATCGTACCCTGCAGAGCGATCCCATCAGCACTTCATCCTTCATCCCTCTAGACACCCCATCCTATCCCGTTACTTACTTCAGTGCGCCCTTGGAACAGGATCGGTTCCGACCCGGGCCCACGGCAAAACGCGAACGTGCACACTGCCTCGCCGGTGCGGTCGTCAAACGAATCAAGAAGCTTGTTCAAGCCCTCATGGCCCAGTGCCTCGAGGAACGATTTACTGCGTCTCTTCTTAGCACTACGCACACAGCATTGGTGACTGGTTTCGGGGCTTGGACCGGGCTTACATGTACGGCCCGGGGAGGCCCTGAAGGGCCCGAAACTCGAGCGCCGTATCCTCCGTCAACACGGGGCCGCCAACCTGCAGAAACCTATAATTGAGTAACCTAGATATTTTCGGTTTTGAACCGAATGGGGCCATCGTCACTTACCACCTCGGCGGCGCGCTTGCATTTTTCCCGGGCGATTTCCTCGATCGAGCCTTGTATCTCGGGGACATCGACGGCCTGGTTCTTCACTTCAATTACGCTACCCAGGATCGCCCGCACTTCCGCGAGCTTGTTCTTGTTCCCCGTGATGAAGTTGATCTCGGACAAAGTCATGATGGGCAGTTCTGGCTGGATAGAAGTTTGGACGAGTGCGGAGGATAATCTGATAGTGTGGACGGAAAGCAAGCGCCGCGAGGGCGGTGCGGTGACTGATGTAATGGGCCTCCGTAGGCGGCCATCACTGCCGCACGTCGCTGCATGACTGCGACGAGTATCTTACTTGGCAGGTAAAAGGAATGTAGAGATCTCGATATAAAGAGCTTTATACACGGAAGTAGGCTTGGCTGTACATATCAACATCAAGCCAATTTATTCAGCCATCAACCTCTACTCCACAATGCTCCATCAGCGCATTGTGGTGCGTCAAATTGGTAGACAAATGAAATCTAAAGAAACACATTCAAATATATGCCCCAAAACAATCATATATGGCTTCAAGTGTCCAAATCCTGGAATAGTCGAGCCGGCAAAAGCGTATCTCATCACGAAATGGGAAATCAAACAAAAAGACCACATCACGACGTCTATTGTACAACATTACTCGGCAGCAATTGGGCCATGTTCCGCCATCTCAAGCCTTTCCTGCTGTGCCATAGCTTGGGCTGACACAATCTCGGCGAGACGCTTGAGTCGCGGCGTTTGGAGCCCTTGATGAAGAGTCAGTAAAATCCATTTCCAGTACGGACACTGGGGTACTTACAGGACGGAGTATAAGTCTCCAAAGCCGTGATCACTCGCGGCTCAGCGATCTCGTACGGGCCGCTGTCTTCCATGTCCACAGGGGTCAACAGCAGCACATCGCTCTTCTCGGTAACGCGGGAGGCTACAGCCTTCATAATTTCTCCGTTGATGGGTTGTTCATAATCCGCCACCAGATATTGGTTCAGTAGCTTCTGGATCTGGTTGGGAGAGAGCCTATGCTGTGTTAGTCACCTTCTACTTAAAGAGTCAAGGTAGTCCTTACATCCAACAGATATCCTGGATGATCTCAATATCATTGAGCGTGGCCTTCTTGAGCTGCAGGAGTTTGGTTGCTTGCTGTAGATAGTTGTTAGCATTGGAATATGTTTACAGAGAGAAGGACAGTGAGGACTCAGCGTACCATCAGATGTTCCAGTTGCAAGGTTCCCTCTGGCATGTCATGGCTCTTGCACCACTCCTCAATACGGGTTATGTTATAGTTGATTTGCAGGCCCCGCTTCCACGAGAGGAAGTTTCTCCTCATCAGGAGATCGTTGAAAGCGGTGACACCCACGAGCTTGAGGAGCTCAGTGACCGTTTGTATGATGATGCTATCCTCGAGATAGAAGGCCTTCATTGCCTTGTAGGCATTGTTCAAAAGGCTCAGGAGGTTGTCCATGCTGTATGCGGGGTTGTTGTTGGACGGAAGAAGCTTTCCTAGGAACCGATTCGTCTCGCTCGTAACGAAGCCTGGAAGAGACTGGGACTCAATGATCGCAGGAACAATCATCTTATAGAGTTTCTTCTTCAACACCTTCATCCACGTGTGGTAGATGTTGAATTCCAGACTCTCCAGGTCGTGCTTCACAATCTCGAGCAGACGGTCGTACTCGTAGTTATCGGTTTTCTGGGCCTCATACCAATCCTCAGCCAGGAAGACAAAGGAAAGCATTTCGTGCACATTGGAGAGCCAGAATGCCCCGGGGTTGATAGCATCGTCCCCATCGTGCTGCATGACCTCCTGTTGGATCGACTGCATGACATTGGCAAGGAACCGCTCAGACTCCTTGACAAAGCCGTTGTTCCACATCTCCGAAGTGACCAGGTTGATCAGGTAGGCCGGGAACAGGACCTCCTTCTCCGTCGGCGGCGGAGTGGAACTAGGCAAGGGAATCTTGAGATTGCGAATCAGGCCCATGGTGACTTCCTCGTTGAGCTCGTCCTCCTCTGACAGCAGATTCTCCAGCTCTGCCTCGACCGAGTCTAGTCCGGGAGAGAGGGCAGCACCACCAAAGTTCTGGCGGCTCAACCCACTAGGAATTGCCATAGACACAGGGCGCGGGTTATAAGCACCACTGAACCGGTCAGTGTCAATTCTCTCCGCACCCGCGCTGCGTCTCTTAGGCTTGGGTTTCTTGGACGAAACAAGGTTGATCAATCCACTTGCAGGTGGCTGAATGGGCCCACCATTCTGATCACCGTTCACACCATTCACAGGTACACTTCTCTTTGCAATCTCCAGCTGCTCTTCCAGCTCCGCCACTTGCTGGCGAAGAGTCGCCTTTTCATTCTCGGCCTCGGTATTCATCTGCTTGAGTCTATCCAATTCCTCGTTCGCTGCGCGAATTGCCTCGCGGGAGACCTTCTCCTCTTCCTGGAGACGCCGAATAGTTGCTTGCGCATCATTGTGATTTTGCTGCAACTTGGCCATTTCATCCTCCAATGCGGTCAGCCGAGCAGCTGTGATACCAGCTTGATTGGCTTCCGCCTGAAGCTCTCTTGAGCGGTTCTCCAGAGCGTTGTGTCGACTCCTCCAGGATTTGACTTGAGTCTCGTAGTTCTCAAGTTGGGAGTTGAGCGATTTGTTCTCACGCTTCAAGGATTCGAGGTATTGGGTCAACTCCACGACCTTGTTCTCCAGTTTGTAAGAGATCTGTTTCAGATCCCGTGCATCCTCTCTCAGCTTCTTGTACTCGCGTCTCGCCTGCTTGCCTCTCCACAGGCTCTGGACGATAACCACCTTACGGCGGTACTGCCGCCAAGCACGCAGTTGCCGCCAAGAGCGGAAGTTGCGCTGGATAATCTTCGCCGCATTGCCATGGATGGTGTCCATGATATTACGGCGGCAGAGGAAGCCCTTGGCAACCGACTGGAACAGAATGAAATTGTCACGGATGCGGTTGTAATTCTTCCGCTCCTTTTGCCCTCGCCAAACCCGCTGGATAGTCGTGGCAGCCTTAATTCGGCGAATCTCCGCTGCACGTCTCCTTGCAAGAAATCCTCTGATCAGGGCTTGCGTGGAGAGGACGGAATCACGTGCTTCGAGGTAACGACGGCGGTAGTATTTGCACCGCAGATTCTTTTGAATCATAATGGCGCACTCGTTCAGCCTGGACGTCCGAAGGTTCTCAAGGAAAGCAAGCATGCCTGCCCGGAAGAAGATCTTGGTCAAACCCAACTGGTATTTATCATGTTTCTGTTGGTTGGTGTCCCCAAGCGCTTTTTGCAAGATGGCATGGCACATATCCCTAATTTCTGAGGTCCATTGGGAGGAATGGCAGAGCATGTAGTACCGAATAGCAAACTCTTCATACGTCCAGCGTGTGGGGTATCCAGCCGTACTGATGCGAACAGTCTCGAGAACACCGCAGGCCCTCAGCTGACTGAGCACCATTGGTCCTTCGAACTTCCATGCCTCCTTCGCTTCGTTGGGTTTGATACAACGGATATAATGCACATCCGTGGAGTTGATGGTATTCATCAGCTCAATCAACGAAGACTTGAAGATTCCTCCTAACGTGGGTTTGCGATTGACCGCCACGCCGACCTTGCGTCCAGGTGCAGTGACGGCTTTGGAAGAAATAGAAGCCGAATCCTTCTCACGGACAGCAGCAGCGGTGTCCAGGATCTCTTTCACGAACGCATTCGAAGAATTGCGAAGAACTTCCATGTGCTCATCCGGGACGGTATCTCTGTTCTTTTCGATGAAGCCGTCGGATTCGTAAGTCACGTCCACAGCATAGTGGCATATGGTAAACGCTGATTTGCCAAACCGTGGTTTCTTGTAGAACTTTTGCTTATCTGCAGCAAAATTATGGTGCAATTTCGTCACGAACTGCTCATCAGAGCCCATGGGCAACCTGGACTCCTCATCCAGAAGGGACAGGATGCCTAGCTTCGCCTCAATCAGATCGATGCATGGTTGGTTGTCCGAGAAGTCAATAAAAGTCCAATCAATCTCTTCACGAACATATTCTTCCTGCTCGAGCTTGAACACATGCTGGTTGAACTCTTGCTGCAGCTTCTCGTTGGCGTAATTGATGCAGAACTGTTCGAACGAGTTCTTGGCGAAGTGCTCGAATCCGTAAATATCGAGGACACCGATGAAAGCGTTGAACTTGTCCAGCACTTGGTCGGTTGCCAGGCCCTTGTTGATCTTGTCGACGAGCCAATCGAAAAGGCTAGAGTATATGAACTTCGCAACGGAATCCCTGACAACCAAGGCCTGCTGCTGCGTCAGGTTCGAAGTGATCTTCTCTCCTCTTGTAATCAGCTGTTTCTTGACGATCCATTTGGCGAATTCACTGGCGTCGATTCCCAACATTTGACATGATCGGACCAGGGAAGGCTCTTCGGAAGACAGGCTGGATTCTGTCCGAGTTGCCGTGATTTTGACATTTCCAAGATGGAGAAGGGCGGCAAGAACACGGAATATCTCGGCCTGAGTATCGTCGGACACACCGATAGTGCTCAGGGATTTCCTGGTTGCGGCGAACTCCGCATCATCCTCCACGCCATCGATCGTGGGAGTGCCACCCTGGTTCAGGTAGTCGAAATCTTCCACAGACCCGAGACCAAGCTCCTGCTTCTCTGCATCTGTTGCACCAGCGACCAGTTGGTAGAAAATGTGATAGTTGCGCTCCTTGAGCGGCTGGAACACCAAGCGAGATCTTTCCAAAAGATACGTCCGGATCTTTGCGCCAATGATGTTAGTCTTGTCGTCAAACATGATCTCGATATATTTTCCAAATCGTGAAGAGTTGTCGTTTCGCGTAGTTTTGGCGTTACCAAAAGCTTCCATGACAGGATTCGTCGCCAAGATCTGCTCTTCGGTTTCACTTATCGCGTCCGCTCGGCTGCTGGTGTATTTTCCAGGCTGGTCCGAAGATTCGCGCGTTGCGAAGTATCGCATGATGTATTTGGCACTCACGGTTTTTCCGGCACCAGACTCGCCAGAAACCACGATCGTCTGATTCTTGCCATCCCGCAACATGTCACTAGACCAAGTTCAGATCAGAAGGTGCATAGCATGGGAAACAGGGGGGCACTCTTACGCAAATGCCTCTTCGGCGATTGCAAACAAATGAGGGGCCTGCGACGCTCGGTGTTTCCCAGCATACACCTGCACCATCTGTGGGACATATAGCGAGTCGACCCGGGCGAAAGGGTTGGTTGCGATAAGGACGATTCCACTGTATGTATATATTTCCTTTTGCGCATAGCGGAGTTTGATAGCCTGGAGGACTTCACGATGGGGTCAGTCTCGTCGTTCTCGATAAGGTTCCAAGAGTCAGACAAACCTGCGGGCTCGTTCAGGTGGGACAAGTTCGTAAGGTCTTCGCTGGCCTCGAGCATGGCCGGGTTCATTAAGGGTGGTAGGTTTGGGTTGTTGTCCACCTGCAGCTCAGCCTGCGTGGTCTCCACGGTTTTCGTCTATACCTCAGATACCAGAATTAGCTCTCTGGGGGATTTATATCAGTCCATAGGCGTGAAACAAACCTCTCCATTTTCCAACGTAAACACCAGCTGCACCTTGTCACCATCGACCAACTTCTCCGTCACCTCGGATGCAACCCATCCTTCGGTGGGATCAGGCTGCCAGGCCCGTGTCCCAACCTCGTAAATATGCGCCATCAAGACCGCGTTGAGCAAGAAAAGAAGTATCTAAACTGGGACGAGAACGGAGAGGGCGAGATGGACGTGATTTGGGAGGTCGGAGGGCGTAATAACCATCTAGCAACCGAAGGATAGGGATCGTGGAATCTAGGAAAAGGAAAGAAAAAGGAAAACAAGAAGAAGGGAAAGGAAACAAGAAAAGGGTCCGTACAGAGACGAGACTGAAAGACTGCGATACCTTCAGCTATGCGAAAGGGATGGGCTTCATGCTTCAATGCAGGAGGAGGACTTTACAGAAATGGCTAACAGCTGGCAGTTAGTTAGCGAGCGGAACCGCAACCCCTGAGACGCCGACCGACCACCGACAGCCCGCCCGCGCCACACGTCTGTCGACGACCCCCATTTATCCCCACAGGTCAAATTGGCATTGCCAAGACAGTGTTCTTCGAGCGGGAACCTCCCAACATCTGCTGAATCGAGAAGGGATATACGGGATTTCGACGGGCTTCTCTTCCCATGTTGTCCTGCATTTATTTATTTGTTTATTCGTCGCTTCTAGCCACATCTGCTTTGTTGTGGCGGACGCCTGCAGTATCCCAAAGCGGGCTTCTACGCAAAAGGCGGTGAGGCGATGACAGGACGGAGTATACGGAGTACTCCGTAGTTACTATGAGGATCAATCCGGATCTACACGGAGGACACGTCCAGGCACTAAGAATGGGTCGACCAGATGAAGCTCAAATTAAGATCACAGTTTACCTTGTGCTGCCGCTCTTCGTGTCTTCAAAAGCATAGACTGATTGTTTAGGAACAGTTGAAGGGATTAAACGAAAGCGTACTCCTCACGCCGCCAGTGTTTTGGATAAAGTAAAAGAAAAGAGGAACAAAGGGGAGAGTAGAAAGGAAAATAAAGGAAAAGAAACGGAGAGACAATCAGAAGTCATTGCAGCGTAAGCAAGTCCCTGGCCACTGAAAACTTCCATCCATCACATAAACATCGATTAAGAGAACCATACGCATGGACTAAGGATACCTTGCGTGGCCGTGAACAATTGGCAATTAACAGGAGCAAAGCTGGCACGTATTTGAACGAATCAATCTGAGGGGGAAAGGGGGTGAATAGACAGTCAAGAAGGCGAAGGATCACGAAAAAACATATGTGGACATGTTCCATCCAATCTTGACAAGGTAGGTCATGGTCCAGATTTATGCCGCTTCACTCTCTTGTCCGCATCAAGGCATACACTTAGTTTTGTTTGCATTCCGCCGCCTCCTTCTTGGGCTTCGAGGTACCGTCCTGCTGATTTGTTAGCCTCTGAAAAGGACTGAAGGCCTCGGTTGGGACTGAAGTACGAACCTCCTCATCGGAATCATCGTCCACATCCCGGTCCGATCGCGTTTCGTCGTCATCATCCTCCTCTTCGTCGTCATCATCCTCGTCGTCCTCGTCATCGAAGTCGTCCGCATCCATGTCATCGCCCAGCTCCTCAAACTGGAGAGCCTCACCAGTGAACCAGTCAATGGCGCGGGGGATGAGCTTCTCCTTGATGTCCTCTCCAAGCTGGTAATCGAGCTCGAGGCGCTCTTCGATGTCGGTGGCAACGGTATCATCGTCGTCGGTAGGGGGCTGGGGCGGGGAGAAGAAGTTGAAGAAGGACTCAGTGGGCACAGTAACCTTGATAACGCGAGTCTGCTTGGTGTCTAGAAACAGATTCATTAGTTAGCAGGACTCTCTTCTGCCCGTAGGTATCTCCACGTACTCTTGTTTCTCTGCTTTTTGCTCTCCACGCGGACAGTGAGATCCTGGTTGGGCTTCCAATCGATCTTGGTTCCCTCAGCGTGATCGTAGATGAAATCACCACCGTATCCATTCTCCTCCTTATAATAGTACGTCTTCGAGATGGTCTTGTTCGTGAAGAAGTCGTTTTCGGCGAATTCAAAGATGAGGCGGAATCCAGGGCGGTCGAGGTATTCCATGCGAATATCAGTGAGGTGCTTGAGAGCCTCCTCATCTCGCTCCGTAATCATCTCCGCCAGAGAGATCTGGTTCTTCATAGCAGAGAGCCAGAACTCAGGAATTCCAGCCGTGGAGGTCTCCTTGTCATCCTTGGACTCTTCCTCGCCCTTGGCGGCGGTTTCCTCTTCTTCCTCCTCTTCTTCTTCGTCGACCTTGCCGGCTTCCACCTCACCATCGGTGGGCTCAGCGGCACCATTGACTATCGTGGCACGGCGCTGGTACAGAGGGGTGAACTTGGCAAAGTACTTCTTCTCCAGCTCCAAAACCTCCTCCTGGAACTGAGCCTCCAGCTTGGCATGTTCTTTCTGGATGCCCTTCAGACCAGCAACACGTCGGCGGACGGGAGCGGGAAGAGACTCGATGTAGCCAGATGAGCGGCCCACAAGCGATCCCAGCTTGCCTTGGATCATGGACACGAGCGCAGGGTTTCTTGCGAATAGGGACGCGGCGGCCGCATGGTCCAGGTTTTCTATAATGACAACGTCAGAGAAAAATTTCGACGGCAGATGCAAATGATCCCGTGGCAATATTACCTTCTTTGATGCTCGCAACACCAGGCTGTTGGGCATGAGAGGAGATGGGTGCATTGTTGGCCGGAGTGTTCTGCGGCGTCCTGTTCATGGTTTGGCCACGCGTTAGAGATGACGGAGACGTGATATGGGACAGATGCGCCCAGCTATTTGGAAAGACGGGGAATAAAGGGTGAGACAGCACTTACGGGGCGACCGGGAAATCCGCCTTCTTATTTCTGATGGGCTCAGACATTGTGAAAGAAGGGGTGGTTGGAGAGAGAGTGAGGGGATGATGTGAAAGAGAAAAGCAAGGTGGACTGAGGGGTTGTCGCGGAGGAGAGTCAAGGGTTGAGGAAGAATTTGATACGCCTTAGTTTTGGGAGGTCTGGAATACTGGCTTGGTGGGATCCTTAGCGCCCTTGGGCCGAGGGGCTTGGCGGGACGACGACAGTGGCTGTTGAGAACCTCTAGAACTCGCAGACTCCCAACAATACTGTAATAATTGCCTCGCGCGCCGTTGCTTACCTTGGGGTGAAGTTACCCTGAAAAAAACATGGGCCTTTCTAGTCTACATGGAAGGATAAGAGGAATATGTGTATATACTTGGTCCTACACAAAGACCACATCCATCGACTTTATTGATTGCTTTTGGAGAAAGGTGGGGGACTAAAAAAACAGAAAAAGAACATACACTGTACCTATCCGTACCCGTAACAATCAGAATACTGGCACCGAACAAAGATCCTTTTGGATGTGGATAGGTAGATACCCACCTGCACCAGTGCAGGTAGATTGTTGCTAAGGAATGTACTCCGCCTGTTTAGGAATACTACGCTGGTGCTCAATTACGAAGTAGGTCTATTTGTAGTTAATATATCCCTGATGGATACAGCCTATGGAGTAGATAAGGTCCAAGACCACATCCAACGAATCCCTTTCGCCCTGCCATCCCCAGATATTCGGGCGTCTGCAGATACATCAGTAAGTAAATTAACAATAATGAACGAATACATACGGAGCAGAGTCGGGCTAGAGATGCATGCTAAAAATATCCAACCACATTGGACCCTAAGTGGCCGAATACGGAGACAGTTACTAAGTAATAATACGCCTTCAAGGTCAGATATCGATCACGTGGTGATAAGCGGCGATGAAGTAAGACTCATATCAGGCTAAGTCGGGAAAGCGATCTGAGTTCGGAAAACTACCTATATTGACCCTTGGTGGTGCTTCCTATATGGCTTGTCTCGCCTCCTTTGCGTGAACCAATTGCTCCTATCGCCTAGAACACCCATCTGCCTTTTTCCTTCGGACACAAAGAGGCACCGAGGTCCATACGTCAATGATGGGCTTGTGTTAGCTATCGTCGAACAGGTCACTTGCGCAGATCGCTGATCACTCTCGCGGAGAAAGCAACTGGTTTTGTAGGACATGAAGAGCTACAATGGACCATACAATACAGATACCAATAGAGGACGGGTCACCCGATGGCCCCGTTCCCAGGACGGGCAATCGCCGTGACTCCATGCGGAGCAGGTTTGTGAACCATGTTCAAGAACGGTTGGAAAGATTGCGCTTTGCTGATGTCTCTGTAGCTTTAGCGTCGTTTCCGATGTAGAAATGGCTCGCAATGAGGTACGTGTTCTCCTACCCTGGTCTTTCGTCTGAGGTGGTGTCTAAGCTTCTCTAGGTCTTTGACGGACCGATATCAGAAAGCATCCCGTCTAGTGTCGTCTCGTTTTCTCACCGCAGAAATCGAAACGATTCCACCGTCAGCTTTACCTACTTTCAAGGGGAGGATGATTTCGTCGAATGGCCCGACGAACATGCTGTAGATGCTGGCAGCGACCTCGACGAAGAGGCGATGATTGCGCAGGATACTGGCTCTATAGACGGGTCTGTCAGATCATCTTTCAAATCGAGACGACCGTCTTATCTGCGGAGTGCTGTTGAAGAGCCTTTGCTTCCTCAGCGACGCTCATCTCTCGAGTCCTATGGTCACGACCGAAAGGCCGATAGCAGACTCAACCAGAAAGTCCACATAGAATCAGAGGACCTCACGATCGTCATCGCTGGCTTTTCATCGACACTTACAGGCCTGATCATTTACTTCACTTTGTGTGTTATGACCTTGGGCTTCGCGTACCTACTATTTCGCTGGTTTCCTCGATGGCGGGTACGACTGATAGGGAAACCCACACCTCTCCGCATATGTCAATGGGTTGCCATTGAGGTACGCCGCATACACGGCATCAACCCTCTGATGTCTTGTGTCTTACTAACTCAATGCAGGACCAGTGGAACCAGTTCAATGTATACGAAGTTGGAAGTCAGCAATATGGACGTCCTCTCTCCACCGTCTTTGCAGATCCCGAGAGCTACTTTTACGATGAGGATAATGACCCCACTGTCAGTTTCCTTCGTTATATAGATTACCGGTACCTTCGATTCTTTTATCACCCTGTGGAAGACAAGTTTTGCTTGATAAGTGGTTGGAAAGATCCTCTGTGGACAAACGCAAAAGTAATGCGAAGTGGGCTGGATGCCGATGACCGTGATAGCCGGGAGCAAATATTCGGCACCAACCTCATCGACATCCAACAGAAATCAATTTTTCAGCTCTTAATGGACGAGGTAAGTGTATTGTCTCTCCATATTCACGCAATTGGCATTCTCACGCAGCTAGGCTTTCCACCCCTTCTACATCTTCCAACTTGCCAGTCTCCTTCTTTGGTCGATGGACCAGTATTATTATTATGCTGCGTGTATCTTCATCATATCTGTGGTTAGCATAGGCACAACGGTCCTTGAAACAAAGGCTGTGAGTTTTCATTTCCTCATGACGAATGATCGTCTACTCACCCCATGTAGACCATGAGCCGTCTCAGGGAGATCTCCTTATTTGAATGCGATATACGCGTGCTAAGAAATGGATTTTGTACGTCATTCGCCCTGGACTACACTTCGAGTACTTCAATCGCTGACATGCTCTTCAATCAGGGCGATCGGTTCCGTCGCAGGAATTAGTGCCCGGTGATGTCTTCGAGGTTTCCGATCCGTCCCTCAACCAGGTCCCATGTGATTGTATTTTACTTTCTGGGGACTGTATCGTGAACGAGAGCATGCTCACCGGTATGTATCTACTAGCATGAAATGGTACAGGAAGTAACTAATACCGAAAAGGCGAATCCGTTCCGGTATCGAAGGGCCCCCTGACAGACGATGCACTAGGATACCTCAATCTGAGTGCTCCCTCCGTCCATCCAAATATTGCGAAACATTTCCTCTTCAGCGGGACCAAAGTAATCAGAGCCCGGCGTCCACAGAATGTGGATGACGATGAAGCGATTGCTCTGGCGATCGTTGTGAGAACAGGTTTCTTGACCACGAAAGGGGCGCTCGTCCGCTCAATGCTTTTCCCCAAGCCATCCGGATTTAAGTTCTATCGCGATTCATTTCGCTATATATCAGTCATGGCAGTGATTGCGATTCTAGGATTCATCGCTTCATTCGTGAATTTCATTCGGCTCGGCGTGAGTTCACCCTCCTTGAATGAATGCTAGGACTTTCTCGACTGACTCCAATAACTCTCTTTCTATGCATTAGCTTTCATGGCATCTGATTATTGTAAGGGCACTCGACTTAATCACGATTGTTGTACCACCGGCTTTGCCTGCTACCCTGACAATCGGCACGAACTTTGCTCTTTCGCGGCTCAAAAAACATCAGATCTTCTGCATCAGCCCACAGAGGTAAAGTCTTGCCCTTCACCTAGCCTCGATCTTATGCTAAACTAATTAATAGGGTGAACGTTGGGGGAAAACTTGACGTGATCTGTTTTGATAAGACGGGAACACTCACGGAGGACGGACTAGACGTGCTCGGAGTGCGCACGGTTGATCGAAACCACAGGTATGAAATGCTACTGCGATAGCAGCTGTGTCTCTGCTAACAAATATGCAGCCTATCGGAGCTACAGTCGGACTTGACCCTTAGGTCTTCCCCTTCGTCAGATTCGGCTACTGTTCACGACATTTCCAAGCAGAATAAAATGATTTATGCCATGGCAACGTGTCATTCCCTCAGAGTCATTGATGGTGAACTTCTCGGGGATCCTCTGGACGTGAAAATGTTCCAGTTTACTGGCTGGTCATACGAAGAAGGAGGAAGCCATGGAACCGAACGGCAACTCTCAAGTTTTGATACAATCACGCCGTCTGTTGCTAGACCTCCCAACCAGGGTGGTTTTCTGCCAGATCACGGGCAGGACGGGTCGTCGGTAAGGTCCCCCATTTCCAATCCATGCCCCGTGATGACAAGGTTCTATGTTGTCTGATTCTAACATGGACGCCAATCCAGAGTCCGATCGAGCTCGGTATATTGCGCAACTTTGAATTTGTTTCACAACTTCGCCGAGCAAGTGTGGTTGTAAGGCAATTTGGAGACGGCGGAGCTAGCGTCTTCGTGAAAGGCGCACCTGAGAGTGTCAAGGATATATGCCGACCGGAAAGCTGTGAGTTGCATTTCCAGATTTTCTCAATGAGGTTCCTGGATTTCTAATGCTTGCATCCCATAGTGCCCCATGATTTTGACGACATTCTCAGTCAATACACTCACAAAGGCTATCGCGTCATCGCCTGTGCTACCAAGTATGAGTCGAAACTCAGTTGGATGAAAGTGCAGAAGATGGCGCGTGAAGATGCTGAATGTGATTTGGAATTTATTGGCTTCATAATATTTGAAAACAAGCTCAAGTCCACATCTGCTGGAACCATAACTGAACTGAGACAGGCAGGGATACGGAATATCATGTGTACGGGGGACAATATCCTTACAGCCGTGAGCGTTGCTCGTGAATGTGGTCTCTTGAGCAAAGACGAACAATGTTTTGTTCCCCACTTCGTGCAAGGTTTGCTACTCGATTCCGCTCTACGAAACACTATCTGACTTGAATGCAGGGCATCATCTCGACCCAGAAGCCTCACTATGCTGGGAAAGTATAGACGACCCTACGTTGAAGCTTGACGCAAAGACCCTGATGGTATGTATGTGAGACTCTATGAACGGCAATAAACTGACATTGCGCAGCCTGCGGTGACCTCCCAAGGTCCTGATCTGTCCATACCTGCCACTGCATGCGACGCGCAAAAATACTCCCTTGCTGTTTCCGGAGATGTGTTCAGGTGGATTGTAGACTTTGGGAGTGATATCACCCTCAAAAGAGTGAGTTAACATCCATCCTTGGTCTTCTGAAACCTTGCTTTTGGTAGACGTGACCTAACATTATGATAATCAGATGCTGGTACGTGGCAATGTATTTGCTCGAATGTCGCCAGATGAGAAGCATGAGCTTGTGGAGAGACTTCAGTCTCTCGACTACTGCTGTGGGTTCTGCGGTGATGGTGCAAATGACTGTGGTGCCTTGAAAGCTGCAGATGTTGGCATCTCTCTATCTGATGCCGAAGCTTCAGTGGCTGCTCCATTTACCAGTCGCCAGTTTGACGTCTCCTGCGTCCCTACTCTGATCAGGTACTGTGGACATCCAAAAGTCACGTACGTATTTCGCTAATTGGGACATAGGGAGGGCCGAGCTGCCTTAGTCACAAGCTTTTGTTGTTTCAAGTATATGAGTCTCTATTCGGCAATCCAATTCTCGACAGTGAGCCTTCTATACACTTCAGCATCGAATCTTGGGGACTTCCAAGTAGGTATAGCATTGTTGTCTCGAGTCCATCGCTAACCACTCCCAGTTCTTGTTCATTGATCTCGTACTCATTCTTCCAATTGCGATTTTCAGTAAGTAGAATATCCCAAGGAGATGCATCACACCATGATGTATCTGTCCCTGTGATGATGTTGCTAACCCTCCTGGTAGTGGGCTGGACAGGGCCTTATCCTGTGCTCTCTCGGAAAAGGCCAACTGCCGACCTTGTGTCCCGCAAGGTTTTGACTCCATTGCTTGGTCAGATCTTGCTCTATGTTCTGGTTCAGGTTGTGGCTTACAGGGCTGTTCAAACCCAACCATGGTAAGCTCGACTAGTCCGAACTACATGGGGGCCATCGAGCAGCAATCGCTGACCAGCGCTACAGGTTCTTACCGCCCCAGATAGATCTTGACAACAGCAACATTGAAAATTCTGAGAACACCGCGTTGTTCTTGACTTCCAGCTTTCAATACATCTTAGCAAGTGTGGTCCTCAGCGTAGGGCCTCCATTCCGGATGCCGATGAGATCGAACAGTGAGTAACGACACGCCCCACCGGCTCGTTTAGAAGCTGACAACTGCAGAACCATTCGTCCTTGTCATCATCATCGACCTATTGATTGCCGTTTACATGCTGTTCAGTCCCTCCGAGACGGTCAAACGGGTAATGCAGCTTACGTACATGTCGACCGGATTCTGCTGGTGTATACTTGTACTGGCTATTGGAAGCTTCTTGTTCTCTTGGGCTGCAGAGCGTACCATTTTCCCCAGGCTGGCTCGGATTCTGGGGCATATAAAGACGCGATTGCAGCCTGGTCGTGGCAAGAAACGCCGTCAATACAAGGTGCTCCTCGAAGAGATGCGCCCTTAAGGAATCCAGCGCTTGCCCCCGCTTCCTCGGCCGATCTCTCTTTTTGTATGTATAGGATGTGTATATGCGCTTTCTTTTCCAGATAGATTGGACATGGGAGTCTACATAGTTCATCTCGTGGAACTGTGGATATATGGCATTGGGTAAGAGCCGTCAACTGTCCATTGTCCCGCAGCTAGGGTGGCTCACAGCACACGCAAGGAAATCTCTAGAAGGTGGAATAGTTGTTGAAATGGAACACGCATGTTGTGGGAGGGTTCCGGTATATTTGTCTCTGGTGTAGATCGTCTCATAGCGGGTATGACGAATAAAAGTTCTTCGGATTTTGAACAATGCAAGGCATGAAAAGCTCGTGCCGACGACTAAATTAATGACATTCTGATTCTTTCAGTGATCCCAAGGATGCTTCCAACCCAACAAAGCCGGGCCATCCTTCTTCGCTCGGTACATCAGCTGTATTCACAGACGGTAAATTAGCGCTCCTGCTCCACCTAAAGGAATCGTAAGTGGGAAATTGAATCAATTGACACATACGAAGAACCACATGCTGGCACCGAGAGCCGTCGCGGTGAAACGATAAAGAGGCCGGGCTGGGTGGATATGGATCGGGTGGTTGGCGGCCATTTCTATGTCGATTGTCAGCAGAACTGCGAGAGTCGCAAACGAGTCGCCGTCTCGTACTGTGTGCAGTCTGTTTTCCGAGGACAGACGTCAAGGAATTCAACACTCCGGGGGTTCGACAAGCTCGAGGGTTGGGGTCATCGTCGGGTCCCGGAGCGGCAGGGAACAGAAGGAAGTCGGCCGGCCGCAATCGCATGTGTCACGTGATGATCGACCGATTTCCGGGTCCCTGGCAGCGTCACTACTGCGCGGTTATCCTCGCGCTGTCGCCGCTCGAAGCAGCCTTTTAAACTGCGTGACTCGCAGGACCGTGTCTACAGCCTCTCCTACCGCCTCTTATACACCTACTAGCGTTTTACACCTACCCGTGCCGTTGATCGCGCGTCGTTACCGCATAGCTCGAGCGAGAACTGCGCGTCATTCTTTATCTGCATCAGACGGCTTCTACTCCGGAGTAGATCACCGACAATTTCGGAGGGCGCGAAAAAAAGAGAAGCCTTCATCCCACGCCGAACACCGAATTATAACAATACTTTCGCTGTGTCTCGAGACTACCACGGACTCTCTACCGACTGTTCAGTTCCCATGTCGCAAATGAACGCCTTTCGCTCGATGTGATCAGTACCATCGGATATCAGTCTACGATTACTTCTCTCCCATTTTTGGGCCAAGCGCACTCGAAGAGACGTAATCCTATGCGTGTCGTGCATGCGAAGAGTTCATTCGAGCAAAATGGGTATCACATCACTTGAGAGAGACGCCAATGGGACCCCCAGATTCCAGGGGTGCACCAGCATTCGCGAATTCGAGTTTTTGGGGAAGCTCGGCGAGGGAACTTTCGGGTAAGCATGTCCCGTTGTGTTGGCCGACTTGATGCTAACGCGTCATCGCAGAGAAGTGTACAAGGCAAGATCGAAAAAGGACAACTCCCTGGTCGCGTTGAAGAAGATTCTCATGCATAACGAGAAGGACGGGGTATGTGATTCCGACTTTGATATCAGTACATGTGGCTAATTCTGTTTCCATCATAGTTTCCAATCACCGCCTTACGTGAGATCAAACTCTTGAAAATGCTATCTCACACGAACATCCTGCAACTAAGAGAGATGGCAGTGGAACGGAGCAAAGGTAGCCCGACTCTTTCGCCGTTGGAGAAAGACGGTCTGACGAGCAAACAGGCGAAGGGCGAAAGAAACCCAGCATGTATATGGTCACGCCATACATGGAGCACGACCTTTCGGGGCTATTGGAGAACCCAGCTGTGCACTTCACCGAACCTCAGATAAAATGCTATATGTTGCAGCTCCTGGAGGGGTTGAAATACTTACACGGGGTATTACTATATCTCCCCAACCGCGAGACGCTTTCTAACGCATGACAGAATCAAATATTGCATCGTGATATGAAAGGCTAGTCTCCTCAGAACGACAAGCTCCATCTCTCGCTGACACCAAAGAAGCTGCCAATCTACTTATTAGCAACAAGGGAATCCTCCAAATCGCCGATTTTGGATTAGCACGACCATACGATGAACCCCCGCCGCAACCAGGGAAGGGTGGAGGAGAAGCCAAAAGGGATTACACAACACTAGTCGTGACACGCTGGTACCGACCCCCGGAGCTTCTCCTCCAACTACGACGTTATACGACGGCCATCGATATGTGGGGCGTAGGGTAATGAACTCGATCCTGTCTCTGGACCTTGGAGGTTGCTGACACTTTCAGATGCGTATTCGGAGAGATGTTCAAGGGAAAGCCCATTCTCGCCGGGAGAAGTGACCTTAATCAAGCACAACTCATTTTCAGCCTTGTAGGCACACCGTCAGAGGAGAACATGCCTGGATGGAGCTCTCTACCAGGCTGCGAAGGCGTCAAGAACTTTGGAAACAAACCAGGAAATTTGCCCGAGGCTTTCAAAGAGTATATCTACCCTCCATCCCTGTGTATCCCTTAACAACAGACACTGCTCGCAAGACAGAGATCGATTCTAACACGCCCTCAGACTGAGCCCGGTCGCCATCTCACTTCTTAGTGAGCTTCTAAAACTCGACTGGCGGAAAAGGATAAATGCCATTGATGCATTGAAACACCCCTATTTTACCACTCCACCGCTCCCTGCGCGCCCGGGCGAAATCCCTCATTTCGAAGACTCGCACGAGCTCGACCGACGAAAGTTCCACGGCCAAAGGGCTGTCATGCCGCCAGCACCCGCAGGTGGTTCCGTCGGCATGGGCGCAAATGGAGGTTGGACGACAAATTCGGGCCCAAGAGGAGGAGATAACAGAAACAGTCGAATCCCCGGCGCCGCCGCGGCGCGCATGGCGAGACCCAATGCCCATGGGAATCAAGGGAACTCATTCCGACGCTCGGACAGTCGGAGCAACGAGCCATATACGTCACGCGCCAGACCAGGCCCTGAGGACTCGAACAGAGCACCCGCGCCCTGGGCAAAGGACGGCGGCCTTCCACCCAAACCGCCCGTACCTAGTCATCAGCCGTGGGCTGCAGGCCATGGCCGGTCCGGACGCGATAGACCCTACCAGAGCCGCTCGGGCCCACGTCCAGAAGGCGCTATAGACTCATACCACCCGAACTATTCTGGCGATCGCGGCCGTGACAGTGAAGGTCGGGCCTCAAACATTGGCAGCGATCGATCTGGGAGACGCGATTATGCGAGGGACAATCCACCACGAAGACGTAGCAGAAGCCCATATTCCAGGGAGGGCTCTCGGCCTGGTGATAGGCCGTCATATCGATGAAATACACGCCACAGACTATAATCAGATATGTTTCCGGCACACCCTCATTTCCAGGATTCAGCCCTTTTCACATGTAGGATCACACTGCCACAAGTGTCAGAGAGCTTGAAAGCAGCTTCATTACTCGATCGGTAGAGGACCATCGGTGGCTATCGCGTAAGGCTATAATAGACACAGCTGAGCTGCCTTCTGTTTCCAGAAGGCAAGTTGCAATGCCATTGGTCTGTTTTTAATCATGAAAAAGAACTTGCAATAACAAATAGCCAAAATCGAGGGTGTTGAACGAAGTGTAGCACAAACAGTGTCATAAATATAGAACAAGCCCAAGAGCCAACATATGACTCCCCTACTAGCAACCAAACAAGTAGGTGGGCGCCTGCGAAATTGATCATCATATACCCAATCCAATACAGTCTAAAATGTAGATATCAAACACCAAAGCTTTTCCCCTGTCTTGCCTTTCATGAATGGTGGACATGCGCCGTTGAGGGTTCTTAGTCAATCCATCTGAGTGTCATCTCAGGCTTCTCAATACATATGCAGTTGAAAATGCATAAGTTTAGTACAATATACGCGTCATAATGCGGGCTGTACATTTTATTAGTTCTCTATGCAATTGCCAAAGGAAGTGTATGGAGTATACTTACACGAAAGACTCTCCAGTCTCTCATACAGATCCTTAATGGTTGAGTTATCGACGTTGCTGATATCAGCCATCAGGTAGGCCACCTAGAGAGTGTTAGTAACGATAAGAACTGTGACATAGAAGTTCATAACGTACATCGCCTCTGCTATCAGTCATCTGCTTGTCAACGTTGTGATCTCCAAGAATTTCGTTGACTACAATCAAGTTAGTAAGAGCGGTCACCACATATTCTTCGACGAAAATTACCTTTCCGCAAAACACCAGGGATGTTCTGATGGATATAAATCACCTATTTCCAGGAGTCAGTCACACATTGCGCATATACTTGACACTGAATGGCTGGACTTACGCGAGCATGGTCGGGCTCGTCCATGGTCAACGAACGCAGAGCGACTTCCGGAAGGTTCACCGCTCCCAGAGTTGTGCCTTCATTGACATATCTCACCAAGGCCTCTGCGACCTCAACACCGATAGCACGCTGCGCTTCCTCGGTGCTACCTCCGATGTGGGGGGTAAGGATTATGTTCTTCAGGCCCCGGAGAGCGGCTCCCCAGCTGTTGAGGTCATCATTGAAATAGTCGCCATTGCCGGCGGGTTCGTTGGGGTATACGTCCAACGCAGCACCCGCAACCTTGCCGGAGCGCATCGCCTCGATCAATGCTGGGATGTCCACTACGCTTCCTCGGCTGGCATTGATCAGATAGCTTCCGTCCTTCATCTGCTCAAACTGAGCTCTGCCAATCATGTTCTTAGTCTCCGGGAGCTCTGGAACGTGGCATGTGATGAAATCAGACTGGGACAGTAGATCTTCCAACGTCGCTACTTGGCGCGCAGTACCCAAAGCCATCAAGTTAACGACATCGTAGAACAGGACAGACATTCCCATAGCCTCAGCCAAGACCGAGAGCTGAGCGCCGATATGACCGTATCCAATGATTCCTGTGACACCAATTAGGACGACCATTCATTCACCCTAGGCGAGGGCGCGACATACCTAGTGTCTTGCCACGGATCTCCCAGCATCCGTTGCTAACCTTGTTCCAGGTACCGTTGTGCATTTCATTCGAACGATCACCGAGTTGACGGGCAAGGGAGATGATCTCAGCGATCACGAGCTCGGCGACACTGCGGGAGTTGCTGAACGGGGAGTTGAACACGGCGATACCGTGCTCCGCCGCATACTGGAGGTCGACCTGGTTGGTACCGATACAGAAGCAGCCCACGACGATGAGGTTTCTGGCTTCCTTCAACACACGAGCCGTGAGCTTTGTCTTGGAACGGATACCGATGACGTGGACGTCACTAGATGAAGGAGCGCAAACAGTTTAGCTCCAGAACAACGAGCATCGAGGGGGGTGAGACGAGACTAATAAGCGGGGACTCACCGGATCTTCTCAATAAGCTGATCTTCCGGGAGGGAGGATTTGAGAAACTCGACTTGGTAGCCCTGCTTGGTGAGGATATCGCGGCCGGTCTGGTTGACATTCTCAAGCAGCAGCACCTTGATATCCTCGGTGGCAAAGGGCTTCAAATGCTTCGCATTGGGCAGAGGAATGACCCGATTCGCGAATGTCGAGCCTCCATGGCTAGACGGGGGCGACTGAAACGATGCCGATGGCGACGCCGAAAAGTTGAAATCTTGTTGCGAGTGAATGTCCCTGGGAATTGAAGTCATCTTGACGGACAATTGTGAAGACGGTGCGGGAGCAAAAGGGAGGGAAGGGAAAGAAAATGTATAGGGAAGAAGAAGGTTGGTCAAGCACGTTATTTAAAAAAGTGCTCCGGGACCGGACTGCAACAAAGCTTCTCTTCCGGTGAAATTGACTCATCGGCCGTTTTGGAGGGGCTCCGGCGGGGCCCAAAAACCCATAAGGTCCTTGATCCTTTGGGACGCCTTATGCACACGCACCTGGTCCAGAGTACATAATAAGAAGTATAAGTATCATACGATGTTCAGTGGAGCACACGGGTATACTTGTGGTTGGTATAACAGACATTTACTACTACTCTAAATCATCACGCAATACATCTAGTCCATGGAATTGACATCCCCCAGGCCACTTAAACTTGGAGGTTCTCCATCTTCTTGGTCGCCTCCTGCGCACCAGCAGCAGCCTTGGCTTGCTTGCCCTTGGGCTTCTGCGAGGTGCTGTCTTTGGGGAGTTCCTTGGTGAAGGGAAGGAATTCAGGCGATCCGGGGATGTACTTGCGGAGAGGTTCGGGCACAATGAAGCCCTATAACACTGTATCAGTACGATCGCTGAGCCATTCGCAGAGAGAAATCACTTACCTCCTCGGTCTGGTAGTTTTCCAGAATGCAGCAGAGTGTCCGCTCCGTGGCACACAGGGTGGCATTGAGCGCATGGACATAGGTCTTCTTGGCGTCGGTTTGCTTCTTGATTCCATAGCGGATCTCCAATGCTCGGGCTTGGTAGTCCGTGCAGTTGGAGCACGAGACCAGTTCCTTGTACTCTCCCTGGAACGGGAACCAGGCCTCGAGATCATATTTCTTGGATGCTGCATTGTTCAGAGCGCCGGAAACAATGGCCACAATCTGGTAGGGCAGGCCGAGAGACTGGTAGAACTCCTCCGAAGTCGCCATCATCTCTTCGAAAGCTTCCCATGACTTTTCGGGGTTCGTGATGACGAATTGTTCGATCTGCATTCTAGTGAGCAAGGGGCCGGGAATATCGACATAGATCCGTCATGGCTTCGGTACCTTTTCGAACTGGTGGACACGGAAGATACCCCAAGCATCCTTACCGTGCGCACCAGCCTCCTTTCTGTAGCACGTACTATATCCGGCGTACCTGTATTAAGTTTAGCGATACGCCCGAGAACGAACGAGCAGAGAACTCCTACTTGATCGGCAGGTCCTTGTCCTGGAGCCACTCGGAATCGTGCAAAGCCGACAGAGGCTGTTCGGAGGTGGCAATGAGATACTTGTCCGTCGACTTGTCGTCGCTTTCCGTGACCTTGTACAGCTCCTCGTCGAATTGCTCGAGTTGTGCCGTCTTGGCCATCATCTCCTTCAACATGAACTGAGGGGGCTGATTCGGCGTGTAGCCCTTCTTGAAAAGGAATTCCAATCCATAGTTGACCAGGGCAAGGTTCAAGAAGAGACCATAGCCCGTCAAGCAGTAACCGCGATGGCCGACGATCTTGACACCACGTGCAGGGTCATAGCCATCGAGTCTAGTCAAAACCTCGTGGTGGGATAGGCAATCGCGCTTCTCAACGGTGGTCGCTTCCGGGGCCCATGTTTTCACAATAACATTGTCGTCCTGCAGCGACGCATTAGTCACTTTCAGATCCCCGATGCCTGACCCGTGTATTCAATGGGCTGGAGGCACTCACTTCAGTGTTGCTGACGGGGACTGATTCATGGACATAATTTCCAATTCCTCGGACCTTGCTGTCTCTCTCAGCCTCCTTCTGAAGTGCAAGCTCGTCGGCCTCTTTTTTGGATTTCTCCAATGCCGCCTTCTTCTCGATTAATTCGGTCGCGTCTTCCTTGTTCTGCATATACATACGTTAGTACACCGCGAACAGAAAGCAATGGTAGGAGGAACAGAGTTAAAGACAGCTATATGAATGCATCTCAACTGACCTTCTTCTTCTGTCCGATTTCCTTCTGAACGGCGTTGAGCTGACTGCCGATTTGCGTCACCTCATACCGCGCTACCCAGTGGCCCTGTACTTAGCAAGCTGCTCCGCAAGGGAATCTTCATTGCAGACGACATACCTCGACGGGCTGCTTCGTACAGCGCAATGACTTCGTCCACCACTTCTTCCGGGGCAAACCGCTTCCGCTGGCTCTCCTTGATCTTGTTCGGATTTCCACCACGGTCGCTGATAAAGTCGGCGAGATCGAGCATCTTGAACGAGAGTACGCGGGCGACTGGGATGTGGTAGTTGGCTTAGCTAGACTCTGCGAATCCAAACAATTAGAGAACCAAGGAGGCGCGGCGGGGGAGGGTCGTTGTAAAAGATGAGGGGTAAAAAAAACTGGGCGGTGGCTTTTAGAATCTTAGGGCATAAGCCATGCGTGGCAATAAGCTATGAGGGGCTTGTGAGTACTATCTTATCTGCTTCCCGACAAAGAAATAATACGGAAGTACAACCACTACTTTGTCGCCGAAAGCTCTCTTCTAGAAAGGAATGGCAGAAGGAGCGGACCTCGCTCTATTCTAACAGACATACTAAACAGATAGATTAGTCGAGGGTCGTAACAGCTGAATAAAATGGAAGAAATCGACAAGCAAACTGCCTTTAAAACAAAACAGAGCAAGAGAAACAAGAATGCCACCGGAGAACTATTACAAGGCAATAGCAGCCGTCCCTCCATTCTCAGCGCCATTACCGGGACTGCCCTCCCAGTCTCGCCCAGGCAGCATACACATCACATTACAACACACTTGTTGCCTCCTGCTGGTTGCGACGGGTTCTGGGACTTCTCAATCTCCCCTATCATTAATTGGAACGCTCGGTCGACGTTGTAGCCAAGGCGAGCACTGGCTTCGGTGAATGCGCACTGGAATTCCTCGCCTAATTGACGGCCTTCCTCTGAGGATACCTGGCGCTGTTCGGGCTTGAGATCACTTTTGTTTCCAACAACCACAAGGGGCACATAATCAGCTCCCTAAAGGATCAATCAGCAACTGACCAACATGGCGAGTTGTGCGAATACCCACCAGATGGTTCAATATCTTGTCCCGGATCACCCTGACCATGTCGAACGACTGGCGGGAGGCCACCGAGTAGACGACAACATATCCATGAATTCCAATGAAGTGTTTAGAGTTTAAAATGCTGTACTCATCCTAAGGGAGCATTAGCTTGCGTGGGTGCGATCCCCACCATCATTGACCTTACTTGACCAGCAGTATCGACGATTTCCGTCGCAAAGTCTTGACCATTGTACTTGATGATTTGGCTGAAAGTGTTTTCAATGGTGGGATAGTAGCTCTCTACGAAATGATGCTCAACAAATCGGACGGTCAGAGAAGATTTACCTAAAGAACTCATGTGTAAGTGTTTGGCCAAATAAGATCATCAAGGCAGAGGAAGGCTCTCGTAGGGGATACCATACCCACTGATCGGCTGCCAACAATAGCTATCTTCCGCTGCTTCGGTGCGGCAGGCATTTCGTAGCTTCTCAAGGCAGCGTGTCAGAATACCTTCTGGGGGAACGCTAGGGATCGGAACGCGTCAGATTGAACCGAGCCGGGTCTAACAGTTGAGTGCAGAATCGCAACAAGCAATCAGCATAGGGATCATGGAGATGGCTGTTAGAGGAGGAGAGTCATCAGGAGGTATCGTTCGCTTGAATCGGAGATCAATTGCCCTCCCCGAAAGGTGTTTCAATGATGGGTGGACTCTCTTCGAGGTGGCAAACGTTTGTAGTACTTACCTAGGTAACTGCCGCCGGCCCAGTAAATACATGCAAACGGGGCAAACATGTGGTACATTATGTCACAGACAAATGGTTATTGACTAATACACACGTGATCAAGTTAGATACCAACTGTCGGATCAAACATCCTATGTATGTATGAAAAGGAGATGGATACTAGAAGAGAATGCGTCGGCGCTTTTGTATGGGTTATCGCAGCAGCAGTCGGTAATCGTACAGTGTCATCAGTTACATAAGTAGGAACATAAATACAATAAAAGGCTGGGGAGAAACCACCATCCAAATCTTCATTATGTACTTCCGTTTTAAACACTCCCAGCGTGTTGGCGTACTTCCGATATTATGTGTTCTAATCTCCCCGTGAATTGGGATTCTTTCTCATCTCTTCCCTCGAGAGGGTACGAGTCCTGTTCTACCCGCTGGTAGTATTGTAAAAATTCTTGGGATGTCGAGAGCATCAGCGAAATTCCCTTCTTGCCAACAACGTCCTTCGCGAGACGGAAGGCATCCGAGTTTAAGCATATTGTAACCAGAAGAATCGCTAGATATCCAAGAGCGACATTATGGTGCATTTCAGGGACTGAATGTGCCTAAACCCTATATTAGTGTCTAGGTGCGGACACAATACCATTTTCATCTTACCTGATCGACGTGGCCAATATTGGTGGAGAACCGCTGAATGAGGCTTTGGAGGAAAGGTGTTGAACCGGGTGACGGAATGAGAAACATGGCTCTGAACCCGTCATTCTTCTCTGCCAAGTTAATCAGCGCTCCCAGCGCCAATATCACTGTGTTGAGTGAGCTGCTTTCTTTGTCGATAGGACCTTCTGGCTCCTCAGAAAAGCCGGCTGTAATGATATGGACAAGCCCAGAAAGAATCTGGGGAGTCGTAAATATGTCACACAGCGATAGATCCTTATTGGTCAAATTCAGAATCAGTCGAACATAGAGGATCAAGATCTCGTAGTCCGGGTCGTTTCGCTTTGCATTAAGCAAGGTATGGAGTTGACCAAGCGGGTAGAATGACGCGCACTGTTCCGTATCCAATGGTCCTGACACGATCGTATAGGTTTCCAAAATTGATAACACCAGAACGGATCTCTGAGAACGATGTGGGGATAGAGAACAGGCCTCATCGGGATCCTCGAGTGGCAGCAACTGCAGTAGCTTATGTAACAGCGACGCAGATAACGGCTCAACCGTGCTTCCCTTCTCCCGAACCCTTTGCAAAACATGATGGATGCTGGAAAGTGTCAGAGACTGGGGGGTCACTTGATCAGACAACGCCGAGTCCCCAGAAGCGGCGGAGGTCAGGTTGGGTAATATTTTCTTCGCGGATGCATGCGTCGTTCTCGAGAGACCGAGAGAGCGCTGTTTCAATAAGGAGAGCAGTTCTACCTCCACATCAAGCAATGCGGGCGCAAGGTCCAGAAGCCGTGACCAAAACGGGCCCGAAAGAGCATAGGAAAAGGAGCCTCCATCGCAGGCCATCCGATAGGCGCACAGGGCAAGAGACGCGGACTGTATGTCGATATCCTTCCGCATGGATTTCACAAGCCGTTCGTCGAACCCATACTCCGAAAAATGGGACACGCATCGCCGATCAAGGAGTTTTTCGCACAACTGTATAAATGCCGAACATCTCTCAGGGGTCGAATTATCGGAATCTTCAATATCCTCAAATATCAATTCAACTGCTTCCCGAAAGCGAGCGTTATCCCCAGATTGCCGCAGTTCATGGATACTGCGAACCGGTCTGTTGTCATTCACCTCATCGTTGTGAGGGTATGATGGGATTGCCGGGGTAGGTGCAATCATGAAAGATGACTTCTTGCCGTGCGGCGATGTATGGGATAAACCATCCTCTTCCAACAAAGACATTTCATCCAAAAAGGATCGCTGCCGCGCGTAAGTCACTTTAGATCCCCGCAGATTAGGCAGTGGTTGGGAAGTCGATTCTTGAGCATTATCCAGGTCGGGGGACCCATTTCGGTAGAGACGCGCTCTGAGTCGTGAATCGGGATCGTCAGACGGCTGCTGCGAACTAGAGGGGGAAGCTCTTTGCAGCTGAACATCGTCATTTCCAGTGCGCCTTCCCATCAAACCCGACAATTCTCCACTTGGCGAGTCTTCATTCACGGCGAGGTGATCAACTAATCGTCGCCGCGTGGGAGTCACGTTCTGGCATTGATGCCTTCCCGGTGAAATACCAGAACTCTCCTCAGGGACGGCAGCCGGAGGCGGAGGGGAATCTTTAGTCAAAGTACGCGAAAGCTTTCGACTGTGAGATGCACGGGCTGAAGATGCTGAGCTTGCTAGATCGGGCTTCGATTCTGATGATCTGCTATGTTGTCCTTGACTGAGTTTGGATGTGTCTCGTGTCTCGCGCTTGCCACTAGCTTTCGCGCCATTTGGGAACGACTTAACAGACGAATGACCCGTATCCTCGTTAGGTGACAAGCCAAGGCGTTTGTCGGAGTAAGCGTCGCCAGCCCGTGTTTGTCTGCTTTGCGCAAACGTAGTAATTTTTCTGCGCTTTATGCGAGAATGCGTGGGATCTTCCAGGGTATCTTCCTGAAGCTCGGGCCAGTCTTTCGTAGCGGCATGACTTACTGAAAGACTGCCAGACCCGCGAGCCTCGGGAGCACGCTGTGGTCGTCGAAGGGTATGGGATGAAGGAAGAGCCCCGGTTGTACGACTGCTTTCGAGAGCCGAGCTGGCGTCTGCTGCTGTGGTGGATCCGGTGGCCCTGCCCGTCCCCTTTTGTGACTTATTAGAAGCCGCTTTACCATAAGTGACAAGCTTCTTGGTTCGCTCGCGCATCGTGGCGTTGCGAAGGCGCAATGGGGACTGACTCCTTTGACGGGGAGAGAAGTTGCGACAGGTGGATAGACAAGTGGAGGTGCCGATTACATAGGTCTGTATCAGTGTTCGTTGTCGTCCAAGGTATGACTAGTCGTGTTGAGCCCAGGTTGCAAGCATAGTAAATCCATGAACAGGTTTGATTGCAGCATGCGTTCATGTGAAGTATTCGAGTATCTTATCCTCAGGTAGACGGTCCGATGGAACAAGTGCTTGTTGGGGCCAAGAGCATGTCACAGGTCCTCGAATTGAGACAATGAGTAACAGAAGTGTTTCAATATGGACAATGCTGTGCGCGACTTGTGTTGCTTGTCCGTACAGAGTAGGTAGTGGCGACGAGTCCGGAAACAGTCGAAAGAGGATTGAATGGGTTCGCCTACCTAGGTACTGCCGGCGCGGCGGATGCGGAAGCAGGTCTCCATATTACTTACGGAGCACCTATCTGCAAGCTTAAGGTGGGGGTGGGCGGTTAGGTTATGTAATACGAGTAGGAAGAGAGTTGTTACCCCTTTCGGGCAGTTCAGCTCGTCCTAACCCTTGTTGGAACTAGCTCTGCGGGCCCCAGATCAAAAATGGTCAACACTCTTGAGCCTGGGCGCATATGATTCCCCGCCTTTTGCACCTCTCACTGCTCATACAAGATTGATTGACTCTACTACCAGGTACCACAGATCGCAGCTCTCTATATTTGGGGCCTTCCGCTTATTGACCACCGAACACTTCTCAGTCGCTCCTTGTCATGGCTGCCGAACCAGGAGAAAGCCTGCCCTGTCCGGCCCAGGGAGTTGGGCCATTCTACCGTCCCGATGGGGAGAAGCCTACTGCAACAGTATCGAAAGCGCTACCTTACGAGAACGTTCACGTTTTGCCGCAGACTCCCCAATTAATTGCTCTTCTGACGTAAGACAAGCTCGGGCGGGGGGGTGTTGAATCTTGGGCTGACCCCCCATTCCAGCATGATCCGAGACAAGCGAACTGGGCGCGCCGATTTCATCTTTTATTCGAACCGGATCATTCGCCTCCTAGTTGAAGAAGGCCTCAATCACCTCCCTGTGGTGGAACAGCCGGTCACTACTCCTGTTGGACGAACCTATCTCGGCGTGAAATTCGAAGGGAAAATATGTGGCGTTTCTATTATGAGGGCGGGAGAGGCGATGGAACAAGGCTTGAGAGACTGCTGCCGGTCCGTTCGAATTGGAAAAATTCTCATACAAAGAGATGAGGAAACATGCAAGCCGAAACTATTTTACGAGAAGCTTCCTGGTGACATTGCTAACCGCTGGGTTCTTCTGCTCGACCCCATGTTTGCGACAGGTAGGTCAGCAGCGCGGCAATGTAAGGGATAGACACGCCTAACATCATACAGGCGGCTCTGCTACACTTGCGGTAGAGGTTTTGAAACAGAAGGGCGTACCGGAGGACCGAATTCTGTTCCTCAACCTTATCGCTAGTCCATCAGGAGTTGCGGATTTCGCCAAACGTTTCCCGAAACTGCGAATTGTGACGGCGTTCATCGACCAGGGCCTGGATGAGAAGAAGTAAGCAGTCTACAGGGTGTCGTATTTCGTGCATGATCATCTATACTAACTATGGACTTCAGGTATATTATCCCAGGCCTGGGAGATTTCGGGGACCGGTACTATACATTATAATCTATTCCATTTGACGCAAAATCCTAGGCATTGGGAACCATTCACGTTGCCCTAGCATAAACAAGGGAAAAGCTCCAATCGGAGAATGCATCGCGAAACAGGACATATTAATGCGTGCCTACTATTCTGTGTAGATAGATGCCAGTTATAGCCAGATAACTGTTGTCCCAACGCCATGACACATTATGTTTTGCAGACGGGAAAGGTCGCTTCTCTCTAGGACCATGTGGTCATATCAGTATCCGTCATAATCATCTCCATGTTCCGCAACATCTACTCCCGTGTCTTCTGGATACCCGGTTGAGCGCGCACCGCGGACGTCATTCTCTTCGTATTTGTTTGCTGTATCCTTAGCGACGGCGTCACATGCGTCAACCCAATCCGAGTATACATCAACGGCAGCTGAGAGGTCTGCGGCACGTCAGTGATAGTCGGGTTGAGTAGCTTTTGCGACTTACAATTGATGCCTGTCTGGAATCTCTGTCCACAGACCTTACAAGACAGGTTTCCTAATCCCAGCTTTTTATCTAGCTTTACCACGACAGAGTTTTCGTGGTTACAAAATAGACACGCGAATGTCGTGGGGAGAGGTTCTTTCTGAGCTCGTGTTAGAGCCTGCTCAAAGGACGGGTTCGAAAGCCAATACCTTTTTTGGCTGTTGCGGAGTTCTGCTCGACTTCTTCCGTTTTCCCTGTATCAAACGAGATGTATTAGAAACAATGGAGACCTTTCAAACAGACGTGCGGAACAACCTACCATGATGTGTCGAGGTGTGTGGTAACTTGCGGTCCGAAGGACTACTCCGTACTTCCTGGGCTATTCTGAAGTACCTGCTAGGATATCGTCAGACTTGCTCTCACTCAGGGGAGTGAATCCGCTACCAATATATTTTTTCGAGATTGAGTGTTGTGATAATAGTCGTGAATGATGGCGCCGATCGATCAATAAATTCTCCCTGTGCCTGCTCCTTCCAAGGTCGCCGAGTACGCCAACTGGGATTTCATAAGAACGAGTATTACATCATCCGTGGCAGAACCGTACTCTGTAGGTACTACATGCACCTACCGCCTTCAATACCAAGGCAGATAAATCAGCGGACAAACATCTCAAGAATTATGAGGCAATTTTATGCGCGGTCTATGGTGAAATGTATCTAAAGTGGGTATGCACTGGATATGGAAATTCCAGGTAGTGAGATATAGGGAATTCATCCCCGTCTCTGCACTATACGAATCTCTCAAAAGGTCACTTGTTGGATCCACGCGCATTGACCATAACTGTCCAGGTCCTATGCAAAGAACTGGGTAGAGGTGTTAGGGAAAGGATGAATGATTATGCCTTCTGCATGCACTTAATATGAGTAAGTTTGGCAATACTTAAGACTTTGAACATGTATCTACCCAAAAATTCCATGGCCTGGATCTTTCCTTGCCGCCATCAAGCAATGTACGATTGAATTACAGTAGTTCAGAAAGGAAAGATCATGTGATTTTAGACTATGGCCAATCATGCGTAAGGTGCCCGAGTTTGTGGGGGGAGTTATATTATGTAATCTAAGGATAGGGCCGGCGGCTCGCTTAGCGGACTTTTCTGTGGGATTTTGTTTTCGACTCTCGTTCCGTCGACCCAGCAAGCGAAATCGCATCGACTCCCTCCACCGGACCCCGTGGTGTGTGAAAACTGTCTGTCTTCGATAGCCTCAAGATAGACTCGAGTCGCAGCAATGGCCGTTGGAAAGTATGGTTGCCATTATTTCTGTTTTTTTCGAAAGGTTGGAGATCATCAATTCTAACGGCTTGATAGGAACAAGCGCTTGTCGAAGGGCAAGAAGGGTATCAAGAAGAGAACCGTTGACCCCTTCTCGCGGAAGGATGAGTACTCTGTGAAGGTAAGGCTCGTGCTTCAATAATTTGCTATGTCGCTAAGAAATTCCAGGCTCCCTCTACCTTCCAGATCAGAGAGTATGTCTAGCGCTCGTTGCCTTCAGTTCCTATCCCATATCCAGAGTTTGTCTCTACGTTCCGCTCAGACGACTGACCAACTTGCCAAACAAAAGTGTCGGAAAGACCCTCGTCAACCGTACCAGCGGTCTCAAGAACGCGAACGACTCCCTGAAGGGACGTATCTTCGAAGTCTCTCTTGCCGACCTCCAGAACGACGAGGACCACGCCTTCCGCAAGGTCAAGCTCCGCGTCGATGAAATCCAGGGAAAGAACTGCTTGACCAACTTCCACGGCCTGGACTTCACCACCGACAAGCTGCGCTCCCTGGTGCGCAAGTGGCAGTCCCTCATTGAGGCCAACGTCACCGTCAAGACGACCGACGACTACCTTCTCCGTCTTTTCGCCATTGCTTTCACCAAGAGACGCCCCAACCAGATCAAGAAGACGACCTATGCCCGCTCTTCCCAGATTCGCGCTATCCGCAAGAAGATGACCGAGATCATGCAGCGGGAGGCCGCCAGCTGCTCTCTTGCTCAGCTCACCACCAAGCTGATCCCCGAGGTCATTGGCCGTGAGATCGAGAAGGCCACCCAGGGCATCTACCCTCTCCAGAACGTCAGTCACCACACTTTGGCCATTCGCTTCACATACGGACGATTTACTAAATGTGCGTATAGGTCCACATCCGCAAGGTCAAGCTCCTGAAGTCCCCCAAGTTCGACCTCGGCGCTCTCCTGAACCTTCACGGCGAGTCTACCACCGATGACAAGGGCCACAAGGTTGAGCGGGAATTCAAGGAGCAGGTCCTTGAGAGCGTTTAAACGAAGGTGCTTGCTACTAGCGATGAATACCATATCGGTACCGAACCTCAAGGCGCCGTCCGTTCTGTTTCGTGGAGAATAACCGAAGGGCGTGAATGTTTGGGATGTTGGTTTACCCGACCAGCGGTGGGCCATTTGTCGGATTTGTCCTGGGAGCAGTGTCGATAATTTAGAAAAAAATGTTTCCTATGAATCAATCTTGTTACGTCTGAATGATCTGTCTACAATCTGGTAGATTCCGGGGCACCAGGATGGCCATGCGGTGGGTATAGTATTGCTATCACGCTACCTCCAGGCTTTCCAAATTTATGCATGCCAGTCAGTAGACATGCAGGAGGGGGGACATTGCTCAGGTTTCCACCGTGTCTACTAACAAGATAAAGCCTGGTACTTCGGTAAGCACTGCTGCCATGTGTTCTCAACACTCTCGCAATCTACCTTCTCCGATTAAGATCAGGTATGATGCGACACCAAATTGGAACCTGTCCTCGAATGACACTAGGCAGTGTATGTGTATACTCTCCTGGTTTACTCTACTATAATATCTTGTGGTCATCCAGATTCAGCCAGCCTATACACTAGCTGGGTCCGCTGGGATAACTCTTACGGGAAGAAAAGACTCCATTTTTATTTCCAGAAGCGAGTAGAGTTCCTTATGCTCTATAGCCACCCTTGGTATTACCAACATTGCCTATCTAGCAATCACTCACTACCCTTCTACATTAAGAGTTAAAGGACAAGGATCAAGTACCGATCATCATGCCCACAAAACAATGAACATCCCAGATCTCTGTTTATTTCCAGTGGTTTCGCGACAGCACCACAATAAACCCCGTCTTGCTTCTCAATCTTGTGTACCTCAGTCACACTCTTCATCTGTTAATCAATGTGCCTTCATAACCTTCTCCCGACCTCTTCTTCGTCCGAGCTGTCACCCGTATCAGTTGCGTGGTTGCTGGTCAATAGCCATGGGCGATCTGATCTGTCCTGTTTTAGCAAGACGGAACCGGAATACTTGCTCCATAGGTAAATAGAATGCGAGCTTCCTTCTCACTCAAAGCCATCAGGGCCAAAAAAAACTTTGGGACGGACTCCGTTTCGGGTGGCATACGCTCTGCAATTCCTGGGATGCTGCAGAATAGTAGCCATCTCGGAGACTCCTGAGGAACTAGGTTTCATCGTACGTGGACAAGAACCATAGTGCCATCATGAAAGCCCATGGTGCTTTGTGCTCACCGACTATTCGGATTTGGTGGGTCGAGTCGAGCTATAATAAGATTCGGGACCTTCTCACGGCTTCTGTTCTTCATACGGTGCGTCTAGAACGCTCCTCGACAAAAGAGTACGGGCCAGTTGTGCCCAAGCCTCTTTTTCCCTGTCTCTGTATTTGAGACGCGTCGTTGTGGTGCAGTATTTGAGGTAATAGAAATGATCATCCTTTCTTACAGTTAGACGCATAGTCAAATCATTGGAGAAAAAGCTCTTGTCAGGCCCTTGGATCAATAGGCGTGTGTGCGTACCTTGGACTGACAAGTATCTGAGTGTGCCTTACCCTTACGATGAGAATATATGGCTCCAAATAACCCACTTGGTAGAAATCAGCCTCTTGACGTATGGGTGGAAGGGTGAGAAAAAAGAGCCATATCGAGAGCTATCCCCCTAAGATTACAGATAGCGTGAATTCTGAGTGAATCGAAACCACATTTCAGGTGATTAGGAATAAAAAACCCTTCGGCCCTAGTCACTGAAAGGGGAGAGCTATCTTGAATCAGACAACTACAGCACCCAACAGACTATAGAATACTTAAAGCAGTTGATACCTATCATCATATGCCCTACCTAGATCCTTTTATAGGCAGCTTCACTGTCATCAATCCACGCTTTGTCTTCTCCCTCTCTATGTTTAAGCGTCATCTCTCTTGATACTGTAGTGCTCGCTCCACGGTTGTTCATTTTCCATATTCCCATCCTACATCGTATCATTGATCCTGCTCAGACTTCAGTATCATTAAATCTGATCTCCTCTCCCTCTTATCACACGTAGCCGATTCATGCCACGCGTGTCTTTGCTCTCTTAGCCACTTCTCGGTTCGTTGTTTACATTGGGCTGTGATTATAATCTTGTACGAAGGACCTACGGAGTAGCGAAAGATCTATATATTATTCAAAACGTAAATTACCACTTATAATCTAGATGATTGGAGAGTTTCTCTATGAGATTGGGATAGATTTGTCAAGATCACAAGTCGACAGTCTCGGTCTTAGGGTATAACTTGCGCACATAATTGAGTGGACATTCCTGCGCTATGGTTCAGTCTCTTGCTTCGCTCTCCTCACCATCCCCCCTTTTGTTCTTCTTCTCCTTTCTTTTGAGAATTAGCCGCTGACTGGATGGGGAATGCAGGTATATACTAGTGAGCGTTAATGTCTTGACGGAACACTATCCTGGTTTACTTCAGTATAACGTAGACACTGATAAATTATAAGGGAAACAAAAGGTCTTTCAGCCTTTTCAACACACCGGGGATGCTAATGGTCGTTATCTAGATGGATATACGGTTGATTTCGCCTCCTACGTTGATTCTGACCCTAGTAGTTGGCCTTCAATATTTTGGCGAGAGCATCTACGCGATAACCCAGTCCTTTATGGAAGAGAAATCGCAGCCTGCCCCTGGCCCCATTTGTCCCCAACGAGAATAAGGTATTAAGGCAGCAAGGAATGGTCCACTTCTGCGTCTTCCAGACACAAGGGCAAGTACCAAGGAGGGGATCGGCGTCTCGGCCATATCCATGGCCTCCAGCAGACTACACATGGAATGTCAGATGAGGCGAAGCAGCAGCTGGGCCAGGCCTAGAAATGAAAGTCGCCGTCGTCCATCGTGGCGATACTGTCTCACACTGCTGTATATGAGCGAACACGAAAACGACCGAGATGCCAGCATTTTCCATTGGCATGTTGTAGTCTGTCTATTAGATGGATTCAGCTTTACCGGCGCTTAACCAACAAAGCAGAAACTCAGTATCCAAACAACCGAAGCCTACAGGTATGTATGTATATTTCCCTTCTGCATATTCTCTATCATCAGCCACTACCTCGAATAGAATGTCGGCGAAGGACTATACGGGAAAAGTGCACGTACGCCTGTCTACATGTACGGAGACACCGGTATTTCTTCGGGTGCAGTTCCTCATGACGTTGACGTGCCCGTGGCGGAGTACTCAGGCCCGCTGAGTTCTTGAAGCGTTTGATAAGGCAGCAAGCAGCTTGCGTTTGCCCAAATTTAGACAGACAAACGGCCCTTTTCCCCTTTTCGTACGTGCTGAATAAGCGGAAGTCTACTAGGTACTCCGTAGTCTCTTGCGCCGAACAGTGATTTCTACCTGATCAGCACCAATAATAATGAGTGAAGCTCCGCACTCGGCGTATCCGAATACCACTGAGTGGGTGTTCAGAGTGCTGGGGAAAAAAATACACCGTTTCAAAAGCTTGGTCGCGAGCCTGGAAGACAAGTTCCCACCTCCCAGATGCCACTAGCTTCACCGCACCAGCAAGACTGGGGAGGCCGCCTCCCACAATGATGACATGCACAACAGCATCAGACATATTGTGTGAAGTGAGACAGTTTGATGATAGCAGTTTTAGGGTTAGAGAATCACTCTGCAGTTCTATGTATACTATGGAGACCTGTATACGCGTTCAATCAGAGGAGTGGACCCGGCAGCTGCTGAGCATTAACCACAGCTCTGATTTCTCCAAGTGCTATCTCCGGACGATCAAGAATAGGCTACTCCGGAGTACAGGCGACGATCCGCGGCTCGTGGATTTTGCCCTCTACCTACCCTCCGTCATTCTTGCCTTCTATTTACCTTTACTCTTATGTACAAGTACCTGTACTTCTGGAGATCCCGAAGGCCATGCAGTGTGCCCATCCAGCCGCCCTTCTAGAATCTGATTAAGGGGTGACGATCATCAATAGTGGATTGTCGGGACCGGATGATCACTAGGCTTGTCTCTCCTCAGCCCAGTCTCTTCTTGAGCCCCAGATGATGTCCTGTCTCTCATTGGCACATAACTCTTACTACCCCAGCCCGGTGGGTATTTCGCTACGAAGTAGTGTAACGAGCTCAGATGATTGCATATGTCTTGTCACTTGGCCCACGAGATTCCCCCATCCAACCGTTTCTTTTGGGGGGATGTCTCGGATGATCTTCTCTACGGGTATCTACAGCTAGCCACACCAGACTTGACCGCTGAAGGACACAGGACAAAAGGTCTAGAGACCCCAAGGTATAAAAGGGACGTTGAATCCGGCGTTAACAGAGCCATCTACAACAAGTCCTCTTCATTCAAGCCTCAAGACAAATCTTCTTCATCCAATCCTCCACTACAAACTCTTCAACCGCCAAAATGGTCAAGATCTCTGCCCTCGTCACCCTGGCTCTGGCCTCCGTCGCTCTGGCCACCACCAACGCCGAGTGCCAGAAGAAGTACGACACCTGCCGTACTGGTGCTAACGCCAACATGGCCACCTGCGTTGCCAACCACGAAAGCTGCTGCGCCGATGCTTACAGCACCTGCCAGTCCAGCGGTGACCCCAACGAGGCTGAGTGCGCTGCTCAGAACGCTGCCTGCAAGGGCCAGAAATAAGCTCGACCCGGAAGACCGATACCTCGATACCGACACCGACACCGATACCAACAGTCGTCAATTCCACTGCGTGAGTGGAATGCTTGATCTCGATCGTTGACTCACTGGTATATCTACAAGACGGAAGGTGGGGGGAGGAGGAACTGTCAATACAGACATGCGGTGCAGAGAAGGAATGGTCAGCATGGAAGAGCGGTGCAGAGTTCATGTCAAATAATAGTTTGCGATTCTCGTCACCTATTGAAATGATGTGGATTCTTCCAGGACAACTCGTTCCCATATTCCTAACGTTAGGGTGATTTTAGCTAGCGTTATCTTTGGCCTGTGGGGCGTGATGCATTCCTTTTGTAGA